CTCTTCTTATCGGATTATAGAGCTAGGCGATACGCCGAAGCGCGATCTAAGGCGGTATTATAATAGAGGCGCGCCTCTATAAGGTCTATCTCTTCGAGAGAGCGCTCTAGAAGATCTAGTACTTTAACTACTAGTAATAGAGTTATATCTAGAAAGTATATACGAAGCCTACGAGATATAGTAGATACGCTAGAGCCTATAAGTTAAAGGAGTATACTAAGAAGAGAGTCTTATACGCTAACTACAATAAGGCTTATAAGGCGTAGTACCTATACGCCTACGATATATACTAGAGATACTACGATTATATCTAGTAAAGATAAGTTATAGCTTTTACGTAGATAGTAAGTATTTAAGCCGTATCTCGGAATAGCTAGACTATAGAGAGATAGACTATAGTAGGGAATAAGAGATAGAGGAAAACCTCCCCTAGAGCGCTCGTATAGAAGAGAATAGAGCGATTAACTTATATAGAGATAGCGATACGTAGCCTCTAATAGGGACGCCTCTTCTTCGTAGGCGGGTCGTAGAACGATCGTTAGCCGCCGCTAGAGTTAAGTATATAGAAGATAAATATTATAGATACTTTCGATAAATAAGTTTAAGATTATCTAGTATAACTATAATAACTCGAACGGCTATATATTTCGGACGCTCTTCGATAGCTTTACGCGGCCTATAGTACTCGCGATCTAGAAACTAGTCTTTAATTGTTTTATAAAGTTAATCTACTACCCTAAGCTCTACTAACTAGTATACGAGGCCGCCTAGATAATATAGATATACTTTATAATAAGATAAGATATACTCGTTTTATACTATAGATATATATAATTCGAGCCGAATATAGTACTACTCGATATTAAGATAGAGAAAAGAAAACTCTCGATAATTAATATCTATAACTCTAGGGGAAGCTAGCCTAGAATCGCTAAATAGGGAAGAATTCGAGAAGCCCTTAATAAAGCGACCGGCGAGACTATTATCCTAGATAACTTTAACGTATACTACTTAGTATAGAAAGGCGTAGAAGTCGCGTACGAGTAGTAGATAGAATATCTACTAACGGTAATAAAGGCGCGAGAACTAATACTCCTAATCTAGTAGAGAGACGTATTATAGAGAAGAGAAGACTAGAAGATAGTAATCGACCTTACGTTCGCTAAACGGCCGCTTAGTATACGAGTCGAGTTCTATAGTACTAAGTCTCTATAGACCCTAATAAAGAATTATATCTCGATTCGTATTACGTTCGATATTCGATAAAACCTAATACTATAAGAAAGTAAACGATTCGTACTATATAGGCTCGATATAGATAAGCTCTCCGCGGCGATATAGCGAGGAAAGGAAACGACGACTAAAACTCTTAAGAGAATCTAGTAGAATATTAAGAAAGCGCTAGAAGAGATCTATCTAAGGGTACGCTCGTTATCGAGAGTAAGGCTAGACTAGTTATCGAGAGCTACTAAGCTACTTATATACTTTAGGTAGACGAAGCGTAGATTTCTTATAACTAGAAATTAGATCTAGCTAAGACTAGTATACTATCTAGCGAGCTAGCTTAAGTAGAAGATTCGAAGAAACGCGAGGGCTAACTAGAGGCGCGCGATAAGTAAGCTATTCGAGAATACCTCTCGAGATCTATAGAATATCTCGAGATAGAGTAGACGAAGTATAGATAAGCTATATAAGAATTTCTATCTCTCGGCGCTAAGAAGAGCTAAGAATCTCCTAACTATAGATAATAAAGGCGAGAAGAACTAGATTTTAGTAGAGAAGTTCTTTCTGCTAGCGCTAACTATAATAAGCGAGTCTAAGAAGTAGACGATTCGTACGTAACTCGTAATTCTCTAGAGAGTTACGAAGAAAGAGATAAGAGCTCTTCTCGCGGCCCTTCTAATAGAGAAGGTCTCGAGTCTCGACTCGATCTCGAATAAGATACTTAAAGTACTTAGCTCTATCCTAGTAGCCAACGTCGCGTAGGCGATAAGTAGGCTCTTCGAGTAGAGCTAGATCTTAGCGTATCTTAAGAAGTCTACGACTATTACTCTCCGTAAAGATAATAAGAAGGACTACTTACTTCTAGAAGCGTATAGACTAATTACCCTTAAGAATACTCTCGCTAAGGTAGTTAAGAAGGCGCTAGCGAATCGACTAATAAACGTAGTCGAGAAATACGATCTTCTTCCTTAAAGCTAGATAGAGGCGCGAAGAGATCGCTCGACGCTCTCGGCCGTAGATCTTATTATAGTATACGTAGAGCGTATATAGAAGGTACGGCCCAAAAGCGTAGTCTCTATACTAAGTCTAGATATCTAGAGCGTATTCGATAACGTTCCGTATAGGCGACTTCTTAATATTCTTAAGGCTAAGGAGATCTTCTCCTAGCTAGTTAAGGTTATCGAGAGCTTCCTAAGTAGAAGACGTACGCGAATAGTATACGCCGGGTACGAGAGTAACTAGATCGAGACGAATATAGAGATTCTATAAAGCTTCTTACTCTCGCTAATTCTTTTTCTCTTTTATATCTCGAGACTACTAGATATACTCGACTCGTATAGAGATAATACGCTAGTCTTTAGCTTTATTAACGATACGAATATTATCGCCTAGAGATCGTTAGAGAAGGATAATTATATAAGACTTATTAAGGCGTATAAAGTCTACGAGTAGTAGACTAGTTAGTATAAGATAAAGTTCGCTCTAGATAAATACTAGCTAATCTACTTTATAAGAAAATACGTCGTAGATAACTAGTAGAGAAAGAGTATATAAATCGTCGATAAGAAGATTCTTTCGAAAGAGAAGACGATTAAGATTCTCGAGGTATAGCTTAACTCGAAGCTTACGTAGAAAGAGTATATCGCGTATATAGCTCGTAAGAGGCTTATAGTCTCGAAGATCTTAGTAAGACTAGCTATATCGACGTAGAGACTCTTCGCTAGAAATATAAAACTTCTCTATATCTCTATAGTACGGCCTATACTCCTCTACGAAGTATAGAAAGTTAGTATATATCTCGTATAGAGTATACTCTCGCTATCGAGACTAATACTACTTAAGAAGATATAGAACTAATATCTAAAAAGAGTAACGAATATATATCGAAAAATACCGAGGGTAGCGCTTAAGAAGAAAATATATATCCCTCTACTAGATATTACGGTTACCGACCTAGATAGAAAGTATATACTACGAATCGTATACTACTTAATAGAGAGAAGTATACGGCTAATAGCGAATTAAGTCTAGAAGACGATATTAGGAGCGAGACGAGAGCGAGGCTCTAGACCGACTCTAGCGAGGTAGAAGACGATAGCTAGTACGCGGCGAGAGATTAACGCGAGACGTACGTAGGCCTATCGAGACGGTTAGAGATAGAGAGCGCCCGAGTCGAATACGACGTACGCGCGTAAGGCGTCCTTAGAGTAGTAGAGAGAGCGGTAGAAAGTAGTACGAAATAAGCCTAGAGAGAGATACTTCCCGACGACGTAAACGACGCCGTAGAAGTAGAATAGGCGTAAGCTCTACGCGAGTCTTACGAAGGCGTAAGCGATAGCTCTATTCCTAATACGAACCGAGGTAATAGGCCTAGGATCGTAGCTTACGGCGGTTAGGATATCGGATATAATTACGCTCTATCTATATAGAATATATACTTAGATCGTATAATATATTCTACTATACTACCTAAGGTACGAAAGAGTTAAACTACTACGATAGTACGAGACGACGAGAATAGACGAGATTCTATTACGCCTAGTATCCGCGGTATATACGGCTCGCTAGCTAGTCGCCTTAGGGGTCCTTAAGTAGTTTCGACTTACGAAGAAGATAAAGGAGAAGAAGACTCTACTATACCGTACTCTATAGGATAGTAAAGAGTAGTAACGAGAGAGAGACCTCTTATAATCGATAGAGAGAATTAAGCGAGAATACGAGCGGGACGGAGGCGAGTCGTATACTCTACGTACGCGTCTTATGAAGGCGAGATAAGGGTTTTCTCGGCGAAGGGTTTTTCCCTAGAAAAGGTGGAAGAGTCTATATAGTCCTGTATAGGAGCTAGATTAGACTATAATTGAATTATTATTATTATTATTATATAAGTATTAGTTAAGATAGGAGATATAAACTAGTAAAATACGGATAGAATAGATCGTAATCGCTAATATAAGAGTAGACGGCTTTACGAAAGTACTAATAATATAGAATTATAAGCGATTCGTCTATATATATCTTCGCCTAGTCGACGTATAGACTATACTCGACGGTAAAGCGACGGATATAGCCTAAAGAGGATATATTATATATAGTCGGCTCCGATACTCTACTACTAAGGAATACTTACGTTAGCTATACTTCCTAAACCTCGCTATCGACCCTAAATAACGCTCGATAACGACGTCGACGACGAGATTTACCACTCTCTAGAATGATCTATAGATCGTACGAGATACGGTGTTCTCTCCGATTTCTATAGTATATATAGGAGTGCTCTGTACACTGTAAAGTGGATAGAGCGAGAGCAAATACAACATTTTTAGCGCACCTGCCAACCTTTCTCTACGTGACACAGTTGTCCTTACGGCTGGGCTGCACGAGCATCTTTCCCCAGGGAGCAGTGCTCCAGGACATTGCAGAGTCACCCGTTTCGGGAGATCCGACACCAGCAAGCCCACCTTGACAGGGAGCTGGGTTCTCTCCAAATGGATCGACATCACGAAACTATTAACAACAGCAGCAGACATGTTTTTTGCGAATCGATCGACGACTAAGCAGATGCTTCGGGGCGCGCGATATATCAATTTGCTCGACCACTTTCAACCACTTCTAGACTCGTGGTACTTGGGTTATACCCAAATGTCATGTCCCAGTAAGCTCAACTCTCACCCACCCCAAATTTCCCTCCATGATTCCCTGATGACGGCTGACACAAGACAATAGCCATTTAAGGCCCCGCTCGGAAAATCCTTCTTGTGGATTATTATTATGCCCGCATGTACATCCGTTCGATTGCGATACAAGCGCTTGTTGAGCGGATCAGTAATCTCGGCAGCGGTGCAGACCAAGTGTGGCAAGACCATGAGATTCTGCAGTCAAAACACGCCCAAGGCTTTACATCGATCAAAGAGGTTCGCGAGTCGAGCGGCAGGATTCTCACCATCGCCGTGGAGCTCTGTAACGAGAATCTACGACATTACTGCCCGGTGCGGCTCTACCTAAGAATCGTGAGCGCATCGGTCTTCCTGTTAAAATCCATCAGCCTGGGATCACGGGAGGCCGAGATCGTTGCATCTCTCAAAACTCTCGACCGGTGCATTGCGGCCTTGCAGACGAATTACGCCGATGATATTCACTTATCCACACGCTACGCAAAGCCGATTGCCCGGCACGTCCAGCGCTTCAAGCGGAATTTCCGAGTCAAGAAAAGGGCCTTTGTGCATGCTGCAATGGCCTCTCCCTATCGGAGTCGAGCATCATCGCCTTTTTCGGCCGGCAACAACAGAAGCAGGGGAGCGCAGCCTAGGGTCTCACAGTACGGTCTTGTGGATCAGCATCAACAACAACAAGACCAATTTCAACCGCACCTGGATCAACCACCGGCATCACAACACCGGCCATCATACGCCACTGCTTCAACGCATGCACACGACGAGCAGTTGCATGGGCCACAGAGGGCCGGCGACGGGCTTTCCACGGGACAGCTACCGGCCGGCACCATTGATCTGTCAAGTGAGTTCAATTTTGGAGAGGATGAGAGTACGGAAGACTGGCTAGCGCAACCATTCAATCCACAGATTGCCCCTTTTGGGCAGGACTTTATGCAGCCTGGTGCAGGGCTTGCTGTGGACTCTCTTGATTTCCTATCGAGTATCCAGTCTTGACCTGGACTTGGCCCCCAAAATGAATCAGGATGTTCCCTGAAGGCAGACTGTTGAACTCTTAGTGACCACTCATCAGTCCTGTTGGTAATAAAAAACAAAGAGTCAGAGAACACTACCACAATTTTCACTGAGACCGTGATTGAGCACTACAACCCGTGCTAGAGAGTGTAATCTGTCTTCTCTACCGCACTTTTGGTACGCGTCCCTTTGTTGGATTCGTTGCAGCCACCTCCTGGTATGCGGCCAGTCTTTCCCTTCAATGCCCAATTTCCTCGCCAGAATGGACTCGATATTGAACCCCATGAGGATGTCGGCGGCCGTCACATCCTTTCCGACAAGATACTCCCTACCATCTGACGGTTCTGTCTCAAGCCAGTCCAGATCGCTCTGTACATTTGGTGCGAGCCCTTTCTCCATCTCCGGTAGGTATTTTCTAGCAACCTCGGGAATACGCCATCGTGCATAAAGAATCTGGTGATTGCATTAGCTCGAGCCTCGTAAATTTTCGTTTTTGCACTGTGTAGGGTGTAGTGATCGACTTACAGCAGGCCCATGGATCATAAACGTTCCTTCGGCTGCTGCCATCCACTCCCGGACCTTCGCTCTTGCAGCAGGATCTTTGGGCAGCAGTCTTCCCGACTATCAACGGTGTCTCGAGCTTGTGGTTGGTGAGCTTGAGTGCAACCGATCGAGACTAGCCAGCAACAGGCTTCTTGTGATATCTCAATGGTTGGTCGATTCTGCGACAGTGTAGGTGAGTCTGGTTGACGTGGGATGCGATACAGAATTAACGAGAACGCTCTTTGAGTCTGCACCACGACGATGAAACGAAGTATGAGGGGTATCTTGAATTCTGGCGAAACTTCAAGCTGTGCTGGGAAGCGCTTCGACAATGACAGAAAGAAACCGTCCAAATGGCCTTGAAAGCCGGAAGGCTACCAGCAGACATGCTTTCAACAGCCACCATCTGCAATCTCGAGCCAATTCGTGGCTATGTGTGATAAGCTGGAGGCGTATGGGTCGGTCGATTATGAAATGGGTGTTTGGAAAGAACAGATAAGCCATGTTTTTGCCGAGTGCCCCGATCTCCTTGATCGGTGGGACCGAAGTCTCAACCGGTACATCTCGGCGTCATCGGGAAGAGATGAGGCAGTGGTTGGATCGGTAAGCAGCCGCAATGCTTAACATTGTCGCCTTTAAAGCTGGGAATGAAAGGATGGGAATTGCGGCTGCTGGGTATCTCCAATGTGACGGACACACGACCAGCTGAGAATTTGGATCCTTTCTCTAGAGTCCCGAACCACTTTCTGGTGACTGGTCTTGAGGACTAACTTCATCCCGCTATGCACTAGACCCTCAACTGGGGACCACGGACGGGAAACTCATGCCCACTTGGTCTTCTTGGACCGATTTTGCAGTTGCTTGATGACCTCGTTTTGCTGGTATCGTGGTTCTCGTTGGACCTCTTCTCCTTGATGATTGTCAGGGGCTTTGTTTGGTGTTGCTTCAGGGTCTGAGGCGTGGCCTTAGGCTCTCCTTCCATAGATGGGGAGCCTCGGTTTAGGTCGAGAAGAGTCGACATTGGTTTGCTTCAGACGAGAGGGGATTCTAGGGTCGCATGTACTGGTTATCGTATCCGTGAGCTGATCGTTTGAAAGGCGGCCGTAATCAGATTTGATCGCATCTGTTTCAGATGCGACTTGGGAAGGTAATCTCGCAGTCAAATTGGGCCACAAGATGTGGCGATTACCTTGACTCTAAAGTACAAAATGGCAATACCACCTGGAGTCTGCCTTTGCGAAGACTGTTCGAAATCGGCGCCCTGATTGGGTGCGAACTAGACCGGTGTTGAGAATATGGCGTGGCAATATGCTTCTCCTCGTTCTCAAGGCGTACCCACGGCCCTTCCCCCGGGCAGCGAAGTAGAGATCGAAGGCAGGGTGTATAGCTTCGCCAACCAGGTTGTCATTCGAGCGAGAGGGTGTCGGAAAGACCCAAAAGAGGTTGAACGGGGTAAAATCGAACGAAAAGGAGAGCACGAGTGAAGCACACAATGCGTCCCAGAAGCTGAGGCTAGGACTGTTTCTCTCATCGCTGCAATGAATGTTCTTCATCTGTCTGGAGTTCGTAGCGCAGGGTGGTCGTCACGAAAGAGGTCTTCGCTGCACTGTACGGGGAAATTGTGGATCAGTCGCCGAGGCGAGAGGGTGTCCCTTAGACTCTTGTGACCAGGGATTTCTTCCCCCAGAGGCGCCACTCCTGGACCTGCGGAAGGAGGGGAAAGAGCTCAAGACAGAAGAGTTACCAACGAGGTCGAGGGGTGTATCAGCGTCGTAGACCGCGCCAGAGTCCTGGGAGATGTCGTCCCAATCACTTCATGATTTCGGCATTCTCGCAGGCTCAAGATGGTTAAATAGTCATGGTCAAAGGTATCGCGAGCCTCGCAGATATGCTAGCATGAGCAGGGAAAATCGTGTGGGAAGCCAGAATGAACCGTGATTGCCCCTTTCTTGCGGTTCTGAGGGGAGGCCTCCAGGAGCAGATAGGGATTGACGACAGAGTGGGAGACCAGAGTCCGCAGGTGGATCCATTCGAGCCCCAATCGCACAATTGTTGTACGTCGCCATCAATTTCCTCAATTTCGAAGCCCGGCGCTCGTTTCCCATTTACTCCCCTTGCTGCTCCCTTCCTCACGCTCTGGCCCAAGAAGGGTGACAATCACGTCGAGCGCCCAGTCGAGTCTGAGTCTCGTGTCTCCAGGTGCCGATTCCTGCCCGTCGAGTCGAGCTGATCAAGTCCACGGTGCACAGTCTGGATATGATTCCAATTTTCGACCACATCGCTGTAGAGAAGTACCTATTACTGCGGCCGAGGCGCGCGTCCCACAGCCTGTGCTCTCTCGCCCTTCCTCGGTGCACGCATCCCGCCTCTGTTCGATAGATCGGGTGTGAAGAACCGCGCGTACGACCACCCTACATTCTCCCTTGACTCAGCACCAAGCCCACTCGCCGTCAGGCAGACTTAATACTTGGCCACGATTCAGCCGCCAATTAAGACTGGCGCTTGCTCAGGTCCGTTCTGCAAAGTTGGCAGGTCGTTGCCAGCCCAGTGTCTCAGTTGCCTGTTCCGATGCGTGAGATGTTTCCACCATTAGTCGATCGCCAGATTTTTCTCTCACAGCGACATGTGTAGTGTCAAGCTGTGTCGGAGGGTCCGACGTGTAGTCCTATCCAGGCAATAGCCGGAGTCGCCGCCAAGTAGAAACGGGCGACGACCACCACAGCACTAGGAATCTTCTCACTCAGAACCATATCCCCGCGACGCAGCCGGACGGAGGCAGGCGGCTAGAGCGCTACTCTACTTGCACACAAAAGAGGCTGGTGCTCGGTTTGGAGCATAAGGCGAGAGCCTCGGCACGAGCGGGAGGTGGCTGTGAGCCTGTGTGAACGATCAGGGAGGCCAGCATTCTCTGCGGAAGGTAAAGGGCCGACAGGATCCGTTGAAGGTGGTCATTCGAACAGGAGGGAGGGGGGGTCGCAGAAAGCAAGGGAGTCGTCCGCTTCAGGCGGTCGCGCAGTTGGAGCGGTCGAGTGGGACCTGCGAGGGGACGGGCGGCAGCGTCAAGGAATCTGGGTGGAAGAGAAGGAAACTCGCGAAAGTAGCGAGAGGGAGTCTTTGTCAACACCTCTGTCTCCTTCATAGCAGGGCGAGTCGACTCGATATAGTGAATAAGTGGTCGAGGCCGAGACGGTCGAAGGTCTTTCTAGTCAAAATGGCAGCCTCCCTGCGTGGAACTAGGCAGCGCCGCTTTTGAACTCGTCTCGTTTGACTAGTGTTCACGAGCGTGCATTCGAAGGGCGAACCGCAGAGGCCACGCTCTTCTCCTCCTGGGTGAGCCCCGAGCCGATCGTCGAGCCCCTAGCGCCTAAGAGCGAGGCGTCGCCCGCCCCTACGGAGGGTGAGACACGGGTGACGGCACTCCCTGGCTCACCCTGACTCACGCGCGACCCGGCTGAGCAAATGGCGGCATCACCCGTCGCCCGGTTGGGGGTGAGGTGCGAGCAGGTTTCCCTTCCCTTGGCCTATGATGAACTTCCACGCCTCACCGCAAAGGCACACGACCTGGAAGAGTCCGTACCGGTAATCTTGGACAATCCAGCTCTTGAACCACTGTTGCACCGCTCGTCGCCCAAGTGACTTGACTGTTTCTCGAGTGCAGGAAGCGGCAGGTCGCAAGGCATGTCGACATTGATGAGTTGAGTCTGTCTGGACTACAACGTACTAACTACCATGTCTCAGGGCGGCCATCCCCGTTCGAGCCGTGGCAGCTCCGCTGAGCCCTCACTGCACGAGCTCCACGTTACTAACCCGTCGCGGTTCACAACGGAAGAAGGTCATCTCGAAACGCTTCTCAACCCCATACCGCGTCCGAGTCGCAGTCGTGCGACCTTTTCCTTGAGTTGCTGTTTTGTTGTGTTCATCGATGATGCGGAGTTGGACCCTGACTTCATCCCTGTACCGACGGGATCGACCTCGTCGTCATAGAAGGGCACGACAATCAACTCCAATGGACGCCCGGCAAATTGCATCAAACGCCGCAGACACCCTTGCTGCGGACATCAATGCATACGGCGACGTGGCTGAAGTCTGGTCAGACTTTTGAGAGACATTTACCATGAACACAGTGCCAGTCAGAAGTTTTGATCGAGTAAAAAGGGAATTATGATCGAGTAATAAAGAGACTCTACAAGAAATCCACCAGGCCCAACAAGGTTTAGGCGCATCGCAGAACCTTAGCGATGCCGGGAAATTGTGGAAATGCACGCCGTTGGACAGGGGCCTGGCTGATAAAGGATCGAAAAAAAAGAATCGCTTGAGGGAACACCGACCGGCGAACGCACGGAGCCGTCGCTGAGACCCAAATTCCCAACGATATCGGGAGGCGTCAGCCCAAAAAGGCGCCAGTGCCATGCCATTCCGTCAGGGCCTTTCCACCCGCAACCCACCTCGTCGACCGCATCTCCCTTATCTCTGCTCGATATGATCGAGTAACAAATAGCGCTGCGCGGTCTGCAGTAAGTGCCTGTCCACCCTATGCGCCTCCAATCAGACGATAGAGCACCATTGAATCTCTCGAGTGCCCCGTCGGAATCGCCCGTCTGGACTCTCTCGCAGAGTCTACGACACCTCTTTCTGGCCCTGACCGGGTTCCGAATATCCTCAAGCGCTCCCGAGCGATGGCCTCCATAATAAGCCGAGATGAGGCGACGGCTAGGTCGAATCCAGATGCAGAAAAAGGGAGTATATCTTTGTTCACTCGGTGTTGTGTGGCCCTTCTTTGTCCTATCTCTCCGCGTCTTACCCCAGCTTCCCTTCTCGATTGTTGCAGATACACATTGCCTATCTCTTATCTACAATCGCTGATAAGGCTCACAACCCCCTTCACATGCTCTTCAGCATCACACCTACTGTTTACATTGTCTACTGGACCTCTTTACCCCATATCAAGCTCTAGGCAACTACAGTGTCGTCCTTCTCGACAATGGACACGGCCACAGATACTTTCCATTCTTATCCGACACCTCCCCGGTCTCCTCCCAATGGCTTATCAGACGGGTTGTCGCCGATTACCGTGATCGCGTCCTCCAGGGCTATCCGGTCAGGACAGCTGTCCGCGGCCACTATCGTGATATCGAATGCCACTGGCAAGATAACGGCGGCCTTTGATTCAATCGTCCCCGCCTCCGACTTCCCTCCCGACACCCCATATACCGATTATTCTCCGCATATCCTGCTTCCTGGATTGGTGGATGCCCATGTTCATCTCAACGAGCCCGGTCGAACAGAATGGGAAGGGTTCTATACCGGCACGCAGGCTGCGGCTTTCGGAGGGGTGACGACCGTGGTGGATATGCCGCTCAATGCTGTACCTCCCACCACAACGGTCGCAGGACTGCAAGAGAAGATCAAGGCTGCTCAGGGTAAATGCTGGGTGGATGTCGGATTTTATGGCGGCATAGTCCCTGGAAATGAGGGAGAGCTTAAGGCGCTGGTAAGAGAGGGAGTCCGAGGGTTCAAAGGGTTTCTTATCGACAGTGGTGTGGAAGAGTTTCCTGCAGTTTCCTCGAAGGATATCGAGAAAGTATTTGCAGAGCTGGCAGACGAACCAACCACGGTCATGTTCCACGCGGAGATGATTCCTCCTATTGCCGATTCGGTGGGCGACGAAGTCCAGAGCTCACTACCACCTTTGCAACCCCACGGACCCTTGAACGCGTACAGTACTTTCCTGGCATCGAGACCGCCCTCATTCGAGACATATGCCATTGAAGAAATTCTGTCCTTAGCACATCTCGCACCAAACTTACCGTTGCATATTGTTCACCTGTCCGCGATGGAAGCCATTCCACTGTTGAGGAAAGCACGCGCTCAAGGCATCAACATTACCGCCGAGACCTGTCCACACTATCTGTCTCTTGCAGCCGAGGAAGTCGCATTGGGAGACACCCGTCACAAGTGTTGTCCTCCAATTCGGAGCCAGTCAAACCAGGACAAGTTGTGGGACGAGCTGCGGCAATATGCAGAGGACGGGGTCATTAAAACCGTGGTCTCCGACCATTCGCCCTGCACACCAGACCTCAAGCTTCTCCCATCCCATGTGCCGGGCCACGTTTGTGCGCCCGCGGATGTGGTGAAGGCTTTGCCATTAGACACAGAAGCCGGCGATTTCTTTACCGCCTGGGGCGGCATCTCGTCTGTTGGACTGGGTTTACCGATCTTGTGGACCGAGATGACCCGGAGAGGCTTAACCGGTTCCGACCGCGCTATCACTGATGTTGTACAATGGTGTTGTATCAACACAGCCATGCAGGTAGGTCTGGAGAAGCAGAAAGGTGACATTGCTGTTGGCTTCGATGCCGACATTTGCGTCTTTGACGACACGGCCGAATGGGTGGTCGAGCCAAGCACCATGCTTTTCCGAAACAAATGCAGCCCGTACCAGGGTAAAACGATGACAGGTCAAGTCAAGGAGACTTTGCTGCGAGGCCAAAAGGTTTTTGTCCGAGATGGGCCCAATAATGGCTTTGTCGGCAAGGAATGCTCGGGGCAACTGTTGTTGGAGCCTCGACGAAAGGAATTGAAGAGAGTCAAGAGTTGGTTCCGGAGGTGGATCTACGATTTTTGAAGATACAGATCGAGGTTGCACACACATCTCATGACTGATAATGATACCGGCGGATATAAGGAATTGTGAGAATATGCCTTAATATAGCGTCATAGAGCGTGGGAGCCCTTTGGATGGATTGGATAGAAATACGATTTTTGTTCATAATTCGTTATGTGTCATATCATGAAGCCTGCTGCTTTTGTTCTTGTTCCTGTTCCTTCTTCCACTTGTCTCTAAGCCTTCTTCTCATTCCGCCATTGACTCCGCGGCCCCAGATTTCTTCTTTCTCGGCGGCCGCAGAAGAGGGTAGCAGTGACTCGCTGTTGCTGTCTTTTTCTTCGCCTCCACGGTACTCCCCGATAAAAACCTTCTTCTCACGCTTGGCCCTTTCCTTATGTTTGCTCAGCCGGACTTTGCGCAGATAGCCCGCGTAGACCGTGACTTCGGAGACACCGACAATGATGCCCGAGAACAACGACACCAGCACCCGTAAGCCGTCGTTGCCCCACCACCTCGTCAGGTAGAACATGGCGCAAGCACACATAACGACGCTGAGTAGAATGTTCAACACCAAGGACGGACTGATGTCGTCTTTTGTTGCATCTTCGTCTTCGTCATCTTCTGCCAGAACGTCGGAGTGCTTCTGTCTAGATACTAGAGCAGCGTACTCTCGGCGCTCTTGGTCTTTGCGTAAACGGGCCATCAGGGCCATGTATTCCGGCGAAGGTTGGGGTTTAGGCGGCGGAGGAGGGATGTAGACATGGGCGCCGCGGAGGAGGGTGTTCAGGCTCAAGTTATTTGGCGCCGTTGGTGTTGGTGGTCCATGGTTTAAGTGAGTTGAAGTTTGAGAGGTCTGAGAGTGAGACCGAGATAGAAGACGTGCGAGCGCGATGATGGAGGCGTGCTCGATTGGAGAGCCTGGTGTGGTAGGTAGAGGAGACGGGAGGGATGAGCGTTCGGAGGGGGAGAGGGATGAGATCGCATCGAGTATGCGAGGGGTTGCGATGAGGAGGACCATTGTCGCGGCCTGCCAGTGTGATGGAAGGCTTTGTGGGGAGTTAAGATCTCAAGGCGTCTGCCTCCATTGATTGATAGCGGGAGGTAGAGAAGGTGTTACTATCGGCTGCCAGTGCTGGGGGATAGGGTGGTCTACGATGTTACATATTGTACATAGGACCACGTAGGAGGAGTGGGTGGGCCGCCTTGTGCGCAGTTATGATGAAAGGCCAGCCTTGCAGGACCACCGCTGCCCACAAGGCCCGCCCAAACTTGAGAGGGAATAGCCTGGCTTATCTAATCTCCGGCCGGGGCTTCTTGCTGGAGGTTGGGCTCCGCAACTGAACGAAACTGAATCGCAGTCGCGCTTCACTATTGCGAACAATTCAGAACAATTCATTATCCGCAACCCGCCAGCATCAACTTCCTCATTTGCCTGCTTGTAGGCTTGCGCATGAGTCCGAGCCCGTTCTTAGCCAATATTTGCGTCTGTCGGTACATTCACCACGCACAGCGCAACTCTTCGAAACCCCGTGTCGGGCGGTCAGCATTAAAATCGATCTGTTCTCGCGTCACAACTCCATCGTTCCTTTCCGTGTACAACGGTTGTTCAACAAAGATCTAGTATGACCGGCTCGCGTCCGTCGCATAATTGGTATGGGAAACGAGCAGAGTCAGGAATCTGCTGCTCGGCCGGAGCCAGAGACAGAGGAACGTAAGTAAAGAGACCGGACAACCTTTTGTAAAGGTGGAATTTCAGCATTGACGCGCTGTACTACCCCTCAGATTTTGACCTCTCCGAGATCCCCGACGACCGAGAAGTCGGTCCAACGTCCGAACTCGAATCCGAGATGGCCAAAAATAGTCAGATCGCAGCCTCTTCCTCCTCACCTCAGCAACATCACAAGAAGCGCAAACGCAAGGGTAAGAGGAATCGTCGCAAGTCTTCGGGTGGGACGAGCAGTTTGGTGCCGAGCGCTGGACTTTCCGAACACGTGAACGGAGATGGAGAGCGGGCTGTGGAAGATGACGGTGTTCCGGCGGAGAAAGAGACCGAACTACTGGTCAAGCGACCCCAAGGAGAGGAGCCATCTCAGAGTAGCAAGAAAAAGAAGCCAGAGGTCGACAATCGATCGCTAAGGGAGAGAGAACCTGAGACTTATCACATATATGCCTCGTCCGATGAAAGTGATGCTGAGGAGGGCACTACAGTGGCCGCGGCACAGGCTGAACTCGCCAGTGTTGCGAAATCGGATGGCGGAGCGCCCGACGAACACGATTCTGCCAGAGGTCCTTCACACGTCGAGGCCAACGCGTCTGCCATCGCCGACCAGTCGCATAAAGAACCTGAAGGAGACAGGTCTGATACTGCGGAGGAACGAGTACCCGCTTCGCAACCTGATCAGACCCTTGAAGAACCGGAAGGAGACAAGCCAGATACTGTAGAGGAAGCGGTACCCGCTACGCAACCTAATGGTGTTACTTCCGTCTCCAAAGTCCCGGAAGACGGTCGCTTCCGCTGTCCCCTCGCTGAAGAGTATGGATGCGAGATGACTTTTGCGAGGCAAAAAGCGGCAACACGCCACAGCGGGATTCATACCTCGAGCTTTGCATGCTCTGTCTGTAACAAGCAGTTGAGCCGTCGTGATACACTCAATAAGCACATGGGAAAGCATACCGCCCTCGAAATTGCCTCTGCTGAAGCTGGCGAGAAGGCAGGAAAAGGCCAAGAAACAGAAGTGAATGGTGGTACTAAGGACAGAAACGTCAAGCAACCAACACCACTTTCTACACAGTCTGACGTAGTGGAGGAGGGAAGTTCGGCCGAGTTCGAGACACCACCGCAAGAAACATCTCAAGCCCAGCAGGCGGATGAGCCTTCTGAACGTCAATCATCGTCGCCTTCAAGCGTCTTTGACCAGGTGGGCGAGGAAATTGTGAAAGAAACCCCCATGCCGAAGGGAGGTCTGAAGCGCAAGCGTGGCACCCAGAACTCCTTGGATACTCCCACGTCAAATGGTGCAAATCCTAGCAAGAGACGAAAAGGGCTGTCTCATTCACCGCCAACATCTGTTCAATCGAAAGACTTGGATATGACGGACTTGGCGGATTCCGAAGGCGCCGACGGACTACGACGCCGGCAAGATACGGAGAAGATTGTACCGACGCTCCAGAAGACCCGACAGGGTAGTATTGACGGCTGGGCGCAGAAGTACACTGCCGGCTCGAAGCTCAGACATCCTGTTTTCAACCCGCAGTCGCCGCCTTCAACAGCTGTACAACAAGTCGAAGTCATCATTCCAAGAATGAGTCAAGGTGGACCATCCAGCACCAATCCGACCAGAGACATGCTCTCCAGTCCTAATGACGAACTCAATACGGATCAGTTGGAATCGCTCGGTTTGAAAAAGGTTGGAGCCAAATCTGGCCTCAAGTCCAGAACTGAAAGGGCAGCAAAGACGGCATCAAAGGGCAAAAAGCGGGCAGAATCCGGCGTGGACCATTCTACTCCTGTACAGGGCCGTCCCAGCTTAGCTGCTAGCGCGGACGGTTTATCTGATGACCATGAATCCGAGCCGACCAACCTCGCAACGACTGTCGCGAAACGAAGTTTCTCAGCGATGAAGCCGAAGAAACAACCTCGCAAGCAAGAAGAGGAAGGGTCTTCTGGGTCGGAATTCTCACATGAGGAAGACGGAAGCGAGTCTGATATCGAGAGGCCGAGGGAAAGACCACAGAAGCGCGCCCGCGTTACTGCGTCGGCTTCTATGAAGACGACGACCAGACCTGTAAACCGTGCGCGTGCCAGAGGATCAACAGCGAGCGAGAACGGCAGACACACCGGCCAATTCACCGAGGAGGAGATAAACAGTTTAAACAACTGGAGAGACATGTTCTGCGAAGATCACAACATTACACATGAGCAATTCAACGATATGATGGCCGACACTATTCAGCGGAAAAAGCGGGACGAGTGGCCATGGCCGTTCATCACCAAAAACGATTTCCTTCAGGATTATTATGACGTTCTTCCGCACCGCAACAGACGGTCCATGCTGCGATACCGAGAGCGCAATTTCCAGAATGCCGGCGGATCTAGAAACTGGACGGCCGAGGATGATGCGCAACTGATACGATTGCACAAGGAGTTAGGGCCAAAATGGGCGGAGATTGGACGTCGTATGACCAGAACAAGTGACGCGGTGAGTCAGAGGTGGCGGCATAGACTGGCCCTCGGACACGTCGAACAAGGTGAATGGTCGAAAGAGGAACAAATCAAGTTCAAAAAGATCCTCGCAGATCTCCGCCGGGACTCTGGCACAACCGACGATCTTGAGGAGTGGCGGATCCCTTGGAGTAAAGTCAGTGAAAGGATGGGGACCAGGACGGCTCAACAGTGTTCGAATCATTGGCGTGTCTTGCATGCCATAAAGAGGCATGGGAGGTGGGTCAAGGTCGAGGGTCTGGAGAGGACGCCTGGTCAGAGTAGGATTCTGACACCTTCCAAAATGGAGAAGCGCCTGAGAGGAGAAAGAGAAAGTTCCCCTACTGGTGGCAAGCGAAAGGTACTTTCGCAAAAGTTTGTGGAAGATGAAGATGAAGATGAGGAGGCGGACGAAGGGCAACCTGGCGGTCCAGAAGATCAAAGTCATGTCAGCACGGATGGCCCACTTTTGTCATCTGAAAGAGACGTAAAAGAGCTTCCTGATGGTCAAAATCCCGACCAGACTCCAGCTCTTGAGGGCGACGAAGCTACTTCCGAAGAGAGTGCAAACGAGCAAGAAGAGCAGTCAGTGGCGTCTGATCGTGGTGAAGACGATGATGGGGGTGAAGAAGAAGAACAAGAAGGAGACGAAGAGCCAGCTCCGGCACCAACCTCGTCTGAAGAATCTGAGTCCGAAGCAGAAACAGCACCTCCGCCAGAATCTGCCACAACAACGCGCCGAAACCCACTGAACAATCATAATCCTCTGACGGAGAAAAAGACTCCCGGTAAAACACTCGGGTCGAGTCAGTTGTTCGCCCAGACCCAAGCCAATACGTCAGCTTTGAGGGAGCCAAGATTGTCGCAGAGTGAGAGAGCCAGGCGGAGACAACTCGGTGTCTATGAGGATGAAGATCGTCCTTCACCAGATATCCCTATCCAACGTCGCATTATGTCGTCGCAGGATCGGTCTCCACTGCAGGAGATCATGGTCAAGGAGAACGGACAGTTGGATCTTGGCGATGATCGCGATGCCAGCGACAGTGGTAGCAGCGACGATGAAGCTCTGGAAAGTGACGACGACGAGGGATCACAGTCTCGCTCCCCACTGCAGGAGATCAAGGTCAAGGAAAATGGAGAGTTGGATCGTTATGCCAGGGACAGCGGGAGCGACGACGGTGGCGATGAGTCGGTTGATGAAGGAGAAGAAGAAAAAGTGTCTGCTCAGGGTGCGGAAGGTGCAAGCTCGGAGAGCAGTGTCGAGAGCGAGACCCAGAGCCAGAGCCAGAGCGAAGGCGAAGCTGAGGTTGAGGTTAAAGGTCAGCAAGAGCAAGCGCATGACCCCGATGCCGATGCCACCAGTAGTGATGAGGACGCCGATGACGCCGATGAGCAAAAAGAAGATGATGGTGAGGCAAGCGACGACGACAGCAGCAACAGTGATGACGCCGACGACGGCGACGATTCCGATCACACATCCGATGATGATGATGATGATGAAAAGGCCAACCTTGGGGCCAAGACCAACGGCAGCGGCAAGGGCAAGGGCAACAAAAAAAGCAACACTCTGAACGACTTCATGGCGAGCATTAATGAATCTGCACGACGGGCTGGGAGTGGTTGGCTTTCGAGGATGACGGGGTTGAGCTCCCAGCAGTCGCAATCAAAATCTGGGCTTGACGCTTGGTCACAGGAACTTGGGAGGTCGTTGAAATCGAGTCAAAATCACTAAGCGGATGCTGATGGAAGATGAATGAGCCTCCGAAAACAACGCTGGATGGGGGCAAGGCTGGCTTAGGTCGATGGAGCTGAATACCTTACTTTTACATCCTTACGCTGCATACTAGTAATCTTTGTATTGGTATCAACGGCGCGGAGTTCCTTTTGCAAGGATAAGAGATTAGTCGAAATGGACCTTGGTTGTAGAGGACAGAGTGTCTTGGTCTACCTGCTAGGTAGCTACTGTAGTCAATATTCCTAAAGTATCGTCTGAGACATTCCTTGTGTGCAAAGGCTTCAATATAGGGCGTGATATAGTACAGGGGTAGTATGGTATCGGTACGTAGAGGTTAAGTGGTACTGAATTACAGGTAGTGACTACCGACCTAAGGTAAGCTGTACTGCAATTTTATCTATTCGCACGAAGAGCTGAATGAGGTCTGATGTCCTTTGCCAATGGTACAGTTTATATATACATGATATACATACCAATCCCCAGCCTATACTAGATGAACCTATTCAGGGTTGCGTCTTTGATTTAAGAATAGCCGAGGAGGACAATTCGGCAGCAGCTGAGCCACGAGAGCACTTGTTGGAATGTCCTAGTGAAGAGCGGCGGGAGACGACATGGAGGTACAAGGCGGTTGATCAGTTGAAATTGGCTCTGCAATCCGTGTCGAAGAAAACTTGGCCGGACGTTGGAAACTGGAGTGGAAACGGTCGGTCTGCTGGGCAGGGGTTTGTGGTTTCCTCGAGCCGTTTGGTTCTCTTGATAGACGCATGCTTCACAGAAACAGTTATATACACGGGTATGGTTCTCGAGGTACACTGGTTGGAGCAAGTAGAAGCAGACCGAAAACCACAGTAGTAGCACGGAGGCTGGATACTCGTTGGAGGATTTGGATGCAAATGGGACGGTCGCATTTCACTGCTTCGACCGTCAAAAAAAGGACTGGCCGGCCTGGGGTGAAGACAGTCGCGGGAACCCTTGGACCAGTAGTGCTCTCCGTTCAACCTCTCCGCGACGACGACGACAGGCCAGGCGTAACGACAAATTTCGAGTATGGCTCGTGGCTTTGATTGACTTGCTACTATTGTCAAGGACTCTTTAGCAGTGGACGAACCCACGCGTCAGGAGCATCCGGGTCGCCTCCCAGCCGGACATGGCATTCTTGGACCCACCAATGACTCGGGTTCAGCCTGGTCCAGTCAACATCGAGCATTCGTCTTGCATGCTTTTCAAGAATGGGTGCCATATGTTTCCTCATGGACTCCGTGGCAGGATGGACACCGTCTTTCAAAGCGAGCTTGGCGTGGTCGTAAAAATGAGGCGAGGCACATTTCATGCAATAGTCGGCAATATCCTCGGCGGTGAGCTTGCCGAAGCCGCCTTCTCGCATGATCAGAACCGTGTCCGCGAGGATCTCGTGATGACGAGGTATCAGGGCTCGGCCATGACGGGTGAGAAATGCACTCAGCCCAAGCGGTACAAAGCGAGCGGGTTTGACTAGGAATGTCGCGTCTGCCGCATAACCCCACAGCAGACGGCGATGGAGTGGGACAGGCAGCTCTGACTTAGTTGGTATTGATGTCTTCTCGTCGGTTTCAGGAGCGGTTTGTTTTGTTCCATTGTCCTTGTCGTCGAACCTCGAACCAAAGTATTCGACGCGCTTACACCATCTCTCTGCCAGCTTTATTCTGTCTTTGGGCCTGTGGCAAACCTCTGGGATGAATGCGAGCGGCATCACGAGTGGTGTCCATTCGCCAAAGATGATGAGCACAATCGCAAACGGGCCCAGCCTGTGCATATCGCGCGAGGTGTGGAGGCAGAGCTGGTATTCTTTCCTCGTGAGCTTCGGAGGCGAGCCGTCCTTGGGTTCCCACTCTCTTCCTAGCATGGCACATATATGCAACATGCTCGGTTTCCCCCATGTTGGACCGAGACGTTTCAACACTTTTCGTCTTTCTTTGTTGTTTTGCCATACTTGCACAAGTCCTGCCTTGTAGAATCTGTAATGTGCTCCTCCTAGCTTCTTGTAGTATTGCAGCCGCTGCAGGATGGAGATGTTTCCATCGGCGCCGGGCTCGGGGTATTCCACATTGTCAAAAGCAGGTGGTCGAAGGTCGGATAGGTCTGAGGGCGTACTACTAGTTCCAGGTCGAAGATTGATGTCCCTGTATTTGGGCTCGGGCGAGAAGATTTCGGGCCGGATTTCCTCCAGCCGCTTTTTCTGCTCGCGCTCGTTTGCTCGGAAGCGGCTTAGAGAGGAACTGTTGCGGATTGAATGGCTAGCGCGTGTCCTGGCAGAAGGTCTAGAGCAGGGTTTCCGTTTGAAGACAGTGACCGCTCTTCGACCCTGCAGTAGGTTCGTGGACATGCCTCGGCGGGCACCAAGGGAGAACGACCGCCGGCCGTGAAGGAGAAAGTGTTGGTGTATCCCAAATGCAATGCACTCCCTTGCTGCAAATATTGGATATACAAAGGCAACAGAAAGATCCCTGGTAGTTCGCCTGCTCGCGTAGTTAAAAAAAGTCGACATGTCATGACGATCATTGATTTGACGAGGCTGCGGCAGCCTTGTCCTCCGCATTCGTTTCGACTGCGGCGACGATCAAGAAGGGATCCTGAGGACACTTTTTGTTGCACACCTGGCCTCACCTCGCATTCATAGCCTTTTCCGAGGGTTACTCTGCATTCCAAATCTCTACAGGCTTCGCGGATGATGCTACTTTATCGGTCCCGTCTTTGAGCACCATCGTGCCGCAGCAGCTGCATTGAGCGAGCCCTTGGTTATGCTGCGTCCGCTCCCGCCGACTCCAACTCGTTGACTCCTTTCTGGCCAGCCTCGTCGCCATGCGTGAGTCCACGCTTCCCTGGCGGGTCACCATGTTGGCTCTATGGCAGTTTATTCTAGTCGTTGCCTCGGCGGCGTCCTCATCTCCTTCTATCAATGTTGCTCTTGAGACCTCCTTTGCTGCAGGACCATATCTTGTGGAACTATTGTACGCTGACCCCTTCCTAACGTTCGTGAACACCGGCGAATAACACTTTGACAGGGAGACCGCCGCGCTCGAGAACTCGTCGTCTTACTTTCCTCTCCTCGATCGCATTGCAGAAGGTGTTTTTGCGGAGTTGCAAACGGAGCAAGAGCTGTACAATAAATTCATAGACGTGCTACAACATGACGGACACATTTCAAGCCCCGAATCGCTTTCTTCTTTCAAGTTCGCCCTGGCCCTCCATGCGGCCGCTCCACGGGTCGAGGCTCATTTCCAGTACTACAACTCTTCAGTGCAACCCCATTTCATGGCGGCGCAGGACGCTGTCTGTCCTGTGTGGGTGTATCTTGACGGCCAGCAGTACTGTTCGCCAGAGCTGGATCGCGCTCAACAGTCGATATCACTTCCAGAAGCCGAGGAAATGCTTCCGTTTGATCGAGTGCTGGGTTCGGGTTTAGATGGTCCCGCTTCTATTCTGTACGCGGACATCACACATCCTCTGTTTGGCCAGTTCCACAATGTCGTCAGTCAGACTGCCAGAGAAGGAACGTCGACCTACAGAGTTCGGTACAGACCTGCTATCGGGACAGCCAGAAAGCCTCTGTTTGTCAGCGGCTACGGCGTAGAGTTGGTTCTCAAGCGGACAGATTATATCGTCATTGACGATCGGGATGCCTCTGCCACTGAAGAAGCTCCGGATGCTGACCAGAAGGCATTGGAGCAGCCCAAGGACGATGAGCTCAAAGACCTGAAGCCGTTGACGACATCTGAAGTTGTTAATCTTGGACTCAACGCGGCCAGTTTCATCGCATCGAGCTCAGACCCATTGCGGAGTCTGAAGGATATCACATCAGACTTCCCTCGATATTCGTCACTCCTTGCGGCTACAAATGCTAGCAAAGCCTTTATATCTGAGCATCGGTCAAATAGGGAACGTTTCCTGCCATCCGGCTACAATGTTTTCTGGATCAACGGAGTGCAAATCGAGCCGCGTCAAATCAATGCGTACTCTCTTCTCGACCATCTGCGACGTGAGAGGCGGATCATTGCTGACCTGAAGGGCATTGGTCTCACCTCCACGGAAGCCATCAGTCTCCTTTCTAGCGAAGTGATTGCTGAAGCACAGGCTAATGAAATGCCTCAGAGATTTGACTGGAGAGATGACATTGAGGGAGACACAGTGTTGATGTGGTTGAACAATCTGGAACAAGACAAGCGATATGCGTCGTGGCCATCAGCGTTGCGGAACCTCTTTCAACGAGTCTATCCTGGCCAATTACCCCAACTACGCCGCGACATACACAATCTTATCGTCCCCATTGACATGGGAAATGTCAAAGATATCGAACTCGCTGCAACGTCTTTGCAAGGGCTCGTTAGGAGGCAAGTCCCAATCCGAGTTGCCATCGTTCCGACCGGCTCCGGATATCTCGCCGATGTATATGCCAAATTGTCATATCACATCTTAGACAAATACGGATTAGCTCCATTGATGGGCTTCTTGTCGGAGGTCTCTGGTTCCCGAAAACTACCAGCAAATGCGGAAAAGAGCTTCCAAAACGCGGTGAAAGGCCTTTCTCCGCGGGAAGGCAAGCAAGAACTGTCCTACAACGAGGTCTTGAATTCTGAGGACTTGCTGAAACGGCTCCAGGCACGGAACGCGTATCTGACTCGTTTGGCTTTGAATAGTACCGATCCTCCCTTTATCATTGACGGGGTCGTCCTCCCCAGGACCGACAATTGGTTTGAGACCATGAGCTCGCGGTTGTTTGCCGATCTTCAATTGCTCCAACAGGCTGTCTACCAAGGTGCTGTCCCTGACGATAGCTGGATCCCTGAATTCTTCCTGCTGGAAGCATTCCCCCGGCGGAATGAGATTGTCTTCCCCCACGATCCAAAGGATGTCAGAATTGTCGATGTAAGCCAGTTGGTCTCGGATTTTGCCGATGAATTTGACAATCTCCCGCGCATTCCTGGCTCAGAGGCAGGCTTATTGAGTGATCGAGCTCACCTTTTCGTTGTCACGGACGTGAATTCCGAGGAGGGAAGGACTTTTCTGAGAGAAGTTCTCGGTTTTCGACATCAGCATCCAGAAGCTGATGTGTTGATCCTGCACAATCCACCGTCAGAATCATCGCCGTCGGGACTAGAATGTGCGATCCACGCATTGGTTGGCGAAACCGGTAGAGATATAACACCTGAACAACTACAGCAGATCCTTGATGGCCACTCCAACCAGGCCGACGGAGAGCAGAAAGCCCATGAATGCGGTTCTTACTGGAGCTCGAAGGCCAAGTTAACGCAAAGCTTGGGAGTCACACCTGGTGAAACTGGTTTGTGGCTAAACGGTCGTGTTCTTGGACCCACACATCATGCGTTAACAGCAGAAGATATGGAGGCACTGCTCGGATTCGAGCGCCGTGAGAGAATCGCTCCCGTGACGACAGCAATCACAGCACTTGGATTGGAAGATCGATTCTCCAACCCTCTAAACCTCGCCAAGGTCACTTCGCTTGTGGCCAGATCACTCAAGTCTGATCTTCCTGAAGGCTTGAGAGAATCGGCGCCCTTGATCAGAATGGATCGGTTCAAGATCTGGAACGACACTCATACTTCCATCAAGGTCGCCAACAGCGAAGATCCCAGCATCCAGGCTGTTGCTGTAGTGGATCCAGCCTCTGAAGTCGTGCAACAGTGGGTGCCGATCCTAGAGACTTTGTCCAAGCTTCACGGCGTCAGCGTCCAGATCTTCCTCAACCCTAAGGACAGGTTGTCTGAGTTACCTGTGAAGCGGTTTTACCGTCAGGTCATTAGCTCAGAACCCGATTTCGATGAAAACGGCTCCCTGACTACACCGACTGCATCGTTCTCCGGCGTGCCAAGAGACACTCTGTTCAATCTTGGAATGATTGTCCCCCCATCATGGCTGGTGGCGCCCAAGAAATGCGTCCACGATCTCGACAACATTCGACTGAGCAATCTGGCCGATGGCGAAAATATCGATGCATTATACGAGCTTGAATATATATTGATAGAAGGCCATGCACGGGACGTGACCGTCGGTCCACCACCCCGCGGCGTACAATTGTTGCTCGGAACGGAGCAAGAACCACATTTCACCGACACCATCGTCATGGCCAATCTGGGATATTTCCAGTTCAAGGCCAACCCGGGATATTGGCAGATTTCTCTCAAACCAGGCCGATCATCGAAAATCTTCCATATTGACAGCATAGGTCCCAATGGATATGCAGCCCAGCCAGGCGATGAGACCAATTCGGTGGCACTTCTTTCGTTCCAAGGCGTGACGCTCTTTCCTCGTCTCTCGCGGAAGCCAGGGATGGAGGAAGAAGATGTGCTGGAGCCACCAACTTCGGGAATCGGCGGAGCCATGGAATACATCAGCAAAGGGGCATCATTTGCATCGTCGGCATTATCCTCTTTGGGCTTGAAGAAGGGCGGAGCCTCGTCGTCCACGAATGCCGAGATCAACATCTTTTCCGTCGCCTCGGGCCATCTATACGAGCGAATGCTGAACATCATGATGGTATCGGTGATGAAGCATACGAAACATACCGTCAAATTCTGGTTCATCGAACAGTTTTTATCGCCGTCATTCAAATCGACGGTCCCCATTCTCGCTCAACACTACGGGTTCGACTATGAAATGGTGACGTACAAATGGCCGCATTGGCTCCGAGGCCAAAAGGAAAAACAGCGCGAGATTTGGGGTTACAAGATCTTGTTCCTGGACGTACTGTTCCCGCTCGACCTGGACAAGGTGATTTTCGTCGACGCCGACCAAATCGTGCGCACGGATCTGATCGAACTGGTCAACCTCGACTTGAAGGGCGCACCCTATGGATTCACGCCCATGTGTGATTCCCGCACGGAAATGGAAGGGTTCCGCTTCTGGAAACAGGGTTACTGGCAGACCTACCTTAAGGGCAAACCGTACCACATCTCGGCCCTGTATGTCGTTGACCTCAAGCGGTTCCGACAATTGGCGGCTGGTGATCGCTTGCGTCAGCAGTATCAGGCACTCTCGGCCGATCCTAACAGTCTCAGCAATCTCGACCAGGACCTGCCGAATCACATGCAACATTCTTTACCCATCTACAGTCTGAGCCAGGAGTGGCTTTGGTGCGAGACTTGGTGTAGTGATGAAAGCCTCGCGCAGGCCAAGACGATCGATCTGTGCAATAATCCTTTGACAAAGGAGCCGAAACTTGATCGTGCCAGACGACAGGTTCCGGAGTGGACGGAGTATGATGAGGAAATTGCGGCTGTTATTAAGGCTGCGAAAGCGAAAGATAAAGCGAGGGAAGATCAGAGCAAAGAGACCCTGTCGTCGTCATCATCATCCCGGCTGCTTGAACAAGGTGATGATGATGATGATGGCGAGCAAGATCAGAAGAATATTATAGATGGAGAAGGAGAAAGGCCTCGTGACGAGTTGTGATTGGGGATGGGAGGGTAGTTACTGGGTTTGTGTAAGTACGGCTATGCTATGGATGAGTAAGATAAAATATACGTACGGTGGATAGACTGTACAACAGATAAGATATAGAACATGGACAATTACTCGTCAATGAATGATGTAGATATATCTTGGAGAAGCGACCATGGACAAGTTTGTCAGTTGTGTGTAGAATCGAGTCTTGCAGTGGTAAGGGAGATCCTGCAATAAAAAGACTATATCGTACAACGTATACCAGGTACTAGTAAACTGGATTAGAACTAGACTTCCGTGTCTGGAACCCCCAATACTGTAACACCCCCACATGAAGATCCAGTCCGTCGTCCTGGGTTGGCATTAAAGTTCAGTTCTCCTTATTTTATTCAGCCTTGTTCTCACTCACTGATCAGGTGCACCCACACCCGCACACGCACACGTTGCAGTTGCAGGTTGCAGTCATACATCTGATCGCGATCTCTACCGTGCAATTTTAGCCTGAGATATATACTAATACATACACTAGTATATGCTACTGCTATCATTACTATTACGACTACTACTTCTCCTATCGCCACAGCGGATAATTCCAGAGACTCGGAGGTCCATACATGGCAGCCCGTCTTCGTATCCACCTGTGATAATCAGGCGAGCCTATAATATCCCCCGTGCGGAAGCTATATCGGACAGGCTTGCTGCGCACCTCAGCGGCGCCGACTCGAGTGATATTATTCGGCCTGTGCCTCGGGGCTCCGACAGGGAAATTCGGTTTGCCAGGTGCATTGAAATAGAGCATCTTCCAGTTATCCTCGTAAAGGTCTTCGAAATGTAGATACTTCACGGTATCCACAGCATGGTCAAAGATCGAGCGGAACGAGCCTGCTCCCAAATGTATCTCTTTCAACATTAATGACTCAAGGGCGGGACAATGTTTCAGGAAAGAAAACAGAAAGTCGCCAGTGGTGAAGAAACCTCTCAGACTGCATGTCTTCAAACGGGGAAAGTCGAACTGTCTGCTGCCCAGCCGATCGAAAAGGAGCTGTTCCTCTCGTAGAGCATCGGTGAGCGCGTCCGTGTCTCCTCGGTGCGCTTTGTACCAGCGCAAGTCGAGATCTTCCAATGACGAACAAACAAGACCGACGAAGTCGCAGAAAGTTTGGGTGTGTTGTCGGCCTGCGGCAAGACCTTCTCTGTTTTCGTCTTCTCGGTCTCCTGTCACATGGTGAGAGAGGGACAGCGAGAGCCTTTTTAGCTGCCAGTGATGCATGGAGGAGGGTGTCGTCACAAGATTATTTGTAGTGCTGGCAAAGACACCACAGTCCAGACTGCACCATTGGGGCTGCCCAAAGACATCCAGCGCCTCGAGAGGCAATTTGCTTCTGTAGAATGCCTGTGCTGTGATGCGAAATGCCTGTGCTGCACCATTCCAGATGTTCTCCCAATTTTTGGATTCGGGAGACTTTTCCTGCTTGCGTTTCGTGAGGGTGATGGCAAAAAGCGGTTGCGGAGGGCTGCCGCTGCCGCTGCCCTCGCCTCGCTTTCCTGAAGACATGATATTCTCCATGGCAACTCGCAGGAGCTCGATGGCCTCTGTTTCCCATTCTGCACACCGAGCCGAGTTGCCGCTGATGAGTGTGAGATGGCGCACAGCACGGCCACACCGTCCCGGCTGGGTCATGGGACCAAATTGTCGCAGTTGGACGACGGTGACAAGGCTGATCGTTTTGCAGTGGAAATAAGCTAGGAACGCCGGTGCAGATGCCACGTTGGCCGCCACTTCGCGCGACGTTAGCCGGAGGTTGGATGCGCTCTCAAGGTCAAGAAACGACACGACCTCGGAAATCACTTCGAGAGGAAGCCGCTGAAAGAAGTTTGGACCCGCCATAGTCGATTCAACTTGGCGAGTCGATTTCGATTTCCATTTTCGAATGCGTCGAGGCATACTAGATGAGAACGCTTCAAGTCCTCCTCTGCAGAACTACCAACGGGCATGCGAAGACAATGGAGGAAGGGCAACTTGAATGGTCGAGTAAGTGCACGCTGAAGAACAGCGGGGAGAATGAGATTTCCAGTTGGAGGGACGAAGACGATGTGTCATAGTATATATACCTTACCCGCCTGGTTCAAGTTGGCAGACGTTGCTGCCTGCCCTGCCCTGGTAGCGCGTAGTACCCATGCAGTGCCATTCAGGGCAACATCCAGGGGCCTGACGGACAGTACAACCAAGGTTGTTCTGTGATGGTGCACATATAAGGTCTACAACGGCCGGATTCGAAATTAACGTCGGTGGGGGTTTTGAAGACGTCTGATTGGTCTTTCTAGTGACTAATTGAACACTAGCCACATTACAATACGGTATAAATGGCACACCTAGCCCGATGACTATTGGTTGTCTTTGCCCCAAGTAGTGTAAAATACGTGAGATAGGCTGTAAAAGCTGTAAAATAGGCACTGCTAGTCTACTTCTAGTAGTAGCCCCACGGACGTTAATTTCGAATCCGGCCATTGTAGTAGCCCTAACTCCACTTCCCGAAGTGGCAGCCGGGGCGAAACGCGCCGAAACCGCACGCCTCACATCTTTTGGCGGTGGATACTGGGGTACAACGTACAACTACGCTGTTCATCCCGTTCGAAGAGATTCATTACAAAGGAGTTCAGGGTCAAAGAAAGGGCACATATCGTGTGACAAAGCCAGCAACCGTAAAGCCAACAGCTTGAGAACAGCCCGAGCAACAGAACGACCACCAACTGCCGCCAGTTCGTCCCGGTCATGGCTCTTCCAAACCTTCGCCGGCTTTTCGTCGAGGCGCGTACCGAGGCCGAGGAGAACGAGTACTCTCGTAATGCGGTATGTTGGAAAGTGAATCCCGTGCAAGGGAACTCTTTCTTCTCTTGTATTCTTGATACTCTCATGTGGTTGTCCTCCCCCTTGTTGATACTGATCGCTGATGGTCACGACATTTCTAGTTCTACAACCTCGTCTTGTTCATTTCATCCGTTGCGGTCTTCAGTCTCGTGGCTCAGAGGATGAGTGCCAATGGCAGTGGTGGCTCGAGTCCGATCAAGATGATCAGATAGATGATACATCATGGAATGAAAAGCAGTGGTCCTGCTGAGCTCAACTCCGGGCAGTGGCTAAGGCAATCTGTTTCAATGATGCGGTGAATACAAAAGGCATCGCGCCCCGGCAATGAGACCTGATGTGTCGGTTCACATACCAAATTGTCTCGAGCGACGACCACGAATATCAATCATGTACCGAATTTACTCCCATCAGGATACGACCGAAATCAATTATGATCATTAAAGACGGACATACCACGGCCAGAGCTTTGTCTAGCCACACCCGTCAAATTCCTTCCCTCCCAGTCAGCACTCAATCAGTCTCCTCGCCATCGCTACTAAGAAAATCATAATTCTTAGCGCCTCTAACAAGCCGCCGCGCACCCGGTCGACCGCCGTCCTGCTTTTCATCGCCCTCCTCGGCTCCCCACCGCTCAGCGCCTTCTTGCACGGCTTCGATGTCAGCCGCAAGCTCTCGGGCCTCTCTGATCTGGTTGGCCTTTTCAATGGAATAACGGCCCGTCATGCCAACATCGGCCAGCATTTCTTTGAGGTGCTTAATCTTGGCCTTGGGCGTCTCGTACGGCTTGAGCTCTTTGCCCCACAGTTTGCGGATCCCGCATTTGAGCAGCCAACCTTGAAGACGTTTGATCTCGGCTTGGTCAGGGTCCGCGTCTGTGTCTGTCTTGTTGCCGGCCGTTTTTCTAGATTTACCTTGGGTCTGTGGTCTCGATTCCTTTTGTTTGCCTTTCTTTTTCTTCGGCTGCGGTTCTTCGTCCAATAGGACTGACAGCTCACTTTCTGAGCCAGCATCATCACCATCATCTTTATCATTCGTGGCTGATGCGCCAGTCGCGGGAGTTGCATCATCGTCGCTGGATGATGCTTCTTTGCTTTCTTCGTCGGAGTCGGATTTTGACTTTTTCGCCGCTGCCTTTTTGGTTGACGACGAGGACGGGCGCTGGGTCTTTGCGGGTGCATGTGGTTTATCGGCAACTTTTCGCTGCTGCTTCTTTAAATCCTTCGTAGCTGTCTCCGGTTCCAAATCTGGTTCGCTCAAAGGGGAAGACAGGTCTTCGGAAACATCGTCGTCCTTTTCGCTCGTTTTCTTCTGTCTCTTCCTTGGAGCCGGCTCTTTCTGCACGGGGGCGCGCTTTTTCGATCGCGCTGCTGGTTCTTTCTCTTTCTTGGCCGTCGCCTTTGGTCTGGCCAGTTGGGGTGATGGCGGACTCTGCGCATCCCCATCTTCTTCTTCTTCTTCGTCGGCCTCCTTACTTAGATGTCAATTGGAAGAAACAAGAGTTTGGAATGTCTAATATTTACCAGCTGGCTATCTACGACTTGTTTACTCCGCTGTTTCCATTCGGGATGATTCTTGTAAAAGCCGCTCGTCAACCCTAGACTCTTCTCCGACGCGGCACGGATGTAATTGTAGGAGAACTCGACGCCTTCTTTCTGCGCTTTCACCACTTCGCGTCGTAGACTCTTTTCAAGTTCGCGGTCTGGCGGGACGGGCGTGGCCGATGCTTCAGACAGCTCCGAGTCGGACATTTTGGGGTTTGTCGTGGCGGACGCGTGTTTTGCGCGACGTAGGATGCTTGAATACCGCAATCCGGCGGGAACTTGATTGGCAACACGGCCGAATGCTTTTGTTGTGTACTTTTGGGTTGATGGACGCGTCCGTCGCAATTGGATTTCTGGCGTGACGGTCAACTTCGAGTCGCAGTTGAAACTCGACGGGTCTCCCCGCAAACACTTACATAAGCAGACTACATGGTACTCACGTGGTTGCTAGATACAGAAGCTTAGCCGAACTTGCATCGGACTTTACCGGACTTTCTTTTCGGCTGCGCTGCGGCATGAGAGTCGGATACAGGCAGTACTAGTATTCGATTCATAGCACTGCATTGTCGACACTTGTTTACCAAGAGCTGGTCCTCCTGTAACAGAAAGACTGTCGGGTGTTGGAGACTCGGACGAAGGTGTTTGGCATACATGTTTCCCGATTCTATGGTTACTGGACAGACGTCCACTTCCACATCCTCCGACAATTCCCATACTAGTTCTCAAGATGGGACGGCGACAGCGACAGCGACAACCAAGCCTCATCCCCCGGGCGTGGTGTTAGGACCAGATGGAAAACCGTAGGTTTTCAACTCTCTCAGACGTGCAATCTTTCATAGTTTTGACTGTGTTCTTGGTTTAGCTGCCGCACCTGCACCTCGTCGGCGGCATGGGTGGCCATGATGAAGTCGGCGGGCAAAAAGCCCAAGAGCGCACCGGCTCCCCCTCCTCGCTCCGATTGCCCTCCAGACGTCGAAGAACTCGGTCGGTCTACATGGACTCTTCTGCACAGTATTGCCGCGACATACCCTGATTCCGCGCCGCCCGAGACACAGTCGATCATGCAGCAGTTCCTGTCTACTTTTTCAAAACTATATCCGTGTTGGGTGTGTGCCGACGATTTCCGCAGATGGATGGCCCAGCCGGGCAACGAGCCGAAAGTCAAAGGTCAAGATGAACTAGGCACGTGGATGTGTCAGGCGCACAACGCGGTTAATGTCAAGTTGGGGAAACCTGAGTTTGACTGTACATTGTGGAAACAGAGGTGGAAGGATGGATGGAAGGATGGAAGGTGTGATTAATCGATCGATGGTACGTGTACCAACAGACATTGGTATGTGGTCTACGATAGGAGGGCGATACCCGAGAGATAAAACAGGAACAGGATACAAGAAATCTTTGGAATAGACGGACATGGTGTTTGTTATGTACAAAGGCTCAGCATCAGCGACGGCGCATCTCCGCTCACTTTGCACATTTGGCGATTGGTATAGACACTCGCAACGGGCGCCAATGTACAATGATATACTATACATCTGTGTATAAAGAGGGCAAGAATAAACAAGATGTACAATAGCATATAGCAATGTTACACACGAAAGTAATGCCTGACACAAGAGCTGTGAATTCTCGTTGTAACAAACATGTTTCAACGTCCTCGCTTTGCACTTCGCCTACTACTAAGCGGCTGCAATAAACACTACGTTACCGAAGGAGCTTCAAGTTTTGCTCAGAGTCCAGGACATCACATACTCAAGAGGAGAAAGACGAACAGCCTGAGAAAGTCATCATGTGTTATCCAAGGGGCCGAGCTGAGCTGCAGCCAGTGGGCTGCCCGTTCCATTCGTCCAAATGAAACTGGTGAGTACATCAAGCGTGGGCCCCAGGCATCCTATATACGCCAGTCGAACAAGGACGGTATCATAGGCAGTTGGTATGTGCGTGCCATTCAACTCCATCGTCAACATTCATTCAGGCCACCCGTCACTCCCCCTTGTGTCCTTTCATCAGACGTTCTCATCATTTCGCGTCTTGCTATTCTTTATTGTATTCGTTGGTTTTATGTTCCCAAAGGTCGCAATCTCGTTATATACGCACATATACACGTCTTTTGGACCTAATCCTTGAACCTCAATCCACTCGCTCGGCGGGTTTCTAGCCATTCCAAGCCCCTGCATCAAGGAGCCCCAAAAGTCTCAATCAATCGGCGGATGAGCCAGTCAACACCAAGTATACAATGTTGAGATCAAGGGGTTCGAGAGTGGATGTCAACTAACCTCTATATCACTACATACCATACCTATCCTCTTGATTAATTGCACAGTCCCTGCGGGGGCTATTCACCATTGTTATTGCTATTGTTATTATTACCATCTGGTCTTTTGTCCCTTTCGTTACCAGATATTATGATCTTGGCCCGCAAGAGATACATCATCTCTTCGGCCATCATTGGATTCCTGGTGTTGATCTACTTGATCCGCAGGCTGCAAGATATCAAACTTGTACCCAAGGAGTACCATCTCCTCAGCGATCAAGATGCGCAAGATGCGCAACTGCTATACGACCCAACACATTTCTCCGCCGGAGTGGCCAAACCAGCCGGGGAGAACTACACGCGCGTACTGGTCATGGGCCGACTACACAGCGAAGACGTGAGCTGGGTCTCTCGAGAACTACCTGGCCTACCAACACAGATCTACACTGTCGATTCGGATGCGGTGGGAACCGACAACACCACAATCAACAACGATGATCCAGAATCCTCCGACCCATCATCCCGCCTCCCAGCAAACAAAGGCCACGAAGCCATGGTCTACCTAACCTACATAATCGACCACTACACCTCCCTCCCGGACGTGGTATTGTTCCTCCACCCACACCGCCGCGCATGGCACAACAACGTCCTGTTAGACATCGACGCCGCCACCACCATCAAACTTCTCTCTGACGCCCACGTCATCCGACAAGGCTACTTCAACACACGCTGCCACCTCGACCCCGGCTGTCCAAACTGGCTACACGTCGACCAACCGCGGCGTCTATGGGATTTAGTCCATAAACCTGAGGAACCGGCCCTAACGTCATCCGTCTTCCATGACCTTTTTGGAGACGACGTCCCCGTTCCGAAGACGGGCATTTCGCAGCCCTGTTGTGCCCAGTTCGCCGTCTCGGGCCAAAGAATCCGTCAACGTCCATTGGCAGATTACATTCGGTACCGGGACTGGTTGTTGAAGACAGAACTAAATGATACCACGTCGGGGAGAATCATGGAGTATTCGTGGCAGTATATCTTTACGGGCAAATTTGAGTTTTGTCCGTCTGTACATAAATGTTATTGTGATGGGTATGGTATTTGTTTCGAGGGCGGCGATAAAGGGTTGCAAAAATGGTTGGATCTCAGGAAACAGAAGGAACTGGTTGATGAGAAATTGGCTGGGTCGTCGACGAGTACAAATGCTAATGCTGCCGAAGATTCCAAGAGACTATCGAGGGATAGTAAACATCTTGGGGAAATGTTGGATGATATGCGTGAACAGGCGCTGCGGAGGGGATGGGATCCAAAGACTCGTGCGGAGGATTGTGGTCGAGAGTGGCGGCCTGGTGATGGATATTGAAATCGAAATGATACTGATACCCTGTCCTAAGGGATGAGAGGAATAGATACTATACCGACCAACTTGGATCTCACTCTTGGATCTGTTCTCGAGGACACCAGCCATAAACACACAGATGGATACCTGGGGTATAGGTAAATAGGATTGGATTCCCGAAGTTAACTGGAAAGAACATAACAAGGAACGAAAAGAAACGAAGAGAAATCAAAAGGAACAAGAAGAGATGAAACGAAAATGGAATCGATAATCCTCAAAAACCACAGAACATAAAATCAATACCTGAGCAGAATACAGATATCGAGATGGACATCGAAATAGACATACTAGTAGACATAATCATGGATAATACCACTAGTACTAAACGACCAGAATGTCCCGTTCACCTTCCTGACTCTGACTTCTTTCTCCACCGAGTGAAATGCTCTTCATTCCCCTATTCTGCATACCAGGGATTCCTTTATCATTTTTCATTGAAGAGGAAAAAACTCTTACAATTTCAACAGTCACAGGGAAATCTGAACCGACGCCGAGAATCATCGTTCACTCCTCTAGTAGTTCATCACCATTTCACCCCCAGCGCCGGTCTTGGACTCAGTCGTTCCGTCGTAATTTCCCGGTCCGTAGTCATCCAGACTCTTGTATCCTCCCGGGGGCCCTGATCCTGCTCCGCCATGACGCCCTCCTCCTCCTCCTCCTCGAGTGCTGCCTCCGCCACCACGTTGTCGAGAATTGGCGGATTGACCGTGATGTTGCTGCTGTTGCTGTTGCTGTTGCTGCTGTTGCTGTTGCTGTTGCTGCTGGTTGTTATTGCTGTTGTTGTTATTATTTCGACCTCCGGCAGACGCATTGTTGTTATGCGTATTATTCCGATTGTTAAACTGGCTTTTGCTAACGTAATTCCGCTGTGCAAACTTGCCCCTGTGGCCACCACCACCACCACCTTGGTTCTGACCCTGACCCCGACCATCGTCCCGAGCAGAGTTCGAGTTCTCTTTGTTGCGATGATCCGCGGCGGCGTCCTCTTGGACATATTTACGTTTGTTGTGGCCAGCACCACCACCGCTGCCGTCGTTAGCGTCGTGGTTTTGGTTATTTCTCGAGTTTCGCGCCGCATTCGAGGCATAATTATGGTACTGGATTTGACTGCTGTTGTTGTTCTTGTGCTGGAACTCGTAATCGGCATCCTCGATCTTCAGCATGACCTTGTCGCCCACGGTAGTTTCGAACATAAAGGCCTTCTCGGGCGCGACAGGTTGCCAATTTTGGATGCGTGCGGCATCGACTTGCCTTGACCCCTTTCGAATGGCCAGAACCACCAACGGCGTGGGATCTTGAGTATATATCTGAGTATCTGTCACGGGCGCCACTCGTGCGGCCCAGATGCGATCTTCGAATTTGGCAATGCCAGTGACTTGCCAAGTCACTTTCTTTCCGCGCCCTCCAACCTTCTTAAGGATGTCTCTGCGAGGGTAATACGGAGTGATGAGGATGCTGGAGGCAAGCAGTCGAACTTCACCGGAGTCGATGAGGTTGGGAGTGGCATTGCATAAGCTGATGAGGCGGGCAGAGTCGGTCTGGTTGATCAAGTAGCCAAAATACGAAAACTGTTCGACTATCTTCAGTTGTTTCCTTACACTCTTGGTCGGATTCAGTCCGCCCGTGGAAATGGCATGATTGTGGCGGTTGATGGCCCGTTGCACAACCTCAATTTCGGTTTCCGCGTTGAGAGAAGACCTAAGTTCGCACACATGGATGACTTCGGTGGTGATGGGTTTTCGTGGAGGTGGTGGCTGGTCGGCGGGATGAGATAGTAAGGATTTGTTCAGTTTCTCAAAGTATTCGCGGAACCCCTTGACGTGTTTGGGGCGGTCCTCGTAAATCCGAATCTCTTCTGCGTGTTTGTAGGTAAAGACCATCTCTTTGAGGAATTCCTGCTTGAATGCAATCGTCGTCTCGAAGTGTTGTCCAGATGGGCCAACCTCGGGCTTGAGAACGACCAGGTCGAAGTCGAGCTTTTTCGCATTCACTATCCGGTTGATCAGCTCGGCGAAATTGGTCTCCCCTCGTCCTGTCAGGAGGACCGTAAGCACATCCTTGGCTTGGATGCTCAATTCCACCAGTTGCACTATCGTCTCGTTCCACCATCCCTCCCAGGCCCGGGGTTCTTCTTTCTCGATGCCCTCGCCCGTCGCGGCCAGTATGCTGGAATCATGCCACCATCCTCCATAGGCGAGCGTTTCATAGGCTTGAAGCATCCCGATCGTGGGTGGCGTCCATATTTGAGGGTTCGGAAGCGGACTGCTGAAGAGCGTGTTGTCGAAATCGTACACATGGATCGCCTTGATGGTGGATGGGGCCGGCAGTTCCTTGCTCTTGGATGACCAGCGCTTCAGGCTGTTGATGGTATGCGAGGATTTCATTATGATGAGCGAAACAGACGCCGAGGATGGTCTGCGTAGGAAGAGTAGGTTATGAAGAGTCGGCGATAGGACAGGCGACAGTCGTTGTCATCTGCCCCAGCGAGGGCAGACTCGGAGAGGCGACAGAGCAGCAGAGCGCACGGCAGGAGACAGGCGCATGGGGCAGACGTAGCAATGTCGTAGTAGAATTTGCAATACGAGTCGAGAATGAGGATGAGGAGGGAGAAGAACACTTGAGCGGCCGGAGTCGAGGTGATTCGTAGAATTGGAAGTGAGTCGTGATGTGGTTGGTGATTTAATCCCAGTTGGTCAAATAAAAGCCGTTGCGGCGAAACTGTTTTATACGCGATAAATTGGTGGACCACGCGGGAATCTTCACAAAGTTCAGCACCAAGGAATGCGCTGTCTAGGTATTCCGTTTACCAATTAGGCATTTGTTCAGATCATGCTGCTCTCAATTACAATCATTCAATATCGCTAGTAATATAAGCCATCCTACTGCGTGCTGCTGCCACATTACAATGGGCCTTGTCGCTCGCTCTGCCCAGGCAATACAACCGATGATTCATTGCTCGATCACCCTACTGCCTCTCCGAGAGCTGACTCATGTTCTTTCGACCATGTAGATGGCCGCGGTGCATCCAAGGGAATATCCACCATATTGAAAGCAGGGTATTTGTCCTGAACGTCCGACAGCAATCGCCGTAAAATCCTCCATGCCCGGTACGCAGAAAGAGAGCCTTCTGCCATGCACCACACGTACGCCATGGCTTTGCGCAGGTGGTTGGTCAGCTCGTTCACATCGTCCTTGAAGTGCGTTGCATTCAGAGACATTTCCAACAACAGTACGGCGGTTGCCTGTGCCAGGTAATGAAGGAGAGCCCACCACGGGAGTAACTGAAATGCCTCGTGAGCGCTAGGATAGTCCGGTAACATGGCCACCATCGACATGGCGGCATGAACACATGCCCGTGCAGAACTCCGGTTAAACTCCTGGGATCGGGTTGATTCATTGTCAATCACCACCTCACACAGACACGCTCGATGCAGGATCATCTGAAGGCTGTGATAGTACATGGACAACTCGATCTTGACCCGCGGATCCTTGTTGACAGAGACATCGCTCTGCATCCGTAGCTCTTCCGGCAAGTTGTCTGCCCAGTCCCTCAATTCGGTCTGCAACCTGCCGATTTTGCGCTGTTTTCCTGACCAGGTATCGTCCGACGTCTCGCTATACATCTCAACGCCAATCTTGTCGCTCAGCCGACATAGATAAAGCCGTTGAGGAAGGTGTGAAGACGAGACGGCTTGGCCCACCGAAGCAAGACTTCTCCATGGCACAGCTCCTCCTGTCATGCCTTGTGAGACGTTCCGCTGCCCGTATCTGATGAAGTCGAGCCACGTGTTCTTTGAATGTCTGAAGAATGCCGTGACCTCGGGTCCATAAAAGGACTCGAGCTCTTCTTCCTGAGAGGCTTTGAGCACCTCGATGGCGATGGTCACATGTGCACATGAGACTGCCTTGGGCCTTCCTGTAATCTCGGACAACAAGATCTCCAGAGCATACAAAGAATACCAGGTACGGGCCCGGCATTCTCTGTCAGCTTCGCTAAGATCGGGATCTGAAACCCTCAAGTGCAGGCCAAGAGCGGTTGCATGTCGGATGGCATGGCCTAAGCTGTTCCAAGCCCTGAATTGAGGTCAGAAATGATAAAGCAACAATGCTGGGGTCAGGATGCACGTACCTCGTTACTGATCCGTTCACCAACAGATAGAACGCAGTCAGTCCGATGCCCTGAACCCGTTCAATGTCCGGGTGATCAATTAGTATTCGGTGGTCGATGCCTAGGGCTCGTGCCCTGGCATAGTACACGAGGTGGCTTTCGATCTCGATGGACTGGTCCAGTTTGGTGGCCTGCAACCATCGGGACCCTATGGCCCACACAAGGTTGGCGACCGCCAACCATCGCCGCTCCCCCCATGATGGTAGCGACGACGACGGCCGCCGGAAGGTGGCTAGCTTCTGCAGAAAGTCCTCCCGCTGAACGAATTGGAAGGTACCTTGCATTGCATGGAAGTGCGCTTCAGTCAGAATGAGGGCAGCGTCCCCAGATGGCCACTGGTATGGATTGACGTTGTCTTCGTCCACGGCCAGAACATCGGTGTCGTCGATAAAATAGCTGCAGTCTCGCATTTTCTTGGAAGGCGGACCAGATCCAGACCTGTCAACATTGAAACTTGAATGACCTTCGTCTTCTGGGCGAACCATCTCGAAAGCCCGCCGAATCCACGCAATCTCGGACATCTTGCCAATAAACCCTGTAGCTCCGCAGCCACCATCAAGGTCGATGACCTGTGCCAGTTCTCCTTTCTCACCCGTAGACCCTGCGCTGGAGCCCGCCTCATGCTCGCCGGACTGTTCAGCATCTTTTCCGGAAACGCGCGCACGAGACTGTGCCCCGTTCTCTGCATGCCTGGATGAACCGTCTGTGCTGCGCGATTGCGAGCTCGTATCTTGGCCGCTTTCCGACTGATCGTGTGACGTGTACTGGACAATGACTTAGAAAAAGCCCATCCCACAAAATGCCGGTGATCGTTACCTTAGTCAAGAGATCCAGGACATCGCTATGCTGCTCGGGGCGAAAGTCGGGAGTTCCGGTCACCGATCGAAGGGCAGCGACCAACTTCTTCTGCTCTACCTTCAATGCATGGATGTGGTCGAAGGCCTCGGCAAGATCCCTAAATCCAGAGGTGAGTATGGCGAGAATCAATCGAGGCACATCATTGGGCGTACTTTTTGTTCCGTTCTCGCTTGCGATCCCCATAGACACAGGTGGCACCGTCTTTGATGCATTTTGAACACCGTTCGCCTCCCGAACATTTGGTGCGCATTATCCGGCACCGGTCGCAGGCGTGGGAGGTGCGCAATTTCACGTCGGAAACATTGTCGTAGGAAGATTTGCCAGACATATCTTGTTCTTTCTGATGCCGACGTCGTTTAAGCGGGGAACTGCCAGCCGTTGCAGATTTTCCGGAAGTCGAAGACATTCTCCGATCTCGACGTCTTTTGCCCCGGTCTCGGTGTCTTCTAGAGTATCAGATCAAATCAAGTGTCTTTACTCATCTGGTTCTCGGCAGCAGTATTCAATGATCAGCCCGCACGGTTTGCAGATGATGATGGAGAGAAGTAGTGGCCATGTTAGACCCTTTCACCGATTGCTGAGAGGCCCAGAAGAAGAGAGGTAGAAACTGGCAATACTGGTCCATAACAAGCAGGCAAGCGGGAATACCTTTCGTAGACGTGGCAGAGATACTGGCACGGCGGGGTTTCCATCGTGTTACAGGGATAGCCGGGAGAAGTTTCCGGTTGAGGAGTCCAGGCCGTGTGCGTGATCCATACGAGGGACAGCAAACGGCGATGTCGGTGTCGATCGCCACTTACTAGTAGCTGAATGTGTTTTTGATACCTTAGCCAGGGACAGTGTCGTCTCTTATCTCTCAAGTTTGGAGTGCATCTACAACATTGTAGGTAATGGAGTAGATGAGCCAAAGTCGCATTTGGGGTCCGGGAAATGCCTGTACCTGATGAGGTGGTTTGGCCACGCAAAGCATCTTCGAGGGCACACTGGCAGCTCCGGTCAACCGTTAGCTACTATGACATTAATTTCCACACCATAAACACCCTCCGAGCTTCGTGAATGGTCCAGAGCTGCCAGAAAAACAGATGATATTTATTATTGGGCGAATATTGTCCGTAGCATTGAAGCGTGCAGTGACATGGCGGGCAAGTCAATGTTTTCCTTGGAGATGTTGCTACCGGCCACTGGTCTTCGGCCTGTCGTCTCCGGCCTGACAGCTCGCAAAGCAAAATCACCTGCTACGAGCAAAGCGAGGAGGAGAATGTTGGTGACCGAGACTCCATAAAGCTCTTCGAGTTCCTTCTGACCACGACGAAAACAATTAGGAAGAAGCAGGCGGTGGCCACAGGCGTAGGACGAAGAAGATCCGGAAGAGTTGTCGTAGTACTATTCAGATGGTATCTGAGGCAGGGAAATACTGTGTATTACGGTCGACCGAAGCGCACTTTGGTTCGGCAACATTATTGACGTAGATTTTGCTGCCCCGCCAAATATAATACTACTACAGTATTGTTTTGTAGCTTTGAAAAGGAACCAGCTGCACCCCTCCATCCGACAACACGACATTTTTTGTTGATCGACTCTATCACCCAACCAGCATTACCTAGGTAAACACAGGTATTGGTCCCAGGAACACGGTTGTATCATACTCGGTAAACCATACACGTTATCTACTGTTCTGCACTTCCGGATTCTCTTTGTCCGTCCTCGTCACCCCATAACAGTCCTGCAAGGATAGTTCAAGATGGCCAAAGTCGAGCATAAGGCGGTCCTGAGTAAGACATCCCATGTACATTTTATGATCACCCCGACATTCCAGCTAACTCGCGCTGATAGTCGTCATTGACGGTTGGGGCATTCCTTCCGCAACGTCCCCGCCCGAAGGCGATGCCATTGCTGCGGCGAATACCCCATTCATGGACGGGTTCAGAAAGGAGGGCTCAGAGACGGCTCAAGGCTATACTGAACTCGAAGCTTCCGGTCTGGCAGTGGGCTTGCCTGACGGCCTCATGGGCAACTCCGAGGTCGGCCACTTGAACATCGGGGCTGGCAGAGTGGTATGGCAAGATGTGGTCCGCATTGACCAGACGATCAAGAATGGCGAAATGAACAAGGTCCCCAATGTTGTGAAATCCTTCCAGAGAGCCATTGACGGCAATGGTAGACTTCATCTCCTTGGTCTGATCAGCGATGGTGGAGTCCACAGCCACATCAACCACCTCTTCGCCCTCCTCGAGGTCGCCAAAGAAATGAAAGTGCCCAAGGTTTTCATCCACTTCTTCGGCGACGGTAGAGATACCGACCCCAAGAGTGCGGCTGGCTACATGCAGCAACTGTTGGACAAGTTGAAGGAGCTAGGAACCGGAGAGTTGGCCACGGTTGTCGGGCGCTACTACATCATGGATCGAGACAAGAGATGGGATCGTGTGGAAGTCGGCATGAAGGGCGTCGTCCTCGGTGAAGGAGAGGAATCCACCGATCCAGTCGCCACGATCAAGTCTCGGTACGAGAAAGGCGAGAACGACGAATTCCTCAAACCTATCATTGTTGGTGGAGATGAGCGAAGAGTCAAGGATGGAGACACCTTGTTCTTCTTCAACTATCGCTCCGACCGCGTCCGAGAAGTCACTCAGCTGCTGGGTGACTACGACCGATCCCCGAAGCCGGAATTCCCTTACCCAAAGGATATCCAGATCACCACCATGACCCAGTACAAGACCGATTACAAATTCCCTGTCGCGTTCCCTCCACAGCATATGGGTAATGTGCTCGCCGAGTGGCTTAGCAAGAAGGGAGTCAAGCAGTGCCACGTTGCCGAGACGGAGAAATATGCCCACGTCACATTCTTCTTCAATGGTGGCGTTGAGAAGCAGTACGAGGGAGAGGATCGAGAGATGATCCCCAGCCCGAAAGTGGCAACATACGACCTGGATCCTCCGATGAGTGCACAAAAAGTGGCGGACAAGCTTAGCGAACGGATCTCCGACCACAAGTACGAATTCCTGATGAACAACTTTGCTCCTCCCGACATGGTGGGCCACACTGGAGTCTACGAAGCCGCCATTAAAGCCTGCACCGCCACGGATGCAGCCATTGGTAGCGTGTACGAAACCTGTAAGAAGGAAGGTTACATTCTGTTCGTGACTGCGGACCATGGCAACGCCGAAGAGATGCTGAATGAAGAGGGCACTCCCAAAACCTCCCACACAACCAACAAGGTTCCTTTTGTCATGGCGAACGCCCCTGAAGGATGGAGCTTGAAGAAGACGGACGGTGTTCTTGGAGACGTGGCGCCAACGGTGCTCGCGGCGATGGGCTTGGACCAGCCGGAGGAGATGAGCGGGAAGAGTTTGCTGATCAAGAAGTAAGTGGACCTAAGTCAAGGCGAGGTATTCTTAGCGATATCTTTAGCGAGGCAAGACCTGGACTCTGGCCAGATACCCCGCGGTACAAAGGCTGCGAACTTTATAGCACTACTAGAGAGAGACATGAGCTGATGAGAGACGAAAAATAGACGAAAAGCAAGTGCGCTGAACCCGGAGGCTGAGGAATAGCATCCTTCACCATCACCATTTCGCTATGTATCCACTAGAGTTTTGTCCCCTGAGAACATCGCGCTTGTCGACGCCCGCTTGGACACGTTTATCCTGGAGATCCGAACTAGAACACGAAGAGGATGGAGGGGACGCCGCTAGAAAAGGGGACGTGCTGTCCATGAGGCATAAAAGGTTGCCCCTGTTGATTCCGGGTATTAGTAGTAGACTGCAAACGTTGGAAACTAGACGAGTGACACGGCGTATAGCCGGGCAGAGGCATAGCGTCGTTACCCTCTTACATAGAAGCAGGCTGTAGCTGTGATACAGAAAAGTGGTTGACAGCCAAATGTCCGGAGAAATTTCTGTGGGCACTGGTTGGAACTATAAGCGTGGCTTATGTAATGCGCCCTGGTTTCTCCCCACACTGTGCTCAATCGTCAAGTCTGCTGGAACGGATCTGACGCCCTTCAACAAGCAGATTTCGAAAACCACAACTTGAACTGGTCCCTTCCTTGTCCAGGTAATTCTTTTTGCCGGCTGATAGGGAGTTCCGTAATACCCGTTCCCAGTCAAGAACAACCGTGGCCGCAAGGCTTTGAGTTGCAGGAACCAAAAAATTCATCCAGCCACTCACTATTCGAGTCATATATCGAACCCCGTCGACTTCACCCTTACACCCGGAAAGACAAAATTAAGCCAGCAGGCTTGTTGGAGTGTCACTCTTCAATCCAAGGCGAGGCCTGATCAGAGAAGCACTCTTGCCAGATTGTCAAGACCATTTCCCAGGAAAGTCCTCAAGATGTCGCTGACAGAATCGACACCCGAGTCGGCGGCGCGAGCGGCCTCCATCGCCGCACGCACACTGGCCGTCCTCCCTGTTTCAGCACGGAACTCAGCCCTGACAACCCTCCACGACGCCCTGTTAGCAAACAGAGAAACCATCCTAGCCGCCAACGCAGAAGACATGGCTCGGGCCACTGAGGCATCTCAATCCGGCCATTTGAGCTCTAGCGTCTTGAAACGACTCGACCTATCCCGCCCCGGCAAATTCGCCGACATGATCGCTGGAATCCTCAACGTGCGCGATCTCGACGACCCGATCGGCAAAGTCGACCTGCGCACTTTACTAGACGACGGACTGATCCTGGAACGTGTATCATGTCCGATCGGAGTGTTATTGATCATCTTCGAAGCACGTCCCGAAGTGATTGCCAACATTGCCGCTTTGGCAATCAAATCGGGCAACGCGGCCATTCTCAAGGGCGGCAAAGAAAGCTCCGCATCCTTTGAGACGATTGCCAAGATCATCGGGGACGCATTGAACAAAACTCAAGTCCCCAACGCGGCGATTCAGCTCGTCAAGACGAGAGACGTGATTGATGAGTTGCTAGGTCTGGATCGATACATTGATCTCGTGATTCCAAGGGGTGGTAATGAATTGGTGCGCTATGTCAAAGAACATACTAAGATTCCTGTCCTGGGCCATGCGGATGGATTGTGCAGTATCTATTTGCACAGTGATGCTGAGAAGGTGAAGGATCTGGCTGTGAAAGTGGTGGTTGATGCCAAGTGCGATTATCCTGCTGCTTGTAATGCGGTGGAAACATTGCTGGTGCATGAAAATGTCTTGAGGACCGTGTTGCCGGATGTGGCGGAGGCGTTGTTGGCGAAGGGGGTTTCGTTGCGGTGTGATGAGAAGAGTAAGGCTGCGTTGGAGGATGTTTTGTCTGCTCGATCTTCGGTGGGAAAGGTTTTGTTGCAAGAGGCAACGGAGGAGGATTATAATACTGAGTTTTTGGATTTGGTGTTGGCTGTCAAGACTGTGCCGGCGACGACGGTGGTCAAAGCTACGACTACGACTAATGGCCATGATGGGGAGGCAGCGACTGATGATGAGGACCAGAGTCTCGATCTGGCAATCGCACATATCAACACCCACGGCTCCAAACACACCGATTGTATCGTGACTGCCTCGGAGGCGGCCGCGGAAAAGTTCATGTCCGCCGTCGATTCTGCAGGTGTCTATTGGAATGCCTCGACGAGGTTCGCTGATGGCATGCGCTACGGTTTTGGCACCGAGGTGGGGATTAGTACGAATAAGATCCATTCGAGGGGTCCCGTCGGCCTGGAGGGGTTGACGATTTACAAGTATAAGTTGAGAGGACATGGTCAGGTGGCGGGTGATTATGGGGAAGGGAAGGGGAAGAGGAGGTTTAAGCATGAGAGGATTGATTAGTCCTTGATCTGTTGTTTTCCCTTCTTTTTCGGCTCGGCTTTCGACCATGAAACGCACGCTTCATATTGTCTGGTATGTGGTTTGCGGAGAGCAGGGATGCTGGATGGGAAATTGACGCCTGCAGTGGGTTTGGGTCGGTGATGACTTCCGCCTTGCCAAAAGAATGAGAGAATAAAATAGCCCAAACTCCGACATGGAAATGAGGAGGCTCGGGTTCCTGAAGCATTCTTATTTGGCACAGTTTCCTTGGCCGTGATGGTGGAGCCCGTCATGCTGGGTGATGGCGCAAGGCAAGGGATCCCATCAAGAAAGTGTTGTATATATGGCAGAGATGGGCCTATGATGTATATACCATCGCATTGCACTGGGCGGAACACCAGGAAAGGAAAAAAAGAAGAGCAGTATTTAATCGGGATCTCGGGTGGAAATTTCATGTGTCAGCTGTACATAGCGAGCATTCGGGGGAAGATTGTGAAAGCGAGTCACGAAAGGTGCAATATGTCAGACTGCAGTGCAGAAACAAATCACCCATTTGGTTCAAACATGGAATTTCAATTTTGGCCTTCGTCTCAAATAACTCGATTGATTCGTATCCATGCAAGCCTTTGGGACAAGCATGGCCTTGCACGCCCAGCCCTTCCGAGGGAAATATTTGCAGCCGACGAGTTCACAATTTTTTAGACGTCCTTTTGAAAAATTGGAGGTCTTCTCGCCGGCATAACCATGTCATTTTCCACTCGACATTCTGCGCCAGTCGCTGCCCACCACGAGGGAGTAAACCATACTGTTGTCTACTTGCAACTAACCATCTGCCCTCATCTCCTCAAAAGGACAAGAGGCGCGAAGCAAGACAGGCCACCGCCAGCAGCATAACCATAACAAGCTTAGACCTTGAAACCCTTGGACCGTCTTCGGCCTCTGGCGCGCTCGAATTTGCGACCCTTGCTCTCGACATAGGGCTTCTTGTGCTTGTGGGGTCCGAAACCGAAGTGCTTGACGGCTTCACGGGCGTTCTTGGGTCCTCGGAGCAACACGACGTTGCTGCCGGTTGGGTGTCTCAGGGCCAATTGGTCGAAAGTGAGGCACTCGCCGCCGGCCTTCTCAATGCGAGCACGGGCAGTCGCGGTGAATCGGAGAGCAGCAATGTGCAACTCGGGGACGGTCAACAGGCGGTTGTCGTCGGTCACGGTGCCAACCACGGCAATGGTCTTGTCCTTGTATGCCTTTTGCGCCGATGGGGTCGAGACCTTGCTGACAATGCGGGAGATGGACATGGGAGGGCGGTTGATTCTGGACATGAAGAGACGCTTCAGCACCACCTTGTTGAAGTTGGCATCGGTTCGACCTGTTCCAGATACAACTTGTCAGTCTCGCTCCAATCTTTTCTTCCGCTTTTCTTTTCTTTTGTCTGTCTCGCAAAACCGGTAGGAGACAAAATACAACAAGTGCTCGGGTGTTGGTCAGAACGTACGGGCAAGGAAGCGGTACAGCTTCACCAAGAGCTTGAGGTAGACATTGTCGCTCTTGGGCGCCTTGCGGTGGCTAGCCTTGACGTGATGGCGATCGAGGTCGATACCTATCCCGGAACAGTCAGTCGTGGTGCTATAGAGGATACAAATCGTAGGCTTCCATACCCATGATCGCTGTTGTCGACTGGTGGTGGCTGATTGATGTTGTCTTGAACGTCGTCAACGGCACAGCGCAGCTGAAATTTAGAACGGAAAAGGCACGAAGTCGTGCGCTCGCCAAGATTTGTTACAAGCTAAGCCCCTTTTGGTGGACCCGTTCCCAATCACGTGACAACCACATTTGACAGCAGCCTTGCCTGGGTTTTATCATGCACTCCACCCGGTTCCGCTTAATCAGGTACTGTAGTAGTAGTACATATACCTGTACTTGGTCGCAGACTGCCTGCCGGACCGCTTGTGATGCCGTCAAATTGGCAGCAGGGCGCAGAGATTGAAGCATTGGTTCAATTTGTCTCGCATGAGAATCATAACCTCTTTTTCTACTTCTCCAATGGCTTGATCCGCCGTTCTAACCCTCCCCAGTCCCTTCTAACCCATGGGTGGTCGTCTTTTCTTTATGCAGGGTTACACAGTAGCCCTGTTGCACTTGACGTGCGGTTTCTTCTAGAGGCGCCGTGGCACCACTATGATGCCTGCAGGTGCTTATCAGCCGGTGTTGCTCCATCCAAGTTCACCTCAGAACCCCTTCTTCACCTTACGTGCTCGGAGTAAATCGTGGCCGCAGAGAGAAACCTCATCAACATACTCCGGAACGTTGTTTGTCTGTCAGAAGCTGAGCCGCTCTTCATATCGGTTCTTCCTTTTCTGGCGCAAGTCCAACCAAAAAGTCCCTAGCAATCTCAAAGCTCAACCAACTACTAGCCATGCTGGGAGCCACTTTCAGGAGATTCGGCATGATGCCTTTGTAAAGGCCTGCAACGCCCTCTTGAGCAATGATCCTCCTGATTGCATCCCAGAGTGACTTGTACTGATAACCCATTCCTGACATGGAGTTGATCTGGAATCGTCGGCGAAGCACGTCGAATGGATAGGTGAAAGTCTGCGCAACAGCCCCGGAAATGGCTCCAGCGGCGAGTTTGCGATACCATGCAGGATTCTTCTCCCCAGGCTCTGTGAAGTAACTCCTGATTGATTCGTAGACCATGAAGTTAAGGCCGACATAGGGTGCAACACCAGCCACTGTTGGTATGATGCCTCGGTACAAACCAAGGATTCCCCCTTCATTCTTGTACATACTGACCATCGTCTGCCACATGCCCGGCAGTTTTCCCTCGTGCTTCCCAAGTGCAGCAAAGGAGGCTGATTGGATTGATAATCGTGTCCGCACGATGTCAAGCGGGTAGGTGAAGGTGACAGAGGTTATGCCGGCTAAGCCTCCACATATCAACCGGCGGAAAGGATCGAGATCGGCCCCAGGGGAGGTCTCTGCGAAGCGTTTGTAAATGCTGTAGCTTCCGAATTGGACAGCGGAATATGGGACAATGCGTATGCAATTTGTGCCATTTCCCCTCATGAACCCTCTCCAGCCTTCATCTCTGTACATCTTCCGCAGTGCCTTGGCAATGGACATCTTATATTCATTGCGGCCTGCATCTTGTACCTGATAGAGAATCTTCAACCGTTCTAATGGCGATACAACAGTTCGGGAGACAGCGCCTGCGATGCCCCCAGCGATGAACGCGGCTGTGAAAGGCGTAGAGACGAATTCTTGAGTCTGTGTAAGAAGATCTTTGGTGGCCATGGCTGCCGGATTCTATAACGGTCAGACAGACTCTATTAGTCCTCCTCTGCAGACACACTCACCTGCGGTATGGTGGTCAAGTCCCCAAGTGAGGTTGACCCCTGGCCGATGCTACCGTTGACGGTCGCCGTATCCTTTTCTCCAAGACGCATCCTGCCGACGCGCTTTTTGCGCCGATCTGCTTTGTTGACTCTGCGTGGAAGGTATCGACAGTGTTGGAGCGACGAAGGGTGAGTATGATGGCGTCACTATATTTGCTTTGTTGCGACTGAGAGGGCCTGTGGTGTCCATGGAAAATCTTACGATCGCCCTTTACGAGGAACCATACTGTGTCGGTTTGATGACTTGATACTCACTCCGACTGTCGCTAATGTAGGATGTGTTGAGACGTATGCTCACACAGATATGGCTGCGAAAACGTCGGGCAACCAAGGTAAATCTGGGGAAAGGGCTGGAGTTGTAATGATCAAACCGGACGAGTGGATGGCGCGGTAAAGAAGGGAATCTGTGAATCAAGAAACTGGAGGTGCTGCAGTGAATACTAGTAGGACAGTCAGGTCGATTCTTCGGGTCAGGCGTGTAAAAGTTCAAGTGATATGTAGGTACAGGCGTTGTGCAGGTTTGAGATTCCCTTGTTGCACGTCGTGACCCGGTATTTTTCATCTGGAACTGCGCTTCACTGCCACTCATCACACGAGCAATGACTGGTCGACCTGAGACACCGCGCTGTGAAGAGTTTTGCCAAGCCTCTAACTGCTCCTAGCCTAGAGCAGTTTCCCCATTATTACTGCCTGATTGTTTGCTGCCTAACCACTATTAGGATTTGTCTGCTGCTAGTAGCACAAGGCGCAGTTTACGACTTGAAGAACGGCTTCTTTTTCCCACCTCACACTTCGTCCTCTTCTATTATCCATCGGCTTCCATTCAACCAGTCTCAGGTTCCATCGTCATTCGTGGCCTTGGCTGTACTCAGATCCTGTCTGAAGCTTCTGCTTGAAGGACCAACTCACTGCCATACCATCCAAGCTCTTTTGCAGCCTGCAATCTGACCCCTTGTCAGCATGTCTCGCTCTGGAACCACGCTCTATGTGACTGGTTTTGGTCATGGTACTCGTGCTCGTGACCTTGCCTACGAATTCGAGCATTATGGTCGACTCGTGAGATGCGACATCCCAGCGCCTCGAACGGCCTCCAGCCGACTGTAAGTCGTCGCCTTGTTTGTGCGTGGCTGGCTTTGAACTGACAATCCAACTACAGCTTTGCCTTCGTCGAGTATGAGAGCCGTCGCGATGCTGATGATGCCTACCACGAGATGCATAACAAGCGTATCGGAAGAGATGACGTTCTGAAGATCGAGGTACGCTCAATCACCGTATAACAACCAATATCTTCGCTAACATGCAAATTCAGTGGGCTCGTACTCCTCCATCCGCTACCTGGCGCTACGAGGCTGGTCGTGGTGGCCGTGACCGTCGAGATCGCTCTCCTCCTCGACGAAGTTATCGTTCGCCCTCTCCTCGCCGCCGCGACTACTCTCCTCGCAAGGATGATCGCCGTGACCGCGACCGTGATCGGGAACGGGAGCGTGACCGTGATTACGACGACCGCCGCCGCTCTCGCAGTCCCGCCGACCGGGACCGTGACCGTGACCGCGATATGAAGGATGACCGGGATCGACGTGACGACGACCGCGACGCACCCGCCAATGGTGATGACAGAAAAGGTACGATGGACATGGATACCGACGCCGACATCGTATGGTAACTGATGCTGACACCCGAATCAGCCCTGGATTCCCCACCCCCGGCACACGATGAGCTCGATACGGCGGAATGATTGCACCCCATTGCGATTCTGACGGCATAAAGCGTGCCAGCACAAGGGAAAGACATGAAAAGCGATATTTCTTCGGGGTCAAGAAGTGATAGGTTTTCCTTTATCTCTATTTTTGACAGTGTTGCTATGGCGAATGGGCAGTGCATGGCTTGAAACTTTGAGCGTGCAGATGCCGGCGGTTAACTTAACCTGGTTTTGAGGTTAGACGAATCTCTCGAGCTCTCGGTTACAGGAACGGCCCTGCGGAGCGAGCGGTTTCCAATCAACAATTCTTCGATAGCTTGATCGATCGATACCTCGATGCGAACGATCGGACGATATCTGAACAACATGTGCCGCCGACCATCGCTGCTTCTCTTGCCATCGATACACCTTGACCTTCGAGACATCGTTTCTCCTCGTCCAGATTGTTCCCATTCTCTACCGACCTCGAGCGTCCCCGCCGGTTCGTCTCCATATGTTCGATCCGCCCTCGCGCCCCCATCGTATCTCGGCCCCTTATGCCGCGCTTCAACCACGCTTCGTCATTCCATTCCTTTATCCACGCTTCTCTACTTCTACTACGATCTGCTGCTTGCCCCGCCTTCCCCAAGCTTTAAGTTGCCACATACGTGTACTACGTCTATAAGCTGCAAACGTCCCACAGCTCCAAGCCCTCGAATGGTTGAGGGATATGACAACTGTTTAGACACTGCAGCAAACCGGTAAGTTTACTACCTCACAACCATATGCCCGGTAGGCAATGTGTTTTGTAGCAAAATGAATATTATTCCATCCAAATTCAAGTTCATTCACTCTGTATTTCAGCCAATCGTAAGTCGCATAGATTCATTATTCACCTCACTTTTGTTATTCACTTGTGATTCACTTCTGATTCATTTTCTTTATTCCACTACTTCATATATCACAGTCACCAAATTATCCCCAACAATCGCCACTTCACCACCATCGGGTCCTATGGCCTAGGTGGGTAGGGGATTTGGGATTGTCCATTCGACAAAGCCTAGTTCCGCGTCACCAACTAGGTCGGCTATAAAATAACTCTCGACCATAATTGTTCGGTCAAAAAACCCTGATGGCATAAAACACCGGGGGTTTTCAGTCACTCGTACACCTCTACACGACTGGGCTTGCGAGACCTGTTTTTTGCCGTTTTTGCTATTTACCTTTTGGTACAACTCGAGCCATACTAGTGAGCGGTCACCACAGGCCGGCAGAGGTGATGGGAAAGCCCTGACTACATCCTCCTCGCAGCATGGAAATGTTCAAGTTGAACTTAAAAGCAGGCTTTCGTGATCAGGTACACCAGATCGTCCCACGAGTTGGAAGATCATACGACTCTGTACGGTACTGTATGTAATGCCTAATGCAATTGACTGAATGTTCCATGTTGAACTATGTGAACATTGTGATAGCCTGCCACCACGCCTTTCCCGCAATGCACGCTATATTTGTAGTCAAATCCGTCCACCAACGCCTCGATCGCAAGGTTGAAATTCGCAAAAAGCTCCCACCATCAGTTGCTGACAACGGTAACAACTATTGCAGTTTTTGTTGGCTCAACATCCAAGTCAGAAGGTCGACTTTCGTGACGACAGCAAGGGGCTTCAACGCCGGTGCTTTGCCTTGGCCCGTTTTCTCATTAGGATCACGTTCGGTGACGATAGCGGCGCTCTGCCATTCGAGGAATTTGTTCAATGCGCTCAGAGGCGTATCCATAGTGATCTCGACGAATTCTCTCCGCTTGTGGCGACGTTGAGGGCGCGATCTGGCTTCGTTCTCGCCGTCGTTCTTCTCGGTCATCTCGCTTGAGAACAGAGATTCAGACTGGGCGACAATGTCGCTAAAGTCACGCGGATCAACCGTGACTTCGGGGATTTTGCTGAAGTCGAACATGGCATCCGACACGGGCGACTTGGGAGTAGCGCGCCCATGACTGATGCGGGACAAAAGATTTCCCAGCGTAACTAAGCCCACAAGACGTCTGCTCTTGGGTGCCAGAACAGGTAGCTGGTCAAAGCCCTTCTCGCGCATGACTTCAATGGCGGCCGAGCAGGGAGAGTCGGAGGTGACGGTGGTGACGGGCTTGAGACGCAACGAACGCACTGTTGCGCCGCCGAATGGATCATCGTGTTGCTTGGCCTTCTCTTGTTCTGGCGAGGCAGGCTCCGGAGGTGGCGTGGGAGGCAGCAAGTTGTTGGCAGCAAGCCAGTCGTCGTCGGCGAATTTTGTGAGATACGAACGTATGCTGTCGGGCAGGATGACGACTATCACATCGTCCTTGCCGAGGTTCAGGTCGCGCGCCGCCTTTAACATGGCGGCAATGGCTGAGCCGCTGCTCCCTCCGACCAGCAGGCCTTCTTCTGCAATTAGTCGACGCGCATAGTGGAACGATTCTCGATCATCTGTCTTGTACCACTTGTCCACGACGCTCTGGTCAAGAACATCTGGGATGAAATCGTATCCGATGCCTTCTACCTTGTAGGGTTCGTTGGCGTGTTCTTCGTTCAGCGACGCCGGCACGGCCAGGATGGACCCCTGTGGGTCGGCGGCAATGATCTTGACGTCCTTCTTGTGTTTGTGTAGACCTCGTGCTAGACCGGTGATCGTCCCTCCCGTACCAGCTCCCGCAACGATGGCCGTGATCTTCCCCTCCGTCTGCTCCCAAATTTCCTCCGCTGTCCCTAGTTCATGTGCCAGAGGATTGTCTGGGTTGCCGTACTGGTCGAGGATGTGGGCGTTAGGAATCTCCTTCTCCAATCTTCTTGCAACCCCGATATGCGATTCTGGACTGTCGTAAGCTGCTTCCGTCGGCGTGCGGATGATGGTGGCGTTCAATGCCTTCAGGACCGCCACTTTCTCGGCAGACATCTTTTCAGGCAGTGTGATGATCGTCTTGTAGCCCTTCACCGCGGCGACTAGGGCTAGACCTATTCCACTTTTGCAAAGGTGTTAGAGTTTGGCTATTGCGCTCGAGTCGGAAGGATACTTACGTATTCCCACTCGTCGGCTCGATCAACGTATCGCCGGGCTTTATGCGTCCTGATTTCTCTGCCTCTTCTATCATTCGGAGGGCAATTCTGTCCTTGACGCTTCCGCCGGCATTGAAAAACTCGCATTTTGCATAGACCTTTGCCTCGATGCCGAGCGTTTGGGGGATCTTGTTGAGGCGGACAAGTGGTGTTTGGCCAATGAGTTCTAATACTGACTCGTGGGTGCCCTGGGCATGGAGGCGGCCGTTGATAGATGTCATGGTGTCGGGTAGGGGAGCAGTGTCTTCAAAGAAAGGAGTTGTGACTTCGGATGAAGAGAGAGGCACTTGTTTCAAGGTTGCAAAGTCCTTGTTCAGGGTAAAATACTGTTCAACTTGAGGACATACGTTGTAAACTCGAAGGTCAAACTTCTAGAACAATGGCGTGAACTTTACGGCAATAACACCACGGCCCGCTTGATTCCATCACTGGCAAAAAGTATCGCCTTCCACATCTGCCCCGCCAATAACCGAGCCGCCCAGGGCCACGTTTGGATACGCGAATGCACCTCCGTAGTGATGAAGTCGGTTAGTATGTTTCACCAGAGAGACTGCCCTGCTGACATAAACATTTCCCCGGACATCGGAGTCCATTAAAGCACTCCGCAGTTGAATCTGATTCTGATTTGACATAGAGCCAACTTAAACCAGTCGACTTCCTAAGGCCCTGTAGACCGACTCGTCAGATCCTGAGTATCAAGAGGCACAGAAACAGCTCGAACAAACCACTTGTTTTTGTTCCACTTTCTGTCTGCCCTGGCAAGGGATAGCATCCGCAAAGTTACCACAAAATGAATCATCCCTCTTTCACCAAGACGTACCACAAGGCGAGCTATCCAGCCATTGACCCGTCCCGGCCAGAGCTTTCAGCGAAAGACAAAACTGTAATTGTCACAGGAGCCGGAGCCGGGGGCATTGGGGCTGCGGTGGCACATGCCTTCGCCAAAGCAGGGGCTCAAAAGATCGCCCTGGTCGGAAGGACAGAAGCGACTCTCCAGCAGACAAAGGACGCCATCGTCCAGGCACATCCTGATGCCACAGTCTATGTTGCCGTCGCTGATGTCTCCAAAGCAGAGAGTGTTGGCCTTGCAGCACATAATATCAGGGTTGAAATAGGAGCATGGAATGTGTTTGCCCACTGTGCTGCTGTCCTCCCTCGCGCCACTACTTTGGTCGGGGCCGACGAGGACGACTGGTTTAGTGCTTTCGAGACCAACGTTAAATTCTCGGCTCATTTCGCAAAACACTTTTTGCCCAAACGTCGGCCCAACGCTACTTACATCGGCATCAATGCCGGTGCAGCACATGTCCCTCCTTCCCAGTTACCCGGAGCCTCTGCTTACTCTGCTTCGAAACTTGCCGCCGCCAAATTGGACGAGTACCTGGCCTACGAAAACCCGGAGCTTAGAGTGTTCACCGTCCATCCTGGTATTGTACTTACCAATATGGCGAGGAAGGCTTTGGGAGACAAGAAAGACTCTTTTCCAGAGAGCATCTTGGATGCCCCGGAACTCCCGGCCAATTTCCTGGTCTGGCTTGCAAGCCCGGAGGCCGACTTCTTGAGAGGGAGATACCTTTGGGCTAACTGGGATGTCGAAGAGTTGATTGCTCGAAAAGCTGAGATCGAGGGCAACCCACATCTCTTGACCATCACTCTGGGAGGATGGCCTTTCAAGTAAACCTCGCCATGCAGGGAGTGATGGGTTGAAGACTCCCGTAAGACACTAGACAAATGCGCCACAAAGCAGAGATGGTGGTGTCTGATCCGTTCGGGAGGCGTTGTCACTGGCCGCCGTCCGAGCAGTTATACCCATCATTGTTGGTTCACCAAAAGTTTTAAGCATCCCACGTCCCCAAACGTCCTCCATCCGTAGGGGTTGGTTTGGAACATTCGTACTGAGGCCACATGACTTACATGAACAAGTTCCATTCGCAACCTTAGAACGTTCGCCTCTAGATGCTCTATATACGACCAATTTCGGCTGGGGAGGGCAGTTCATTATTGCTTTCTCAAATAATCGCCACCTTTAATTGTGCTCAGGACGCCATATACACCAGCAAATGGCCAGATGCTCCAGAATCCCTTCTCGATTCCCAACCTAAGATCTCCGGTCACAGCCCCTTCGGCATCAATATTGAAACTTGTTCTAACCTTCTCATACACGTTCGGCAATTGTTGGGCATGATATTTGTTCCGTAAGGCATCATACCACTTCCTATCATAGATACTCCAGAACTCATCCTCGGTATAGAAGGTCTGGCCGTACAACCACTTCATGCCATGCAAGGCCTTCAATTTCGCCTCGATGCGTCGGTTGGCTACTACTTGACGCATGTGCCGTGGTGTAGAGCCCCAAATGCCGATGTTCAAAAAGGTTCCATCATGGAGATGAGGTCCTGCCCATGCAGGGATATGTGGGTGCATGTTCCCAGTACCATTATCCCACGTCTTCAGGGGACACAGCCAGCGGGGATAGATGTCCGGGAGTTCAGCGTCCAGCCAGTTGGAAAACTCGGCGACATGGACATTTGGCAGAGCCATGTCCTGGATGATAAATCGCTGCATCAAGCCCGACCGATGCAGAGCGTGATACATGACGCGTGTATGCATGTATTTGTCGCCGAGCCACCGGAAGAAGCGATTGAACGGAGTTAGGAAGTAATTGAATGCATACCGCCCCATCCAGAAGGCACCCCGGTCGTAGCGGAAGAGATAGTCTTTGACAGGAACTAGTTCTCGGCGCGACGAGTTCCAAATGGTCTCTGCAATGTCAGACCCAGATTCATGCAGGTCAAAAACTTGTTGCTGCTGTTTCATCATCTCCTCGGCGTGAAGGTAGAACCACTCATCCCACGGTTTCGTGAATGTGACAACAGGAAGAGTCTCGTTCTTCTCGCCTCGCTCAGCGAATCGACCAACCATGACCACGCCGTTCTCGGGTGCAAACATAATGCCATCCAGGAAATCCGCTTGGCCATGGACCATGACTTGCTCGAACACTTGCTGTGCGTGCCGGATCCCGTGTACTGGGAGATATGAGATTTCCACAAACTCCTCCGCGGGTATCAGGCGGACCTCGAACAATGTGGCGACTCCTAGCGTGCCAAATGTCCCTGGCATCCCGTGAAAGAGATCTTGTCTTTCAGATTTTGAAGCAGTCACAACTTCTCCATTAGCAAGAACGACTTCAACCCACTTAACGGCTTGGTCAAAGAAGCCGTGCTTGAAGCTGCTGCTCTCTCCTGCGGTCCCGGCATACCCCCCGCCCACCGTTATTCCAGGGAACTCGGGCACGACTGGAGGGACGAGCCCCAGGGGCAATGTGGCCGCGACCAGTGCATCCATCGCCACGTTTGGCTCCACGAGACACCTTTGTTCCGAGACTGAGACGGATATGACATGGTTGAGGGACGAGATATCGACCGTGGCTGCACGTGTGCGAACACTGGGCCGCGTGGAGTTCGTGCTGCCATGGTATATGCGGAAGGGAGTCTGCTCTCTGTGGAAGGCGGCAATTTGCGCCGATATGCTTGCCACGACTGCTTCGTGTTGTGCCAGCGGATAGCTTTCCTCGGCGTTGCTCAACATTTCCGCCATAAACATCCTCATCCAGTATCACGGGTCTGCATTACTATTCCAGACTTTTCTGTAGATGCCCACCCATCTATCGAAGGTTTGGTAGAACGCGCTGCAGCTCCCGTGGTCACCGTGTCGACCATGTATGACTTATGACAGCTATACTTGCCGGAGCATGAGAAGTCCTTGTCTTCACTCTCACCACTTGCTGCCTGCTGCCTCTGGTAAAATGCCGGAAAAGCCGGGTTTCCCGACTCCAATTCAGTCCACCAGTAGCATCTCACATATCAAGGCATGCTGCAGCGTGGGTTTCTTGGATGGCACGACTCTGGTCTCAAGACAGACTCTGGAGCGCCAACCAGAGTAGTTGACTAGATTCCTCGAGGCAGAGTTGCGATATTACATGTATTGTTATCTGTATTCTTGACAACTTCCAGGTTCGTTGAACTTCAAGTCCAAGGACTTCTGTTTTAATCGATGGGTGCTATCTCTAATCACTATTCAGTGGCAGGTTTGCCGGTGATTGATTTCGTCCGATTCAACGTCTGGCAGCGATTGATGAGATTTTCTTGGTACCTTTCAGGTGTAAGGCTGCCTTTCCCACCATATGCTACACATGGAAAATGGAAGGTAAGGAAAGTTGCTCGCTGTCGAGCTGTTCTATGCCTCTGACGCCTGCTTCTCTCTTCCCCCACAATATATACTATTTAACGTGGGGTCTCCACGCCCATGCCTCGGTCAGTAGCCGCCATGGTTCATCCTCGGTTGCACCACCATTTCAGAATATGTCCATCTATCTGGCTCTAATCCATCCAAGCTTTTGTGTATTGTTTTTGTTGCTTATACTGCTTGTAAAAACGCCCTATGTGGATTGAGCCAGCCTGGAGTCTGTGACCATCACCATGTCGGCCAACCACGTTGACGAGCCAGAAGTCCTATGGCGGCCGCCAAAGGGCAAATTGTACCCAATGGACCGATACCGCCTACACGTCAACAAGAGATATGGACAAGATCTAAAAGACACCAAACAACTTCACAAATGGTCTGTTACGCGACCACATGACTTTTGGATTGATCTATACGGCTACCTTGGTCTTGTTCCACCATTGCCACCCAGCATGAAGAAAGCATATGACGACAGTATCCCAATGAGCCATGTTCCACCCTTCTTCCCAGGGCATGAGATCAACTATGCCGAAAATGTTCTGTTTGCCAATACCGACCCAGACGCCGTCGCCTTGATCGGCATAAGGGAGGACCAGGACATTTACAACGGCAAGCCCGAAGTCATCACCTGGCGCGGATTTCGAGAAAGAGTCAGACAAACAGCAAGCGCTCTGAAGCGGTGCGGCGTCAAGCAAGGCGATCGAGTTGGCGCCCTGGTCGCGGCATCAAACTGGGCTGTCATCCTGTTTCATGCCGCCGCCACCATCGGAGCAATCTTCACTTCGATCAGTCCCGAGTTGGGAGTGGAAGGATGCGTCTCGAGGCTACAGCAGGTCACACCAAGTATCCTCTTCGTCGACAGCGACGTGGTATACAAGGGCAAAACCGTCTCGACGAAACAAAAGCTCGACGAGATTCTTTCGAAGCTCAAAGTCAAAGTCCAACCTCTTGTTTTCCTTGTGCCTGTCACCACGGCACCATCAAAGTTTCCGACGATACACGACTTTCTGCAAAAGTCAGTCGACTCCGACGAGCTCAAATTCACACGTGTGCCGTTCAACTCCCCTCTCATGATATGTTACTCGTCAGGAACGACAGGCGCGCCCAAATGCATTGTGCATCAGCACGGGTTGATCATCCAGCTGAAGAAAATCTCCGTCCTTCACAACTCCTTGGTGCCCGGCGATGTCATCATGCAATACTCGAGTACTTCCTGGGTAGTGTTCTATATCATGTGCGGCCACTTGTCGGCGGGGGCAACGCTCGTGGTGTACAATGGCAGTCCGTTGTTTCCGGACGCCAAGCAGCTTCTTCGAATCTGCGAAAGGCACAAAGTTGCATTCCTGGGTGCTTCTCCACGACTCCTGCTGGAGATTGAAATGTCCAAAACGATCCCGAAGAAGGAGTTCGACCTGTCCACTTTGAGAATGGTCTATACCACAGGCGCCCCCTTGTCACCCGAGCAGTATAAATGGTTTTACCGAACCTTTCCACCCTCAGTACATATCTGCAATACAGCAGGAGGCACGGACACAGCGACGTCGCTGCTCGCCCTAGATCCGTCGGGACCAGTTTACACGGGTGAGATGCAAGTTCCTGGCCTAGGTATGGATGTCGATATTTTGGATCCCATCACGGGAAAATCAATCGCGCACACGGGAGAGGCCGGAGAGATGGTGGTGAGCAAGCCGTTCCCTAGCATGCCGTGCTTCTTCTGGGGCGACAAGGACGGCAAAATATACAAGGCTGCATATTTCGAACGGTTTCCCGACCTCGATGTCTGGGCCCAGCATGACTGGTTGAGTAAGAATCCAAAGACGGGAGGCTATACGATGCACGGCCGGAGTGATGGCGTTTTAAGTGAGTGAACAATCTTTTGTTTGAAGCAAAGTGTTGTTTTCTCTTGCTGGTGGTGCGGCTGAATTTGTTTGTGTCCCATTTACTGACAAAGACCCGGTCTAGACCCGTCCGGTATTCGTTTTGGGAGTGGCGAGATCTATGCCATTGTCGAAGCAGAGCCTTTTACCGAGTATATCAGCAACAGTCTGTGCGTGGGTCGTCGAAGACCTCAGGATCCTGACGAGGAAGTGTTCCTGTTTCTGGTCATGAAGCCAGGCCACAGTCTGACTGAAGAGCTGCGAGCGCGCATCAAGGCCGCAATCCGTAACGGTCTGTCGCCTCGACATGTCCCCAAATTCGTCCTCGCGGTTCCTGATATCCCTGTGACGATTAATGGCAAGAAAGTCGAGATTGCGGTCAAGAATGTCATTAGTGGGAAAGACGTGACACCTAGTGCGACGGTGCAGAATCCAGATTCGATCGCCTATTTCAGACGCTTCCGCGATCTTGACAGAGAGCCCAAGGCTGCAAGGCTATAGTTCACCCCGTGGGTTCGAGCAAAACGGAAAAGGAGGTAAAAGGGTGGTTAGAGTATTCACGGTCGGTGTTGTTATGGGGGATACAGACGTCGTGATCTGAGCTATACTTTGGTAGAGGTTCCCTTTCTGGGGTTGCACTTAACTTCTTAAAAAATAGAGCGCCGTATCCTCATCTCTGTCATTTCCTCATCGACCCAATGTGACCAGTCTTGTAAGATTCGAGCATAGATACAATGTATGCATCGCTTCGGAGCACATCACTTCTCCTTCCTTTAGTGCAGGAGGAAGCTCCTTGACGTCAAGTGTTCGCAGAGTGCAGTTTAGATACTCAGGTATAGGCGTGCGTTCTCGACCAGTCTCGGTGCAAGTCTCTTTACTGATATATCAGTGCAAGGTACGAACGGTATCAAGTCTTGATGCTCTTTGAAGTGGTGTGTTGACATACATGGTAACCTGACGTCCGATTTAAGCTCAGCGTGTTCGCAATTTCTGATTGGTGGCCGAGCACGACATCTGGCCTGTCGGGATCTGTTTCCTCGGCAGAAGGGAGACAAACAGCTGAATTTCCTTCCCACCTTACCCAGCAGAGGTACGTGTTTGTCTGGAGAAACTCGGCCTTTTTTGTAGCCTCGAGGTGGAGGCCGATCGGGGATCATAAAACCCCATGGTGTGCGATCTCGCTGCTGTCAGACTCACAACCTCCGCTGGATTGCACCCCTGTAGTCTCGTGATAGCCTTGCCATCGCATTCACACATTTTTCACGGCCTTCGCATAATCAATAGCGTATCCCATAGACTTCGGTCAATCGATAGATCTGATCACTGCTGACGCAAGAGCGCAAGCCGCAACCGCCTACCATGACGACCAATTTTCAGAGTCTGCCCATTGTCGACTTCAAAGCCCTCCAGGATGAGAAGACGAAGCCCGAAGCGCTCGAGAAGTTGAAGCATGCTCTTTTTAGTGTCGGGTTCCTGTATCTAGCCAATACCGGCCTGGAGGTGGGTTCCGGTATGTGTGTTTCGCTTTGAGCGTTCAACCAACAATATCGCAGGACCTCATCAAAGAGACGTTTGCTGCCGTACCATCGATCTTCGAACTGCCCGATGAGGTCAAGGAGAAATGTAACATGAGAAACTCGCCTTCTTTCCTTGGCTATACAGCACTCGGGGCGGAAACGACGGCCAAAAAGACCGATTTACGAGAAGTATGAACAACAACTTGAACCGCCAGAACGGTTGAACCTCGAACGAAGCTGACGTCGTGTAACTATCTAGCAATTCGACTTTGGAAGTCCTTGCGAGTCCATCTACAAGCCAGGTGATCCTCAATGGAAGCGGGTGAACGGTCCTAGTCAGGCATGCGCTCCAAGTGTTCCCTTATCGGTAGTGAGTGTGAGACTAACTGTAGGTTCAGTTTCCCAACCAGGAGGTCGAGCGCCTGGTAAACCGGTATATCGCCGCACTTTCCAAGCTCTCAATAGAATTTCTGCATTCAGTGGCGGAATGTCTCTCCTTGCCCAAAGACACGTTCGAGTCCTTCATGGGTAGGATGGATCGTTTGAAGTTCGTCAAGTATCCGCCTGCAGAACCTGGTTCTCAAGGCGTCGGCCCGCACAAGGACTCGTCGGGCATGTTTACTTTCCTCACGCAGGATAATGTAGGTGGCCTACAAGTCCTGAACAGGTCGGGACAGTGGATCGATGCACCTCCCATTGAAGGAACGTTCGTCGTCAACATCGCGCAGGGGTTCGAGGCAATTACGGGTGGCCGTTGTCCAGCGACCAGCCACAGGGTCATTGTGAGTTTTTTTGTCAGTTCCTCCTTTGTTCGGTGTGTCGCTGACGCAATTGATGTAGTCGCCCACGAGAACCACGAGATACAGTGTGCCGTTCTTCCTGGGGGTCAGATTGGATCTCACTCTCGACCAACTCAAAGAATCGGCCGCAGATATCGTGCGTCGGATACCTGGCTCGGAGGAGGAGAGGAAGGCCATCCCTGACGAGGTCGCTAGCGAATTCCTCTCTCCGCTGTACTCATGCGTTCGTATAACCCTGTTCCCGAATTTATGTATTGCTGTACTGACTGCTAGGACTTTAGTTTGGAGAGGCTCATCTGAGAAACCGCATCGTCAGCCATCCAGATGTTGGGCAGAGATGGTATCCGGATCTTTTTGAGAAGTATTCTGCAGCTTCGGTAGCATAAGATGCCACGCCAACTATAGTTGATACATAAAATATATCATTTGCTCTCGCAAACACCTGATCTATACCTAGTCTAGTAGTATGCTGATAGATGATGGACAGCCCAAGGGCGGCGTTGTGCTCCACCGTAGACTGGTGTGTGTCCAAATTCGGCGTCTTGTGCCATCCGATCCGCCGTAGATGGTGCTAACTGCTTCAAGTTGTCTGCGTCGATGACAGAAGTGATAGGGAGTGACAATTATCCCCTTCCGTCTGCGTGTGGTTTGATTTGTATGTTCGGATCTTCCTTTGCTTGTCCTGTGCCGAGTTATCTTTTGACGGAGCGAACGTACCTCAATTCGAGAAGGGGCTCGACGGCATTGGACATGGCACAATAGCCGTACAACCAGCCTAGTCTGTGACGAGAAGGCCACTCTCACACTCTTCAAGCCCGACGCGATGGCCATGAACAGGGTACGGAGCGCATTTGCGCCTCCCAAGAAGGGAGAAACCTTCGAGCTGCGGGCCGGACTTGTGTAAGTCGTGTCGGACCACTCCCTTGGGCAGACACCCAATGCTGACTTGATGTTGCCAGATCCCAATATGCCTACGAACGGTGAGCCGCGTCGACCCTGTCCTGCCACGACTTTGGTTATTGACGATCGTATAGAAAGGAAGCGATCCAAAAGACCATCATGGCCATGACACTGGGGAAAGATGTGTCAGCGCTATTTCCCGACGTCCTGAAGAACATTGCCACGTCAGACCTCGACCAAAAGAAGTTGGTATATCTATACTTGATGTTGGTGCTTTCCGGTTGGCCACGCGACACGAATATGCCATACTAAAGACTATCGTCAGGAACTACGCAAAGTCCCATCCAGACCTCTGCATTCTCGCCGTCAATACCTTTGTCCAGGACTCCGAAGACCCGAACCCCTTGATCCGAGCCCTCGCAATTCGAACAATGGGATGTATAAGAGTGGACAAAATGATCGATTACATGGAGGAACCATTGCGGAAGACCTTACGGGATGAATCGCCCTATGTGCGCAAGACCGCCGCAATCTGTGTCGCGAAACTGTTCGACCTGGCCCCGGCAATGTGCCTGGAAAACGGATTTTTGGAAACGCTCCAAGAACTCATTGGCGACCCCAACCCTATGGTGGTTGCTAACTCGGTGCAAGCGCTAGCCGAGATCAACGAATCCGCTCCCGAAACCAAAGCGCTCCAGATCACCCCGAACACCCTGAAGAAGTTGCTCATGGCCCTCAACGAATGCACGGAATGGGGCCGGGTCACGATATTGAGCACGCTGGCCGAGTACAAAGCACAAGATGTGAAAGAAGCTGAACATATTTGCGAGAGGGTCGCCCCTCAATTTCAGCATGTCAATTCCAGCGTCGTTCTTTCGGCAGTCAAGGCCGTTTTCTTGCATATGAAATATCTCCCTGCGGAAACACAGAGGTCTTACCTGAAGAAAATGGCTCCGCCGCTCGTCACGCTTGTGTCCTCGGCACCCGAAGTGCAGTACGTTGCTCTACGAAACATTGACCTTCTCCTCCAAAAACAACCCGAGATCCTCAGCAAGGAAATCAGGGTGTTTTTCTGCAAATATAACGACCCTCCTTACGTCAAATTCCAGAAGCTCGAAATCATGGTCCGCATAGCCAACGAGACCAACGTCGATCAACTGCTGGCCGAACTCAAAGAATATGCATTGGAAGTGGACATGGACTTGGTACGGCGCGCAGTCAAAGCAATAGGACAAGTTGCTGTCAAGATTGAGAGCGCTAGCGAGCGATGTGTCAACGCGCTCCTGGATTTGATCAACACAAAAGTAAACTATGTTGTACAGGAAGTCATTGTGGTGATCAAAGATATCTTCCGCAAATACCCCGGTTATGAGGGTATCATCCCTACTCTTTGCAAATGCATAGACGAGCTGGACGAGCCTAATGCTAGGGCGTCACTCATTTGGATCGTGGGAGAATACGCCGAAAAAATCAGCAATGCCGGGGACATCTTGGGTGGATTTGTCGATGGCTTTGCGGAAGAGTTCACACAGGTAATGTCCGTTGCTGCCTGTATCGTAACCACTACTGACCATAACCAGACTCAGCTACAGATCCTCACAGCGGTGGTGAAGTTGTTCCTGAAACGGCCACAGGCTGCCCAAGGACTCGTCCAAAAGGTTCTGAATGCCGCAACCGCCGAAAGTGACAATCCCGATATCCGTGATCGAGCATACATTTACTGGCGGCTCCTATCCAACACCAGCGACCCGAACGCTCCTAAAAACGTCATCCTTTCCGAAAAACCGCCAATTACGAGCACGATCCAGTCACTACCACCTGCACTGCTTGATAGACTACTTACCGAGCTCTCGACGCTGGCGTCAGTCTATCACAAGCCGCCGGAGCAATTCGTTGGCCAAGGTCGCTTTGGCGCTGACGCCGTTCAACGAGCAGCCATCGAAGAACAGATGCAAAATGCGAAAGAAAACCCTCTGGCTGCAGCTGCAGCGGCCGCGGCGGTGCAGGGAAAGGCCCCCGAACCGCAAAACAACATCGAGAATCTGCTCGATATCGACTTTGACGGATCGGCACCCGCATCCTCCACTGAACAACCTACAAACGGACTCTCAGGTCTGGAAGGTTTGGCCGGCACACCACAGCGGGTGGAATCTCCGTCGGTGGGCGAACCTGCTGCCGCAAACAACATGGACGATCTATTGGGGGTGTTTGGCAATACGGGATCGTCTACCACAACGGCCGCGAGTGGTTCCGGGTTCGGTGGACTCGCCGATAACGACCTCATGAATGGATTTGCATCCATGGATCTGTCATCGTCGCAACCTCCACCACCGAAACAGCAATTGGATGAAGCGAGTGGTAAGAAGACAAATGATGATCTCTTGTCTCTATTTTAGTTGTGAAGGACCGACTGACTAGACCGAGATCAAGTCTTTGGCAGCATTCTAGGTAATCGTCGTTCCTATATGAATGCTCAATAAAAATATGCAACCATGTCCTCTTGATGGAATGCCCATGCTGTTATTGTTCCTGTTTGTATAATGTGGCTTTCTGTACCATCACGTGACCTTTTCGTCTCCCCCCTTTCTTTTTTCCACTCGATTCATTTGACATATCGTGGCAAATCATATGCTGGGCCCAGGCGAGCAATATAACTACCATGCTAATGCTTCGGCAGGGAATAGCATCTCGATGGACTCGAAGAGTGCAGGTTGAAACGAAAGCAGTTATTGGTGTGATAAAAAGCCCAATTTGCGGATGGCACAGCATGGCTCCTGGCCTGTGAGTATCATGTTGCCGCTGAGATTGCAGGGTGCCTATCCCTTTTATCTTCAGCCTCGCCGTACCTTTTTGCAGAGAGAGATTTCTCCTTGAGAATGGTGTATCGACCTCCCATTGGGTGTTGGTCAACCACCTCCTTGCTCTGCCAGGGGCTCATGTTCTTTATGCTCAGCCTCGCGGCCTAAGAGATATTGCCCCTGAATCTCAGAGCGGTGATCCCCTTTATCTTCAGCCTCGCCGTACCTTTTGCAGAGGGAGCGTTTCTCCTCGAGAATCTGGATTGAACCTCCCCTTCGGTGCTGATCAACCAACTTGTACTCCTTGGTCTTGCCTGTGGTTTATGTTCTTTATGCTCAGCCTCGTGGTCTGAGAGATGTTACCCCTGAATTTCAGAGCCGTGATCCCTTTAATCTTCAGCCTTGCGTACCTTTTCCAGAGATTTCTCCTCGAGTATGTGGATTGATATCCCATTCGGTGCTGACCAACCAACTTGTACTCCTTGTCCTTGCCCGTGCCCCATGTTGAGGTCCTTGTCCCCACCTCAGCCTCGCGGCTTGCCTATCGACAGTTATGTGTATTCTGCTGCCACTTCCACAACTCTCGCGCAACCCTGCTGTCTGTTCGCTGTGAACCAAGGCCTGGTGTTGCACACCGCGTGGAATGCCAGTGCATGTATGAAAACTCAGGCTGTTGTCCTGTTCTCTGGCGGTCTTTCCCTTCGCGGAATCTTTCACGCCCATGGCGCCTTCCTCCCGCCCATCTCCCCTCCCTTTGCTGATGAGCGCCCACATGTGATTTTGTCTTTTTGATATCAGACGTTTTAACCACGCGGCGAGATTTAGACGGCAACATTATCTCTCGGCTGGCGCACGATCATGCGAGCACCATTTTTGTTAACATACTTATTTCACGTTTGAATTAGTTCTTCTTCTTCTTTCATCTCTCACTTTGTTCACTGGTTCACACACTTCAACAACATTCCAACCATCCACTGGTGGCAAGTTGCAAGTTTGTTCCTCTTTCCTGTTCCCTCAGGTATTCTTTGCTTCAAGGCTCAAGATCTCTCTCTCTCTTTGTGTTGAGGAGTGGTCTCGAGTCCGGCAATAATGTCTGAGCAACCGGATCAGCCTGCGCAGCAGGGCTCTGGCGCCGAAGGCCCTACCCAAACCCCTGGCAATTCGGGTCACCCTGCCCAACAGCCCTCTGCTGCGGAACATCGTGGCCCACTGAGTGACGCAGAGAGAGCATATCGCGACCATATCACAGCCTTGACAATGCTGGTTAGGGGCTTGCGACCTCAGGACCAGCTCGCTTTTGGTCGGGACCTCGTCGCTAGAAATGAAGAAGAGGTATCCCTCCGTCCTCGCGCTGCCCCTCCAGGCCTGTCTCCCATCGCTGAAGGGAAGAGACCGCTCCGTCCTTACAACTCACCTGGCCCAATGGACAACTCTCCTGCTGTCGTCACTGGTGCCGCTCTGAAGGTTCCTTCGATCTCCGAAGAAGACGAATCATTCCAACCTCGCAACTCACCTTTTCCAATGGACAACTCTCTTGCTGTCGTCACTAGTGCTGCTCATACCCTTGTATCTATGGCTGACGAAGAGACATCACCCCGACCTCACAACTTACCTACCTCAATGGACCTATCTCCTGACGTCGTCGGTGATGCGACTCAAACTGAGCTGCATTGGTTCTCTCACGAACTTGTCGATCTCTACCAGGTCAGCAATGATGCGTCGGACCCTCAGATCATTCACAATCTCGAGTAAGCAAAGCAAAGATTCGCGCCCAGTCCATTACCTTCGAATGCAGCTGGCTGACTTTTGATGCAGGATACTTAACCAAAACCGGGATGATTTCGATGCGACCATACAATGTGGACGCTACATCTGGAAAGCTCATCGTACCTTTGTGAGCTACTCGGACTACTTTCGTCGTGAAGTTGTAAGTCAAGCCTCAGCAGTGCCTCGCTGCGCAGAAGTGACCGGCGGCTAACCGATGTGACCGTGATATAGGGAATCCAAATTAACGCACACAATGACCAGGCCAAGGTCATACTCGACCCCTTCCGCTTCACCCCTCGTCATGTCGACCTGTACCTCCTATACCTGTACACTTTCGATTACTCCGTCCTCCTTCGCTGGATCGACAAGGTCTCCCCAGGCGAAGAGCTGAGAGGCGCGGTGGACATTTTGATCCTGTCAGCTATCGTGCGCTGCGAACCACCTCTGACTGCTGAAGCAGAGAAGTCAGTGGGACAACTGTTCGCCACCAACCTCTGGTTCTTGACAGATAAAGACGCTGCGCAGTTTGCCCAGAAAACCTGCGGCACCATCGAACGCTGCCTCGAGACGTTCTTTGAACAAGAGGCAAAAGATGAAGGCCTTAAGCGAATCCGCCGGAAGATCATGGTGGAGATTTTCAAAAAGGCTGGAGAGTTGTTTCCGCAGCACAAGAAGTGGCTCGAATGCTGGATCGGTCGCTCGCCTTCCTTCAAGCTCATGTTCAAGGCTGTCCGAGCACGGCTTTTGAAAACTGGTCAAATCGAGCGGAGTGTCCCGAATTCCGAGGGTCAACATGTCGAACTGATTGACGCTGCCTGTGAGGAGTTCAATGACATTTGGGTAAATGACCCTGTCCAACGTCAAATTGCCGTTCAGGCCCAGGCCGGTCCTTCGAGGGCCAACAACAACAATGTGAACAATGTCCAAGGTCAAGATGACATTCCGGTCGTGGCTGGTCCTTCGGGCACCCAATACTTGAACAACTTGAGCGACGACGACACTGTCAGTGATTTTGGCGACATTGTCCATGATCCTGGCACTGTCGATGATGACAACTCTGTCTACCCAGATCCGACACTCAACCGTGACAACAATCTCTTCGTCTACCCGGACCCACCTGTCAACCGTGACGACACTAACGACCCTGACTACACCGCCAGTACCGGCAGCAAGCGTCGTCGAGTCCACTTTGCAGAGCCCGAGGTCGTTCGTCGTGGTCCTCCCCGCGCCGCTCGTCCCCGTCCCGGTCCAGGAAACGGTTGGTAGGAGAACCTTTCCTCCGGCACCGGCACTGGCAGCATGCTCGATGCCTTTCTCGGCGCTCTCGGCGATGGGGGGAGCCTGACTTTTCTCGAGGCTCTGGATGGCATTGACCCCGGTGGTGAATCTCAGGCTGGTGCCGGTGGACTGGGAATCGGTGACTACTATGACTCTGGTGACTCTGATTCTGAGTCTTCCTATGACTCGTCGGTTGGATCCAACGACGACGAGAACTAGGTCTGGTATCCTGGTACTTGTTTGATGTACTCTTCAAGGTCTTGCGCGCGCGAGTTGAAATCGTTGAAATGGTGATGGTCTGGTGATTTTGGTCACTCCATCTGGTGTGTCAACGATGATGCTAATGGTGATGGCCTGGTGATTTTCATCACTCCATCGGGTGCGTTGTGTTGGTGATGGTCTGGTGATTTTGATCACTCCATCTGGTTTGTTTCTGCGTTTGGAAAGGAGTTTGCAACAGGTGAATTCCAGCAGTGCAGTGGGGTCGAGCAATTAACTGACTCTCGGCACGAGGCACGAGGGAAAGTCAAAGTGAGGCTGCTGTCGTCTGCTATTGCAGGACAGCATGGCGATGTGCTCGGCCACTGCGAGAGGAATGATGTGTTGTTGGTTTTTACTCTACTCTTCTCTGGGCTACTAGGATACCAGACAAAAGCGAAATGAAAAAAGTTAGTTGATACCACTACCACGTTCCACGGTTCGATTCAGTTCTATCAGGTTTTACTCGTAGTGGGCGAAAGTAAAGTTGCTATTCTGATAACAGGTATAGGTACTTGGTATGGACGTTGCCTACCTACTAGTTCTTCGGACCGCATGTTTTGACTTCAACTTGTTTTAAGTGGTAGTCCTTCAAGCTTTCCACTATATTCCTCTACTGGTACTACTTGTTAAACCGATAACCCTCAAACACAGCAGCCACCTTTTGCCCATCATAGAAACCGATGACTTGGACGATTTTGAGATCACCACCACCGGCACCACCCGTGTCCGCCTGCTCCCTCGCAACCCTCATCAACCACGCATACTGCATATCATAATCCGCACCATTTTTCCCCCTGACGCCCTCGCTGCGCCAATGGACCACGGCCCAATCTCCATCGACGACCAAATGCTCGACAATCGGCACGGGGAGGGTCTCCAGCACGTCCCGCAGCGGCGTGAGCACTCTGTCCATGTAGACCTGTTTCCCCTCGTAGCGGCCCGCGATCGGACTGCTTCCCGTCACTGTCCAGACCAGATTGTCCGAGAGTGCGGCGGCGAACGAGGCTCCGAAGTTGTCGAGCGCCACGGCCGTGAAGAGAGATTCGACGAATGCTCGTGTTTGAGAAGTTGTTGAGTTCACACGATTGTCTTGCCCGTGGTGGTGTGGGATGCTGCTGTGTGCCTCGGCCATTATTGGAAACAAACTTGGGCCTGAGAGGGACGACAGGACTGTAATAGTGGTGGTGGTGGTGGTGGTGGTGTTGTTGGTAGGTAGGTACCTAGGTAGTCTTCTGCGGACAGGATAGTGACTTTGGTACTGGCGAAACTACTGTAGGTCCACCGCTTGCCAGTAACGTGCATTTTCTAGCGCAACGGAATAGGTACCGGTACTAAGTAGTATACTATGGCGCAAACTGAACTGGTCCTTACCAAAGGAAAGGCCAGTTCCGTTCCGTTTCCGAACCTACTTCGAGCGCAGTCTGTCTGTATGACTAGTACCCTGGACGACGAGTCAACCTGAACCCGCCTGAACTGTAGCCAAGGCTGTGCTGTGCTGTTCATGATACTGTACATTGTTGGATCCGATCCCAGATTGCAGTGCGGTGCGGCCTCAGATCAGCCGGAACGGAGCGTAAGGTACCTTAGTCTGTCCACGGAGCTCTGCTTCCCCTGCAGTGGCATAAGTTACTGTATAAGTATGGGCCTAAACTGAAGTCAGGGGATCCCGGACCCTATTCTACAACTACAACGAGGTAAGTTGCTCAAACTCAGTTATTAATTGTTTCTAGGGCCTAGGCCTAGTTTCAGAGCCTGTGGTCTCAGGTACAGTTGTCAGCTAGATCATCAAGAGATCTGATCATATAATCTCAATAGTCGACCTCTCAAGCTCCTCGTCTAGGAAAATCTCACCATCCATATGGTCGTGAACATAGCAAGCGCCAAGCAAACGGTATTGGCCCGGACCACTTTTATCTTCTTCTTTGACCTTTCGAATTGCAAAAGGCACCGCAAAGCCAAAGATGACACAAAGCGAGTCGCCTGCCTGAACGGCCTGAGGCGCCCAGCCAATCCTGCCGTTCTGGCTTGCAAAGAAACGACGGCCGTACCTTTCCCGTGGGCTGAGTTGCTCAGTCTCGAACCATGAATAAGCGACTTTACTCATTGCTCTGGAATATTCGTCCACCGCGATCGTCTCGTCAGCGTCAGCGTCTTTGGCATCATCCAATCCTGGCATGTCAAGCTGTGGCTGGACGTTCAGCCGTCGACAGCGCTGTCTGTAATGCGCGGGATGAAGATTCCCGCTCCCAGCCTGTACGGCAGACTTGAGTGCACCCATTCGGAGGTATGTTTGATAAGCATTGACAAAGTCAAAATCTTGTTCTTCTAAATCGACGCCAAACAGATAGCATCGGAGGAAGGTTTCGAGGCTGGCATCGGCGACACCGGTGGCGATTCTTTCGCACTGGACCAGCCAGTCACATTTCTCATCGTAGTCGCGCGAAAATTGTCGTTCCTGGGTATCAGGATCATCTCGGGCCATGGGAAGGCCGTCCCTCTCGAAGGTCGGATCAGACACTGTAGCGACTCGATCGAAGATGATCGCTCGAGTCTGTAGACGTTTTCTGTCGACTGAGATAGAAACCTCCATCTGGGCGACGTCTACCGCATCCGCTTCTACCACGTCCCACAGCGATAGCCAAGCCGGGCTCGAAAATTCCCACGTGGGGATCCAAGAAGGCACAGTGTCGGACACTTTGTCGACATAACACAACCCTCTCAGTAGAGATAGAAAATACTCGTCTGTATCGCGTTCGCTTTCGCACATGGCGACGCTGGTGAGAACCTCTGTCAAGTCTTTCGTATAGTCAACAAGATGATCAGGAACGGTGGTGTCGAGACACCCCAGAATCGCGAAGATTCTGTCTCGTGGATCCGAGGACTCAAAGTTCGCAGTCTCGAGTAAGATGTCAGCCAGTGACTCATGGAGCCAGGAGGACTGTTGCATACGCAACAGTTGCACAATACTCTCGACGCGAATGCAGTTTCTTCTTTGATTGTGATCGAGAGCGTGGTTGAGTTCGGGGAGCGAAAGGATGCGGTATGCGCCGCCAAGGATGATCTCAGGCGTTGTCTCATGGCTCCCAATTCTGAAGAAGCCTTTCTCGGACCGAGCCACCTCCTGCAAGATCCATCTCCTCCCAAACCAGGCTGCGTCAAGAATCTTGGCCGCTGCTTGCCAGGGAGCTGACGTAGTATCTGATGGTATGCCCAGCTTGTCCAGTTGGCCGGCCTTGTCGAGCTCCTCCGCCGTTGGCAACGATGAATGATCGAGGTACAAAGATCGAATATCGTCGCCGTTGGACGAGGGAAATGCTCGGCAGAGGTTCGATAGCAGCTGTATGCCCAGGCCAGTGCCATCATTCTCCTCACCCAGCCAGACAATGACAGCGGCTGCATCACGATAGATCTCAGACATGCGCCGCACTTGGATCGATTTCTCATCAGGGTCGGCCTGATCGATGCATACCGCGTCCACCCACAAGTAAGCATCCTTTTGAACCTTTCGAAGTCTGGATAAGGCGAGTTGTAGGTTCGTAGTTATCATCATGCTCTGTCCATTACAAATGGCTTCTTGATCGCCGACCGGACTGCCCCAAGTATAGGATAAAGCATGATACTCGGCTCGTCCACGTTCCTTAGTATGTAGTTCAAATTCGATTTTGGTGTTGTCAGATCCGTCTTTTAGCTTCATCAATCTAATTTGATTCGGACCCAATGCCAAACCGGCGTATGAAAAGGGCATCATCGCTGGATTAGAATCTTTTTCATTTTTGCCATGCCGCGCCCATTGTTTTTTGACAGCTTCTCCGGAGTCTTCTGTTGAGGCTGTCTGTCGCTTGTTCATTAGGCTTGATAGAACGTCCTCCAGGGTGTGAAAGCAATGAAACCCGCACTGGCAGCCGAAGCATATTAGTGTGTCTCGCAGATCTTGTTGACTGCCGTGGTTCCAGGTTAGATTCCCTCACAGACCTCGCTGATGCTCAATGCAGAGCTACCCTTGCAAAGCCTCGCCTCGCCAGTCTTGGCAGCTTGCCTGAATCTGCCTTGGGCCGCTCTAGGCAGATTCGACACCAAATCCCACCTAGGTACTCGCCCGCAAACGAGGGGCTGTTTCGCTTCGTGTTTGATTCTACACGTGTCAGGCTGGGGCACACAAAGAAACTGTCCGACATGATGACGGATACCGCTTCAAGTTTCAACTTGACAACGGTTAAGGCAAAGCATTGGATAGGTATCAGGTGCCGGTAAGCAAATGTATGGCGGGTCCCTAGGTAGATCCTGCAGACAGCTAGTACTTGAAGGGAGCAGGAAGAGGTGAAGCAAGGGCGAGAACATAAATTGAATATAGACCTGAGGTAGATCTGAGCCTAACGGTGCAAGAACTGTACTGTACCTCACCTTGAATCTGACCCAGGGTGTTAGAACCAGGTCGCCATATCTGCGGCCGTTGTATCAGGTGCGAGCTATCACAGGGAGGTACCTTACACCGACTGTTACCTAGGTAAATTCAAGTTGAACTTGAAGCCAAGGAAATGATCAATAATGTTGCTGGCACTGCCAAGTGCACTGTCAGTGTTAATATATGCTCCGGAACAGGAAATTCACAAGAAGCCGCTAAACAGGGATATTATATCCAAGCTAAGCCCCTTCAGGCCTCTCTCGCGCGCCCATCGCGTAAAAACGACCAACACTGCCTACTGATAATACAGTATTTGTACACCACTGCCGATACCTAGACGACTACATTCACGAACAAGTCTCATAGACCTTCGATTTGCGGCACGATTTATGATGTTTCCATCGAACAGGTTTTCCTTCTATTGTTGTCGTTGAGCTCATTCCCCTCTTAAGTCACTATTTGTTACGCGAGGAATTCATCTAGACTGTCCATCTTTTTCCGCCGATAAACCACATCGACATTAAGGTTACTGCACCGAGGAGAATACCATAGACGATTCATTCGCTTCAAAGGCTCAGAATTACTGGGACAACCACTATCTCTTCCAACATCGACGTGGACCACACAACTATGGGCTTTGAGAGGTAGCGGCCAGTCTCGAGATCTTGGTGTCTAGCCGACATTTTGTCGCCGACTAGCAACGAGTTTGCGCGCAGTATAATCCCTTCATCAGCCCATCATGGTTGTGTGTAAATACTTCCTGAATGGAAACTGCAAGTTTGGCAGTACGTCTGGGCTCTTCTATTGAACAAGTCATAACCGGACGTACGACTAATTTTGTGTCCAGGCAATTGCAGAAACGAGCATCCAGGTGCCGGGCTCGCAAATCAGAATAGGTTTGGCGCGTTAAGCGGCGGTGGTGGCGGCGGTCGCTTTGGAGGCGGCGGAAACAGCGAAGGTAAGTTGTCTTGTCTCATACAGAAATTGTTGGATTGCTTTGATCCCATGCCAGCCCCAAAAACTTCAACCCTTTTCCCAGCCTCGATTGCAATCCAATTTTCTTTTCGTACTGACCCAACCCAGCTTCAGGCCGCCAGGATGGCTGGCGAATCAGTGCCGAAGATGTCAGGAATGACATGACAGAAGGAAAGGGTCGGCCAAAATGGATCTTGACGGCATACGGCCCGGGGAGGACACCACCGGCTTCTTTACTGGAGGCTAACGAACTCAGTCCGGAGGAAGTACGCGCACGCTTCTATGAACTGGCTAGTCAGGGAAAGCAGGCCGAGGCGGATCAAGAGGCTATAGCACTGTGGAACAAGGCCGTCCAGGACATGGCCCAAATTGCCAGCAACGCCTCCAACGTGGTCAAATTCATGGAGGAAGCAGACAAAAAGCATCCCAACAGATACGACTTTCTCAAGATGGATGGGACAAAGACTCGCGATCAGTTCGCCCAGGAGTTTGCGAGCAACGCCCCCTCAAGCACTCCCTTTGGACAATCTCCCACCCCAAATCCGTTCGCGAAGCCTGCTGCCTCAACATTTGGTCAACCATCCCAGCCGTCCATGTTTGGTGCAACTGGGGCTCCTGCTGCCGGGTCGGCGCTTGGCAAGCCAGCGTTCGGACAAAGCGGGTTCGGCAGCGGCGCAACACAAAATGCTACAGGCAGCCCATTCGGGCAGGCGGCAGCTTCGAGCCCTTTCGGCCAAGCTTCATCCAACAGCGCATTTGGAAAACCAGCATTCGGCAGCGCTGGATTCGGTCAACCATCACAGCCGACCTCGACTTTTGGACAGCCTTCACAACCAACATCTACCTTTGGGCAGCCGTCACAGCCAACATCGGCATTCGGTCAACCGGCATTCGGCTCGTCCGGATTTGGAGCAAATGCGCCCAAGAATCCGTTTGGGGCCGCTTCGGCAGCATCAGGCTTTGGTCAGGCATCACAACCAAAGTCGACTTTTGGGCAGCCTACCCAACCTACTTCGACGTTTGGCCAGCCTAGCCAGCCCACATCCACGTTCGGACAGCCAAGTCAACCATCGTCCACATTCGGACAGCCAAGTCAACCATCGTCAACGTTTGGCCAACCATCTCAACCGACCTCGACGTTCGGTCAGCCGACAACAGCATCAGCATTCGGAAAGCCTGGATTCGGCTCTTCTCCATCAACATTTGGTCAGCCCTCGCAACCTGCTTCAGCACCTGGCCAGGCCGCCCAATCAAGTCCCTCGCCTTTCGGCCAAGCAGCGGCTGCCACCACTACCACCGCGGCATCGCCATTCGGGCAACAACAGCCTTCGTTCGGCCAAGCCAGTGCGCCAGCCAATCCATTTGGAGCCAGACCAGCTGCAGCGACAACAGAAGCACAACCAAATGATCTGGCAATGGACACGGCGACGCCGGCGCCGTCCCGACCGGCTTCGCGAGCAAACCCATTCGATGCTGCTCAACCTGCGCAACCTACGCAATCGGCCACCTCCACAACGGTTCAGGTCCAGCCAGCTGCCGCGAAACCGATCATCAATACCTCGACAACACCACATCCTCTCACGGGACGACCTCCCCATGCAGTACACTACACGCAGACTCTCCCACTCCAACCGACGCAAAAGAATGCATCGGGTCAAGTGACCGCCTACCGTGGCCAGCGAGTGGACTACGTGGACGGGGTACCATGCTACAGACGGCCAGATGGTAAAGGGTTGGAAAAGATCTGGTTCCCCGATGCAGGCGCGACACCTGATGTGGTCGCTCTGAATCGTGAGGACAAGATCGGAGATACGCAGGGCCAACTGGATGAATATACGGACGACATCAAGGACAGGTATAAGTACTTGTTTGAGGAGGGACGGTTTAGAGATGGGAAGATCCCGCTGGTCCCGCCGTTAAGGGAGTGGAGTGTTTATGATTTTTGATTGAAGACGGGGATGTCTACAGTCGTATGCACATTAATTGCAGAATGCTTGGTTTGCCTGTACTACTAGTAAAAATTGAAGGCAGTTTTCTAGCCAGCGGCAGGGTCCAGAGAAGATCAAGCATTGCATGATACCAAATATCAAACAGAAAAGAACGTAAACCGGATGGGACTAGCGGCTCCGCCGTATCGATCATTGTACGAGTATTTGCAAGACATTGCAGTGCAGGCTCAGAACAGAAACGGGATTTTTGCAACGACCTTGAGCAAGGGATTTCCATTTCTTATCTGCGATGTTTCAGACCTACACCCTGCCCGAGCACATGATGGACACGGCATGATCACCCTAGCTCGGGATGGAATGGAGGGCAACCGGTGATCCACGTGCAGTGCGCACAGGCAAACCCACATCCACGAGCTCCAACCATCCCAGTCCCACGGCTTTCCCTTTTCTCATTCCATCTCATGCTTTGGGTAGTCTTTGACATCTATCGCCCACATTTAAGCGGCAATAGTAACCTCAACCTCAACACCAGCCTCAATGTTGATAATGATCTGCTTGACAACCTCGGTCGGGGCGTTGAGATCGATCAGACGCTTGTGGATTCTCATCTCATACATGTCCCAGGTCTTGCTACCCTCACCGCAAGGGGTCTTGCGGGTGGTGACCTTGAGGGTTTTGGTCGGCAGGCGGACGGGACCCTTGACGCGCAGGTTCTTGGATTTGGCGCGCTCCAACAGCTCCGAGCACACTTTCTCCAGCGATTGGACTTTGCGAGAGGTCAGGGTGATGCGGATCTTGTGGATTTTCTAAACAGACAGACACTGTTAGTTCTGCGCGCAGTGAGTGTGCCAAAAATCCAAGTTAGACGTACCGGGCCTTCGCCGAAATCCTTCTCAGGCTTTTGGAAAGACATGGTTGCTGGAGGTGGAGGTGATGACTCTCTTGCTGTTGTAGAGATTCGCTTGTCGGCGCCAATCAAGACCTGAACGGCGTGGTTCGGTAAGGTGATGAAAGGCTGTAGATTGGATTGAAGACGGTTGAACTTGTCGTGGTCGCAAAGTAGACGAGCGATGTTGAAGTCCAATTTTCGGGCCGGGGGTAGTGTGGGCGGAAATCTTGGCGGAGATGAAAAAAGCTACTAACTCGATTGGGCAAGGGCGGCTTTGGTTAGTCATGATGCAGCCTCGCCGACTATGACTCCATAGACTTCGAGGTCCGAGTCAAGTTCTGAGAAGCTGTTTATTTTGCTGGTGTTGATATTGAGGTACTCCTTATGGGCAGTCCATCGAGTCAAATTTTATGTGTTATTCCTGACTCAAATTATGGAAGAAGTGCCAGAAATTCCTGGTCAACTTCCACTACTGGCGGTTTACCCTGACCACAATGTCAAGGCCAGTTTGCCGCCTGCTGAATGGGATGCTTGTGTCGACTCATGGCTCGTTAGTATCGAAGTCCGTCTGAGGCTGCAGGAGGACCATTTTTTGCAACTGAAGCTGTCACAGTCGGCAAGTGGCGCTCCCTTTTTGGCGTCGCTGTTTAAAGCCAGTCGAGATGCTGGTCCCGCGTCATCGAGGCCTCAGAAGGAACGGTTGCTGCTGAAACGGGCCTACATGCTCTTGAGAAGGCTGTTGTTGGCAACTAAAGTACCATTCGACTACGGCAATGCAGACCTGCTGGATCTCTTGTGTCTGGCTAGTCATCAGTATGCTTCGGTCGCAGATTGGAGGGCAACAGTGAAGACGCTCTGGAAAAGGGATCAAAGTCAGATGTCCGGTGCAGTGGAGGCTTGGAAGAATGTTTGTATTGGGGAGCTTTCGGCTCCGCGCCCAGATTCGGAAGCGATACTACAGAAATATCGCCAGTTCAACGCCTTTTTGAAAGTCTCGCCTGACGCTGGGCTCATTCTGATGACAGGCTCGGATTACCTCGAATCGCTCTTGGAGGCATACAGCAATCTGCAGGGCGCCAGTATACAGAGGATACTAACAGAACATATCTTTTATTGCTTGCGGAGTCTCATGTCAGATGGCTTACCGCATGGCTCCCTGCTTCTTGATCACCTTTACTTCACGAAGTCCGAGGCCGACAGGATGTCAAAGTCGCATCCCGGTTCGCCCACTCTGTGCTCGAGCTTGGTATGCACAACGTCTTTCCTGAGGCATCTTGCGGCGGATGACTTGGTGAATGCCAGCAAACGCGGCCAAGCGTTGATCGACTCTCTTACAAATTACCGCCAGAACACGGCGCACTTGCATCCGCCTGCCGGGTCTCGGAAACGCAAGGTGAACAAAGGCAAAGGCAAGGCTGATGTTCAGGCCGAGATGCACGTACATAAGGCTTCGCAGATATCCCAAGTGCATGATCTTTTCCCGAATTTGTCGAGCCATTACATTCTCCGGCTGCTTGACCATTTCGACGATGATGTCGAAGCAGTGATTGCTGCTCTGCTTGAGCCAGAATCCCTTCCTCCTAACCTCCGCGATGCGGGCCCGCCAGACGAATCTTTGCCAGACTTTGATGGCCCTCACCACGATCTTGCTCCAAGGCCAACACCTCCTTTGCTTCCTGAAAGAAAGAACGTTTTCGACGGTGATGAATTTGACAATCTTCGAATATCGTCGGACCGTCTTCACAAGGGCAGGAAAGAAATCACGCTGGATCAGAATGGCACGAGTGATGAACATGCTCGACGGAAAGCAGCCATTATGGCGGCTCTGGCGGCTTTCGATTCAGACGATGATGAGCGAGACGACACTTATGATGTTGCCGATGTTGGCGGGACTGTAGACTCTACCGTCGATACAGATACCCGACCTCGGCCGGAGAATGGACCTCACCAGAATCCGTACGAAGAACTACTCTACCGAGCGTGGAAGGGCAATGAAGAGCTGTTTGCCCGAGACAGCAAGACTCGAATGTCCAAGGTCCGGCAAGACCTCAAACGCGAGACGGGAATGACCGATGAGCAGATCGAGGGCTGGGGAGTCATGCTCAAGAAAGATCCCCGGAGGCAAGACCAGCTTGAAAAGAAATACTCGGCATCGCAAGCGTTTAGGGGCAACCAACCTGCCCTTGCTACAACGAAATGGCATGGTGAAAATGCTGAAGAGAGCGAGGATGGTGAGAGTGGCTCAGCTGGTCGTACTAATGCGGCATCAGGGAAGCCACGAGGAAACCGCTCATCGGGTCGAGGGCGGGGAGGTAGTACTGCCGGTCCTAGTAACGATGCAGCCACGCAAGCGGCGAGAAGGAGAAAGGAACAGGGCAGAGGGCGAGGCGGGGCGAATCACGGCCGACGAGAGGGTCGGGCGCGCAAAATGGGCAGAGGAATGACTGGCCCTACAGGATGAGAGTATGGGCCGGTTCTACGTCTCTCGAATGTACTGGCAACTTCGGGCTCTCACCTAGATTCACTATCCTTGACTTCAAAAGCAGAGGTGTACCTTGGCTAAAATATGCTTCTAGACTGCCGGGCTGCCATCTGGTTACCTACCTGGCACTGTAGCATGAAGTCGGCTCAAGGAGAAAATAGGGGCAATCAATGAGACCCGGCTAAACTGCTGTTTTGGGATTCAGATGACGGCCCAGTAGACTGTTTGACGTGTTTGCTGCATTTGCCTTGTTTGCCATGTTTGCGCCAGCGTGAACGGCGCATAAACTCCATTTCTGCCGCTTTCACTGTTTAGGGTCTTCATGATATTGACGCCTTTGTACTTCTCAACTCCCCAGACAAAAGTCCCATAATTCGGTTTCTTCAACCTGAGGAGCGCTTTTGTATACCTCCCGTCCTAGCATTTAACCGAGCGACACGAGCGTGTTTGTGCATACACTGTGCTTTTTGAGGCATTTCGAATAGGCAGTCTCGCCTTGCCCAATCCTCGTTTTCAACTTGTCAATCTCTTCGAGGATCTGAATCTTTAAGTCTACTCCCTCACTCAGTCGGCTGAACCTTGAAAGAGCCTTACATACAAACAGAGCCCTTCGAAAGTCATGGTGCTGCAACCTGGCCATAACTAACAAACTTTCCCTCTGTCACTAAGTCATACGGCAATGACAGATACGTTCGCCGTGAATGGTGCCTCGAATGGCGCAGATTCGGTCTCTTATGACACCGCCAACATAATTCAAGCCTTACAAATCACTCACAATCCCACTACCAAAAATGATGTACGGTTTGAGGCTCTCAGGTATCTGGAAAAGCTGAAGGAACGGCGCGAAGCGCTTGAGTATGGCTTTTCCCTTTCCACCGACCTCTCCCAGCCTCCCGTGGTCCGACACTTCGGCCTCGGGCTGCTTAGCCATGTCATCCGTCATGAGGCTTACCACCTGAGCGAGGAACAGAATGCCCAACTTCGCAACTGTGTCCTTGAGTTAGGCAAATCAATAGTTCCGAGCGACCTTTCCTTCATCCGCAACAAGATTGCCGAACTGTGGATAGAGTTGGCCAAGCGAAGCTGGGCCCTGGATTGGTTCGATTTGGACGAGCAACTGGTCAGGTTATGGTCACAGGAACTTGTACACAAGGACTTCGTCTTGACCGTGCTAGAGAACCTCTCCGAAGATATATTCGTCCGCGATGACAGTATGGCCGTGCTACGCGGCCGAGACCTAAATTCTGCCTTCGTTGAGATCATCACCTCATCGAGCAACTACGCCGGGGGCATCAAAATTGGCGATGCAGTACATCATGTCCGGTACGGCAGTGAAGGATGGCTTACCAGAATACGACAGTATCTGGAGGAGTGTGCGAACAACCCAGATCTAGCTGGGGCGGTCAAGGACACCACCATCAAAGCGTTGGCAACCCTGCGGTCTGTCTTTGTCTGGGTGATGACGCCAGCTGTTGCTCAATCCATGTCTTTGGCAGTAACGTGCAGGTTTTTGACCAACTCAGACCCCGATCTTGTCATGGCTGCAGTCGATGCTCTTCTTTCTTTATACGGACGGACTCGTCTTGAGGAATTAGAGGTCCAAGCCCTCGTTTATCCTCTAATCCAACCGGAAGGCATTGCAGGGCTAAGTCAGCTATACTCGTGGTCGATCGTCTCAGTCGATGAAATCGACAGCAGCAAGTATGTCGTGTCCAAGAAGCTGTCCGAGTTGATGTCCCTTCTCGCCGTGCATACAACTCGGTATGCTCCTCCGGACCCGAACACTCTCGATCTCTCACCATTTCTGCACTTTATGATCGCCATCGCCGAGCATGAGAGTCTCATCGTTTCTATCCCAGTGGTTCATGCTTGGGTACAATTATTGGAAGTCAAGACGTGGAGAAAGGCGCCTGTGGTGTCGGAGTGTATTGGTCCACTTTTGCAAGTCGCATCCCGGCGGCTCATACAATATGATCAACTGCCTGAAGGCACAGACGACCCAGTCGTGGCATTTGTTAATGATGAGATCGAACTCTTTCCAGAACGTCAGGGCTTCTACCTCAGTTATCGCAGACTGTGTTCAGCCGTGATTGAATGGATCTGTTACGCGCAGTTAGAAGAGGCACTGCAAGCAGTCATGAACCGAGCGGACGAGCTGTTAGACGAGGTTCAGACTGCCGAGCAACAGCTGGACCCTGCTTCCTACGAAAGAGTCTCCATGAATGTTCTACGAGCCGATTCGTATTTCGCCATGGTCGATGCAGCGCTCAATGGGCTAGACCGCTGGCAAGCAAAACACCGAGAGGGCCAAACAGCCGAACAGGAGCAACTTGCGGCTAGAGTGAGGGAATCGGCCAAAAGATGGCTTCTCAATATGTCGAAGAAAAGAGAGTTTCGAGACCCCCAGATCAGACAGCGCCAAATCAAAACTGCCGTCGAAGCGTCGAACCGGGCTTTACAGAAGGATACCGGCTTTGCGTTCAGTGTCCTCGAACACATTTTGTCGTCATTCATCATTACTCCACCACAGCATTCCCTTTATGCTGAGGCTGTTACTGAGCTCCACAACTATGCCACCAGCGAGCTGAGAAGGCTGTCACTTCAGCACGCAGACTATTTTGTGACGTTCTATGACCAGCTTGAAAGCAGGTTCACCGACCTAATCAACCAGCTTGGTGGTGATGAGCGAATACAAATTGATCTCAAATCGATTCTTTTCTCCATTATCCAGCGGGCCGGAGCGGTCGACTACGCGCAACGTCAGGCGAAGTTGGAAGGCTTTCTGCAATCGGTTGCTGCTGCTTGGGCCGACAGCAGCCTCCAGGATACACTCCAGAGTCTGGAAACATTTGCTCGGTCCCAAGCTTTTGACCGAGTCGGGCCTTACATGGCGTCGATAGGGGCAGCAAATGTGGAGGATTGGTCCCAAGTGCCGTACAACGAGCGTGGCGTACAAATCCAGCGAGACATGTTGATGGCTTTCTCCAAGTTGCCTCTCCGGGAGACCAGAATCCTGCTTAGCATCTCCACGGACCGGCTTGAGCAAGGCTCAGCACTTCACCGGATGATTTGTGATCTGTGGACACCGCTGATACCAAACATGCTCCCCCACGTCCTCCGACTAACCAGCTACAACCATCAACTACACAATCCTGCCGCATGGCCGAATGTCAACACACCCGAGCTACAAGCCCTCATTCGACGAGTTCTACGAGACCGATATTGGCAATCGGGAATCTCCAGTGGGTCTATGAACGAATTCCACAGCAAGGTCAAGTCGACCAGATCGACCATCGAGGGATTTGCCTCGTCCGTGCGCGGAAGGATCCGCAACAACCTCGAACAATGCTACAGCATCCTTCACACGTTGGGAAGACTCGGCCCGGCCTTTTACAGCCTACAGCAACTTCCTGAGATGATGGCGGAAGCGGCAATCAACACCGCAGCACCACTGAGTCCGCACCACTTTTCTGTTATGATCCAGATGCTGCCGAAACTGATCGATGAATGTCCGCCCGAGCACCGACAGCATTTCCTGACGCCAATTCTGTCATCACTACTACAGCAGATGGACGCGAAACTGACCGAGGAATGGGTCAAGATGGACGAACGCAAACAGACCAAACACGAAGAAGAAAATCTCAACGACGAGATGCGCGACGACTCGGTGCTCCGCCAGACGACGTACAAGGCCGTCAATCTGGTGGCGCACTGGCTGAACCCGAAGCGGGAAGCACAGCTGAGAACGAAAAAATCAATCGTCAACGGGAACTACTTGAACGATGAAAGCCAGCAGACGATGCGGCAGTTTGTCTTGTCCAACGTGCAGATATTGGAGCGGCTGTTGGTGTTTGTGACGCACGCCCTGGCATTCCGGGACACTCGGTCATGCTACACTATGCTCGGGGCCGTGCAGCGCATTGTGCCTGAGTTTGGACACGGGCATGGTGAGAGACTGCTGTCGGGCGACGAAGCCGCCGCTGCGCGCGAGTACATTTCTTCGGAAATGCTAAAGACCGCAATCACTTGTCTCAATGACGGCTATTTCGCTGACCACCAGCAACATTATGCGCAGCTCATTGCGACCATTTGGGTGTCGTACGGCTTACCAGCGCACGCTTCTGGGAGTGAGTCTACGACCCCTGCGGGCGCGCGAGACCTCCCGCCTTTGACTGCCACGCCGCGAAACGTTATCCTCAGCTTGCCGGGCATGACGGAGGAAAAAGTCGATCGGGCCGCTGCCCAGCTTGCGCGAGAAGGATCCGTCGCTCGCCCTAAGAAACTTCGAGCAATTGTCCTCTCGTTGCTCGAGGGTGTTCGTGGCGTCAGGCTCAGCGAGCTCGGCAAGATTGATTTGCGGCCCCAGCAGTCCAAGATTTTGGAGAAGTATAAGCAGCGCGAGTCTCTGGGTATGCAGGGTGTCGAAGATGGTGTTGGTGGTGCTGCTGCCAATGGAGCCGCTGACGATGGAATCGATCTTGGTGGCGTGGCCGACATGTTTGCAGGTTGAGCTCATCTTTCTGTCCGAGTCGGTAGAAATGTAACATCAAAAAGTTGTATGTGTCGTCCGCGATGGAGTTTCTACTTAGCCCTAGTATCTCTTACTGCTCTGTGCCACTGCTTTTGTTTGTCAGATTAGGGAACTGTTGGATTAGAGACCTTAGGACACCGAACGAGCCCCGGTTGCGCCCCGGTTGAGATTTCGAGCCCTCGTCTGGTATCATGGTAGACGAGAAACGTCGAAACGATGTTCCTGAGGATGCAGCCTCTACTGAAACGTGCGTTCCTGCTAATGTTATGTACGGTACGCCTTTATGGCCCCTATAAGGTAGGCACGGCCTGCTGGTCTCGTAAATCGGGCATAATGAGTAGTAAAAGTGGTCCAGAGTGTGTTCTGGTAGTCATTGACGGATGCAACCCTTCATTCTACGGACTCGGTCATCCCATCCTCCTGGTGCGATTTTTGAGTCTGATTTGATCCGATCTGATCCACCTCAGGCTTCACGTTAAAATATGTATGTACACTCCTCCAAGTTGTGTGCCAATTGACCCCCGCAGCGATGACTTGTTGGCCATCGACCAAGTTTTTGCATTTTTTATGTGGAGTTTATCTTTCTCTCTTTTTGAAAGCGCCATGGTCCCAGTGCAGTCCTTCCACTCTTCCCTTTCCGCTTCCAAAATCAGGAGGGCTCGTTGGATGGATTTCGTCCCGGACCTACCAGAGGTAGAAAAAGCGAGGTTTGGTGCACCAGACGCCGCGGATAGTGCCAGTTTATTCTGACGTTCTGTTCGGCGTAGCCGCGAATGTCGGCCGGACGAATCTGGAGACACGACCGAGTTAGCCTCTGTTCCTTTGTTTCCCTTTTGGCGTTGCTGTATGCATGCATCTCATGTAGACCGTGGCTATATTCGACCCAATTTTTCTTGCCCTCGCAGGTCCAAAGTTTGATATCTCCCGAATACCACGGTTCCATCCAAAAGGTGTGTGACGAGTTTGTACATACCTGTTACTATTATACGCGCCACTCTGGCTCCCCAACAACTCCTTCTCGCGCGCCAGATCGGCATAGTACCGACGGACCTGGTCACGGTCCTCCTCGGCCTGTAGCAAGGGGATCAAGTGGATGCGCGCCCACATCTTCTCGCGGGCCATTTCGTGCTTCTCGCGCTGTCCGATGAAGATCTGGCGCCAGCCGTAGGCCATGACTAGACCACATGCGACGAGGTAGTACATTGGTCGGAGACCGCGGGTTGGAAGGTTGCGCTGGATAATAGCAAAGAATTAGTTTATGTTCTCTTCCTTAGTGTTCTCATATGCAGACAACCGCTTGTCGCGGAGCCTTTGTCGGCCTGTCGATATTGCACCACTGCAGAATCGATCCCTCGATCGGACTAGGACATAAGACGTAGATGTAGACGTACTCTGTATTGAACGGGTTCATACCCGCCGACGGGCGGGAGATCTTGAGGCATTCTGGTGTGTGTCGTAAGTCGTATACAGAATGATCGGGACGGGAGGGTTCAGTTCGGTTTGGTGTGATTCGATCCGGCCTACATAGACAGCCGCGACGATCCAACGCAACTGCCTCGCAGATATTTGGGTATGTTATGGCCGGGAAGTGGTGGGTAGGGTATGTAGGTAAATGATACAAGTACCACTACGAGTCGTAGCTCTTGGAATTGAGATGAAGTCAATTGGACCGCAGGTGGCTTAAGTAATACCACATAAATCTACGGCGCTGCTTTAAGCGTGGTATGAGGGGAGCCAGAGCCTTGCAAGTTCCTCCAATGCAAGTGTCGTCCAAAATATGATGCGGGACAACTTTTTGAAATCTACAACCCCGAGTCCTGCACTATCTAAAATCGACCATTGTCCAGCACAATGGAGGCAGCAGAGCGGCCGACAAAGATGCGAAAGCTGAACGCTGACGCTGAGCCGACTGCAGTCCCCCAAGATACACGAACACCAGACCAACCACTTTTGTCCGGCGTCGAAGTCAATGGTGCAGTTGTTCCCAGCACCGAGACTGCGAACGGATCCAAGCCGGCTGATGAGGCTGCTTCCCACAATGCCGATGTTGCAAATGGACAAGAGAATGTCGAACGTGAGGACTCAGAAACAGAGGAGCATAGCCAGAACCAGAACGAAGAACAGGATCAGGAGTCAAAGACTACGAGTACAGACCCGGCACAACAGGACGGGCAGCCCTTGTCCAAGAACCAACTGAAGAAATTACGCAAGAAACAAGAATGGGAAGCGGGCCGCGAGTATCGTAAGTTGAAGAGGAAGCAGAAGATGCAGGAGAAACGGGCGAGAAAGCGTGAAGCCAGAGAAGGCGGCGGCGAGCAAAACCCAACATCAGACGCCGGTACTGTGCAGCAGCAGAATCAGAGAAAGAAACCCCGCAAACCGGTCCAACTTCCCATCACCATAATCATCGACTGCGGCTTCGACGGCTTGATGATAGAGAAGGAGCGCATATCCCTCGGATCGCAGATCACGCGGTCATACTCTGATAACTCGCGGGCTCCTTTCCAGGCCCATCTGGTGATCAGTTCCTGGGGCGGCCACTTGAAAAAACGGTTCGATACCGTTCTGAATAAGCATTACCTGAACTGGCGGGGAGTGACGTTTTTGGAAGAAGACTTCGTCGAGGCCGCCAGACGCGCGGATGAGATTATGAAAGGGCCAAGGGGTGGAAAATTGGTGGGTGTCTTTGAGAAATACGCTGCTGCTGCTGCTGGTGTTCAGTCCAATCGTCTGGAGGACCGTCAGCAAGCCGAGCACGTGGACCAAAGACAAACACACCCCAACCTCGAGTCTGACACCTCCAAACCAGCCGAGACTGAGCATGAGGCTGAGGGTGATCCTGCAGCTGCAGTTGACTCCAAGGTCACAGAAGATACTATTGCAAACCCACCTCCAACCTCATCATCATCCTTACAGGACGACTCGCACCAGACGTCTCAACAGGATCCTGCACTTGAATCAGCCCAGAAAGATACCCAACCATCGACGGACTCGACAACACCAGCACCCACTGATTTACCCCCGCAGCACCACCACCCTCCCATCCCTAAAGGCGAAGTAGTCTACCTAACCTCCGATTCTCCCGACACATTGACCGAGTTATCCCCCTACTCAACCTACATCGTCGGCGGCCTGGTCGACAAGAACCGCCACAAGGGCATCTGCTACAAGATCGCCCGTGAAAGGGGGATCAAGACGGCCAAGCTTCCCATCGGCGAGTACATGGAGATGCAGTCGCGCAAAGTGTTGGCCACGAACCATGTCGTTGAGATCATGGTGCGGTGGTTGGAATGTGGCGATTGGGGAGAGGCGTTTTTGAAGGTCATTCCGAAGCGGAAGGGTGGGAGGTTGAGAGGAGACCATGATGAACGGACCGTCGACAGTAGCGTTGCTGGCGATGAAGAGAGGGAAGACGAGGATGACCATGAGGATGAAGATGTAGATCACGACAACGACAACCGCAACGGGGCTGCTGCAGATGGTGCTAATCATGGCAACGAGGCCACTGAGCTTGAGCCACAGGTGGAAAATCAGGATTGAGGTCTGGTATACCAAGAATGGTCAAAATTCCATCAGACGGGCCTTGACTACAAGCTAGGCTTAGCAAATGACAAAAACTTCCATCCGTGGAGCGCTACAAGTATGCCATGGATCAGGGAGCAATACAAAATTATAGCAGTTGTAATCATGATCGACAGCGCTTCATAAACCGCTAACATGCGCCTTTTTGACAACCAAGGCCACACAATCATGCATGCGGTACTCCAATGCTTCTGCTTGTGCTTCACATGACAGAGCAATTCTCAGCCGTAGATTTGACGGCCTCGAGATACCCAGCATCGACATCCTCTTCTTCATCCAATAATGCACCAGGTTTCCTCTTGACACCCTTGACGGTCATGGTCTGTTCGCCAACGCCATGCCACCACTTCATGACTTGCATGCCCTCACCGTTGACGTCTAGGACATCGATCCGCCATCTCCCACCGCTGACTTCGACCTGCGTCTTGCCCGGTGGGAAATGATACTCGGGCAAGAATATTTCGGTGGGTACGTCCTCCTTGGTGGCGCGGTCTGACAGAAGGCTGAAAGTGAACACCACACGACGGAGGTCAAATCCATATCCGACCACATCTCCCACCGTGGCAATAGGAGTCGGTCTAACATACGCCTCTGCTGCCCGGAGGCCTGTATTGCTCGAAGCCAGCTGAGGCCCGGTTGCCGAAACCTTTTGCTGGATATCGGGCGTCCTCAAGGCATCCTTTAGATTGGTGGGTTCGATCAATGTGCTGCCTGAGTAAGAGCCTGGGCCCTTCCCCAAGGATGTGCTTGAGGGATTAGTGGACGGGTAAGCGGAAAGTGACGACGGGTCATGTGGGAGAAGAGGGTCATCAACAGATACTATCGAGAGATCTTCGCCGTTCCACAAGTCTCCATATTCGTGATTGTTCTGGGATAATTGTCAGAAAAATCCGCACACAACAAGTTTTGATGTGCTCGACTATGTCGGTGTCAGCTTACCTGGCTGGTATAAGTCCACAGAGCATATCCCTGGGCACCAGAACCCTCGAGGGCGTAATGATTGGCGTCCAAGGCAGACGTTTGGCTGGAATAGTCGCCGGTCTTGTATGCATATTTGTCGTCCATGTCGAATGGTATTCCGATCTCCGTGAACAAAGTAGGATGATCGCCCAAGTGTTCGAGTCCTTCGTCTCGAATGGCTTTCAGTTGGTCACGCAAGCAGTTTCGGATCGCACTCTCCCCAAGCCGCACTGCGAATACCGGGTTCGAGTAGCGGTGCCGTAGCAATCCAAAAATGTCCACGTTGTAGTACTTGTTCCAGTGTTTCTGAATCAAAGTAAGTCCATCATAGTAGTGCGTGGCAAACACCAAACGTTTGTCGTCGTCTGGTGTATCTTTGATGCTTGGGGGAATCTCCAGAACTGCCGACTGCATTAGGATCACGCAGTCCTTATGGATGGAACGAATGGCATCTCTGTATTTCCGGAAATGGTCCATGTAATAGGTGTTGGTGAATGCTTCGTAGTCCAACTTGGTGCCTGATTTTGGTGCCGTTGCAAAATAGTCTCTCTTGAGAAGCAGGTCCTGAGTCGGATCCCAGACCCCGTGCTGGGCCCAGATACATTCCCCGAGCTTCCAACCCGGATCTCGTTTCCAGCCATATTTGGAATCATCGACGCTGGAGGAGAGCCAGGCGAACACGCCTTCGGGGTCCACCAGTTCCCGGCCACTCTTGTAAGCGCCGAAGGTGCCGAACTCATACGTGTCTATCTCGACTGCCCGCCCAGCACCAGTCAGGATGGCTTGCCATGGCGTCGGACACGTTCCTTTTCTCATTTTCAAGTCGTCTGGGATGGCGTCTAAGTCCTCCCAACCGACCAAACCTCGATGAGGCTCATTCATAGTTTCCCACCCGATGATGCATTCGTCTTCCAGATCTCCAGCCTCGTGTATTCTCTGAGCCAAATGGGCGCAAGCCGCTATGAAATGGTCAGTAAGATAGTCCTGGATATTCTTGCCATCGATTATCGCTTTCGGCGCAAAGTCCCGTCCGGCGTAGAAGAGGGTAAAAGCGGTCTGGGCAGCTAGGCGAGTGTAATTTGTCGGCCATAACATCTTTGGGAAATTGGTTGGGTCTGGCCAGGTATTGTGGACGACCGCCGCTTGGTTGGCGGTAAAGGTCGTTGGGTCCAAGCCACAAGCATGCAGAGTCCACAAAGGGGCACCAGAGCCTCCTGTGAACCTTGACCAGACATCCTGATGCGGATCCATAAAGACATAGAACCCATAGGACTTTGCTATACGCAGAATCTTGATAGTGTGATCTATGAAGTCTTCGTCGTATTCGCCGGGCCCGGCATGCTCCAGAGCTTCCCAGGTGAAGATGTAGCGTATCACATTATAGCCCCATCTCTTCAACCTGGCAAAATGTATATGCGCCTCTTCCTCGGTGAACGGCCGTCCAACGAACGAGACATTGTCTGCGTCGAAGAAGCCATCGGGCTGGTGAGATGGTTGGTCGGGATGCCGAGGAAATTTGCACTCTCCTGCAACATTGATGCCCCGGAAAGTTATCTCGCGGCCCTCAGCATCTCTGAATCTGATTCCATCGATCGTGAGACCTTGACGCGCCATTCGAGACTAGGGAAGTAGGAGTGGTCTTCGGACCATGCGGCAACTCGGACCAGCCGGCGGCAGAGGAATTCGGGCGCGGATTGTCGGGTCCTTGTGGTGCTGCGTGCTGCTATATTTTGAGGAGGATCTATATGTTGACGGTGGGCAGGAGAAGGGTTGTCTATGTAGGGAATTGTAGGGTGTCTCTCGGTAGTAGTAGTAGTATGATGTCCAAGTAGACTCGGACTGCTGTTCATATGACGTATACCATTGGACACGCCCGCGCATCTAGGTGTTCGAATGCTTCGCCTTACTGTCATATGCCGTATCAATAGACCACCGTACCACTGTATCCGTTCAGTTTGACAGGCATGACGCCGGATGGCATTCTTCACAATTCCGATTCTATGCCTTGCCTTGAATTAACTTACGTGTGCCAGTTTACGTCTTGAGACTGCACCTTGGGGAGGCGTTATTAGAAGATCAATTGTCCCAGTTGCCGGCATAAAAGTTTGCGCATAAACATCTTTCAGGGAGGGCTTTCAACCCAGCAATGCCACTTTTGTACCGGAGCACTACACAAGTGTCATGCTGTTACGCTCTTTATACGATTGCCGAGAAATAAGGACCCTTTCCAGGCTTGAATATCAACAGAATTTGCCGCACGCGGCATCATTCACTTCTCAATGTCCTCCAAGGCTGCTCTGAAGGCTATCAAGTCTTCGCTGGACGCAGGACAGTATGCCAAGGCGGCGGAACAGGCCGAAGAATTCCTGAAACAAGATGAGCGGAACCACACAGCATTGCTCTTTCTTGGATTCGCAAAGGAGAAGGTCGGAGACCTAGAGGCAGCAGAAAAGGCCATTCGCAGAGCTGCCGAGGTCAAGCCCCAGGATGTTCAAGCCTACAAAGGCCTGATCACACTGTACGAGAAACAAGGCAATGCCAAGCTGGACCAGTATCATGAAGTGGTCTTCAAGTTGGCAGAGATCTATGCTCAGCAGGAGGATAGAGCGCAATGCCAAACTGTCATTGACAAGTACGAACTTTTCGCAAAGAAGCATGGCAGTCGTTCTCAGTATCGGCGAGCATTGGAGCTCATTCTCCCCACGTCACCACTTTATCCAACTCTCGAAGGCCGAGTCATGCAACCGAACATTACATATCAGCGCATCCTCGAGTCAGCCGAAGCGGAAGAAAAGGAATGGATCAATACCCAGATCGGCGAAAGACGAACGCGACTCGGCGCAAAAATCGATCAGGTTACCAGACAAGTAAAGGCAGAAGCCGTCACGAAGTTTCAAATCGAAGAGAAATACGCCAATTTGATCGACTGGACCAGAGACGACGATGCGCGCCACGACCTCGAGCAGAAGCTGTTCCAACGAATGTATGATAATTTGCAGGTCCTGCCCAAAGACGCCAAACCTGGGCAGCGGGACAAGATTTTGGACATGGCTAACGGCATGGTCATTATCAAACTGCGCTGTCTCCTAGCATGGAAAGTCGCATTAGAATGGGTGGATGCCGAGGACTTAGCAGAGTGGGATGTGAATATTTTCCGCGAATTCATTGAGTTCTTTCCCAATGATGGTCTAAGCAAGGTGCTACGCGGATTTCTCGAGAGCAAAGCGTCTCCTTTCCCACAACCGCCAGTCGAAGAAGGCGAAACCGACGAGACACGCGAGAAACTGACCGAGGCGGATCAGCTTATTCTCATGAACGAAGGTCTCGAGGATTGTCCAGAATCCATGTTAGGTCACCGTATCATGGCCTACACTTATCTACATTTCGAAGATTGGCAGTCTACCGTTGATGCAGCAAGGAAAGCTCAGACCCTATATCGGACCGCAGAGCAGCAATACGCTCTGGATCTACAGAATAGCGTTGACGGCGTGAACCTGATTCTTGCCAAGGCGTTAATCACCTTCCAGTCTCCTCGCCATCATCCCGAAGCAAAGGCCCTGTTTCAAGATATCCTGAACCGAAAGCCTAAACTCACACCTGCCTTGTTAGGTATAGGCTTGATATTCGAAGAAGATGAAGACTATGCCGAAGCTGTCAGATTCTTACAGCAGGCTGCTGAACGCGATCCCGATAACGTCAGGATCAAGCTCGAGCTTGCCTGGTGTCGTGCTCAGAATGGCGAACTCGAAACTGGCCTCGACAGCCTCAAAGAGGTCCTATCGGTCATCGAATCAGAAAAGAGCCAGGACCTACCCATGAAATCAGTTGCATTGTACCGGATGGCTTATTGCATGTGGCACATCAACCCAGCCCCTTCTGCACGCAAAGACAAATCCGGACCGTACCAATACCTCATTGCCTCAGTCAAGGCCAACCCGAGCTATGCTCCGGCATATACATTGCTAGGCGTCTATTTCCAGGACTACGGCAAGAGCAAGCAACGGGCTCGAGTCGCACTTCAGAAGGCTTTCGAACTGTCGACCTCAGAGCTCGAAGCCGCACACAGGCTCGCCAAATCGTTCGCTAACTCTGGGGAGTGGGACTTGGTCGAACTGGTCGCACAACGGGTGGTGTCTTCGGGCAAAGCCAGACCAGCGCCGGGATCGAAGAAGAAAGCCCACAGCTGGCCTTATGCAGCGTTGGGTGTCGTGCAAATGAACAAGCAGCACTATTCCCAAAGCATCGTTTCCTTCCAGGCCGCTCTACGCATTTCACCAGACGACTACTACTCCTGGGTTGGTCTGGGTGAAAGCTACCATAACGCTGGTCGACATGTGGCTGCCACAAAAGCCTTTGCGAAAGCTGAGAGCATCAGTCACGGGCTGTCACCGGAGGAGACGTGGTTTGCAAAATATATGCTCGCCAATGTCCAACGCGAAATGGGGTTCTTCGACGAAGCAATTGGAGCATATAAAGCCGTCCTCGTGCTCAAGCCCGGCGAGTTTGGTGTTTTGATCTCGCTACTTCAGACCATTTCCGAAAGTGCGTGGGCCAAAGTTGGTCTCGGTATGTATGGCGAGGCAGCTCGGCTCGCATGCCAGGCCTTTGAGGTTGCGGCCGAGATCACTGAGCACAGAACGGACTTTTTCAATTTGTGGAAATCAGTGGGTGATTCTTGTTCTGTTCTCGGCCACGTGAAGCTCCATGCCGCTGTCACAGATTTGGAGGGCGTTTCCAAGTTGCTTGGAGATTCTAGTGAGAACGGTTCTAGTATTCTTGCAGACGTGGACAAAATCAGTCCCGACATGTTGAGACCCAGTGATGAAGGAGACAGTCCCTCTGACGCGGCCGACAGATGGCTCGTTGCTGCTGTTCTTTCCTACAAACGTGCCATCTATGCTTCTACAACCGACCCACACGCCCAGGCTGTGGCTTGGTACAACTTGGGTTGGGCAGAATATTCCACCTATATATCTGGCGGCGAGGTGATTAGATCAAACGGGAAGAAGCCTCCAAACAGACTACTCAAAGCAGCGATAAAATGCTTCAAAAGAGCCATCGAGCTAGAGGCTGGCAACTCGGAGTTCTGGAATGCCCTGGGAGTGGTCACCATGACACTTAATCCAGCAGTATCGCAGCACTCTTTTGTTCGAAGTCTGCATCTGAATGAACATAGTGCCAGGACGTGGACGAACCTCGGTGTTCTTTATCTCATCAACAACGATAACCAACTCGCCAACGAAGCGTTCACGCGAGGCCAATCTGAGGATCCAGAGTACGCAGAAGCATGGATCGGACAGGGGCTATTGGCAATGCTCTTCGGAAACCTTCAAGAAGCAAGAGGATTGTTCACGCACGCTTTCGAGATCGCAGATGCAGCCTCGTTGCCTGCAAGACGCCATTTTGCTATTTCTGCTTTCGACCATCTGCTCAAGGATCCCTCACGGTGTCAGGAAGTCGGGGCCTTATTGCAGCCCCTGTTCGCTATGCGTCAATACCACACGCAGCAGCCATCGGACATGATTGCAACGCATCTCCTAGCACTGCTAGCCGAGCGTGTGGGCGATTACGACACCAGCGCGGAAAGTCTGGTTGAGGTCTGCAATGCAGCGGAAGCTGAATACGAAAAGTCCGAATCAAATGAATACCTCGTCAGATATGCTCAGGCAAAGGCAGATCTCGCTCGGTCTCAGCTCGCCTGCGGTCAATACTCAGAGGCTGTGGATAACGCGCAAACTGCTCTGGATCTCTCGGGCGATGCAGATGAACTTGGCGCCGCTTATGCAGAGGTTCGGCGGAAATGGAGGCTGTCGTCACAGATTACCGCAGGTCTGGCATACAGCAAGTTGCAGCAAATCGACAACGCCATTGGAATGTTTGAGGCAGCGCTACAAGAGTCCCAGGGGGAGCCTGATATTGTCTGTCTACTCGCCCAGGTTCTATGGGCAAAAGGTGGCCCGGCGGAGAAAGACGCAGCCAGATCGCAGCTCTTCGATGTTGTCGAGAACCATCCTGGTCACGTGCAAGCCATGGCACTCCTCGCCGTGATTGGATTACTGGACAACGACGATGATGTTCTGGAAGCAGTGGAGGAGGACCTAAAAGCGCTCAGACGTGGTGAGGAAATTGGTGTTCTGGATAAAGTTCGAGTGACGAGGATTTTGACTGCTATTGTTGGCTTTCGGTCAGGCGACCAGAAGGTGGATCAGCAAGCAGTCCTTGCGGATGCTCTTAATGGGATCATGCTAGCGCCAGGACAACCGCAAGGCTGGCTGGAACTGGCGCAGGCTGTTGGTGGCGAAGATGGAGGTGATTATGCCGCGGCGATGGCTGTCCTTCAGGCTGAGAGACAGACACCGCCCGCTGGTAATCTCTCTGCGAGCGATCTGGCCAGAGCGTACGAGGGCACTGGTGCACAAGAGGATCTTCTTAAGGCGAAGATGCTGACACCATGGCGGTTGGAGATTGCTGTTGATGCCTCTTAAAGTCCACCGTCCAGTGGTAGTTGATCTGATCTTCGTGAATCGAAGAGATATGGTGCTGTCATTGCTGGTAGAGTCGGCTTGTTCATGTTGAGAGTAGATCATTTGTCTTTCTCGGGGCCAAATCTGTAGCGAATAGATAGACACCTCTCGCGTAACACCAACACTGTACCTGTCCCGTAATCAACCGGCTCCCATCCCATTTAATCTGTTCGGATGCAGTGGGCGTCTTCCGCTGCCCGTGCACCATGACCGGCTGAATCCTTGCTAGGACTGTCCCTGTCCCTATCCCACAATCCCATTTTCCCGATTCAACAACATCGTCAAATTCTTCTTCCGCTCTTCCTTCCACTTCCTATCCCACGCATCAACTTTTCCACCTATTACAACACAATCCTCAGGCTTCAGCATGACCATTCCTCGCCTCACAACCGTCCCGGGCTTCAAAAGGATCTTGCATCCAATAGCCATGCCTGGATCTTCCACCATCGACCTATTGGATCCCTGCTGCTGCTGCTGTGCCGAGACAGAAGCAGAAGCAGAAGCAGCAGTAGAAACCCCAATTCCCGGAACCTTGACGACTTCAAACGCTAGGACTTTTGTTCCCTTTGCATCTTGGAGCAAAAGCTTATGAGGTCCTAAAGACGTTGCCGTTGCCGTTGATCTGGTATTACTAGTGGTTGTGGCCCTGGCTGCTGGGGCCGGGGCCGCGGAGACCGCGTCCTCATCGTTTCCGTCGTCAACAGTCCGAATGACTTCACGCCCCCGAACCTCCTCGCCTCGTTCTACGCGTTCAATGGCCTCGACTTGGCTCCATTTACTGCTGCCCACGTCGATGACGTCGAGAACTTGTGTGATGACTGGGCCGGCGAGACGACGTTCTTTGACGGTGATGTCGGATATGTCTGCTGGTAGGACCTCGGCGGAATTGGTGGGACGTAGAGAGGTCGTGATGTCGCTTGTCAAGATGCGGAAATGGGCTGTTGATAGGAGGGCGGGCATGGGTGGTGGGTTTGGGCCGCGGGTTGATAGGAATTCGGATAGCCAGCGTGGGTGGACGGGGAGGTGGTGGCGTGTTTGGAGGAGGGAGGATAGTTGGTCTTGGAGGGGTTGGGGGGGTGCCATTGAGTTGGGATAAAGATGGTTCTTTCTTGTTTATCTTGAAGACTTGAAGATGATGGCTCGCCTCCCGTCCAGACTGTTGTTGTAAGATCTAGGGTAGACCGATTAAGGAATGCCGGGAATAGTTTGTGGAAAAGGGTGGTGGGCTGTAACACGGTAACTTGACATCGTAAGAGGAGAGGACGTGTTCGTTTGCAAAACGAGGCTGGGTCTGGGAGTCTCCTAATTTTTGGATAGCGCCAGAGCCATTGTAGACGATAGCTCAGGGGCGTCAATGGGTTCTATGGTCGTTGGGAAAGAGATATACATAAGGTAGTAGAAACATGAGGGCAGTCAATGAAGGAGATGGACGGAGAAATGATCGGCCCGCACAAGGCTGAAGTGGATATCGCTACTTGCCCCGTAGCCAATCATGTTCATAAGTCCGCTAGTATCCTGCGCAAGGCTGAGTGTCGACAACTCCAACTACCATGCTCTCTGTGTTCGCTACTTGGTGTTCACCACCTGGTATTTGCGGTTGTCGTTCTGCCCCTGCATACAATAACACCAGGGTCCCTCCATCCCCGATACAAAGTACACTCTTCTTATGCCTTGAATAATGTAATTACCAACCCCTAACTTGAACATCATGGCCACAATCACATCCCCGCGCAGCGAATCCCCTGCGGTCGGCGTCCCTCGAATCATCACCTCTCCATTAAGTCCCAGTCCCTCTGGGCCCAACGGCAACGGCACCGGCAACGGGACACCCATATCTTCTTCCTCGATGCGGCCATCCTTTGACGTTCCACGAACCAGCACTTCCTCGCCCGCACCCAGTCTTCAACAAAGCTCCACTTCCACTTCAACTTCCACGGCACATCGCCGCAACCGCGCCGCTCTACGCGACTACTACAATCTCAAAGGTGGTGGCAGAGACCAACATCACGAGAACCTCAACATCAGCCGCACAGCGAGCATCGCATCCAACGCATCCGATTCCACAATCACATCAACCACAGTCCCTATCGAAACATCATCTACATCAACAACAACATTAACCGCTCAACTAGACGACCCAGCCTTCGACGCCGAGAAATATGTATCCGAACTCCTCAAGACTGCGGGTCTACGAGACATCCTCAAGATTGAAAGCACACTAGTCAGCGAGATTCGGAACCTGGACGGCGAGAGAAAAGCACTGGTCTACGATAACTATAGTAAGTTGATCAAGGCGGTGGGGACGATTGCCGAGATGCAAAAGGGCATGCATAAACGAGACAACAGTGGTGTTGTCACTGCCACTACTATACTACAAAAGGGAGACCAAGACCAAGACGTGGGATTAGATGGTGTGGAGAAACTCGCGGAGAAACTGGATCGGTTGTTGAGCGTGGTAAGAGATTTGGTTCCGGTCGAGGCTGGAACAGAACAAAAGACGAAACAAAAGGAGATGATCGAAGCGAGGAAGAAGACGAGGCAGAAACAGACGGTCAAGTGGGCTTTGGATGCTCCAGAGCGGTTGCAGGCATTGCTCGACCAAGGTCGTCGTGATGATGCTGGTAAAGAATATGAATCTGTTATTGGCTTGTTGGAGCACTGGAAGGGTGTTGCCGGAGTGGATGAGTTACGGGCCCGGTGTGATAAGGTCATGCGGGAGGCGGAGAAGGACACCGCTGCCAACAAAGATGATGAAGCGGCGCAGCAGAAGCAAGAAGATGATAATGCTGACAACACTGCTGGTTGAAGACAGCCTATTTTTTCCGCCTTTCGAGCCATCTGTCTTACCCTCCGAAAGAATCGAGCAACAACGCGGTTACGGTCCAGCAACCATTGCATGGCTCAATCATACCTTGCGGTATCCACATGGGTCTCCACACCTCGCTGCTCTACGGTTCTCTACCCGGGAGAAAATAAGCTTGGGAGTGGGTGTCCTTCAAGTTCCAGGCAGCCAAGCCAACTCAGGCTCGCCCATGGCTGGCATTCTACAATATCCCCAAGTCCACACGCCACGATCACCTCATTGCCCAAATACCTGCTTCGTCGACCGCCATGACCGCCCAGGCCGCCGTGGCTCCACAAGGACAAGCGGAGATGGAAAACGGATTGCGCGCTGTATATGGACTTGGTTGTACCCGCAAGTTGCTCTGCGTACATACTGAGTGTCAACGCAGAAACCATGGCATGGCAAACAATCACGACGTGCAGTGGTGGAAGCACGTGCGGCTCCCCTACGCAGATGTCTCCTGCGATACGGCACCTAACGTTCTTAGGCGACCGAAGTTAGGCGGTGAGCCGGCTCAAAATATCGGCTCCTGAAATAACCCTGTGACTTGGCCCGTTTTGGTGTTGAGGAATCGCCTGTCTCGAACAAGGCCCTTTGAGCTAGGAGACCGGGAATTTCATCTAGAGAAGTTTCTCGGGTGCCATCCATGACAACAATGATGCGTATGTCTGAGAGGCTGCCACAAGCACATTGGTGGCTTATGTATGGAGGCTAACGGTCTCCACAAACACAAATAAAATAAATGCAAGGGGAGAGAAAGGAATGCATGTCAAACAACACATGAGAGCCCTACTGATTGAGACTATTGTAGCAATTCCCATTATACTAGTAGTACTGACTAATTAAAAACCGTCGCCTCGCCAGCTCTGCGCAAAATCAAGCCTAGGGGTATCGAATCGACTCAAGTGGGCTAGACTCTGCCTCATGTGTCATGATAGACACAGGAAAACAACCCTGCTGAATGCAAGTCCTCATCGCCTTCTCCAGCATACGCCATCCAAATAACAAACACAAACGGGAAGTTGATGAAAGTTGTGCCTCAGTCCCTATCAAGTCCAGTCGCAGCGCACCTCGCTCTGGTCACGCAAATCTGTCCAACGCTGTCCTTCGCTCCAAACTCACCACTCAAACACACGCTGTCCCATGAGCTAATAAGGACTATTGACGATCTCGTTCCGCAAATGGCTCTGTCTGCCACTGCGTCTTGGTGTCATTAACCCAGCACTGACCCGCGCCGGCGGCCCGGCAATGCTTTCTCTAGTGGGCCTCTTGAAACTCTTCCGGCTCACCATGTCGACCTCGTTGGGCAATGCCAAGATGACGTTTTTGTCCGATCCGAATTCAAAGTTGTCCGCCATGACATCTGCACTATAACGCTTGATCTGATACGGGTCTTTATTGCCGGCAAGCACCTTCTTAAGGTTCCATGTGACAAGGAAGGGTCCCGTAGAAGTGATGATACTGGTTTCGGTACTGCCTGGGCCCGTGTTGAATCTCGCTGGGGTGAACGACAATGGGGCACCGGTTTCGTGCTGGAACTGCGCAACGTGGCTAGGACTCAACCCAAGCCGCCGAGGCTGTGGCTTACTATCTTTGGCAAAGGATCTTTCAAACCCAAGCTTTCCCTCGTTCTTGCCTTCTTTCTGGAGAGTGTCAATGAGAAGCAGATATGTTCGACACGTCGCTAGGATCCATCGGCCATCCGCACTGACATCGAGGCCAATGATCGACTCTCCCAGAGCCGGAATATGTGTCTTGGCATTGACCCCGAGACGGTCAAAGAGACGGACGTCGCCCTTGTTCGATGCCACGGCGATGTGGCCCTTTTCAGTGGTGGCTGCTGCAGAAAAGTCGTTCTTTGACACGTATTGTTTCAACTGACTTTCCACAAGTTTGTTACCAGCAACACGAGGGTCGATTCGGAAGAGCGCATTTTTGCTGTGCCCAATGAACGGCTGCGCAGATGTTTGCTGGGCGAATTTTGTTTCGGGTGCAAAGTTCGTTACCGGAATATCATCATGGACTTTCCATTCATCGACAACCTTGCCATACTCAAGATCCATACGGTATAGCGAGTTGGGGTTCTTGTCGTCTTGCAGAATCATGTTCTGGTCTTCGGAATGCAGCATAACCTTGGTTGGTGAGAATAGTCGTCCTTTGGGTGTTTCCACTTTGGAGATGTTGGTGGTAAACTCCAGATGGCGATTTGGCAGGTGTTTGAAAACACCAATCTTGGAGCCTCGAACGACGAAGGATCGATCATGCTTGGTTCCCACAGCCAGTTGCGAGTTGACGTTTCCGTCCTTGTTGTCGAGCTCCACATCGTCTTCCGATTCGTCTGTATCGTAGTGCTCACTCTGTTGGCCGCCATCTGTTTCTTCCTCGTCGTCTTCTTCCTCTTCGGCCTCTTCTTCTTCTTCCGCTTTAGCATCGTCCAAAGTGATGTCGTTGAAGGCTTCAAACACATATTCTCGTTCGGTCTCCTGAACCTTGGACCACTTCATCTCATTGAGTTGCTCCCATAGTGCTTGCATGATCCCTTCTTGGAAGTTTTCGAGGACTTGTTGGTTCGGGAATCGTAGTAGCCAGGAGTAAGCGGAACCATCATCAGTATAGTGATTGAATATGGCCGACAGATATTCGAAGTTGAAGACAGGGTTGATGTCTGCCACAACTTCTTGTCCGAGCCATTCCCTACCGTCCGAGCTGGTTATTTGCAACCAATATCGCCAGTTTCCTAGGTCAGAGACGACAGCAACCACAGACGGATCCTGGAGAATGAAGGTTGCAGAGTTAAAGTCGAAGAGATGTAACTCCCCAGCTTGTTTGGTGAGGACAGTCCCGGAGCTCGGCGCAGTCCGAGCCTCTGGCGCTACCGTCGCACCTCCTGTAGGTTCTCTTGCCTTGCCAGTGTTTGCCTTCTTGGGAGTTGTCTTGACATCTTTGGCCATGCGTTCAGCTGATTCTTTGGAAGTCGGCATGTCGGCTATAGAAGCAGAAACTGGACTTGCAGGCGGGATTGCGTCGTCAGTCTCAAAGTAGAACTCCTTGAGTTCGGCTTCGGTTGCTCTTTGAGAGGACTGCCGGTATTTTCGTTCGTATTGGCAATCAATGGCCGCCAGGAGAAATGTTTGTATCTTCTCTTCTCCGACTGAAGCGTCACAAACGAATTCGTAGAGATCCCCTGGATCGCCACTCAGGTCGCGCCAGGCAAGAACCGATTCACCGCCAGATCTCTTTTCGCACCTGAAGTGTAGGCTCTCGTCTAGAAGGAAAGTCTTTTCGTCCTTATCTAAGCTTTCCACACCAGCATCTTCGTCGTCCTCGGCAAGCTCTTCCTCTCCCTCTTCGTATGCTCGTTGGATAACTAGCTGATATTGATATTCCTGCCCAGTCCTTCTGATGGTCGCAACGGCGTCTTTGTAGATGAGCTCGGAATATCCTTTGGGCGATAGTGGCCGAACGAGGTAAAGCTGCCCTTGAGGGATCTCGGCGATGACTTCCTTAGATGCGTCCCCAAAGAGGTACTTGCTGACTATAATGCAGGTTAGACATGTGTCCGGCATAGAAATACGTGGTTGCACAGGAAGGAACATACCGTTCTTGATCATAAACATGGTGGCGGGGTACTGTCTCAGCCAGTCTGTTTCAGGCAAGGGTCAACGCACTTCTTGCGGGAAGGCCACGACCTTGGTTTGTTGGCACGCAAGGAGACCGAAATCAGAGAGCACAGATTATCATGAATGAGAGACGATTAAATGGTGAGCAGGAATAAAGGACAGTGTCGCCGCAAGATATTGTTGACAAGAATATTGTTGTCCGTTCCAAGATGGAGACGCAGGCAGCGCCAGCAAGAAAGGTCCCAGTTCGGCTTGTGACGCAACTGGAGCATGCGCCGCGCTAGTAGCACGCTAGGCTCTACTTGTTTAGAACATATTGCAGCCTAGTCTCGAATGGGACCCCTACTATCAAAAGCACTTGGATGGCTGACTAAGGCCCGCCCGTCAGTCACGCTTGTTGTCACATGCTGATCCTCCCAGTGGTCAGCCTTGGGCAGCGTCCGCGATCCCAAGGCTGAAACATCAGGACATCACTACCGCATGCGATAGCCTACCTAGGTATCATTGAAGGAATCATCTTCTTCCGCTGTGGTTGCAGCTTCTGCTCAGCTCTACCGCCACATTTGTTCCAATTCCTTCCTGACCGACTTGGTATTGTCTGTCTTAAGATCGGCGTCCTGCCTGTCCATCCGTGTTGCATGGCCTACCATGGCCTCGCAGACCGACGCTGGCGGGAGTCCAACCCAGCGAAAGGATTCTCGCCCAACACTCGCTGACAATCCGCACAACCCCAGTTCAGCCGCTTACCTTGCTTACCCGGTGAAACATGTGGTATCAAGCCTCTATCGTCGAATGACCGAGCCCCCCGAGCGCCCTGTGAGCAAACTCCTCGATGCTCCCGCCGTCACGTCCGCGACCTCGAGTGTCCAATCTCTTCCGAAAAGAACGCATTCACCATTTCAGCCACCCCCTCTTACACCACTCGAACTAAGACACTTCTTGCCCCCGAAAGCCGCAGAGTCACTCCTGCTCACTCGAGCTCTTGCTGAAGAGATTCGACTTCTCCTTCCTCCCAGGCTGCAGCTGTTAGATCATTGGAAATTGGCATACTCGCTGGAAGCAGATGGATCCTCACTGGCAACATTATACGAGCATTGTGCTAAGGTCTCCACGCACACGCAGCGTTCGGGATACGTCTTAGTCGTTCGCGACGCTTCTGACGCCGCTGCCAATGGCTCTGTCTTCGGAGCGTATCTCTCAGATGCACCCAAACCTTCTATGCATTATTTTGGCACCGGCGAATGTTTTCTATGGCGAGCCACTATCCTGCCTACTCTGAAAGATTTGCCCTCCGCATCGGACGCACGCCCAGAAGAGGTCTTACAGTTGGCGGGGTTACCCCCTCCTCCCAGCGCCGACACTACCAACCTCCAGCGAGCAACAACCGTCCGTGGCGAGCGGCGGACATCCTCTGTGTCGAGCTCTGTGGCGGACACAAGCCTCCGACAAGCTTCAGGATCCCGATCACACTCCCAGCCAGCGCTAAACCAAACGGGCACCTCGACACCGGAGCACATCCGGTTCAAGGCCTTCCCTTATAGCGGAGTCAATGATTTTCTGATTTACTGTGAAAGCAACTATCTTTCCATTGGGGGCGGTGATGGCCACTACGGGCTCTGGTTGGACGACCAGCTCAATAATGGCGTCAGCGAGACCTGCCCGACTTTTGGAAACGAACCATTAAGTGATGAAGGTAGGACGTTTGAAGTCCTTGGCGTCGAAGTTTGGTATATCGGCGCCTGAGGTGCCAGTCCAACAGCATGCCGATATCAAACTCCGGACTCTTGCGCGCGGAGTATGTCGATCTTCCACATCGTCGTGGGGTTGTAAGACATGCTTCCTTGGAAGGCTCTAGCAAGCGCGATGCGAGACACATCGGTCAGCAACACTCGGCCTGCGCCACAGCGGACGCGACGTCGAGTCCACACGGGCATGGAGGGTGGCTGTACGCTGCATTGAGGAGGGTATCTCACGACCTGGAGGCCACTTTCTACCGGAGATCCAATCCGCCAACACAAACCACCACCCAGTTATTGAAAGACGACTGAGCTGTAGTAACCATTGCACCACTACATTGGCATGTCAAGAAATGTTCCCTCAGCGGATGATATTCTGGGGCTGCGGTAGGTCGGTTCGGCGGCGAGCCGTAAGGGTGTCATGGACAGCACATGCCCTTTCTCGGCACGGAAGAGGAGATCACACCGTTGAGTCTGGATTCATGGTGAAGGTCTCTGGCGGTGAAAGCGACGATGAAAGGCCTATAGAACAGTGGTCCACATCGGCGCAGGTGATGTCGGTCCTGAAAGCCAGTATTGGGAAACAGTACAAACGGAAACAGAAAGTCCGGCGAAGCACACTTCGAGTGATGTCCTCACTCGAAAGGCACTGCCGGCTCAAACATCATGCCACTTCTTATGGAGCGTACACTTGCTGGTGGTAATCATGGGACAATCACAAATTCGAAGCATAGAATTGTGTGAAGCAGCATCAAAACGCATGCGCGGATCAAAAAAGATGATAACATATCGCTTGCTCCAACACGAAGCCGAGGCAAGGCACAAATCACTGGCTACGAAATCACAGTGATTGGCCAATAAAGGCTATTGCCACACCTGCTGTATGTGGAAGTATACCCTGGCCATATGTGGCAATCAGGCAGATCTTGATTCAGGAGAAAATTGTACTTCAGCTCCCGCCCGATGCATTTTATGCAGCAAACCCCCGCGGAGAGACCGCTGCCACATCCGAGAAATCGAAGTCGAGTTCACTAGCCCTCTATCAGAACAGTTTCCTGCTCTGGTTACCGCTACAATGGAATCACCGCAGGCTTTGAACACTGTGCAAAGGATTGTAAAAGTCAGTTCGCAGCATTTACCATTGGCCATCAGTGTCTACAACTGTAGAATTCCCGTCAGCAACAATCGGCCGAACCGGTGGAGCAAATTTCATCGCAAGGTACTACCGCTGTCAGTAGCGTACCCGTACTCATGGCAATAACGGGTCGGAGACTACTAGGAGTCGGGCCCGAGGCTGGGTGGGTGGATGTCTCCGAGAGCCACAAGGCAAACTAGAAGGAAATGATTCTCCGGCCATTGCTCCTGATGCATAACGATGCATAATATTTTGTGCATCCACCTACACACGGCACCTGAATTGTGCCAGGCAAAAGCGCCAGCCTTGACTCACATCTGCCACGTGGTTGGTGGGAGGCGCAGTGCGCCGGGCGAGAATCCCACTGCCCGTCAGCTGCCATCCAAGATGGGCCCAGCCTCAGACCTTCTATGCCCATCTCTCGACGAAGTGTCATGAAGTGTGTCCAACAGATTAGAAATCATGCGGCAGGGGAGGTTCTTGATGAAGAATATCCCCGTACTAGGGCTAACACACTAAGTACAGAAATGGCTGGCATCACGGCAAATGACAGCAATGACGCTCAGCCCTACTACAACGGCCGGATTCGAAATTAACGTCGGTGGGGGTTTTGAAGACGTCTGATTGGTCTTTCTGGTGACTAATTGAACACTAGCCACATTACAATACGGTATAAGTGGCACACCTAGCCCAATAACTATTGGTTGTCTTTGCCCCAAGTAGTGTAAAATACGTGAGATAGGCTGTAAAGGCTGTAAAAAAGGCACTGCTAGTCTACTTCTAGTAGTAGCCCCACGGACGTTAATTTCGAATCCGGCCATTGTACCGGCCTACAAAGCGCTTGGCGGTTTCCGAATACGATCTTGAGCCGACCATCGACACCATCCGTAAGCAGAGCCAGGACGGGCGGAGGAGCCTTCTTAGGGGTCGCGTACGTTCGTACAACAGCCATAGGCAAGCAATCTACTAGACGGGCGATATGTCATCTCCAGCTCGACTCTCTCATTCGTCTCTAGCGCGTCCTTTTATCGCGCATTGGCGTATCGTGGCCGATGCTCAGGGACCAAAAGCAGAACGGCAAGCACACCGTCTAATCAGTTGGGCGTTCCTTTGCAAGTCAAAGAGTCGATGCGTTGGTGGACGCCAGCAGAGCACGCCCCTACAATCTCCAACATAGTTGCAGAGGCGTCAAAAAAAGTCCTCATGACCATTCAAGACCCATTTTGATCGTAGATCGCAGCGATCGTAGGAGGGCAAGGCTCGCGCCTTCGCTCTTTCATCGCCGGTGTCAAGGACCCGTTCTTGCTGCCGAGTCGCCGAGAAAGTTACTTACAACGACCGATAATAGTGGATTCTCAGTTTTCCCATCCTTCTCTTGTGTTCTCTCGGCGTTCGAGGCATTTTCTTTTGTGTGTCGGAGCAGAGTTGACGGGGTATGACGACGATGAGTTGCAGTGGCTTGAATTCTCTGCTCTGTCAGAGCGTTGTTGGCGGCCACTGGCATTGAGGAATGTAGCTGGCCTGATGGCTGTTCACCAACCCGGAACACTTGCAGCAGACACGGCCCTGGTGAAGGCAATACGAGTACTATCTCCGTCAGGCAGCAGGATAACGATTGCTGATAGTCTGCGACATACCAGGTAGAGTTAGTCGGCTGATAGTGGCCACCGTAGTGCTGTCTTGAAGGGGTAAATTGCTCACTAGACAGGAGCTAGTAGAAAGTTTCCAAAGATCTGCCGCTACCTACCTAGGTAATGAACGAAGCATTGACTTTGACCGCAGCAATACTGTATCATACCGCTAAGTGTTCTGTCATTTGGGTCATTTCCGGTCCTAGACACCAAGATTGGCCAAGACCGTCAGACCCTTCGTCACGGCGGGCCAACAGCGGTACCGTAATCAGCGTGTCCCTCAGGCTCTCGTCGTCCTCCTCCTGATCAGCCTCTCTTTGTCTTCCTATCCCAATCCATTTTCAGGTTTCCACCATTGGATCCTGCCTCTTGACTTCCGCCCATGCTTGGTTACTAACGTTAGCCTTCTAGCGTCTCCTCCATCGTTCCACCCTTAAGCCCCCTGGTCCTGTCGGCCGCAACAACATCCGTACATCCACCCTGGTCATGCATCATCTTTGGGCCTTCGCTCGCCCGGCCGCCCGTTTTTGTTTCCCCCTGGTCTTCTGGCCCTCCGGTGAGTCTGGTAGACGTGCGTCGAACTCTGGCTGCCGTCCGCGGGCGCGGAGGCCCTATGCTTTGTCCACCGTGCTCCAGCGAAGCAACCTTAACGACCAGACCCAAGGGTTGCGCTGATATCTCTCCGTTATTCTGCTCAGGGATCCACATGTCGCTTTGTCTCCTCTTACTAACCATCCTCCTCGTCGTGTGTGGTAATGTTGATATATAGGGCCTTGTCGCCTCGTAGCCTCCCCTCCCTGGGAGTCCACATGTCCACCTCTACCTTTTTGGATCCTAGTTTTGCGTTTCTGCTTCCATAAGCTGACAGCCATACTCACCACTATACATATCGCTCTCCAGTCTCAGAGACAAACAGAACGAATTCGCCATATTTCGACTGTCACAGATTCAGATCACTTATATCACCTGTTGTCACCACTGCCTAGTTTTCAATTGGATGGTCAATTGGTGATATATTGATACTTCTCTTGTTTTGGCTCGTCAACAGAGATGGGTGCCTCAGTCATGACCCCTCCGTTAGAGCCCTCATCACCTTTGGAGAGTGGAATTCGCAAAAGAGTGTGCAAGGCATGCGATCGTTGTCGGTTAAAAAAGTCCAAGGTCAGTTGGATCGTTGTCCATTCACCACCTTCGGAGTCTAATTCGTCCTCAGTGTGATGGAGCCAGCCCGTGTGGTCGGTGTAAAGCAGACAACGCCATCTGTGTCTTTGGAGAACGCAAAAACGCAAAAAGTCTCACGACAAAGTCTATCCTAAAGGGTAAGCCACGGTCGCCTTGTTCGGTCTGTGCCTCATTGACCATGATTACAGTTATGTGGAGATGCTCGAGAGTCAACAAGCGCAACTTGTCGCAGGTCTACAAGAACTGTACAAGCGGATACAAAACGGCCAGGGCTGGCCAGGCTCGCCGTTGACCGAGACCAGCCATGGCATGCCCTTAACCCATGACATTCTTGAGCGACTCGGCGTGTTGAAGCTAGATGGCCACGCCACCAACGAAGTGTTCGAGGAGGATCTTACCGTCCTACAGCAGAGACTTATTGCCGAAGGCGCCGGCTTCATGCAACGACAGCCTTCTATGGAGTCACATTGCGACAGCAGCACTATAAGCGCCCCGTCACCCATCTCCGAACCCATGGCTGCGTCGAGGCCGAATTTCTCCAATCCATTCAACTTCACCAAGTTCCCTCCTACTCCTCCCAACCAGAGTCCTTTTCCGCAAACGGCTCAAGCCCTCCAGCAGCAACAACAACAACAACATCCAACCAAGTCACATACGTATCCTCATGCGACAACGCATCAATCAAATCTCAGCTGGAACACCCCGGCCTCGGATCTGGATGACAGCATGGATTTCTTAACTCAATTCGAATCGCCAATGGTGGACGCTTCGTCCCTGGACTTGAATTCTTTCCCTCCAACCATGTTTCAAACCCCGATTGTCCCTGCCGCCATCAATCCCTGTCTTACGATGAAGGACTGGTCCGGCCAGGAGGATCCTCAACTATACTTTAGTCCGACCATGATCTAGTCTTTCTACTTTCAATGATTTTTACGAACACACACACACACACGCACGGCAACGTCATGGCCGATTGTATATTGAAAACGGGCGAACTTGAACAGCGGTTGTAAGTTTTGGAGGTTTGGATTGTCTGCCCCCACCGAGTTGAAACAAAGGACTCGAGGAGTGCCGGCACCGGAGTTAACGGCGTCTGGAGAACGCGGCCAACCTGGCCATTACCGATGGACGATGGACTGCTTTTCTCCACGGGCGGCTATCTACTACAATCGTTTGGTATTTGTCAACACTGGCATGTCAACTGCCCTCACGTCATACTTTTGTACGTTCAGGTTTTGCCGCTCAGGCACACGTGTACGATCGGAGACATGCGGGCGTATGGGGTCAAGGGATGCACCTTGGGAGGCTGGATTGAATCATGGGTGGTTGCATCAATACTCAGCTGTCTGTTATAATTGTGGAGCCATGGTCCTCGTTATCATCCTTTCTACCCATGTGCTAGGTTAGGTACTGGTCCTACTAGTACTGGAGGACTGACTGACGAACGTGAATGGGAGGAGATGCAGAGATGGTTTGATGGGGAGCGTGTGCGGGACGCTTCTGGGTTTATGCTGTACCCCCCTCCACATCAACCATATGATCCATATTCTTTGTTTCGAGCTTGGAACGAATCTTATCAGGCGCAGATGTTGTCTGTACAGTATTAGGTATTAGGTATTGAAGTAATGCCAACTGGAGTGGAACTTTGGGGGAATGGAATGATACCTAGGTAATGATCTACATTGCATCACATCACATTCCGCCGGGTGTTAGTTACCTTATGGAACGAATACTAATCCTATCCTTCAAGTTGGAATGCATGGAAGAATAAGAATAAGAATGGGTCCGAGCTCATCGCAACCAAACTGTTGCTGTTGATCTGCATGTGCGTTGTAATGCAATGCAGTGCGGTGCAATTCGCCTTGCCACGCGGATTTAGCTTTTTGTTCCTTATTCTCTAGAAATCACATCATGATACCGAGGGTAGGTAGGTGCCTAGGTACTTGTAACTTGTAATTATCACATCATGACTCAGGCTCGGGCTGTGGGGTTCAAGTTTGTCCTAGACACTGCCACTGCAGTGATGTACCTGGCTTCGTGCGGCGAACAGGTTCGGAACGAGGAGTATTTGACTGAGTGCCTACCTATTGTAGTAATAGTAGGATGGAGTTCATCATGATACTACGGCGACCATGATTCTGTCCACTGCATGGCACTGCAACCGGAATAGAATAGAATTTAATTTTACTTCCTTGCCTCAAAGTTTAGTTTTCTTTATCAGCAACTTTGAACTTGAACCTCAAGCATGCACTGGCAGTGATAAGGACTTTACACGCGAAGTACTGGACCCTAGGTAGTAAGGTAGGGTAGATGCCCAGAATTCTGAAAAAAAGTTCAAATGATCCGATTTGACTTTCTTTGTCAATCATTTCATTCAGAGTTGCTGACCAGGCGTGCTGCGGAACGTGACTTTCACTTAGGCCTCCCCTCCCACATCCTCTAAGGATTAAATATGCTGGATTTTGAACTTTGTACTCTGCAGTGGGTGTTGGACTCTCTCTCTCTCCGTATTGACATCACGACGGCAACAAAAAACCCGGAGAGATGGGGCCCAAAACCGCAACCGCAACCCACTACCGCTACAGCAATCGTTACCCTGACCTGGTGCGGAATGGTATGCCGTGGTATGCCCTGTGCATAGCACTGCACACTGCAATGCACAGGGCGAGGAGAAGAGCACTGGCAAACTCGGGACCGCTATGCGGAAAACGAGGCAAGTAGAGTTTGGACTGATGGGAGTCTAAATCCTGTAACTTTGAGGCAAAAGACTACAAAACCTAGGAGTCAAGTCGGTTGGGTCTTTTTCCTTTTCTTTGTCATCTCACTGCATGTCATGCAGTGGAGGAGGGGAGGGGGAGGCCTGACTTAGGTTTCATCACCATGACTGTCATCTCCGAGGGTTGGTTGCTGTACTCATTGTTCACAAAATGGAATGGCAGGAACATAGTTACCTAGGTACTGTAGCTGTCAGTACCTAGAGCATTGGTGCGAGTTTCGCGTATCTCCTCGGCTGGATATGAATGTCGAGCTGACTCCATAAGGTAGTTGTGGTATGTACATGTCTGCATTGTACCTGGTAGTGTGGAGGCTGACGAAGCTGCTGAACAACCTGGAACTTTCAAGTTTGACATGCAGTAGTAGTGAGTGGTGAAAGGAATGTGATGCCGCTTAGTCAGGGAGGAAGTTGCTGACATGATATACGAAGTCGTAAGCTCATAACTAAGCGAGATGGACTGCATCGCCGCCGGGGTTTCCTTTCTGGTGCCTGTCGGGTGGAAACTTTGGCACCAACAGAAATACTCGTGAATGTAGCAGTCCTGGTTTGATGGTTATGATATATTCACATCGAACACCTTCTTGTTCAATCTGCAGTGCATGGAGATAGGTAAGTGACCTTTGAGCTTCTGCGCCGGTAAAATGTATCCTGCCCACGGGGTCCGGCCGGATAAAATGCAAAGATGCCCACCGGCCCTTTAACCATTTTAGCCAACCACAACACTCATGCCATCATATCATGGCACCGCCGCGGAAAGTGACCACCTCCCATAAGGCAATTTCAGCAAATATTGTAGACGAGTTGTGTTTCACAACTTCAAAGAACCAGAACCAGCTTAGATAAAGGTATCTATAATCACCGGCAACCAATCAGCAAGACACACAATTCAGTACTCTGCAACACCATGTCATCAGATTCAGGCTTCTCGTTCCTCCCCCAAGGAGCCATCATCCAAGAATTCAAAGTCGCCGGCCACAACATCGTACTGGGGTATCCGGATCCCGAACCATACGCGACATCGCCGTTCTTTGGAGAGACGATTGGGCGAGTGGCCAACCGGATTGCCAACGCCGAATTCCAAGCCAACAATGGCAAGACGTACAAGCTGGCGGCCAACGAGGGCAAAAACCATCTCCATGGTGGAACGTCTGGCTGGGGCAAGAAGAAGTTCAATGGACCGGAACCCGTCAACCGTAATGGCAAGGAAGCTGTTTTGTTTACTTATGTCTCTCCGGACGGCGAGGAAGGGTATCCTGGTACGGTGGAGCTTAAAGTGTGGTATAGTGCCTGGACGGAGCAGGACAGTGACAACGAAGGGGTCACCAAGACGGTGCTGGAAACCGAATATGAAGTCCAGTTGATTGGGGATGAATGCGAAGAGACTGTGGTCAATGTGACGAATCATGGGTAAGTCGACCGCATTCACCGAGGGCGAGGAATAAAAACCACAATCGAACTGTCACTGACAGTGACACTGGTGCTAGTTATTTCAACATCACCGACGGGCCTACAATCGGAGGAACCGAAATCACACTCCACACGACAAAATACCTGCCGGTGGACGAGGCTGACATTCCGCTCGGCACCATCGACGACTTTCCCGGCATCGAAGCAGGCAAGCCATTTGTGCTGGGCGCCACTGAGCCAGATATCGACCACTGCTTCATTGTCGACGCGGACGCTTCACATATTCCCCTTGATACGCGGCCGAGACCGCTGAAACCGCTGATCAGCGCCGCGCACCCAGGCACAAAGTTGCATTTGGACGTTTTCAGCACCGAGCCATCTTTCCAGTTTTACACGGGCAAGTATATTGATGCGCCGGCGACGGCAAACACGCCCGCCAGGGGTCCCCGGGCTGGCTTCTGTGTCGAGCCCGCTCGCTATATCAACGCCGTCAATGTCCCCGAGTGGAGGGGCCAAGTGTTGTTGAAGCGTGGCCAGGTCTGGGGTGCTCGGACGGTGCACAAGGCTTGGAAGGCATGAAACTGGACAGCGGTATCTTGCTTTTCTTGCCCTTGGGAATGGAAAGGGAGATGAGGCTGGCTATCTTACTACGAGCAGTGTTGACGTTGGTTCTGAAAGTACATGACATGTACAGTACTACTCGTGCAGATAGACTAAGGTACCTAGGTACCTGCCATCTGGTCATGTTTACCTCATGATGTCCGAGATTTTGCTCTCGAAAGAATCAAATGGATCTCGGCACTCTCGCCGTTACTATAACCCCTGGAATCAGGTACCTCTGTCGCGAGCGATTTACTTTTTTTCTGTATCACACTGGCAGCTGCAAGAAATACCTCGCTCCCTGGCACGCACCTACTGGAGCGTCGATGATTTCCCCACCAGCCGTGGCCCGTAAAAACTTGGTGGGTTCGGGGGTGTCAGAAAAATAATCGAATGTGTCTCCGATGCAGCGGTTACACAGCAGCAGTAGCATAATCAATCAGTCAGCCACGGTGTGGGTGTGCAGTGGGTGTGGGCATGAGAGAAAATCACGCGCCGTGCCGATTTTCCAGAAACGAACTTGAAAGGAACCACTGCAGTCTGTGTCCCCACCACCGTGACTGACTGCACTGCATGCCAGGTACAAACCTCTCCCTTTTTTCTGTTGCTTTGAATTGTTTCGATCGGCATTGGCATCGGCGTCGGCATCATCATGATTGGAATCGTACTATGGATCATGGAATCGTTTCATTTTCTATCCACCGTTGCTTATACTTCCCCGTTGCCTAAGGTACAGCAACTGTTCACCACTGCAAGCGATCGATAAATGCCTCATATGTAGCGTCACATTGGCTGGATGGATGAGTGATCAATATTACTTTTCTGTCCTGTCCTAAGTCATCATTGCGACTGACAACGGTCACGGCTTGCCGTGGTAAGGAAGGTCGTTGTGCCATGTCCATGTGGAACTGAAGGGGGTCTGGAAATTTCCTCCGTCGTCCGTCGAGAGAGCGGGTATCATAGTCGGCCGTAAGTAAACGCCGAACGTGTACCTGGGTAGTACTACCTAGGACGTCTTTATGTTCTACCTTATTAAGGTCAGGTACCGAGAATAGTACGTCCAAATGATAGGGCACTTGGTACCCTACTGTAGCTGGTCCACCGGGCGGAGAGCCGTATCCGACGCTTTTAATCGTAGCAGTTTAGTGGCACTGCAGTGGGATGGCGAGTCGGGAATTACAGTTGCTCATTTTCGGCCGATTTTAGGGCACTTTCGAGTATTCCGGATTATAGGTAAGCCCCGGACGTACATTCATTGTACAGACATCCGGCCGGACCGTCTGTTCCGTTAGATACCTAAAAGTAAGCAACACTGCATGCACTGCATGCCCTCTCAACATCGTAATTTACGACGATCAACTAGGGTATTGCGGTCATGACAGCCTGAAAACGGTATCTGAACTGGGAAATAAATGGTCCAATCACTTCTTTAGCACTGCAGCACTGTGCAGTGGTGATGAAGAAGATCTGTCGAAAAGCGCACTCTGATGTACGTAAACGCGTCGCACGGTGCGTCGTACATCGTCGTTGTTGTACGTAAGGTATTACTCATCCGGAGCCGGCCATCAACCTCGACTCCGACCGTGCTTTTGTTCTACAACCGCCAGGCTGGATTCAGACCGGGACTCACTCCTAAGATGAAGTGCCGTGCCATGCTTGGTTATTCACACACGCATCTCGGTTGTATCGTCTGGATTTCGAACTTGCTCTCGATAGTGCAGACTAATAGCTAATAGCTAGGTACTAATCAGGCTGACTCAGTCTACTGAAGCTGACATCTGAAACGAAACAAGGGCGTGGCAGTGTGGAATGGATTGGTGCAGGGTGGCTTGGAAACAACCCTGGGACCCCTGCTCTCCTCTGGTCTTGGGGCTCGACCGGTCTCAAAAGTCCAAGCACTGCACGCCAAAGCTCTCTTATCCTCGTCATTCGCAGATGGGGAGGACGGCAAATCCCACTGGCAACAAGTAGTGTGGGATTTGCCCTGCCCTACGGTCACTGGCAGTCTAAAACGGGGCGTCGAGTCTCGCTTGTCCTGTCCTGTCCTCAAGGTCAGGTCTGACAGCCAGGCAGGCAACAGCCAGAAAGGAAAGGAGAGGTCCAGCACATCGATTTCGTATTCGCTAAGACAGCCGGAACAGGCATTCAACACTAGTTGTAGGTGCTATCACGCACTGCACAGAAAGACAAGGTATTTGTGCTGACTCTGTCTTCCCCGCTGCCAATGCCGACGGATGCAGCGCCAATTCCCCCTTCCCCGCCCAAAGCCTCGTCGGCGTCGTAATCAGATACGAAAAGCCTGAGTGATGGTCTTGGATACCTAGAACAGCGCTGCACTGCAACAAGCAATCAGCTGACTGAGTCAGTCAGTCAGTCAGTCAGGCGTGCGACCGAGTGGGCGCTTTCCAAGACCATAGACAAGAAGACAAGACTCCTGCCATGAAGGATAGTACTATTAGCTAGCATCGTCAATACTGATAGTACTGGGGTCGAGGCTGCTCGCTTCGACAATCCCTGCCACCGCTTTTGGAGATTGGCAACGCCATTACTGTATTTAGTCATCCTTGACGTGATTGATCCTTGGGTACTGTGCTCAGTTGTGGTGTGGGTGTGTGAACCGTGACTTGTAATCGACTATTTCCACGGCCTGTTAATTGGTGTCGATCATCCACGGGCAGTCCATGGCGCCAAAGGGCCAGAACTTTCAGCCCGCGGAGGAAGCCTTCCAATATTCGGCGACATTTGTACGTGCTGTATCTCGATTCGGCGACTTCAAGTTGAAAAACATTCCGTGCGCAATGCTAAGGCGGTACTAGTTGTAAAGGAGCTTCTAGTACCAGCTTCCATTGATGCGCTACTGGTCATCGTACGTGCCCTGTAGTAGGTTAGGTTGCCGCCGCGCTGCACCCCAGTGCTTGTCCGTGTCAGCGGTATGGTATTACCGTATCATTGCTTGTAATTGTAAGGTCATGTCGTACTGTCATTTACTACCTTAACACAAATGATACCTAGGTAGTGGCTTGACTAACATCATGATATTTACATAAGCGGGTAAGGAGGGTTAAGTCATCGACCTAGTATCAAGGTACGTTCTACAGACAGCACTACCGTACAGGAACTTCATCATCGTGGCTTCGTCCAACATATGGTTTAATATTGTCATCGTCTTTGCACTCTGTCATCAGGACGGTGCGTGGGTGTTCCGAGGTAGGCTGCTTGAAAACGTTGAAGGAATACTCAACATCGAGGACCGAGTGCAACTTTACCACAGTCTGATGTTGCCCTTCAAGTTTTGTCTTCCGGGGCCTCTTCGTGAAGAGGCAGCTGCATCTGCAGTGGTGTTCCGCTCTATTCTTACACGAGAGGCTAATGAGCCTGGGCTCCCTGACCCGGATTTTATTTTGCATCGATCAAGCAATTTGCCATAGGATCGGGGTCCTAATGAACGGAGAATAACATTCCTTCACGATCCGATCGCGTCTGAAATGGACGCGGGCGAGTCATCGCCACTGCGATTGGTCGCCTTGTTGCTGAATCTGATTCCTCCCTTCCTCCGCAAGGCTGTGTCCAGCTCTGTACATCGGCAACACCAACTACCTTACCCAGTCAACAGCTTTTCCATCGATGCGCATCTTCTCGCATTTCAAACACTGATCCACGTCACGTCAGTACCTACCAGTAGGTGGCCTCTGGCATCTCCAGATTCTAACCAACGTCTGCGTTCTGTGTGATTCTCTACACCCGACTTCATCCTGCTTAATGCGTGCATCGAACAGCTTGGTGACTAAAGAGGAAGAAGGAAACCACAGGACTTTTCTTCCTCCTCTTCAAGACTGACTTGACCGGTTGTGCGTGGCTTGTCGCAGGAAGTTGAAAGGCAACAGTCTTGTCGATATGCAGACCCGACATACTTCTTTGGTGCCATCCAAACGTGGAGGGAAGCTAAGGCTGTCCATGGACTTGGTCCAGAATGGCTGACACCCATCCCTTCGAAGCCTAGCGCGTCAATCAAGCATATCTAAGCAATCGAGCAGATACCCCTTCATTCCACCATGCGACCCTGGGTTTCCGTGCGACGATCCTGGAGCTGGGTCTGTGCACTTATGGTCGAGATAGGGTACACGGTTGGAATGCTGCATTCTACCACTGTTGTTATGGTCTCGCGTTGACAACTCGCGGCTCCTCAAAAGCCAACAACCTCTGCCTCCTTCTTTCTTTCTCGTCCTGACAGTCACTCGTTTGGTCCATAACCCGCGGTCTAACACTTGCTATTCATTTTTTGCTCTGCGGAAAACCACGGCCATCATGCGGCCGACATCGTCGCTCTTTTTACAGTCCTTGGCCCTGCGATTCGCGGTGGCCAACGGTCAGGCTTTGCAAACTCTCACCTATGGTCCTGCCGGGCCATGCCCAGCTCCCTTGGTGACCAGTGTTATTGTACAGCCTGTTTATTACAGCTCCTTCTTTCAGTCGGCGTCGCAGATTGTCAATGTCTTTGGCAATGGCGAAACCATCAACATCGGCAATGCTCCAACCACGTACATTCAGAATACATACATCACAACGACCATAATCTCCACCGTCACAACGACAAATGCCACATCTTCGGGTCCGCTGGTTGGCCCTGGCAGCGCATCAACCACCGGCTCCAGCAGCGGGCCCAGTGGCACCATCACCACAAGTGCATCATATGGTTCTTCGAGCGCGTCAACCACCGGCTTCAGCATGACTCCTACCTCCAGTTCGTTGGCGACGACATCTGGCTATCCCACAGCTCCACCTACGATCTACAGTACTGTGGCGCCTCCCATGACCACTCCAACACCGCAACCGACCCTATTGTCAACTTCTGTGGATTCGCAGGGCAATACTGTGACGGTCACTGTGGTCCAACCGACCTTTACACTGGGAGAAGGTCTCCAGAGCGGGGTCCAAACCGACATACCAGCAACTTCGCCTGTCATGGTAGGCATTGCTTTTGGTGGACCAGGCGCCAAGGTTAAGAGACAGGAACCTACTGCTGCTCCCAGCTCCACTTTGGACGGGCCTCAACCAGCAGGACTGCTTCAGGGAGAGAATGGAGGATCTGGTAACAACTGTGGCTTCGCTACCCGGTGGTATCTTCGAAATGGCATGCTCTTGGCCGGCAATGAGTCGGTCGGGCGCAATTTCAGCGATTTCTACGTGCCGATAACACCGCAGCCATACATCAACGATGTCAACACAACTTTCTTCTTCAGCGACGGTATCCTTGGGTGGAATAGCACCGATCGAGGCCCAGCGACATTCTACCAGTGTGGCGATGGTCTTGTCTATGCTGGATTCCCCTATCCTCCAAGAAGTGACTGTTATGTTGTGACGTTGGGTGGCATAGCCGCTGCGGCCTGTCCGGTCGATTATACCAACTCTGCAGTCGATGTTTCCTCATCGACAACATCAAGTGCGGCTGAGAGCACCACAACGTCCGGTGTTCCGGACTCATCTACAACATCGGACGTAACGACCACGTCAGACACGACAAGCGTACCCTTGACGACAACGACGACCGATTCATCTGTTGCAGTATCGAGCACCACAACCATTACAACTACCACAACGAGCTTGGCTGTATCTTCCACTACGACCAATCCCTCCCCATCCTCAACCTCTCCCGTTGTTGCCTCGAGCAGTACGACGCGAGCCACCACGACCACCGCCGCCGCTACCACGACGACTGTTGCACCCGCAGGTTCGACCTCTTCATCAGTAACCTCCTCTGTGCCAACGTCGTCGTCAACTGCCGTGCCTTCTACAACTACTACGACTTTGAGTCAGGGTTCTTCCGGCACATCTAGCCAGCAAAGTGCTAGCACGAGCACCAGCAGAGTTTCCTCCAGCTCCACCGGCTCGACAGTCGGGACGTCTAGTTCTACGACAGTGGTTCCGACAACGACGACAACCCCGTCCTCGTCTGGAAGTCAAACTAGCCCTACGTCGTCCTCATCTGGAACGAGCGTTGGACCTGCTGGTGGATCAAGCACTACTTCAGTGGTTGGCCAGAGTACAAGCACGACGACTCAAGGTTTGACGAGCTCTGTCTCAAGTACTTCAGCAGGTATAGTGTCTTCCTCTCCTACTTCTTCCACCCCTGTCCCTACTTCAAGCACATCCTCCCAGTCCCAAAGCAGTGGTTCCGGAGCAAGTACCTCGTCCAGTAGCAGCGTGGTTACATCTTCGTCAACAACCACATCAACAACGATGTCAACGACAGCGTCAACGACAGCGTCAACGACAGCGTCAACGACAGCGTCAACGACAGCGTCAACGACAGCGTCAACGACAGCGTCAACGACAATGTCAACCACGGCGTCAACAACCACCTCCTTGGCATCTTCAAGCTCTACTTCTTCTGGGCCCGCTGCTGGTTCTACCAGCACTTCTACCAGCAGTTCTACCAGCAGTTTCACTACCACAACAGCGTCCAGCTCAACGCAAACTTCGGGTGTAACGTCTTCTACCAGTACCAGTAGTAGCTCCTCTACGACTGCATCTTCAAGTTCTGGTATGTGTTCTTTCCTTTCCTATTAGTTCGTTCCAATGTGTTTGCGTTATGATTGAGCCTTTCTTCGTTGAATCCAACAACAACGTCAGCTGTGACCACCACAACTACCGTTTTGAATGATGCGGTAACGACCAGTACGTCCGACACTGGAAGCACTACCACTGCTTCCGCGACGACTTCTACTACAAGCTCGACGTCGATGGGGGCTACAAGTACTACTACAAGCTCCACATCGACGACAGCCACGAGTTCTAGCACAAGCTCCTCGTCGACGACGGACACGACTTCGAGCACTATTGCAAGCAGCCCAACTAGTACGAGCACTACCACCGACTCGTCACCTACCACTTCGAGCTCAAGTACAACCTCGTCCGTGACTACAACATCGACCGCGAGCATGAGCGCGAGCACGAGCACGAGCACGGATTCTTCATCCACCACCACGACCGTGTCGAGTGACACAAGCTCTTCTAGTTCATCCTCAGGTACGTCACAAGTTGTCGATTCGAGTTCATCTTCCTCTTCCACCACTTCCACATCATCCTTCGATGTCGGCGGCGTTGCTACGACAAGCAGTTCTCAAAGCACGGCTACAACAACGATGGAAGGGACATCGACCACATTGAGCACGACTACTAGCACTGTCACTACGACAGCGTCTACCAGCTCAGTGAGTTCAGAGACAACCAGTAGCCCGAGCTCAACGATTGTGCCGACTTCTTCAACGTCTACAACGGATGGTATAACTTCTACGAGCACAAGTTCCACCCTGTCCACAACAGATGGAACCGGCACTACGGAGACGAGCTCATCGATGTCCACAACAGATGGCACAAGCTTTGCGAGCACGAGTTCCACCCAGTCTACAGCAGATGGTACCACCACTACGAGCATGAGTAGTACCCCGGTTTCTACAGACGGGACTAGCACTACGGATGGAAGTTCGTCATCGTCCACAACAGACGGGACAACAACTATGAGCACAACTTCTACTCAGTCCACAACAGATGGGACAAGCTCTACGAGCACAAGTTCTACCCAGTCTACAATAGATGCTACCACTACCACGAGCACGAGTACTACCCAGTCCACTACAGACGGGACTAGCAGTACGAGCACAAGTTCGTCGGCCACAACAGATGGTACAACCACTTCGGACATGAGTTCTACTCAGTCTACAACAGACGGTACAACGACCACAAGCACAAGTTCTACCCTGTCTACAACGGATGGTACAACCACTACGGACTCGAGTTCAACCCAGTCTACGAGTGATTCTACTAGTGAGACGACCTCACAAAGTCCTGCTTCAACGGCGTCCACGAGCACAACGACAACGAGTCAGTCGCGTAGTTCGTCGACAAGCTCCGATCCCACAACGACATCCACGGACTCAAGCAGGACAGTGACTAGCATATCTTCCCCGAGCTCTACGCTGACGACTACATCGTCTTCGGACACTACATCGTCAACGAGTACAACTACATTGACGACTACTGGAACAACAAGCTCGTCGGACACGTCTTCGTCATCTCCTTCGTCGAGCACTTCGTCTGTGACTAGCACGTCTTCCACGACCTCTACGTCGAGCAGTACACCGTCTTCTGACTCGTCATCGGCGACAGGTACAACTACCGTGACGAGTACTGAGACGACAAGCTCGTCTGACACGTCGTCTTCTACTTTGACGACCACAACTACCGTGACGACTGCTGGGACAACAAGCTCATCCGACACGTTGTCGTCTTCTACTTCGACGCCGAGCAGTATAAGCACTACACCTGTCTCTACTACGTCTTCCACAACATCAGTTTCGACTACGTCCTCGACGAGTTCTACTCCAGAAACCCCTACGGAAACGTCGAGCTTGACGACAACAACGTCCGATCCAACTACATCCTCATCAAGTACGAGCTCAGAGACCTCTACTACTGAGGCAAGCACATCCACGACGACGTCATTGTCGTCTACTTCATCCTCGTCGAGCAGCTCTACCTCGAGCACTACTAGCTTGTCTACTAGCTCATCAGACACTACTACAACCAGCTCGGCCACGCAGACCACTACCACGACGGGTACGTCGCTCAGGAGATCCGCGTGGGGACTGCAAACGCAAATTCCGTTATTTCGAGTCCGTGTGTTTATGGGGAGTTTCACTGACATCTTTCTTCGACAGGGCCGAGTTCAAGTACTAGTACTTCGACGAGCACAAGCAGTGAGTGTCCAGAAAAAACGAACTGGTTACCGTAAGACAAATGCTGACTCTTTATTAAACAGGTACCATAACGTCAGACTCTAGCACAAGTACCACTAGCATAGAGAGTACGACGACAAGCACTTCCACAACGTCGAGCGATAGGAGTAGTTCTTCGACCACTACCTCTAGTAGTACTTCGACAACTTCGAGCTCGAGTGATTCAAGCACTTCCACGTCGACCACCACCAGTATCACTACAACTACCACGAGTACTACGAGTACCTCGACCACAAGTACTTCTACCACGTCGACTGACACGTCTACTACGAGTACCACTTCTTCCACTACAAGTGATATAACCAGTACTACTTCGACGAATTCGGCTACCACGTCGACTACGTCCAGTAGTACATCGACAAGTTCAACTCCAATCACGACGACGACGTCTACTGATACCACAACGACGGCCTCTAGTGCTACAACAACAACTGATAGCACGTCAACCACATCTAGTGTTACTACCACGAGCACCTCCACCACAAGCATTACAACTACTACTAGTTTGACAACGTCAGACACGACGACGACTTCTATGAGTACGACTAGCACTTCGACCACGTCAAGTACTACGGCCAGTACTACAACCACAACTAGTGCTACCACGTCGACGACGTCTAGCGCTACAACTACATCTACTAGCACTTCGACCACGTCAGATACTACGACTACGACGAGTGCTACAACTTCAAGTACTACTACTACGTCGACGACGTCGAGCGATATGACTACGACTAGTACGTCAACCACGTCGAGCACTACAGCGAGTACTACGACCACGACGACTTCTACAACTACAAGTACTGCCACTACGTCAACAACGTCGAGCGACACAACAACGAGTAGTACGTCGAGTACTACGACGAGTACTACAACTACAAGTACTACTACTACCTCGACAACGACGAGTGCTACGACTACAAGTACCGCCACTACGTCCACGACGTCGAGCGATACAACCACGAGCAGTACTCCGACCACGTCAAGTACTACAACTACAAGTACTGCTACTACGTCGTCAACATCAACAACATCATCCACGACCTCGACCACTTCTACAACGAGTACTACTTCGATTACATCGACTGCTACCACTTCCACCACTTCTTCTACTACCACTTCTTCCGCGTCGTCTTCTTCTACCACTACCACAACGTTGCTAACTACTACTACTTCTACAGCTACCACGACCAGTACTACGACCACTTCTGCAAGCACAACGACTACTAGTACTACGACAACCGCACCAGTTACGACCACGACGACCACGGCCACTACCCCTAGCACAACGACTACTACGACCACGACGGGTGCTACTACGACCACAACAACAACTACCACGACAACAGGGGCTACGACGACGACGACGACGACGACGACGACGACAACAGCATCTACCAGCACCACAACAGCTGCAACGACTACAACGACCAGTACAACTACGAAGAGCACTACCACCACGACGACAACAACACCGGGGACCACGCAGGGGGTACCCAACTATACGTCGCTGGCATCGACTGTATATGCGTCATCTGTGTCAGCGGCTCTTGGAACCGGTACTCTCTGTGCAGGATCGAACGTGATGTCAACCAGTCAAGCATCGTTCCCGATCTACCCGGGGGCGTACAACTACCAAAAGGTGGCCCTATCAAACAATCCTACCACTGTCTACGAAGTGGAATGCTACATGAGTGCCAACCAGGGTAGCCCTAACGCGGCGACGATAAACGGCGTGAACTCACTAGAATACTGCATTGATCAATGCACGCAGTTGGGCCAATCGGGGTGCACGGTGGCATACTGGTCAGTCAAGGCCCAAACATGCCAGTTGTACCCCAACTCGGCCACGCCAGGCGGATCTGTTGCTCCGGGCGCGGAGGGACCAAACAGCTTGATTTTTGGCGTGCGGACGGCGCGACTTTTGACGACGGTGGCCCCGAATGTTGTTGATGCAACATACCTCCTGGCCCCGGGTGCACAGTACAATCTAGGGCTTTGTGGCGGATCTGCTGGCAACTATTATTACGACAAGACGTTTATCGGCGTGTACCACTCAGACAACACGATCCGAGCCGGCCGGGCTGACATCTGGTTTGTGAACTGTGGGGGCAACACATACTACTCCTCATCCATTGCAAGTTCCCAGCTGAACTCGACGCAAATGACCACCGTCATGACCAACACCGGCTTCCAGAACCCGCCTACCACCTCGGACGACTGTGCTCGTTTGTGTGCCTATACCAACGTCTACGCCGGCGACAATACCGGCAATCCACTCAACTGTCGGCTGTGGCATTGGACCATCGCCAACCAGTGCATCTTGTTCAGCTCTCGCGGCAGTCAGCCCTCGCCACTCACCAATGACAATACCATTCAAGCTTCTGGTATTTATCGCGGCAGCACAAACGCAGAATACCCTCTCAGTCAGGTGGCGAGCTACAAGCGGTCCCTTCCGCCAGGGCTTGGTCCGCAGCGTGTCCATGCCAGAGATGCACTGGCTGATGGGGGCATTCATGTGCCGGATGTCATCATCCCGTTCTAGACTGGCTTCTAGATTGGACAGAAGGACCAAGTTTATGGTTCTCGACCGAGTACTAGTGTGGTGAAGGGGCTAACGGGTGAAGTTTGTGGTGGTGGTGGTGGTGGTGGTGGTGGTTGTGGTTGTACTAGTTGTTCTAGTTGTACTGGTGGGAGGTGAGATGTATCGTGAGCATCAGGGTTATGGTGAAGCTGCAGGCACGAATGAAGGCGGAGGTGATTGTTGCATGATAGTGGAGTTGGGAATTTGCCTTGTTGAGTACGTTGTAGAGAGGGGTCGAGGTCAGGATGGGTCGGGATGGGTTAAGTTGGGCGGGAAGCGGAGTGAATTGGTCGTGGCAGGTACGGAGAAGATGCAAGACAAGGCAAGGCTGGAGTTGTTCGTTGTGTGCCGGTGACCTGTTTGTTAGAAGGATGGACTTTGCTGGTTTGCTGGTTTGCGTGGTTGCTTCTCCCTTTTTTTTTCTCTCTCGAGATTACAATCCACTATATCGTGTTGGACCGCCATAAATTCCGCTTTACTCTGATTCAACTTTTGCAGTTTCGTAGACTCTACCTTCTGGCTCGCTCAGACTCTTTCTAATTGTTGCATCGTGGAAATATATATCTCGAGTCAACCTCGAAGCGATTGGAATTGATCGACTTTGTTCACGGCTAGGTACTCTTGGTAAGACGTTCGGGCACTGACTGCAGTGAGATAAAGTAAAATACTACTAGTACCATAGAAACCTACCTACCTACCTACCTACCTACATATCTACCAGGAAGAACACCCCCGGTGAAGTGTTACCTTGGTTGTTGAGTACCTATACAGTATCGTGTGTGTCTGGTACCTCCCATTATGCTGCCTCTTAATGGGTACGGTGAGAGAAGAGAGAAAGAAACAAAGGCCGAGGGATAAGGACTCCCTGTTTAAGTACGTACATACCATACTCCCCTTATTTTGCCATCATGGGGCATGATTCCCTGCGAATTATAGATACTAGTGAGTCCTGGGATCCTGGGATGCTGGGTGTTGTTATTACAATGTAGGTACTGTACCTACCTAGTAGTACTGTAAAGCCTGACAACCAGACAACCAGCCAGCCAGCCAGCCTCTCTGTTTTCCTGTTCCGATTCTCATCATTCGAACTGATCTATCGCTTTTCGTAGCATAACATACGGTACCCTAGGTAGGTACCAAGCAGTACCAGTTGTAACCAATATTGCATCCCTGAAGTTTTGGACATGACATGGCGTGCCTGCTCCATGACAGACAGACAGACAGGGAGAGCCAAAGGTTGTACACTGTAAATACACTACCAACAGCCATGCAGTCAGTAAGGTAGATGGTCTAACCCCTAAGCCTTGTTTGCATTTCTTTTTTGCTGATGATCTGATGATCTGATGATCAGATGATCAGCCTTGCTCAACCTGTGTTCTCAGCCTCGGCCAGGTCAGATCTCATCAGCCTTGGCTTTTACAATACAACTACTGTATTCTGGTTGTTCCACCGGGAACAACAAAAAGGTACAGCTGGCTAGTGTACACACGCCACGACCAGTCCTCAGTCTTTGCATCGAACTCTAAGTTGGGTTCATTTATATTGGGAAGCCTAAAAGCATAGGTACAGGCACAGGTATAGGTACAGGTACAGGTACAGGTACTACTACCAGTCAGTCTTTTCAGATCAGATACCCGCCCCACCAACACCGACACCACCGACTCTCGTCCTCCCACCACCCTGCGCCTGAGCCTTTTGAAACTGTCGAATCAATCCCAACGGTCCCAGGGCGCCGCCTAGGGCAGTGATTGTATGGAGGTCATTATCTTCGTCTTCATCGTCATCATCTTGGTCGCTATCACTGTCATCGAGCTCACCAGCCTCGTCAGGAGTCTCGCGACTCTTCTTCCGACGACGCTCGACTTCGTATTTCCAGGAGCCGAGTTCTCCTTCTTCGTCGCCTTCGTCTTCTTGGCGGTGAATTTTGGCTTCGACTTCGCCTTGCCGTTCTTGACGGTCAGACGATGGTGGAGGTGGTGCTTGTTGGCTCTGACTCTGTCTTGCGGCGGTGGCGGTGACATGTGGAGAAACCACATCACGTCGAGCAGCTGCACTTCTGGCACCACTGCCTCCACCACGGTTCCGAACTATTGTTTGGCCAGCACCACCAGCACCACCACCACCACTAGTACTGACTGTCAAAGGCTGGTGATGTGGATCAAGTAAAAGGGATTGCAGAGGAGATGTGGCGCCGAGATGCTGCTGCTTGGACAACGACGGCGGCGCTAGTGGCAGATGTGTACTTGGATGAACTGCATGTCCGTGTCCGTACAACGCGGATGGAGGCGAACCTAGTCCCGAAACTGCGCCCGAGCTGCCTCTCTGCTGAGGGTGATCTGAATTGGGGAAAAGTGGTGAAGGTAAGCCCGGGACAGGAGGAGGCATGTTGAAAGGCCGACGGCGGCCGGCACTACCAGTGTAAGGGAAGCGAATGTCGGTTTTGGGGTTGCGCGCGTAATCGTTCATGAAGCCCCAGTAACTGTGTTCGAGTTTGTTGTCTTTGGAGGCAAAGTAATCTTCTCGTGGATTGATATTGAGATTCACATTGTTGTCGGCTGTGACCGTTCGTGCCGAGTTCTCTGTTGCTGTCGTTGCAGCAGCTGCAGTACCTGCACCTTGCCCCGTGCCATTGTCAACTGCCACAGCTGCCGCCGGTCGATACGGCTGCTGCATAAAGTTGAACTCGGCAAAAGAACAAACATACCCCAGCCCATCGACATGAACCGTAAACTCGCGAAAGAAATCAATGATCCGCTCACTGCACTTAGGCAAGCTGAACCAGAGCACAAAAGGAGTGAAGATCATACTCAATACCTCCTCGAGAAACAAAACCAGTTTCATCTGGTACAGCTGGGAAAACTCTTGTTTCACCTCCATCGTGTGAAGTCTCCCCGCCCAATGCTGGGGTTCGTAATGGGTAAACTGAATCACCTCCTGGATGGCAAGAGAAGTGTCGTAGACCATATTATCCTCGGGCAAGACACCGCGGGCGACGGCCCAGATGGACCCGAAAATCCCGAGATAGAAAATGGTCGTGCGACCTGGCGTGACTTCGAAATTTAAAAAGTTTTCCTGGTCTAGGATCGTGGCCAACCCGAGCACCGACACCACGGCGCCGGAAACCAAACTGACAAATTGGGCAGCCTGGATGGTTTTGTCCTTGGGGAACTGGTTGAGATATCGAGTCGCAAACGGATACGACATGTTGATGCGTCGCTGAAACAAGTGGTCCAACTCATTAAACTCGCGGAACTTCCACTGCGCAAACCGACTGTACTCCCTGGACCCGATCTGGGCGGGATTCTTTTGATATTCGTTGAAGTTCTCGAAAAAGTGCTTGAGGATGAAAAAGACCGTCAGGAATGGCGCAAAGATCAGACTGGCCACCCCGGCAAGAATGAATCGTTTTCGAAGTGCCTCGCAAAGATCCTTTCGATGGGTGTCCTTTAGAAACAATGTTCGCACTTGGCCCTTGCGGTTGAACACGAAATCCATGATGCATACGTCAATGTTCCACTCCAGGGTCCGGGTGAAGAGTTTGCGGTTGCGGAGGAATGGGATGGGCAGCGTCAAATCAAGAATGTCCTTGTTGATCATGGCTATCAAGTAGTTTTGTCTCCGCATCAGCCGGTTGGCAATGTCGTGTGCGTCCATCCGTTGTTTGTCCTGAGACCGAATGTATGCGCCTCGTTTGTTAGATGTGGAGGTGATGGTCGGGTTGGAATCTCGTAGAGCCATGAGCCGACTGACGATTTCCTGCCACGATATCGACTGGATCTCCTCTTCGGGGATGTCGAGCAGGTAATGGTAAAAGTCATGCATGTGCCTCAGACGCGGGATGTCCAGGATATACACTGCCGACTTCCAGATCCAAATGAATGTGGTGAGCCAGAGCAAAGCACTGGGGACAAAACCCATGTTTCTGCCACATTGAGGAACTAGGATTTCCGACATCTTGGTGCTTCCACGGACGTCTCGATAGTTGACACATTGGGTCAGAAACAATGAAAAGCCAACCACAAAGGCCACTGTGACGAGGTTCAAGAAGCGCATCAACAGAATCGACCAAAAGCCGTGGTAGACGTAGTACGTGTAGACTTCGAGGAGGAAGTTGTCGAGATTGACGACGTTGACCCATCGAAACATGGCCTTCTCTTTGGGGTCGGCGTTTGCAAGGGTTCCCCAGGTTCCCCAGAATGTGGCCGGGACAGGTGCGGTCCGGGGAGGATGTCTTGGATCGTTTGGAGATGACGGTCGATGAGGCTGCGCAGGAAACGGACGAGTTGTATCTGCCCGCGCTGTAAGGCCGTCGGACAGTTCACTCGGCGGTGGAGGCAGCGATATGGAGCCATGTTCACGGGCGCTTGCGTTGTGGTCGATGAGCAGAGACGCCGGAACCTCGTCATCCGCCTCTTCCACATCGAGTAATTTGTGAACCGCCGCCGCCTGATTCCATCTCGGTCTACATTGGGTCCTGCTCTTGTCTTTCCGGGAAGATCGTACTTTGTTGTTTACAGCAGAGGATGATTCGGCGCGAGCGGGAGGGATCCGCGTCGAGGAGCCAATATCAGGGCTGGTTGACTCGGCGTGAGCATGAGGGATTCTCGTCGACAATCCTATATCCGGACTATTCGCTTCAAAGTCTTGATATCCATGTTGTTGCGCAGTCTGGCTTCGTGGCACCAGCCCAGCCCGCTCTTCTATGTCAACAGAAGCCTCCGATTCTTCATCAGTCTGCCTGATCGTGTCATAGATCGAGGCCGAGGGGTTGTTTGACCCAGTAAAGCGGGAGAAGATGTTGGACGCCATCAGGGCGGCATGGAGGGTGTCGGTATCTGCAGACCGATGTGAATCAGAGGTGAGTAAGGAAGGTAAAGTAGTATGGAAACGAACGTAGTAGACGCTCAAGCAACGTCCATCTCGGCGTGTTTGTGCCTGCAGCTGCAAGGACAAACGCTGATGCTCCTGCGATGGCACATGACAGAGACGCAGACGCGGACGTGGACGGCGGATTTGTTGACGCAGGGCAAATGGCCGGCCGACCAGGTCACGAGAGACACTGTAATTGACCAAAAGCGCGACAGATGATAGGAATTCTGTTACAGAGGCGCGGTTATCGAAGAAGAAAAGGAATGGGAATAGGCAACATCAACAATACTGTAGATGTGTTCATTCAGTGGTAGAGTGTTCTACTGTGCCCGCATGGATGTTGTCATTGTCGGTCCTCTCCAACATTCCGCCCAAAATATTGCTACTCCGCAGCCTTGTCAGATCCCAGGATCCCACACTGCAAGGCTCTAAGTAGAGCCCCTTGCTGTGTACTGGTGCTGTACGGCAGGCTTCCGTTCTGCCTCATCCATACGGTATCGACCACTTAGCTTCCTCACTAGTAGGGTAAATGTAGTCGTTCACTTGCACCTGACGGCTCTCAGGGACATATTACAATTATTCTATTTGATGTTTTGCTCACAGTAGCCGTGTATCGTACGTCAAGGCCAGGACGAGGCTGAACCCCTATCTGAGTCTGTTTTGCCTTATGGGTAGAAGGGACACAGGCTGTGACCAGTGAGAGTACTGGAACAGCTGCTGGGCCACGTCCCATCCAAGTATGAAAGGCGATGAGCGACCTGATATCCCGTAACATTACCAACCCCTACATGACACGCCGTTCGAACCCACTCGGACTGTTTATACATCTACAAGATACAACTCCTTCAATCCATCTCCCACATCGATATAGCATATAGTAAGAGTCATTCCATGCGGCGTTGCTCCGTAGAACTCCCGCTAGAAGAAGAGAGCAGCCAAGAGAGCAACTCCAAAACAAGCAACAAGCCACTGCTGATGCTGATGCTGATGCTGCGCGGCTTGTGCCTGGTCCAACTTTTCCAGTCGGCTCAACCCCATGGCCAACAATGCAGTCAGGAGGATCAATCTATTCGAAATGCCAACAACGAACTTGAAACACAGTAGCGGGAAAAGGGCCGTTGTCAACACGGTGAAAGGAATAGAGCCAGACACAGATTCCCTGGCCTGTGACGCAGTAGTATTTGTTGCTTTTGTCAACAAAATTAAATCATCCTCGTCGTCCAAAAACCTCGATTCCGCGGCCGACAAAGGGTTATTGTCTCGCAGCCACGATCGTAACCGTTGGACATCTGATGGTGCTGCCTGGGATGTTGATCTTTGCACTTTTTGTCCTAATATCAGAGCTTGGTCTGTTTGTAGATTGTCAGCTTATCCGTCCGTACACGACAATGGTGCCAGTGGCACCGGAAGTAAAAATTAAACACTCACAGTACTGCTCGAGCTTGAGGTAGAGTCGGCCCAGGACCTCGAGTCGACGACCGTGCAGATCAGTTTGGTGCCATTGCCAATTGATCCGTCGCGATGCCGGCGAGATACTGCCATCGGAATTGATCCTGCTTTCGGTATCATTTGAGTCCAAAAGGGAGAGCTCCTCTTCCATTTCCACGATTTCATCTTGCAGCTGCAACAGCATGCGGAAATGGACCTTGTCGAACCGCCTGAACAGCAGTGGAAATTCTCCGCGGGACAATTTCTCTGAGATCAGGTCATACCCGGACAACAGCCTCTTTGCCGACCGTGGTATTCTTTGAGGCTCTTCTGCTGGGCAATCAAAACGAACGTGCCCTTCTTGCGGACTTGAGGTCCTAGCCACAGAGTCGAAAACCTGGGCTTTGTGGGTGGCCGGAGGTATATCTGGCCACTTCCACCGGGACTCTTCAGAGTAGGCAGTAGGTTTGCTCTTTGACTGTTTTTGGGGATCATTTCTATCCTGCGGCTCTTCAAACAATGGCGGCAATTCTTTCTCTATGCTCCGGTCGAGACCGGGCTGACAGATACTGCTGTCTCCCATGGAAATGCCCGAATCGGACAGCTGGCTTCTTACCACACTATCATTGTCATTGTCGGATTCTTCGTGTCGAGACAGTGCTTCCTGGCGAACACATGCCTCTTCTTGCGGATGCTCGCTGGTGGCGGTGTCGTCATTCTCATCGTGGACAAGGAACGAAAAGACGTCGACCAAGTCTGCGGATGAGGTCCTCTCTTTCTGTTCTTTTGGAACAAGACTCCCTTTTCCTTGAACCACCTTCGCCTCCCGACTCCGGTTCTGTTTTGACGCCCTCCGTCTTCTGCCGCCGCCAGTGGATCTCGAGTAGGATTCTGGAGTGATGGTTGATGCACTGTCGTTGGAACCGTGAGAGCCCGTGGTAATCGCGGAAAGAAGGGACAACTTGGACGAACGGGAGGCCTTGCTCACGCCGTAGGTCTGACTGCGACGCCGGCGCCCTTGATCCCGCCCGGAGACGAACATACAGTAAAGCAGAAATGGCGTGCAAGCTGGTGCCCAGTCATAGACGGCCCGCCAGGAGGCCTTGTGGGGGAAGGAATGAGGATAAGCAGAGCTGCTGTTGGTGTTGGTATCTAGCAAACATGGACCACAGAATGGACGTAGATAGCCCCTCCATCATCGGGCCACCAAATCCGGTAGTAATTTGGGAACAACCAGCGACGGACAAATGGGCCGAAAGCAGTCAACAGACGGGATGGTTGTCATGAACTCAGCAGATCACAGCAGCAGTCATCGCTTTGTGGTCGGTCGGACCGCCGGGGGAGGTGACAGGTTCGAGAACGGAGGGGGCAGGCAAAGGTGTAACGGTTAACGTAACGAATCTGAGCATGCAACACAGGATAAGGGCATGCAGCAGCAGCAAAACACCAACAAGCTTTGGTCCTTTCTATACGAGGTGCCGTCTGTAGAGGGAGCGATAGGACAAGAGGATACTGTCGTAGCAGAGAGCGAGAGGGTAGACCAGCCAGACAAACCGGGAAAACAGGGCAGCGAGCGTAGGGAGTGCAGAGAGTGCCAGTGCAGCAAAAAGCAATGAATGAAACGGTCCAGTCGGGGGATTCCGTCCTTCTTTTGTGTCCCAGCAATAAATAAACAGTCCCATCATTGGAAGATTGGGCGTTTGTGCCCAACGGCGCCCTGCCCTGCCCTGTCCTGCCCGTCAGCAGCTGAGCGGTCGATCGTCGAATGGGCTGCGTTGCGGACCAACGGGTCATTCAAGTTGACAATGCACAATGCAGGAATGGAATGTAGAATCGCGCCAGCGATGGAGATTGACAGCACATACTGTACCAGAAACTTGAAAGTGAAGTGAGTGGTCAGATCTTCAGTGGTAGGTTCAGACGAATCCCACGCCGTCCTTTCGCTTGTTTCGAGCCCACAAAAGACTGCAGATATCCGCGAGAAGTAGACACGAAAAAAGCGACGAGGCGGACGGAACAGGAAGCAAAAGATACACCCCACAATTTCACCTACCTTGTGTAGCTAATCGTCATTTTGGGTAGGTTGAGTCGAGTCGTTCAAGTTCCGTCGCTGTAGCAAGCGGGTTGGCTAGGCGCATTTCAATTGCGTCGATACCTTACCTAGGTATCTCGATCCGGCGACTAGGAAGAAGCCAGCGTAGCCGCTTAAGCAGGGACAGCAGAACGATGCAGACGGTCGGTCTGTGAGACTTTCGGCACGCCACGGGGGATGAATGAGTGGTTTGGATCGTGTTGTTTCCCACAGGGGCAGAAAGAAGAGCAACTTCGTGAGGGCTCATGTTCATCACTGACATGATATTTCCACCAACATCACTCGCCCGCCTGCTGATTTACTACTATAACATTGTACAATTAGTACTGGTCTGCTGTACCAGGAGCAACCCTATTCAGCCCCAGAACCTCCAACCAGGAACCGACTTGATCCCCGTACATTGTTCCGGATGCATCTTCTTCCACTTATCATCCACATCATCCGGAAACCTCTCATGACCTCTAGGGACAAAGCGCATGCCGACATGTCCCTTTCTCATCTGCAACGAAATAATCACACTGAGACCATTGAGCATCAAGTCTCTTGCCCGTTCAGCAGCCTTCTGCCAGACTTCGACACGAGCATCCTCATCCATGGCAATCACCTCGTCATCCGACGCCCACTGATCAACGGCCAACTCGACCGAGTAATTCTGCAGAATCACAGCGAGTGTCGCCAGGACCTCGACCTGGGCAAACCTTCTGCCTAGACAGGCGCGATATCCATCACTGAAGGGGATATATGCGCCCCTGGGAGGCCGGTACATGCGGTCCGAAGTATCGGCAGCCTCATTGACGGCGAGGTCATCGGCAGTAACAGCTTCGGTCGGCATATCAGTATCAGAGGCACTCGTAGTAGTTCGAACCTCTCCCTCCTCGTCCAACAGCCAGCGTTCGGGCCGGAACTCTTCGAGATCATTGTCGACATTCGACACCGGATGAACCGGTCTGCCGCCTGGCAAGGTAGGTTTGCCCGCGGGCCAATATCTGGGATTGCGCTGGACATTGGACGAACACAGACTAATATACGTCCCACTGGGGACTGTACACGGCTTGCCGTCAATGGTGATGGGTTGATCAGATACCCCCCAGGTCGACTTTGGAATCCCAACGACAGGCGGCACCAGCCGCAGTTCCTCCGCCAGTACGGCACCTACCATCCCGCCAAACAGAGCCGGTAAGTCCCGATCATAGTCCCATTGAGAAGGCGGTCTTCCCTGGAATATACGGTCGAGGTCCTTCTGCACCGCGCGCTGGCTCTTCGGGTAGAGAGCGAGATAAAGCAGCGAAAAATGGATCGAGTTGGCGGCCGTCTCATGGCCGGCCAGGATCAAAACGAACATATTACCCAGAATCTCCGAGTCTGTAAGAGTCACGTCTTTGCTCTTCTCCGAAAAAACCTGGCCTTTGACCAATTGGCCCAATAGATCCATCTGATCTTTGTTATCTCTTGAGGAGGACTCGGCTTCGAGCGTCCTTTTCTTGGACGCAACTGCTTCTTTCATATAATTCCCCCACTCGACATAGGCCTCATTGGCCTTTCGTACAGTCTTGGAGGGGATCTTGTCCATCAGCCAGCGCGGCAGGATGAACTGGAACAAGATATTATCCAGCAGACAGTGGATGGCATACGTGTAGCTCATGGAGTGTCCCGCATCACGATCGAGGTCCTGGTTCTGGATTTTCGAGGGGTCGTCATAGTTGGTGTCTATATCAGCCTTTTCGTCCGCGGACGGCCACTCGAGTTTCCTTCCAAAGCCCGCCCGACTGATGACATACAGGCTGAGGCGCATGGTATCGTCCATCACCCTGTCGACCGTGATATTTCCCTGGCCGTCCGGTCCCACCCACGAAGCCAGCATCGCAGAGGCCTGGTCTATACTCTCGGCCCACACGAGATGGTTGTTCTTCTCCGTAAAGGGCGGACTCGTCGCTTTGCGATGTTGTCGCCACATGGCGCCCTCGGTCGACACCACATTCTTGCCGTAAATGTCGAGTGAGCGATAGATGGGCGTCGGTTTGGGGAAGTCGTTTCTTCGAGTTGTGATCTGCGATATCACTTCGGGGTCGGCCGTGTGCATCATGATCCCGCCCGGAGATACCACCAGAAATGTGTCTGATCCCACTCGCTCAAATATCTCCATTCCAAGGTGGTGATTGAAGTCTGGAAGGCAAAAGTCGACCCATCCTGTCCACCGCCGTGGCAATCTGGCTAGTAATGGTAGCCATAGTCGGTGCGTGATCAGCCACGTCCGCTTGATGTAGTGTACCGGCGCGGTCACGTATGTGATTCCTGACGCTCGTGCACGCTGTACATTCCGTCGGAAGGAAAGGTAGATGTTGATGAGGCGGTAGACGATGAAAATAGAAATGGCCGCCACGGCCAGCATTGACCGCATGTTGGAGGCGCCGCTCGCTGCAGTTGGGTGGGCGGCGGGCGCAGGGGGTGGGTGAGGATGGAGGCGGGCAGTGTGGTGGTGGTGGTGGTGGTACAGGAATGGGAGGTCCGGTAGTAATGCAGATTAGTTGTAGATCAAATAAATGAAAGCGAAAAGAAAGGAAAAAAACAGAAGATGGGTCCAGTTTGGTTGAGTTTGTCTTTCTGGACAACAAAATACGAAACAGACAGTGTCTGAAACCATAAACACGAGCAGCTCCAAAGGACTGTGTCAGGCGGTCATGCATTCCAAGAAAAAGCTACTGCAATGTGAGTCCATAGATCCGAGGACTTGATATGATTTCTTGACAGAAGTTTGCAACGAACTGCAGTACCGTCACCACTGCACCATCCTCCTCCAGGTGGCGAAGCAACAGGCCGGCATGAACATTAATGATGGTTATGATGGAGTCTCTACCCGGCCAGTCTGGGGTTCAAGTTTCTGGCTAATTAGTCGCTCGTCGTTTGGACCCCGGTCAAGCTCCTCTTGTGAAACGATTCGGATAAGTTCGTCTCACCCAAGCGAGTTGCCTCTGATTCATTCCTCCCTGCTCCAGGGCATGCGCCCTGTGTGGCAGATGGTAAACGCCCATGAGGTTTAGAATTCGAATTGCAGAGACTGTCTACTAGTTATAGCCATACATGAAATGGTCATGAGGTTGGGTGTCTAGTGACTGCATATCAAATACAACTAAATCTTGCGTATCAAACCACGGAAAGACTCAAACGAAACGGTGATAGGTATCCTGCTCCTCCTCGTCGTCGCTACGTGGTTGACCATTAACACCCTCGACTATCCCACCTCAACCAGACAGAGGAAACAAGAAATTCAGCCGAAACACGGCGAAAACGTGAATCCTACACTCTAGACTGCGATCGGTATCCACCCTTGCCCCCTGCAAGAGCCCTACCCACGTAGGTAGGGATCCTACATTAGGCTCTTATCGCTCGATTCTTTCTTTCTCGCATTCTGGATCCTTGCGCCGTTCTCGTTGTCGCTCCCATTTCCTCTGCCTTTCCAGCCGCTGCTCAGCATTCCATGCCTCCACCCTCTAGGCGGTCGCTTGCTCCAAGTGGGTGCCCTGGGCTTCGGCCGCGGGCTTGTCTGTTGGAGGAGGCGGCGCCAGTGGCTCAGTCACTTCAGAATGGGTCTGAGTACCGGCACCCGAACCTGCTCCCGTAGTTTCTGCGCCCGTGCTCACGCCTGTGTTTGCGCTCGCACGCTGCTCTGTAGGCATCAAGTTGGCACCGAGACTTCCTGCGCTGGAATGGATAGGCTCCAAGTTAGGTTGCCATGAGAGAAGTTCCTGTTCGGCATCGGCCAAGATCTGTCTGGCTTCACCGGCCTGGTCAAATGGCTGGCGAACGTCTCCGGGCACCACAGGAGTATCGTCAAGCAGGTTCAACAGGCGGCGGCCATATCTGGACAGGATGATTTGTTTCTCGGCTCGCTCGATGGTGGCTGCAAAGTGCACGTCGAATGCTTCCTTGAGTTTCTGGCGGGTCTATTACACAATTAGCAAGGGAAGTCCTCAACTTGGTACAATGGGCAGCTTCACATACCGTGTTGGTGAGTTGGGCCTCGGCGACCAAGTTTTGAGCCTCGGCTCGCACGAGTTCTTGCTCAAGTGTGACAAGTTTGGGGCTGGAGGGTTCTTTGTATTTGAGCTTCTGGATCTCATCGGCAATCTTGGCCTTCTGGTCTCGGCTGGGCTGTACGCTGGCCTCGATGTTTCTGATCTGCTTCAGGATGGCCCGATAGTCTTCCAGGTTTTGCGCGAACAGATCTTCCTGTTCTCCAATCTCCGACAAGATAACGCCAATCTTGTCCGACAGATCCGACACCGCATCGTCGCCGGTGGACTCACCCCAGTCGGAGAGTTGAGAGGCGATCGAGAGACGTTCGCGGCCGGCGGTCTCGTAGGCGCCGATGGCATGGTTCTCAGTCTTGATCAGCTTGTACAGCTTCTTGGAAAGCTCCGCCTGTTGGATGCCGCGCAGCGTGGAAATGGAAAAGGTGTGCTTGGGAGCCTCTTTCGCGTGGTCATCCTTCTTGCGGGAGCGGATGGATAGAGCGCGGTTCATGGCGGGGGAGGTTGTCTCGTTAACTTGGGGAGAAAAGAAATGAAGTGATCAGTCGTAAGGCTTAGATGGAGGCAATGCCAACAGTTTGGATCAATCTTTGGGTATCACTACTGGGAAGCAAGATGAAGAAGGCAGACAACAGGAGTGAGGGCTGATGGTTGATGGTTGAAGGCTGGGAGTCGTTCAAGTTTGGTTGCGAATGCGACGAATGCACAGACATGACGTATGACGTATGTGGATGGAACTGGAACTGGAAAACTGAACTGTATCTCTATCCGTTTACCTGCCCCGATTGCATTATCGATCGAGTTCTGCGCTACAAAGAACCATTATTTGCTGTACCTACTAGTATGAGGCAGCAGATCATGCAGGGCCATCACCATTGTCACCACCAGTAGCCTGGTGCATGGTGGTTGAGATGCCAGCAGCAAGCCAGTATCATTGTGACGGGTGATTACTAGTAGAACACTTCCATTTCCACCCCTCTACAGACATGGCAACGGAAACATCCAACTCCGAGACAAGCGCAGCCAATATCTCATTGATGGCCTTGAGTTATACCTGAGGCTGATGGCACCTGACCACTTCCCACGTTCGCATCCAAGTTGTGGTATAGTAGTGCAAAGCTGATTCATCCCACCCTTCAAGAATTAAGCACATGCTGCTGATGATGTCATCAATGGTCGTCCACGGATATTCTTTGTTCATGCTCATCTTCGTAACTTCAATAAACCATCCATTTTGACTCGTTATTGTACTGCGCCGACCAGAACGAAACAGTCCCTCTTAGATGGCGCATACTCGTAGTAATAATGCCATAGCCGTCCGCATGCAGCCCTGCCTGATCGCCAACCAAGCTATTGCTCACAAATTGTCATTTCTTATCGTATTGCTTGCTCCTCATCCATCAGGCTGCCACATATTGCCTGCTCCGGCGGCTCTCTTGTGTAACAATCCTCGTCCTGCTTTGGCTGCGGCGTCCATCCGAGCCAATGTCCCTGTGGCTGTCACGATACTGGCTATGGTTCTCGAAGCTGCCATGGCTGTCTCTGGGACGATGTGTAGAGGCAGAGCGTCGACCGGCTGCAACATCGCTGCGACGGTAGGTGACCCTCTCTGGTCGTGAGACATATTCTCGACGGTACCGTGGCTTTTCGTAGTGTCGAATGATCACTGCGTCGTCGCTACCGCCGCCGCCGAAGCACATTCCGAGGGTTGGAGAGGGCGAAGCAGAGAGTAGTAGTGCGTCAAGTTCGAGGAACACTGCGAGAACACAATTTGGCTGCGGGTTGGACGCAGGGCGGACGAGGCGTTCGCGAGGGTCGGTACTAATTGAGAGTAAACCAGGTGCAAGTTCGTCAATTGTCTCGTCCAGGTCTTCTTCGTATATATACTTGGTGGTGCTGATCTATGGAAATACATACCCGGATTCCGCCCGTGTCTGGGGCGTAGCGATGCGAGCCAGTTCTTCGACGACATCATCTTGTGGCTGGGTCGGGTACCTAGGTAGTTGTAGAGACACATTGGGTATAGCTAAAGAGTTACTCCGTCCCTAGGCCGCCGGCGGACTTGGCTTTGTAGGGGCAACCCTGGCACTGCAAACCATCCGGCTAGATCAGAGCCCGGAGGAGATGCCTCAAATGCATCTCACCGGTTAGCATTTTCAACCCGACGCCATCTCAGATCCGGTCATATACCGACGACAACAAAAGAGGGCGTTGATAGTGCAACCTACTGCTATCAACATTGTGGTGTTACACAACTGGCATTGCGAGACGCCGAACTGGACCTCCTCCACAGTCTCCATCATGGTGTCGGGCCGCCCGTCTCCACGGTCTGATCATCACTACTACTCAGGCGGTACAGGACCTCAGGTATCTACTATAAAAGCCCTCTACACGTCCGTGAGCAACTATAGCTATATCACCGTCAGATGCCTTCCTTGCCTATCTCTCGATTCATACTAGGGTCCTATGTGCGCGTCGTTCAACTGGGATCGAGGAAGCCTCAAGTTGTATCGATGAATGCGCATCTCGAACCATATCAGTCTCAGCATACATTACTACTACGAGTAGTATTCCAACATGGCCACGGCATCTTCTAGCAACGACAAGGCCACAACCAACACCACCTCCTTCTCTCATGACAAGTCCAGACGGCAAAGTCAAAGTCCACCAACCTTCCTAACACTCCCGCCCGAGATCCGCACAAACGTCTACGCACGCCTATTCTCCGCGACCACAGCCATCAAGATTGAACACGAACACCCCAACCGACAAGCCGACTATGACCAGGAGGACACCGACAACACACAATCATGGCAGTTACATAGACCGTCTGTGACCAACACCAACACCATCACTCCCACCACTACAACCACAACCTCTCCCACTTCCACCACAACACCAACCTTCACCACCAACCCTAACCACCCATCATCACAATCAAGTCAAGGTCTATCATCCCAACTCCTCCTCACAAACCACCAAATCCACGCTGAAGCCCTCCCGCTCCTCTACCAACTCAACACCTTCGACTGCTCCTCCCGCGAAGCCATCCCGCTCCTCCTCGGCACAATCGGCTCCCACCACTTCACTTTCATCCGCCATTTGATTCTCGACTGGGACCAACTCGAGGACTTTGCATGGATGCTCGCGAAACCCTTACACCAGACCCTCACTCTAGCCGGCCTCGAAATTCTCGAAACAGCAACCTGGCACATGCGCATCCCGGGGTATCCATCTGCTCCCAAAAACCCAATTTTGCTCGCCACAAAAGCCTACGAGCGTCAACTGTGCCAGGCCGCATTGGACATTTGTTCAAAACATCCCCGTCTGAATTGTCTGTTGCAACGGACTCGCAGAAAACAGACCGTCCCCTCATCAGATCACCTCGGCCGTGTTCTCTATCGTGTCGAGTTCACCGATCCGCCGTCCTGGAGTAGTTCCCAGGGCGCCATCATCCTAAGTAATGAACCTTTGCCGGGTGCTGGGACCCCCGCCGCCACGGGAGGTGTTACCACTACTAACAACACTTCTGCATATCGCATCAAATGGCGTTTCGTCGCCAACACATCCACCGCAGCAGCAGCGGCGGCGGCGGCAGCAGCAACAACAACAACAACAGGTTCACCACCAGCAATTAGCCACGAGGCTGAAACCATCGTAGACTTGCCAGCCGAATTGGCTGCACTCAAAGCCTGGCCTGCCTCGGGCATGATTGCTTCCGCAATAGCCTCATAGCACAGACTCTCTCTGTTTCGGTCTCTGTCTCTCAAACACTGGCATATACAGTACGAGCACGAAATGAATCGAAAAGCAAATAATGACACAAAAGCGAAGAGCAGACACGAAAGAACGGAAAGAGAAACGCGACAAATGATCAGACCATCTTGAACCGTCATCCATTGACAGATCTTGACTATCTTCCTGTAACCTTGCCGGCGCAAAAGGCAGACATACTAACATAACCCATCTCGATGGACCCAGCAGCTGTCCGCAAGAAGGGAAAAAAGGTCCCAAACCGGTAACTGTGCTCCTCGTACTCGTACAGATCAATATTTCTCTGCCCAAAGACTGCAACCTACCAACCTGCCAACCCAATGCAACCGAATGCAGGCTGTAATTTTAACCAGTAAACACCCACCAAACCCAAAGAACAAAAAAACTCCGCTCATCCTTGCGTTGACGTCTGAACCTGAGCCTGGGCATGAGCCTGGGCTTGAAGATGAGGTTGAGCTTGTGGTGGAACTTGAACTTGACCCTGAGGAGCCAGCGGTGCAGGCCCGCCTGGAGTAACTCTCGGCTGAGCCGCCGCATTTCCAGGGTACTGTGCCTGTGCCTGTGCCTGGCCCGGGCCGTACCCAGGAGCCAGCGTTGATGCCGCAACACCAGGGGTGCCCGGGGTTGCAGAGCCGGGCCTCTGATACGGATAAGGCGCTTGAGGTTGCTGGACCGGGTATTGCCTCGCTTGATAAGGTTGAGCATTTGTGAGTGGCTTTTGAGGAGAGGCTGTTCGGGGCACATTGGCGGCGGGGGTTTGGTAGCCTGGTTGGACCGGCCGCGGCGCGTATCCGGGAGTCTGGGCCTGTTGCACAGGCGTGCCGCCATAATTCGCATAGCCATTCTGTAAGGACCGCTGGAATTGTTGGATGGTGGGACGATTTCCGAATGGAGTGCTGGCTTGTTGGTAAGGCGTTTGTGCATATGCCGGTCTGGGTACGGCTGGAGTCTGGTACGGGGCCCGCATCCCATAAGCCGCCGTCGCCGGGACCGAATTGTAATTCCGCACCTGGGTGTTGTACGTCCCTGCGTTCACCGGGGCCGGCGTATAATTCGGTCGAAGCTGCGGAGTTGTCGCGGTGCGAGTCACGGCCGACGTGGCTTGTTGTGACATCTTCTGTCGACGAAGCGTATAGTCGTCCACTTGGCCTGTACCCGGGTAGTCGGGCGCTTCGACAACCAACTTGGTCGAAATGTTCAACTCTTCCAGCTGGTCCCCGTTGAGCTTCGCGACAGCAAACGGCGGTAACGATGACACCAGAATGCTCAGTTGCGTCCGGAGCATTTCAAAAACATCCACCTCAGGCTCACTTGGTTTGGGGATGCTGCCTGCGGCAAGCGGTTCGAGACTGCGATTCTTCTGGTACGAACTCAACGTCTCAATCAGTTCTGATATCTGCTCGAGCAGATCATCCACATCATCAGGTTCATTTCGGACTTTGAAGGGGTCCTCCACTTCCTCAGGCTCAAAGTTGGCAACGGCCTCTTCCAAACCGACCAAACTTTCCTCTCCGCCTTCGGCAATTGCTTCCTGGGTCACTTCCTCGGGTTCTTCGTGAGTCTTAAAAATCCGGGACAGTTGTTGCTCGCCATGCCTGCGCCACCATAGCTGACTTCTGTATCTCTCGGAGAAGATCGACCCGGAGTTGTCACAGGTCGGCGCAAAGGACGAGTAGACCGAATTGTAGAGCTCTTCGTCACTGAGTTCGGTCTTCTGTTTCATGTCGTTCGCTTCCAGTGCAGCTTTGTAGTCCGTTGTTGTGGATGGTTGGCGCGCACGTTTCCGATCCTTCTCTGCAGACTTGTTGCTGCCTGAATACCTGATCCATGAGCCCGTGGGTAACTTTGCAAACCTGTAATCCTGCTTGAAGTGAGGGTTGGTCTCGTTCTGTGACCAGTATGGCACTAAGGTTAACGTGCCACCTCTCGCTGTAGTTTTCGGTCGTGGAGGATCCAAAGGTTTTAATCGGCCGGACGGTCGAAAGACTGTGCCTAGTAGCCTCTTTTCCTCCGTCTGTTTCTTCGCGTCACCACCCAGAGCGGTGAACTCTGCAATCTCGAAGCCGTTTGGCAATTGGGCTTCCTTTGGTTCAGAGGGTTCATAGATATCCTCACTTTCCTCTCCTCCTGGCCCACTGGTCTCTAGGCCGGAGTATAGCAGATGCGCGCCGCCATTGACCTGACTTCGAACGGAGAGAATGTGCCGCGCGCGGTATCCGGGAAGACTAGCCTTTGCCAAGTCATCGCCATCGTCGTTCCGACCATTTGGCTGGGAGCCGTTGGACGTTGCCGGGTCCAGCATTCCAATCAACTTTATCGTGTTGGACAACTTGTCCTGTATGTTGGGTTTAGGATGGCCCTCTCCATTCACCATCTGGGTTGCATCGTTCATGATGGCATCTTTGACCTTGTTGAGATCCTCCATGAGTGCGCGGAAAGAAGTATATGCGCCTGCCAGTATACGGGCTTCGACCGTGTCGCTGGTGCCTTCCCCATCGGCGAGACGTGCTCTTTTCGCTTCCGGAGCTTCCGTGGTCGTGGATAGAGGATATTTCAGCAAGGACGGTGTGGAATCATGTCTGCATAATTATTAAATGTGTGAAATACAACACGCGCAGAGAAGACATACTTGCGGAGAGTTCGTAAAACTTCTTGCAGAGAGGCTTGCAGCGGGGAATCCTTCACTTTCGCAGGCGATTTGGAAATATCTGGAGACGCTGTGCGCTTGCGCTTCCCCAGGTGTGTGGTTGACGCCGAGTTAGCGGCGTCCGGCGGAGAGACACCATTCACTTCCGTCATGATGGTTCTGCAGTGGATGTCGTGGAGTTTTGATCGTGAGGTTTTGACAAGGCGGGAACTCAGATGAGCGTGACCACATGCAGGTGGACTCTTAAGAAAGTATCATTAGGCTGGAAGTGAGCTGTTGGTGTATGATAGCGCCGATTTCCGCTGGGTTGCGCCGTTGAGATTGGGATTGCTCGCAATTGAATAGTCAACTGCGCGAAGGGCTGCGCAGAAAGTCCACAAGGGAGAAGATGGACCCGGCGTTTGCTATTATTCGGACGCGCACACAGGGCAAGCCAACTGCTCCTTATGTGAATTGAAAAGAGACAAAAGGATAATAATTTGAGGCGCCTCGTGTCGGCATCGACTGCCCAGTCCAACTGCAAGACAAATATGAGTTGAAAGTCAAGTCGCGGGTCGCGACAAATGGAGCGTTTTGGAGACTGTATTTGGTAGCAGTGCGAGATGCGGACGTGCAACTTGAATGGTGGTGCATGGCAAGGCTGGTGCAAGTCTTTCGCGGTCACTCGTGGACAGAGGACACTATTCCGAGTTTGGACTAATTCTCCTGTTAAGACACGTTTAGCGCGTCTAGCCACAGACTGCGCTTGGCGTCCAGTCCTCCTCCAAACTTCGAGTGGTTCGCTGTGTTGGGACACATTTCGAGGTCAATACAGACAACCGCCGATAAAGACTACAGCTTTACCCATCTGGCGCATGTACGCTTGTGCTCGTCCGGCCCGAGGGTAGCCCTGTGTAAGGGACACTTCTCATACTCAAGAAAGCGTCTCTTCACCCAGCCTGGCCCAATTGCTTCCCGATCGAAGCATCAATGGATGGTCAACGTCCGATCGGTAATATCTTGCTTCCCGAGTGCTCCTCGACGTCTTCCCTGCGGTAGACATGTGGTAAGGCTCCTACATGTGTGGACCTGTCTGTGGTTGTTTCTAACACGCTCAGATCGCCCTTGTGTACTCGTCATTACCCGGCCAACATGGAGTTCGGCATTGCTCATCGGAGCAGAAGCAGTTGCCTGCTGTGTCCCGACCCGCCTCGTGGACCGCACTCAAGACTGAGCGCGATGAAGGGTCTGAAAAACCAGGTGGAAGTTTACCTACCCTGAGTACACAGAGCGCTGGGCAGTCTCAGTCTGTTCCTCTGAGGTGGGAGGAGGTTCGACGCAGTCTTCTTTCAGCCAGGAAGGATGATTCGGAAGTCGACCAGAAAGAGGCATATTATCCAACCGAGCGTGAGCCTGGCTCTGAGCGCCAGGCTTCTCGCCAACGGGTTTCCAAACAGCTGTCGAAATTCCTCCCTTCCCATGCTAGGCCTCGGAAAATCGACCTGTCATACATGAATACCGTGGACTGGGAGAATGGCATTGTTGACGCTGAAACTCCTCTTGCTCCATCGTTCAGGTCGTCGACACCTCTTCGAAAACTGCTTTTGGACTACCTTTACAATATTGAGCCTATCCTCCAAGACTCAGCCGTAGATTGGGACGCAGAACACCTGGACGGTACTCTTGCTCAAAACCTGCGGACCACGTTCAATGCTGCGTCATGCAAAGTGCTCGCGGCCACAGGTTTTGATGTTACAGATGTGGCAAGTTGGTCGTGGATTCTCTCCTCTTCGACAATCGACATTGCTGTGCAAAGGTATACGCTCTTGACGGACGATTTGCGGAGATCTGGAAGCCAGCCTCCACCCAAATTCATACTCTTACAGCTCCTTCGCGCCAGCCATATCAGTCACTTTGCGCTAAAGGAACTCATCAAAAGCATCTTGACCGATCTACGCATGGCACAAGAAAATAAGCATTATCCTGGATGGGGTTGGGTGACTCGGGTGTCTTTGGTAGTCAGACTTCTGCGGCATGCTCGTCGGGTGGCGCCTGATTGTCTCGAAGACATCAGCTTGATCATTGGACACCTTTTCTCCGACTACTACGCAACAGAGCGTCTGCTCGAGAGGCCGGAGTTGCAGCGTTTGACTCACCTCTTCAACCGCTTTCTAACCCTGATTGCCTTGTCGCCAGCCACGGCGCCTTTCAACGCATATCCTCAACAGCAGAACGCACAGTTAAGGCTGGTCCGCCTCATGGTTGCCTTTCAGCCTCAGTTGCCGCTCACGCGTGAGGGCTACCGAGCGCTTATCACGGTGCAGTTGTTGCACCGCAAAACGGAGAGTGAGCGGATATGGGCGGAAGCAAAATCGCCATCCTGGCCGCCATGGCGGCAGATTAGATCGGGGATCGAGCAGGACCTGGAATATCCGGGCAAGGAAAGTCGTGTCATGAAACTTTTACGACGAATGAATGAGGCCGGCTACGCGCACGGCGAATGGGAAAGGAGCGCTGCGGTGTTGGCAGGCTGGGATACAGACAAGAGTCCTACTATCCAAACTCGAGCGATTCTCACTCCGCCGCCGCGACCGTGGACGTTGTTGGACCCTCAGACCCGTGCTTCGGATGGGCCAGATCTCTGGGCAGCACGTATACGGGCTACTAGGAGCAGGAGAGAGGCCTGGGCTTCTTTTTGTGCCTACGAAAAGTCGACCGACTCATCGAAAGTACGCTATCAACCTTATTTTGCTATGCTGGAGAAGTTACTTGTCAAAACCGTGGCGGCAGATTCTCGTGCTGGAGTTGCATATACACCTGGAGATGTCAAAGAGGTATTCGAAGATTCCACCAATCCCAGGGATCTGATCTACATTGAGAAGGACGTTCCTTCTGCAGAGGAGTTCTACCAGCATATGCTACAAATGGGCATCAGGCCAGGCGGTCATCTGCTTAGTGCACTCTTGAGAAATGCTCCGGACGTGAGGGCTGGCTTTGCCTATGTTCATGATAGTAGGTGGGATGCTCTTACGAAGCGTGTGCTATGTCAGGCCGAAGATTACTCTCTCACTGTGATACGCAATGCTCTCAACGCTGTTCCAGGCCACGCTTTGGCCGCTTTAATCGGACTGTTGGCCAGGCACGGCTTTGATGACGAGCTTATTTTGCAATGGCGAGCTCAGCAGACGGGCATCAGAGAGACTGTAACCCCATTTGGGTATGCATGGGAGTTATTGAGTGTGGCACGATCGAGCGACTCTCGTCTTTGGAATGCACTGCTCGAAGGTGCATGCTTTTGCTTGAACGAGACTAAGATTGCGGCTGCAGACGGTAGGCTTCAAGTTGATCCTGCCATATTACGGGGGATGAAATATGACATGTGGTGGCGACTGTGGACGACGTTTGGGCCCTCGGAAAGACCACATCGCGTCCATGCCGATCTAGCGACATTCAGACACGCCGCAGGCATAGTATCTGCGATGATCAAGGACCGACGCCTGCAATTGTCACCTACACGACTGGGTCTGTTTGCAAAATCGATTTTTCTGCAGGCTGTGTACGGACGGCGAGTCGCAGCGTTCCTCCCTCCAGCCAGTACTCCGCTTTTGGTTGTTCCCGATCAACGCGATCTTCGACTGTTAGTCAGGGTGCTAGTATCGACGCACGATATTGACAGCCTCGTGGCATTAGTTCGTTGGCTGAACGAACATGCCGAAACCTTCGCGGCGTCCAACATGTACCAAGGCTCTATTCATGCCGATGAACTGGACCATAATCTACTATCCGGCGGAGAGCTCCCGCCACTCCGCGGAGTCTTGTGCGCGATCCGTCTGCTTCTCGAGGGATACTCTTCGAGTTCATCGGATGGCCATGGTCATGAGTGGTTCCGGACACCCCTCTTGGTGCCTGCACAAACTTTGGAAGAGGTCAGGACGCAATGTGCGCCACTTGGCTGGCCTTCTGATGCCGAAGTTGAGATGTTTCTGTCCAGTGAAGCTGGCTGGTTGGCACGTGTTGCTCATGATGCAGATGTGACGGCTTTCAAGCACGCCAGACGAGAGAGAAACAACAGCATGACTTGGAAGCCTAGGGAGAATACGGAACAAGATCAGGATGTAGGCGCAAGTGCACCCTTTGATTCGGGGAAAGATGAAGTAGGATCCAAGGTTGCAGACCAAGAGGGTGTTGCCGCAAATGTTTAAATATAAAACTTGGGGAAAGGATGGAGGGTTTACACATGAATAAAGACAGGACATTTTACACTGTATAGGTAATAATTATGGTTGAAAGAAGTGTGTACTAGTACGTTCAGACTTGATTCTTGATGGCTCTCAACGGGAAAATTGATTCAGATCGTCTAGATCGAGGACAGTCACTCTTTTCGTCCGTGTCCATAATGTCTATGTTGAATTCTATATAATTCTATGTTTATAAACACAGCCTGGAATGAGAACGGAGCGCGAACCAGGGGCTTTGCGCCTCGACCACCACCACAACAACACGTCAACGACAAACCGAGGCTGACTTTGCGCCCATCAAGACCGAGTGGAGTATTGCGTTGACAGCGACCCGAAGTGAAGTCTTCGAGGACGAGCTGCACCAACGGCTTTTCAACATCGACACCAACAGTAACACCAGCACCAACAGTAACACCACTAACACCAACAGTAACACCACTAACACCAACAGTAACACCACTGGCACCAACAGTAACACCACTGGCACATCTAGCACCAACACCAAGCGGCGACAGATATTGAAACCTTCTCAAACCCATGGTCACCGACCGCATCAATGGCCGAGTCATGCATAGGCAGTCAGTCACTCAGGCAAATGCGCAATTCTGTCACACACACACACTCTCTCTCTCTCTCTCCTTCCCATCCCCATCTCCTCCTTCCCATTATTTCGTCGCAAACTTACTCCTAGCCCTCAACTTCGCCCCGTAATACCAAAGGGCCCAAGTGCCCAGGACACCACCGACCAACAACCCGCCCAAGACACTAATGCCCCTCCCCACGCCGAGATTCTTATACAGGGGTCTCGCAAAAACAATTGCGCCGGCCGCCAACGCCGACCGACACAGATCATTCGCCGCAAACAAACTCGCCGCATACCTCGGATACGTGAGGGGCAAATACATGAAAATGCACTGAAAGACCAAAAAGGCGCCGACAGCATAAAACGTAATCCCAATGATCCCCACGATCCAATGTATTTTGGGGTCAGCCGTCCATCCAAACCAAAATATACCCGCGGGCATCAATGTGACTGCAAACAGTGCGGGGACAAGGCGATGTTCCTGGGCCCGGAGACCATGTGCCAAGATATCGGGCTCGAGATACCAGTACACGTAGGAACAGTAGATGATGATTCCGAGCATGCAGCCGACCACCATGCATGTGAAGACGATACCGAGTTGTCCGATGTTGAAGTTGTAGATGGAAATGTAGACGAGGGGAAAGGCTTCGAAGAAAGAGTAATAGATTCCTATTAGTGAAGCGTTAGCAATCATCAGTCCTCGGACAGTGGGTCTATCGAAGAGTGTCCATCAAAACGGTGTGTGCGTGCGTGGGAGTGGGAAAAAAGTGCATGTCTTACCGTAGATCAAACTCGTATAAACATTTGTAAACGCCACCGCCGGATCCTTGACACAGATCTCAATCGGCTTGTACAGTTGATCCACGGCCACTTGCCTAAACGTCATATTTCCCTGGTCGATTTCGCCCTGGGATTTGAGGTTCGGGTTGCCGGTGAGTTTGCGCAGACGTTGGGCTCGTCTCAACAAAATGTTGGCGGCGCTCGTTTCCGGCATGGAGATGAACATCAATACGAAAATCGGGGCCGAACACCACAGCACTTCCCACAGTGCCCAGCGCCAGCCTTTGACCACGACGCTGAATCCAGAAAGTAACGGGCCGATGGCGGGCGCGCAGAATGCCGCGGCGACCCAGGCCGTCAGGGCGTATGGAAGTTTGAGGAGGGAGTACTGGTAAAAAACAAAAAGAAATGTTAGTAGGTATGGTTTGGTTGGGATATGGGTGGTGAGGTACGGTAGTGGATGGAGAGAGGTGGTGGTCGTCGTTAATGGATCAATGGCTCAATGGGAAGAAGAAAGTGCGCAAGTAGTAGAGTTAGATTGCGTCGTCGTTTGGTGACACGCGCCAGAAACCCTAGATACCTATACCTGGCCTTGGAGAAAGAGGAATAGTGGACCGTGGGGCGAAAAGCAAAGGCGGGAATGGAAAGGGGAGGCATATGAGGCATATGAAGATGATGTGGGGGGTTTGGCTAGGTTTGACTTACCATATCACCCATCGTAGCACCCCCCGTAGCCAGACACGGACTGCCCATGAACCCCGTCAGGAACCGCAACACCAAAAGCGTGGCGTAGCTATCGGCCAATGCGGTGGGAATACACAGAATCACAAACAGGCCGAACGATACGACATAGGGCAGATTGCGTCCAATTGCCGGTAACTCTGAAAGCGGCGAGAAGAGCTGTTTGTTGTATGGTCAGTACCAGTACCATCTCATGTAACAATGTGCCAGGTAGTAAGGGGGACAAAACGAGAAAGCGAACCAGAACCAAGGTCCAGCAAGACAGTGAACCCAAGTGATCAATAGACCACGTAAAACACAAGGAGTTGTACTGATGCAAATGAGGAATCGGGAAAGCGGGGGGGGGGGGAAACCAAAAGAAACACTGCTGGAAGAAAAAGGATACCCCTACTCACCATCGGCCCCATTCCATATCCCAACACATACATACTCAACCCGAGCGCGGCCTTAGTGTCACCAACACCAAATTTAGCCATGACCTGCGGTTCTGCCGAAGTATAAATGGCAGAGGCGCCATACACGGCAAAAGTGTACATGAAAATAACAGCAGCCACCCAGGCCTTTTTCCAACTGCCCCAGTTCTGGGGGTTGGCCGGGTCGTCCGTGGTATACCAATCGACAAGAATGACGCCGTCGGCGGTGCGTTGGGGAGCAATCACACTGCTCTGCTGGCGTTCCATGGATTCGGCCTGTTCGGTTTCGAACCGTTCGCGGCTCCAAGGGCGGGTTCGCTCGCGAGTGTTTGTTCGTGTTGTCACGACTCCGATGTGGGAGTGCGAGGAGGCCGTTGAGCGAGCCGTGGGGATGGTTGTCAGGCCGTGGTCACGAGCTTCCATGTCCAAGTCTTCATGTGTGGCGGATTGGCCATGATGAGGCAAGGCGGGTTCCTGAGTCGGAGCATAAGCGGCTCCATGGCCATCTTGTACAAGGGCGGGTTTGTTGTCCATGTCGAGATCGACGTTGCTGCCTGCTTCTGCTTCGGCTTCTGCTTCGATTTCCTTCTCTTTTTCGGTTATAGATAATTCCTCCCACGGTATCTTGAAGTTGGGGTCGTCCTCGGGAAAGCCAAAGACTTTGTTGCGGGTGATCACTCTGATAATCTGTCCGAGGACCGAGTCTTGCATGATGTCGACCACTGAGTTACCCATAGTGACGATGGCAGACAGAAGCTCAAAAGGAGGAGAGAACAAGCACAACAGCTACACGAGAAGACAACAGAAACAAGAGAGAACACTTCTCTTTTTAAAGTATATACCTACCCGGCTGCTCTGGTGCAGGTCCATGGTATAACACAGCATATCGAATTCGGGGACCAACCATTGTATACCTGGTAACACATCATTCGGATTCGGGGACCAACCATTGTATACCGGGTAACACATCGTTCGGACTCGGGGACCAAAACAATTGAGGGAGATTCGACGTGTAAAGTCCAGACTCAGGTACGTGGCGTCTTCCCCTACTGCAGTGAGGGCTGAATGTCGAGTCTGTTGACAAAAAGTACGTAAGCCAAGGGATGCCTTGCACACATGCTGATATGGCAACCTTGGGAACATTGCAGGTGTTGGGCAAGCTCATATCGTTGTATGTCGTTGTCAGCAACCGGCAGGATGATGGCTGGACAAATTGTTTCGAGACCTTTGTGGAACAAGGATCGACTGTACTTGGAAACCATCCAATAATACGCGTCTCCAAGCGAGAGGCGTCCGGGGCCTGGCTGACTCAGTCGAAAGTCTGTGAGTATGTAAGCGACCACCGAGATTTGATCAGTAAACATACACATCCTCAAACCGTCCTCAGCCTGTAAGAGCACTTCCAGTCAGCTTGTGAGTTTGCCTGCGGACTCTGGCGGATACCCATCCAGCGTGACAGATGGCCACATTAGAGCATGCAGGCACTCCACGTGTATTCCCTCCGCTGTCGTGCTAGACCTGCATCCTGAATAGTCGTGGCCGCGATGGGGTATAGTGATACTATTTTGGAGATACTACCGTTCGAGGCAGTCTCAGCAAGGCTGCACTGCGTCATTTCTCGGTGGAGTCTGTTCAAGCTTTCTTTTTGTCATAACCTGTCGGGGCTTGGTATCCACCACTGCTGCGCCCACTCTCCACAAAAGTATTCCAAATCACATTGTCGCCATACAAGGAGAGTCTCATGGACGGGGCATACTCCACAATACTCAGGCTGGAGCCGATTCCCAAAAGGTATACGACTTCGGCTTCTCCTCAGTGTGCAAATACGGCGGGATAAAGCCATTCGGAAGGACCACGACCTCGACTTCCAATCTCACTCCGTGTCGCCTAAAAAGCGGCGCCAATTCATTACATCGATCGGCCATGCGTTGTTGAGAAATCACCACTTGGCTAGTCTCGAAGATGCTGTCATCATCATCGGTGACACTCATGGGCGGGTCCTCGTCGTCTTCTCGATAATATTCGTAGGAACATACGAGGTTCTTGAGCATGCGCACTCCGTGACCTGCCTTTTCCTTCACAAGGCAAGTTTCAAAGGGCAGCCAAACTCGTCTCCGCGCACGGAAAGGCGGCCGCTCACCGAAAGGGATGCCGAATATCTTCAACGTCTCCAAGTTAGGTGGCAGTCTTCTCCAGGTGGCATGGTCGCAATTTCCGCGCACCCTAACAAGGTTCGCTGTACGAACGTCCAGATCAAGTTGCTTCAGAGCGTGGAATGCCGTCAAATTGAGAAAAGAACCCGGCTGATTAATCTGTTCGAACCCCTGCCGCATATATCCCAGGGCCAGAGACAAGTGTTCAAGAGAGTCGGTGCAATGCTGGGAAAGCGCGTCCACAAAAGACGAAGGCGTCACATTACCATGCAAACGGCTGCTCCGAGCGGTGAAGATGCCATCATAGCGGATGCCCTCGCTGATTTTGAGAGACCTTAAAGCCCGGGGAAAGCTGAGGAGGATGGCCAAGGATGGAGAATAGATGTCGCATTCTTCGAGATGTAAATGCTCGAGATTCATGGACTTGATCAACGATTGATCGCCATGGAATGGTGTCAGCAGCTTGTCAGGGAAGTCGGTGCTGGCACAAGAGATGGTCAGGGACCGGAGGTTGGGGTGCAGAAAGAGCATGGGGTATCTGGTCATAGAGTACATCTCCTTCTGGCCATCCACGAAATGTAATGTACCTAGGATAAGTCAGCCCTGCCATCAATAGTGTTAGCTGGTGGAAAGGCCTACATTTTCGTAGATTCGGAAGGACTCTGGCCGACTGGGGCACGACGGCAGAGGCGCTTTCGAAGATTCGTTCATATCGGTCCTGGAGGTTAACCCAACCGACCCTTTCGTCGGGAAACTTGGCATTACAATCGGGAGTCTCGAGGCACAATTCCTGAAGGTTGCGCATCTCGGCCATGTGCGGCGGCAACGTGTTCAGGCCCTCATCCTCGCCAAACTTAGTGGACACCAGGAGAGAGCGGATCCAGGTGGTACGATGTGGATTGGCATACAGACTTGCAGATAGCGCGGCGGCTTGCAGGCCATTGAGTATCTCGATAGTGTGATACAAGAAGGGTTCTGCCAGACCGTTGAAATGCTTGCAGACCAGGACGGCATTGCGCAGGCTAGGGATGTCCAGATATCCAAGGATACTGATCAAGATCTCGTCCGGCAGGTCGAGCAGGAGAAGAGAAGGGGGCGTTGGCGCGATCATGATGGTGGACGAGCAATGAGTCGATGCAGCCGCCACAGTTGCAGAAGACCGGCAGGGTCAGGCATATGTGGGCTTGATGATATGCTTCTCGCGTCTTATGGTAAGGTCTCCGGCTGGGACCGGGAGTCCGCTGGATAAAATCGGGCTTTTGATGGCGATGCTATGTGACAAGATGTGAGATTTGAGATGTGTGATGTGTGATGTGATGGCAACGGTGATTGTTCAAGTTGTCCAGCTGAACGTTGATGTCTGGACGATGTCATCTCCCGCTTGAAGTTGGTCGCGGTGATCATGATGCGAGGCGCAAGCCTGGAGACTCGGAGGCAGCACTGTGCAGCCACTAACCGGACGAGTCACGGTACAGTTAGGTACTGTAGTTGCCTGAAATAGTCACCCTCTAGTCCAGTTTATAGGCGCCTCAGGCATCTAGGCTGCCTGCCAACGCCGGGAACCGTCTCCGCAGACTCTTAGTTCCCGCGGCGGTCGAGGTAGTCGCTAGTACCAGGTCGTCACATACCTCTATTAAGTTGCAGCAGCCCGGGAGCCCTGCACGCGAGCCCGCAATAAAGAGGTACAGTATAGTACATGTACAGTTCTACGTGTCTCGTAGCGAACGGTGGAAGCGAGTTTTGGCGGAGCATCAGGTTCAGGAAATCTGCATCGCCTACGAACTTGATAATGCGGGTTCCTTTGCATTTGCATGACTCTGGCCCTTCACTCGTAAATCCATTTTGTCTTATCCGATCCGAAACACCACTGTGGTGCAGCCATCACAAGCGACAGCAACTGTCCGGCCAACGAGGGACAGAGCCGCGAGCACTTCTACTAGAAAGATGAGCCATAGCGAAACTGCCGCGCCTATGAGGCTTCATTGGACACAGATAGTCCACTCAGGGCAATCCGGTTCGACGCGTCTGGCAGAATCGAAGCCAGCATGCCTCTGGCCGGCGCCGAAGAATTGCCCCCAGTCCGAAGCTGCGAACTTTTGATTTCCCAATCCTGCTCTATTGCGCGCAATCCTCACCACACGAACAACGTCCACTCGATCTCTGAGTTGTGCCCCGCTCATGCCGGCGCTTCGTACGCTCTTCTGAAGACACGGCCGAACATGTCGACACCAACCCTCTCTCCCTTGACCTCGCTCTTCGCCTCATTTTCCGCATTTGCCGGGATCTCCACTTGTTGACCATTGACCTTCCATCCGCAAGCTGTCTGGACGAATTTGACCAACGAATCACCCCGCAAATCGAGCCATGAGCTGAGGACACTCAGATCTATTAGCCGGAAGGTCTTTCCAACCTCTCCTGCGATCCGTATCCGCACCAAGTCCTCAAATCCTACCACATCGGCGTACAAGTCGGCGTACAGATCATCCGATTCGAGTGTGGACCAAAAGATATCATACTGCGCCGATTCGAGCAGAGTGTTGAGCCGCGTCAGCTTCTGTATCGACTCGGTGAAATCCGTGGTCGGGATCGAGGTGTTTCCTGGCTGGTATGGGATGGTTGAGGGAGGGAGGAGGGCGAGGCAGAGAGAAAATGCGGGCGATGGGAAAACAGTGAGGGCCTTGACGAGGATATTCGTCACCGTCTCGGGATGGAGTAGTTGTGGGTTGAATTGGTATCTATTCCAAGTATGTTAGCGCTTGGAACCCTCCATCACAAGCTGAACTGCTGGCATAAGGACAACCGCAGAAAGATTTCAGATAGAGCTAATATTCCATCTCCATGATTCCCGTAGGACAAAGTCATGAAAATTCTCTTCATCATAAACAAGTAACCAAAACAGCGTCTTTCTGCAGGGGCTTTTGCTTACAATTTCAGAAGCGCCAGGCACGCATAGGCGTCGAAGAACTTTTCCTCGCACTGTTGCGTGACATATTCTTGGAATGTGGTCGTCGTCTCGGGATTGTAGCGGTTGAGGCCGTTCAGGATTTCGTCAATGTGCGCCGGCCGCTCCTTGCACTTGTCGAAGGCTTGTGGCATCTTGGACAGTGGTTTGGAAGTGGTGCGACAGTAGGATCAGGGCAAATATTCCGGCGCGGAGGATGGAGGGACGATTATGCCTTTCCTCGACACGAAGCATGAATTTCGCAGCACCAGCATTAAGTGCGCTGAGCGACGAACGTCGCGAAGAATACCCGATCACGTGATGAAAAGGCATGCCAAGGCCTGCCTCCCTCTGCTGAGTCAGCTGCATCTTAGGTAAGATATGGTCGAGTTCCAGTTGGGCTGCTGCAGTGGTGGGCTGGGACTTGTCTGCCAGTAGGTATTGTGGACTTTCAGCTGATTACCTAAGGTACAAGTATCGCTGTAGGCACTCCGTCGAATGCTTTGGTATACCAATGGTATATCATCTACCTGAGAGGAGGTGTATCTTGCTTCTCAAATGCTCCACGGGTCATGGAATCCACCATACGAGTCAGGATGTCAAAACTCGCGGCCATAGTCAGTCAGTCGACCCTGGCAAGAAACATGTAATCTATACCCGTCAGGTCGCTCAGCCCTTCACGCCGGTTTTATTATTCTGCAGGCTGTCTCGCTCACAGTCTAGCCCTCAGACCCCGCTTGTGGCAGGGTATTCTCTGAACGAACAACTCCTGAGGAACGAGTACAGGACCAGCGCGCGCCCTTAAACCAGGGGGCAACATGACCTTCTCCCTGGTTGAGTAAGTGGCTATCTATACTCTGGGGATCGCTTTAACCTCACTCAGTGCTGCGTTAAGAACCTGCTGCATTTCAGCTTCGGCGTTTTTCGTGTTCTGAGGCGGCTTTGGAGGCGTTGCTTTGGTGCCGTGTTCTCCCTGGCACCAGCGAGCCAGCAGGTTGCCAATCAACCCCGGGTGTGCCAGTCCAGCGAGATGTTTGACGTGATCAGAGAGCTCTTCCGGCCGGCCAAACACCCGCCAAACATGATCGGGGACATCCTTGAATGCCTCAACAAATCTCTGGTTCTTGTTCTTCTCCTCCATATGTGGAGCATCTGTCACCTTCCTGATATAAATGGCCTTGACCCAGCCAGGGTATTTGGCATAGAGCTGGGCGTATGTCTCTGGATCTGACTGGGTAGAATTGCCAATGCAGATGACTTGCCGTTTAGGAAGCCAGGATTGGATTTTCTCAATCTGACCAGTCTTGTAATCTTGAACCCCGGCCGTGAAGGATTGTAGCAACCCACCAAGGTGCGCCCAACGAGCATCGCGAAGCAACAAAGTTCCCGGTGGATAATGCTGGTTGAGGAACTCGTGCAGAAATGGGTACAGGTTGTAAGGAGCTGCCGAGACATAGAACCAAGCAGGAGAATTGAACGATTCCGCAAGCACCTTGTAGAATACTTCCATTTCAGGGATGCTCTTGGGCACGTCTGCCAGCGTGGATTGCAGAATCCCGGTGGGACTAGTCGTCTGGGTGACTTTGATCGTGTCGTCAATATCAGATATGATTGCCCATCCTGTCGGTCCGACGAAGCGTGTCTGGCACTGGAGATTTGGAAATTGCTCGCTGTCACCGGTAGAGGTGATAGTCTTGCCGGCAGCATCGTCATTGCCTCCCACCACCAGCGTTTGGGAGCTGAGTCCATCTGTACCGGAAGGGCCAAGGATCTGCCTTTGGGGACCTCCATCCGTATCAAGAGACGGGATCAGGATATCCACCGTGCGTGCAGGTGCAACTGTCATGACTAGGGGCTTCAATCTCTCCTCCATTCGCTTCTTGACTTCCGGATCCTCTGCGCTGCTGCTGCTGTTGAGCCCCATGACATCGGCAAGGATGTTGAGAGGTTTCGTCGTCACATCTCGTCGTCCGGATCCGAAAAAGCAGGAAACAAATTCAGCCTCCTATGGCTGAACTTCGTCTTTGCCTGGCCTAACGGGCCTATATGCGGTGTTGTCGAAAACCCACACCGTGTTATCCCTGGGGCATGCCTTCCTGCCGAAGGGATTGTGTGAACCAAGGAGACCTATCTCTAGTGTCAGTATGCCTTGCTATAGCCATGATCCACTGCATCCTACTCATTCTCTTGTCCAAGAAGCCTGTATCAGCCCTAGTATAACGTTTCGGCAGGCTGGCCTCAACCTGGGAGAACTCTGCATCGCTGCGTGATTGAGCTTCGAGAAGAGATTCATTTGCCTTTTGTTCAACACGCTCGACTCGCTTCGACGCTCTCCATGATCCAGGCATGGTGAAGAACCCTAAAGACAGTGGCTTTGAGGTTCGCTCCGAGGAGGCCAGCGATCGACGGGTCGTATCGATAATGATATAGTAGGACAAGTGGAAGATGAAAGGAGCCGACAGAAAGAGATGAGGGGATAATGCTAATGAAGGGTGCTTGGAGGGGAGAATTGCAAGTCAGGAAGGCAAATCAATGGCAATTTGAAGCCAGCGGAGGGCGGCATGGGCAGTTGCAAGATGCCACGACGTTCCCTGCCCATCGAGAGGAAAGAGCGCATCAGTGGAAAGCTACCTGGTATACACTGGAAAACCGAGGCAGGTGGTACGAAATATCATCCAACATTGCGGCACTGGTCCTATTTGGTCACTGTTGGAAGCGCCAATGACACTGAAACAGGCCAGTTTACCACAGTTCCAGCGATCTTGTTGGCGTCCAGCTGGATGATCGACTTGAATGATCCAGCGGCTACGCTGATCGATGATGAGGCGGAAGAGGCGCCATTCAGGTGATCATTGTTGCTTTTGAATGCTTACCCTGTGACGAGGCTGATGATGGTGACGGGTACTGCCGGAGCTGAACCTGCTGAGGCCAGGTGAGACAATAAAGGAACTCAACCTGTGGACAGGGACTTCAACGCTTCAATCAATGCCTACCTGACCGTGGAAGTGTTCGGACTTGCTTGGAAACCTGAGTCGCCAGAGGTGTGTACCTAGGTATTGTCTTTCAGCTGGTGTTGGATTCAGCCCATGACGCTGTGCTACTACGCTCATGTCGGCAAGGATATTCAACGCCGTGAAGGAGCGACCAATCTGTCCAGGAGCAATATCCATAGTTGACTCGGTCTGGGAGGTCTGGAGGTGACAATGGCAGCAGTGAGACCGGATGGGCTTGACAGGACTCGGCTCATGACTCGTGAGGCAGTGGTCGAGCCGTGCGGCTCGAGTCGTACAAGCCCCCAATGTTTCGTGTTTTGACGAGGCTGAAGTGCCCCTTGCCGTCTCGATCCACAAACATATTCCTCACCCTCTCTATGTTCAGCTGCCAATACCACCACCACCTCGACCGCCCAAGTACACGCTATGAGGAGAGCTATATACGAGCCAGCTAGGCGCACTGATTTGCAATCCGAAACAATGCAAGCATCACCATCCAAAGCGCGGGCCGACGCCCTCGAAGCGCACTCCTGGTCGCTAGTGCAGTCATGGCTATCAGATCTATACCACCCGTCACCGGCGCCTTATGTCGAACGCAACGCGGCGACACTCAAAGCCTTGCAGAATCTGATGGCCGAGAACATCGCGGCAGACCACGTCCGGGGGCTGGTAGCAGCAGCTCAGAAAGAAGAACTGGGGACCGCCGGACCGCGGCCGACTTTGGATGGAGAGTCCCTCTCCCGTCTACTAGAATCATCACTTCCACCGCCATCAAAGCAAGCTCTCGAGTCTCTCGCCAAATCTGCCGTTCTGCTGGGCTGTCCCTTGCAGTCGGACTCGGATCCCCCCAGTTCCATTGAGGCTTTACAATCCCGAATCCTCAACCTTACACGGGAAATGTTTGATCTCGAGACCCAAATCACATCAATCGACGAATTAACATCTACTCTGAACCGCCAGATCTCACACATCCAACAAGCCACTGCCAACTTCGTACGGGAGACAGTGCCCTCATCTGACAACAACCACCTCTCTGCTTCCACTTCTTCACCACCAGAGTCCGCTTCTTTCCCTCTAACTTCAGCATTACCGATTCCCTTGCCGACGACGCCAACAACAACAGAAACCGCAGCAGCGGACCACTACGCACGGCTGCACGAACAAACGCTCCAACACCAGCGCGAAACTAAACAGCTAGCCATCAAATGCGCAGAGTACAAAGACCGCATCGCCGCGCTAGAGCGACAGGCGGCGGCCCAGGAGTCACAAGGCGGCGGCAAGGAGTCCGACTTGGTGGCCGCTCTTTTGGCGAAAAAGGACTCGCTGCGGCGCAAGAGAGCCCTGATCACCGTGTTGGAATCTCGCATTCGTGCCTTCCATGGCCTGCCGCCTGACTTGGAGGCTTCAAGGGCCGAAGTCAACCGGGCACAGGCCGAGCTGGACGACCTCAAGCGGGAGAGAGATGCTCGATTCGAGCGACTGGGGGGAGCGCTGGATACGAGTTGAAGTACAATGCTCAAACGTTTCCTTTTCTTGAATTCTTACGTGATCCCTAGTAGTAGTAACACGCATGAACCCTTTTTTTCCCAGACAGCGCCCTGCTACGAATAAAACCAGTACCCGGTACTACTACTAGTAGTAGTACAACTGTGCCGTACCTTATTCTCCCAAAGCTCCATGATCTCGTCACTTACTGTACTTGTATGGAATTCAACACTAGTAGTACAACTTTCAAGTGTTCCGGTGCGGCACCTTTCATGCCACTGCAGGCCCCCTCGTCTCCTTTACTCGTTTGAAAGAAGAGGCGGCGGCGACCTTGACCTTGTCATCCTGTCGTGCGCGCTTGCGGGTAGCGATGATCTTGTCCCGCTCAACCTTTGCCGCTAAATACTTTTCTGTATGGACAAGCGGCTCGCCATCTCTCCCTCTGACAGTCCAGTCATGAATGACAGGCGGTTTGGTGAAGAACAAGATCCGACCCTGATCGTCTTGTGGGAATCGATCTCGGATCCGCTTGGGAATACTTGCATTCGCCAGCTCGGAGAGGACATAGACTTCGCTGGCGCGCTGCTCCCCAACACCGACGGCGTTCGGAGCATGAGCATACATGGCAGGTTGTTGTTGCACTTGTGTTGGCCGAACATAGTTTGGGGCAACAGGGGTGCTGGCGTGGCCGGGGCCGTAAGGGGCAGTATGATGTGCCGCGGCGGCTGTGGCTAGGTTCGGTGGGGGAGGGTGTAATTGTTGCTGCGGCACGTAGGAGGGCAAAGGTTGTTGTTGTGGGGTACTAGGAGTCTGGGGAGCGATGTTTGGCTGTAATTGTGGATGTTGATGTTGATGTTGTGGTTGCTGATATAGGGTTTGGCGGTGGCCATATTGAGGAGCGGGGGAGATGGATTGTTTCGGATATGACGCAGCCATATGAGGCGTGGCTACTGAGGGAGATGGCCGCGTGAGTTGAGGCTGGAGATTGCCGGCGGAACCGGTACTGGTCTGTCTGTCCATGCTGGGTCGAGATTGGATGTTTTGCATTGTGGACGCCGACGGTGGCCGCACTGGTTGTGGTGGAGGAGTCGGGGGAGGTGGTGGTGTTGGCTCAGGCGGTGGCGATTGCTAGATAGAGATTGTGTCAGTAAAATGTATGTAGTGGCATGTTATGACTCGTGGCAAGCAAACACAGGCAAAAAGGACAGAAATTACTCACATTTTCATCGCGAGGCTGCTTGTGAATCGCGCCGATGATAGGAGGTGCATTGGGATGACCCCATGTAGGCGACGGCGTCTCATCGGTCTCCTTCATATCGTCCTTCAGAAGGTGCTTCAGCGGACTAGGGACTTTCTTGATCTTCCGAGGCGTGTCAAATAGATCCATCTCGTAGTCCTTGTCGCGCACTTCATCGGGTAGGCAGCTGGCCCAAGTCTTGATCTTGTTGAACTTGTGCTTTTCCTCGTTGTATCTTGCTTCGCACACGTACACCTCCTTGGTAGGATCGATGTTCCGAGGACGGCCTCGGCTATACCTCGTGAAGAACATCACAAAACACCGGTCGACGACTTCCTCAATTCGATGGTCTCGATATTGGCCGGTTTTGACGACCTCGTTGGGGAAGAAGTGTTTCTCGTACTGGTGGACCGTCTGCTCCGGACGATAGTACCAGCAAGCATTGATCCACTTTTGACCTTCCGGATCTTCCCAGGTCCGATAAATCTGGGCCACAATTGGCTTGGTCACGTCGTTAGGATTTTGAATATGGACCCAATCACCGACTTTCCAGAGCTCGTTTTTGTGAAGAATTCCAGATGGCAACGGTCGCCGGCCATCTTCCATGAGGTACTCCTCGTCTGGCTTGGCCTTCTCGATCTCGAGAAGCTTGTGTGCTTCAGCCTGCAACTCCACCGCGTCCTGATAAATCTCGCTGCCGTCTTCGTTAAACTGTTTTGCATTGTTGAACATCAAGTCAAGATCCTTCATGAATTGTTCCAAAGACTGGTACTTTTTCCTTTTGGCCTTCTTCTTAATCGTATCCACGGCGATAGGATCCTTGATAGCAAGGAAATATTCGGGATACTCCGTCTTATCGGGTAGTCGCTCAAAATGACGAATTTTCATGTTACCTGCTTTGTCCTTTGGCTTGCGAATGCCTTTCAAGATCGCTTTGATCCTGGCTTCCATGGGTGTGTCCACTTTGGGCGGCCGTCCTCGACGCTTGTGAAGATCGCCTTCATTAAGTTTCTCGTCGGTCTCCTCGCCACCTTTGCGTCCCGAAATGCTTGCCCTCCCGCCCTTCCGACTTTTTCGTCTGCGTCGGTCGTCGTCTGAGTCATCGCCTTCCTCCTCATCTTCTTCGTCGTCCTCTTGGGCGTCATCATTGTCTTCTTCTTCAGATACTGGATCTGGCTCGGGAGTGGCAGCTGGTATTTCGCCGAGATCTGGGAAGACCGTTTCTTCTTGTTTGACCAAGCCCTCATCAACCAACTTCTGTAATTCTTCCTTGAACACCTTCTGCAGCTCAAATACATCCCGCACCGGGGCAGAATTCGGCCGGTTGTATATCTGGGCGTTGTGGACAATGAGTGCAAAGTCGCGCACAAACTCGGGGATTCCTGTGTACTGCTTTCTCTGTATCTTGCCCTTAAGCGTACTGAGTGCCACAGGGTCTTTGATGATTTCGTGGTAATCGGGAAGATTTCGTCTGTTGGGGATACGTCTGAACAGCATGGAAGGGAAATGATCTCTGGCTCAAACATTAGCTCCTATCTGCTCAGCTGCCTCTTAAAGTGTACATACTCATCTCCCTTGAGTTTTATCTTATGGTTCGTCAAGACGTCGGTAATATTCTTGAGCGCCTTGTACTGTTCATTCGAGACCGGCCGTTCTGCGCCATCCTGTTCTTCTTCCACTTCTGCGCCATCCTGTCCTTCGCCCGCTTCTGCATCATCCTGTTCTTCTCCCGCTTCTCCCTCAGCGTGCGCTTTCTCGTCTCTGGTGTCTTCCTCCTTCGCTTCTGTTTTCACTTCGATCTGCGCCTCGTCGGATTGTTCTGGCTTGGATGCAGCCGGCTCTGCACTCGCTGCTTGCGCCATTGTGCGCGCCGGCGAGCTCGGCCTTCTGCGCAGAGATGATGTGAGTGATAGGAGGAGGAAGTCGACGGATACTGAGATCGATAGCACAGTGGTCTGGATAGATCGCTAACGACGCGACTTCGCGGCGATCTGCAACCAGTACCTAGGTACGCGCGGAAGATGTCTCGAACAGACATGCGCTGCGCTCCTGGGCAAATACACTCCACCGTAGAGCTTAGTCATGGCAATATTAGTGAGCTTCTGGCGCCCTACGTCTCTATTCTGCCATCCGCCTACTATGGCTGTCTCTTTACTGCATTTCTATTCGCCTTTATACATATAAAACTGGACGATCTCTGCTGTTTCTCTGCTGTTATTTGTAGGTCCTAGCGCAGCCAGGTTCATTCAAGGACCTAGTAAGGTGACAGTAGCACATTTGGAGTCGGAATGGTACCTGGGTACACTGTGGAGACCATGTCGCTAAATAGCTCTGTTAGTCCTCGATACCACATGCGGAATGGTACGCATCTTGGCACCAACACGGCGACAGCGACGTGAACTTGAATCTCATCTCAACTTGAGGTTCAAGATGTTTGTGAGTCGGCCTAGACTACATGTCCAGTCACTCTTGTCGAGTGGAAGACGTCAGTATCTCACACACTATCGCTGATGCCCTATGAAGCTCAGCAATGAATCTCTCCGTCTGCCCGCTCTCACCGACGCCCGAGAACTTTACCCTGGATTCGACGTCAGTATTCGGGCGACCGCCGACGGAGGAGGGAACATACCTGTCCGAGTCGAGCTCAAAATGTAGCCAAATCGCATCATCATCGCGCATTGCGCAGCCGTTCTCTGACATATGTGTTTGGAAGGAACTGCACATGATCTTCCTGGGTCGAGAGCGCAAGTATGGAGGATCGTGATACAATTCTGGATCCAGGCCGTCGTCCTTACCAATCTCTTGGATCATCGAAAGGAACCGATTCAAGCCTCCCGCCCTCATTGCTGCCAGCACATTTCCAGAATGCTTTTGAGCTGCCCTGACCAACTTTGCTCTACAAACCGACAACGGTGCCGCATCATCTGCCACCGCTTTCACAAATTCAACAACTTCCATCGTGATAATCTGATTGATTTCGACCCGTCCTTTGTAGAATTGGCACTGCAGGACCGTCTCCCAGCATGCAGGCAGGTAGCCAAAGAAGTACCGAGACGCTAGCTGGACGATGAGCTGGAAACCGCTGATGGGAGGCACTTTGTGGCCCCTCATGAATGTCGATCCAAAATTCAACGAAAGAAAGAAATGTCTTCGTTTGTCAATACTCTCGCCGTAATCCTTACGAGCTCTGTGGATGCTTGTCTGGGACCCTGGAAACTGGGTGTGCATCATTGGCTCCCATGGCAGACCGTTGCTGGGCTTTCTGACTTGACGTGGATCAAAGTTTCGAATTGCTTTTGCAATGGCCAAGTTGATACCTTGTACTGTGGGAGCGTCTATGCCGGTATGATCGGCCACCATTCCGGAGATGCCATTTGAGCATACCACGTACTGGATAGACTTGTCGAACCACCTATTCGATCCATCACTAAAATGGACCTGGCGCGCTCGCTGCTCTGCATTTCCAGGAGCTCCGTCATCAAGGCACACGAGGAAAGCGGCCGTTTGGATATTTGCAACATAGCGCGCATTCTGCTCGCTGGCCTCTACAAATTTTTGATAATTCCTGGCCCACAATACGCGGTTTTCGCTTGATAGGATGCCGACCCAGTCGACACCATCTGGCTTGTCTTTCAGAATGCTGGAAAATGCGGCCTCAAGCAAGGAGAAAATGTTCTCTTCGACAGGCAGGTGACTAAAGTCGACTTTGTAGGCATGTCCTCGCCACAGAACCACGAAGAAGTCATTGCCTGGGTGGGACTTGAACACGTCCAGCCCAACCCTGGGTTCCCGACATGCGCTGAACAGGTTCTTGTAAAGGTCCATGCACAAAGGCTGTTCGTCCATGTACTGTGGATTTATATGGCCGTTCTCCAGGTCTCTCTTATATCGAATCAATGTTGCTGCAATGAGAGCCGCCCGCTCGGATTGGGAATGCTCAATATCACTCAAAGGATGGGTGAAGAAGAACTGCATAAAAGGAGCCAGTCCACCCTTGCGGCGCAGGTACAAGCTGTTCATGTATAGGTCATGGTACCAATTCTCCGGGTCGGCCTCTTTGGAAGCTAGCAACCGCTCATACAAGCGAAATCCTACGCTTCCCTCGGTGCAGAACTCCTTGGCCAAACGCAGGGTGTTGTTGTACTCTTCATCCGAGGCGAAGGGCCGCATGTCCCTTAGGTGTGCCTCGACAATGTCACTAAGCTTTGGCAGTGGCAACGGGGGCGGCCTTTTGCCTGCAACGTGTGGTTGTATATTCCCTTTGATCAGCTCTGCACCTCTTACATCTGAAGCATCTTCCACCGATGTGCCGTTTGTGTCTGGTTCGGAACTTCGGCTGATGATTTGAGATCTTCGAAGGATGATCGATACCAGGTCATGGAGACTTGACATGTCCAGAATCTCAGTTGTTTGCATAGGTGCTTTAAGAGTACCCATTATCCAGTTCTTGAATTCAATGGCCAAAAGGGAGTCAAGCCCAAGGTCGACAATTGACGCGTCAAGGCGTATGTCGTCACGATCTATGGCACAGAAGGTTGCAAGTTGTTCACAAATCGCCGCAGCAACCTCTTCTTTCACAACGTCTTGGTCTTGTGCCTGTCTCAGTTTCTGTTCGAGCGTTGGTGTATCCGAGATCTTGGAACCTCCATTGTCCGCGGCCAGATGTCGGGGCACATTCCTCAGTATGGCGTGTCCTTCATCAGTATCAATCAGGTGGGGTTGAATCATAAACAATTCGGATGGACTTTCATGCTCGGCCTCCCTCCTCAGACAATAGTCAAGCATCCTCGAGAGCATAGCGAAGGATTTGGGATCCTGCTCCAGGAGTTCCCAACTTTGGGGTTGAGGAATTTGCAGCCTCACGTTTCGCGCGGCAGAATCGGTCTTACGTGGTATGGGCCCAATAATGCTCTCTTCCCACCACGGACTTTGTGATATCGTGATCATGAATTCAGATGCGCACAGCTCTAGGAGCTGGTGTAAGGCAACAGCCTGAGAAGAACTGCCACCGCTTCTCATGGACCTCATGTTGTCGATCGAGCTGGCAGTCTCAGCACCAAACTCGACACTTATGATACCACTCAGAGTGGACAAGCGCTCCTCGCACTTTTCGACCAGAGCTTTCGCATCTGGAGGGCTTGAGAGATCAACTGCAAGACGCTCATACTTAGCCCTTCCTTTACACACCTTTTCCATTGGAGTCTGGTCCTCATGGTGTATGGAGTCCCTGGACACGATGCTGATTATGTCGCTTGCTCCCCGCTCAACAAGGAAAGTACAGAGCTCCGTGTTGACGCCCATGGTGCCCCCCAGTACTGCATAGGTCCCTTGACCCAAGCTAGGCAGTGTTAGTTTCACCGCCGCCTGCTTGACATAAACATTGTCATCAGACTTCAAGACGATTTTCCCTGTATAATCATTTCTTGTCATCAACCTGAACGCCTTTTCGAGGTCTGTGATTGGCAGGACAGTAAGACTGGGCCCTGTACATCCGGCTTTGTACAATGCCATGGCCTTTTCAAATTTTTCCTGCAGCCTTTCAGGATATTTCTCCTTGAAGCTTGTCATATTTACAGAGACATATGAGATGTTTCTCATGTTCCGCGCGGCTTGGAACTCGAAGTCGGAGCTGGCGAGGTTGATCACGATGCCCATTTCTGCGACAATGGGGACACTTGCCTCAGCGAGTTCCCCAGATGAACAGTCAAGGACAACATCAACCCCTTGTCCGTCATTGTGCTGGGCAATCTGGCCAAGGAATGCTGCAGTTCGGTTTGAGAATATGTGCTCTCGAGTCATGCCTGTGGCTTCCATAAGTGATCGTGCTTTGTCGTCACTTGAGACAGTGGCGTAGACATCGGCGCCGATATGCCGAGCAATCGATATGGCTGCTTGTCCTACCGCACCGGCCGCTCCATGGATGAGGATGCGATGTGATTTGCTGAGGTGCGCCAGGTCCACCAGGGCATGGTATGCGGTCTGGAAGGCTAATGGGATAGCAGCGCCTTGCTCGAATGTGGTCGAATCGTCAAGCAGCTGGCATAATTGGTGCTTTACTTCGGCGATATTCGCATATGGTGTGGCTCCCCAGCCACAGACACGATCACCACGTTTGAAACGCCCCTCTGCAACCGCACCAAGTTCTATGACCACTCCAGCGAACTCACCCACCATGGATCCCACAGGATCTCCTCTTCCCATGGCGAGTGCAACATCGCTCCTGTTAAGTCCATGGGCCAGGACTTTGACCTTGAGCATATCCGGTGCCAGTGGCCTCGGAGTATCTTCAATCTCGGTAAAGTAGCAGCTATTCAACAATCCCGGGGTCTTAAAATCCAACTTCAGGGCTCTCTCACCGTGAAATTTCGCCATGATTTCTTGCTGTTCCTGGGGTGACGGTTGCTCTAAATAAAGATTTGAAGGTCCATGCGACTCGAGCCTCGGAACGAAAAGACTGCCATCTTGAAACTTATACACAATATCCACAGAAGTGATCTTGTCGATATTGATAAAGGACCTTTCAATCACTTCTCCAATCACGTCTCCGAGGATGGTGCTATCCGCAACGACGTCTCGATACAGCAGCGTAACGAATTGAAGATTTCTTTCTCTGGCAGCGCGTCTCGCCAGTGAGGTAGGAGACGAAAAATGACCATACTTCCCTCCTAGTGCGACCCAAAGCACGGAATTCTGTTTCTGTACCAGCTTCTTTATATCTTCAAATTCCATTTCTGGCGCGGAGTCGTCCTCAATGAAAATTTGGATGGCGTCGTCTTTCGTGAATTCGGTGCTGTCAACAGCTATTGAAGCAGCGACCTGCTCGAGGAGGCGGTCTCGTGTCCGCTGCAATGCGGCAAATCCCTGTGCACTCTGACTCAACAGGTAGAGCTGCAATTGCTGCTCATCCCGGTCAACGGGCCTCGCTGGACTGGCCCCAACAGGCTTCCACTTCAGGATGCAACTCATGGCACCCTCCCGGGTGGTAGTCTCGGCCTTCGAAGGACCTTCTCCGATGCCTTGGAACTCTTCATTCCTCAAAGAACCGACCTCGACAAGATGACCATCTCCATTATCTTGCATGATAGAGACGTTGACTGCTCCGAATTTTCGACGCGCTTGTTTCAGCTCACAAACGACCGTTAAACAGTCTCCAGGCTTGTTTAACATGGTGGCATCAATATTTGCTTCTTCGATTGAAGTAAGCATTACCGGGCCTTGGCTGCAGAAGAGGTGATAAAGCGGCAGCGCGACATGCATGAAGGCGTCAAAGGTTGCTGGGTGGACGACATGTGGTTGCATGTATCCTGAAGGCATACACTGTGCAATATCTGGCACTCGAATACTACCAATGGCAACATGATCGCCCACCTTCAAGTCGCTAATTATGGAGAAGTTCTCGCCATATTCGATTCCATTCCGTCGAAGGCCTTCGTAGAGGTCTGATGTTGACACTGGCTTCGTGCATGCTTCGGTGAGCTTTTGGAGTTGCTGCTTAATCGTCGATGCTTGAGAATATTCTCCGAAGAGAGCAGTATCGCGTGAGAACTCGCATCCTACAAATCCGTGACAGTTGTCATTCCAGGCGCCATCTGCGGCTTGCGACGTGACTCGGAACTGGTACCAGCGAATCCCAATTCTCTCTCCGAGGCCTTTGGCGGGCATAAGACTCACCAAGATTTCCAGCGTGGCAGGCGACTTGGGCACTACGATAGACTTGTTGAAAGTCACTGTCTTGAAGCGGTAGCGCTCTATGCTTTTCTTTTCGCCAGAGTCTTCTGTGACTTGTTTGAGCGCTTCTATTGCATGCACCAAAAATGCTGATCCAGGATACAGAGCGAAACCGTCGATAACGTGCTCTTGTAGCCAGGGAGAATTGTCCACACTGAGGATGTGACGAAAGATTGGCTCGATGTGTGTGGTTCCCACCAGACGAAGTCCTAGCAGATCGTGTGGTGCATGCCGCCGATGCCGATACTCTTTGCTAAGTCGAGACTCATGCCAGTGTCTCTTTGAATGGTCCCAGGCGTACGCTGGCAAATCCGTCGCCGGCCTAAACGAAAGATGCTGGTGGTCATGGCCCAGAAGCACGGCCCTTTGAAGGTCCACGCACACACCCTGCTCCCAGAGCTGACCACACGTCTCGAGGATAGTTTGGGCAGCGTCGCGATTGCGGCGCATAGCAGCCGAGTACGCCCAACTCCCTTTCCTTGCTTGAGCATTCATTATCTGGCGGACTGGTCCTTCTAAAGCACAATGTGGCCCGATCTCGACAAAGGCCAGGTGGGTTTCGTCTTCTCCCACAGTTTTGACAAGGCTCTCGAGTGCCTCCGAAAAGCGAACCTTGGAAACGAGATTCTCGATCCAGTACGAGGGATCGAGTGGTTCGTACTCCTCGGTAGCTGTCACTGACGAGAAGAACTTGGTCTGGCCATCGGCTGTTGTTGGCGTTAGTCCACAGATAGACTCTTCGAACCTCTTGGCCACTGTTTGCATGTGATGTGAATGGTAGGCAACGCCGACCTTGAGGAGTCTGTTGAATATGGCATCTCGATCAAGAAGAGTCTTCAACTCAAGCACTGCTGCTTCATCACCCGATACTGTCACACTCGTCGGGCTATTGACGCAAGCGACCACGGCTCCTCCAAATGCGATAGTTTTCGCGAGGTATTTTGAGATATCATTCTCTCCCAATCCAACAGCCAGCATTGCCCCTCTGTTTTTGTTGCTCTCACGACACCAATCAGCAACAAACCCTTTGTAGTACGATATCTGGAGGGCCGCCTTATGGCTCAATGCACCAACGGCGTACGCGGCTGCAACTTCGCCGCTCGAGTGCCCCAGCACTGCTGCCGGTCGCACGCCGATATGTTCGAGGAGATTCACCAGGGCAATCTGAAGGGCAGTGGTTGCGGGCTGCGACAGCTGGCTTGTGTTGATGCGGGATTCCTCTTCGGGCATGTTCAACTCCTCCAAAAGATTCCAAGAAGCACCCAGCGATCTCAAGATCTCCTCCGACTTGCGAAGCGAATTGGCAAAGACGGGATTGCAGCGAATTAGTTCTCTGCCCATGGTAGCATATTGTGCACCTTGCCCGGTGAACAAGAAAATCGTCCTGGAACTTGTGGCCGCCTTGGCTATGCGAGCACTTCCCACCGCGTGGATGATTTCGGAATTCACCCTTCCATTGAAACTGGCTCGCCAGCTGAATGTCGAACGTCGGGTCGCCAGTGTTCTGGATACTTTTTGGAGAATATGCGGCCTGGGAGAATTCTTGACCATCCATGACTTGAGGTTTTCAATGTTGCTTTTCAGGGACTCCTTTGACCTGGCCGAAACGAGAAAGAGGAATGGATGGCTTCCTTGTCCAACCAGCAAGTTGACTGAATCGTTCCTCGTCCTTCTTTGAGCCTCGGGAAGCTCTCTGACTTCTCCATTTCTACCGGCGCAACTAATGTCGAACTTGTTTCCACACGTGTTTGTTCCATTGGAATTCACAAAGGTCCTCACCTCGAGATCGCAATGATTCTGAACAGCATATGACGAACAGCCTCCCAGGATGACATGTGCATTGGTGCCACCAAAGCCGAAACTGTTCACAGATACCCGTCTTGCCTCGCTCGCTGACCATTCATGAACGCTGTGAGGCATCTGCAAATTGTGTCAGTCTTGGTTTTTGACGACAGTTCACCATGAACTTACGTGGATCGACCCATCACTCACTGCCAGAGCAACATCTGGCTTCAGGTCCTTCACAGCAGCAACCGGCGGAATACGACACTTTTCCAAAGATAACACGGCTTTAATAATGCCAGACAGTCCACTAGTGCTTTCAGAATGGCCGAGATTTGCTTTTATGGAGCCGACTGATAAGGGTTTTGTCCGCCTAGAGCCATCACCGACAAACAGCATCTTAACGGATCGGATTTCGGCCGAATCGCCCGCTGACGTCCCTGTACCGTGCATCTCCACGTACGAGACTTGCTGTGGGTCGATTCCAATCTCTTTATAAAGCCTACCGGCCAAGTCGTGCTGTGCTTGGGAATTTGGAAGCAAGATTCCATTTGTTTTACCATCCTGGCCTACCCCTGAATTCAGTATGACCGCTCTGATTGCATCGCCATCAGCCTGGGCGTCGCTAAGCCTTTTCAGTACCATGACGGCCACCCCCTCTGCTCGCCCATATCCAGCTCCACGACTGTCGAACGGGTAGCAACGACCATTGTCATTGACCATGTGGAGATTACTCATGGCGATTGTCATATCTGGCCCGAGCAAGAGATTCGAACCCCCGACCAGTGCCATGTCTGACTGGCCCAGCTGGAGGGCCTGACAAGCAAGATGGACCCCTACCATTCCGCCCGAACAACCAGTGTCGAGAGTCATGGAAGGACCCCGGAAGTCGAAGACATAGGATATTCTTCCACAAGCTGTTGCATCACCACATCCGGTCAGATGGTGTTTTGGGATCTGACTCGGGTCCTTGTATATCTGGCGGTCATAATCCCGGCTCACGAGAGCAACATACACTCCGGTTTGAGAACCGCGAAGTCCTTCAATGGGCATACCAGCGTTCTCCAACGCCTCGTACGATACCTCAAGTAGAATTCTTTGCTGAGGATCCATGGCGGCTGCCTCAGCATCCGGTATCCCAAAAAACTTTGCATCGAACTGCGCAATGTCCTGCTTGAGGAAGAATCCTCCACGAGCATTGTGAGTTCCTCTTGCCTCTGGGTCAGGGTGATAGAAAGCTTTCCAGTTGTACCGATCCTCAGGCACGTCTGTCCAGGCCTGTTCACCAGTTTCCAAAATCTCCCACAATCGGTCTGGTGTATCCGCTCCACCTGGCAATCTGAAGCTAAAGCCAACGATTGCTACAGGTTCTGGCATCATGTCCGGCACAACTTCTAGTGCTCACAGGAGCACTACCTTTGTTTCCTTCGACTTCGAAGACAAGGAGGCGTATCTTCAGCGTTTACGTGGACAAGACGGCTTCAAACACACATCTGCACATGGCTTCTTGTCACCGCACTACTATCACAAGGATTCATTTCGGATGTTTGCTATCTTTCATTGAGGACCGTCCTTCAAGACTTCCTGCTTTTGGTATGGATGATGCGTTCAAGGCCTGCCTGCGGATCCTCCTGTGAACTGGTGATCTCTTCATTAGCCTGAATACTTACTCCTTCAAAAGGATGATCCTGCAATCTACGTGCCTCAGCCTAGCCCAGTCCGAGTTCTCCCGACCCCCGGGCACAATGTGACATTTACACCGTCACTGATACGAATACGATCACTATTTCGCAGCCCTGGTCCACTGGCGCGTGTATACCTTCCCAAGTTCTTTTGGCGGTTTTGGCCAGCGCACCTGGATCTGCCATGGGTGACAGACCTTCTCCAGTCTAAACATGGTGTCGGCAAAGGTTCGGTATAACTTGGGGGACTTGGTCGGCGTACGTGCAACTATACTGGCCGAAACTATGGTCATGCCAGACCTTTAACCACAATATAATTACACTAAAATCGTGGCTCGTTGCGCGGTCGTTAGGACACTGCCCCTAGCCGTACCTTTGGTGCCTAGGGCTATCCTCTTTCCACATAATTATCCGACGGAGACTATGTCGTGGCTTTTGTCACCATAAGCATGTGTGTGGTCTGGATCAGTCTGCTCAGATATCAGTATCGCCGGATCGCTTCTCGAAAAAGCGCGGAGCCCCCGCCGCACTAGCCAACCGAGAGAGCTACCAGCGTGTTGGGGCGGGATCTAACAGTCACACCATCTTGAAACACGAGATGATCACTAGTAGGAGCCGCCTCGGCCGTCCACCCTACTACCCGTTTTGGGTACGGAGAGCGCGTAATGGTTTGATCTTGCGTCACACGATTGGCGTGGGGCGGTGTCACCCAGGGGAAATACCCGGGTAACAGACTTTTGCTGCTTTCACTTGGTGCCTGAATCTTACCCTTCGACTAATACACCAAAGGGGTGTTGAAGAGGCAGCGGAGATATGCGATACAGGCGATATATGAATGGAAGGTACTGTTTGATATGAGCCAACAGCAGTACCACTACGGCAGCCGCGCAAAGGTTCAAATCTGTACCTCAGTCTCTCCTCTCCCACACTCGGCTTGGGCGCAGCAAGCAGTTCAACATGAGTAGACCTTACCGAGTGGTGAAATTCAAGACCATTGACGGGGTCATCTTGCGAGGCAGGCTGTATCCAGCCGCTCACCGAGGGCCCGCAGTTATTCTCACGCCTGGGGTACGTCCACCTTTCCTCCAAAAGAACAGCAATTAACCAAGCTCGCCCTGACACAGTACAATACTGTCGTTATAAACTCGCCACCAGGAATACCAGAAGAGTTCCAGAAAGCCGGAATCACCGCGCTCATATATGATCCACGGAGCACGGGCAAAAGCGGGGGCTTTCCGCGGAATGACATCGATCCTTTCAAGCAGGCAGAAGATTATTCGGACGCCTTTATCTTCCTCTCCAAACAGCCGATGGTAGATCCGGAAGCCATTGTGTTCTGGGGAGTATCAATGTCAGCGGGGGTTGCATTGGCAAACGCTGCAATCGACCAACGAATCGCCGCGGTCATCGCGATCGCACCCATCTTCGAGTTCAATCCCGTGAGACCCAGTGACGCTCTCAGGCTGAAGCAGAAGCTGATGAAGGATCGAGAGGCACAAGTCAATGATGGAAGGCCTCCTTATATCCTGCCGATTCTGGAGTCTGTGGCGTTTTTGCCGTACAATTCCCATGTCAACACCGCCCCTGAGGCGCAGAAGAAAGAAGAAGACGAATACCATCTCCAACTGGCAGACCTCTGGAAAGACGAGATGGAAAATGGTGAAGAAATTGACCCTTTATTGACCCACAATGCGTACGGGACCACTATACAGTCATATCACCGCATGTTTTTGTGGGAGCCTATCCCCCGAGAGCTTGTCAGGAAGATCAGTCCTACGCCGGTATTCTTTCTAACTCCAGAATTGGATCAGATCTCCTCTCCGGAGCGACAGATCGAGGTCTTTGAATGTCTCGAGGGCCCCAAGCGGCAAGTATTTGCACCAGGAAAGGAGCACCTGTACGTCTTGAATGGGCCAGACATGCCGGCATTGATGAAAGGACAGATCGAGTTCATATGGCAGGTTGTGAAGGGCCGCTTCAAGAGCCGTTCAGATAAGACGACATCAGGGGGAATCATACCCGCAGTCTCCCTCAATGGCGTAGCTGAAGAGACCAAGAACTGAGCATTCGACAGAGATGAGCATCATCCTCAAGCCGTGCCACGGTTCAACATCGGCTTGTCAGAGTGCTAAGCGGACAATTCCTAAGACACACATGGTCTTTGTCCAAACGACTTGAGAGTCGAGAATTAGCGTATCTCTTGATGTACGATTCATTGGTCTCCTTTGTCTGCTCGTTTGTTGAATCCCAGGCTGCGGTACCGCTTCTTCGTCGGGTGAAAGAACCCCGAATATCCCAAACGGGCTCTGTCTGCTGTCATACCTCGCCGGTTCCAGCCACCCGGGCGAATTCTCACCGCTTCTAATTCGTGGTGGGGGTTATATCGCTGATATTTGCGCTCGGGATATGGCTTGCCCCGAGGCCGTGTGTGCATGCAGCGGCCGCCTGGGTAATATCAGGCTGATATAGCCTTCCGAGAGTCTGCCAGATCCTCGGATTGATGCTGCCAATGAGTGTAACTCACTGTGTCTAGCACGTGGAGCGCAGGGAGCCAAGTGAAACAACGGCTTATCACGATCGTGTCTAAGGTAGGTGGTACCGTACCGACTCTCGTATACGACACGACCGGGAGCCTTGACATGTATGGTATTGACAAGACGGTATTGTAATGACAAGGATTTCGATGCAGGGAATTACTAATACCATGTGGGAGCGAGCTTTATCTAGCGAGAACCGTACCAGGCAACCATCCAATGCAACATTCTCTGGTTCAAGCGCAGATTCGGCAGCTTGCTGCAGTCTTGAAGAATATGCCCGTGCAATGGCGGAGCCAGACGAGGCCAGAGCCTGGCAGCCCCGACCTCGCCGCCTGCTAAACGGGTAGTGACTGTAACAAACCTACTAATACTATCAGGTCTCCAAGACACAGGTCAGTTCACTACGTTTGCAATTAGGTCGTTGCTGCCGCTGTGAAGAATTTAACAGCGACCATGGGCGACCTCAGCAATGGGAGTGCCAGTGGCGATGGCTTCAGTGCCGACAGCACAGCCCCTACCCCGGAGCCCATTGCTATAGTGGGTATGTCTATGCGGCTTCCTGGCGGCATTCACACAGAAGAAGCTTTTTGGGACCTGTTGGTGAACAAGGAAACCACCAGAGGTCCTATTCCACCTTCGAGGTACAACTCTGACGGCTTCTACACCAAGGCCGGTCGGCCTGGAAGCATCAATGTACGCCATGGACACTTTCTCGCGGAAGAAGATGGCATCGATTTCCTGGACACATCATTTTTCAACATCAGCAAAGCTGAAGTCGAGAAACTGGATCCCCAGCAGCGCCTTCTGTTGGAGGTGGTCTGGGAGTGCGTCGAAAGCGCAGGTCAAACAGGCTGGCGGGGAAGTAATACCGGCGTCTTTGTCGGTGCCTGGGGCTACGACTGGGTAGACTTTCTTGCCAAAGATCCACAACAAGTCGGCGGGATTCTCAATGTGACTGGTTCGCATGACTATGCCATTGCAAATCGACTATCGTATGAGTACGATCTGCATGGCCCTAGCATGACCATCAAAACGGCATGCTCCTCCTCAATGATATCTCTGCACCAGGCGGTACAGGCTCTTCGCAGTGGCGAGTGCGATGCTGCGATTGTTGCTGGGACGAATGTGATTGTTACGCCCACCCAAACAATCGAACAAACAGAAGCCGGGGTGCTATCTCCCACAGGCGAGTGTCGCACTTTTGATGCCACGGCAAATGGGTACGGACGAGGAGAGGCTATCAACGCGCTCCTTTTGAAGAAGCTCAGCGTGGCCAGGAATGACAATGATACTATCCGAGCCGTTATCCGGGGAACTGCCGTCAACTCTGACGGTCGAAGTCCAGGTCTCACGACACCAAATCCAAAGGCTCACGTCCGCCTAATTAGGCAGGCTTATCGAGCTGCAGGCTTGCCCGATCCTTCTGAGACACCATATGTGGAGGTCCATGGAACAGGTACTAAGACCGGTGACCCTCTTGAACTTGAAGCCATTGCCCATGTTTTTGGCGACATGAAAGATACTTATGTGGGCGGAGTCAAAGCAAACGTTGGTCACAGTGAGAGTGCTTCCGGGATCACTAGCATCATCAAAGCAGTCCTAGCACTCGAGAAGGGAGTCGTTCCTCCGCAGGCCAATTTTTCAACGCCAAACCCGAAAATACCGTTTGAGGCGGCTCGATTGATTGTGCCTCTTCAACCGACACCATGGCCAGAAGGGCGTCCAAAGCGAGTCAGCATCAACTCGTTCGGCATTACAGGCGCCAATGCTCATGCTGTGATTGAGTCTGCTGCTACAGGTGTACATGCTGCTGATGTCAATGGCAATGGACAGGATGATCAAGACAAGTCTGAGCTCCTGTTGTTGTCGGCAGCCAACCCTCAATCTCTGAACGAACGATGTGCGCAAATGCAACTGTACGCTGGTCAACATCCAGAGAGGCTGCCACAGCTTGCGTATACCCTCGCTTGTCGGCGTGATCATCTCCCTTATCGAGCATATGGCATCGCCAACAAGCTCAAGTCAGTCGAGTTCAACATTGGTGAGAAAGTCAGGCACACCCCTAGCCTGACTTTCGTCTTTACAGGCCAGGGTGCCCAATGGCCGGGTATGGTTAAAGAACTCGTCGAAACCTTTCCAACCTATCGGGAAGACATTGTAACTCTGGCGGACTCTTTGGGAAGATTGCCGCATCCGCCATCATGGAATCTGTTAGAGGAGCTTCTGAAGGAAGATGTCAAAAGTAATGTTCACAAGGCTGAGTTCTCACAACCATTGTGCACGGCCATTCAAATCGCCCTTGTCAATCTTCTGAGACGGCTTAACATTACACCCTCAGCCGTGGTTGGCCATTCCAGCGGAGAGATTGGAGCAGCCTATGCAGCAGGCGTCCTCAGCAGTGAAGAGGCAATCACAATCGCCTACTACCGAGGTGTGACCACCACAATGTCAACAAGAAGAGGTGCAATGGCTGCGGTGGGCCTCAGCCAAGCTGAAGCGAGGCTATACCTCGAAAATGAAGTTTTGATAGCTTGTGATAACAGTCCTCAGAGCGTCACGCTTTCTGGAGATGACAAAGGGATTGACCGAACAATTGAGCAAATCAAGCTCGACGATCCAAACGTTTTTGCACGACGCCTTAAGACAGATGGGATGGCATATCATTCTCATTACATGACGGAGATAGGACCACAGTATGAGCAATTCTTACAACCATGCATCAAGCCAAAATCGCCGGCGACCAGGTTTTTCTCCACTGTCACGGGCGATATTATGGAAGAGTGTACTATGTGCCCGAAATACTGGAGACAGAACCTTGAATCGCCAGTTCAATTCTATTCTGCCATTAGGAACATTATAGCAAAAGGAAAGTCAGATCAACTGTTCTTGGAAATTGGACCACACTCGGCGATGGCAGGACCTCTGAGGCAGATCTTCAAGACCTCCTCCTCGAAATCTCGGTTGGGATACGTCTCGTCGCTGGTCCGGGGCAAGAATGCCATAGAATGCATACAAGATATGTGCGGCCAGCTGTATCTCCACGGAATACCGCTGTCTTTCGCGCCGCTTATGGGAACATCTCGCCCGTTGACTGACCTTCCTCTCTATCCGTGGCGGCACAATACCTCTCATTGGTCTGAGACCAGAGCAGTGAGAGATTGGAGACTGAGGAAATTTCCTCCCCATGAACTGCTTGGTTCTCGGGTCCTGGAGGGCAACGACCTCGATCCAGTCTGGCGGAATATGCTCCATCTTAAAGACACCCACTGGCTTACTGGACACAAGGTATACAACGACGTTATCTTTCCTTGTGCTGGCTACATTGCAATGGCAGGGGAGGCAATACGGCAGGTTAGCGGCAGTGAAGGCTTTAATATTCGCCATCTTCGAGTCAAGACAGCAATGGTCCTGCATGACGATCCTGTTGAGGTCATGACGTGCCTGAAAAGATCAAAAGACCCCGAAGAGCCCGACACGTCTTGGTACGAGCTTACCATCATCTCGCACAATGGCAGCGTTTGGGCAGAACATTGTGTTGGGGAAGTGAGGGCAGGTGAATCTAGCTTCTCGATGAGTACACGGCTGAAAACAGACCGTGAGCTGCCGAGGAAGGTCAAGTCAGTCTACAGTTCCTTCCAGTCCATTGGATTAAATTATGACGGCGCATTTCAAGGCCTTGATAAGGTTTCCACAATGCCTGGGCAAAGGATGGCCGTCGCTTCGTTGAAAGCTCAAGCTGAGGCTGATTCAACCTATGCGCTGCATCCGTCCACGATCGACCATTGCCTACAGCTACTGGGCATGGCTGCCTGCGAAGGCCTGTCAAGACGCCTAGAACGCATCCCTCTTCCGACATTCGTCGAAGAGATATCTATACAGCCGGCTCGCGGGCAGCATGGCCTCAAAGCTGGTGCTGTTGCCAATAAGGTCAGCAATCACGGTGATATTGAAGGTGAGATGATCATTACGGAAGGACCCACTGTCGTTCTGGACATGAAAGGGTGCAAACTCTCGGCTTTTGAGGACAGGTCGACCTCTACTCTAGATGATCCTATAGCGGCTGCTCGTCTCAGCTGGCGTCCGCACCTTGATTTTGTCCCTTTGGAAACGTTGATGGTGTCACACGACAAGGACCCCAAGGATATCAGAATCATGGAAGAATACAGCCTCCTCTGTACAGCAGAAATTCTGGAGAGAATAGAAGATACAAAGGCTTGTGCCTACCATTTCGCCAAATTCCGAAAATGGATGACCGAACATGTCTCTGCGGGTAGGTTGGGTCAGAATAAGATTGTCACCAACAGCAAAGAGCTACTGGAACTAGATCAGCAGCAACGCGTGGAGCGACTGGGTGAACTCCGACGAGAGCTTGAGGATTCACGCTTTGTTCATGTCGCAGAGCTCACAACCCGGCTTCTCGACAACTGCGTTGGGATATTCGATGGCACGACCGAGGTGCTCGAGGTATACCTCAAGGACGATGCACTTACTAAGCTCTATGGCTTTACGGGTGACAGGATTGATGCATCTGAATTTTTTCTGAGTGCTGGCCATACCAACCCGACTCTAAGAGTCCTTGAAATAGGCGCTGGAACTGGTGGAACTACTCTTATTGCCTTGAATGCACTTACCTCCATCAATAATGAGCCGATGTACTCGCGTTACACGTTCACAGACATCTCGTCCGGCTTTTTCAGCGCCGCCAGAGATAGATTCGTCAAATTCCCCGGGATCGAATTCCGCACGTTGGACATCACCAAAGATCCGGCAGATCAGGGCTTTGAACTCGGGAGCTATGATCTGATTATCGCCTCCAATGTCATCCATGCGACTGAAAGGCTCAATGTGACACTCAAAAATGTTCGGAGGCTGCTCAGTCCTCAGGGGCGGTTCTTCCTTCAAGAACTTACGCCGGCAGCTGCAAAGATGGTGAACATCATCATGGGCCCTCTATCAGGGTGGTGGCTAGGAGAAGCGGACGGCCGCGTGAACGAGCCAATTGTCGCTGTGGAGCGATGGGCTGCCGAACTTCAAGCAGCCGGTTTCGCAGGCCTTGAATGTGTGGTCCGTGACGATCCACGGCATGAGACTTCCATTGGGGCAAATATGATTGCCAAACCCGCCGTCAACGCGCCAGAGTACAAATCAGTCACCATCCTTATCAGGCCTGACCAAGCGAACAATGAAATGCTGCAAATATTTTCAAGAACACTTGCCAACCAGGGGTATTTCATCGATGTTTGCAGTCTAGGGACAGCTCTTCCGCCATATCAGGACATCATTTCACTAGTTGAAATCGACAGGCCTTTCTTCAACCAAGTTACAGCCACAGATCTTGCATCCTTTCAGACCTGCATCTCCGAGATGACTTCTTCTCGAATGCTCTGGGTCATGGGACCGGCTCAGCTGAAGCCAAGCAATGCACGCTTTGGCCTCACACTAGGCGTCGTCCGCTGTATACGTGCTGAACTGTCTACTCAGGTGGCCACACTCGAGGTTGACAAACTCGACGGGATTGTCAGCCAGACGATCCTGAAAGTGTATGAAACTTTCTCAAACACGACATCGATATCTGCGACCAATCCGGAGCTCGAATACATCATGGTCGATGGAGTCGTCCATGTTGGGCGTTTTCACTGGACAAATGTGTCCAAGGAGCTGGAGGAATCACAAGACACTACACGTCTTCCCATCAAGTTGGAGACCACAACTTCTAACACAAAGTCGTCAGCTGGCACTGCTATGAAATGGACCACTCAGCCCCAGATCAAACTCGAGTCGGATGAGGTGGCAGTCCGTCCTAAATATATTGGACTGAGCTCCATGGTAAATTCACTGTCTCCCACCCTTTCAACGACATGGCTGACCGACCTAGGACTTTCCTGGCTTCGAAGATGGTGCAGCTCATGACTACTGTGGAGAAATCATCGGAGTGGCTGCAGAAGCAGCAGCAGATGGACCGAGAGTGCGCGACACGGTCATGAGCATAGGTTCTCATGGCATCTGCACAATCTTCAAGACCAAATTGAGAAATGTCGTCAAAGTGCCCGAGAACCTTGATTTGGTCGATGCAGCTTCCTTATCACTTGCTTATGCCATATCTCTCTATAGTTTGCGGGAAGTGGCGAAGCTGCAAACGGTACTTATCACAAGTGCCGTTTCTGATATTGGCTTAGCAGCAATCACGGTTTGCCGACAAAACGGTGTCGAGGTGAGTCTCGAGCCTGCCCTTTTCTTTGGTCCATGTCATCGCTAATCGTTCGTGTCAAGCCTTATTGCTCTGTGAGAAGCCAGGAACAGGCGGACTTCCTTGTGAATCAAGTGTGCATACCTCGAGATGCAGTCACGACACATCATCATCACACCACAATACTCGACAGTCTGGCGCAAAGGAATGGAAAGGTGGGCTTCGACATAGTGTTAAATATTGTGTCCCAAGACCTCGAGGAGTCGAGTAAGTGTGTTGCGACCTGGGGCAAGGTAAGGACAACATCTATTTGTCCTAGATCGTGAAATGATGAATACTAACTTCGTCTTTGCAGTTGATCAATGTGGGCCGCCATCCCACAACAACAGCTTTTGATATTGCTCAGTTCGCAACGAACAGAATGTTCTTTGGTGTCGATATGGCGCAAGTGGAAGACCTTTACCCGGAGTGAGGAACATTTTGCCCCACCTATTTTAAGTCCACGATTTTACTTACACTCGATAGGCTATTGCAAGAAGTCGTCGCCCGTTATCAGTATAATCAAATCTGGCCCCTCGAAGCAACTCAGGTTCTTGAGGCGGAGAATCTTCTCGGCGAACTGGCGCCGCTTCAAAACAACCCAGTCACGATAGGGAAGCTCCTGGTCAAGTTGCCATCAGATCCAAGTTCCTTACCCAGAGAACCCACAGCGCCCGTTCTTCAATTCCGCGGCAATGCTACGTACATCATCGCCGGAGGCCTAGGTGGACTAGGACGCGCCCTCTCAACATGTATGGTTGAGCACGGTGCCCGACACATCACATACCTCTCTCGCTCTGCGGGTACAGCTCCTGACCATGCCGCGTTCTTCCGCGAACTCAAAGCTCAAGACTGCACTGCACACGCAATTCCCTGTGATATCTCTTGTCTAAACTCCGTTCGGGCGGCAATCGAGCAAATTGACTGTAATCTGCCTATTGCCGGTGTATTACAAATGGCCATGACGCTCCAAGACTGCCCCTTTCTTAACATGAGCCATGACGATTGGATGGCGGCCATCAAGCCTAAAGTCGATGGGACATGGAACCTCCATTCCGCATTGTTCGAAACAGCAGCGCCGCTCGACTTCTTCGTCATGCTCGGATCCATCTCAGGAACATTCGGAATCCCCGGGCAGGCGAACTACGCAGCCGGCAACACCTTCCAAGACGCATTTGTCCAGTATCGCCAGTCACTGGGCCTCCCTGCATCGGTGCTCAATATTGGCGCCATGGCCGATGTTGGGTATGTCAGTGAAAACAGGGATGTGCAGGAATATTTTCAGGCTGCGGGCATGCCGTTCATGACTGAGAAGCAGCTTTTTGATGCGTTGCACTTGTCGATTTTGCAGCAATATACTGCTGACCCTACTGCTGCTCCCACGAGCAACAAGGTCCACTGCGGTGCGGATCCGGGATTCACCTCACGAAGCCAGCTCACATTGGGTCTCCGGGCAACGAAACCAATGACCGACCCTTCGAATCGCGTTCTCTGGAAACGAGACCGCAAGGCTGACATTTATCGAAATATCCAGGCTGCTGCTTTGTCAAAGAGTAATCGCATAACAACAGCGGAGGATAAGCGAGAAGAAGAAAAGTTGGCCTCTTTCATGGCTTCGCTCCGCACGGCTACTGAGACTGATCGCGAATCCATCCTGCACAGTCCGGATACGTTGAAGCTTCTGGCAAGGGAAATTGGTGCTTTTATTCATGAGTCCATGTTGAAATCTGTCGATGATGATGCTGACGACGATGAACATTTGGGTCTCGATAGAATCTTGTCGCTTTGGGAGTTGATAGTCTGGTCACGGTCGAGGTACGTACTTGGTTGAGGAGGAAGTTTGATGTCGAGGTGAGTACCCTGGAGATGTTGAATGGTGGTACGATCAAGAATTTGGCGGAGCTGGTGTTGGATAGGTTGAGACAAAGGTTCGGTATGCAGGATGGAAGATAACGGGACTCAATCATGACGGGAATATGCCCACCTTTACATGCGAGGACTTTGGTTACGGTGGCCTGCTACTTTACGTAGACAATATATGACCTGGCTTGACTTAGGTTTATTAGCCTACTCAGGCTGCCGCCGCTCACCCTATTTATCCTTCTTATCAGCCGTTCTCTGAGCGACCCGGAAGCGGAACAGATCGCTTCGTAAGGAAAGCATATCATTGTACATCTAACTACTATGATACCCAGGCGAGATGTCTTCAGCCCTCACTCATTCCACCGAATCAAGCCACAAGCCTCATAAGGGTTGTTGAGGAACGACCTTCCACGGATCCGCCACGAATTCCAGGGCTGGGTCTCTAAGATGCCAAGGGTTAATGTACACCTGCAACCCAATCCTGCTGGTAAACAAGTTAAACACCCTCATGATCAAGTACAGATCTCGCGGTGGCGTGATCGAGTCATTGGGACAGGCTTTGTCTCGCATGAGCCTATACTGATTGCTACTCATGAAGAACGGAGTATTGCAGGGCCCAGAAGTGGTCTTGACTTCGATGTAATAATTCACCGCTGGTGTTCGTGTTGACCCTGATGCAAGCCCACGAAGCCAGGCGGGATAGGGGAAACTCGTGTTTTCTCGAACCAACTCCATCAGCCGCGGACAGTAGCCTTTGTACATGATATCCGAGATTTCACGGCCGTGCCACGACGGCTCAGCTGCGTATTCGGGAAGGATGTTGACGTAGTGACGAATCGAACTCTGCCACTGGTCGATGCTGAAATTCGTGACTCCCCAGGCTTTGAGGAGCTCAAATACCTAGTTCAACTTAGTTAGTCCTGAGCCGTTCATATAAACAAATACCGTTTCAGACTCACATATAGTTCTCCCGCCGCACCGACTCGGGCATTTTCTTCAAATCTGCCGTTCCCTGTATCGCCAAAGGTTCGGTAGAACGCTGCGTAGTCAGCTGGGGTTGGGTGGGTAAGTTCATCTAGAGCTTCGTCGATTTCATGCAGCGATAGGGATCCCGACCCTGCTGTCGTTTGGCGCAATCGCCCGCCTCGCCTTGCTTGGCGAATCACTTCTCGCAAGAGTCTTTTGTACTGTTGATCCCGTGCCACCGACTTCCAGATTGTATGGTCAGAACCAGTTGACTGGAACTGGACTGCCAGTGGAGAAGGAATCCTGATCTCAAGTTGGGGATACGGTGCTGTCACTGCTGTACTCCTTTGATTGACCTGGGTCACGATCACGTCATTGTCGTCGTCGTCATTATTATGGTCAGAAGGTGCGCTTGGTGGCCATGCAGGCGTCGGCATACTCCTGCTGTTGGGTTCTGTATCACCCGGAACTGGAAATGACAATGTCTGTAGCGATGGCACAGGTCTTTCGAACCAAGGATACTCCGGCAGGTCCTCATCCTTCATGATGGTATCCAAATCCTTCTTGGTATCATTCAAGATACGATAGATGACCTTGACGGCCCGTTCATTATCGATGAAGAGGACGTTTGCAAGTGCTTCAGGAAGCTCTGTGTGGAAGCAAGAATAGAGACCATCGTAGTCGCTTGGGACATAGATCGTCAACTTGCCATCAGGAGAGCGGATATCGACCACCGCTCGATCACTTTGAACAGTGACTGAGTCATATTCCTCCGGTAGAACAAGCTCTGTCCACATCTCTTCGCAGACGAATACTTCTGCAGCCAACAGTAACCCATGCATCGTCGTTCTCCGGTTGTAGTATACCGAGCTATTGTAGTAGTTGGCACAGCTAATGAACACTCAGCAAACCTTTTCTTGACGATAAGGCGTTCAAACTCACCATGACAAGGCGTATGCCCGGTCTCTGATATAGTGTCCAAGAGCTTCATGGGCAGTTGACTTGTCCACAGTTGTTTTTGGCACCACTAGGCCCGAGAGAAAGCGATCCTCCAGATTAAGCAATTTGAACAACGTATACAACGAAGTCATCTTCTCGTGACCGAAGTCAAGAATCTTTGCTTGGTTCGCGAAGAGCTGGCCATATCTCTGATGGTCATTGATGGCGAATGCTTGATCCACGGAAAATAGTTCCAACCCGTTGGGGCCACGGACAGGCAGAAAGGTCGTTTTCTCCAAATTTCTCAGCTGCTTCTCGTTGACCTCTACCTCAGGATCTGAGGCTAGCAATTCGCCAACAGTAAGTATGATACGCTTGACCTCGTCAACGTCGGGGGAAGTCCTCTCCGCCGTTCTTCCAAGCTCCTGTAAAAGAACGTTGATTTTCATAGTCTTGACTTTCATCTTTTTGACGAAGAATTCTTTAAGCCCTCGGTATACTTGGTCCAGTGGCTGACGCCCGGAGATGGCGACAGTACAGTTCCATAAGCACTCTGAAGGCTTCAACCACTTTTGACCAACATAAATCAGACCGTTGGCATTGAACTCTTTCCTAGGACTGCTGTCAGAAAAATCGGTTTCTTTTTGAGGGAGCACCGTACCGAATAGCCTCAATCACGGGCTCAGAGCTTGCCATTGCATCCAGAGCTGCATAGACTTTTGGCGCCTCGGTCTCGATCAGATGTGATCCGGCTTTTGCGTCCGTTGATAACATCTTGAGTTCGTCAATGAAGTCGTTATAGCTAACATCCCGCATATTCAAAATGGTTTTGAAGAAACTGGAAGCAGATTGGTTAGCTCCGTACAACGGACTCAATACCTGCTTCACCCGAAGAAAGCTTGGACCTTCCCAAATACAATCAGTTGATCTGTACCAGGCTTCCTCGACTGTCTTCGAGCGGATCCACGGTCGCTTCGCAAATTCTTGCTGCTCCGAGTCAGTACATGTCTCTGCATGAATGGAATTGACATGCCTGTACAGCTCCGGCGTCTCCTACTGCCATCGTTTGAGCAATACCGCTGTAGATCTTCTCACAGGTCGGTAGTAAGTGGCCCTCTCCAAGAGCAGCTAATAGGTACATAGCTATCAAGTAAAAGCTAGCATTGACCTCACAGATCACCCCCAACTCTTTCAAAAAGAACCAAGCCTCGGAGTGTTGAATATCATAATCTCGAGGTAGCTTCAAGAATGGTATGAGATTAGTCAAGTTAGGGTCTCGGCTCCTATCCATCAATTCATGCGTTGGTAGGATAGTGGCGCAAAGCCTTTGTGTGGAGTCATTCAGACATGGTACCATAACATTCTTCAGGTCGTTCTTGATTCTGGATGCATCAATACGGTAATCAGACCAATGTGCTTTGAGGTTTGCGACAAAGCTGTCGGAGTTATCTCGAGCAATCAACTCCATCAGAGGATGGAGCTTCCATCCAGCAGACACTTGTTGTACCAGATCAGGAAAGTATCTAACCCCCCATCTCTGAAGGTAAGATATCCGGTCTAAACCATGGCGGAAATGATTGGAAACTTGGGATTTCAGGTATTGTTTATCAAGAATCCCGTACCCACATTTTTGCAAATCCTCCTTCGCAGTTGCAGCAAGTAGTTTCTCTGCGTGATAGGTATCATCCGAAGGAAAAAACAAGAAAGGTCCTCGAAGTGCTTCGTTTTCATTGCTCACAAGTATCATACGGATTTGACTCTGCGTTGACGGGGACGGTTGCTCTCCGAACCAAAAGAGGATTTCGAGATCCATTTTGAACGTGAATAGCGTTCCTTGTCTCTTCCTTAACTGGTGCATCTCAAGGATCCTCGCGGTTACAGCATCAGGGGGGCATGAGGTAATTCCGAGACTCGTGTAGAAGCCCGCACGCTCTCCATCAGCAGCGGCCGTCTCGTGAAGTTTCTTAAAACCAAGACCATCAGGTACCTCAATCGACACCGAGTCTTCGTCCACAAGGTATGGTAGATATACAGCATCCACGTGCAATGACATGGGTGAAACCCAGCGATTGTCGTCCAATGGGATGATCCTTAACCGTTCGACATCCTTCTTGATGGATCTTTCCCCAAGGAGCCGTTGTATGAGAGCAGCGAAGGCCGTGTGCCATGAGTCATCCAATGGTATGTGATATATTGGGGCTTCCGCGCCTTGTGAAAGACCAAGTTTTATTCTCTCCAAGATTTCTGTAGCCGAGATTGGCGCCACCCCAAAATCTTTCAGGATTCCTACATCGCTTGATTCATACCCGTCCGATAAGTAGATATCTTCGTCCGTGTCCGCCACGATTGGCTCGTTGTCGTGGACAAACCAGTCTGGAAGAGTTGCCATGTGCTCAATGCTGTGAAGTTCACCCCGTCGTGACCGTAAAATGGGCGTGCCACGGTTCACGAGCTCGTTCTGAATTTCAACCCATAAATATTCCCAAAAGCCTTGCATAGGTCTTTGGGGGATATAGCGCATCCATTTAAACTCCAGAGGGTCACCAGAGGTAACAACTTTGTCCACCAAACCGACGAACGCCGAAGAGACTCCTTCTCGCAATGCATTATTCCAATCCGTATCAGGAACACTCTCACGATTGGCCGTGAGGATAAAATTCGCGTTTATAAGAAACTGAATCAGTTAGCTTCGTCCAGTGACAGGTATCAAAGACACATACGGGAAGCTGTATAATGCGCTCTACTGGAAGATAAGCGAAAACATGCTGTCCGTTGGCGGGAATGACGGGCAGGCCATATGAATCCACCTCAAATGCGACGGTCACATCGCTCTCAGAGCTTGTACGATGTGTGTCAGAGGGGAGGTCGCTGACTGTGTTTTGAAACAGCCTGAGCCATGTTGTCGCTGACGTATGGGCGCCAAAATTCCCGGTCACGGTGGTGTTGATGCGTATTTGATCGGATCTCAAATCTCCATCTTTCTCGAAAGCTATTCGATCTGACCGTCCAGCAACGCCATCCACGACGATGACTAACTTCCTGAGCTTGCGTAGTGCAAACATAATTGTTCTGGGTAGTTTTTCAAACTCAGACACGAGGCGTGTGGAGAAGATGTCGCGTTGGTCATAGTATCGAAGTGTCAGCCTGGTCCCGACATTCGAAGGTAGGAGAGATGTAACATCAGTCCACACTGGAGTGATCATTCCCACGCCCTCTTCGCCTTGCCTGTGCTCAAACCTGAAAGACCAGAGCCCAGATTGGATGTGGACATATTCAGCAATGCCAAAGACCGATTTGAAACCCAGGCCTTTCTCCCCGGTAGTATCGGCATTGCTGGCTTTGGAGCTTTTACCAGTATCGCAAATGGATTCGACATTCTCGAGTGTGAATCCCAGCTCGTTGGACTCGATGATCAGCGCGGAGGGCTTGATTCGAAACGTGATGGAGGGCTCCACAGCGTTTGCGTAACAGGAATCGTCTCCGTTTTGGAGCAGTTCATAAATAAGCCTGAATCTGGACGAGTAGAGCTGCTCGGCGACGCTGCTGTTATTAGCAACCAGTCTTTGGGACAGAAAGAAGGAACCGACGTTCTAGTATATCGGGCGTATAAGGCTCTGTGCTCGGCAGCTCTTCGACGGTAGTCTTCTTGAAAGCTCGAATCTGTCTTGCGAATTTGGCTTTCATCGTAGTCGTCGATGATACCCTGATCTCTGCGGATTCTATTGATCTCACCTCTTGCTGCACCGGCATTGAGGGGGCGTCCGCTTTCGTTGAAGCCTGGCTTTGGCATGTTTCTTCTCGCAGAGTAGTGAAGACGCAGTGTCTGATGAGCACAGAAAGCTTCGAATACACGATTGATGTGCTTAACATATCACGCTGAAGCGTCCATGTCTGGTACACACCAAACAGTCCCCCGTCATCTGTCTGCAGGAGTTCGCCAGTCGGACACGCCATTGTTTGAGCAAGCGCTGTACTTGCACTCGACCCCTAATGTGGCGTCTTGCTAGCACAAAGGTGAAGCGCTTGGCACCAACTGAACCCTGCTGGGCAAGTGTTACGTCGCATTAACGTACATCGAAAAGAAGAGCGTTGTTGGGGCCGCAGAGATTCAAACTTCATGTGTTATACACCTGTCCTTTTGCAAGCTAACACTGCAATAGGATTCCTTCGAATATGCAGAGCAAACGTTCTGCGCCTCAGGGTTGAAACAGTGAGTGTTACAATGCCGTAGCGACTGATGATAACCCACAAACGCTGGCGTTAATAGGGGCCAGTCCTGCCCGCGAGGACTCACCACAGTAATTCAATTCGCGCCTGAGCATACTGAGGATGCGATCATCAAGTATGAGGATGAATTTCGCAGCGAGTCCCCAATGATAAGAGAATTGAGGTTAGGATGGGGTCTAGGTATTGCACAAGCGAAGGTGTTCAAGGAGCATGGAATCAGCTGGAGAAGTTTTGAGGACAGGTTTAGTTCGGCTGCTGCTGGGACTGTACAACGTTGTAGGTCCACAGTTCCTGCCCTCCTGGGGACCCGTGGGGTAAGGAGGGTGCTGACAGGGCCTGACCGAGGGCAAGTCCAGCCTATGGAGACCCCGAAGCTCGCCTAAGGAGCCCCTCTGTGTCAGTTTTAGGCGAGAACTACCGAGCTGCTGAGGCGGAAGCAACGGCGAACTGCCCCCGGAAGCGCCTAACTTGACCTTTAGGTATAGTACACGTGCCTGGAACAACGAGCAGAACTTCGGCACCTAACATCTAGGAGACATGGCAGCCTCCCAACAAGAGCGACCAAGTCTTCAAAGCGTTCAAATTTGCATTGATTCCTAATTCCATTGTAAAATTCCGCAAAGCCCCTTAGCCTTTCTTCTCGCCCAATTCCAAGGCACCATCGCAAAGCAATGCGGCCTGCGGTCGTAGCCCTCAAACACCACTGTTGCATTACCCGGGTCCTCTAAAATACACCCGTCGAGCGAAAACCTCGGTTTCATGCTACGTGCCCTCCCAACCGACAGCCACGTAGACAGGCGGTGCTCATCGCCGCTGACGTGGTTCAATCGCCGGCGGACTCACCAGCGGATGCAACACCCTCGACGCAGCACAATATCTCTCCGCCAAAGGAGACAAAGTAGGCCAGATCGAGTCTGGTGGGAGTAGCGGGCGGGCAGCAAAATGTACCGGTACCTCATGTGCCTATAACAGAGGTGAACCGATATTGAAGGATATATCATCCTGACTTGAAGCTTGATAACGGTCTGATTTCTGATGACTCGACCTAGAAGATATCAGGCTTCGCGACGCTGGAATCACGCAAGTTCAAGCTGGCGAGCCTACTTGTTGTCTTTCTGACTCGGCAATTGGGCAGTATACGGTCGCATCTTACGATGTGTGCTGTTTCGGTCTCATTTTGCTCGAAATCCTGCCGACACTTTTCCACGAAATAACACCAGGCGAGATACAGGAACAACGAAAAATCCATCGTCTAGGCGTCTTCTATTCGGATCGAGCTGATTTCAGTTTCAGGAGGGATGACGCATCCTTGCGGTGCGGTGGTGGAGAGAAGAGAATGGCAACATCGCATTTGATCTCCGGCCACCTGTCCTGGAGCGATTTGCGTTGCTCTATCGAGAAGCTAAGGGCTACGACCAAATTGACGTGCTGCCCAAGCTGGCGGTGGACGTGAGGTCCATTGATCCAACCAAAAGGCCACCGGCAGAACAAGTCCTGGCTCAAACGAAACTATCAATACAGCAATATGGCAGACGTGGAGCGAGCCGCTCCGCAGTCTTGCCTTGCCTTCTCTTCCTTGCCTTGGTGGCCAGAACACCCATCCTGTATGTCCCAGCAGGCGGCAGCGGAGGCAGCATCACCACTGCACCACACAATCCGTTAACTCAACTCAACCGTTCTTTGATTCCTTTCCCAGTGGCGGTACCACTGAAGCAGTAGGGAGACACGACCTAAGATGAAGGCCAGGCCAACGCCATCCACCGGTCCCACGTCCATGGCAAAAGAGACCTACCTTTCTTGCCTTTTCTCCTCTCTTTTCGGCTCAATCCTTCCTTTCCCTCTGTCCGCTCTCCAATCTGGGCTTCGACGCTACCCGATGGATTGAGCGGTGAGAGGTGTGGATCCTGACGGGTAAGGTATGCCTTCCTTTGAGGATTCATCACCCACAGCTGCCGCCGCCACTGTCACTGTCGCCGGTTCCTTTTCTTTCAGCCTCGACTGAGCCTCCTTGGCGTACAAGAAGGCAGAAAGCTCGTCCTCAATATAGGCAGAACATCGGGCGCTCTTGGATCCTGACGACCGGCTATGTCTTGTTTGTGCCGGACCGCGTGCATGCTGGCCCCTACCGTCCTGGATTATGATCGACAAGCTCGAGGTTGAGTATGCACCTGCACTAACATTGCGCAAGATTGCAGGTGCACCGGTCCATCCGGGAACTACTGTAGCTTCAAATACTTCCTCAAGAGGTCGAAGAGGGACCAATAGAGTGACGCAGGTTGTTCAGACAAGGTTTGTGAGATGGAGACCCCACGGGAAGAACCGTTTGATTCACCGGGGTCCAAGTTGTAATGACAGAACCAGTTGAACCGCATCCTGTCCGTCTTGTCACATTGTTTGAAATACAAGTACAACAAACAGAACAATACCAGTCGCTGCAGGTGTTGAGCCCAACGAGAAAATTCCTCCGGACTTGACCGCACTCGTCCGGCGACAAGAAGCCTCTCGCGGTCGTCGAAGCTGTAGACCCCCGGGGTTGAGCCTAGTCTTCAATTGGTAGTGGGCCGCTCACCCCTACATCTCGGAAGAATACGGTAATTTATAACAGGTAGGAACTGATCTGTAAGTGTGGGAGATCTTCTGGGATGGTGAAGGACTAGAACTGGATAATATGATTATGGCCCCTTCGCCCTCTCCGAGTCCGAATTTGACCTGAACTATCTCGGTGCTAGGAGTGAGTCCGGTATCAGTCAAGACAGGAGCTTTCCCCCAGCGATCGCGGAACATGAGGGTGTATCCTTAAGGACCTGCATACACCTGTACTACGCTTGATGTGTGACTTAGAGGTGCTCCTACTGCTCGCGACGTGGCCATGGTCGAGGGATGTTGGATACCGCACACCATGGTCCGAACCGTCACGTCATGCCTTGTTTGGATCGGCGACAGGAAGACGGTTGTATTGCTGAGATCAGAGCAGATATCACCCGGAAATCCTTTGGGCGTTCTGTCTGAGGTGTTCGTGTTGCTGCTTCTTTCCCCCCTACCATGAAGTCCGTCCTGGGACTGCCACGTCAGGCTCCAAGTTGGCAGGCTGATCTCCTGGAATGAGGACGGGAACCACTACATGATCCATTGATGACCATAACGGTAGTGGTAGTTGTGGTCTCGAGAGAAAGGGTCGAGAACTTTTTCGCTCCTACATCTCAAGCAAACCCACATCGCCGGTCTTGTGCCCACCCAGGATCATTGACCTCTGCTATCCACAGGAGTGTGAGAATTGCATGCAGTATGGAGGTTCTCAAGGCTGTGATATTTCTCTGTACCGTGCCAATCCTTTGGATATCGACATGCCGAACGTATGGCCTGGTCGTTAACTACTTGGAAGCGCGCAAATTCGGAATCCCCATCAAGATAGTGCCTTTCAATCGGCAAGATGACATCTGGTTGCACATGTGGCGGTATTTTTACCCGCTGTTCAGACATCTCCCATTCAATCTGGGCAGTTGGATGGACTATTCATATCACGGATGGAACGTGCACATTCGGTTCAAGGAGCACGAAGATCTAGGCGACTGCTTCGTGCTGGTGACGCCCAATAAGAACGAAATCGTCCTGACGGACTCGACGGCAGGAATAGAGCTGGAGAGCAAGTACAAGACATGGCAAAAGCCAGAGCACCACTATCACATCTTCAACATCTTCGGCAAGAACCTGCTGACGGCCAACGGCGATGACTGGCAACGCCACAGGAAGATCATCAACCCGGCCTTCCGGGAGCGGACGTACCATCTGGTGTGGCACGAGGCTCTTCGACAAGCAGGACAGATGGTCCAGTTGCTCAGGGCCCGCTCCGGTGGCCGCTCCTACCTGGAGGAAGTTCGAGATGATTGTGTCATCTTTGCAATGCACGTCCTGTCTGCCGTCGGGTTCGGGCACCAATATGACTTCGACGCAGGCCATCGACGAGTGCCCTTGGGTCATAAGGTCAGCTTCGCAGATACCATCTGGTACATATTCAGCGATTTCCTCCGGGTGGTCATGTTCCGAAACGCGGTTTCCTGGGTGCCGAAATGGTTGAGGCCCCGGTGGCTGCAGGATATCGAACTTCACCTGAATGAGTTCAGGCAATATAGTCAAGAGGCTATTGATCAGTGGAGAAAAACGGGCTCCGGTACCGGTCCCGCTCCTGCCGCCTCTGGCGCCGACATTATCAACGCCCTCATCCATGCCAACGAGGTCGCAAAGGACGACGATCGGAGCAAGCTTACCCCGGCTGGGAAACGCTCGTTTCTGAGCGACACTGAACTGTACGGAAACATATTTATTCTCAACCTCGCAGGTTTCGAGCCCGTCGCCAACGGGCTCATGCATGTCTTTCCGTTCCTGGCCACCCATGCCCACGTTCAAGAATGGGTGGGTGAAGAAGTCGACGCCGTACTCGACGAAACTGACGTTCTGGAATATGACCGGGTCTTTCCCCGTCTGTTGAGATGTAAAGCTGTCTTGGTCTGTCTTGTCCTTTCCTTATCACATTGATACTACCACTATCGCCATTTCCTGTGAATTTTAAAGGTATCCTCGCTGACATGATTTGTTACCTTTCCAGTATGAAACATTACGCTTCTGGGGTCCTCTCGGAGACACCACGCGGATCTGCCTGAATGAGCCACAGCTTCTCCGGGTAGGGAAACACGAACTCATGATTCCGCCGGGCGTTTATGTCAATTGGGACTTTGCGGGCTCGCAGACGGATCGACGCTGGTGGGGACCGGACTCTCTTGAGTGGCGGCCGCAGAGATGGATCCATGAGGACCCAGAGACAGGTCAGGAAGTCTTCAAGGCTCCCTCTCCTGCCGCCGAAAAGGCGTTTAATGCCTGGTCTGGTGGGCCCAGAGTCTGTGTCGGCGAGAAGTTCAGCCAGGTCGAGATCGTCGCCTTAATCGCCACACTGCTGCGCTCCTGTCGCCTGGGGCCGATGATAGTGCCAGAAAGGGGTATGCAAAATGAAGAAGATGCTCGACGTGAATTGCTAAGTGTGACTAATGATGCCGAGATGCCGCGCAGAGTCAAGAGTGAGCGGCTGAGGGATGTGGGCATCGTGTTTGTTGACCGATGATTGCGGTGCAGACTCAGACTGCCGGAGCTATGAACGGATACGTCTAGTATGATTGGCTCTGTGATGTGGCAGCTACAGTGTTCAACCACTTGTGGTCTGCTGGCAAATGTCCTAGAAAGAGGCCGGACCTGGCACGTCCTGTACCCTGCTTTTTCATACAAGTCCCCAGCTTACATTTAGGCAGTTAAGCACAGTGCGCAGAAGGAAGAGGTCGTCTGGGTAAAAATCAACATAACTGTCTCCTTAGTGGACAAACCCTTCCACTGTCATGCTCAAAATCGTCGCCGTTGAAGCTGCAAGGACGAAGGAGTAGTTGTCTGGCGTAAGGTGCCCCTAGTAGTCCTCAGCCTCGCACGTGACAGGACTGTTGCTTACGTGATGGGCTTATTGCAATTCTTGGCACGTCGCTCTTAGTAATCGCGACCTCGGGCCTTGTATCCTCTATCGCGATGGCGAACCTTCTATATATATATATCGACTGCATCTGTATATTAGATTTCTTTATCTAAACCCTACAATGCTCTAACCCGGTGTTTGCTCAATTTCAATATAAAAATTCAGATATAGGCGATTCGTTTTCCGGCGGTCAGATGTCTTCCATGACGACGCGCATTTGAGCAGGAGGGAGCTGTGGCGTCAATCGGAGGTTGTGCTGTGCTTCCCATACTGTCGCCAGTGTGCACTTCTACTTTGATATCCTGGTTCCCAACTTCAGGGTTGCCTAGTCGCTGAGACAACAAAGGGGGGCTAGGCAATCAGCGAGCACTGGCGCGCCTGCTACAGCTTGCGCACAAAGTAACAATCTCTGCTTCCATTTCCGACCAGTCTTTTCTATGTGGCGACAGCATCCAATCAGGCGTTCTTGTCTTTGTGAGAAGGACTTGTCTTTCTTGTGAACATAGCAAATTGTAGCGCGGCCGCAAAATCCAGTCACTCCGGTTTTGTGATACGAAGAACACAGAGAACACAAACGCGATGCGGGTCCGGATTCGAGGGCCGTCGGGCAAGTCGACAACAGCAACGCTCGACGAGTCGGCGACCGTGGAAACGTTGCGTCAAACCATTGCCGCCGAAACAGGATTGTCCTCGTTCGACGTCAAAGCTGGCTATCCTCCAAAGACGCTGCCGCTCGACCAATATACTGGATCCAAGCTGCTGTCGGAGCTTGACGTCAAATTGAACGGAGAGCAACTGATAGTCAACCCTGCCGAACCATCCGCAGCGCGAAAGGATTCCACCGCCACCACCAAGCAGCCAGCTCAGAGTGCTTCAAGCAATGGTTCGCAGCAAACCCAAGCCAGCCCGGGCTCATCGAACGACCATCACCGCAATGTTGCACAACCACCACCAGCAAACGCAGGTCCTACATTAAACAAATCCACCACGGCAGCCGAACCATTATCCCTCACGCGCAAAGAAAACAAAGAAATGACCACTGACCCACCGGAGATCTTCCTACCAGATCTAGGCGGATCACTCGTCCTCCGCATCATGCCGGACGACAACTCATGCCTATTCCGAGCAGTAGCCAGTGCCGTCTTATCAGACGTGGACGCAGTAACGGAATTGCGATCAATCGTCGCGCAGACCATCCAGGCGAATCCCGAGAAATACACCAAAGCGATCCTGGACAACAAGGAGCCAGACGCTTACTGCCGCTGGATCCAGAGCGAAGATGCCTGGGGCGGCCAGATCGAACTGGACATACTTAGTCGACAATTCGATATTGAGATTTGCAGTCTTGATGTCCAGACGTTACGGGTCGATCGGTACAATGAGGGCGCTGCCCGACGTTGTTTTGTCGTCTACTCGGGCATTCACTACGATACCATCGCCTTGAGTCTGTTTGGCATGTCGCCGGAGAATGATGTCAAGCAGTTCGAGGAACCGCTGTCTACTGAAGTCTTGGCTAGTGCCATTGCGTTATGCCAGAAATTGCAGGACCGGCATTACTATACTGACACGGCGGGGTTCAGGCTCAGGTGTGGTGACTGTGGAGCAGTTTGTGTCGGTGAGGCTGGGGCCACGAGACATGCAAAGGATACGGGCCATTATAATTTTGGGGAGGCCGCCTGATCAGTCTGACTTCTGCTGGAGTGGTTTGTTTTGAAAGAGGTCGCATGGAGCGGTTTGTTGGGAATGGATGATGGTTGTTTTATCGCTGAAGAGAAGAGCATGGCCAGTGCCGCTTTGAGAGAATCAATATTGATGGTACGATTCTTGCACAGGATCTTCTAGAGGACACCTAGTAGTAGAGTCTGATAAACAGAGAGACAGGGCTTAATTGGTCTTTTTGTCTTTATACCCAACTAGAGCGCTGTATGTATGTTTGAATTCAAGCAACAAGCCAGACAGTAACGGCATCCAAGCAATATGCCGAGAGAGAAGGACCTTCCTTGCATGGACTCTCATCCCTCGGCTTGGCATTATCGGGATTACGAGACTGCGGTACCAAACCAGAAAGATAGTCTAGGACCCAGACTCGCAGTAACCATTGCAGCCGCCGTAACCAGACTAAATTGATCCCAAATACACAAAACCCCTCCAGGAGATGCTATGCTTCGACTTCAGCTCCTTGCACGCTGAGGTGCCGCACTGACGCTGCAAGAGCGTTGAGCATTCTGACTCGTGAGAGCCGAATCGGGGTGTTTCTGTTTTGCGGGGACCCGAAACGGCGGAGCGGGCGGTTCTCCAGCCTGGGGGGTTCGACGAACTGAACTCGAATCCATCTCGCTTAATCCCGTATTATTCGACCCGATTCACGTTCAGCTGGCCCAACCTGGGGTTTGCGTTGGGGTGCAGTGCCAGTGCCAGTGCCCAGGACCGCCGTGCCGCAGCTTCATGGCACCACGTCCCGCTCAGCTGTATCCCACCCGCCAGGAGGTATAGCCGAGGTTGCTCGTATTGGGAAGCAATGCATTCCGTTGTCCTACCCCAGTAATTAGTATATAGGTTCACAAGACAGTGCAAAGGAGACGTCGTCCTTTCTACGGTGTTTCGGACTGTTTCCACACCAGCAGACGTTCCTCAAATCCTCGTTTGTTTTCAATATTCTACTCTGAATCCAGCCAGCCAGATATTCCTGCTTTACTGACACACTTCAGCCGAATCAAGATGAGTTATACAGAGTCATGGATTGAGGTACGTCTTATTCCCATACGTAGCTCTCCCTTCCCCCCACCACCCCAACCCCCCGGGCCGCCGCCCAGCCTGAGGCAATAACAAACAAAGAAGAACATATTCACATTTTTGTTGTTTGTATATATAGTTGGAGAAGAACCTCGGTGGTCGCATGGTGTTGCACGGAACCCCCGAGGAAATCAGAGGACAATATGAGCAACTAGTACAGCTACTGCTGCCTCAACTGCCGCAGCCGTCGGACGCGGTGGAAAGCAAGGACGGCGAGGTCGACGGCATCAAGTACCGACTGTACACGCCCAAGGAAGCCTCGAAGCAAGGACCCTTGCCCGTGGGAATCTGGACGCACGGCGGCGGCTGGATGACTGGCGACCTCAACTCGGACGACCTTCTGTGCCGAGTTGTGGCTGAACACGTCCCTTCCATCATTGTCAGTGTGGACTACCGCCTTGCGCCGGAACATAAAGTCCCCACGCAACTTCAGGACACACTGAAGGTGTATAGATGGGTAAGTTAGACTCTAGTACTCTCCCTTTGTCAACAAAACCCTGGTTTTGTTGTCTGTCAATGCCAGACTTTTGTCCTGTTCTGACTTGTGTTCTGCAGGCCCATCAAAACGCAGCTTCTATCGGTGGAGATCCCAACAAATTCTACACCATCGGCGGCTCGGCCGGCGGTGCACTCGCATTGCAGGTAGCCAACGCTCTTGTCAAAGACCCCTCGAAGCGCAATAACATCAAGGGTGTTGCCGCCGTGGTCCCCTGCACGCTTCACTGGGACAATGTGCCCGAGGAGTACCGGTCCATTTACAAGGCGTATGAGGAGAACAAGGAGAACGTACCGATCATCGACAAGGGGTCTATGGAGGCTTTTTATCACCATGCCGGCGTGGATCCCAAGGACAGCAATATCTTTACCGCCCTGGCTACCGACAACCACAAGAACTTCCCGCCTACTTACTTTGTGAGCTGTGAGAAGGACCCGCTGCGAGATGATGCCTATGTCATGGAGGCCGCGCTCAAGAAGGCTGGTGTGCCAACCAAGCATGACCATTATAAGGGTTTGCCGCATTATTTCTGGATTTTCCCATCTGTGCCAGAAAGCCAGGAGTATATTCAGAACCTGATCGGGGGTGTCAAATGGTTGGTCTCGCAGATGTGAGATGATTGCTTGCTTCACGTTGCAAGGACCAGGTTTGCTCAAGTGGTCGTGTTAGTAGCGTTAGTGTGCAATCCGAGGATCACAATACATTCGACGGTCTTACAGTACCTTACCAACTACCTTGTGATGTGCATCTGTTTTCCGACTCGTAGGTCGCTCCGCGATCTGGTACAGATTAAGGGAAAGGTTAAGGGAAAGGTGTCTGGTGTAAGGGAGTGTCACCGTGGCCCAGGTGTGTTCTTGCGCGTGAACCAGTGTCATAGCCCATGTTTTGTGCATGCCTCTACTCCAGGAAGACGAGCAGATGATTCAGTAAAGTATTATACAAGGCAGCTCCAGTCTTAACTGCTGTGATAAGAAAGTTTGTCCATGAAAGGTACAATGTAAGGTACCTCGACAGGTACAGCGACCGAACTGACTGATGAACCTAAAGATGATGCAACCGCCATGACTCGACGCTCCAGATTGATCTGTCCACAACTGACTCGACGTGCACATGCATTGGACTTTGACTCCAACTCCAAACCTACAACTTCAAGTTCCCCCGAATCCAAAAGACCAGGTACGGCAGTTTAACATACCTGGCACCATCCCAGCAGTGTCTTCTACTGCCTGTACAGACCAGCAGTGTACATGGCCAGCCACTACTTCGCCGGCCTCGATGGGCCACTGTCCACCGGTCCAGATGTGCCCACGACACCAGGATCGGAGGGGTCAGGGTCAGGGCCAGGGCCAGGGCCATTATCGGCTTCGCGACGAAGTAATGCCCTGACGACGAAACTCGCGGGTGTTCTATCCTCATCGTTTGCCGACCACGAAACCCGCGATGCGCTCCGCGTGCTCGACGGGCGCGGGATACAAAGTGACGAAGAGACCAGAAGAAATCTAAAGGCCGCGGCGCAGAAAGAGGTGATATCCTGCAATGCAAAGATTGTGGACGATTTTGGACAGGTTGCGGAGGTATGTATTGCCCAGACCCATATGCCCAGGGGCTACTGAACCTCTACAATCTGCCACGTTGGCACATGCTCGGCTTGGGAAGTGTCTTGTTACAGTACGCAGTTGAATTGCAAAGACAAGAAGCAACCCCGAGAAAGACAGATCTCCAGGCTAACACCTTCTCCCTATTCCAGCAACTCAAACGCGTGGGCGCCATGATCGCAACCCTCAACCAGACATGTGCCTCAATGCGGCACCACATCGTGGCCGCCAAGCAAGAAACCGGCCCAATGCTCGAAGAAGCCAGCACACTGCTAACACGCAAACAAGAGACCGAAACGAAACAACAGCTCCTAAACGCCTTCAACGCACACTTTCTAGTATCCCCCTCCGACCTCGACATCCTAACCAGCTCCGCGGAACCAGTTGACGAACGATTCTTTGCCGTTCTAGACCGAGTGAAACAGATTCACCGAGACTGCGAAGTTCTATTAGGTTACGACACCGAGAACCAGCGCCTTGGATTAGACCTCATGGAACAGACGGCACGACATTTGGACGCGGGCTTCAAGAAACTATATACTTGGATCCAGCGCGAGTTTCGGGCATTGGATCTTGAAGACCCGCATATTTCGGCCTCGATCCGTCGCGCCCTGAGGGTTCTGAGTGAACGGCCTACATTGTTTCAAAATTGTTTGGACTTTTTCGCAGAGGCCAGACAGTCGACTTTGGCCGAGTCGTTCCATACTGCTCTGACCGGCGGAGCCGTACCCGGATCAGGTAAAGCCATTGAATTTTCAACCCATGAACCATTACGATATATAGGCGACATGCTAGCCTGGGTCCACTCGGCGGCCGTGTCGGAAAAAGAAGCCCTCGAAGGTCTCTTTGTATCGGATGCAGACGAGATCGCAAAGGGTCTCTCCTCGGCCGCCCAGGCCAGCGAGCCATGGGCACGTATCCCAGGCCGTCGAGTTTCATCATCAACCTCAATATCTTCATCCTCCTCTTCCCCCACCTCTACCGAAGAGCAAAATCAAAACCAAAAAGACCAAAAAGAACCAGTCTTCGACGGCCGCAAGGCTCTATCCGAACTCATCTCGCGCAACCTCGCCTCCGTCTGCGAAACGCTCCAGTCGCGCATCGACATCGCCGTGCGAACAAACACCGACCCTGTTCTAGCCTTTAAAATCTTCAACTTGTTAGACTTCTACCGCGACATGTTCGGCAAACTGGTTGGCAGCGACTCGTCACTAACCAAAACAATGCAATCCCTACAAACCTCGACACTCGCCCACTTCGAGGCCATGATGGAGGAAGAAACCGCCGCCGCAACCGCCACAGCGGCAGAGGATAGCTCAGCATCCACAGATCTCAGTCCACCCGCTTTCCTGACCACGGCTTTGTCCCAGTTTTCAGAAGTCGTCACGGCCAGAGGACCCCAGATGACGGAGCGGGAATTGGAACGTCTGTTCGCCGCCATGCTCGGCGGGATCCTCAATGTCTGTGCAGAGGCCGCCGTCCAGATCCCCGATGTCCGGCGCAGCACCATTTACAAGATCAATTATATGGGTCTCGTGCGCTCTACCCTGGCTTCTCTCTCCGGTCAGGCCCCCGTGGTGCAAATTCCCCTGGAGAAAAGCGTGGCCGAGATACACTCCCTGCGCGATCAGCTGGTGGAGTATTTGGCCACTACATTCCTTGAGGATTCGGGCGTCAGGGACTTGATGCAACAACTCGATACGCGCCGAGGCACCAGTCCCGAAAGTGCGAGATCCTGGCTCGTGGAGAATCTGGACGAGGCCGCCCAGCGCCTGGACGAGTTCTTGTCTTCAGCCTTCATGGACGCCCAAGATTCTTTGAAAAGTGTCGTCGATCGAACCATCGCCAAAGACGTCATTGCCGAGGCAGTGGAGCGATTCTGCGCGGATTTCGACGAATTGGAAGGTCTATTGGGAGTTATAAGTGCAGAGAACATACGACCGGAGGGCGATGAAGCAAGCCAGAACGACCAAATAGAAGAACAAGCACCATCAATCAGAGGGCTTTATCCTCGTACCGGCGCAGAAGTTAGGGCTCTACTGAGCTGATGCAGATAAGAAGGTTACGAACTTCACACTTGAAAGCAACTGAAGAAGACAATCACGAGATAGGAATACTCGACCGGTAACTGAATATTGATTGACTTGCGGTGGTGTAGGAAGGCCCCTAAAAGGAAAAAAGGAGAACACTTCGATAGAGATGATTGATTCAATCCAGGCCGGTGTGGGTTTATAGTGACGCTCGCACTTCCTGCACCCAAGCAATCACATCACAGCTGTGCCTTTGGAATGGCGGACCTGGCACACTGTCACTTTCTTTTCACCCTGAACCCGTATCTGGCAGAGGCTTACAGCACTTTGTCGGCGGCAGACACTGTTTTGGAATTAGAAAAAGAACAAAGTAAATACAAATCCAGGATAAAATGCTCACCTGTGACACCGGTGTTGTCAGGCTCTACGGCAACCTTGACGGCCTTTCCATCTTCGGTGACAACGGCGTAACGCTTGCTTCGCTTGTTGCCCAGCAGTTTTGAAGCATCAAACTCGACATCCCAAGCTCGGGTAAACTCGCCTGCGGGGTCGGCGAGGAACCGAATGCCGCTCTTCTTTGACTCGTCGAGGCTCTTGGCCCATGCTTTCATGCTATACCAACAAATGTCAGATTGGCTGTGTGCAACAACAGGGTGCGGTCGTCTAGTGTCTGTCTTACACAAAAGGGTCGTTCACCGAGACCACAAACACTTTGCCAGCGCTCTTGAGCTTATCACTTGCAACGTAGCCGGGAATATGGGTGTCGGAGCATGATGGAGAGAAGGCAGCGGGAACGCCGATGATGACGCCTTTGCCGGAACTGAGCTCTTTGGACAGGTTGACCTTGTTTCCGGGCGAATCCTCGAACAGGTCGACGTCGGGAATGGGGTCGCCTACTTTAACCTATACAAAGCGTGAAACAGTCAGCACAGGACCCTAGACCCGCGGAGGTGGGCAGAGTAAGGTAGGGACGTAATGCAAAGTAGGTGCAGTACCATGATTGCTGGTGTCGATGAGAATGATCTGATGAATGAAGCTGATGATGCTGGACGAAAAGAGTGTGAAGTAGTAGTCCGCAAGATGGATCGAGCCAACATTGCACGGAGGAACCTCTGGCTTTATGTTCGCACTACAAGTCTAGTATTTGGAATAGTAGCAGAAGCGGCAGTCTGCAGTCTGCAGTTCAAGGTGCAGGCGCAGGTCAAGTGTGATCTGACGCGGGTCAAGTTGCCGTTGGGGTGTTATCTCTTGTTAATCAGTGGACTGGAGTGGCAGAGCAGTGGGATAGTACAGTAGCAGTAGCTGTAGGAATAAATTGAGAACCTTAACGCATGAACAGCGCAGCCTGAGGCACACTGCAGTGGTAGTTGCCAGTGTCGTCAGTGGCCGTCTGAAGCTGTGGATTGCGCAATTGGCAGCTGCCCAGGCACAATATGGGTGCTTCTAGCAAATGCTGGGGCCGCAAATGCAGATATCCGGCTTAGTAATCGCGGGGGAGGGGGAGCTTCGAACAGCTTTCAAGTTCCCCAACCCGCTTTACCGAGTTCAAGAGGTTGTCCAGTTGCCAGCCCTGGAGTGCAGTGGAACTGGAAGCGCGGAACAGGGTCAGGCACTAAACTTAACGTACCTAGGTACACGTTCAACTTTCAGCCAACAATTTGAAATAGCGTACAAAAGATTGTACAGTATTTTGGATTCTTATTCTAATGCTCATAAACGCTTCTAAACTCCCCAAACACCCCCGCGCGAACATTCAGGAGCAGGGGCAAGCTTTGAATACATCATGATGTTTACCATAAAAGGGGAGCGAACAATATATAGAGGGCCAACCTCTGATCACGTTGCCGCACATTCCTAGCGGCCTACAGTACATACAAGATTTGGAATTGACGTGCCTCCAGCCCACTTTGCTTCAGTGCACTGCGTTCACACAAGCGGCTTAGGACAAGGCAGCAATGTGTTGGCAATTCAGCTTGCACCATGATGGCGAAATTGGTCAAATTATTCTTTGTTTACAGCAGAGTTGTGGAGGGTACAAACCGGCCTTGACGCGACTGATCGCGAAGTATTGAGCAGAACTCAGTCCTCCCAGCCCTCTCGATAGGTACTCACTGTTTGCTTGCAGTTTTATGGGCCACTTTCCGGTTGGAGCCGTGCCCGTATCCTAATTCAGACCATAGCTTCATGCATTTCCCAAAGGAGACCTGTCTCCGATGAACGTCGCTGTCTTCATAACAACACTACTGGTACTGGCGTGACTTACAGAATGGTCAGGCTCTTTATTTTTGGCCTATTTGAGTCTCGAACCCTTCTCATTTCATATCGGGATACCTTGACGGGACCCTCCTGGCCCGGGCCAATAGGTTGGTGCATCATTTAAACGTGTTTGACGTGAACCGGTCGCTAAGGAGAGAGGTTGGCTACCGATGTGCTATAAGCGACCCATGTTTTGCATGCACAGGGCATCTTTAACCGCATAGTCACGATAATAGTAGAAGCGGACGAACTGCTCAGACGAAAGAAGGGATAACACGCCACTTTGGCAGTCGACAGTTTTAAAGTGTGGCTTGGGCGTCCGAGTTTCAACGGCCAAGTATGTTTTTGACTGCTGTACCACGGATGTCGTGGGAGAGGCCCCGATCTTCAGGCTTGATTGCACGCCATTCCAGATTGCTGAGGGATGTAACGATCGATGCATTGACCAGAATAAAGAAAGGGAGCGACTATGAGTGCCTCGCGTAGTCCTCGCCTCGCGGCCTCAGCAATCACAGCGACGGACATGTTCGCCTTCCTATCCCTGGTATGAGGTGGAGTACACGTCTCAATCAAGGTGTCAGCACACGCATACCAAAACAACTGCGATCAAGCAGGAATTATGTGTGGCAACCACATCAGAATACCACCGAGACTGGAGTCATGGTGTTTCGACAGAGGCGGTCCTTGGGGTTGAGCCTGTATGTGACGGATTATATTCAAGGGCGGAGAAGGAAGCCCATTGACATCGACCTTCACGATGAGAGCAAAGGCAGGCTTCAGGTCTCTCAGCGATCCTCTAGTACTCCAGCGCGAGCGGCAGCGGCGCTCTATTTTCGGAGGATAGAGCCCAGCATCAAAGAATGGCGGACTGGCAACTGTGTCGAAGCCTGCAACTATTGTTTGCTTCGCCAACAGTCCTAACCTGAAGGCCTGAATAGAGCCTTCCATGGTGGAAGCGATGGTTTTTCTCAATCGGATGAGATGTGTTTAACGCCGGAACTGCGCACGAATCAGTTTCAGTGCTCGAGGCGATGCCTGTCAAGCCAAAGACTACTGAGCCAGGGCCTCTCTCCAACGGCGGCCCTGATCAGCTTGACGCACAAACCACTGTCACCGACCTTCATCACGCCCCCAAGCCGCAACGGGCAAGGATGTCCTCCAATTAAGGCCTGCTTGTAGAACCCCCGCCATCAGGGCAACTAACGCATCCACATTTGGAGGCCAGTGCAGGGATGGTATGTTGTGCTAGGACATAACAGTTTAGCCACATCCGCCGTGTGGACGGTTCACGGCTACGAACAGCGGCAGACTGGTTTGTCGGCCATATTTCATTGGGTCGGTACCAGACTGTGGTCCCTGCAGGCCTCGGCCAACTGAAAAAGATGAGAACTGAACAGAGAACGAGCAAAACTGGAGCTGCCACCCCGAAGTTACAGATGCCAAATCCGAGAAATCCGCTGCGCATTGGCAACTGCGTGCACCTCTTGCAACTGCCGGCGTAGAGGAAGTATCACGACTGTTCGCAAGCACGGGCGTGGCAGGCTGGTCAGGCCATCAATTGTAGAGGTACTATCACCAGGGTAAACGGAGCCCCTTCGCCGACGACTCGCTAACGACTACAATGTATATGATAGAGCAATAATGAATAAAAGGCGAGGGCCCTGCATAGGATGGCGTAACACCCTCAGGGTTGTGGTCAGTCGGGACAATCGATCGTTGGAACCTAGTAAGGTACGACAGGCAGCTATACCACACTGTAGGCCAGCAGGAGTACGCGGTTTTATTAAGGGCGGTGATCAGAGCCTGGGGGTCTGTCTTCCGCCTAGGGAGCCTCCCAACCCCGGCCTCCTAGGGCCAGTGTCCAGCATTGCGGTAGCAGTATGAGGTAGTGATCGCTCTCCCACCGGCGCCTCCCTCCGACGCTCGAAGCTGGGCGCAATTGAACTGCTTCAAATCACAATCCACCCACATCCACTACCTACGAGGTAGGTACTGCCACTGCCAGTGTCTCCCTATCCCATCGCAACCTCAAGCTTTAAGCAGCCGTCTTCAAGTTATCCACCTCGCCTCCAACTGACCGATGGCCGTGCGCCCGTCCGGTGTTCGCAAGTTCGTTGCTTGCTCCATCCACTCAAAACACACTTCGCTACTACTGCTTGTACAGCTGCTCCGGCTCTGCCAGTAATTAGTAGTGTCAGTCAAGTTGAGGCTGACCACCGCCGCTCGCCGAAGTCGAAGGCACCAAACACACACTGGCAACCCACATCTTCCCTGCCGCCATTCCTTGCTACCCGTCTAGCGCGGCGCTTGGTGCCCTCGGAGATCTCTCTCACAATTCCCGCCCCGACCAAGATTCTTCGAATCCTGGCCAAACAGGGACGAGCTACTCCTGCGAGGTTGCGTACCCTCCAACCTGAAGTCCTTCTCCTCCTCGTCCTGCTGAGTTGCCCACACTGGAATTCCACTGCACTTTGGCACACCGACCGCTGGTCTGAACTGCCCGTACCTCATACCTCAGCCTACGACCACAACCTCCTACTGTAACTACACCACTACAACCGACCGTCGCCGGCGTCCACCCATCGCCCTCGCGCATTCTGTGCTTCTCGCGAATTCGAACCGCATTCAACATTCCATCACATCACATCGACAATAACCATCCGCACCCAGCAAATCTGATCGAAATTTTATCTCACGCCAGCTCACTCTCGCCCGCGATTTCTGCGTACCCTTATTTTTAGGCGATGTGTTCCTGATCCGGCTGCGTGCAGTCGATTGCATCACCGCTCACCACCACCACCCCTCGACGATATCAACCCTCGAAACCTCGACGGAAAAGAACACCCAATCGCCTCCTTACAATTGACATTGTCCTTCTTGACGCATTTGTCTGGCCTCTCATAACTACGCGACATGGAGGGTCAGAGCGGCGGCGCTGCGGCGAGCAATAACTCGAGCGACTTTGTGCGCAAGTTGTATAAGTGCGTCTGCCTTATCGTTGATCATCTCGCAAACCGCAGAAAACTAATCAATGACATGTAGGATGCTCGAAGACCCCTCGTATTCCTCGGTAGTTCGTTGGAGCGACGATGGCGACAGTTTTGTTGTGCTCGAAAATGAAAAGTTTACCAAGTCCATTCTACCCAAACATTTTAAACATTCCAATTTCGCCAGCTTTGTCCGCCAATTGAACAAGTACGACTTCCACAAGGTGCGACAGAACAATGAGGACGGTGGAACGTCAATATACGGCGCAAATGCCTGGGAGTTCCGCCATCCTGAGTTTAAAGCGAACAGCAAAGACACCCTGGACAACATCAGACGCAAGGCTCCTGCGCCCCGCAAGACATCCAACCTTAGCGAGGATCAGATCTCGATTCAGCAGATTGACCTAATGAACCAACAGATTGTAGCACAAGCCCAACAGATCGAGTCTTTGGTGCAGACGACTACCCAGCTTCAGATGAATCACCAAATGGTGGTCCAAGAACTCCTGCGCCTACAGAAAACCGTGGTCAACCATGACCGAGTCATGCAGGATGTCATGAGCTATTTGCATTCGGTGGACGCGAAGCAGCGAAGGGACAGCAAAGGCCTGTTTGCTCCTCAAGCGGACCAGGCGCAGACGGGGACCACTTTGACACCCACCAGCCAAAACATGCCTCCGCAAGAAGATGACATTCCAGCCTCTCCGTTGCAGCATGCCTCGAAGCTTCTCAACGAGGTCAAACCTGACGGTCAGTTTAACACGGCTGGCTTGGAGCAGTTGAACACCAACATGGCGACTCCGCCCAATCCACAGGATCCTCGCAGTGCTCAGCTCCGAGGGAACAACTCGGCCACGTCCAGCGGTAGCATGGGATATGTAAAGATGAATCCGAATGATATGGATGCCATCGTTTACCCCATGGGTTCCAACAACGGCATTGATCCCATGTACAGCGAGCACATCAACAACATCCCCTATCCCATGCCCTCGAGAGAAACACAAGATCCGCGGGCCCAGTTTGCCGACACCCGCAAGAAGAGTGGTCTGGTTGACCCCGGTTGGAGTCGGCCGCCTAGGATCCTGTTGGTCGAGGATGACCCGACTTGTCGACAGATCGGAGGCAAATTCCTGTATTCATTTTCCTGCGTGGTCGATTGTGCCTTGGACGGTCTGGAGGCGGTCAGCAAGATGCAAGAAGGCATCAAGTACGACATGATCCTCATGGATATCATCATGCCGAACCTGGATGGCGTCTCGGCGTGTCATATCATCCGGCAATTTGATCGCACCCCGATTGTGGCCATGACGTCTAACATCCGATCGGACGATATTCAAATGTATTTCCACCACGGCATGGATGACGTCTTACCTAAACCTTTTACTCGCAAGTCCCTCCTGGATATGTTGGAGAAACATCTCATGCATTTGAAAAAGCTTCCGCAGGGAAGAGACGTACAACAGCAATCCGCCTCAACAGCCATGGGTCAGTCCGGCGGACCGTCCTCTTCAGGGCAGTCGGTACGCGATGACATGTCCGCTGGGACGTCTCCGGCCGGATCGAGTGGAGCGTGGAACTCTCCAAGCCAGTATTCGGGGTTGTCGCCTGCGAATGCCAACATGACTTTCACGGGACTACCTCAGCAACAACAACAATTCATGGACATGAATGGGAATACATATTCGACAGGGCCCCAGACGCCCATGGGGATGCGACAAGGAGTAATGCAACAACAAATGCAGAGGAGGGGTCAAGCCGAGATGAGTGGAGGTGGTGAGATGGGAAATGCGAATAAACGCCAACGGATATACGCCCCACAGCAGTCTATGGCGGCGCCTATGCGACAATAATTGGAAGATTTCTGTTCCGAGAAGAGCTTAATGATTAGCGCTAGCAAACAGTCATTGTCGAACCAGTCGGCCCAGAACGGTGACGACACCGGTGTATAAAAGTTCTCGTCACCTTCGAGTACAAAGAGTCGTACTGCCATGATTGGTTGATGAGGTGACACGAGGACTAATTGCACCCGGGTGTCATCAAACCCGCTCACGTTGGTCACCTCGGGAAGATACCAGAAATCGTCCGTATACAAGGATGGCCTGTTGGGTGTATACAACCTGTCAGCAGACGCCGGGACCGATCGAAATGCTATGGACATAATGTGTTCTATATGAAAGAGGGGCACGTGAAGCTGCCCTCAGAAGATACCTTAGGTACCTGGCTACCATGTTTACGAATTGACGAAAACATTGCGACGGCCAATCAACCGAGTCGAACACAACCGAAATAGGGCCGGGGAGACATTTTCTATGATGACGATAACGATGATTCCTCAATAAGGAATCCGGGAACAGTCTTGTTTGGAGAGTTGTGTGTAATGGGCGCAGCACGACTATTGATTGAAGGGTTTTGCTTTCTCTGTCCCTGTCCGGCGCAGGGCTCCACGAGTTACAGTGGCGGCTGCATGACAGCATCAGCATCAGTTCTGGTTGGAGAATCGTGGCTGGAGTCGAGGCAGGGAGACATCCCCCACCAGGTTGTGCAAGCAGCAAAGGAAGGCCCTTTATGAAAGGGAGGTGGAATTTGGAAAGATGCAGTTCATGTACGCTATGCACGCACTCGTGCATGAAATGGATGACATGTCGAGGGACCGGAGTTGGGTTTTATTTCCAAGATAGTACTACTTGGCTACCTCTTATATACCTGCCTAGGTAGGGGCTCTCTTGGTGTTTCGAGGGATGTACTGTTCCAGATATCGTGGGATGGGACTGGTCAAGTCAGGACGGAGACAGTTGCAGATGCCACAAGTCGCAAGTTACTACTGGATTATAGGCGTGACTGGTATAGGTGTGTGTAATAAGTACGACCTCTTCAAAAGGAAATAAAAGACCACTTTGTTAATATCTTGGTCAACGATTTGATTGCGTCTCGTTGAGATTGTCTTCGTATTAATAATAGCTATCTAGGTACCTGTAGATATCTTGATTATACCATGTTCGTCAAAAAGGTACCCATTCAAATACATTTGTAAGTACGTAGGCAGGTAGGCAGGTAGACATAACGCATGAGCCTAGTACTAGCATTGTAGCCATGGAACAGACATCCATACATGACAGACACCACTGCCGTGATTGCCGTGATTGCCAATGCCAGTAAGTACTGTAGCACAAGGTAAGGCAGGTGTCGACACGAGTCAAAATGAAAACGAGCCGCTCGCTCGCTCGCTCGTTCCTCGGCTGGCTTGCGGGCTCATTCTTTTTTTTTACATTTTTTGGAGGTCCGCTATGACAAATCCATCTTATCCTTCTCCTTCTCCCACTGCTCCGGCGTCAAACATTTCGGCGTCCAGGCATGAATCGCCGCAATCTCCTGTTTCAGGGCGTTATTGACAAGTCGATGGCGCGCCAACAGATTCTTGCCCTCGAACGCCGGACACACAATGATCGCATTGAACGCCTGTCCGCAGCCGCCTGACATGTCTTCGATCTGCACGTGGGTCGCGCCCAGAGTGTCGCGAAGCTTTTGGGCCAGTGTGTCGGGCGTGATTCCCGAGGAGGCCGCGGCGATGGCGGCGGATGTGTCTGTCTGAGCGGCCATTGGTGAGGATGATTGCCGGGAAGGATGGGAGGAGAAGAAACGTGGTGCGATGGAAGGATTTGGTGAGGTGATGGAAGAGGAGGGAGTGATTAATTTTGGTCGTGGTCGGGAGATTGTTCTGCGAATCGCTACTGTACGCAACGACGAGGGCGACAGTGATGAGAAGAATGGAGCGCGGACCGGCATCAAGGCCAGGTAGGTACTTCTGTACTGTACCTGCGTGGACGGTGGCTGGATAGATAAGGGATGGCTTGGATCGTGTTTTATCTAGGGTTGCTGTTGCGTTTCTTTCGGAATGAAACAGAAGGTCCGTCCAGGTGGCCGAGGTGGAGGTTGGGTGTCGGTTGGCCGATGGAGATACAGTTAATCAACGGTAGCTCAAGTGCTGTACTGTAGCTACTGGTTGAGGCTGTTGTTGCTTGGAGGCCTCGTGGAGTTTGTCTGCGGTGGTACGGTAGAATGGATGCAGTGCTTGGAAATCAAATAATGATGAACATTCAAGTTGAAGTTGACGTCCGCTTTTCGGGGTTGAAGTTCAAGTTGGAGCTGCTCGCAACGAATCATTTGTTTTATTGCGTCAGCAACCAAACTCCAACTTGAACCCTGAACAACAAAAAAAGTGCCAATGCTTCTCCATGCATTTCAGGTGCCTACCACGACCACTACGACTGAAGTACCTTTTGCGACAACAAACATGCTGCCCAACCTCGCTTACGAAAATGCGCCTTTTGGGCTCCTCACTTTCAGTCCCTGATCCTGATCATGCGGCCATTGATTTCTAGAACAGTTTCTGCACTCCATCGTTCACCCGTTCGCACCAGCCTGATTACATACAGAGACCATCTCAGAATACAACCCAAACCCATATCCATATCCACACGCAACATGAGCAGCTCTCCGACCGTCTCACCCTTTACCACGGCGGTGGTGTCGTCCATGCGTCGATTGTACCCCGAAGCCCTAGCCGACAAATCCTTCGACAACACGGGACTCCTCGTCGAAGCGCCATTGATCCCGTCGCGACCACGAAACCGCAACTCGGTACTATTGACGGTCGATTTGACCCGTGCAGTCGCCGACGAGGCCATTGAGAACAACCACTCCGTCGTGGTAGCATACCATCCCATCATTTTTCGAGGACTGAAGTCCATCACGACAAATGACATGCAGCAGCTGTCCATGACTTTGCTTCTTGCGCACGGGATCAGCGTCTACTGTCCCCACACGGCGGTCGACACTGTCCCCGACGGCATGGCGGACTGGCTATGTGACATTGTCACGGGGAAGCTTGACGAGCCAGAACCAGAAACATATACCATGCACACAGCACAACCAGACCAAGATCTATCTTCGGCGTCAGAGACTGAAGTGACTACCTCTGAGGAGAGTGGTGTCGACGATGGTGATGACAACCACACAGACTCGGCGAGTGGTTCAACGAAGCCCACATCACCATCTGCTGCGGAGCAAGATCAAGACCAAGACTCCCTTTCCGACCCCTTCGTATCCCCAACTACGCCCAAACCGAAACTCCGGCGTCCTACACATACGCATCGAACCTACTCAAAACCCACATACCCTCGACCAACAACAAACTTCCATCCAGGGGTAATTGCCCATTCTCGAAGCGTCATTACTCCTTCGCCGAGCGCGTCTCTGGACGCCGCCAACCAGTTCGTCGCGTCGGATTCTTCTTCATACACGGCGTCCAACACGGGTGCCGGCCGCCTGATTGAATTCCAAGAACCGCAACCGCTCACACTACTCATCACCCGCATCGCCCATGCCATTGGTCTTCCCAAGGGGTTTGCCGTGGCCATCCCGCAGGGGCGCCGGATCGAAGACATGCAGATCACTACAGTCGCCACATGTCCCGGAAGCGGAGGCGGCGTTGTGCGAGGCTGTATTGCCGATTTGGTTTTTACCGGCGAACTGAGCCACCACGAGGCTTTGGGTGTGACTGAACGAGGGGGCAGTGTCATTACTCTGTTTCACTCAAATTCCGAGCGAGGATATCTGTGGAGCGTGATGCGGGATAAGCTTGAGGCAGAACTCACCAAAGAGTGGGAGCGGGTCAGGAGCGAGGCGGGATCAATGGCTCGGTCCCCACAGCAGCTCAGGGACATGTTTGAGGATGATTCGGTCGAAGTCGTCGTGAGCCAGAGAGATCGTGATCCTTATGGCATTGTCGTGCTCGAAGAGACTGCTGTCGAAGGTGTGAGGTTGGGAAGCAGCTGATTTGGTTTGATTTGATTCGTCCTGTCTGAATAGGCAGAGACTGATATCACTATTGGGGGTTGTTAAATTATGAAACTGAGCCACCACGACGGCCGCTTCCTTGACCGCTGGATGTATTCCCCGACTATGAAACCGGAATCACTCCACGTGGTCAAGCGAGAAGGATGATGGTGGTGATGGATGGAAAGATTGCAAGTCTTGACACTGAAATCCGGACGTGAATGAGCAGAACGGACTGTAGGCGGAGTGGCATCTTACCACTTTTGGGTTCTTCGGCAGCGAAAGACCCGAACTGAAAGCAATACAACAATCCCGAACGAACAAACTGATGTTGGCAGGCACTGGTCCACCACCATCTTCATCACGCGCTCGTGGTTCGCAAAAGAAGCATCAACTATAGGATCAACACAACACGCGGAGGGGGTGATAAGGCAATCAGTGCCTTTGCCACCGCAGCACTCCCAGAGCCGCATACACCAAGACAAACCCGGTCCGGAATCCTACCGCGGACCTGGACTTGGAACGTCAACCTCGATTCTGGGAACTCGGATCTGCAAATGAACAAGATCTCCGAGAACCACGCAGCAGAACTGCCCTGCCTGCTATCCATGACCGAAGATACAATGCAGTCTCGGTCTCCCCTACCCTCTCCTGTCAGTCAGTGGTGGTGAACTCATTGCAAGTGTACGTCCGCCTGCTATCCAATGTCGGGGACTGCCTTCATTCGCCTTGGAGCCCTCCTGGGTACTGCGAGAGGGGGATACGCGGCCACCACCAGCTGCCGCAACAAAGGACCTTTTTAATATTTCGAGTATACGGTTGTCTCCTAAGTACCTTCGCAAGGGGGCCATAGAACTAGAGGTGCAGTCTCGGTCTTCCCCCGTCCTCTTCTCGGAGTTAGTAGTGGTAGTAGTAGTCGCGGCGGCGGTAATAAAGTTATTATAAATATACCTACGCCTACTATCTAAATATTAGAAACTATATCTAATAGTCTTAAGACCCTCCTAAATATCTTAAAGAGAGATATAAGACTATTACTAGCTATCGGAATAAAGGACCTTTTTATTATTTCGAGTATACGGCGGCCTCCCATAAGGTATCGCTTTCTCACTTATCGGAACCCTCTTCCGTAATAAGCTTAACTTCACTACCTTTGACTATAGCGGCCTCCTGGGTACTTCTAAATGGGGCTACGGGGCCACCATCAGCTGCCGCAACAAAAGACCTTTTTATTCTTTCGAGTATATGGCGGTCTCCTGCGTGCTATAGAAGGGGGCTACGGGGGGGCCACCAGCCGCCGAAACAAAAGGCCTTCGAGTATGTGGTGATCTCCTGTTCCCTGTTCCTGTCCGTGTCCGTATCCACGTCCATGTCCATGTCCACGTCACCGGATTGAAATCATCCGGTCGACCTGCTCGAAGCTTGAGTACCAAAAAGTGCGGCCTGGGCCTTGAAATACACTATAACCAACGACGAAGAAGGAAAATCATAATACGAGACAAGAGTCAAACAATTAATTTGGATTGTACACTCGTAGAATCATTTCATTCTGCAGCGAAAGCATTCCAAGGATCAAGGATCAAGTATCAATGTTGAACATTCAAGATGTACTGAAGTTGCAAGTTCAGACAAGTACACCCTCTCTCATGGCCTCGAGGGTCTTCTTGCCAATCCCGCGCAACCGAGTCAAATCGTCCCAATTTCTCAACATCACACCTTCAGTAGCCACATCCACATTTTCGTGGTCCCCACCCTCGACGTCGGCCTGTGTCTGTGCCATCGCAGTATTCAAATACTCGACGATTCCTTCTGCCCGTTTAGCACCGAGGCCGCTCAAGGTCTTGATTCGGGCAATATCTCTCGAATTGATGATGTCGAGAAGATGCTGGGTGCGAGGAGTGACGTTGTTCATGTCACCAGGCTGCACCCGTGCTTCGTCCATATCTCTGTCAGCCAGCGGATCCGGGGACGATGGTCTGCCTTTGCGGGTCTTATTCTGTTTTCGGGTCTGTTTCTGTTTCTTCGGTCGGCCACGATGAGATCGTGCTCGGTCGCCGCCGTCTTCGGACTCACTGTCGCGGGTGTGGTAGTCTGATTCTGCCCCATCGTCATGATAACTATCGTCGTCTCCATCTTCGTTCCGATCACGACCCGCGTCATGAGATTCCTTGCCATGTCTTCTCGACAATGGTTGTTGTCCTTGACCAAGATCATCGGTCTGCTCATGAGCATCATACTCATGTTCGCTCTCGACTCGTTTTCTGGCCAATTTCTCCCGTAACCGCTCAATCTTGCTTTGTAGCTTCTCGTTGTCGGGAAAATACGGTCTGGCAAGTTCATACATTTTCAACACACTCCCATCCTCGCCACGAGCTTGGTGCTGCTTGGCCATAAACAAATAACTCAGTCCTTCTGCACGTTCGCCATCCTGCCCCTCTAGTCTCTTTTCGATACTGTCCAGGCGCCGCTGGACTTCTTCCGAGACGTTTTTGGCCGGTGCAGGATCCGGTGCATTCAACGCTCGAGCGGCCAGAATCTCGGATACTTTCTTCTCCACCAATGTCTCAATCGAGGCTTTGGTCAAGGTGGTGGGTTCTGGTCCTCGACGGATGAAGTTCGGTGTAGGCCGGGAGATCTTGGACGGACGGGTCGACCCGAGAAAAGAAGTCTCCGCGGTGCGCTTCAATGGGGACGATTTTTGAGGTGCCGGTTTCATCGCTGGAGCAGGTTTGGTCCGGTCCGAGTATACCGAGAAGGCCTTGGGCGGTTTTTCATTCTTGCTGGGGGCGTCACGGGTTATAGTGAGATTGACATTGATACCATTGCTTAGCGGTCGTAGTGGTTGGCGTTGTATCGTTGTACCTCCCGTCGCTGCTTGACGTGGGGGTCCCTTGAAGATGGGTTCATTTTCCACCTCGCGGACCTCGATCTTTTTGGTTCGGTTGGCAAAGTTGAGAGAACTGAGTGTGTCGAGGTGGTAGGATTTCACCGGTGCAAGGTTGAGGATCATGACAGTAAACCCATTGTTTTGACCCAGGGAGAGAATCCTGGTCATTTTAGACTCTCGATAAGGAATCCTGGGTTGTTTCTTGCTGATGGCCTCGACGCACTGGGCGAGAACGAACAAGGATTTATTGATACTCGCCGACTCCACCATCCTATCTTTGCCGTTGCCTGTCCGTCGGTTGTCCTCTGATCCAGCCAGGTCAATGGCGGATGCGGTGCTAACTCTGGTCTCGGTCGGGCTTGTGATGGTCACTTTCACGCAGAGGATGGCATGCGACCGCGAAGAATGTGCATTCAGCTTGGTGGCGCCCGTGCTGCGGTTGGCATTTGCCTTGTCATACAGCATTTCGAACTCCCTCAATGATCCACAGGGCACTTCTGTCAGTCCCACCACGACGGTCTTGCCGCCCTCGGCTTCTCGAATGGGTAGGCCGGTGATGGTTCTTTTCTCCGGGGCTTCGAACAAGTCGAAAACTCGATCATTGTAGATTTCATAGTAGCTCATCGACGCTGCCACGGTGGTCTCTCCATTGCTGCTCTTTTCAATCGCCCGGCTTTTTCGGTAGATGCTGCTGAGCAGACGGGGAATCATTCCTCGGTCGGCCAGTGACTTTCCTCCGCGCATCGTGTGCGTCTTTCCCGTGCCGGTGGAGCCATATGCAAAGATGGTCACGTCGTAGCCGAGGAAAAGATGTTTGACTGTTGGGGCGACTGGATGCCAGGTTAGTTGTTGGTTCAATACTGCCTAGGTAGTATACATACCTTCGGCGTCAAAAATCTCTTGTTGAGTGGCCGTCTGCTCGTATACACTGCTGAACTGGAAGCTGTATTCTTCGGCAAAGTTTTTGGGGTTCGGGATCTTGATTATGGTAGGTTGACCGTCTGCGCCGCTGTGGCTTGTGACAATCTGGTCCTTCTCGTGTTCTGACTTGAGAAGCGGCCGGATACGGGCGACCACTCTGACGCTCATTTTGATGCGAAAGCCGGTCACAGCGACTAGGACGCTGCGCTTCTTTACGGCTGATTTGTTGCCTGAAATGCGCAGTCATAGTCGATGCTGAATACGGGATACAAAGATGTCCGCGGAGGTTGATTGCCAAGCTGTGGTTTGGTCGCCAGGGCAACGGACGCAGGATACTCAGCCTTGCGATGTGTTCTTCAGCCTTGCCGCTCCTTGCTTGTGCTCCAACGTAGCGCCAGCACCGGGCGATTTCGTATGCGGGAGAAATAATAATCCGTATCTGAGCCGGTTGCCCCAAACCACCGGTTGGCAGCAGCCGGCACGTTGCGGCGGATCCACCAAACACTGCGAGACAAAACACCTTTTGCACCCAAAGTGACACCAACCCAAACTCGACTCGGACGTGGATTGGCACCTTCATGGTCCAATTCCCCATCCACTTTGTGGTAGTGGTCGGTCAACAAATCGTCAGAGGCTGTGGGCTGTCATCACAGGCCGCGTCGTGGCCTCTTGCGATTGAATCAATCACTCCCTCACCTCCCCCTCGATGAACCTCACCACACTGCATACACGTGTTACACTCTGTGCAGCCTGAACCACGTCCTGCTCCCCGTCCGGTCGACCTATATTTCTACAACCGTACGCCATAAATTTCTCTTGCGCGATCTACTATTGTTGTCCGAGACCCTCCGAACCCAGCCCTCCGAGCGACAACAAACAATCGCAAGTCTCGTCAGTGCGCAACGTACAGACCTGACGAACACCACGAAAATTCCAACAAAATTCCTCCATAGCACGCACCATCAATCCTAGTTGCACCGTGCGCACCCTACCACTGTCCGCGCAGTCCGTCCACATCCACGTCCCATCGCCTAATCATGGCGACCGAGGTCGTCTACCGCGAGCGCGGAAGACATTACCAATGGCCCGAAGTACAATTGAATCTATGGATCTTTATCGTCCTGGCCGGGGCATCGACAGTGCTGGGGATAAATGCGTGGTTCATCTCGGTACAAAATCAAATGAGGGTCGGGGTTCCCTGGTATGTTCCGTCCGCGCGCACGAGCCTTATCCGCGCTGTCAAAAGCAAACAAGCCTCGTAGCAGATACAGTAGTATATATGGACCGACTGCTGACCTGTTTCCTCCAGGTTATTCACCTTTGCCGTCGTCACCGGTGGTCTGACGATATTATTCCTCATCATCGTCCTCATCCTGGCCGCCCGTCGCCTGCTGGTGCCTGGCGTTATATTACTAGGATCATTTATTTTGTTCGTGTTATGGGTGACCACACTCATTGAGACGGCTATCCAATTATACGGTTCGGGCAACGTCAACAGCAACTGCAACAACTATGTCACTGGCCAAGAGTATACGGGCGTTTCGATAGAGACCCTGGCCTGGCTGACGCAGAGCAACATATGTTCATGTTGGAAGGCCTCGTTCGCCTGGTCCATTATTTTGGCCGTCTTATTTTTGTGGATGATGATTCTGTCCTGGCAGGTTCAAAACTTCGAGGAGTGATGTTGAGCATAGTCCGGCGAGCGATGTTTTCTCTTTTCATATTGTGTTGATTTACCGAGCATATACGGATGGGATGTTATTTTTTGACGCCATATCAGGGACTCTATTGGAGGGAGCCATTTTCTGCTTTTACGATATATACAGATGTATAGTTGGCACACGGCAGTTATGAATTGGATTTGTTTTGTGTATATTGCATTTCGTTTGGATGTTATTTTATGCATATCGTATTTCGTTTGATGTCCGCGAAGGCACCGCCGCCGCCATTGTCATTGATCGCTCGACATGTTATGTTTCGGATGTCTTTCCCAAACAGTGTCAAAGGAAGTCATAGATAAGAGGCAGAGAGAGGCAGTCTCCAATCCACAAAAGACCTGACATAACTCGACACAGTCGTTAAGCCGTATAGCCTAAACACTTTGGAAGAACGTCGCTCCAACAAGACCTCCATTCCATTTATGTAGAATCATGCATCGACAGTCGAAGCATCACATCATTCCTCCTGCATAAACCTGGCAATCTGCTCATTCATGAACTCGACGTCCTTAGGATTCGCGCCTCCGCCAGCGATATGACCCCAGGAACTCTCGATAACAGCCAATCTCCCATTCTTGAGATGCTTCATTTCGAACTCGGAGTCTTCAGGCGGGAAATACTGGTCCGTTCGACAAGGCATCAAAAGCACGCGGGCGGAGATACTCTGCAGAGCTTTGACGAAGCGTTCATCGTCTGGAACCGCACCGCCCAGCTGACTCAGACCGAGATTCTTTTGTTGTCCTCCGTTCGCATTACCGCTCTTCTGCTCGCCTTCCTCTCCCTCTCCGTTCTGTCTCTCTACACTTGCAACATCACCCATCTGCCACATCCTTGCCAGAACCAACAAATCCTCCGCATCCCAAAGCATATACCCCTGTTCGCGGACCTGCATCCAGTCCTCAACCGTATTCACCCCGTTGACATCACTCACAAACAACCGATCCCTAAACCACCGCGGACTCGTCAACCAAGCGGCATAAGCCCTCGCAAAAGCCCTGAGTCCTCTCTTCGGAACCACTTCCTTCAAATGCGCGCCCACAGCTTCTCCACGGGCCGATTTTTCCTTCATGGCCCGCCACGCAACATAATCAATCGAATTCGTCAGTGCGGCAATGGGACCCTCGAGAAACGCATAGTTGTGCAGACTGGTTCGGGCGGCGGAGCAGATTGCAACCACTCTTTTTGTAAGACTTGGATACATGACGGACCAGTGGTATGCCTGTTGGCCGCCCATGGAAAAGCCGATGACGGCCTCGAGAGGATGCTTTGCTGAGATCCCAAATTGTTGTGTGACTAACAAGTGTTGAGCTCGCACCACGTCTTCGTAGCGGAGCTCACCGGGACCAGGAAAGAATGATTTGTTCGATGAACTGGCGCTTTCGCCGTTGCCGAGCATGGCGACTACCACGACGTGATATTTTGATAGTGCGCTAGTATTGCCTGTGGTGAACGTAAGGGTCGTGTTGATGAAGCCGGCGTAGCATGTTGGGATCAAGACTGTCCCAGCGCTGGATGCTGCGGAGCGGTTGAACTCTCGGTACGCGACCTTGACGTCGTGCAGTGTTGTTCCATTGGAAAAATAAAAGTCGGGGATCGTGAAGTATTCGATCCCGCTGGGGTCGTATGTTGGTACTGGAGGCGGCATGGTTGCTTGTGTCCGATTCCTGGGTCTCGAGGAAGTGTGGTTTATTGCTATCTATAACCTTTAGTCGTACCGGAATGGGTACGAGGGCTAGCTTCGGTTGTCCAAACTGAATGGACCGGCTGCTCAGTCCTTTTTCTTTCTTCTTGTCTCTTCGTCAGCACGAGAGGAGGTTAATATCGGAAGCTCGACAGATGATGGTCGAGGCGGGAGATGTCCACCACGATGACTGCGGGGAGGATATCTCCGCAGCGGCGGAAGAGGACGCTGAATTCAGAAACAAAAACAACAAATCCATCAGACTACGGAGCTGTTTACTCTGTTCAACCGGTCGGGAAGTACAAGTTAACGATAAGACAGCGATTATATGATAATACAACAAAGATACAAGTGATTGATGCAAATGGACAAAGCACCGAAATGGGGAGGCGCATGGTTTCCGCTTGTGCGCTGTCGCCGTCACCATAACTGCGGCGTGCATTTATCATATTATATTCCTCGTTCGGAATTGCAACCGAGGAGTCAATTCACATTCATATTCATAAACCAGTCAAACCGCCCTGTCAGAGTATCAAGTTTCCTAATGGTCGTCAAGTCATCACAAACAACAGACTCCGGTCCATGCATATCCAAATGTCCATGCAAGGCCATACCCGCACCCGATCCAAGAACGCCGTAGATCCATCCTTTATCTTAAATGTCAAGTACACGGGCTCTCGAGCGCGACTTAGTCTGTTTCATCCGCATGATCTTCAACTCTTCCCCGATCAGACGAGCATCTCTCCATTGCTCCTCCATGTTGCTCATGCGGATGGCCGCAATCACGACCGACACTGCTGCACGGAACTTCTGCACCGGCTTCAACCGAGTCTCGTACTTGCGGCTGTCGAGAGACACTCCCATCTCACCCAGTATGCGAAGGTCAACCTGGTTGCTATCATATATGTTAGTGTACTGTAAACTGCAGAGAGAAGGCGACATACCATTGAACCCTCATAGCCTCGGACTGCTCCAGGAAGCCCTTGCTCCAAGCAAGATCTCTCCGTAGTCGTTCCTCTCGTTTGCACTTGGCTTTCAACCACATAATTTCCTTGATGAGGCCTTTCACTTCCTTTTCGCAGATCTCGTCCTTGCTCGATTTGCCAGAGGACAGCTTCTCAAGCATATTCTCGTATCGGCTCTGTAAAGCTTCCAGTTCATTTTCCACGGCACCGGCCTTCTTGTTGGCGAGGCTGCGTTCTTCACGAAGACGCCGAAGTTGGTCTTTCATCTCACGGGCCTCAGTGTCGCGTACTGAAAGCCGGAGCGACAGATCGTTCCGCCCCAGCTCTTCCCGCAACCGCTTTAGCTCGGTTTTCAAGTCATTGACCTGCCGCTCACGTTTGCGCATGTCGAGCGAGAGATGGCCGGTTTCGTCTTTCTGTTTCCGCATGCAACTGAGCTGTTCTCGCAAGTCATGAACCAGGTCTTTCTGCTCTGCCACAGTTGCACTCAATGTTTCGGCTTCCGCGGTACGAATCCTGAGGAGGCTCTGGAGCTCCTCGAGTTCTTTCTCTATTGTGGAGGCCCTGCGAGCTGTTCGCTTCAGATCACGATTGTCCGAGCTCAGGACCTTGATTTCAGCTTGGGCATCCATTAGATCTTGACGCATCTTTGCCAGCTCCCTGGAATTGGACGGAGGTGGAGAAACAGAAGGAGACTTGGCCTTGTACTGGGCAAGTTTTGCTTCGTGCAATTCCCGCTCCAGGTCATTGACTCGCATCTTCAGCTCGCGATTCGCCGCTTTCAAGTCTGTCTCTCGTTTGGCCGATATTGTTTCATTCTTCCTCGCCTCGGCCAGGTCACGGGTCAGGCCGGAAATGTCAGCAGTGGGAGAACCTGTTACCCGGGATTGGCCTTCTAGCATCGCCTCGAGCTCCTTGACCTTGACCTCCAAACGAGTGATCTTGTTCTTTGCAGATGTTAGTTCACGGTCCTTGCTCTCCACACTGGCATGTTTCTGGTTACGCAAGGAGTCGATTTCCGCCTGGAGCCGGTTCTCTTCTTCACCGGCACGTTCAAGTTCTGCGTTGATCTCGTCTTCAAGTGCACGGTTGGCCTCAGCGAGGTTGTCTCGTTCGGTGGTGAGCCGTGCAACATCCTTCTCCAGTTTGACCTTGAGTCGTTTCAGCTCGCGCTTCTCCTGGTCGACATTGAAGGTATCGTCGTTCGCCTTCTGGGCCGCTTGCAGCTTGGCTTCGAGGTCATCGCGCTCTTTTTCGGCAGCTTCCAGGGCCTTTTGTGTCTTCCGCAGTTCTTGACTGACGGTTGTAAGTTCCCCTTGCAGGTTTTGCTTTTCAAGCCGCATTTTCTGAAGTTGGACTTCCGCGTCTGACGAGTGTGTCTTCTGTAAGTGCTGCGCGTATTCATGTTCCTGCTCAATGTCCGCCTGGAGCACTTCGATCTCTTCCTCCAGCTCTGCCACCTTTTCCTTCAGAGCCGCCTGTTCCCGAATGGAGATCCGTAGCTCTTCTCTGGCGTTGTTTAACTCTGTTCGAGACTCATCCGCCGCACCTCGTTTAGCCGCAAGATCTTGCTGGAGCTCTTCAATCTGCTTGGAGAGCACCTTCTCTTCCTGCTTGTGCCGTTGTACCTCGCTTTGTAACGCTTCTTGTAGCTTGAGTTCACGATTGGAAAGGGTCCCCTGCGCATCCTGAAGTTTGTCAACAGTGCGTTGCAAGCCTTTGGCCTTCTCCTCCGCCTTTTGACATGCTGCTTCAAGTGTTCGTTTCTGCGCCTCCCGTTCTTCCATGTCTGCCGCATAGTCGCTGTTCTTTGCATTGATTTCCCGGTGCAGACCATCGATTTGCTCGTGTAGCAGGTCGATCTCGTGCTTATGCTGCGTCCTCAGGGCGTTGTCGGTCAAGGCAGATCGCTGTCTCTCCTCGTCCAAGGCGGCTTCCGCTTCTCTCAACGAGCTTTTGGCTGTGTCAAGGTCCCTCTGTAACTCGGCAGATTCCTTAGTCAAGGCGTCATGTCGAATTTGTAGCAGGTCCTTCTCATCGACCTTGACTTGCAAGTCCTGCTCTGCAGTCTCCAGTTGCTTCGTCATGCTGGCAAGCTTGCGGTCGAGAGTGTCTCGCTGTTGCTGGCATAGTTCCAGTTCTTGCTGTAGTCTGCGGATGTCAGACGCTCCTTCCCGCTCCATGTCACGGAGTTTCTCTCGTAACTGTCTCTCTGCTTCTGACTTTTCACGCAACTCAGCCTGCAGGGCCTCATGCCGTTCTTCCAGGTCGTGATAATCATCTTCCAACTTGTTTGCCTTTTCTTCTAGCTGCCTGCTGAGGCCTTTCGTGGTGAAGGACTTGTTAGCCATTTCGTCGCGGAGCTCGTCAAGATCATCTTCGGCTTTGCGTTTCTCCTCCAACGCCTGCTCTTGTGCTTCTTTGGCCTCCTGCGCTTCCGATACCGCCCGCTCAAGACTTTCCTTCAAATCTTCAACCTCTTGCCGCACAGAATCCAACTCGTCCTCGATCGTAGCAACATCATTGGACTCCTTGCTTGCCTTCATCTTCAGGTCGTCGATTTGGTCGTCTCGCTCGTCAATGGCGCGGTCCTTTTCCCGGAGTTCGGCTTGCAAGTCGTCAATCTCATCCTTGAGTTTTTTGATATCTGATCGTTCCTGGTTCTCGGCGTCGTTCTTGTGCGACTCCAGTCGTTTGATCAGACTGTCTTTCTCCTGCAGCTCGGATCGAAGGCTTTCGAGCTCGGCTCGGACATGTTCATCGACCTGTTTGCGTCTAATCTTCTCCTTGTATTCTTCAAGCTGTAATCTGTAGAGCTCGGCATCTCGTTCGGCTTGCGCAATGTACCTCTTGAATTTTGAAAGTTCGCGCTGCAACGTGAGCTGGTCGACCTTCAGAGACGTGTTTTCCTTGAGCGCAGCCTGGTTAAACTCGCTCCCACGCTTCGACAGTGCCTCTTCCAAGAAGTGTATTTTCATCTTCAACCCAAAATTCTCCTTTTCAACCTTGTCAATGACACCCTCTTGTTCTCGCAGCGTCATCATATTCCCGTCATTAACGAGTCCGCCCATGTTGCGTCCAGAGAACTGGGCAATGGGCGTACTTTGAGCACTGCTGCTGGGCTGTTGCGGCATTGGAGTGTTGTCGACCGTGTTACCTGCAGAGCTGGAAGTGTTCTCGCCATCAAGGCGCGATAGATCGCTGAGCCTCCGGTTTGCAGGGGTACGGCTACTGAAATATGCGGGTGTGTTGTGCGAGCTCGATTTCTTGCTGGAAAGGCGACGAGCGATGTTATTTTTCGTGACACTGGCCATGATTGGAGTGAACTCTGATCGACGTTGGTTGACATTTGGGAGCAGTCGCAAAGGATCTCGGGGCGCGCCAGCTCGCGGGGTTTTGAGGTTCATGCCATGGCCTTTCGCATCTTTCATCTGGCTAACCAGGTCACCTGGCTGCGTAGGCGCTGCGAATGACTTTTCCGGCGACATCTTGTCAAAAGGATTAGACCGAATACTTATGCGAGAGGCATCTTTGGTGGTTTGCGGAGTGTTGACGAATTGATCCATGACTGCGTGTAGACCAGAACCCGTAGGTCAAAATCCAATGTCGAGGGAGCAAAAGGATGATATCAGACCCAACGCCTAAACATACACATACTGTTGTGAATTGTGAACGACCACCGTTGAATGCTGAAATCAATAATGGGGTCTGAGGCCTCTGCGTTGTGATGCTCGGCCCTCAGTTCGATTGTTTTGTTCCTTCTTCTTTGGGCCAAGTCCCCACTAACGCGCATTAGCGCATGTTGGACAATTGCTTATGTAATTCCTGTGTCATCGTCGCCATTTCTCGAAGGCTGCGACGACCTACAGTCTACTTCGAACAACACTTCCATCAAGTCAGTTTCCTCACCCTCTGCAGATCCGGCCTGGTGCCGATTATATCGCAATAGACATGCCGCCGACCGAAGAAGACGTTGCGTGGTTCCGCTCCACGTTCCACCCGATCCCCAAACCCGCTCTTCCCGACGACTGTATCGAATACTCGCTGTACATAATAGACCCGTCTCAAGATGCGAATGCGACCACCGATTCCGAGTTACGGCTTCGCCTACGCGATGTACAGAAACACGCGACGCAACTACATCGACAGTACCTGAAAGATTATATATGGCAACGGCAAGGATTTTCGCTGGAGATTAATAAAGAGGATGGTGTGTGAGGTCTGTTAGCGTATAGACTGAGCGGACGAGAATCGACTAACACGATGGGACAGGACTCAGCTTTTTACGCGGGCGCACAGAGTACGGCGACTCGGTCGAGGATGAATGGGTGATCGTCTGGCTGCTGCGCGAACTGACGCGCAAATTCCCCGATCTCTGGGTCAAAGTGACAGACACTGATGGCGAATTCCTGCTCATCGAGGCCTCGGGCACTCTTCCTTCCTGGCTTGAACCTGACGTGGCGGAGAACCGAGTATGGATCAACAACGGCCAACTAAAGATAATCAAGCCGGCGAGTGGCTCCAGGAGTTCGAAGCGGACCGAGGAGAAATTGTCTCTCCAGCAAGCCAGGGAGATACTGTTGCACGAGCCGAAAAGAATAATGCATTCGACGACTATGGAGGAAGAGGCCTTTTTCCGACTACGGAATTATCCTGCGCAGATTGAAGAGAATATGCATCATGCACTAGTCACTGTGCCGCGCAAGGTGGCGTACCTGCTGCACCAGAAGCCAGCGTATATTGCGCCGGCAGTTGAAGCGTTTTACCTCCGAGACCCGATCGCTCTGAAACCACTACAGAAGAAAGAGAATAAGGGCAATATGATCTTCCCACCGGAAGATTTTGTCACCGTCAGTGTCAAGTTTCCTCGTGTGGCGTACGCGCAGGTCAAATCTCAAGACTTCCCGCCCCCGGCTGTCTATGCGGACTCGATGCCGTCCAAGACCGATTCGAAAGCATATGTTCGAGCCGAGACTGGCATGAAAGTGACTTGTGGCTTGGAGATGCTGTTGACGGATCCGCAGCACCAGGATCGATCGGAAGTCAGAGAAATGAAGATGCTTTTGGACGATCTTGAGTCCGGCGATGAAACTCTGCCCTCGGAGGACGAGATCAAATCTTGGGAGCAGCGAGAAGACGACGAGAAGTGGCTCGACATTAGTTTCGACGATCTCGAGACCGAGCTCGCGGGTCGCAAGGGACAGGCTGAAAAGGGCAAGAAGCCGGGCTTTGGCGATAAGGCCGCGCAGGAGAATCTGCAGAGGATCGTGAAGCAATTCGAAGAATTTCTAAACGACGACAAGGCCGGACCTGATGGGGCGGGATTCTTTGGCGATGATGACAGCGATGATGATGAAGATATGGACGACGACGACGATGATGACAGTGGCGAGGATAAAGACGCCAGTTTCGGCGAAGACGAATTCAGCAAAATGATGCAGGAGATGATGGGCATGCCGCCCGAGGTCATGAAGGAGATCATGATGGGTCAACTTGGGCCTGGTGCCTCGGATCCGGCGAAGCGTTCAAACTTGCGGCCGCCGCCTGATGGTCTCGGAGGCCACGTGGAAGAAATGGACTCGGCTGACAACTCTGAGCCCGATGGAGAAGATATGCAGGCATTCATGAAGCAGATGGAGGCCGAGCTCCGTGGGACGGGTGTGTTGGACCTAAACCGCACGTCCAACGAAGCAGCTGGTAAGCGTCCGGCCACCCTCCGAGACTCGGGGCAGAACAACGAGCATGACATTGAGGAGTTGTCGTCTGATGACGACGACATCGACAACGAGATTGATGTCAACCTCGCAAAGAACCTGCTGGAAAGTCTGCGGTCGCAAGCTGGGATGCCCGGTCCCGGCGGAAATCTCATGGGCATGATGGGACTAAACTTACCGCGGGATGAACCTGACGAGGATGGAATGGACCAGGGTCAGCCTGGACCCAGCGGCATCAGCAGAGGCGGTGGAAGCGGAAGCGGAACCCATGACTCCAAGAAACGGTAGGATAAGTTGTCACTTTAACGAACATTCAACAAGCAATGTGCTGTAGATACCCACGGATGAAATCGGGCTATATTTGTAATTAATAAAGCAATGGCGGAATTGTAACCACTACGTATGTATGATCATCTATCATTCAAGCTGTTACTACTATTTAAAAGCCATCTCTGCCCTCGACTACACCGTATGCGCCACCACCTCTGCCAAACATTTCTCTCAAATCATCCACAAGATCCATAGGCCGCTCCCAGGCCGCGAAGTGGCCACCAGCATCGTGCTCCTTCTCAAAGACACAATTGCCCACGGTACGTGTCCACGTGCTAGGAAGGACATGGATATCGCGGGGGAAATGGCTGATACCAATCTTGACGCCGGACTGCCACTCGCGAACTTTGTCGCGCGTGATGCGATTTCCCCATGGCCCGCTGCGACCCATCTCATAGTAAATCCTACAACTGGCCGCAGGGCCGGCAGTGCTGAACCAGTAGACGCTCACCCATGTACATACTTCGTCGTCGGTCCAAGGGTACGCGTCCGTCCAGTCGTGGAGTTTCTCGTAGATCCAGGCTAGCAGGGCCACGGGACTATCTGTCAGCCCGTAGCCCAGTGTCTGCGGCTTTGTCGATTGTAGCAGGTTGTAGCCGAAGCCCTCGTTGTCGAACCACTCGGTCCGCGCGATCCCTTGCTTCTCTCGTGCCGAGAGTGGTCGAATAGCGTCTTCCAGGGCCAGCAATGGGTTCTTGAGGAATGTTGGTTTCGCCCCAACGTCCATGTTGAAGTGGGTCGCTTTGCAGTGGCCGGGATAGAGTAGTGAGATGGCTCGTGTGATGTAATACCCCCAGTCACCTGTTTGTGTGTTAAAAGGAGGCTGTCATGTACGGCGGGATGAAATTTTCGGTAAAAGATATGGGACGGCGATCCCTATGCTTCACCAGGAGGGGACTGTACACAGTGGAAGTGGCAAACAGAGGGAAAACAACACTTACCACCCTGAGTAGCATATTGTTCATATCCCAGCTGAAGCATCAGCTTGTGCAGCGTCTCGGCATGCTGCTCGATAGAAAAGCCTCGCTTCTTGGTGCCTTCGGAGAAGCCAAAGTTTGGAAGCGATGGAGCAACGATGTCGAAGGCAAACTGCTCGTCAGTTTTCGATGAAGAAGATGAATTCGGAGGTGATGTCAAAGCATCTATGATCTTGGTCGCCTCGAGAAAGCTTCCCGGCCAGCCATGCACAAAAAGCAAGGGGATGGCGCCCTTGACGCCGGACTTTCGGTGCAGAAAATGGATCCGGAGGCTTTCGTACCCTTCACACTGGATCGTTGTTGTAAAGTGAGGCAGGCGGTTCAGCACCGTTTCCGCCCTGCGCCAGTCGAACTTGTCCCTCCAGAACTTGGTCAAGCGTTGGACATCGGCGAGCGGAGCTCCTAGATCCCATTCCGCGGAGTCCAGTTCATCCGGGAATCTTGCTTTCGCAAGCCGCTCGTGGAGATCACGGATTTCTGAGTCCGGGATGGAGATCTGGAATGGTTGGACTGAAGAAGACATGGTGTTTGCTACGATGGGATTCCTGTGTATCAACTCGATGAGGGAGGGCGGGAAGGAGTCAAGCATCAGGAAGCATATCACCACGATACAACTTAACTCTCTCCGTTTATTATATACATCATGGCTGTTAAGCGTCTCATGAACCTTTTGGGCCTGAGCAGATGTATTTCATCATCGCAGGTGCTTTGAAATAGACTTGCTTGTAGGGTTGGACAATACGCGCACGTTAGTCAGCTAACCAGCGAATATAAAATGATAATCCGCCAACTTGAAGGTAGAGCTTGCCGGGAGAGCTCTCGGCAATCGACGGAGTGTGTTCGCAAGACGACTGAGGCGAGCTCTCTTGAAGAAACTTAGCATAATGTCTCAAGAAGCACTTCATGTCGCTGGAGACATTGTGTTATATTCCTCTAGATATCTACAATGTTGTAAAGGTACCTTACTGAACTGCGGATGGGTTGGTTGTGTCTCGTAAGGTCAAGCAGTGAGGTGTTACTAATTACTTAGTCAGCTCCACCTGCCGCTCGGTAAACTTTCCCCGGCGGAGAGTGGAATGAGTGACGCCTGCCAGTGACTCCGGGCATCATCTGGACCAACTTGCGATTGCCAAACGCCTGAAACGATGAGACGGACAACCTGCCCTGATTGTAACGCAGCCTGGCGTTTGTGCGTGTTCGGCGCCAGGCAAAGACTTTCTTTATATTCAAAAGCTTCACTCTGGCAAACCGCAACACTTGACTCTCGGTGATCCCTCCACTGACAGCCCACATGAGCCTCTGTGCCTCCCCCGCCAAAGCCGCCGGTTTGGTTCCTCTCGCTGTGACACGGAATGATGTCTGGCTCACGGGGAAAGCCGAGCTTGTTACGTCCGCCTCGGAATGTTCAACAAATAACAGAAGCGGCACAAGAATACGAATATGACGCCGCGATCCCTCTTCGCTACTGGCTTCGATCTGCCCAGGCAATGCTGAAAGAGGTAATGCGTGCTAAGAGCGGGAGATCCGGACTGAGCTGATCCTATTTAACAGGCAGAGGTCTATGTGCGCGAAGGCGATGAGGAGACAACTTATTTGTTGTTATTCAGACATGCTCACCTTATCTTGTCCCAATTACCCGCCCACCCACAAGCACGAGACAAGGCGAACAAGCTCCTCTTGCAAGAGGCGGAGAAGGAGGTTAGACGTAACTTCAAAGTACTCGATGCGTTGAGACCCCGCATAAACGAAAGATACGAGCGGTATGTCAAACTTGTGAAGGAAAGAGAAGCCAGAAAGAGCGCGCAAATACAGAGTCAGACTGTTGGTGAATACTCAGGCAAACGGCCAGCACAGGATCAGAGAGCGGAACCACTCAAAGCGTATGAAAATCAGGACTTTGCTGTGAGGTTGGCGCAAAAAGAGATATCCAGGAGAGCCGCACACCGGCAAGCTGTGCTGACATCTGCCACCGATGGAGACGACCTCTCCCAAAGACTGCAGGAAATCCGTGCAAGAGTCGACGGAAGAAGACAGCCTGATACATCAGGCACAGAGCCCCGTCCTCGACCCGCCGCATCCGATAGCTTTACTTATCACTATCCCCATGTCCCTTCACAGCATGGTCAGCCGGTGCTGGGCCCTGTCCCACCGCAAGTGCCTGCATGGAACGTTCAGAAAGACATTCCTGCCAGCGCTCCGGCAGTCCCTCCGAAACCTGGTAGCTTTTTGCCGACTCAACCGCCACGACCGGACAAGGCAGCCGAACAGATTGCATCGCGATCTCCGACGCCTGAACCCGTGCATACTTTCGCTCCAGCTGCCTACCTCGAAAATGGCACGCCTCTCCGAACCATTTTCCTGCCTCCGACATTGCGGACGACTTTCCTGAGGATCGCACACAAGAACACACTGCGCAACCTTGAGACATGCGGGTTTCTTGGGGGCACCTTGATTGCAAACGCATTCTTTATCAGCAGACTTATCATCCCGTCTCAAACGGCGACGTCGGATACTTGCGAGATGACGAACGAATCACAACTGTTTGACTATGTGGATTCCGAAGATCTCATGATTCTGGGTTGGATTCACACTCATCCAACCCAGACATGCTTCATGAGCAGCAGAGACTTGCACACTCACGCTGGATATCAGATGATGTTGGCTGAGAGCATAGCCATTGTTTGCGCGCCTAGCAAAGGAGACATCACGCACGGCGGTGACTGGGGAGTGTATCGGCTCACGGATCCTCCGGGAAAGAAAACCATTCTCAACTGTCACCAACCGGGGATCTTCCACCCTCACGATGTCGACAATATCTACACTGACGCGCTCCGGCCGGGACACGTTGTCGAGGCTAAAGGGATGGAGTTTGAGGTGGTGGACCTGCGGGAAACGTGACAACAGATGATGCAGCGCGTTTACAAGGGTCCTCCCGATCGGGAAGTCCATGGTCAGACATCTTGACGTGTTGACATGGGCCGGACTTCTCCAACCTCCCTGGCTTCCAAACAAGAGATTTAGTGGGCCAATGTGTGGCATTGTTGTTATTTGCGGCAAATTCGGCTGAGCTTATAGCCGTGCCCGAGCACTGTTAGATCATGTTATGTTGCCTCACAGCAGTCTCGACAGCATTGTGAGGGGTTAATCATGACTTTTGCTGTTTCTCCGATGTGTGATGCCATTCATCTGGATTTGGTATAGTAGAGTATATGCCCTACCGATTTTTCGTGATCGTGCCATGACACACGTGTTCTGACATCTGCGAGCGTATGGGACTTGCAGGCCACACAACGCCGAGAACTGCCATACTAGTAGGATACAACTTGTAGTAATAAGCTGGCGTTAGGTGTCTGCTCAGCTGGTTCGGACACAAAATGCAAACAACGACACATGATGGTGAGGCATTGGATCGCCTTGGGACGCAACTCGATTGGACACGATGGGGCGCCACTCTCGGGAGCTGGGGCTGACATGTTTCTGAGCGCAGGGGTCAAGCTGTTGATTGGGGAGCTCCATCCCTGTCAGCGGATGCATTAATGCAGGAACAATACATCGGTGTCCCGGGAGCTGCTGATCGGGCCAGAAGCCAGGGAATCAGAAGGAGAATCTTCTTCGCTGGCACGTCACGTCAACAACAGGTCAACAGCGGACCGCAGGTAGCAAAGGTACCGTAGTCTCAGTCAAGGCGTATGATTTTAAGACTAGCAACAGTACTACCAGCCGCAATGCAGAAGGGAGCAGGGGCAGGAGACTCAGAGAATCATGTTATTACGAGTGCGATGTATCACAGCATCTGCCCGGCTGCGGCGTTTACAGGGCGCCATGGCGACATGGTGGCTTTGCCCACGACTGCGCCAAAGTCAATCAAAATAGATTTAAGCCTCAAATAGTGGCAAGAAAGTTACAATATCGGTAGCAGAGGCTTTATGCCATGGCCCGAAGACAACAATAATGAGGATTGATGAATGGATAACGGTCTGTAGTGAGGTGCGCATAGGGATATTTTGACCCGGGCAGATTGGAAGGATAAAAAGGGACGCAGCTAAAGGCACCGGGGGCAGCATTGGGCGCAGGGCTCTTAAGACCAGTGGCTGCGGGTGCCTAAAAGCATGCCGCTAGTAGGCGTCATTAAGGGGCATGCGGCACTGTCCTTAACAAAGACAGTTAAGTGCTGCCAGCCACCAACAGCCACCATTTCCCAAGCGCGCCTGCGACGCCTCAGCGCAATTTCCGGCGAATCCCTTGGCCTCTCACGTTCAAGTTGTGCCTGGGACTTGACCTGAAGCCTCCGCTCCATGCTCGCTATCGGCTTACCACCACCCAATCACAGACCGCCTCCCACAGTCGCGCTCTTCTTTGTTCTTCCTCCATCGCCAGCTTCAGAGTTCGTTTCTCCCTGAGAAGCTTGACCACGTCTCCCCTGGCCCCAACTGCTCAATCAGATTGAGTCTCTTGTTGCGCATCCACAGCTCGAGTCCACCTTCGTCCCAACATCCAATCGCATCACCAACGCTCGTCAACTGCGCCTCCGTGCCCTTCTTGGGCGGATTCAGTCCTCGCTATCCGCTTTTTTCCCTGCGCTGCCGGCTAATTGACAGACACGCCGTGACTAGACCTGACCAAGTGGTACTGCCAGTACCGTGCCAGAGGGTAGTAGTGGTGCCAGTGGTAGTGCAAGTTGTGCTGGACTCGCGGCCACTGCTCCAGTTCTTTCAACCTTGGGCCAACTTCCAATCTTCTCCCTCACTTCCGCATTCAAAACACACCCTCACATTCCTTTGAAAGAGAGCAACAACTCACCACATCGCCATCGAGGCACGCATACACAGTCCAACAACTTGTCCTCGTGACAACCAACGACCGGCCGTCTCACCGTGCCTTCTCCTTCCTACACTCGCTTGGCTACATTGCTGCTTGTGCCCGTCGCTCAGGGGCCATCTGCGTCAACTTCTGAAACAACCCGCATTCCCGCCCAAGGTCAGCTTGAGATAATCGTCGACTCCCCAGACAACGCGGACGATCTGCTCTTAGGACCTCTACTACGGGTGTCGAACGAGTTGGGAAAACATTTTGTGTACATTTCATACGCCTTGCCGCCGAAGAATCATAATCACGACGACAAAAGAGCAAAGGAAATAGCAGTGCGGGCCGCTGCTGGAAAGTGACAAAGAGGACCTCTCACACCTGCGCCTCCTTCACCTGTTGTGTCAAGGTTACAGTCACACCGACAACACAACCTGATTTAATCACGCCGCCGTCAATTTGCACCTACAACGCCGGCACAATTTCTTCGACTCACTGCCCGCTTCTAGCAAAAGGGTCATTTTTTGGCCAACGCGGGTTTGGGTGAGCGACGTTCACCACGTCTTTTTTGAGAGCCTGTCTTCCTCATATTCTCTCTCGGCCATTTTGGCATAGCGAAACAACTCACATTACAATGAAGCCATCATTATTTTGTGCCACGGCTGTGGCCTCGGCACTAGCCTTTCTGTCAACACCCATACTTGCTCAGACCACATCCGCAACGGCCGCAGCGGCAATCACCACACTCGGCTGTTACAAAGATTCCGACCCTTTGACTCAACAAGGAACCTACGTCTATCAGTCTTCTGGCTGGTGCCAGCAGCAATGCGTGAAACTAGGCAAGCCCGTCATGGCCACCACAGGGGGTTCAACATGTTACTGTGGCGATGAACTTCCGGCCTTGGATCAAGAAGTGGACTCTAGCAAATGTAATACCGATTGTCAAGGTTGGCCCGAAGACAAATGTGGTGGCATAGGCTACTGGCAAGTTTATCTGAGCGGATTGACTGCCGACGTCAAGACTGCTCCAAACAGTACCACCATCGCATCATCAGCTTCAAGCACGCCCACGCAGGGCTCTGATGGAGCCACTCCAACGCAACCCTCGGTTGTCACCAAAGCAGGCCAGACAGTAGTGGTCACCGCTTCGACCTCCGCCGACAATGAGCATCACGGATCAAGTGGGCCAAACAAGGTTGGAATTGCTGTCGGCGTGGTGGTGGGAGTCATTGCTCTTGGTGCCATGGTTGGCGGCGTCATATTCTTCCTGAAGCGACGGAGAAACCGGGAAATCGAAGAAGAGCACCGTCGCAACGCCGCTGTTAGCTCATTTGTCGGCGGGACACAGTCGGACAAATCTTCAGCAACAGACCAGCGCCTCGACCCTTCCATCTATTCTCACCGCCGACCTAGTATTGGCAGTATCGCTGATGAACGAGACTTCTCTCGGAGGATATTGCAGGTAGGTTAGACCGGTTTCCCGGGTTTGGGTTGATCACTAATAAAGACCTTGCTAGGTACGGAATCCTGACCGGGACTCGAAAGCTTCCAACTTGGCCTAGCTGAGTTAGCTCCTCGTTCGACTGGAGCAAGACAATCGTGACGAGCACCGGCAATGGGCTTGTGAAGAATTATGAATCGAGTACTAGCGATGGAAGGATACAACCACATGGACCTCTTACTCGCAGATGGAAAATCATCAATGCCTACTCGTCATCATGCAATTCCACGAGTTGGTCCTTCCGTACCAATAATCCTCTGGCAGCAACATATAGCTGCTCATGCATTACCGCGATCACCCTCTGTATCACTTGAACTGGGCTTTCGACAGACAGAAAAGGCTCAGAAAATGATGACGACTTTAACTCTCTACCGCAAAATATCCCTCTCCTTTGTCTCATTCGGGGTTTCGTGTTATAGATGACAACAACAACTACCCATCCTACATCACGCCTCTTCCCCTTTGACTTTCCATGTATCACGGCATAGCTATGGCGTTCGGCGGGCTTTTTTTTACATCGAGCTATTGGCGTTGGCCGACCTGATGGCGTGGGAGGTGCTGGCATGTCATGGGCCAGGATGTCCTCGACACGCTACCTAGGTACGGACGGCAGCGAGGGGCACGGAATTGAGTGTATGTGTCCTTTGCAGAAGGCTGGTGGGAAGGGGAAGGCGGGGCAGAGAACACTGATGTCTGATGTCTACTACGACGGCGTAGTTTTCGACTCCAGCCGATATCTCTGGGGTTTGAGACCGAGACAATCGGACAGTCGGACAGCTGCAGTGGGCAGAAGGGAACGTGGTTGAACTCTCTGAGAGCGAGAGAGAGAATCGTGTGTTTGTGATACCACGGAGCTAGGTACCTTACCACACCTACCTACTTAATCATTCTGCAGTGTACTAGTACCACCTGGTTCGGCTCAAAAACTTGAACGCTGCCCATCTAATTTCCCTGCCTTCATATTGTCTGACTGTGCTTCGCACTTCTGTACTCCAAAACAAGCTGGGTATCGAATGCCTACTAGTAGGACTGGCAAGGTCATGCAGTGGTATGTTCATCTTAAGTTGTCTTTTGTATTCTTGGTATTCTTTTCTCTGTTGCTCTTGCTCTGCTCTCGCTATTTTATGATTCGCGTGTGCTATCCACATTTGTGATCCATGAACGCAGCATGTACGAAAACCCTCCCATCGACCGCGGCGACCAGACAAGGTGATTAGGGAACTTGCAATTGCAACTCAACCGCATTCCAAAGCATGCCCATGCAGTAAACAAAGAGTTCAATACCGCCTAGAACAAATCAGACCAGACCGGACCGAACCAAAAACGCCCAAAGTCAGTCAGGGGAAAAGGGGAAAGAAAACAACCGCTGCTTCAGATTGCATGTGCCAGGAACCTTCTACAGACTGGCGTGCATGAAGAGAAAGACAGTTCTGCCACATTGCAGTGGCCTATTTTCGAGGACTCCCACCGACACTGCCGCCGGTCAAGCCTACAGCTTTGAGGATATCTTTGACGCTCCATCCCGGCCCGCCCGGCACGACTTCGCGCCACGTCTCGTCGGGAACAGCGTCTTCAGCGGGCAGAATCGACCAGTTTGGGCTGGGCTCGGGCTTGAGCCATTTGAAATCGTCAACTTGATTCCATTGGTTAGGAGCTGGATCTGGCGCCCCTGTATTCGCTTTGCCTTCTTGGGCGGAAGAAATGAGATCGGACTGTGGATCAGGCATGTAGTTAGTGACGGGGCCAGTGTTGAATCCCAATAAGCTGTAGAAGATGCGAGCCAGAAGATGGGTTGCAACTCTGGCCAAAGTCGGGTGTAAAGAGAAGAAGAATCAGCTACTTACATGAAACTTGGGCAGTTCGGCAAAGCGGATGTTCTTGCAATCTTCTATGATAGGTCTGCTGGTACAGTAGAGATAGACGTCGACATTTTCACATTCGTGCATGCGGAACTGGCGACACTTAATCACTAGCACGCTGTTCCTCACTTTCGTAATGTGAGCGGGGCCGGAAACAGACCCGCATAGCAGTAGCGATGTGTTGACGGAGTTGATGGTCAGACTGGCAAAAGGAGCCGTGGCTGTCGTCGGCACGGAAAGATCAATGATACTACCAGTGATCTTTTGTAGTGTGCAAGGAGCCTGGGAGTGGTGACTTGACGAAGGAAGGATTATGTGCGCGTTGGACTGGTCGGTGATGGCGATGGAGGTCGCTGATGAAGAGAAGGTTGGCCGATTCTTTTCCTGGGTCGACTCTGTCCCAGACTTTTCCGCACCGTCTTCCGTGGGCCGTTTGGCGGCGATACCTGGTCCCTTGTCTTCGAGGGTCGATGATTGCCCGTCTATGGCGTCGCCGTCGGCATCGGCTCTCTCGTTCGCAGGAGTGTTGGTCGACGCTGGGGTATTGGCATAGGAAGAGTTGGCAGAACGTAGTCCCCCGGGGACACCGCGACGCCGTTCTGCGGCTATCTCTGCGGCATCGCTTAAAGAAAGGGCCGAGGGACTCTTGGACTTGAAGGAGAACTTGGGCTTGGGAGCAAAAGCTTTTCGGATCTCGTCGAGCTTCTCCTGCAGGGCTTTGATGGCCTGTAATGTCTGTGTGAGCATGGGTTTCCTGGCTGCAATCGCAGTCAAACACAGCTCTCGCCAGTCACAAAGGTGTGTACCTCGGCATATGTTCTCTGGTCATAGGCTGGTAGGTATCCGGAGGCATCCTTGACCTCGTTGGACAGTCGCGTGATGCCGGCCAGGCAGTGGTCCGCCGCATCTGCACGTTCCCCGCCGATGACGGACTTCTCTTCGATACGGTCCATTTGCTCCTGGAGGGCTGTGTGAGAGGGTTAGATTAGCAGAGGCTTTTGGTGGACGAAACAGGACTATTGCAGAATCTACTGACCTGTGATTTCTTGTTGGAAGTAGTGGAAGAATCGTTGCTGAGGGGTGATATCACCTCCAGCGTGAGGGCGAGACTGTGCTTGGGTTTCCATTGTAAAGGATTTCTATGGACGCTGGGCAATCTATACAGACGAAGTAGAGAAAGAGTACGGTGTGGACGAAGAGACAAAAAGGAAGCGGGCACGCGGGAAATAATGATATGATGATGGACAAGTTCGAGGGCAAGTGACGATGATCGGGCAAGTGGATTCTATCGAGTGACCGACGCGGGGGATTGACAGCAGAGAGAGTGGGTTGGAATCGGGATCCCGTCCAATTGCATCCTACCAGGTATCCCTAAACATCGAACCGAACCTCCCACGGCGCTGGCAGGACAGTAGCTTGGGGGGTTGGCTAGTCCCCGTAGCCTCCGAGTCCAGGCCACCTCGGCCTAACACTGCAGATCTCGTAGGCACGGTCAAGCGCTACCACTGCCTGACTTCAGGGTCCTCCAGGCCACCTCGGGTCGATGAACCCCTGGGCTCCGATACAGCCAGGCGCTGGCCTTGCCCTATGGGTGCTAGTTCCACGGCTCACCACTGCAGCTCAAGACCACTACCGCGAACTGCTACCACCGCGTCCATTCTACGATTCAATTGTATAGCGACAACCACTTGTAGCTCGGCAGTTTACCACACTGCAGGGTCATTCAAGTTCGCATCTTGTAGACAAACCTAGAACAATCATCCCATGCAACAACACGGCCATTCATAAGTCGCCCGCCTGCCGCCTCATCTTCTCTATTTTCCTTCTGCATGGTCACACGTTATTTTGTCCGGCAAGCTTCGACTGTCGCGAGGAAGAACAAAACCAGCGTCCGGGCATCCAATGTCAAGCAGAGGTCTCCGACAGGCCGCCCACGATACTCCCGTACGGAGATCGTGAGCGACGAGCTGTGCAGTGCGTGTTCTTGGATTTCCCTCGCGCTGCCATCGTCCCAGCTGATGTGTTTTTCTCAGAGGATGTCATCAACCGACTACGCCCGACCTTGCCGGCCCCTCAAACATGCGACCTAATCGATATAAACCCTGGTAGTGGTATCTGGTCTCAAAAGCTTCACGCTGTGTTGAAACCGCGGCGCCATGTCCTCGTCGAACCCGCGCTTCGGACACACTATTCCGACGACCTCACCCCTCTGCTGGACGCAGAAGACTCAAAATATCGGCACACTGGTCTGTTGGAAGACGCCTTGAATCCCTCCAGTGGTTTGCTGTCCGAGAATGTCACAAATCAACTCGACGCTCATAAAAATGGCCCCCGGGTTAATCCGTCACTACTCATCACGGCAAATCTGTCTGGAGCAAGTCTGAAGATGAACAATTATGCGGGCACTCAAAGCCGAAAATTCTTCGACGACCTGTACCTCTCCCTCTGGAGGATTCGCAGCAACATACACCGCTACGGCCTAGTGCGGCTGATGGTGTGGATTCCCGACGACGAGAAAGACGCATATATTCCTCGAACGGTATCGGCACGACGGAAGCAGGCGGTGATGCTTGAAGCAAGTCACCACATCACCGAAGTCGCTGGTACCTCGACACAAACCAAGACTACACGTCTGCGCAGGTGGCCTGAATTGGATCGCGAAGATGCCGCTCGAGTGGCAGCAATCGAAGCAGCTACAGGAAATAAAGCGCCAGCTTCGAGGAGAGACAGCATGCCAGTGCCTCATTTGTTGACCGTGGAACCCGTGCCCAAAGAAATTCGAAAGGTAGCATTCACCACCGATGCGGAATGGGTCCCGAGGTTTCTTGCCCTGGAAGAACGTCTGCGACGGGACGACGCGGCATGGTTCAAGAAGTACGCCTATGTGAAATATCCTCCCCGTGGTCTCATGGACACACCGGACCGAAGAGCATGGCGAGAGCTCCGCAGGCGTGCCAAAACCGCGTACACAACCCACATGAAGGCGGTCGGGCTTATCAAGGAAGAACGGGAATTGGTGGCGGAATGGAAGCGACTCATAATAAGCCCGCCCGACCATGGGTTTATGGACCACGAGAAACACCTAAAAGCCCGCGCAGAGTCCCTTCAACAGCAGATCAAAAAGCTCAACCGAACCAACCGGAGTTTCGCCGAAAAGGCCATCGACGACTGTCGTGCATACGACATGGTGCCGCCAGTCATGGCCTGGAACCAACGTCAAAGCGAGCCGTTGATCGTGCATGCCGGCGAATTCGACCCGCGGGACCGTCCCATGGCGCTTCTCGACGTCACTCCACGCCCCGACTTTCTCCTTAAGATCAACACGCACGACAAAATGGTTTGCTTCGGCCACGTTGTTGGACAGCTGTATCCTTATTTTGTCAAAAGCGTTGCCGAGGGTTTGCGGTCGCTGGTGCACGAAGGGCTCGACGATTTTGTCGCCACGATTCCGGGGATTCACGATCCCACCAAGGGCGGCTGGTATGATCTGAATGCCATCCGGGTGCGCTCTCTGCCCGCAGACATGTTTGTCGAGATTGCGCTGGCCTACGAGAGGTGGCCCTTCCGCCAGTCCACTGAAAGTATCCTGATGTTGGCCGCCGACCCTCAGGCGGCATATAGTTTAGGTGATGATGATTGAGGATGACGGTTGGCCAGTTCGGACGGGGATATGTCGATGTCCATCTAATGCAATCTTGAACAAAACATCAGATAGGTCACTTTTATACAATACGTTGTTTATCCGTCGTTCGAATCTCCTGGACTAGTACGATAGGCAAAGTGACTACTGCCCTCGGGTGCGTGCGGTGGCAGCCAAACACTAAAGGTAAGCACTATCTGTCGGCTACAGCTAGTACCGCACAGTAACCGATGGACGCCACAAACTCGAGTTTGTGTGTGAGGCGCCTGCGTGTGGACATGTACACTTTGGTTGATTTGGCTTGAGATAAGGACAGGAGACTTGGACAAAGCGGTAGGAAATTACAATATCACTAGTACGAGCGATGACCAAAGTAGCCGGGTAGAGCTACACTGACAGTATCCGTCCTAGCCATCTTCTGTATCAGTCTACGAATGAAAGTGGCGTCGGGCGTGGTGCGCATCCCTCTTGCTTGAGGTCTGATGATGGGATTGTTTTAACGCCGCTGTGCAAGCTAAAGCCTTTGCCTTTTGACACCAGGGCCCGACACACTTCGCTTTAAAATCTCAGGCTTTGTGAGCGCGTGCTACTACTGGGTACTGTAGCTGAAGGGTCCCTGATCGCCGAGCATATGTAACGATTTCGGAGATCGATAACATTGACATCTGAAAGTCGGTCTGTTTCCGCAGTAAATGTGGATTGTTGGCTCCCCTCCAAATTCGATGATTGAAGTAGGAAGGATAACATCCAAGTCGCCGGCGCGATGGATGCTCTGGGCAAGCGAGCAGAAACAGAAACGCCAGAATGGGTACTTCTGTCTCTATGTTCTTTCACCGGCAGGAGCCAAGCATAGGTCCCACTGGACTCAGCAGGCGTGGAAAGAGAAAACATTGCCACAGGAGTGACAATCTCGACAAACTGTTCATAGTCGCGCCAAAGTTGAGGGTCCCAATGAAGGCGGGCACCATAGGTACGAGCGTCAGCTTGGACCGTAGTAGTACCATCAGAAAGTCGGTACGATAACTCGGGAACAAAAGAGTGCTCGGGAGAGGCGTTAATCAAAGTGACATCGGATTCGCCTGCACCTGATTCATTCTTGGCCGGGTAGAGATACAAGTATCTGTCCAGGATCTCGCATTTTCCAGAATCTTTGTTTTGTTGTGGATTAGGCAGTACAGGTCTCCGCAAACGATATGTTTCGGCAACATGCTGAGGGCCTGAGAGAAGATCAGTGGTTTCATTGGCGTCTGCAGGCGTGTTAGATTGAAATGGTCTGCGGTCTCGACGGGCTTTCAAAACGTCATCCCAGGAGTTTTGCCAACGATAGAGACAGCCGTCAAGGAGGCCATCGAGATCTCCGTCAGAAGAAAGGCGATCCGTATCAGGAAGCCAAGAGTTCGGGATGTATGTGACGCGTAATTCATCGTCTTCAACAATACCAATGTTTGCCAGGACTGACCAAATTGGTTGAAACAAGCGGGTGGAATTGGGAAGAGGAATGCGAACGGGAGTGCATGGTGTGATACCAAGGGCGTCAAACTTGACATTTTCAATGCGTTGATACAAGGCCAGAGCCATTGAGTGACGAAATTCAGCGAAGGAAAATCGTTCATTGAGATGAGGTTTGAGTTGCGAGAGTTGTACCCAACATTGTTCGACAAGATCGAAGAATTTGTCTACGTTAGGCGAAGACAAGATTCGTTCCCTCCTTCCAGAAAGGCCCAACCCGTAGGAAGTGAGGACAGAGTTGCCTTCGAAAAAGCCAGGAGTTGATTGCGTAGTTGAAGCCGCAGGCTTTGAACCACTGGACTTGTTCTTACCGTGATTGTATTGGGATCCGGAAGCAACATTGGGCGCGCTGTCAACGCCTACGGCCCTGGCCGCCGCATAATGGGGAGCTGGGCGTGATTCAGACATCGGGGGTGGAGATTGCAAGTAAAGATACCTAGGTAGATAGGTAGATACTAGGTAGGTAGGTAGGTACAGTACTAGGAGTGTTGAAGTTGTGGTTCACTGTTTCTAGAAATACAAGTAGTAGTGCTGGTAGTACTTTGTAGTGTTCGTTAGTGAGTGCCTGTGAATGGACTAGGGAGGCGCCTCCGGCCTGCGACACCCACGGGCACTTCAACTTCAACCACTTCAAGTTTAAGTTCCACTTACTGATATAGGAATGATTGACTGATTTCTTTAGCGCTTCGCCATCCCCTGAATATCGTGGCATCTAGTGCCGTCGGCAAACAGCGTCGGCTTCAAGTTCGTTTCGTTTCGACGATCCATTCCTGCCGCTCGCGTGAGCACGATAAACACAATCTGTGAGACTGAAAAAGGAGTCGAAGGAAGTATTCAAGTCTTACAGCATTGCGGCTGATATTTGGCCCTCCAACTGTGACAGCGCCGGCCTTCAGGCCAGCCAGCTCCATAATGATGCAACTTCAGGCCATCCTGGCGTCTGACTTGAAGGAATTCGGGCTTTCTCCTATGGCATGCTGCTCATCACAATCTTCGCCCTGATGATGCTAAGAATACCCACCATCTCATCGACCCATCAAGAGCCTGGCCACATGCCGTGTTGCCCTACAACTGCTAGTGGACGCCACGATACCGGCGGAAGAACAGGGTACCCCCTCGATCCTGGCTGGGTCAGCATCCCAAAAGAGAATCAAGGCGGTCATCATACTCCCATAATATTGATTTTCATCACATCTCGACGCCATTTCATATATTGTTGGCCTTTCCCATGCAAAAGGACAGAATTAAAATCCCCAGTTGAATTTTACTTATTTAGTCGTTATGTCATGATTGACTTGATGTTGTCCTCCCTTTCACTACTATTATTGGAGCAAAACGCCCCCCCAGGATCACCATTTCCCTACCTTATTTACCTGACCAGCCAAACCGGCAGTCAAGAAGAGGCAGATTTCGCAGACTCAGTCTCGTCCTGACTTGCTGTGACGCCGTCTGTTCCTCAACATATGGGGAGACACAATATACACAACTTCTATTGTCTCACCCTCCCTTTGCGACAGCTATGGCATTTTGCTCTGGGTAGGAAAGAAATATTGCATTCCCTCCCCGAGACAGCCTCGCTGACAGGCGTAAGGGCGGCAATACCCACCGATCGTCAGTCATTATCGTCATCCATTTCTGTTTCTGTCTCCGGGCTTTCAGGTCTTGTGGCAACAAATAGTCAGGACGACGCCTCGTCGATATTGTTTTGCTCTCCCACCGAAGCCGCATCTCTACCCACAACTTCATCCTCCAAACCTGTGCCCCGGCCTATCAAATTGAGAGCCGCTTGCAACCACTGTTTTTCTGCCAAGGTGTGCTCCCACAAACTTGTTTCTTCTTGCTCCATTGTCTCCTCGTTGCTTACTGTTCGAGCCTGGCAGGTTAGATGTGATGGGAACAAGACGGGCTGCCGGAGATGCTCTGAAAAGAGACTCGAGTGTGCATACAGCGAGTCTAGGGTTGGGAAAGTCGTAGGCAAGAGAAGAAAGCGCCCCCTTGCCCAGCCGGTCGACTACAACGTTCCCTTTAATTCGCAGAGCTGGAGTGCCGCCCCCAACCACGATACAACTCAGGCCATCCCCTCACCCGCAACCACCCAGGGATCGGACGAGTGTACCCTTGCGAAAGAAAGTTATTGCAATCGACCAGTGTGGGCCACCTTTGTTGCCCAAGGTGGTGACCACGACCAAGGATTCCTGAGCGTCGACGACAATACCGACTCACCGGCCACTATCGAGATGGCCGGCAATCGAAATATGTCTCTCACCAGCGACGCCGGGTCGTCCTTCTTCCCAAACAGCGGGCTACCCACGCCGGCTCTTAGTCCTCCTCAGTTTACGCGATATGCTTCACCTATACACTTCCAGATCCAGCCTACATCCAGAGACATATCCACTCTGGTCCACTCACAATACTCTACAATGCCGGTAATTCAGAAGCCCGGTAGGGTTCCGGAGGACGAGGAAACGGTGTGTATCAAGCTGCTGGCACATCTCAAAAGACACCGACGAGATGAGACTGGACTCCTGGCAGCACAGGTTGAGTTGTTGAAGAAGAGCAATGCCGTGGTACGGAGGATCTTAAAAAGCAAGAATGTCCGGTCAGACTATGCATGTCAACTGCTCCTCTCGAACGTGTTGGACAATCTGGTGCGACTATGTGAGCAGCTCTGTGATCAGCAGTCAACGCTCAAGGTTGTCCCGATCACGTCAGACGATGTTTCGCAATTTCTACATGATGAGCCTGACATGGGGATGGAGTCGAGTATGCTTAATGGCGGTTCTATCCAGCAGCAACCACTGACTCCCCCGGACGGAGAGGTGCTGCCAATCTTGGCCAAGGATGTCTTATCCCTCAACTCGACAGTGAGCGACATGCTGAAGAAAAGGCCCTTGGATGGATTTCAGATGCTGGGAAGACATGAGACCTTTCACATCGCGCTGGAGCAAAGACTGATGCGCGTCATCGCGGGGCTGTAGGCCTAAATCTTGCCTTTACGGCCGATCAGCGGCCACTATAACGCGCTAATGAGTAAGATAATCATTCTAGACACAGTAATACACAACACATTCAAGTTGTACCGAATTACTGAAGGTCATAGTAGGTCTTTTGCGGAATGGCCCCCAAGCCGAGCGGGCGGACAAACATGCCAAGGCCGGAGTGTAACCTGGAGTTAAGTTCCCTGCCAGTGGCGGCGGCCGGCCGAGGGGGGCTAGGGAGGCCTGTTGAGTTGCTCCCACGTAACGAATGGCGGCCCGCAGCGGCGGCGACCCAGTGCTACTGCCACTGCCACAGCACTCCCTGTACTGATCTGTGCCGTGCCTCTTGCTCCTAGTAGTAGGACTACTGAGGACAACCAATGCAGTGCGAGTTGTTGCCATCTTGCCTGACCGAACATCTTGTCGAATAGCACATTGCCCAATCTTCTGGGGCTACTCCTTGTTTCTCCGCGGTTCCTACTTTGTGGTGCGACCAGCTTCTTGTTCTGGTGTGCGTCGACGCTGGCTGTCGTTACAGTACTAGTTGTAGCATTGCCCCGGACCACCGTCTCCGAATCCTCCACATTTTCTTCAGCCAGATGCAGCAGGCTGACACGCGATCAGCACCGTCGGATTGTTGAGGCTGCTGACACACTTGATACCGACATTGACCAACATGTTCCGCATGCGGCGTTATCGACTGTTTCTGATCGTGGCCCTGCTGGCAGTGGTCACGGTCTACCATCTCACCCGGGTCCATCGCTGGGATGGTTCAGCCTTGGAGGGCCTGATCGGATACAAGCCTGATACTGGCAAGACGACCGTTCCCATTTCTGACCCAGCACACGCACCCGCACCCGCACCCGCACCCGCATCAGACCCTGTTGCACCTGTCGCCCCGGAGGCAGATGAAAAACCAAAACCAGCCACGAACTCGAGCCCTCCGGTTGCGCCGACGGTAGAATCCCACGCGGCGGCTGTTCCTGACTCCTCTGAGCATGTCACCACTCACTCCACCTCTGCTCCCTCTAAGTCGGTGTCCACGATAACGGGCGACGAGCTTCTCGCAAAACAGCCCAATTTCGAGGAGGATTTCGGCGAACATGGTCAAGGTCGGTACGAGGTAGTACCTCGACCGTCAGACCAACCAAGAGCATACTGGAAACCACAGAAGGAGCACTTCCCGTTACCGGCAGAAAGCCTGATATCTTTGCCGACAGGGCAGCCAAAGGTTCTGCCCAAGATTCAGCACAGCTTTAGCCGCGAGTCATCGTCGAAGAAGGCCGAGCGGGTGCGGCGACAGGCGGCAGTTCGCCAATCATTCAAACACGCTTGGAATGGCTACAAGAATCTGTCGATGCCTCACGACGAGCTTAAACCGCTCTCCCGGGGCGTTGGAGATCCGTTCAATGGCTGGGGAGCAACACTGGTAGATTCTCTGGATACTCTTTGGATCATGGGACTGCGCGACGAGTTTGAGGAAGCTGTCAAGGCCGTAGGGGAGATCGACTTCAAGACCTCGCCTCGAAAGGATATCCCTCTGTTTGAAACGACAATTCGCTACCTTGGAGGGTTGCTTGCTGCATACGATCTCAGCTCGGGAAAATACCCTGTGCTGCTGGACAAGGCGGTCGAACTTGCCGACATCCTCATGGGCGCATTCGACACTCCCAACCGGATGCCCATCACATACTACAACTGGGCTCCGTCATATGCTTCCCAACCACATAGAGCCGGAGCACATACCGTGCTTGCCGAATTGGGTTCACTTTCAGTGGAGTTTACTCGGCTGGCTCAGATCACTCACGAGAACAAATACTACGATGCGATTGCCCGCATCACCAATGCTCTCGAAGAGTGGCAAAGGAAGACGACACTGCCGGGTCTCTGGCCCTTAAAGGTCGATGCATCTGGGTGTCGTAAACCTGAAGTCGTCCGCAATGCAGACGGTGTTGATGAATCTCCTCTGTCTGTGGCCGAGAGTGCGGGTGAAGATGCGGATGATCAGGACACTCCTGCCCCAGCCGGAAACACTGGACCAGACTCAAAGCGGACGGTGAAACGGGAAGCACCACAGCCTCATGCAGGGGTTGACGCCGCTCCGCCGAAAGAGGTCGTCGATGACCTCGGAGGTAAATTGGTGCCAGTAGACAACGAGAAGTGGGAGGGAGACTATGCCACTGTCGACTGTGAACCGCAAGAATTAAGCTTCGAGCCTCATTCGACCAGTCACACATATGGAATCGGCGCCATGGCGGACTCGACCTATGAGTATTTGCCTAAGGAGTATGCACTGCTGGGTGGCCTCCGTCCACAATACAAGTCCATGTATCTGGATTCAATGACTGTGGTTCGAGAGCAATTGCTGTACCGACCCATGACGAAGGAGAACGAGGATATTCTTTTCGTGGCCAAGCAAATTATCTCGCCCAAAGCGACCAAAAAGTCGAAGAAGAAAGTGACCAAGTATGAGGGCACACATTTGGGTTGTTTTGCGGGAGGTATGTTTGCGTTGGGCGCCAAAATGTTTGGCCTTGAAGAAGATATGGACATTGCTGCGAAGCTCACTGATGGCTGTGTCTGGGCATACGGCTCCACACCAATAGGGATTATGCCGGAGGAATTTGAACTGGTGCCATGTGACAGCCGCACTGCTTGCATCTGGAACGAGAGCAAATGGCACGAGGCTCTGGACCCACGTCGTGAGGAAAGATTCCGAGCGGTGGAAGCCTATAACAGGGAGCAACAATTGTTACACGAACAGACAGTCGCTCATGGCGCGGATCAAGCCGACGAGGCTGAGTCTAGTGGAGCAGAGTCGGAGCCTTTTATACCGCGGGTACCACTGTCGCATGAAAAGTACGTGGCTGCGAGAATCCTCGAAGAAAGACTGCCACCAGGGTATACCTCAATCAAGGCCAGAGATTACCGTCTCCGACCCGAGGCGATTGAGTCGGTCTTTATCATGTATCGCCTGACTGGGGACGAGAGCTGGAGGGACAAAGGCTGGACCATGTTTGATGCGGTGGATAAAGCGACCAAGACCGAAATTGCCAATGCCGCGGTGAAGGATGTGACCAGCCAGCTGATGGAGCAGGATGATACTATGGAATCTTTCTGGCTGGCCGAGACGTTGAAATATTATTATCTGCTATTCAGCGAACCGGATTTGATTAGTCTGGACGACTATGTTTTGTGAGTACTCCGGAGCGGGTGTTATACCATCGACGGCTTTACTGACCTGCATGATAGGAACACTGAGGCACACCCATTCAAACGGCCGAGGTGATATTGAAAGACAGTTGTTTTGGACGACTCTGCAGCATAGGGCCGTATCTCTGACGTTCCATGACCACTGGCACTCGGCGTAGCATTGCCCGGCGTTATAGGAGTCTCGCGCCTTGACCCAGCGGAGGGGCGGAATGCCATCCGCCGGGTCGAGATGGCACACATCTCCGGTACCACGGTTATCGGGCCCAGGAGTATAGTTGTGCTATGTATGACTTGCATCATAGAGACCATTACATGTTATGGCGACAGTACTACAACACCTGAAGGACTGTTGACAGTTATGAAATCAGTATTACCTATTGTCGAACCACATTGTATGTACGTACAGTACCTAGGTATTCTGTACCTTGCGACGGCTGCCCGGGGTTGAAGTTGTTAGATCTGAAGGTCCTCGCGCGCGTCATCGGCCCACCAACTGCGGACCACCAAACACTGGCACTTCTTGTTGCCCCCAAACTTGGCTGCTACTGTATCGTCGATCGTCTCAGACCTACAGTAATACTAGTAATAACTGTTTATCTGCGAGTCTCATCTCAGGCCTTTAATCACCACTATCACTATCCATTGACCGACCTCCGCTCTGCCTGCCTATATCACTAACCATTCTTTATTTTGCGTGGGGCGTGTTGGTGTTGTGTACATGTCGACGCATGCCTGCGCTTACTCGCACGTGAAGAGCGTCCGTCCGCTTCTGTGGCTATCCCGCCCAACATCCGCCGTGGCAGAGACGATATGAAGCTGGGCGTAGTATGGAACAAGAGGTTACATATGACTTCGAGGACGACTACCAGTTCTGGACCGGTCAGTCATGCCAGTGATCCATTGTCCATCTTCCTGGCCGGGTATCTGTTCGGTGCTGACATCCAGGTGACATCAAGTTCTCGACCAGACCGTCTCCCGAAAATGCGACTCCCATAGCGCGATCGATGATACCTTGCGATCCTACCTGAGTTTAATATCTTCCTGCCGCGGTACGTCGAAGTCCGATGGGTGTTCATGAAGAGATAGGTGATCGGCAGGGAAATGGAAATGCTGATGGCAGATCTGCTTGTTCCAGAACGGTTTCTGCCAACCGACGAGGACTTATGTCGCTGCGCTCTCAAGCTACAAGAATCGCCGCTGTTCGAGACCCACGGTGACTACATCCGTCGGCAATTTGTCCAATGTCTGCTCGAGGTATGTTGCGCTCCGGTCTGGGTTGGAGGGGAATCGCCAGCACTCGCCATGCGTTCGCGAACGGTGACTGACTAAAATGGCTTCAGGAGGATGAACCCGACACCATTCTGACTTCGACGACGTTCCTGATCGCCGACGCACAAACTCATGAAAGTACTTATGAACTGTTGAACGAGGAAGGGGCGTTTCCCAGACTGGTCGATCTCATATCGAGTCCACAGCAACATGGCCACGAACCGCTTCATCGACTGCTGATGGAGCTGCTTTATGAGATGTCGCGCATTCAGAAGATAAGGATTAGTGACCTTTGTATGTTTGGACATCGCGGTCGTCCTATCGAATTATGTGGTGTGGTGATCTAACACAACACGGCAACAGCACATGTCAGCGACGACTTTGTCAAGATGCTGTTTGAGATCATAGAACAGGTTTCCGACGATGTGAACGACCCCTATCATTATCCTACAATTCGTGTTCTGGTGAGCCTACTACTTCCCTTGACACGACGGCAACACTAATGGCTCCAACAGCTTGTCTTGAATGAACAATACATGGTCGCGGCACATGATCCCGTCAACGGCCCAAATACCACCCCTTTAACCAACAAAGTCATCAAGGTCCTCTCCGCCCATGGCAGTGAGTACAAGACTTTTGGTGAGAACATTATATTGCTACTGAATCGTGAAGGTTGGATCTCACTCTGTTCTGCTGCTGCTCGGAATAATCTGACCCCTGACAGATGAAACTTCTTTACAATTGTTGACCCTCAAGCTACTCTACCTCTTGTTTACCACCCCGTCAACCTATGAATACTTCTACACCAATGACCTTCGAGTATTGGTGGATATCTTGCTCCGAAACCTGCTGGATCTTCCTGAGGAGGCGGTTTCGCTTCGCCATACGTATTTGCGTGTCCTTTATCCTCTTCTCGAGCACACTCAACTACAATATCCTCCCCACTACAAACGGGACGAGATCCGCAAAGTGTTGATGGTACTTGGAGGTGGCCAAATAGCAGACTGCAATGAGCAGGAAAATGGCGGGCTAAATCCTTGGAGTCATTTTGATCTGGTGGATGAGACCACACGCCGACTGGTCAAGCGATGCGAAGGAGTGAGCTGGCTGACGGATCCGGAGACCGAACCTCTGACGCAAGTCATATCGCCTACCGACGAAGCAGCATCCGACACTTCACTTCCGGCGTCGCCATCCAAGGGCAAACCACCGGCACTTCCGGCACCACGAAAATTAAAGAAACGGCACTCTTCCAAGGGCTCCACACTGACTGTCGGCCAGTATCTCACTCCACAGTTGGAAGGTGCCAGGCAGTCAAGCCTCAGTATGATGGAGGTGGCGGCACAAAGGGAGAAACCCGGGGTTATCACTCCTAGTCGAAATCCGAGCCTGAAGCAGAACCTGCGAGCCGCCATCATGCATAAGAAGGAAAGACCTCCCCCACCGCCCCAGGCCAGACGCTCGGGTTGGGGACGGCCAAACTTACGAAGCCATGCGACCGACGCGAAGGTTGCCAAGGCAGGAATTACAATTACGGAACAGGCAAAACCTGAACCTGAACCTGTGTCCCATGACGTGCAACAGCAGGGGAATCAGGCGAGACGGTCCTCATTGGGAGCGTTATCCGACCAACAGAAAGAAAAGGCTACACCGACCCATCACGAACCCCCGCCAGTGCCGGCCAACCATAAAGGACACTTCAGAAAACCACCGCCGACCCCCAAGGCGCGCCGTTGGCGGGTGAAGCGTGGTAAAGAAGAGGACGGAAGCAATGGTACGAATGGAGCTAGAGAGCCTGGCAAGTTTAGCTCGAATCTGCCTTCGATAGTGACTACTACCGTTAAGGGAGAGCATTTCACGGAACAGAGTCCATTTTCGCCTCACGAAGAGACATTCAACCCTGGCGACCTGGCCTCGACAGGAACAGCGGACAGCAATGTGAAGTTGGCGGTCAGTCAAGCATTGGAGAACGCGCAGGCGCAGGTTGTGGAGGCTGTCACAGATACGCTGGAACATGTTGAGCTGGATGTCAGCAAAAAGGATAACGCCGATGGTGGCAAGGGGGCCAACAACAGTGAACTGAAAGAAAGAACGGGAAACACTACCCGAGAGGACGATGGACATGCAATCGACTCCAAACAGCCATATGAGGACGACGACCTTGCCCGCACCAGCAGCAACATCGGCAATGGCGAGCACCAGCAACCCCAGACCCAATCACGAGAAGATGAGGAAGTAGTCCCCTTTCACGACGCCGTGTCGAAGCAACCGGAACAGCAACAGCAACAGCAGGTTTCAGAGGCCGGGCGGATGCCATCATCGCGGTCTTGGTCTCGATCTCCTCACCCTCCTCGACCAGGGCCTCCGCACGACTTTGAAATCACTGTCACTTCCGAAGAATATGGAGACGGGGATGCCAGTTTGTCCGTACCAATCGGCAAACCGTCGACAATACAAACTCCACAAATGGTCCTCACCCCTCCCGCGCAAGGACCGCTCCGTGGCGTTCCTGGACCACAGTATGAACTTGAGCGGAGTCCCTTTTTGACTGATGAGGATGACGATGATGATGAAGTCGAAGTCGAAGTGGGGGCTGGTAGGGAAGTTGAGGTCGAGGTCGAAGTAGAGTTGCATACGGAGACAGAGGCGGAAACGGAAGAGGGTGATGATGGAGGTGCCCCTCTTGACGTTAGACGGCTTGAAGAAGTGAATACAATTTGAGTGGGCAACAGCAGAGGCTCATGAGAACGAGGACGAGATACAACCAAAGGCGATGATGAATGACTGGAGCATGGAAAAGTCCATCATCACGGCTACGAGCAGAAGCCGGCCGCTGAAGGTGAGAGCCAGGGTAGAGTTAATCAAGACATCATACACATCCGAACTACCTTATTTGAACGTACTGGTATCAAAATGCATATAACGTGAGGCACTTTTGCTTATCCGTTGCCATGGGGAATTGTGCTGGGCGGTAGGTATGTATGTATGCACTTCTTGTTCCGGCCTGCCCTACCCTACCCTACCTAGGTAGGTCGGTACCTAGGTACCTACTCTACTGCCGTATGGGCGCCATCCGACAAAAAACAGAATCGGCAATCGCGGAGTATAGGGATCTACAGTATCTGTATCTCTCCCGCTTATCACAGTGACTACCATTCCTACCACGCCTCCACTGCATAGTATATATGTTCAGACGCTGGAGTCTGGTCTTGGAGACAAAAAAAGGATGAAACCAACCCAATTCCCTCCCACAGGGGAACCAGTCAGTCAGTCAGCGCGTACTATAACCGTCGTAATACCCCCGCCGCTCTAAGTAGGCAGCCTAACCTCTGGGGTGCTCCCCCAGAGATCACCCGCTTAACCTCACTCACTCCGCGACCCGAAGTAGTAGGCTAACTCAACCCGAGCACCCGGCCGGAGGTTCTAAGTCATAGGTCATCCTGAAAAGTCAAACACTGCACCCGCGGCGGCGACTTTTCCAACTAGCGGTTGAGTTCAAACTAGCCGTTGTGAATCTTTTTGCTTCGTCCGAGCCAATTGTCACGGTGCCAGTGTCTGGCGCTACGACCTGTAGCTGAGACTGAGACACCGTCCTTACCGTTACGCCACGGCGGCAAGACTCGCGCAGAGAACGATTGGGGACTTGATTCACGACACATTTTTTGCCATTTCTTGTTCAAGTAATGTTCTCTTGTTTTTTGAGTTCTGGTTATGGCCTGTGATGTTTTTGACCGAGGTATACTGTATGTGGACTACATGCTGTACCTGGGCGGGCATATGTGTTTCAATGCGGATATATCTTTCAAGCTCTCTGTTGGTACCGACCAGAGGGGTTCAGTCATATTGCTGCCCGCTGCATTTGAGAGAGTATCCTTTTTTTTTTGTTTTTGTTGTGATTCTCACTGTACTACGTTGGGTGCTCTATGGGGGAACCCCCACCGCTCCTCCCCGCAACTTCACTTCCTGTACCCCAGTAGCCCCTGTGCCCCCACTTTTTTCGTTTCTACACTGTACAACTACAGTAGGAACACAGTAGGTAGGTACTATTGTCCAAACTCACTGACAACATTACGATCGGTACGATCAGTCCGTAGCTCGAGCACCATCCAGCCTTGAGTTCAATGCCAACGAAGCCCCTAGTAGTAGTAAGTATGCAAAATGACAAATACAAACAACAGTCGAACACCAACTGTGGGAGCCTACTACATTCAACTACTTTAAGGCGCAGCGGCTTAGATGTTTATGATGTACTCAATGGTCATACGTGCTTGTTAGAATAAATTATGGATATACAGCACGGTACATTTTTTGATTTTCTCTTGGTAGGGCCGTGCTCGTGCAGCAGTAGTAGAGCAGAGCAGGGCAGGGCAGGGTAGGGTAGGCCAGAAGAGAAACATACAGTAAGTAGCCTGATGGTAAATATACACCTACCCACCCAATTCCCCATGTCGATGGCGATGGCTGCGCAAAATTATATCCTACTAGGTCCTTACAGTTGTACTACGATTCAACAAGACAGTTGGACAGCATTGATATGAAATAACTGCATAAGTACTGAGAGAGGGGTAGCTAGACTGTACTGCAGTGCTACACCGCTAGGAGGTGCTGTGAGATCAAAATCAGAACCGGACTTGATTGCATTCAAGCACTTATTTTCATTGTGGTAGTACCTAATTACCCAGGTACTAGTACTGTACCTGCTATTTGACTAGGCAGGTACATCCAGCAGTACGAGAGACTGGCACTGTACTGCGCAGCTCACTCCCTACCTGAGCCCAAGACCAAGCAAGCCGTTGATTGATCTCCCGGTCATTGTCTTTTTGGCCGTGCTGCTGGATTGAGAAAAGGACGAAAAAAGCCACGCGCCGAACTGGGGGTATTTGCAAGCCGAACAAAAAGAAGAAAATGCTGTATCTGATCGGTCAATCGATCGAAGTCGGTAGTTGCAAGGAGCCACCATCACGGTCGAGTCGAGACCAGTCAAGACCAGCCAAGCCAAGCCAATCAATGACCAAAAATGCCAAAGTATTGCTCGACACCAAAAGGACCAGGAGCCTTGTAAGTGGCGTCGAAAGCCTGGAAGAGGAACAAAGAGCCGGGATTGCTGCTAAAAGACGTCTTCAGACTGGCAATGGCACTGACTTGGTTGGCAGGCGATGGAATCGCGAGACTATCGGGAGATCCTTGCCATGGCCAACCGGACTCAGTGATAATGACTTGTTTACCACCAGCGATCGAGGCAACTTCGCTGGCGGCGTTGATGACGAACGAGCCAGCATTCGGAGCCGAGGTATTCGGATCAAAGAATGCATGGGCATTGACTGCACAATAGTCGGAATTGGCACAGATGGAAGGATTCTGCTGATGGGCCATGAAAGTGTCGACGGCGACAACATTCTTGGAGAATCCTGCTGCCGCTAGAATGGGACGGGCAACGGCAAGTGCGGCAACCACAGCAGCAGCAGAACCGCCATCGTTGACGACTTCGTTGCCAATCACCACGGTGTCGATCGGGGCCCAGTTGCCGTTGATCATGCCGACCAGCTTGGCCAGGTCGCTGGCGACATTGCCAATTCCGTTCAGACCGATAATCAATTGCAAGCCTTGGGATGCGGCAGCCGCAGCAACCACGCCCAAGTCACAGCCAATGTCGTAGGTGCGCACTTTGGTGAAGCCCTGGCTGGCGAGGAATCCAAAGTCCGAGTTAAGGCTGGTTTGGTCCTTGCAACCAGAATCTCCAATCAGTTCGTAGCAGATGCCGAATCCGCTATAGTCGGCAGATGATCCATCGGCATGATGCGCGAGCTTGTCACCACCTGTACCAGAACCAGAGGTACTAGCGGCCTGAGTGGAAGGAGCCGAAGAAACAACAGCCGTGCTGCTGGAATCAGGAACGATGACGCTGGAAACTGCTGCGGGAGCGGATGAGATTGGGACAGAAGATGCCACTGCCGAGGATTCGTAGCTCGAAGAAGCAGCAGCGGTTGGGACATTGTATGTTTGAGACGATGGGACGACAACGGTGTTGCTGCTGACAGGAACAACAGCGACCGGAACCGGAGTCGAAATCACAAGAGTGTTGGTCGCTGTAGCAGAGGCGATCGGGATATCACGGTATTCGGTCGAGATGATGTTGTTGTATTGATCGACCCAGACAACAGCATTCGGCGCGGTAACAGTGACGATGTCGGTAACGGTAGAGTAATCGGTGACTGCGTGGCGCACATGGTGATGATGTTGTTGTTGACCCGGACCTTTTGCGACAGTCAGTGTTGATTCGTTGCAAGCTCGTATAGAACCTTTTGTGAGTACTCACCATGAGGAACAGCCAGACCAACCTGTGCGCACACGGCAGCAAGTCCGAAGACAAGGGCCTTCATCGTGTTGCGACAATGAATGAAGAAGGCGTTCAGCCCAAAATGAGTGTCAGAAGCCTATACAGAACCAAATGGTGAGCAATGCATCAACACCGGACAGCCCTGTGAATTTGATTTGCATGCGCCCCAAAAAAGGGTCGGACAGCAAGTGTAGGTGTAGGCCAACGCTATACTACTATAGCGCACGATCGTCGCACGGGAGATATGCGCCGTTGGCAGGGTAGATCGATGGGATGGAGTATTATGGGGGAAGGGGATAGGAGATTGCCTGGTGGTCCATGCGCTGTCACTCGAGGCTTAAGTCCCAGCGCAGCGAATGCGGCTTTGTCGACCAGGGCGACCGAGAACAAAGCACAGACAATAGCCGCTGTTCTGGCTCGCCGCTTCTGGAGCAACAGAAAGGAAAAGGTCGAATGGGAGGAGAGGAAGAGGAGGGTGGCTGCGATCAGGTAGGTGTGCGACAGCTGAATGGGCTGACACTGGCTGCGCCCGCAAGCAGAAATGTGAAAAACGTGGCTGCGCACGGACTGAACACCAAATGTTATGCATCCGAGACAATGACATCAAAGACTTACCGAGAAAGATATTGTCGAGCGCGACTATGATAAAGCTGTAAGAACTGGTTGCGACAAGCACAGGTCGAAGAGGGTTTGTGGTGAGAAGAGGTACGAGGGTGGGAGTAAACAAGAAAGAGAGTGCACGGGCGAGTTGTAGACGGAATGTTATGTTGTTTTCGGAAGAGCGCAGTTGGAATGTTAGTGACAAGAATGTCTGTTTATCTGGTACCTTTGCGGTGAAGCTCTCGAATTGTCGCAGGTCCTGGCACAATTCACCATCACCTTCGGAGTGCGCGACTGGACTGGACGGATTCACGATCCTGCGCCGCATTGTGTGCACTCAGTGACGGAGACGGTGAATGCAGTGAGTGCGATCAAAATCTGTAAGTGACGACGCTGAGGTGCAAGTTGCGCGTCGAAGCAGAACGTGAACCTCACGGCTGCTCACTCCGCTGGCATCCTCAACCCACCACTCACTCTTGCCAAAACGTGAACGAGATTCATCTTGTTCATTGATAAAGAAAAGCAGTAGCAGTAGCGGCGGAAGCGGAGAGGCAAGAGACACAATCAAGGCATCAACAGCTTGAAACACATTATCACGCTTCATCCCAACCAAATCATCATCAGCTATGACTACCACTCCCTCAATGACCAGCTCCAAGACTCTTCCGCTGCGACAGTCTCCTCCTACTAGCAATTCATGCCGCTGACCAGCTGGGAAGAGAGAAAATGAAGATTATACTTTACCGTGCAATTCGGCCTTTGCTCCACTGCCTCGAGCTCCTCTTTCTGTCGACTCCGAGTCCAGCATTGTGTCTCACTCGAGAATCCTGATCGAGCGCCGAGCTGGGGCTTCCTTCTTCTTCCACCACACTCATACTAGTAGAACCTTCAGCCGCTCTTTTTACTCGGGTTACACAATTCAACAGGAATCGGGACTCCTCAACTTGAACGGCTTGGAAGGGACCGGCTGAAGGAAGTCGACTTGGTCATGCAGCTTCGCAGCTCCCAGTTACTCCGAGCCAGGAACTGGTGGCACATGGACTCGGAGGCCGCCGAGCTACAGAAACAGCGGCAGTCGGAGGCCAGTCAGCTCTTGAAGGCCGACATAAGAAAGTTCTAAAGAACGTTGAAGGTGCCTCCGCCCTGAGCAGAACTGCAACAAGGGGAATGATGAACAATGGTTAAGTTTGAAGTCTGTGCCTCACATGTACACTTCGCGCTCGCTTGACTTGCCTTTTCCCGCCCGGTACAGCCTCGGCTCAAAAAGCACAGCCTTGCTGACATATACACTTTGTATACCTCACACGCCAGTGGTCCAGTTGTGAGAGTATCTAGGTGCCTATGTTTGTGTCAAATGTCTTTCCCAATGATACATCCAACTACGACGTGTGCGGTGTCATCATTCGTAGTCTCCTGAGCAGATTCAGATCCATCATAACGTGTATCGGGTTTGCGACGCCTCTGAGGTTGATTCTCGGCTACCCAGTTTCCCTTGTATAACCTACAGTACCCCTCCGAGCAAAACCATCCGGCCGTCGCTCTGTAATTGCTCGACTGCAGCATGGCGGCGACAGGTGCATAGTGCTTCTCTATCCACCTCGCTCGCCAAAATCTCGAGCCCACTTCTCGAATTCTTCTAGTCCTTTCTTGCTCACACTCGGCCGAATACTAGCCAGACTGGCCTCGAAATCCGACATCTGGATAGGTCGGATCTGCTCCTTGGGAGTGTACAGCAGCGCCTCGCCCAAATTCCGCAGCGGGCCCATGGCAGCGTCCTTGGCCAGTGCCGTGATATCAGACCCTGAGTAGCCTAAAGTGGAATGTCAGCCTATCTTCTCTTCTCGCACGCATAAGCAGTGGACATCCACTTACCCTCTGTCAGCTCCACCAGCCGCTTGATGTCGTCGTCAGTGAGGTTGTGATTTTGATGTCCGAGTAACGTTCGAATTTGGGTTTCCCGGGTTTCGGCTTCAGGAAGAGGAATGTATTGCCGTCGAACAAATCGTCGACGAGCCGCTTCATCAATGTCCCATGGACAATTCGTGGCAGCCAGAACCAACACTCTGCTCGCATCTCCCACCGTAGTGTCTTTGCCCGCGGCCGCCCTTTGTAAGTCGGACCACTGGATGAGAAACTCTGTCTTGCTCCTCCGCGATGCTTCATGCTCGCTGGCACCGCTCCTGGTACTGAGCAAAGAGTCGATCTCGTCCACAAATATGATACTAGGAGCGAGAGCTTTGGCTAGCGCAAACAACGCCCGCACCAGCTTTTCCGATTCACCGTGCCATTTGCTGGTCAGGCTGCTAGCGCTGATCGCGAAGAACGTGCTCTTACTCTCGGTCGCCACAGCCCTCGCCAGCATGGTTTTGCCCGTGCCGGGCGGCCCAAACAGAAGCATACCACGGGCGGGTTCGCGCAAGCCCATGAAGAGATCGGGCCGGAGAAAAGGGTAGACCACGGCTTCTTTCAAAGCCTTCTTTGCTGCCTCCAACCCGGCAACATCGTCCCAGTGCACTTCGTCTCCCCTGACCACGATGTCGTTGAGGATTTGTTTCGCCACGTTTTCATCCACTCCCTTGGGAAGATGTTGGAGAATCTCCGCGATCTTCTTTTCTTCGGCCGACATAGAACCGTCGTCTTCCATCGACTCCACATCAGTAGACGGAGGCGTGATTGTGTTGGCACTCTCTGTTCGCCCCACTCGAGGCCTTCGAGCTCGGTTCGCATCTCTCTTCGGCGTGTCATCCTCGCTGTCCGTGTTCCCACCTCGCCGGCCTGGAGAACGGCCTCGGTTGTCGACAGCTCGACTCGAACTGGCAACAGGTTTGCGAGTGACGCCCTGCACACTGGTACTAGAAGTGGTGCGCGGGTATGCTTTTTCGAGTAGGTCGTTGGTGGAGGGTCGGGCAGGTCTCGGTGGTCGTGCAGGGTATTCTTTCCGATACGATATGTCTGGTGGCTTAGGGAGCGAAGGCGCGGATATCGCTCTCGACTTGGCGTCGACCGATGATGGTGACAGACTGTGGGGCGGTGGAGGAGGAGGCTTGTCTGATTCCGAATCCAAGTCTATCAAATTCGGAGCGGACTCGGAAGTCAGCCGTAAGCTTTCCATGGACTTCTGCAGCGATGGTTGTCCATGAGTTGGGTTCGAAATATCGCGCCAAAATTGTTGAGGGAACGAGTCGGGGACCCCCAATGTGGAAGCATTCGATCTCTTTTGCTCTTCGTGTCGAAGCGTGGCCTCCTGGTCTATGCTTCTCCTGGCCGCGGTGGCACTCAATCTGGCTTCTATTGTCGAATCGGATTCCGGTCGCGTGCTCGTCTGCGAGCCTCTCCTGGGCTGTGCCTCCCAAGCCAGTCCTGCCGCCTTCAACGTCTCTGGCAACCTGTCACGGTTTGGGGCGGAACGATACTTGCGGAATCCCTTCTTCTCGCTGCGCAGTGTCGTCCGCATCGTCTTCCGGCCGCCATGCTCTGGACTCGGACTGCGAGACACCTTGCTCGTAGGAAGCACCAGCGTTGGTGGTGCGGCGAACGGGGTGAAACGTAGTCGAGAACTTGAACTCGCCTCTTTCCCTGTATTGTCACTGCTCCTACTGGCCCCAAGTGATGGCCGGGGAGGTAACGCTGGAGTGGCGCTGGGCAGTTCTGACATCTGCATCGGCGGTACGGTTTCGTCGCCCAGCCATGATCCAGCTTTATCAGATGCCGCCTCTTGCACCCCTTTGTTCTTCTCCAGTCGTTTCCTGCCACTGTATTCGGGCTTCTCCTCTATGGGCGTTTCCCGTCCGGCTTCCTGTCGGCTTCTCCTCAGGGCCTCGAGGAGGTCGACTCGTTCTCTGCATTGGGTCTCTAATTCATTTAAGGACTCGTACAGCGCCTTTTCCGTCTCCGACTTTGGCGTGTAGTTGAAGGGTAGTTTGTACGCTTTGTAGTAGTTGATTTGGTCTAAGGCTGATTTCCACGACCGGAGGGCCTCCGGCTCATTCCCCTGTGAGACAAGAACTGGTCAGGATTGGGTCATCTTAGCCAGAAATATCTCGTACCTGTCCCTCGAAGAATACGGCAGTTGAGCATTGAAGGTAGCACTCATCGTAGGTCTTTTGCATGGATGAGGATGGCTTGCTGCGCATCATGTTTGCTCGTGGTTCCTGGTAGAATCATGCTCAATCTCATGTCAAGGAGTCGACCGACGCAGTAGTGGTAGTGGTCTTGTCGCCTCGACGGTCAACGAAACTGGAAGTCTGCGCCACGGAGTGGAAACTGGGGAATTGGAGCCTTGTTGGAGTGCCGGTGAATCGACGAGGCAGACAAGCGAATGCGGACACAACACCACGCACCGACTGCTGACACCGCCCGTGCCACTACGTCACTTGAAGTTGGTGGAGGTTGGTTGCGTGCCTCTAATAATAAAATACTAGTACCACAATTATATTTGTGGCATCCTGAAAACCAGCCTCACCCACCACTGCTTAAGATAATACTTCAAACTCCAGACACGCCGTGTCCCCAAATCGCCGTACAATACTACAGTAGGAAAGCACCACGCACGAACACCACCGTTGATTACTAGTAGCGGACAAGAGATCACCACACAGTGACGCCTTTTCTCATTCATTGCTGTTGAATCCATGCTACCAACTGACTGATAGCACCACAATAAGACACTTTGAGCTCTCCTTTTTTGATAGATATACAGTATTTTCCAAAGGTCAAATCCGGACATCTGCCACAACATGCGCCTGAGCAATGGTCCCGCCTCCCCCCGCTTCAAACGGAACGCCGTCGCATGTACATGGCCACCACCACCTTGAGAATCAAGGCCAGTCCCGAAAGAGAAAAAGCTTGCCGGCATACCGGTGCATGCACCCGACGGCAGCGCTGTCTGTGAGGCCGGGCGTAACTGAAATGGGTATCTTCATTAAGCCGAGAATTTCGCCCGAGAAGAAAAGACTTGGCCTCCACACCCCTGACCGGTGCAGCAGCACCACAGACAGAAACAATCAATCGTAGCCAAGAATCGACAGCTTAGACACTCAGAGCTTGCTCATTTGAGCCTCGTGCTCTTCCCGCAGCGTCCGCTTGAAGTAAGCTTTAGCCATTTCGTATGACGACCTAGTATGTGTGGTTAGCGACATGGGGGACAACAGTAACAAGCCGTGAAAAGGGGCCTTACCAGCAAATCGCCGTGCTTGGCATAGTCGAGATGATGCGTGGCCGCCAGCCCCTCATAAAACCACTCCATCCAAACTCCCGCTTAATGATTGAAGCAGCATGGAACAGTCCTCGCACATTTCGGATTTCGTCCTTCTGACTGAGTCCCCGTGTCTGTAGTAGAGTCTTGATCACATCGAGCGGCGTAGTAATTCCCGCAGCAAAGGCACCAGCCAAACCGCCGGCCACGCAATGTGTGATGGGATCATATTCTTTCTTGGGGTTCATTATTGTGGACAAGGATTCGTAGGCCATGAACTGAGTTGCAGTAAACGGTACTGTCATACAGAGTGTCGTTGGATAGGATACGTAGAAGGCTGAGAAGCCTTCGGTGCGGAAGATTTCTCGCGCACAATGTGTGAGCGACCGGTATGTCGAGCCGTGGACTTGCATTCGTTGCTTGATCACTGCACAAAGTCAGTCAACTATCCTTCCATGCAGCGTCGCCTGGCCAGTGTCGCACCATCAAAGGGATTCATCAGAGCATCACTCGTAATCGTTGCAGCGGCTCCGCTAGCAGCTAAAAAGAATTAGCATCTACTCTTGCGAGGTATCAGAGTGTCACCACGAGTCGTACCAGCCGCGAAAGGATGATGTTTCCCATCTGTACTGTTTGTTCCAGCCAGCTCTTTTACCATTTCATAGGTTCCGAAATACACGGCATGAGCAGGACCTAGGAAACCGAGTCAGTTGTATCCATTTTGTACGGTGGTTTTCCGATGCACACCTGCACCAACAATCACACTGGTAACGCCTCTCCATAACGTCCGGAGCCCTTCTAACCGGTAGATCGTGGAGACTGCATGTGATAGTCCTGTGTAAAGGCCGCCCGCAGAAGGATTGATGATTTGCATCCGTGTCTGGAAATAAATATCAATATATGGTCAATTTGACATTGGGGAAACGGGCACACACCTTCATTAAATCCACGGGATACATCACTGTATGTTCCTGAAATGTCTATCAGCCCTGTTCGAATAGCCAGAATTTCCCATGCTGCTGCATACCGCAATGCCGGCAAATGCGCCGGCCAACATGTTGTGGCCCAGGCCATAGTTTGGGGGTAGAGCTTCGTAGCTGCAACTCGAGTCAGCACGGCGGCGCCTGTACAAAAATGCTGCAGCATAGCTCATACTCAAATTCTTCACCAGGTACTGCATCCGGGCTGTTCATTAGAGTCATATTCTTCGCGGGCAAGGCCGCTGGAAAGTTGGCTGGCGCCGCCACGATTGCAGCAGGCGGTGGCTCTTTTTTTCTACCCTTCGCCCTCCAAGGCCGGCTGTGGCCCTGACTGAGCTGGAACTCTGATCGGCAGGCCTTCTTCGTGGGTTGAGGGTGCAGCTGTTCAAAAAGCAGGCCGCGGAAGAGGCACAGGCGTGGCACAAATAATGGCCGAAGCAATAGTGGTAATAGTGGTCAAAGGCAAGGCGAAATGCTGGCGCAGGATGATAATCTGATCAGATCCGCCTCTGGCGAATTTGTTCGAGTTGACACCTGCACAGGCACTACGACCGACTGCGACGACACCGGAAACTTTTTAGCAGCAGCGCAGCGCGGAGGCCCGGAACAGCCAACGGTGACTGGCTGGCGCCCATCATGACCAGCGAGTAATGACCATTAAATGACGCTTCGCGGTGCCCACAGGCTCTCGGCGTCCATCCTTTTGCTGTCTCCGCGGCCTCCCCGGGCCTTAGACCCATCGAGGTAGGTCAGCACTGAAAACGTCCCTAGGTTCAAGTTGCCAGTGGTTGGTACCTACAACATTGTGCTGTACGTGTTTCCCGGCCGAGGATCCGCCTCCGAGCTCGCTCTCCATCGCTCGATCTTCTTTGCTCGATCAGGTTTGGGCTCGCTCATAAAACCTGAATGGAGCATCTCTATTTCCTCGTCTTCCGGCCGACGGCCACTCCTACCAAAATCCTCATCCTGACCCTCCCTATCGTTTCGTCCGTATAACTGATAGTATCCACGCGGACAGCCCTGGCCAGAAAATGGTAGACGTACGATGAAGATAAGATCACTTTTTGTTTCGGGTCCAATGCGGTGGCTGTGTTCTTCGGAATGGTTGTAACCATAAATCAATGTGTAAGGTATGTTCATAATACTCTCATATCATGTAACGTCTATGCACGATCGCTCCATCGCAGGCTATCTTCGACACCTGTTTGAGCCCGCTGGCTCCCAGTAGTTAAAGTACGAAAAACTCCCAGACACCCATTCTCATCCGACGCCCAGTGATCCAAGTCCTCCGCCCGCGGATGAACGCCTCGCTCCTAGTACTGGATATGGGAGCCACGGAGCGTCTCATATCATTGCCGAAAATAAATCCTCGGTGAATCATCATAAGTCCACAATGAACTTCCACTGGTCTGCGACGAAGAGGTCAGTGTTAGGACAAGGCCGCCACTTATTGCATCACGCACCTTTCATCAAATTCTCTGCGGTATCACTAAGCAGGATCTCGCGTCTCCGGTTGCAATAGGTAGTCTTGTCGAGGATCTCGACCTTCAGGCTGCCAAGTTCATTCACCGGTTTCTCAAACATCTGACTGAGATTCTCAACAGCCATCTCCAGATCTTTTTGGTTGTCTTCGAAGATTTCGGTCATGTTGTTTCGCTCCAGATAGTAAGCAAAGGCGTACGTCCATTTGAGGGTCTGCCGGCAAGCCTGCAGAGCCTTGGCAGCTGTATCGAGGAATTGGACCTCAATCCATGACATGTTGGACTGGGTCTGGAGGCTGGTCATTTTCTTTTCTGTCTTGGCCCAAAGGTCTTTGTCCAACTTGGCAGACTGTTCGTGGTTGGCGTAACGATTGTAGTAGTGCAGGTACCTCTCCAGAGAGTGTCGGGACCTAGCCTGCGCATCTCGAGCATCGGCCCCTGACTTTTCTTCGAATCGGTTGCACTTGTACCAACTAGTTCCGTGTTCCGACCAAGGCCCCATACACATCCAACAAAACTCGTGTTTGCATTTTCGACAAGTCATATGGTTGCAGCCTCCATTCTTTTCAATGGTCGAATGGCACCTGGGGCATTCCTTCGTATTGGCTGAAATCCAGTTGGAGGTTTCCGAATCATCCTCGCACTTTTTCAACCACTTCTTGACAAGGCCACAAGGAGCAGGTCGGTGGTCAGCCAGAGTACAGCCGAAACAGAAACTATGATCATTTGCACATCGGACCGTTGGCACAATCCGATTGAGATCGCGTTTCTTCACTGAACACTCCACCGCATATTCACATTCTGGTGCCGGACACCACTTTAGGTTCTCCTTGTCGTCCACGTAAGTTCTGGTGAGAAGCACTTCGTACCGATCTTGCACACTCTTGTCGACCAACAATTTCAACGATTTGGAGTCCACGATCCGGTGACAACCATCGAATGGGCACTCAATGCGGGCTGCTTCCCCTTCTTCTTTGACCTTCTGGGTAAGGTAGTGCGAATAACAACTGACACAATACCGATGTCCACATTTCATAGCGTACGTTTCCATCGTGGGGTCGTCTTCATAGCAAATCTCGCACGTGAAACCCTTCACAACCTCGGTCTTCGGTGACTGAGCGAATGTGGCACCCAAGCCTGCCGCTTCGAGCACTTGTTCAGGATCGTCCATGTATGACTCGATCAACTTCTCCTTATTCCATCTCATGTAACGTAAAAGGATGGCGGCTTGCTCGGGGGGCAGTTCGATAATCGAAGAGACTTCTTTAAACTGGCGTTCCTGTTGAGCCTGTATATCTTGAGGGCTGAGGATCTTGTGGTCGACTTCGTAGGGCTTGTGTGGGTTGGAAACGATGTCCTTTTCATAACCGAAACCGCCGTCATCCTGATCAAAGTCTGTGTCGTATGTCAGCTGTAGATCCTCACGGTAGGAGGGATTTACGTACCACCGCCCAAACTGCCGATGTCACTGTCTTGAGTGCCTTCATCAAAGTCTACCTCATCGCCGCTCAGCGGGTCGGACATGAACTCATCCTCGGAGTCCATCTCCCGTGAAGACGGCGAGCCGGGCTCCGTTATGGGGGTTGAGGGGCCCTGCGGCTGGACAAAGGATCTTTTGCGGAGTTTAGTGGAGGATTGTCTCGACGCGTCGGTGACGCTCTCCTCGGCCTTTCTTTTCCTCACTTGAGGTGTCGTGGTGGCTTGTGGTAACGGCAGCCGTGTCTCCAATGAGACGACGGGCTGCAAGTGAGGAGCACGAGAGTGATGTTGGGTCTGCTGCAATAACAAGGCTGTCGCCTAGAGGAGGTAGGAGCAGCGGGACACGATACAGTAGAAGTCAGTCACGATAATGTGCTTGCTACAAAGACATGGAAAGGAAGCAGTGTTGATGGGGCGCCGTAAGAGTGTGAGAAGAGATCGGATCCAGGGCTGTTGGGTGTGACTGATGACTGATGAATGGATCTAGGCTCCTCCTCACGCCTAACAGACGATGATGGGCTTCCTGATGGTGGTGGCGGCGGCGTCACAGGCGAGTGTTTCGCCCCATCTTTCAACTCGCTCCAGTTTTGACCTCACGTGATCTCACGTGATTGCTTCTATATCAGCCTGTGACAAAATGGGCACCCTACGTGCCAAGCATTATAAAGACGTCAAGGACCGTCTTTCGGTCCTCGACTAGTATCGTACGCTATCGTATAACCCCTAGAAAGTATATAGTCTAACGAGGCCCTAGGCCCCATTAAAATAGGATAAGTTCTCTATAAAATTATATTTAGTAGCGACGATAAGATAGTTCTCTATCTTAAACTAGAGTTCGTAAGAACTTCTACGCTCTCTCGAGAAGAAGAGAAGCGTAGTCGATCGTCGAGAAGACCGATATTCTTCTATACGAAGCTAATTAAAGATAAACGAAATCGCCTCAATATATAGCGAAATTAATCGATAAGGAAATTTTCTAGCTTAAAGCTCGTTTTCTATACCCGACGAATCTCTTCTAGTTTTATAGCGAAGATTTACGAAAATTATACTTTTAGAACGACGAGTAATAATAAAAATTTCTTATCGAAAAAGGTAAATTATAATAGTAAATAATAACTTTCTTCTTTAAAAATTTTAGTCTCGCTATCTCTAGATATTCTTAGCTATAAACGATAGTTAGCGATATAACTAAGATATAGTAGTAACGACTACTTTAACGTTCTCGATTATATTCTATCGACCTAGATACTACGAACGATAATATTATTAAAGGGCTCGACGCGTCGATAGAGAAAGAAATATTACTACTAAGACGAACTCTTTATTAGAATCTTATTTAAACTATACTAGTAGAAACTAGATAATTATCTAGATCTATCTAGATCTATTTATACTATTATAGACGATAGAAAATAATAGATCGATTAAAGAAAGGCGTATAATAAGGTCTCTCGAGAGATAGAGTACTATTTAGCTAGGGACGGCCTCGAATATCGAGAGCTAGTTATAAAGCGCTCTCGCTAGACGAGATAAAAGCTTCTATAAAGAATATATTCTTCTCGAGATTACTTATCTTTCTTCTATTATATATTATCTTCTACTTATTTCTTACTCGTATTTCGTAAACTATATTTAAAAGCTCTTCTATACTAAATATTATATAAATATTCTCTTAATTCTAATAATAGTAATATTAGAAATTAATATTTCTATAGAAGAAGCTAATCTACTAAAGATATATAGACTTCTAGAAGAGAATCGCCTTAGAAATCTAGAAAGGACTATAGCGGCTCTTACCGACTATCTACGATACTATAGAACTTCTAAAATCTTTACTTTAACGTCTATAGATAGTCTATTAGGGATTACCCTCTTATCTATAGACTAGACGAACGTACCTAAATTCTTATCTAGATAGTAGTACCTATCGTTAGACCTATTCTAAGGTATTAGCGGGATAGGGCTCGAAAAACCCCCAAGATACAAGGGTTATCGGAACAACGACCCCTTACCACCCCTAGACTAACGGGAAGATAGAAAGATTTAATAGAATACTAGGCGAGATCCTAACGAAGTAACTTATTAGGTAGTAAATTCTCTTATAGAATAAGTATCTTCTATTAATATTATTCGTAATCTATATTAGATTTTATATAGTAATTAGAATAAGCCTATATAAGCTCGTCTACGGACTTAAATCTCGATTAATAGGCGATTAACGAGAATTCGATCTATCTAACCTTAATACCGACTTTACCTCGAGACTAGAATAGCTATATATTATACGTTATAAAGTAAATAAGCTACTAGTTAAGAGAGAGCTCTACTCTTAAAAACTACGATTAATATATTTAGAACCGCTATATCTTTTACTTAAAGAAGATAATTTTATTCTTCTAAATAATATATTAAAGTAGAAATTTAAATCTAACTACTTCGGACTCTTTCGAATTCTAAAGAAGCTATAGTTTAGTATATATATACTAGAAACGATAGACTAGAAGATCTTATATCTACTTATCTATAGAAGTCGTCTAATATAGTATTACTCGATAGATTTAGATAAGTAGACGATTCGATCGCTTACTAGAGTATAGTAAATATAACTCTAAATAGTTAAAGATAGTATAACGAAGCCTTCGAATAAAGTACTTTAGATACTTAGTAACGAGCTTAATCTCTTAATATACTACGAGCTATTAATAATATTAAAGTAATAATAGATATCGTAAGAATAACTAAAAGGTAGTTTAAGTAAGATAGAGAAGAGCCGAGAAGCTAAAGTAACGCTAGTAAATAGATATCGGCGAAATAGAGGATAGAAGCTAATATTCTACGGTACGATATTAATAGAGAAGACTACGATAGCTTACGAGAAATAAACTATAATCGAAGTAGTCTTCGCTTCTAATTCTCTAGAGTAGATTACTCCGTCTTTAAGTAGATAATATCTCGTCGCTAGAAAGAGTAACGAGAATATTAGTACTTCGAGGGTATTAAATAGAATAGCTAGAATAGAGTTTATCTCTCTATACGCCTAGGTTAGATAGGAATAAGAGAGTAATAATAGACTATTATAGTCCGACCCTCTCGATACGCGAAGAATAGGGAACGAAGGGACTTTTAGCCCTCTTAAAATCTCTCTAATACTCTAGAAAAGAATAGAAAATTATATTTAGAATAGATAAGGGATCTTAAGGAATAAGAGTAATTCTATTAGACTATATTAAGATATCGTTATATAAGATACTTCTATTCTATTTTATACTAAGCTACTCGAATCTATATCGATAGATATTAAGACTTATTCTATCGATATTATAGGGTATATAGATAATATAGTAGGCCTATTCTATATAAATTATATAGAGAATAGCTATAATAAGTTAGCTAAAGCTATCTTAAGTAAGAAGAAACTATACTCCGTTAATAGATTAAATTAATCTAAAGATATAAGGCTATAGAACCTTATAAACTAGGATATATCTACTTTATTCTTCTTAATACTCGCCGATACTATAGAAAGTATATCTACGATATCTTCTAGTTTTACTAGAATAACTCTTTTAATACTCGAGGGGAATCTCGTTCCTTAAGAGTACTCGAAACCTCGTAAGAAGCGGAGACGAGATAATTTATTATCTTCGTTAGTAGTCTAAAATACTAACTATAATATAGTTAGGTCTTTAGTTTCTCGTTAATAATATATCGAAGGACGCTTATTAAGATCTAATTCTAGACTAAAGATAGTATAAGACTAAATAATCTAATAATAATAGTATTCTCTATAGATAATCTATAGAAACTAGAGCGTAGACTAGATCTCGACTCTTAACTATACGTTATTAGGACGTCTTACGAAGTACTCTAGATATATTAAAAAAATCTAAAAATAACTAATAAATTATAGTAAATCGCCTTATATAGTAGGCGTAGAAGAATCTCGCTCGCGCTCCTCTACTCGTTATATCGTACTAGAAGGTTTATTTATAAAATAGACTATTCGTAGAGTATCGTCTACTATTATAGTAGTATAAGAAAATAGTAATACTTCGCGGCTCTCTTACTATAATATCGTCGAAGCTAGTTCTAGTAGTAGTACTTCTATCGACGCCGTCGTTTTATAGTAAGAATACTCTAAAAGGCCTAAACTAGAAGTAGGGCCTAATTACTATATATAGATAGATAACGAATAAATATTATATATAAAATAAATAGAAGTAGTAGATTATCCGTATACTAGATAATAAAAAGACGGATATCCTAATATTGAGTAAGTCGATATATAGTCTTATATAGACTATATCGATAAACCTATAGAAGACGAGACTAGTACGAATCGTTACTACGTTATAATCTAACTACGTTTAGAGTCGTATACTAGCTTAGGAGACGTAGGTATATATTATATAGTCTCTTTAGTATAACGATATATTTTCGATATATACCTAGGCGAACTTTATATCTATAATAATAGCTTAGGAGAAAAATCGATAATATACTAACGATACTTTAGTAGTAGCTTATTAGCTATATAGTCGTATTCTTCCGACTCCGAACTAGTCTTAACGACTTCTATTCTTACTAAAGATATAGATATTATAGAACGACGACTTTATCGAGTCGATATTAGTAGAAAATATTACTTTATATATATATCGGATTTACTAGTTCTATAAATAACTTTAATAGTTTTCGACGTATAGTATAGATCTAAAGTCTACTATATTATCTCCTAGATAGCGATTAATATCTTTCGATATTAATCTTCTATATTCGTCTATAGCGATAATATAAAGTTAAATCTATTCTTTAGACCTTTAATCTCGATAGCTATACGACTACTCGTCTCTCTAGTCTCGTCGGCTATATATAGACTACTTATTCTCTCGCTAAAATATACCTCTCTTATATCTTCTACTAGATCTTCTTTCTATATTTTAGAAGATTAAGTATAATATTTCTTAATACTACGCGTTTAAATAGATATTAATATCGACGTAGTAGACTAACGATAACTAGAAGCTTCGCTACTTATATCTCGATTACTAGATAAAGAATAATTAACTCTATAAATAGTATAGATTATATATTTTTCGTCGAAAAAATATACTAAATTTATAGAAATAGGCGTATTAGAGGTAGATATCGAAACGTACTTTAGGAATATCGACTCTTAATATAAGTCTAGTTTAACTATACGAAGATATATTTCGTAACGTAGATTATTTATAATATCTACTATATACTCTATAAGGGTATTCCTAACGTATATATTAATAATATCTCTCTAATCGTAAAATTCGACGGGTCTTTAAGAAATACGACTATATAGCTAAATCGATAAGTTATTATTAAGAGAAAAGAACTACTTTTAGTACTATTTCGCCTAAATAATAGAATTAACTACTATACTACTAGACTTAACGCTATAAATATTATCGTCGACCTAGAAATAAATTAGTAACTATATCTTTCGATATAATATAATATATTTACGAAAGAGACCGTCTTTATCGCCTTAGTTACTAGTAGATCTTTAACTATCTTCTTAACTCGTCGATAGTACTAAGTATTTAGAACTTATAGTCTAGTTAGCGTTCTAACTTATCTAGATAGTATAATAACTATAATAGTAGTTATAGAAGATTTAGCTTTAATCGATAAAAGACTTAGGGCTTAGAAACGTAAACGACTAGAAAGAGATATAAAAGAAAGTAAGAAGAAAAGAAATAAAAGACGTTTATTTATACTTCTTAAAACCCTATCGGATTAACCCTAAGTTAGCTTCGAAGAGTAACGATAAGTATTATTACGCGTATAGACTCTCTTTATTTATTATCTTAACGATCTTAATTTACTCTTAATTTATTTAGCTTTACTATTTCGAGCGTATATACTACTTCTATAGCTAAAGATAAGAGATATATACTCGCTCTATATATCTCGATCGGTATCGAAGATATAGATACTATAGCTACTTATTCTAACGATAGAACTACTTAGGAAATAAAGTATTTAGGATATAGGAATACTATTTTATTCTCTATTATAAGGCTAATAAAGGTACTCGATATTCTTCGATAACGAATAAGGCTATTTAACGGTCTAGATAGGGGAGGATATAATAAAATAGATACTCTACGTGCTAAGTATTATAAAGACGTCGAGGACCGTCTTTCGGTCCTCGACTAGTATCGTACGCTATCGTACAACCCCTAGAAAGTATATAGTCTGACGAGGCCCCAGGCCCCGTTGAAATAGGACAAGTCCTCCGTGAAATCACAAGCCTCATCTCTGGACTTCACCTGTCTGTTCTCAGATCACTGCACAGCTATATTAATTTCATTACCCTGTAACTGGACAGCAAGGTGATTCAATTGGTCTTACAGGCTGTCTAGAATGCTCGAAGCAAGTGGCTTACTGATTCTCTCTACTCATCATCTTCCTCGCTCTCGCTCTCGCTTTCACTCTCCGCGTTCTCAAGCCATTCGATAAAGGGGACACTCTGCTGTCTAACCGCAGCCATTTCAGGATCACTGCTCGACCTCTCGTCCGCCCACCACTCGGTAAATGCCTCTTCTCCGAATATCTCCAAGTCGTAGAGATCCTTGAGCACAAACAATAGCGTCTTCCCACCGTCCTTCCTCCGGATCAAATCTCTCTGAGCGTCCAGCAGGAATGCAACCTGCGCTTCGGTAGCTTGCTGGGCCCCTTTCCTGCGGATGAGTGTGTTGTATGCGGTCAAAGCGCGCCTTGCAGCTTCGGCTGGTGACACGCCGGAATCAACCTGACTATGAATGTGCTTCATCAGTGCGACGGCAACGGCCCTCCGAACTTGGGTTTCGTCCGCACCACCGCTGAACCTCAGTCCCATTAGTTCACTCAGCATATCGTCGGCTTGCTTTCCTTCCTGCATGCGCTGTACAAGAATCGCCACTGTGTCATGTTGGAATCGGTCGGTAGGGTCCTCGTCAGACACAGAGGTCGCAAAGCTTTGACTTCTGGAACCGCCCCTCGAGGAGATCTCGGCATCGGAGAGATCGGACTCCAACGTGGATATTGAGTCCGCAAATTCCGACTTTTCATATATAAGTCTTGATCCTCTCGATGCGAAGTAGTCGTCTTCGTCTTCATCAATGTAGGCATGGCCTTCACCCGCATCTCCACCAACAAGCGCATCATTCTTCTGTTGTGTGTTGCAAATCCTGGATCCCGCAGGCACAGTCGTTCCCGGTGCGATCTTAACGCCATATGAGATCAAAGCACCTTCCTCGATGGTACAGTCATCCCCTACAAACGCTTCGTTCCCGATTATTGCCCGCGAGACCTTGACATTGTTGCCAATGCTCGCATCGTCCCAGATGTAACCACCGTCGATCACCGTGCCTTTACCGACGTGGCAGCGTTGACCGATGACCGTGTTCCTGATGTCGCACCCAGCACCAATGCTGCTACCGGGACCAACGATTGATCCGGCGCCCAGCTCGGTAGGCTTTGCTCGAATCACCGTCCGATCGACAACGTACCCCTGCTGGGAGCGTTCGTAGTGGGTGTCCCCGAACACATTATTCTCAACTGCAATGGACGTAACCATGCCTCGCTTGAAGTCTCGTGAGATGGCGTTGTAAAACCAAAAGTCAGCTGCCCGAGAGGCATATTGATCTTTGACAATGTAGGTATGGATGGTCTTGCCGTTCAATTCGTAGTCCTTCAGCACGCCGAACAAAAAGTCCTTCCGAGGTGCTTGATTGTCGAAGTTATCTGACCATAGACTGAGGACGTCTGGCGTGCAGATGTCCACCCTGCAGTCAATCAAATCCTGTCTGACATCAATCTCTGCCGATTTCAGGATTTCAGGATCGACGTGAGCGGTGAACTGGGTTCCAGGAAATGATTCTTCATAGTGCAAGCATCTATTTTTGCTCGGATCAAGGACGAATGTTGGCACAATGCCACCACTGTAGTCGTAAGTGCCCGGCTCCGCCTCCCTCAAAACCATAGTCATGATAGCATTCTTGTCTTTCTCTCTCCGCTCCTTGTGTTGGCGCAGTGCTGGTTCGATAGGAAAGTTAGAGATCACATCACCACTGATGACGAGGAAATCTCCCGCAATGAGATGCTTCTGATCGAGATCTCTCATCACATCGCCCACCGAACCGGCGATACATCGGAGGATGGTGAGACTCTCGAAAGGAGAGTTGGCCGATCTCCAACGCGAAGCATCAAGGTAGGCTTCGACCTGGTCAGCATGTGCGCCTGGATAGAAGTAGACAACCTGTACACCGGAGCTAGCCAGATATTCCAGGGTGTAGTCGATCAAGGGTGTATTAGCAAGCGGCAATAGACATCGCGGCCGTTGCACCGTGAATGGGGCAAATCTCGTCTCAAAGGTGTCGGCGACAACCACTGCAGTCAGAGGGTCCTCCTTGCTGTCATCTCCCGATCTGCCCTTTCCTCCGGCAGCTTTTTGGTTTTTGGGTGGCATTGTGAGTTTGATGCTTGTTCTGCGCAAGCATAGGATGGGGGAAATTACGCCGAGATATGGTGTTAAGGTGTGATGAAGCAGTCCGCGCTGAATTGCATTTTTTTCAAGTCGCGCGGATAATAATTTGTTTGTCACCAGTCCAATGTATCACTGCGACATCCGGCCAGCAATATTGTTAGGTGACTTTAACTGACTGAAGGGGATCTGTTGATGAGTTGGTCCACCGGCAAAATTGTCAGTAGTGACTCACTTTTATTCAGATTAACCCGGGGTATCTTCTGGTGAAGAATTCACGACTCGCAGACAGAGGGAGCGTGTCGTTGAAGTATGGTAGAGCATAAAGATCTTGGGTGCAGATGCCTGCCTACGGAACAGTATTAGGACGACTGCCACAATGACCACATAATAATGCAATTGCAATTCCCGTGGATTCGCTGCGTCATAGCTGACGAGGGGTGTTGTGGGTGCCATTATTCTTCGCTGTGATTGTCTCCCTTAAATTTCGCATCTTTAAACTAGGGCGCTAGCAGTAGTTGGCAGCACTGCTAAATTGCTGCGACATGCTACTAGCACTACTAGCACTGCCCTACCGGTCACCACTATTTACGAAACTTGTTGCTATCTTCAGTTCTTCGACTGCGCCGTGTTCGATCCAAATTGTTCACTTCACTGCAACCACCACGTCTCATCTACTACGCTCTTGACACTGTGCTTCGATCAAGCATAGATTTCTTGACTGGACCAGTCTCCTTTTTATTGGTAGGGTCTCATACGACCACCACCTCTGCTCGCTCGATATCTTTACCATTATTAACACACCGAACCCCTTGGGCTAGTTGAACGTCCTGGGCTAAAGGACATACCAGACTACACTCTACGGACCGCCTACCCACAATGTCGCGGACATCAAAAGACACGCAAAGGGAGAACCCACACATGGACTTGGATCCGAGATATGACGACTATGACTTTCCGACCACTGCCCCGGAGGCCCAGCCCGGACATCCAGGCCATACGACGAAGGAGCAAGATGCACAAGTGCACCAGCTGAGAGCCATGCTGGAACAACTAGGCTACAAGGAGAGGCTGGACACGTTGACTCTACTACGGTTCCTGCGGGCACGAAAGTTCAATGTCGAGGCCGCTAAGCAGATGTACGGGGCGAACAATGTCGTGCGCAACGCATATTCAATATTGACGGTGTCATAGGTTCATCAAAAACGAGCAGTGGCGCAAGGAATTTGGCGTTGATGATCTCGTTCGCAACTTTGAGTACACCGAACGTCCGCAAGTATTCCAATACTACCCGCAGTACTACCACAAGACCGATAAGGTAAGTCTGTTCTGCCGTTCCATCAGTCGAGACTGCTTGGTCGACGCCGTTACTGACAAGCGGTACGCAGGATGGCCGGCCGGTATACATCGAGCAATATGGCAAAATCGACTTGAACGCCATGTACAAGATTACAACCGCAGAACGTATGATTCAGAACTTGGTCGTGGAGTACGAAAAGGTGGCCGACCCACGTCTTCCGGCGTGCAGTCGCAAGGCGGGTAAGCTTCTCGAGACTTGCTGCACGATCATGGACATGAAAGGCGTTGGTGTGAGCAAGATCCCATCCGTCTACGGTTACCTCAAATCGGTCAGTGCCATCTCGCAAGATTATTATCCCGAGCGGTTGGGCAAGCTGTACATCATCAACGCTCCTTGGGGCTTCAGCAGCGTGTTCAGCTTCATCAAAGGCTTCCTCGACCCCATCACCGTCGCCAAGATCCATGTGTTGGGGTCAAACTATCTGCCTGAACTGTTGAAGCAGGTGCCTGCAGAAAATCTTCCCAAGTCATTGGGCGGGACGTGCGTGTGCGAAGGCGGGTGCGAGTATAGCGACGAAGGTCCTTGGAAAGATCCGAAATACGCACGGCCGCCGAAATGGGCCAAGCAGGATCCAGTTACGGGCAAGGACGCTGCAAATGTCGTCCAGCCGGCGCCTACCGATGGCGCTCAGGATCCTTTGAGCTCGTCCAAGCCGGCCCCATCGTCAGCACCGGTCGAGGCGGAGAACGCTCCGGCCGAGGGACCCAAGATGCCTCTGGCGGACGCTTAAGACGTACACAAGGCGGCGGATAAGAACAAGGTTTAGAGTTCATGCTGGAGAATGTTACAGAACAAAAAGGACGATCACGAATGATCGGGCACAGCACACAAGGGACAGTGCCGACTCGGTATCTGAAGCGACCCATTGGAAGGTACATCATGCGTTGAATTTGAGAATTGGGTGAGCTGCTACTACTAGCCCCAAGCCATGGCTTCACAGTTGCACCGCCAGTCACATGTCAAACCTGGCATCTCCTCTATGACGACTGGCCACGGTCAACTAAGACAGTGCGCACGCCTCACCCTCCTTCGCTCCCGGGGCTCCCCCTTCAATCATGATCCTGTTCTCCGTGTATTCTTTCTTAAAAGTCTTTAGGCTCGCGAGGAGGGCTTGCAATGCTAGTATCTCCTGGGATACCCTCCGTTGGAGCTTTCATTCTTTGCAATCTGTCGAAATGCTTTCGTGGTCCGCCCTCCTGTTGTAGAAGCATCGACTGTAAGGACAGACTTTCATATGCTCTGCCCTGCTCGCGCAGCAGCAGGATTGTGCTACACCTGCACTGCCTTCCAAATGAGGTGTACAACGTCCCCATGTATCTCCAGCTGTAGCTAGACACACAGCACTTGCGTTCAGTACCAGTGTCTTCACCAACTGAACATTCTGGGCATTGTGTCGACAATCAGAAGCCGCCATGGAGCCACACAGTGCCCCAGGAATGCAGCCCTGTTTGTAGACGTTCCCTTCCAAGTTCCGTCCGAGGTCGATGGACACTGCTGCTAGACCGGAAACAGCCCAGGGGTCTATTGATTGACCATGGGCGCTGTACCTGTTCGCCAGGGCCGGGGTGGGTGGGTGGCTTGCATTCTGCAAATCCAATGCCCATTAGGATGGTGGCCGTACACGGTCCCGGTCAACTCGATTCCAGGCTTCAAGCACGCGAGCCAAACCCGAACCGGAACCATTGTCTCGTCCAGTTCGGAGTCGGAAGTCCAGAAGCAAATATCCGTGGGTACATTGTTCCCCCCAAAGACCAAATCATTACCAGCAATCCGTCAAGGTAGTTGTAGTTGTCGATATAGACCCCGTCTTGTCATCTCATCTCACTCGAACTCCATAGCCACAGTCGTCGCACGTTGAACCTTACCAACCGTCTCTGTAAGGCTAGGCTGGCCTCCTTGTGCCACCGTCGACTCAGCCTCGTTCGCCGCTGTTACAAGACCAGCCAACGAAGCCAATTGCCCAGTCGCCCGTTCATACATCTCTTTAACATCATCACTCCAACCTTCACGAGCAGTGGAGGGCGGCGGTTTCAACTCCCACTCTGCAGGAACGCTCTGCTTTTCGCCTCGAATCGCAGCAACCCGAGCCTCAAACTCGGCCTCATCCTCGGCAATTCGCGCCATCAAAGCGTCCGCATACGCAGTCGCGCCTTGTTTTGGAGCCACTCTTCTCAATTTACTCACTTGAGCAGTCAGAGCCTCTAGTTCGCCGTAGAGTCCGGCAACTTTGGCTTGGAGGCGCGTGTCGTAGGGCTCGTAGACGAAATCGATTCCTTCTTTCTCCTCTTGCTCCTTTCCGCCGGGCTGTTGTCGTGCACCGGCAGTGGTCGTCAACATAGGAAACAACGTCGCGTCCATGCCGTTGACGACGATGTTTTGTCGCGCTCCCTCCCATGTTCGGGTCATGAAGGAGTCCACGAGGGCGCGGACGCGGGCGCGGAGCGGGTCTTCTTCTTCATTTTCCTCTTTGGAACCTTTTGTTTGTTGTTCAGTTTCGCTGCCGGCTGCGCCCGGCGCATGCGAAGAGGTAGTGGTTGTGGTAGTGGTGGTTGTAGGATTTACACCGTCCAAGGAGATGACGGTGGCAGGCTGTGCGCGTGTATTTGCGCCCTTTTGGGCCGCCGATGGAGGGAAATGGAGATCGAGTTTCTCCTTTGCTGATGCTGCTAGGTTTGCTTGGAGATATGTTAGGTCGTAAGGGGACTGGAGTTCGATCTTGCGGTGGTGTGTGTCGGGCGCGCGAGGCGGGTGAGCGTGCGCTTCTTCGAGTGACATTCTGGAGATGTGTCGTGTGTTGATCGTCTCTAAGCGTGTTGCTGGAATGGAGTGTTCGGGCGCATCGCTGCGTCCTGCAACTGCAAGTTGTTGGAGTTAAGGCCGTACACGGCTTGGGTCTGGGTTCAAATACGTGTCATGCGATACATTGGGATATAGTCGTTCGGGGTTTAAGTAGTCGGCCGCTGCATAGCAGTAAACAAACTCCAATCGATAAGATGGATTATGTAATCTTCATGACTTGCCCAGATTCTATGCTCCTGTTGGTTCAAATACGAATTCGCCAGCCTCACCCGGTCTGGCACCCACTACTACTGCAGAGTATGAGATGGATATAATCAGAAGGTCGGTGTCCTCACTATTATCGCATTACAGTAGACAGGCTGAGCGAGCAGCACGTCCTGAAGACCTGCTTCTTGTAAACTACACTATGTGCCGTACCACAAGCGGACGGCGACGAGTTCTCAATACTTTGACACCCAAGCGGCAACACAACGTGAGAAAACTCGGCCGTAGGAAGACTATCGCACGCGAAATATGAACAGTATTCTCCCAACAGCTGAGAACAAGACAGCATTTTGGATGAATTGGCTCACAGGCCTAGCCACGTATTCCATTGACTATATACGAGGCCGTCCCATTGCACTTGTCTCCTTCCGAGCGGTAATTCATCTCAAGTCCGGCAATCCACCACTAACTTATTTCGTCTCGTCAAAGACATAGGTCAAGTGGCAGCGACCGCAGTATTGACGGTTGTGCATGGCAGCCATGAAGATACCAGCACCGCACTCCTTGGCCGGGCACTCACGTCGCAGACGCTCGATCTTGCCGTCACCGTCGACCTTGTAGTACTTGAGCACGGCCAACTTGGTCTTCTTGCGCTTGTGCTTGATCTTCTTCGGGGTGGTGTAAACCTTCTTCTTGCGCTTCTTGGCTCCACCACGCAGACGCAGGACCAAGTGCAGAGTCGACTCCTTCTGGATGTTGTAGTCGGACAGAGTACGGCCGTCTTCGAGTTGCTTGCCGGCGAAAATCAGGCGTTGCTGGTCAGGCGGGATTCCTTCCTTGTCTAAACACAACTAGTAAGCCTCCGGCTCGGCGGCGAAAAACACACACCAAAACGTACCTTGGATCTTGGACTTGACATTGTCAATGGTATCGGAAGACTCCACCTCAAGGGTGATGGTCTTACCCGTGAGGGTCTTGACGAAGATCTGCATGTTGAAGATCTAAAGCACAGATGTGGTTGTCAGTTTTTGCGGCCTTCACGAACGGGACGAAATGCGGCTTGGGCGAACTGAAGTTCCAGTCTGGCAAGAGACGGGAAAGGATGTCGGATAACAATCTTTACTCACCTCGACAAAAATGTCTTCCTCAACCTTCTGTATGCAGAAGTGCGATGAAGAGACAAGTAGAAGAGGAAGCGAAAGTCCGCGATGCAATTAATGTGGGATTTCTAATCCGCAGATGTGGCTTGCCAAGAATTTGGCCACGGATGGCTTATCTAATCTCTAAATCACGTGCTTTTTGTGGCTCGAGCCCCATTCGGTTAGCGTCTGGTTCTCGACCTGGGTGAGCTGATAGTGGCTGCGGTTGCCTTGTCAACCGTCGGTGTTGACGCAGGACTTGCGAACTCACCAGAGAGCGGCTCGCCTGGGTGACGACGAACACTCTACTTCTACCCTGCCGGCAACATCCTCAGTCTCTACTCCGTCCTCCATCCTCCATCCTCAAAACAAGCCTCACATACCATATTCTCCCAGACCAAGTCCAAAAACCTAAGGAGGACAAGAAATCTACACACACAGACAAGCGAGAAGCCTCTCAGACCCCCGAGACCTGCCCGTACCACTATCCTCGCCCTGAGAGGGCCCCCTTCTCATATATCCAAAATAGTCGCAAGCATCGCCTGCGACTGGTGAAGAGCGAATAGAAAGAAGACCGCTGCCCGGTCCGCAGCCCTTGCGCTGCGTGAGGTGAGCAGCATCAGGATACACAACTACAAGTATGCAGTGGAACTGATTGGATTTCCTTCCATAGTCTCGAACCACTGAAGGAACCATAACCGGAATCAACCACGACACCTTCGACAAGGAACCATTTCGAACTCATCTCGCCTAAGATGATGTCCAATCCACCTTCATCTCTTCAGCAACGACAAAGGCTACATCGGAGACAGAACTCGACACCCGTTGTAGCCTTCGAAGCCATGAAGGTCAGCACCAACATGCCGCCACAACGCCAGAATTCACACAGAAGAGGACAATCGTTCGATCAACAACAACGAAGTCCCATTCGGAAATACCACCACGGCAGCACGGTAAGTATGACTAACCTAGGACAAATCCACGGACAACAGATTTTGCGGGAAGCGCAGCAGCAGAAAATAGCAAGACCGGGCCAGCAGCAACACCAAACAAATACACACTTGGACTTACCTATCTCTCCCGAGTGTAGTATATACACGACATCGCCAAACTCAATCCCTGCGACGTCGTATGAAAACATGGCAATGAATGCAATCATGCACCAGAACGCCCAGGGCATTGATTACTCACATTCACACCAATACTTCTCCGACCTGAACATGTCAATGCAGCATATAATCCCTAATATGGGACTGATGGATGAGAACAATCCACAGTATCTTCACGCTGCTCACATGGTTCATTCCCATGCCGACAGTGAAATCTCACTAGACGCTCGGAGAATGTCGCAACCTGATCTGCGAGTGCAGACTTCGTTGCGACCTCACACACCTTCACACCAAATCCAGACTGGTAAGTTCAATCATCTCTTGTCGCTTTTCGATTCCGCAACGTTGCTGACGATCAACAGCACAATTTCCTCTCACACCACCCTTCAGCCAGCACACTCCAGCAATGCAATACTCACGGTCACTCCAACCATCCCCTGCATTGCAGTCGCCGTACCCAATACCGGTGACGCGAGGACAATCTCTTCGGGGGATTATCGAGAACGAGGAATTCAAACAAGACTACATGACAACGCCTACCAATGCCTCGTTCGAGATAGCCGATATGCCTGTGCCTGAGTCTCGCCGTCAGGCTCGAACACCGCCATCACGACAACAAATGGAACCGGTGAAAGTGAAATCGGAAGCGACATCAGTAGAAGACGACCGTGCATATGACCAAGACTCCGGATGTCATGCTGCAAAGCTCTCAGAGCAGGATGTTCCAGTCCTAAGCTCTGGACACGCTCCGGCTGGCAGCACCTCCCCAGGAAGACCGGCTCTTTCGCCTCGTCGTATGTCGATATCGGACCTCCACCTCGAGCCTGGCATTGAGGCTTCCATTGAAGAGACCAACATCACTCTAGATGACATTGCCCAATTCATTGAAGGACCAGACCCTTCAGACAACAAGTGGGTTTGCAAGTATGACGGTTGCAATAAAAGATTTGGACGAAAAGAGAACATCAAGTCACATGTGCAGACCCACCTCGGCGACCGACAATTTCGATGTGGCCATTGCAACAAATGCTTCGTCCGAGGCCATGACCTGAAACGCCACGCCAAGATCCACACTGGTACCAAGCCATACCCTTGCCTCTGTGGCAACTCATTCGCTCGTCATGACGCCCTGACAAGGCATCGGCAACGAGGAATGTGCATTGGCGCCTTTGATGGTGTGGTCAAGAAAGTAATCAAACGGGGCAGGCCCAGGAAACACCGGCCAGAAATGGATGAACGCCTTGACAAGGCGAACCGAACCCGACAGAAGACCAGTGAAGCCCATGACCAGTACACATCCTCTGCATCAAGCTGCTCCATCTCGAGCTGGGGGTCTCCACCAACTGAGAACATGGACAACTTGAGCATCAGAGGCGCATCGCCCATTGAGAGCATGGCTTTGTTCGGCATGCCACAACAAGCCGGTCTAGGCATGGACCAGATGATGGGCTTCCCTCCTGACACCTTCTCCTTCACGCCGCCGGCTAGCCCAGGATACTCCACGGGCAACAAGCCCAGTCCCTCGTACAGAGAGCTAACGCCGGCAGACCTAGGCGACATCCCGGAGCTCCAACCCAACGGTGACTCGCAACTTCTGCCCGACCTCCCCACAATGGAGCAGGGCTTGCCAATGCTGAGCAACGGCAACGATTACCCTGGTCAAAGTCTCCCCGAGCTGACCCATTCAAGCTCCTCACCAGCGGCCGATGTGGTCGCCTTTGACTTCTCCAGCCTGCCCACCAACTCCTCAATCAGCATGCTGTCCCAGGGTTCGCAGCTTCCACTAAAGCTGAACCCGGAGAGGAACGAGTTCGACACCTTCCTCGACTACGGCGGCATGGAGATGGGCTTGGACGCCTCGACCCAGGATTTCTTCGCCATGTGAAGGGATCCGCCCCAAAGCTTTCTCATGATGTTACGGTAACTTGCAATATTGTCAAATGTCGGTGGGCCATCTTTCAAGCCATTACCAATGGTTTGTCTGATCTGCCCTGCACTGTATACTAGCCAACAGACGAAGTTATGGATGAGGCGATCGGCTGGAGTTTCATATGGGTAGATCTTTGTCAGGGATCATGGGAATTGGATGCTTCAGCGCGGGTCACAGGTCAAGGGAGCTTGGAATGAAGATATCTGGGATGACTTGCTTTGGGCTGGGGTACTTTGGGACTTGTTAATTTGGGACATGACGTGTCATGTGTGGCATTGTTTTGTACTGCACTCTCGTTGACCCTGGTGGTTGGGAAATTTGGCGACTGTACATGCCTTCTCGATGTTGTTTTGCCATCCATTCTTTTTCTGGTCTCCGGCCGAAGTTTCGGTGCCGTCGAGGGTGAGCCCTGCGCCTTGTGTGTCACATTGTCATATATGACTCCATCAACATCCACGGCGCTTCAGCTTTGCAGACCAGAAAAGTGAGGCACAAGCGAGAGCATATGGATAAGCGCCATGCAAGGTGGAACACATTCCTTTTGATCCAGTTAGTCGGAGCGGTGCGGTACGGCTCGGCTTGGGTTTGGCAAATGCATGGGACTCTCTTTTATGCCCGACCGGCTTCCGTGCCATGTCCAATAGATGGTGTGTACATGTACGACCAGATCTTTCGCTTTGCTTAGCTTGTGCCTAAGGCAGCCTTGGCTGTGCTGTAAGTAACCCGATGGAGACCAAAGTAGTAATGAGATTGGTTGCCAAACCAGGTTGTCTTAGAGGAGCACCATTGAGTCCCAAGGCAGATCATTTGCAAATAAAGCAGTAGGTGTAGGTGTGTAGCTTCACACATGTTTGGTCTCCGACGATGTCGGGCAGGGCGGTACGCGAAGCGAGGCTGAATCGCTTCGTAGCCCTTCCCTATCCGATGGGGAATGGGTGGCCATGTAGACAGGAAGCACATAGTGTGATCCAATCAGCCAGTGCTAACAAGTGCATGTACTATTAGGTACATGGGCGGAGTTCATATAGATATATTGAAGCAAGCCAATGGCCTTCAGGAAGACCGCACCAGACAGTCTTCAGAGGAACCTCGATTGATGACCGCGTCAGTGCTGTCCCTGAACATAGACAGACTAGCTGGGCGGCAGCCACTCCCGAAAAGGCTGTGCGCCACGGCGAGGCGAATATAGCTGTAGCTCAGAATCCAATAGTCCTGCATCGAGAGACCTCAACCTATGCCGAAGAAGACGGTTTCAAGGGTGGGAACAACCACATGGTGTTCCCTTGAGGCAGACTGAGGGCAATACTGGTAGCATGGCCGCATGCTAAGCAGCAGCTTCGCTTCGAGGGGCTGGACAGCATGGTATCGAAGGTTGCTGCCACGACAGCGGACGAAGAGTCCGGATAGCCATTCGCACCACCGACGATGTAAGGACGAACTATGGGGCCGAAATAGAGATCAGGCACCAGTAGTACATTTTCCTCGGTCTCCGTGGGCTTGCCTTTATCTTGAGTGGACCATGGCTTCCCCAGAAAGACCCCCGAATCCTCCCCCACCCAGGGGAAACTGAACAATAAGGTAGGGTGCGGCTATCCAGTTGGGACATGGCGAACAACCAAAGACCATGACGCAACAAGCACCAGGTCTTCTCCCCATGTGACGAGGGCAAAAAGCCTTCCCGCCAGAAGCATGGAGGTTCTGGACTTCATAATCCGCTCATAGCTTCGACTGCATCCACAGCATGGCGTACAGGTGTCAAGAATTGGCGCTCTTGTCGGCAGAGTCTGCAACAGAATGGCAGCAGTTTGAAGTGATGCTCAAGGGATTTGCGTAGACGCATACGCCGGAGAACAATGGTAGGGGTCTCGCTGGCAAAGCCGACGTATCCACAAGAAATTACCACAACTTCGTCGCTGGCAAATTTGGAGATATTCACGGTTGAGGTCAATATCGATCCACCATGAATGACCGGATCAGGTAGACACTCGGTAAGTACAATCAGACACATGGAAGAGAGGATCGACTGAGCGCCGGCGCTGCAGATCATTCAGAGTGAGGCAGGGAGTGGGCCGGGCTGATCAAGCCAAGTAGAAATGGGACAATAATCGCGCGCAAAAGACCCCATAAGTACATTGTACAAAGCTGAACCACGTAGAGACAACTGCATAGCGGTGTCGAACCCGTCAGTCAGGGCCCGCTTCCGAACTTGCACTCACATGAAGGCGGCAGGTGTGAGCTGGTACAAGTCGCACTGTGGATCGATGCCACATTCTAGAGATCAAATTTGCAACAACAGAGGCTTCCATTCAGCGAAGGACAGGTGATAGGATGCTTGCGGGCATAGAGCCCGATTAAACATGAAGTGAACAGCGCCTAACACGCTCATCCTGAGTGATAGTGTATATTGTTGATGGAGCACCACAAACAATATGTCCATGGTTAAGACATCTTGTCTGGCATCTTTGATAACGGTGCCCTCAGAGGCTCCTACGCCGCGATCGTGAGGAGAAGGCGAATGGCTGTGCCAAAGTTCGTCCGTCTTCCCTTCTGTTAGTTCGTGTAGTAGTTGAGGACACGGTGGGTCTGATGGCTCTTAAACCTTCGAGGGCACAGCCTTGTCCGCTGTGATTGGCCGAGCAAGGTCGAAAGCTCGACACAACTCTCACAAAACGGCCTGACGAAGCGAGGTTATGCGAAACCGGCCACATCAAAAAATGACGTTATTGGTGTTTTGAATGATGTGTACAGCCAACTGGAGATACTGTGTCAGGGCGGAGGACCGACAGTAGAGGCGCTGACTCTTGAATGGCAGCTAGATGACAGACTGATGTTTACGCGATAATAATGCCTTTGGCTGGGGAATTGTGCCTGGCCAACAGATTTCATGCTGCCATACGACAATGGTAAAAAGCCTGGATCGGGCTGTTCTCAAAACAGGAGCTGAAATATTGGTTGCTTCGGCACCAGCTGAGCTGAAAATGCGACCAATTATGGCTGGGCAAATGCCAATTTGCAGGAATCCTAGCATCTCCAGGTCCATTGGAAGTGCATTAGTTGTATCCACGGTCGCAATTGTAGATATCGCCCACTCTCAGAGGCCACACGGCAGAATTTCATTAGGCTTGATTGGGAGGCCGCGTCTGGGAAACTGCAGTCTTTGGCCGAAAGAGATTCAGGGAAGAATCCTCGCAGTAGGCTCTAAGACCTAGACCAGAATCGAACGAGACCATGCTGTATAATGCCCCACGTGTGCAATGATGACACGGCGATTTCTGTTAGCCAAAAAGGAGGCGATGCCGCGCCTATTTCGCGTTACTTTGAGCGGTGTAATGAGGTGGACTTTTCCTCTCATGCCGGTGGCGTCGCAGGGTGCAGCAGTGCCGCCAGCCAGCTCACTGTCTGCACAATTCTGCATGCACTCCGGTAAGAGGTAACGTCGAGGCTCGGGTCGAGCTGGGATGTTGTACGAAGCAGTGGTGAACGCATGAGCTATAAAAGAGACGACACCAGTGGCATCCGTGGATCTGCCAGGAGAATAGGGAGCCAGTCTGTCGATCGAACGTCCTACTTTTCAGCGGGATCGCTCGAATCGATTTAGCTGCCACCAGATCTGAAAAACAGTGGCTTGGGAGACAACCGTCATGGTTTTACAAGCCTGGCTAATGGAGGCCTCTCGGTAGTGCACAGCAGGTATGTACATAGTTTGAAGGACGGAGCGGCGGCGGCTGCTTCGACCGTGCGGGCCCCAAGCCTCGTCTTGGGTCCGCAGGCGGTGAAACCAGCATAAGCATAGGGGTGGAGGATGTTGAATCAATTCAATGGCACGATGGCGGCAAGGTAGGAAGATGGGCGCAGGAGAGATTGACAGATGTTGCTGGGGGAGTTCGAAGTGAGGCGAGAGGGCGTCTGCCTGCGCTCGTGCTGATTGGCGGACATGACCAGACTACTTCAGCCATCCAAGGCAGGCGAGACACATCCAGTCGACGAGTCCAAGGACGAGGCAACCATTACCAAGTAGAGCAGACAGACCTCCCTACAGGAGCAGGCTCTACCACCTGCTCTCCCGGATGCCGGGCTTGTATTGCAAGCATGATCCTTTGCCTTTGGGCTAATAAGTCCACAGGAGCTGGCTCCAGTTGTGTCTAACCAGAACCCCTCTTATCGAGAGCCTTATATCATGCTCGAGGCTGCCGCGGACTTCAACTGCTTCCTCTTCGTCGCCAACATTCAACGCGAGCAGAACTCATCTACGTCCAGAACTGTCTTCGTCGCTAGCATCCCGCAACAAACGTCTTTCTCCGACTTCTGTGCAGTCACCTCCTAGTCCCAATGCCGCAACCCGTGGCCTCCACGCAAGAATATTGGCTTCCGGGGTATGGCCTCTCACGCCATATCGTGCTCAGGCAATTGCAGTACTTCTTAGGACCCTCTGCCACAGTGAGGCCCTACTCGTACCATGTATGAAGGCGCTTCCTGTTCATGTTGATCCGCCCAAACTCATGGATAACCCAGGGTCGAGAAGGCTATTTGATCAACGGAACTCCTTTGACAAAGGTAGGTTCTCCAAAGCATTGAAAGGGCCAAGTCTCAAGGGAAGCAGGAGCAGATTGAAGACCTGAGGCGACAGTCTCGTGAATACGAAAGGCAGCAGACGATACGAATGTCCAGCAAAGCCATTGCAGCTTCCGACGCCGCCGAGCCTGACATTAATGAGCTCGTGGTTGTCACTGTGGGCCGCCGTCAGAACTCAGGTCATGATTCCAAGTCATACTCGCCATATCAACGGCAACGTAGCCGATGACACATACGGGGTATCTGGATAGAAAATCTGCTTGAAATGAATGAGCCTCTTTGTTGAATGTCTCCAATCTGTTCTAGATGATTTGAGTTCCAATGGAACGATAGCATCGAACACGTTCGCTGATACGGGAAGGTGGTCCAAAGGATGCCGCTTGGCCAGTAGGTGGGAAGTAACCCGCGGACTTTGATGTGCCGAACGGAGGAATGAAGGAGTGCTTTGACTAGCACCCTTCGCACCTTGTGTGCACCAGATCATGTGTCCGGCACGAGAAGAGGTCCAAACATAGGCCCAGGACCACGAGCGGCTTGAAAGTCGGAAGCATAGATGTTGATGGGTTGGCTCTGCTGAAAGGAGGCTTAGACAATAAGTCGAGGGGCAGCCCAGCTTCAAGCCGGTTATGCTGGAAGGCTGCCGAAGTGCAGCAGTGGTTAAGATGATGGGAACTTGATCCGAGCACTGAACGCATGGAGGTTCGGAGCTTCAAAAGTAGTGGCCGAAAGCATTGTACCGGACTGTCTGTTGCGAGCCGTCTCTCACGATCCTCTATAGGTGGTATAAGTCCAGGGTCCCACCAACACAGGCACATGGTAGTGTCTCTCCCCCTTTTTTACGTAGAACTTGACCTCGACCTCGGGCCAGAAGCATTCCACTCCCTTCTCCTCATACCAGCGACCGACATCAAACTTGATGCTCCATGGGATGCGTTCCCCCGCGGTGAATTTGTCCATGAGTTCCGTAAGGGTCGTGTCGGTAGGCGAGTCCCAGCCCTTCACCCGGCCGTCCTCGTTGGTGACGGCATGGAAGCTCACGTTGGTCGGCAACGACGTGGAGGTCGACAATAGGGTGAGTGTGGCTTTGAGTCCAGCTGCAGGTGTTCCAGACAGTGTGTTGAGTACGTGGCAGGTGATGGGTGATGCCATGTTGTCTTCCGTGCGACAGTTGGTGATGGTGAGGAGTAGCAAAGGAGCCCTTGGGGAGGTTGTGCAACACGACTACTGCAGATGGAGCGGCAGGCGGGCGGGTTACCTGTATATATTCAGTGCCTCAAAAGTTGTTGTAGTACTGGTGGCAGTGGTAGGAGGAACAAGACGGGACGGAGGAGGCCGGCGGGCAGAAGAAACACAACACGGACGGTCCATCATCGGCTTATCTTGATGGCCCAATAAGATAAGCCAGATAAGATACTGTGCAGCATTGCACCATGAAACGCAGAGCCTGCGGCACATGCAACGAGGCTGCGCTAGTACTATTTTGTCCGTAAATGTAAATCGAGAGACTCGATGTCTGTTTAGCCCACCCCGAGCCCTTCGTCTTCTTAAAGCCCAGGTTTATCAAGACAGGGGCTCGAGACTCGTGCCGCGGAGGACGATCAAAAATCAAGGGCTTTTCGATGTCTCTGTACGTCTGATGTACTGTGGACCTCACAAAGCGATATCTTTTTGACCGAGAAGCACTGGGTTAGCTGCTTCGAATACCTACCGTAGGAGGGTATTTGCAGGAACACGGCACGTATTGATGCGCTTGTATTTTGAGGGATGCTTCAGGCGGTAGCTCGCGCCGAGGGTGTCTAACCACGTACCATTCACCACTGGACAGGTGCTCTCGCTAGTCAGAGCTACAAGGGCTCTCCTTCCTCATAATCCGTCGTCCCAAGAACCTGGTATTCCTCCCCAACCACCAAGGGCGGAAGGTCGGCGTTCTTCTCACGTAGTATGTGGCGCCTAATGAACCAGGGAAGACATTCGCCCACTTGATATCTGATAAAAGCCCGGGTGGGAATCGAGAAAACCTCGTCCAACTCCTCGAGTGTCTTGAGTCGAGTCTCGGGTACGAAAAGGAAAACCAAAATGAGGGCGAGAATGTTGAGTCCTGCATACAAACCGAATGCGCCCTGCGGCTGCAAGGTAGCGAGAATACGAGGAAACGTGAGTGAAAGCATGGTTGCCCAGAAGCTTGCAGTAGCCACTGCAAAGCTCATGCCAATCTCACGATGTGACAGGGGAAAGACTTCTGCTGAGTACGTGAATGGGACGGGACTGGTTGCGGTCAGCGTTACAATTCGACACAGAAAGTTTGCTGCTTACCCCATTGCTGGCGAATATAAAGCGCAAAATAGGTAGATGAGCGCTGCAACAAGAATGAAGTGTGCAGGATTGTCCGTAGGTATCTTGAAGCTCAGGCCGGCTCCGAGCATTGTTAATGCCATTATCGGCAAGGTCAGGAGCAACAACGAGCGACGTCCGAAGGTGTCCATGGTCAACACTGCAGGAAAGGCTCCGAGAAAGTTGACAAAGCCAAAAACACAAGAAGCTAGCAAAGCCCCGTAATCGGAAAGTCCAGCGTCGCGGAAAATCTATCGTACGTGTCAGCCACGGTTGAAATTGCTATGCGAATAAACAGGCCCATTCTTTGACGGCACGGCCAGCCTAACGTACCGTTGAAGAATAGTAAGCGATGATATTGACTGATATTGCTCTTGTCAGTAACTGGCCTCGAAGAAGAGGAACCGGATGTATATTCTACGTACTTCCACATAGCTGCTGTGACAGCATGACAACGTAAGACGCAACAGTAGCTCGTCGGATGCGAGGGATGGTGAAGAGTTCTGGAAGTCTCCTGAACAATGATTTCCCTGCAGCGCCGGGTTTCGCTTGAGACCGTCGTTGCAAGTAGGTCGAAAATATCTCTTTGGCGGCTTGCAAATCGCTATTCCTCAGTTTCCGGAGGGAGCGAAAGGCGAGATCATATCGGTTGTTGTTCTTGATATACCATGCCGGCGATTCCGGGCACATATACACGAGCAGGAGGAGAGGGATGGTAGGCACCACAGGCCCGGCAAGTTGCAGCCTCCAAGCGCTGTCACCGTACTGAGTATGCCATTAATCAGCAAGAAAACGTCCAGCAAGATGGAACACCCACATTATAAACCGCTGCATTGGCACAGAAGCCTAGAAAGATGCCGAATGCGGTCCACATCTGATATGATACAGATATACTACCGCGGATAACAGCAGGCGCGGTTTCGGCCATGTACACGGACACAGTGCTCGCATTGATACCTAAGCCCGCGCCCAGAATGAGCCGGAACAGCAGAAGCTCGATCCAGCTGCGGCTGAGCGACGATCCGAGGTTAGATACGAGGCACAAAAGGCTGCCCACGAACACAGCGCCCCGTCGTCCTAGTCGACCATTAATGGGATCGGATAGCCAAGCGCCTCTTCAGAAATCAGCACAGCCAATGGTGCACCCAGTTGGAACAACTTACACAACGCACACGCTGAGGTAAATCCCACAGTTGAGAAGGCCAAGGACAAAGGAATCATGTTTGCTGTTCGACCCAATGCCAAACGCTTTAGGAATACCCAGATTTGCACCGTTCATGCCTGTCTGAGCCCAGCCTTGCTCAACGGCTCCCATCGAGCAAACCAGGACGGTGAAGTACAGCATTCGGGGTTGCTTCCATTTGTTGGTCGTTTCATCTTGTAGAGCCTTGATTTCGGCAGGGGTGATACCGGGTATTTCAGCTATCAGCAAATCCCCCTGAAGGATCATCGATGCCTTTTGGAAAATATCAGAAAGATGGGCCAGGTGGTAAAGCTCTGTGAATGTCTGTACATCGGCCAGGCTGTCATGCCGGGGGATCTCCCTACGAGCATCAACGTTGGTAGACGAGAAGTCGCGTCGCGAGGAAGAGTCGCTCGGAGGGAGGACTACCGACTCAAGGTGAGCGGCGGTATGTTTCGACATGATTCCGAGCGCTGCCGTTTCTTGAACGATATGTTCATGATCTGAACGTGAGTATACTGCAACCCGGCTTCAATCCGGACAATAAACGGGGATAGACCACCGGCACGTCTGTACTACTACTCACTGACAGATCCCGAGACCAGGAGTAACGTCAATATCTGCGCTTCTGGCCGCATGATTGGCCGTATCAGGGGCTCCCACGCTCTCCCTCGACGTTGACTACTACTGAATACTGCTACTCCTGCTGGCATGATGCTTCCGGAGAGGGTTTCACAAGGTTCCTAAAGCACCTCATCGTGCGGTGTGGAATCATGCAAGGGTTCTTGGGGATCATAATAACTACCTTGACCACAGTATGGCCACGCCCCACTCGCTGCTACTCAGCAGTAGGGTGCTGTGGTGCTTGCTCAATTCAACACAGGGCACACCGAGACGAAACCCATCGCTGGGACGGTCCGGAATCAATGTCCAAGCCAACATCAGCAAGTTCTCGAATCCTCTGGACTACCTGTATACCACTCATGATACATCTCTCCCAGCCTCGAGCAGCACAGCCTTGCTCACTTCTTGACTTTCTCAAAGCCAACGAAATCAGGGAGCACGGCCCGGATGTCTTCAGCATAAGCAGGCAGTCCTCCTGCATAGTTCACTTGTTCAAATGCTTTGCCTGGCATGCTTCCTCCCATATAGGTCGACTTTGTTGTCGGGAACAGACTCTTATCGGACAGTTCGTTGATCTTTTTCTTCCATGCTTTCGAAGCCTCATCAGTTGGGTTGATGTACTTGAGTCCTTGTCGGTCGATTTGTTTGATAGCGTCAACTATCCAACGGCCTTGCACCTCCACGCTCGTTGGGCCGTTACTCAAGAGGGTTGGGCCATGAGGTCCGTATAGATGGAACATGTTTGGATATCCGCTGATTGTTGTGCCTAGGTAGGTATAGGCGGCCTTTTTCCACTCATCTCGAAGATAGGTGCCATTTATATTGCGGAGACCCATTGCCGTCATTCCACCTGGCGATAATTGTCAGTAACTATCTCAACAGCTGTCCACGACGGATACAACTCACCTGTTGTGATATCGAATCCGGTTGCAATACAAACGACATCGAATTCATGGTGGGTTCCATCTTGGAGCCTGATGCCGGTCTCGGTGAACTCTTTGATGGGATTGTTCTTGATATTGACCACCTCAACGTTCTCGCGGTTGAATTGTTCATAGTAGTTGAACTCGAGGCAAGGACGCTTGACCCCAAATGGGTGCGGTGGTTCCAACGGTGCAAGGAGTTCTCGCTGCTTCGGATCGCCAATGCGGCATCGGACATTCTTGGCCCAGAAGTTGTACGCTTCTCGGTTTGCTTTGCGGTCGAAGAGGTAGTCCTTGTAGTTGCCGAGCCAGAATCGAAAGCCTCCATCTTCCCACAGCTTGCGATAGAATGCTTCGCGCTCTTCCGGAGTATCTTCAAAGGTACCACGTTCAGAGAATGTGTACAGAAAGCCACCGAAACACTTCTCTCGGAGGCTGAAGAGTTCTGGATATACTGGCTTGATAGCGTTCTGTTCTTCTGCTGTGAGAGCTCTTTTACGCATAGGGACGGCCAAGTTGGGCGTCCTTTGGAAGACCTTCAGATGCCCTGCTTTGGGTCCCCAAGCCTGCGTGATTTGGACTCCGGAAGCACCAGTGCCAATAACACAGCACTTTTTGTTGCTAACATCAATGTTCAAGTCGGGCCAGAAGGACGAGTGATGGGCCTCTCCTTTGAACTTTTCGATGCCGACAAACTCGTCAGGAACATAACGTTTGGCTGCAAAGCCGGCGGCGACCACGAAAAATCTGGCCTTGGCCATCCGTCCGTCGGCAGTCTGGACATGCCAGCGGCCTTCATCAGTATTGAACTGTGCTTCAACAACGACACTGTCGAAGGCTGTATGGCTCTTGATGTCCAACACCTTGTCACAATGGTCGAAGTATGCCCTAAGGTCTTGATAGGTCGGGTAGTTTGACGGCCATGTCCAGTCCTTGTACGTCTCGGGGATTGAGAGCTGGTATTCGGGTATCTATCACAACACGCTTGGTTAGCCTTTGGTGAACATCGGAACGGGAAAACCTACTTCAGAGTCCACCATGGCTCCAGGATAGCAGTTCCAGCGCCATGTGCCTCCCAGGTCATTGCCAGCTTCATAGATGACGGTGTTGTATCCTGCTTTCCTCAGCTCGTAGAAGCAGAAGACACCACCAAAGCCTCCTCCAACGACGAGTGCATCGACTTCGAGGTTGTCCGCGTATGGGCCAGTGGTTGCCCTTCGCTTGGCATATTCGCGAAGTTCTGTCTTGATGCGAGGCATGTTGGAAGAGATGGCACAGCATACAAGAATGCGTATGAAGACCCTGGGAGTCCAGACACAGGAGGTCCAGCCCGTTATATAAGGCTTCAACTCCAGAGGCCCCCTTCATCTTCATCTCGGGGACGGTCACGGTCCGATCAGCAGTGCGCGGATCCGCGAGAGGGAGGACGGAACCTCGCATCTCCTCAATATTATCATGAAACAAGATAACTGGTCCATGGTTTGACTCAGCAATTATTTCAGAATACTGTACCGTCTTCATACATAGGCTCTTGCGGAGATGCCATGCGCCAGGGCACACCCCATGGGGCCCCTCTTCTGCTAATCCTCCGCTTGAGCCGCGGAACCGCCACCATATATCGAGTCAACGGCTCCGGCTTCTAGAGTCCTCAAACCAGGGCAGAGACCCCGCGATGCATTCTAGAACGGCTGACATCCTCGAACAAGCATCGTAGCAGGGACAGCACCCGCCTCCTGAGGCACAAGCCTCCGCCGAGGTGTGGCTTTTCCGCAGTCGGCCTCATGGCCACGACTGACATAACCATAACGTGCAGTGGAGCACATGAACATTTTTTGTTTGAAGAGCTACTCTAGAAGCATCTTGTCAAACGTACATCTGGGTTCATTCAAAAGTGGCATTATTTATGGCGATTATGCCATATTTGAAGTCGAGGTGCATATCAGCGGAGCAAATGAACTGATAGCGAATATTGTTCGGCGGATCACAGAGCCATAGTTTGATAATTGCAGTTTTGGATTCATCAGTAACCTCAGAGCCCTCAGTCACGGTTGACACAACGAGATATGGTACACACTGGCAGCTTGAAGTGCGAGTCCTGCATATCTGACACAATATAATATGTCGTCGATGGCCACTTTCCCTATGGTCCACCGGAAGGCTTCTTGTGAAGACCCTTAGGCCAAATCCGCTTTCTTGAGTGCCAGTACAGCAGACCTCGTTCTATATGTTGTCCAGATCTCTTAGACAATCCCTGAGGAATTTGGCTGCAAGATACGCCATGTCTGATTTGTTTGCAAGATTCAGAAGACCTTCGATACAATGACCGCACCTTCGTTTTGCCAATCCGATCTCGTCTTCCACGGTCGACCATCCCCCGTTCCTCGGCCGTCGAGGTGCGTTCAGCTGGCTAACGAATACGAACCCTGCTCGACTGAAGGACTGAATCAAGACCAGGGTCCAGGGCTCGGATAACAAAGCAACCTGATTGACAGGATAGGTGAACTCCCTGGCTGTAGGGAATGACAGAGCCTGGCCATGCAAAGAGCAACGACACAGGTCGGAGATGGCGGTTGCGTTCTTTCTTCGTATGTCATCCGAAAAGCCAGATACTCGCCTTGCTTCTCTTTGTGTCCGTCCGCCGAGCCCTGACTCGTCCATCTCATCGACGACATCTGCGAGAAGTATGGCCCCAAGGTGCCAATGTCCGGCTAATATTAGGTACCAAGATTGGATGCGAGCAGGGAGAAGGTGGTGTCTGGCCATGCACTGGGCGATGAACTTCCCGTACGACCTGTTCCACTCCGCATAGACCTTCAGGGCCTGGGCCACTGCTCGCTCCAGGGCGTCGCTCCCTGCTCTCCGGGAAATCAACTTTTGTATATGGCCTACTTTGCGGAAAAGCAGTACTTTCACTGGAGCTGCATCACATAATATCGAAGCAGCATCATCCACGTCAAGGGACCAACGCACTTCCCTGTAATCTTTGAGACCCCGGTCTTGGAGCAGAAAGTCGTCCCAAACGTTTGATGAACGGCGTTGCTCTCCCAGCTTGGACTGTCCTGGTTCAGGATCCCAGCCGTCAAGGTCGATCTCACACGCTGATAACGCTGACTGTTCATTGTCCGTCGAATCACCAGGGGATGACGGGGCTATCTTCCAAGGATCGGCAGAGTCAATAGTAGTATCTTCATCTGCAACCACTGGAGGTCGTTGCAGCATTGCCGCTGATATTGTGTCGAACATGATGACAAGCCAGGTAAGGAGTTGGAACGTGTCACGGTGTTCGCGACTCAGGGTCACGCTCGTGGCAGAAGCTCGAACTCGTTCCCACCCAGCATCATGGGGCGATGATACGGCCTTCTTAGCTTTCTGTCGATTGTACCGTTCCCATTGCCACCGCGAGGACAAGAGTTGTCGAGATGCAGCTTCCAAGAATACCGGAGGACCATCGGCATTAATGATCTCCTGCAGACACTCCCATCTCGATTGCAGATTGTCTGTGTCCTCCTGACTTCCACAGCGTGGTTCCCAGTTTGAGCTTTGTTCCCAGTCCTGCACGTTGAGCGGCCGCTGGGTGAGGGAGAAGATGATATTGGCAAAGGTCACCCTGTATGATTGTACGGATGCAGCCTCATGCAATGCTTGCCGTGCCTGATTCCACAGCGTCTCCTGTACGGACCTGCCGAACTCATCCGCGGTCGGCAGTTGCATATCATCGTGCAAACTTGATGATGTGAAGTCCGGTGAAATGCGATCTCGAATGCCACCTCGGTCGCCAGCCTGGGCCCATTGAACACCGAAGGCCATGACCGCAGCGTTCAAGGCTTTTCCAGCCGTCGCACTTTCCGAACGAGACAGTCTTCTTCCCGGTAGATCGTTGATAAATCGATCCAAATTGCACACGCGCGTGTAGATTCGATTCGACCACTGTGATCCCCAAGTGTTGGAGAGACTGTTGCTGTCACCCACCACGCTGCCGCCACCGCGGGCGAGTGTATACGGGCAGTTTCTCTCGGTCAACCAACACGAGAGAGCATTTTCCAGGCTGTCATGATAGACACGCAGCCAGTTCTCCGTCAAGAGCCATCGATTCGTCCCTGAAGAGAGCGTGCTACTGGAGAGCAGCGAACCGGAAATTTCATCGTCCGAAAACAGGGGGACGGAGCTGCAATCAGACCCTAAGAAAGTAGGTTCGTCATGCTGGCCTCCTCGGAACAATGCGTCCACCGCATCGAAGCTTTGTATCCCGGCCTTCTCGTCGTCATTTTGTTCTTCAAAATCGTGGTCTTCTGGCCCCGGAAATTCCTCCTCGATCGATTGGAGGACCGCATCATGTTGTATGGTACACGATCTGGCCTGGTTTACCAAAGGAGGCTTGTTGTTGTTGTCTGCTGGGAATGAGAGCCAAGGCAGCATTGGGCGCTCGATGGGGTAGGGAGCCATGGGCCCATCATTGGCCTGTTTTGTGGATATCCCATGGTCGACCAAGGTCTCCGGCGTCCCCCAGATGTCAAATAACTCGACATCATCAAACAAGTCAAAATCAACGTGCTGCGTCGTCCCGAGTTGAGAGATGACGGCGGGATTGTTGCCCTGGGTCGACACGAAGGTCGAGCGCTGCTGCGTCGTCCCACGTTGTTGTTCAGATGCCGAGTCAATGTCGACGCGAGGTTGTTGCGTCCGGTTCTTGTTGGTGCCCTTGATCAGCTTCGGCAGTGTACTTTCCAGCCAGTCAAAGGTACATGTTCGACCGGCCCTTTGGCAGTTGGTACACCTGGTGACAGGCACCTGAAGCTTGTCCTGGTGGTGGTGAGCAAGACGCCTCTGCGGCGTCGTTTTGCCGTTGCTATGATTTATTGACCGTTGATGATGCTGATGCTGATGCTCGGACTTGAAAGCGGCGTCACACGCCCGTTTGGCTTTTCTGCACTGGTCACAGCTGCTGTGCTGCCGGCGCCGACGCACTCTTTCAATCACGACATGCTGTTGTTCCTCCATTGTTTGTGGAGTGCGGTGTGGCAAGGGAAGACGCCAAGTCAGACACAAACGGTTGTTCCCCGAACTGATGATGCTGCTCCCAGGTCCTGAACCGAGCCGCCGCAACCCCCTTCTTCTCCTGATGACGGAGCGGTGGCCTGGCCTTGGGAGGCACCTGTCCTCCCCTCCGGCTCCCAGCCCTCCTCCGATCGCGCGGTTCCGCTCAACTCATCCCTCCAACTGCAAGTCAATATCGTCCCATGGCGCCATGTCTGACCCCGCAAATAAGCCTGCAGATAACGCGGGGAAGGGCCACGCCGCGATTTCTTCGTGGGCCCCTTACTACAGGGGCACCTAGGTGAGTGGTACTGAATCTCAACCTGCAGTGCTCAACCCGTTGCACATCTTTTCCTTCTACAGAGGCCCAGCAAACCCGCTTCATAAGCGAAGTGGGCGGGGTCGACCAGGCTGGTCCTACTGCACAATTTATGTACAGTATACCACGTATCCTGAGTAGACCCGCTCGGTCCGAAGTTGTTGGCTGAGAGAAGCCGTGGCTTGATGCTCTGAAGGAGTTTACAGTGTAGTAGTTCTTGGTCGTTGGGCTTCAGATACAGGCCGACAGCATCGGCTGCAAATCGACGGAGCCGAAAGAAAGGTGTTTTCGCGCCTGGAGATTCCGACATCGTTAGCAAATGTAGCGAAGACGGGTAGACTATGTGTTCAGCTCAGGAAGATCCGAACTCCTGATACAATCCACGCCAGTTGAACTTCACCATCGGATGTGGCTAAAATCTCCCGAACTTGGATGCCAATATAATAAACAACATGAGCGTTCTGTGCTCCGCTTCAACAACCAGTTAACAACTTTCAACGCAATCGGATTTTTTTTTGTTTTGGCTGGTGCCTTCTATCATAAAAAGTTGCACGGCCCTGAAGTTGGTGGTGCCATCTTGCACCTTTCATTGACCTCTACCAACCGTACCCAGAGGCCGCCCGAGATTGGATCACCCTTATTAGATTCAGAGGATCCTACATTGTCATGACTGCGATGGCTCCGATTTCAATTCCTCCCGCTTGCAACCATAGAAGCCAGGGCTCCTCAAAACTGGCGACTGACCGTGTTGAAAATCGCAGCTTTTTCGTACACGAAAAGAGAAAAAAAAAGAGAGAAATCACCGTGCCCGATGGCAAAATTGCCGAATTTCATGTTGTGATTTTCTTGGGGCCTGAAATGGAAAATCATACAAACGAATCGTGAAGCCTCGTTGAACGTCTTTGAGCTGCTCGGTGGACGCTCGGAGACGGTCAATGGGAATGAAGCGAATGGCTGTCAGGGCCAAAGTGCGGTATGGTGGCCAGGAGTCAGAGATCACATCATCTGATCCTGTGTCATGCCACCAGTAGCCTCTTGTCCATCCATGGCTTCATTGCCGTTGGCGTTGGTGTACTTGACATAGGACAAGCCGAGAGGACGGCCACCGTACATATAGCCGGTGAATTTAGCTGGTGTCGTTAGTCAAGAACCTGCTGTATGAGGACGGCGAAAACTTACAGATGGCAGTCTCGGCATCATCGGCAGATCCGAATTCGACAACGCCCGTTCCGCGAGATCGTCCGTTTGGTTCGTACTGAATCTCCGCGCGCTCAACCTTGCCAATGGTGGTGAACAGCTCCACCAAATCTTCGTTGCTGGTCGACCATGGAAGCTGTACTGTTGTTAGTCTATGCAGGGCGACCATGCTGATTGGATCACTCACGTTTCGAACATAGATGATAGGGTTCTTCTCTCCTCCAGAGGTTGCAAAATCGGTAAAGGGGTTAGGAGCAGGTGGTTCCTGACCAGCAGCAGGATGGCCGCCAGCGCCACCAGCAGCGCCGCCGTACCACGCTCCACCACCACCACCATAGCCACCTCCTCCGTAACCGCCTCGCTGAAAGCCGCCGCCGCCGTAGCCGCCACGACCGCCAAAGCCTCCTCTACCGCCGCCGTAGCCACCGCCGTAGCCACCACGCATGCCAAAGCCGCCCTGAAAGCCGCCTCGGCCGCCATGACCCATGCCTGGACCACTGCCTGCGTAACGGTCTTCGCGGACCTCGAGAGCACGGCCGTGCCAGTCGTATCCGTTGAATTGCTGAATGGCATTGCGGGCGTCATTGGGAGACTCGAATGCGACTATGCCAGTTCCTTTGGGTCGTCCAGTGGCATCAACATGAACATCCGCTCGAATGACACCGCCTTCGGTTGCTGCAACCATTGTGAGTCTCTTGAAAAATGGCTGAACAAGTGTACAGGGACATACCAGCCTGCCGGAACAAATCTTTCAAGTCCTGCCAACCGACGTTGAAGGGTAGCTGTTATGTCAATGTCAATAATTACTGCAGCACACCCACGTCAGAGAAATGGAAGCACAAACATTGGAGACGTAGAGTTGGCGGGCACCACCACCGGCCATGCCGCCGCCCATGCCGCCGCCCATGCCGCCAGCGCCATAACCCCCGCCATAACCACCTCGGGGACCACCGCCAAAGTCACCCCGACTGGAAGGCCCAGTGAACCGTGGCTCTGTTTCACGATCCTGTTACAGAACATCGGTTGTCAACAACAATACCGAGGAATCACACAGCGCTGTCTGCCTACCTCTCGAACATAGACGAGACGACCCATCAGGCTCTGATTGCTCAGAGTCTGGATGGCTTGCTGGGCTTGTTCCCTTGTTGCGTATTCCACAATCCTGATGGCAACGTCAGCGAAAACCTTCAGGAAGGAAGTCAAGAAGGTCTTACCCGCATCCCTACACAGACCCGCGGACAAGGTCCAACCCGTCAATCCAACGTCCAACAAAAGTAACCAGAAAGGAAGACCAGTAGAACCAGCCGCATCACACAATGGCGCCCACCTTCGACATTCCATTCGGAAGAAGTAAGACATCGGCAAAGAGGACCTCTCCAGCTGAACTCGAGCGTCAGCGTGCGATCGCTCCCGGAAGATATCAAAACAACTAACCCTGTCTCATGAAGTCTTTGAGATGATGCCATTTGACGTCGTAAGCCAAATTGCCGACATAGACACGGCGGTCTTGCTGAGAAGACTCGCGCACTGACTGCATCATTTGTTCTCTTGCTGAAGATCGGTCTTCGTATGATCTCGAACCTCCGCCTCTACCAGAGTAGCTCGAACCTGCGTATCCTCCAGATGCGTTCGGTGCACCGCTCATGGGACTGCGAGAACGGCGCTCACTGCGGCGGTATTCGTCGCCGCGACTGCGAGAGCGGCTACGAGAAGAGTAGGAGCGTCGAGTTCTTCGAGGACTACGCGATCGTCGACGAGGTGAACGAGATCGATCCCTCTGCAAGTAGTCAGAAAGGTGTCGTAGTAAAGTGAACATGACATGTAGGAACTGGGAACAGTTTGGTGGGTTGCGCAAGCAAATTCACCGCCGTGTAGCACGTGCAAGTGATTGTTCGGACGGAGGTGGTGCAGGAGCAAAAGAAGTGAATACGGTATCACTCAGCGCTATTCTGCAGTGAAGCATTCAAGGCCGACGATGTGCTGCCACACCACTGACGCAGGTGAGGTCGCGGTGAAGTCGAACCCCCCATTTCGGCTACTGCTCGATATGCTCGCAACAGAGAAATCGTGTCACTTACTATAAACCCAAGATGATTAGCCACAGATTGTTGCAACGTGAAGTGATGAATGGACGGAGAGAAAGAGGTGAGGATGATGCGGGCAGGAGGTGGAGGTGAGGTATGTATTGAGATGATAAGGTGAGGGACTGATGACCGGCGAAGCAGACCACCACAGAAAAGAGCTAGACCGGGCACAGGCTGGAGGAAGAACACGCACCCATGATTATCGATTGCCGAGAAGTGTGCTGCGGACGGCTTCAACTGTTGAGTCTACGAGATCAGGATCGCATGCACGAAAATGCAGGAGGGGAGGGGGAAAGGCCAGCTAACAAGGTTTCCCGAGTAGGACAAGGGCTGTCCAGAGTGCTTGCGAGATGTTGACGCCTCTATTCGTCTGTGTGGATCGCGTTCTCAGCACCGCAGAATTCGGAAGGCAGAGGAATCAGCAGCCTGTGGAAGAGGAAACTCGTCTGACAGCCTCACCGGTACGTGTTGTGGCCGACTCGGACAGGACAAGACTGGCGTTCTGGTTGCTGCTTTGACTGCTGGGGACGAAATTTTCGCTCAAACAACGGACGCAACCTCTGCGGGGCGCGAGCGAACGCAAGCTAAAAGCCCGGATCCTGGTGGAGACTGGATTTTCGCTGGCCTGACGCAGTACCACAGCAGGCAACAGACGTTTATTGGGGCGCGGAGTCGATATGGTGGAGAGAGGATCGCGGTGTTTGTTGGTTGTTGTGATACCGGGATTGGGAACCCTCTATGGCCACAAAGTCAGTCAACATTCACCTTGTTCAGCGCTGGCTTTGGCTCCCATGGGAATCTAAGAGTTCCTGTCGATCGGCCCAGCGGGGAGACGGCGTGCAGAGCGGTGTGTGTTCTTGTGCTATCCTCCTCCTACTGTATCTCACCGCCAGGGTATATGACCAAACACAGAGAGCAAACGCGCAGTCACAGAGCTTCTGCGCCGGGCGTGCTGCGGCACGGATGGCTTACTAAAACTGCGTCCAATGGCGGCCACAACAGAAGAATGGCCGAGAGGGTCCGTGGGTATGGGAGGTCGGAGAGAACTGGTGATTCGTGTCAGCAAGACAGGCAGCCTCTCGCATTCGGACCCTGCTGGGCGGGAGAGGGTACCAGGTCAGGGGTCCAGAGTCAACAGGCCAACTGAGACAGACGTCGGGCACGGTAAGGTTGGGTTGAATGAGCGCAATACTGGATGGGCTGCAGCTAAGGTTGAGGTTCAAGCAGGTTGCAGCGTGACAGGAGCTGTTGTCCTCAATCGACGTTGCCCGAGTGGGAGTTGGCCTTGGCGCTAGCGGCCCTTTGACTGCGCCTGTCAACTTGAACATCCAGCTCATCAGAGTCCACTGCTGGCGGCTCAGGGTCTCTGGCCAGGTCCAGCCCAATCAATCAATCAATACACCAACACAGAGCAATTGGCCCATGGTAGCCTCTGTTTGGGTGTCCTTCTTTTACATACAACGTTGTACATCGTTCGCGCTACAGTACCTTACTACTTACTTCAGCATCCTTTAAGCACACGCACCTCTGCACAACATGCAGAGGCACCGGCCAGAGGACATCGCCTTGGGCACGTTAGCCAGCCTTCGATTCTCAAAACAGCTGTATGGCCGCGGCGTCGGCAGAAAAGAGACAAGAGAACAAATACCCGAGCGCCTTGAAGATCAATTGGTTGCAGCATTGCAGCTATAAAGTCGCCTGCAATTTTCCCACTGGCATTGCGTTATTTATGTACCATGCTCGGTGTTGCATTAAATAGCCGGAATGGCTGAACTGATCCTTGTCTGCCATAGCTTCAGCCTTTGCACATTTCTAGCCGGCGGCACGACGTCCGCCGATCCGAACGCTGTGCCAGCGCGAGTCATGCAGCGTGTGATATAGGCCCTCCCTGACGTACAATTGTGCCGCTGCAAGAGTTGCAGGGGAAAGTCTGCTCTATACTAGAATGGTGTATCGCTTGAGGTCGCGCAGAGGCAATGACACAACTGTCTAATGCTGTGGCAGAAAGCGACATCAGGGAGGTTGCTACTAATATGCCCAGCCTTGCAAGGAGTAACATTTTTGCATGTACACTGGCAGTTATCGACCTGCCTCCGGATACTCAAGACTGGGCGCCATCCAAGCACTACTGAAACCAGCAGCTGTTACTACGTCTCATCTCCGAGTCCTAACAGTGATGCAGTCATCCCCAAAAGCGCGGAGAAGATGTCCGTTGCCTCCTCCGGACCAGGATTGGTTTGACCCGCTTGTGCTGCTCGCGATCGTCTCATGGACCTTGTGCGCGACATGCTATGGCTAGAATCTTGTAAAGATGAATGATGCTGTCAAACATAGGTACAATGATGTACTACCACTGCACGTATCCAGATGTCCACGGACCCTTGAAAGCACGGATTCTCACCCTGCTTCAGTGCATCCCAGCTACAGTGTAAAGCCGCCGGAAAACCGTGCCAAGAGTCGGCAAGGCTGAGGGCACCTGGTGAGGCTGAGTTGAGGCTGAGCTCGACTTCGTCGTTTCGAGGTCCAGTTACCTCAGGCACCCTTCGAACTTGAACTGAGTTTAATGCCATCGTGGTCAACACAATTAATCTCACGGGCTCAGACGTCCCAATGATTAGCATGTTTCAACTACTGCACTGCTAGTCCCCTCCATCGTTCTTCATCCTAGATGCTGCGCAGCAAATCCTGCCAGCTCTAACGCCCTTTGCATACAATCTTGCGTCCATTTGTCTATCGTCCGGTCGCTTCAAGCCTCAGGTCCATCTTTCCACAGCTAAACGTAACCTACCAACCTGTGCACGTACAGCGCAACATGGCTAGATCATGCGCCTCAGCCACGCTCCTCAAGGCTCTCCGCCAGCCCTCTTGCCGGGTCCGGAACTCCTTCTACATTCCTCAACTTAGACGGTCATATTATTCTGTCCACCACCCCGATGCTCCCCCGTATCCCGAGAGTCAGGACCGAATACTATCTGCGGCCATGAAGCATGTACCTAAACTAGGCTTCTGTGAAGAAGCGTTGATACAAGGTGCAAAAGATGCAGGATATCTGGAGGCATCAGTCCAGCTGTTCCCCCGCGGCGTGTTCGACCTCATCAACTATCATTTGGTCACTCAGCGGCTTGCTCTGAAAGATAAAGTCAAATTCCCAGAAGGGCTGCAGCTAGGACTAGGTGCGAAAGTTAAGACACTGACCATGGCGCGCTTGCGAGGAAATGCTGAAATCATAAAACAATGGCAAGGGGTATGAGGGAGTCCTGTCTATTTGCAGAGCAAGGCTGATAACTACTGACATAGGCACTTGGATACATGTCCCTCCTGGAGAACATGCCAGCTTCATTGCAGGAGCTAGCTGCCCTGTCTGATGAAATTTGGTACCTTGCGGGAGACACCGCGGTCGATTTTTCTTACTACACCAAACGAGCCTCATTATCCGCCGTCTACGCCAGTAGCGAAGTGTTCATGACCACCGACAAATCGCAAGACTTTGTGGCGACGGAAGAATTCCTCGACCGCCGGCTTAGAGCTGCGCAAGGTATAGGTGGCACTGTTGGTGGGCTGACGCAGTACGTGGGCTTTTGGGCTGGAAACAGCGTCAACCTAGCCCGGTCGTGGGGAATGAGGGTATAAATTCTGGATGTCTAAAACATTTGTTGAAGATAAATCGCCATTGATGCCAGCATTGTCAAAACGTGGGGTCCTTCGCGCTGCCAGGATCTCTGCACACTTCGCATGATCAAGGTCCAGCTATCCGGCTTCTTCCCACGCAATGCGGCGCAAAACATCCTTGGAAAAGAGAACGACGTATTCTTGTGGCGCACACTCCGAACACTTCGGGACCAGGACTGGAGACAACACATCAAACTTGCGCATTCACACGAAGTTAAGACTGACAGCAATCGATCCATTGCGCTATGAGCGCAACTTGGGCATTGTACCCTGCTTCGCGAGTCCGGCAAGGTCATAAAGAGGCTTCCTGAGCTACATAGACCCAAGCGAACGGTGTACAGCTTGGCCAGCCGCCAGTCGGGGACACTGGGCCTCGGGGCAGGATTAGAATTCACCCTGCGTTGTCCCATGAGGACAGCCTGGTGCAATGGAGGGCAAGTTGGGACTACACCGACTTCAGACTGGATCAGAACCACTCTCCTGACTCGGAGGAGCCCGAGAGACCCGGAAGTGGCATGCTGGACTCCTCAGCTATTTTTGTGTCAGCACAACCGGTATCGGGTCCATGACAGGGCCCATTATTTGCGCCAGTAGTCCCTTGTACGAGACTATGTTTTAACATCATTTGACGAGCATTTTCCGCTGCCATCGACTATGCTAGCCTTTGCATAAATCATACATATTTCTGGGAAAAACAGCCGTCTGACAGGGAGGCAGATGCTTTGCGTCGGGCCTGGCGGGCGTTCCAGATAGAGGCGGATAACGAAACTTAACAGTCGTCTCCACTTTGCCTGAATTCCTGCAGTCCGATCAGTGAAGACCACGGTGTCGTGCCGGTAATGATGATTGTTCAAGTTGCAGTTATGAATATGTCCACTACACGACGTGGGTAATAGACAGGGCGACGAGGATCCTGTGGTCCGCTACGACTGTTTGTACTACACAGTGCTAGTAGTACGAAGCACAGTCGCGTCAACTGGCACTTTACGCGTCGCCGCACGTTACGTGACTCGAGTAGCGCGTTTGGCCATCAATACTACCTACTAGTATCACGATTGTTTGGCAATGCTGACTGCCATATCCACGAGCAACAAGACAACTGCTCGAAGATGGCGTCAAGACCGGAACTCAAGGTAAGACAAAATATCCAAACCCATCTATGTACAGAAAATGGCATTGACAGCGCCGACTAGGTAGAAGATGAGGGAGGCTTCATCCGCACATTTCGATCCCTTCCTCCCAAGCCTGATGGTGGCAATACGATCCGTGTCTTCGACCGGGCCGACTGGTATTCGGCACATGGCGAAGACGCCGAGTTCATCGCAAGAACCGTCTACAAAACCACTGCTGTGATACGGAACCTTGGACGGAGCGACAATGCCTTACCCAGCGTTACCATGTCAACGACCGTTTTTCGAAATCTCCTCAGAGAAGCGCTCTTCAAACTGGGCAAACGTGTCGAGATCTGGGAGGCGACTGGGAGGGGCCAATGGACTCTTGCTCGCCAGGCAAGTCCGGGCAATCTGCAGGCTGTCGAAGAAGAGCTAGGCACTGGAATGGATAGCCAAGGTGACAGCGCACCCATCATTCTGGCCGTCAAGATCAGCGCAAAAGCAGGCGAGGCCAGGAGTGTAGGCGTTTGCTTTGCAGATGCCAGCGTCAGAGAACTCGGTGTGAGCGAATTTCTCGACAACGACTTGTTCTCCAACTTCGAAAGCCTCCTCATCCAGCTCGGAGTCAAGGAGTGCATTGTGCCCACCGAAGGCTCGAAAAAGGATCCAGAACTGACCAAATTACGCCAGATCATCGATTCCTGCGGCATCGCCATTTCTGAAAGACCGGCAGCTGACTATGGAACCAAGGATATCGAGCAAGATTTGGCCAGGCTCCTCAAGGGCGAGAACGCAATAGGATTGTTGCCCCAGACGGATCTCAAGTTGGCCATGGGCAGTGCTAGCGCCTTGATCAAATACCTGGGTGTCTTGACGGATCCCAGCAACTTTGGCCAATTTCGATTGTATCAGCATGATTTAAGTCACTTCATGAAGTTAGATGCCGCAGCACTGAGGGCACTCAACCTTATGCCTGGACCAAGAGATGGGGCAAAGAGCATGAGCCTTTTCGGTCTCCTGAACCACTGCAAAACTCCAATAGGTGGCCGCTTGTTGGCGCAGTGGCTGAAGCAGCCATTGATGAGCCTCTCTGAAATCGAAAAACGACAACAACTGGTCGAGGCCTTCATTGAGGATACGGAACTGCGCCAAAGCATGCAGGAGGAGCATCTTCGTTCCATCCCTGATCTATACCGTCTGGCAAAGAAGTTCCAACGAAAACAAGCCAACTTGGAAGATGTAGTGCGCGCCTACCAAGTTATCATACGGCTGCCGGGTTTCATTGGAGCATTGGAGGCGGTAGTCGACGAGAAATACCAAGAGCCACTTCAGGCTGAGTACACTTCGAAGTTGAAGGAATTATCCAACTTTCTGGAAAAACTCGCAGAGATGGTTGAGACGACCATCGATCTCGACGCACTAGATCGTCACGAATTCATCATCAAGTCGGAATTCGATGACAGGCTTCGCAATATCAGGGCGAAGCTTGACAGAGCCAAACACGATATGGATGTTGAACACCGCCGGGTGGGCAAAGATCTCAATCAGGAGCTCGACAAGAAACTTTATCTGGAAAATCACCGAGTTCATGGATATTGTTTCCGACTGACCCGTAATGAGGCGGGTTGCATACGTAACAAGAGTCAGTATCGGGAAATTTCGACTCAGAAGAACGGCGTCTACTTCACAACTCAGAAATTACAGGAACTGAGGCGGGAATACGACCAGCTCTCGAGCTCCTACAATCGACAGCAATCATCACTCGTGTCAGAAGTCGTCACTGTTGCGTCTTCATACACTCCAGTCATTGAACAGCTTGCGGCCATCATTGCTCATTTGGACGTTGTGGTAAGTCTGGCCCATGTTTCAGTCCATGCGCCAACGGCGTACGTCCGACCAAAGATGCACGAGAGGGGGACAGGGGATACTGTCTTGAAAGAGGCCCGTCACCCATGCATGGAAGCCCAGGATGACATCAACTTCATCACCAACGATGTCGAACTGAAACGCGAAAGCTCAAGATTTCTCATCATCACCGGCCCAAATATGGGCGGCAAGTCAACTTACATCCGTACCATCGGCTGCATAGCACTGATGGCTCAGATTGGCTGCTTCGTCCCATGCAGCGAGGCCGAGTTGACCATCTTTGACTGTATTCTTGCTCGTGTGGGAGCTTCAGACTCCCAGCTCAAAGGGGTGTCGACGTTCATGGCTGAAATGCTGGAGACGGCCAATATCCTGAAGAGCGCAACTAGGGACTCGCTCATAATTATCGATGAGCTTGGTCGTGGCACGAGCACGTACGATGGTTTTGGCCTTGCATGGGCAATCAGTGAAGAGATTGTGGCGCAAATCGGAGCGTTCGGTTGCTTTGCAACTCATTTTCATGAATTGACGGCCCTGGCGGACCGACATCCCAATGCTGTCAAAAACCTACATGTGGTGGCATTTGTGGGCGACAAAGACACTGCCACTGGCGACACTGCGGCGTCTACCAAACGACGGGAAGTGACATTGCTTTACCGAGTCGAACCTGGGGTCAGCGATCAGAGCTTTGGCATTCACGTCGCCGAGCTGGTCAGATTCCCTGAAAAGGTGGTAAACATGGCCAGGCGTAAGGCCGAGGAGTTGGAAGATTTCACCACCGTCACAGGCGAACAAAAGAACAAACAATATTCAAAGGAGGAAGCCGAAGAAGGCAGCCGACTACTTAAAGAAATGCTGAAGAAGTGGAAGGACCAGGTTGAAGGCCAAAGTATGACCAAGGACGAAAAGCTCCAGCTGATGAGGGATATGGTCAAGAGTGACGAGCGACTTACGTCCAACCCGTTTTTCCAATCAGTCCAGGTACTGTAAGGCAGCACATCTGGCAGTGGTCAAAAGCATAAGGTATATTTTGGGAGCATGGAGTCAACGGTTACTGTTGGAAGTCACACAAAGTGGATGTCTGAATGGCAATGTGATTAATTTTGGAGTGGTTTAGAAAGGCTAATTGTACAATTGTCCGTCTTTTTGCGGGTTGAAATTTAGCAACACTCCAACAGCCAACTCTCTGACTTTATCGGACGTTTGATCTCACACTGTCATCTCCAGGTCTTTCGGCAGCTTGCTTGGCTGAAACATGCTCAGGACCCTCTCCGGCTTGACCTTGGTCGAAGTCTCCCGCCTTGGTCGGTCTCCCTGTTCCTTTCTGGACGTCTCCACCTTCTTCCGGAGGGATCTCGCGGTTGTTGCCTGCGCCTGACACTTTGCTACCATACTCGGCAGTGCTACCGGGGAATTTGTCCGTCACAGATTGGTCGATACCAGATTCGTAGACTATGCATCAGTCAGCACCGAGTGTCATGCTGGCAGGATTGCATGTGCAAGCGGCCTCTACTTACCGCTGAGATTGCCTTCCGTGACAGTCTTGCCACCGAAGCCAACACCGCCGCGCTCCTGCTTCAACTTGGGGTCTGCTAGGTCCTGTTCCGCTTTGGCGGCAATGTCGAGGGGATCTTGACCCTTGTATTGTTCCGACATGGTGGATGTATGAGTTGTGATGAGGGTTTTGTGGTCTTTTTCTGGGGATTTGAGAGGATTGGAGGTTTATTTGAGGGAGGTACAATGTTTCTTGCTTTTGCAGATGTGTCGCGTGAGAGTAAATGCAGCAACTTGTCGAGATGAAGATGCATTTGTATCTTCGCTTGACGATGTTCTTCTGGTGGAGATCTAGTGATGTCATTGGCTCACGTCATAGTATCCATATAATGCGCAGTAGCGGTCATGCAGTGGGCCATTACATAAGGTACGGAGGAGTGCAACGTCCAGAGCATCTGATCGTCTTATGAGGCTGCCACAGCTGTGCTCAACACTTATTCAAAGGAGATAGGTAGGTAGGGCCAATGCAGGCTGATACTGCTATGGTGGATGTTGTCGAGTTCCTGTGCTGTCCCCCATCCAGGGATATCATGTACACACCATCGTGTTATGAGAGATTGAGAAGCTGGCGGCCGCCATAGTTCAGGGTGCCCTCCGCCTCAAGTCGGACATGAGGCTACACTGGCAGGCAATCTCCAGCTGAAAATGGCCCAGCAGTGCTATTCCTCATGCTTCATATGCCTTCTGTGCCATCTGTGAACGTCTTCTCTCCCAAAACAAAAGAGCCGCGCACCACTCAATGCTTGATGCAGAGTCCGCTCCATCAAAGAACAGTCTTGTGAATCTTGCCGCGGCTTCCCCAGGACGAAATGCAGTCTAGAACGGGAGACGGTAAGTGCGGATGCCAACAGTCCTCAGACCTGGTACTATGTACGCAGCACCCATCGCGCCTTCCTCTGGCATTGTGCGAACCGCTGCCTATCCCGGGCCATGCAGCGTTTCTCTACCTGCGGTCTCCGAGGCCGAAGCCAACATCAAGTAGGTTCTATCATGCTATTGATAACACTCGCCTCTGGCCGCAAAATGTCCCAATCAGTGGTAACAACAGACCTAGCCTCCCTCAGCGCTCGCAGCCGCCGTTCTTCTGTGTCTGCTATACCTCGCCCAACATCTGGCACTTCGCGCCATGCCACACCAACAAGTTCTCGAAAAGGCAGCGCAGTGGTGACTCCAGAAGCGAATAGTCAGCTTGCTCCTCGGAGTCAGAAGAAATCATGGCATCCCAACGACGGCGCCCCTCCTAGCTCGTTCCATATGCCTCATTCGTCGTCCTCGAGCACTGACTCCCTGGTGCCGTACGAGCAACGAGTGAAAAGAGACCTTTCAGGCAGGCAGCAACAGCTGCACATCCACAAGCTATCTACATATTCTTTGGGCGGCCCTGAAGATATGTCCTTCGTCAGCTCCGCAGGTCAGCAAGGAAAGTTGCCACGATCCAAGACAACGGGCAATCTTCTGTCTTCGCCTCGCGACTCGACACCAGGAAGACGTCTGCTTCAGCCCCTCGGGCCACCACTTCCCCGGACGCAAACACTTGGCAGTATATCATGCTTCAGTCCTCCGAACTTGACCCCGTCTCCCAGAAAGCCTACCTCGGTTGGGGTGAGGCAGAAGGATGACAACAGCAAGCTCAACGTGGCGGATGCGCTCTTGGAGAGCAGAATGACCTCGGAGGAGATGCGAACGATGGTTCAAGTGCAGAGAGAGGCGGCAGCAAATCGTACTCGACTGAGGAACTCGTTTGGTGCACCATTGCAAACATCTAAACCCGGCACTGGTCGGTACGAAGAGACCCAGAAGACGGCTGCCACGCGTGTGGCATCACCTTCTAAGCCTAAAGGTCCGGTCAATGGTGATGCTGGCAAGCCCAAAGGCCTCCGAAGAAGTCTACCGGGTAGACTCCTTGTCATTCCTGCCGGGTCGGACGTAATGTATGCTGAAAGTAGCCCATCTACTATAAGTAGTGCCACTGGATCTGACCGAAGCGGCGAGTTTTTCGATGACACGAAGAAGGTCAGGCAATCATAGTGTCCTCTGCAGCTTGACTGGAACGAGTTTGACTGACCGGGAAGCAGGTTTATTCGGCAGAGAGTTTACATTATTGGACAGGTCGATATGTGTCACTATGCGACCGCCTCCGAATGAAGGAACTTCCTGTCGCAGGCGGTCCACTGCCTGTCGACACTGCCACTACCAAGCCAAAGAGCGAACTATTGTTTGAGACCAACGAGAAGATCAGGATGAACACTGCATTGATCGAATTACGCCAGTCCTGTGTGAGGCAGGAGGCCTTGAAAAGCTTCGAAGATTTTGAATCGCAACTATTGAAGAAGCTAGGAGTGACCCGTCTCCAGCTCGATCGGGCCGCTAGCCTTGTTATTGGGAGGAAGGATCCTGAGAAGCAAGCGAAACTCTCTCACGGTGGAGGAACGAAGCCAATGACAAGTTTCAAGCTGCCACAATCTCCATCTAACACCTCGACCGCAACAAGCAGGATTTCCAACGTGAATGCGGAAGCTGTTATAACCACTGGCCCCAAGGCCCTTTATGGTAACGCTGGTTTGACCAAAAGCAAAACGACTGGTAATCTGGCTGTACTTATCCCAACCGGGCCAAAGAAGCAGGATGGGGCAGTATCCACCAGAAGCCCGGGCGCCAAAGAGACATGTTCACACAAACGCAGAACATCGTACTTTGAGCGTTCTCCTGAAAGCCTGAGCAACGCCGCAAGAGACGGAGAAGAGAAAGTTTTGCGTCGAGGAGCCGATGCACATAGACGATCAACTTCTCGCTTGCCGTCATTTGTATTCCCCAAGAGCGAAAGTCAGAGCAAGCTACTTCCATCTCCAAAGACGGACGTCGGTGGGCAGGACCCTCGATGTGGAGGTACCATAGCCAAGGTCAACGCTTTCGATCCAGTCGTCGGACCTCTGGACTGTGCCATGCTTGAGAGTGGGCATTCAACACCTCCGCCACCGGTTAGCGACATTGCCTCTTCGCGAGTCCAGCTTGTCAAGGTAGCAGGTGGGGGAAAGGAGAAGTTGGTCAAGTCTCGGCGCAAGGTTGACCGCCAAATCAGTGGAGAGATCAAGAGTTTTATCGGTGCCGGCATGAGGGAAGTGAGAAAGATGGGGAAGAGAGTTGGCGGTATAAACTGGGGGAGTAGCGAGGATTTGTTGCTCCCGGGCAATAAATAGCAGACGAAGACCAATGTCAGTCCAGCCAACATCGCTCAGTGCTGTGCCATTCAGGGCGCTGACACCTGTGTAAAAGAGCCAGAGTAGTTGTGAGATTTGATAGGGAAGCGGGTGTGCAGTGGCTAGGCTTAGACAGGTATCCATTGAATCCCCAGTTCGACCTCCCTTTCTCCGTCCGCTGAATCGGCGTATATTCCCACCTTCTCAAATCTGTGTGGGGAATGGGCCGCGTAGAAGGTAGTGCTGTTGCGATACGACAAGGTGTAAGGGGATTCGGGATCCGAGGAAAAAATGCTCTGTATGGCGGTAGATTTGGTGCATTCAAACTTGCTGGTGGCAGGGTTAATGGCACAAGGAGAAAAGCTCGAAGAGAGAGAAAACAATGGAGCATGGCCAGGGTCGACGACGTCGGGCTGAGCCTTGAAAGTGGCGCACGTGCCCGAAGTGTACCAGTCGCCTAGACGGATGAGACAGCCTTGGCTTTGTTGGTCTGTTGTTGCTGCAGTTACAGAAGAGGATGTGGATGAGGATGAGGATGCCTCTGAGGCTGATGATGGTGTTTTCAGGACATTGACTTTCAAATACCCTCTACCTGAGAAAGGGTGGGCCGTAGCTGTAGGCGAGGTTTTGGACGTCGTTGGCGATGGACCAGGATATGGATGTGGTGGTGGGTTTTTGTGGGCAGATTTAGGCCGGTACTTGATTCCACTACGGGGACAATTGGACAACGGGGCTCCGTCGAATGGACTGGTTGGGATGAAAGTGTCGCGAATGATGGATTCGTTGAGGAAGGGAAAAGAAGGTGATGAAGAAGAGGTTTGAAGATTGAGAGTGTGGGTGTTATTGCGGCCGATGTTTGTTCTTAACGGACCAAGAACGGCAAAATGGTACCAGATCTCATTGAGTTGGCCGAAGCGGTCGCAGCGGAACGTGACGGGGTGGCCGTACTCGGAGGATGATGAGATTGCATCCTCGAGTTCGGAGAGGGTGTATGTCTTTGTGTAAGAGGGGATAATGCCCGCGTCGGCGAGGATGGAGTAGGTGTCTAATGTGCGGAATAGGGATGTTGTTTGGATGAAGTAGTCTAGGACGTCGAGGGGAGCCTTAGAGTCCTTGTGAACTCCGCCGACTTCGTCGCCGTTGTCTCCTCCACCATAACACACCGGCTCCAAAGTCGAAATACACGTCCCATGCTTATTCCACTCATGCGCCCAGAGATGGGCATCATCACCGTCCAAAGCAAGCCAGGACTCACGCATATAGTCCAAAAGCGGTTGCGTGACTTCTCGCGACGCCGCAGCTTCAAGAGCACTCACAATGTCGTCGTGGCGGCGCGTCGCGTCTCCGCAAAATTGGTCAAAACCCCCGGTACATAGGTCCGGCCAGAGGCCATGAATCGTCCATGAGTCTGCGGCGCCCAGGGCAGGAGAGGTGTCCCAGAATTGAGTCTGGAGAAAGTGGCCGGATGGGTGGTTTATGCAGCAGGTGTTGATTCCGTCTGCAGGTGGTGGGAATGGACATGAGAGAAGGGGTGGATAGGGGCAGTGTTCTTGGGATTGAATCTGGAGGGGTTGTTGAAGTGGATGTTGATCACTGTGGGTGGGAGTGTCATGGTTGTTGATGCTGGTTTTGATGCTGCTGCTGGTGTTGGTGTTGGTGGTATCATGACTGTTGGATAAGAGGTTCAGGTTGATCAGAGACGATATCAGGGGCAGCCTGAGGGCTTGCTGGAACCACCACATGGTGAGGGACACCGGTTTGGTAGGTAGATACTGTTGGCTGGCCGGCTGGGTTGTGTAATGCAGGGTGTAAGGATATATAGATTTAACAATGATAACAGTGCATTGTGGGATATTTGGAGGTAACGTTGAGGAATAAGGATGGGAGGCAGAAGCAGGTGAAGAGGGACACAAATAAAGTTGACGTCGGGACCACTGATAGATGTAGTACTGGGCATGTGGGCAAGGGACACAAACATCGGCAAGGCTGCAATCAATACACGTGACGAGGCTGCGATGCTTTAACCGTACCGTCGCCAGGCTGGGACGACGAAAGAATGCTTTTCGAAAGGATACATATATTTTGCGTCAGAGCAGATGCGACCGACTATAGTTATGCATATGACTACTCTCCATCCTGAGGATATCTGGTCCCGCCCTGCCGGCGGATTTCATCAAGAATCTCCATGACTCGAATCGTTTCCTTCCACGGCATGATAGGACTCTCTTTCCGTCCCGCAGCCAGGTCAAGCGCAGTATCATCTGCCTCGTAAATAAACCCCCGCGCCGACTCCGAGTAATCATACCTCGTGACTTCAGCCAAGGCATCAGCAGCGGCACCCTTTTGTTTCTTGTACACAGTAAAGGAAGCAGGGTGAGATGGCGCCGAGCCCTCGACATCGATATACCCCTCAGTACCCTGGACACGACAGACGAGATCAGAGACGGCATTCGACATTGTCGTAGAACTGATTATCCCCTGTCGTCCGGATGCAGGATACTGCAGAATCACACTCGAAGTCACCTCGATACCGTCTTCGTGGGTTTGCGCGGCAAGGATCTTGGGATCCTCACTCCGGGATGGCGTGTCCTGATCTAGTGTCAAAATTCCCCATGTCAGGGAATAGATACCGATATCGAGCAACGATCCAGCACCCAGCGCGAGGTCCTTGTACCGTGACGTATCTGGCAAGTTAGGGATATCCATGAACATGGCAAAGTCGGACCTCATGCGAAACACGTCGCCGATCGCTCTGTCTTCGTACAGCAGTTTCCTCAGATGAAACACGAGTGGTCGGTGTCGAAGCCACATGGCCTCGTGGACATAAACGCCTTTTTGTCTGGCGGCGTCCAGCACTTCCTTTGCTTCGCGCGCGTTGATCGCGAACGGCTTCTCGCAGAGCACGTTCTTGCCCGCGGCGATGGCGTCGAGACAGTTCTGTTTGTGGAACGAGTGCGGTGTCCCGATGTACACGCAGTCGACGTCCGGGTCCGTGTATACTCCGTCGTATGATGTGTAGATGGTCGGCCTGATCTTGGGACAGTGCTTGGCTACGAACGCCTGTCCTTTTTCAAGCGATGACGACCCAATGCATTGGATGATGTGGTTGGCTTTGGCGTCTCGTCGCTCGAGCTGTAGGTCTTCCACAAACCAGGACGATATCAGCCCGGTTGCTGGACGGAATCAATCACAGTTAGTTGAAAGCTCCAGATTAGTTGTTGGGTGGGTTGGTTCATGTCGACTCACATACTATTCCCCAGCGGCACGTTGGCTTCTCGGTCGCCATGATTCTTGATGAGACTACTACGTTGCTTTTGTTGGCCGTCTGACCAGCTCGTGTAAGAGCCAAAAAGTGTTCTCCCCGCGGAGCGTTGTCTTTGCTACCTACCTTAGGTAGGGTTGTAAGGTCGATGATGCGATGTGATGTAACGGCCCAGCTGCCAGGAGCCTGGGTACGTATTATCTTCCACCGAATAGATGTTTACAGTGCTGAAAGCTAAAACGATATCGAAGCATTGAAACAACTTGAAGTCCTCGGACTATTTTATTAGAAAACGGCGTCTGTCTCCACGTCGACGACTATCCAACCGGGAAATATTTCCAATTCTTTCCACTGCGAGCCTCAAATGACTGCGGAGGTCCCCGGATCTAAGCTCCTACCATAGTAGGAGCGCTAAGATGGGGCATGTCAGGCAGAATGTAGCAATGACACCATGAACTAAATAAAATCTTGGTAAAAATGCTACACTGAGTGTTTGTCAAGAATACGAGCTCGGTCGGATCTCAGAAAAGCCTTAGGAAGGGGTTCTTTCGGCCCAGAGCTGCAGCTGCAACTACTGCCTATACCTACGTTTCGCTGCCGAAGTTTGTGTTTACAATGTCCCATGATTGTCAATGATGGATTCTCATTCTCTAACTTTTGGTTCGCGATAGTTCATGTCCATTGGATCAATGGCCTCCGGATTGGCTCCACCGATAGCCATTTGTCGCCATGATCAGCCAGATGTTGCGCATACGCCCCCGGAAGCGCCCCGGAAGCGACCGTACGGCGTCGGCTCGTTCTTGCAGCCCACTTCAGGCCTCCTCTCTCGTGGGAAATTCCGTTATGGTCAAAACAAGCTCTCCGTCCCTCCAGCCTGTTGGGTTGGTTGTTGCATGTGGTGTCGTTGTTGAAGCTCATACCCCGGATTTTTGGTGGTGACATCAAAATCAGTGCTGTTCTCGAACTCACTCCCAAGCCCGCTGTTAGCGTTTTCTCAACCTGTTCCAGCAACAGCAACAGTGACAGTGACAGCAGGAATGGTGGTGGTGACAGCCAGAAGAGTCATCTCGTTCGTGACTATGCTTCTCTTTTTCTCTTCCGCTCGCGTCTTTCAGGTGCCGGCGGCGGCAAGCTCTCTCGCAGGGGGCCCTGTCCAGTCTGCAATCTAACCAGTTTGAACCGGTAGATTTGCCTCTCGATCTTGCACAGCTCGAAGTCTACGACTTCATAGAGCCCGTCATATCGAAACCCCCGAGGCGGACGCATCGGCACGGTCTCTGCAAGTCGGAATGAGCGAAACACTCGAACTGGGTTGCGTGTTCTGTAGGACGTGATGAGGGCTTGGGTAGGCACCGTCGGACCTTGGCCCTTGGAATTTCTGGTGACCCGCTGGCGGCGGCGATTGTCCGGTTCATCTTTAAGGTTGGTTGCTTCATTGTCCCCTTCTTGTCTCGGCAACGCAGTTCCCATATACCAGATTTCGTTTCCATTATCGACATCGGCGTATTCATTTTTGGCTGCATCGTGTGAGCCCATGACAATGCTCCGCGCGCCTTCTTTCGCTGTTCCTGCGATACCTCCAACGTTGGGGCCATGTGCGCCATCTCGATTCATTTCGGCACGATAGTGCCAAGTTTGGCCGTTGACAAGATAGCCATGGCCGAGATAGTTGTCAGTTCGGGCCAGTCTCCATGCTGGATCGACCGAGTATTGTCCGCCACGGCCCAGTCGTAGTCCTCGACGCGCCAGAACTGACAAGTCACCGGATGACCATTTACGTTGAATGATGGTCAGATCCTCAATCATATGCTGCGGCATCTCCTTCTGTCGAAGAACGAGGCGGTTTCCAAAGGAGAGGAATTTGCTGAGGTGTTCAACCACTGGGCACGCAGCAAGAATTGCCTCGGTCACAGAGTTGCTTTTCATCCTGCGGATCCATTCCTCAATTTTGCCAAAGGTATCCCGCAAAGGCACAGACATGCGCTGTTGCTGTTGAACATCATCAAGCAGCTCGATGATGCTAGAGACCTCGGCAGCAGTGGCGAAGGGTTCTTGTTCTGGAGGAACATCAATCGGTGGTCTAAATATATTTTATGGTTAGTACTTGGTTGAGACTGACAGGAGTGAGCGCTAGAGACAGATGATTTGAGATACACTCCCTCAGTTTTCCAGAAACGCCTGTCTCCTACGACAAAGGAATAGAAGCAAACAACAACAAAGGTAAGTGCCGTGGCAATCAAAAGTGTGACTGCACAAATAAAGGGAGCGGAGGCGAGGGTCTCCAGAGGGAACAAAAAAATGAATAGTTGGACTTACACTGAAATATTTTCCCTCGCGTGCTTCTCCTTCCATTGCTTCCACTCCATGACAAGGGTCCGGCAGTCCAGGAGATGGTCATCCCTCGCTTCGCACTCGAGGTCGATAGGGCATCTACAGCCTGTTGCAATGGCTGCTCTGGTTGAAGGAGGGGGATTGGAGACAACAGCTTCTGGCGGATTTGAGGTTTGCTGCTCATGGTTTTTCTCATGATTTTTCTCGTGGTTTTTCTTGTGGCTTTTTTCAAGGGTTTCCTCGTGGGTTTCCTCGTGGTTTTTCTTTTGAGAGGATTCGCCATCCTTGGAGCCGCCAGACGGTGCCGAGACTCTCTCGAGATGCGGGAGTCGATTGTTGGGATCGTCTTGCTCTGGGACAAAAGAAGGGATGTCGGCCAATGACTGCTGGTCTTCAGTATCCTGGGATTCGATCCGAGTCTCTTGAGTGTCTTTCGGACCGGGGCGAATTCTGGATGCGAGCAGCGAGTTACACATCTCACGCTCGTACCTCTCTTTTCTCCACAAGTCGTAGGTGAAAGGATTTTGTCCACGGGTCGCCTCTTCTTCTCCTTGGCCCGATCTGGTGTCCGGTCGAGATCGAACCACATTGTTATGGAACTGCTGGTCTCTGGGTCCAGATGGGATCCTGCCGAAGTCAGGGTTGGTTCCCCATTCTCCGTCGTCCTCACCACGAGATGTGAACGATGTCGAGTAAGGAGGCATTGTTGCTGTGGGAGACCAACAAGGATGTGGAGTAAGAAGAAGAGTAGCACGGTTCGCGGTTGGTGGTTGTGAGGTCAATAGAGAGTATGTCTCTGTATGAGAAGGAATGAAACTGGTGGTTATCGTGGGATCGATAACAAGTTCGATACTGGGAGAGAATACAAGGTGAATGAAGGATGGAAGGTAAGAGAGGATAGCGACAAGCCTGAAGTGGGTGGACGGACTGTCTTGCTTTCTCTTCTGCTGAGCGTGTGCGACAGAGGAAAAGCTGAGAGGCCTCGATAGACAGGGTAGATGCAAAAAGCATTAAGGGGAGTAGACAAGCAGTGTCTTCAAGACAGTACAGTATGAAGAAGAGGGAGAGGTCGAGTAGAAAAAGAGGGAGAGGGGGAGAAGGTTGGAAGAGAGAAGTAGTCACCGGGTCGGACGTTCATGCTTGCAAGGAGACCGATTTAAGACTGTCGCAACAGCAGTTGAACGACAAGTACGAGGTAAGAAAGAATGCAATGACGGTTAACTGACGGGAGATCGAATCTGCTGTTCAATGACGGTTAACTGACGGTGATCGAATCTGCTGTTCATTGACGGTAAACTAAGCGCGAAGTAAGGTATCATTTTCTGCTGATGTTGTCCCTGGCGGTGAAGATACGGGCAGTATGGTCCAGCCGATCGTCCAAGTCTGTTGTATGTGTGTATGCATGTGCAGTGGTGAATTCATGGAAAAGGAGTGAATGGGACAAGGCTGTGCTTACTAAGGGTCTCATTGGCGGGGCGGAAGAATGAATTTCCGTTTCTGGCTTCAAGTGGCGACCATCTCGTTCACTTGTTCACTCCTTTGGACTTCCAAGTTCTTCAGCATTCATACCTTCACTTGTTCACTCCTTTGGACTTCCAAGTTCTTCAGCATTCATACCTTCACTTGTCTTCCAATTCCAGCGTCAATGAAATGTTTCCGCAGACAGCTATTGTGTAGCCCTGTTCGCTCCCCGGTCGGCACCGCCATACAGCCACTCACAAAATGGCGGAATGCTGTGCAAAGGCTGACACCTCTCGGGGTGGCTCAAAAACGTGACTTTGGCTTGGAATCTATCCCAGCAGTATTGTTGCCGCCTACTGTATTTGCGGGTCTCCTTGTGACGCTGTGGACGTATAAGTGCATGATGATGGTGTTGTTCCAGAACAAGATCATTTACATGCCGTCTGTTCCACCATTTTCAAGGTCTGAGACCGTCAGCGAATATGCTAGACAGTGTCAGCCAGTAACCTGGACGGAACACGATCTTCGAGCCGTTGACGGCACTGCACTCACGCTCCTGGAAGGTACCATCGACTCCAAGGCCAATGTACCAGTAAAGGAACACGTTGTTGTGCTATATCTCCAAGGGTACGTCGAGCTTGATGACTGTCAGGCCTTCACTAAATGCAGTCTAGGAATGCTTCTTCGTTGCCTCCACGGCTTCCATATCTTTCGAGGGTATTGAAGTCTGCTCACGACTCGGAGTCTAGTGACAGGCAGTATACTATTGTTGCTTTGTCCTATCGTGGATACTGGAAGTCGAAAGGGAGTCCATCCCAAACTGGCATTGAGCTCGACGTGGAAGCTGCCCTCGATTGGATCTTCCATAGATATGAGCCTGACAAAACGAAGGTTGTTGTCTGGGGCCAGTCTATCGGAGCAGGTGCCGCAACAATTGGCTTGGCTAACTTGTCGAGAAAGAGTGATGGAAGTCTCAGTCGCATCGCGGGAGTGGTGCTGGAGACTCCATTTGTCGACCTCAAGGCAATGCTGATAGCGTTGTATCCTCAAAAATTCCTCCCTTATCGATACTTGTCTCCATTCCTCCTGTCCAGGTGGGACAGCCAGACTGCGCTTCATGAAATTGCAAAGGCCAAGCCAGATCTGAGCATCTTGATCCTGGAGGCTGGGGATGATGAGATTGTGCCTGCAGGACAGGCAGCCATTCTCGAGGAGGTTTGTCATAAACAAGGTATTACTGTGGAGCGAAAGGTCGTGCCTGGCGCATTGCACACAGAGGTCATGACCAAAGGGCAAGGCCGCAACCACATCGTGAAATTTCTCCGTTGGGTGGGGGAGCCGAAGACCGCTCAATGAGCTGGGGCTGGATCGTAGCAACACCGTCTATCGGGCTACAGGTCGCCTCAAGAGATAGAAAAGGCCCGATAATCAATGATCTGATTACCGAATATCATATCTCAAAGCGGCACGGGGTACATCCACGCCGACGAGAGTGGCGTAGAAGGCGTCATGTTCGGCTTGCTCATCTTCAGGTCCTGCTATTTCTCGCTCAATAACAATTGGAGGTAGGACCATTCGGTTTGGAGTTCAGGCACCGATGGGCTTGCTAGACCGACGGGGAGTGGCCCCCAGGCAGGTGAGTCTTGCGGTGGACCCTGGACCTGGTCGAAAACGATGGCGTCTGGAGTAGCGCAGGCTCCAAGGCGGGTGGAAGGGTCCGCTGGAACGTGACAGGATAAGGATGACCATTGACAGCTCGAATGGAGTGGAAATACAGTGGAAGCCCACCAGTCAGTTGATGTCTCCCACACGGGATTTATTTGATGGATTGGGCACGACAGGCAGAAACACCACCCGCTGCGCCATGGTAAACGCAGTCCAATTGAGTTTGATGTGTCCGTGTAGCCATGAATAGAGTATAAGTAGGGGACACAGCGGCAGGTACTGGCACTGGCAGATGTCGGCCACGGGGGGTTGGTGTAACAAGAGAGAGAGAGCTCGAGATCCTCCACGAAAAGGCGGTATCACATCGCGGGGGTTGTACAAGAAAGCGGTGAACAAACGCCAAACGCCGGGCTTCTTGTTGCGGACTGCGCTGTGTTTCCCGTCTCTACTCTCGACCCTCTCAACCCCGGTCACAATATCAAATCACCACTGGCAACAGTCAGTCGCCAGTCCTGTCTCTCCAGTCTGTCCCATCTGCCAGTCTATCCAGTCTCATTCCGCAGGGCCACATCGACCATGTGAGCCGGTAATCCACTGTCGACTTGCTTCTGCCCACGCTCTCGCTTGTCCGCCAGTCTCGTCTCTCCCTCTGTGATCTCATGCCGGCTTCATTGTTCCTTTACTATCCTCCCGTCCTAACCATGAGAGCGACGACAGGCACGAATAACCCCATAATCGATGCTGTGACCGCCTCTAGCGGCAACGGCACTTGCGCAGTAAACACACCACCACGAGATGGATACCAACCAGACGGCCGGCTCTGGCTTTTGGAGATACCTTATCAATCCAGACAAGACTGCAACTCAACAGCTTGAAGAATTATGTCTAGGACTTGCGAAGATCATTGTGAGTGCGACAGAAACTGGTCGCGTAGTCTCGAAGTCTTGTTGACATGTCCAATAGTCCACTCTCGAGCCAGGTTCTGACAACGAACTCTCTCCACAACGTCTCGCTGCATTCTACAGAGCTGTAGGCGGCAACTACGATTCCCTCTTCCTCAAGCCTTCCGACCTCGCTGTATCGTTCATGTATCAGACGCTCGGGTGTTTCCACAGTCTTCAACCGACCGCTAGCCCCTTCGAGACACCAAGGATCCCATGCCTGACTCCGAAAGGATTTGCCCGTTGGCAGACGATCCAGATCCTTTTGTGCCCGGAAGAGAATGTCGAGTTTATACAGAAAGCAGTACAGATATGGAATGTTCCAATGCCCAATGGCGGCATATTCCCAAAATACATTCCGAAGGAGGTCTTTCCCAGTAGACCGGACGAGGCAATGGAAGAATGGCACAGGATGGTAACTGGCAAATTGAACCAGAAACATTACATGCAACGACTCAAGAACTCACCATATCAATCTCCACACCCGGATGCTTATGAACGAAGGGACGGCTATTTCTCGAATGGACATATGGGAGGACCCTCTCGGCTCGCCCCAAACAACACTCGAGCAGATCAAACTCGCCTAGCGGATTCATATCACCGCCGGAGCAGCGTCCCAGACTTCCCATCTCCTCCATCTGGCGAGAGATATTCGCATTGGGATCCGCGAAATGGGCCGGAAGCACGCAAGACGCGAAGTCATTCCGCCCAAAGGCCGCCTTCGCAGCCGACTCGGGAACGATCACATACAACATCAGGACCACCACCAAGTCACTTTCACGGAAGCTCCGGCAACAGTCCCCCAAGCGGGATCAGAGGCGGAGGGTCTACGGACAGATCACGGCGACGGTCCTCAGGATATAATAACACACATTATCGCTCACCAGCGCGTACCCCTTCGACAGTGGATGAAGACAGCGGCAGCGAAGCCAGCTCAGAGACATCTCAAAAAGACCATCGCCACCGTGCATCCGACGAAGACCCCAAACCCCGTCGGTCATCGTTGTGGATGCCCTCATTTATGAGGTCGCACAAACGCCGTCATTCGTCTGATGCGAGTTATCGCGCACCGGGCCCTCCACCTCCGCAACCCTTGCGGCCCGAGTACTACCCACCTCGTACCGTCAATCCTCCATTACACATGCAGCAGCCGCCCTATCGAGGTGGCAGTGCTCCGCAATGGCGCGAACCTGTGTGGGATAGTGATCCAACCGTATCCGCTCCTGGAACCCCAGTACAAGCGAACGCTCAACCGGATCCGCGCGCAGCACCATCCATACGATATCCCGACCAGGCCAACTTCGAGCCGTTGACAAGGGAAAGCAGTAGCGGGAGTGGGACCGACCATCGACACCGCCGCTCATCAGAACGCGATAGGAGTTCTGCACAGAGACGGCAACCAGCACCGAGCGCCATACCTTCCAGAATGGCAACCTTGTCAGGGGTACATGGAAGAAGGTATCCCACCCCCAGTGGCGAGCCTATGAGTTCCCTTGACCGGCAAAGGAGTCATGCATCTGGCCGTGGTGGTGTCGCAACCATGGTTTGACGGACAAGCAGCCAGAGTTTTTGTGTAACCAAGCGTTGGATTGATGCTTACACTTCCACATTGGCGGCCTGCTCTTGAAGAAAGAAGATATGAAACAGAAATACGCACTACGCAAAATGATACGACTGACGAGACAAGAGATAAAACGACGATCATGACATGAAGATGAAAACGAAAATGCTAGACCACGTCTTTGGCAGGATGCACGACGTCGACGTCGATTGGTGCATATTACTAGCAGACTGGCTTGTGTTTGAGCTCGGAGCTCAGAGCTTGAGCTCCAAATAATCATCGCATCTGGAGTTTGGATTTGGATTTGGGTTTTGGTTTTGATTTTGATTTGTTTCGTTTTCGGGATCAGGGTTTGCGGAGGCCTGTACCTACGACACTACTACAACTCACTTCCACGAACACGACACGCGACTCGATGAAATAGAATAGCAACCAACCAGACACTAGCCCTCGCAGGTTTGTACTTGGAGCAGGCACTGTACTGTACCTACATAACATAGTCAATGCTCAATTCATCAATCTATCCACGGCCGCTTTCGCCAGCTCTTCTAGTACTATTCAAAACCTCTTCACGCCCTGCCCGAGGACAGATCATTTTTGCCTTTGCTTTTGCTTTCGCCTACAATGAAAGTACCTAATGTAAGCAAGATAGCGTACCAAACTGGAACCAGTAGTATACCATAGAGAGCAGAGCACATATAAAGTCCTTTACGAGGCAACGGGACAGCGACGCAGGCCAACAAGATGCGAGGATGCCACACTACAACATAACCTACTGTACCAGAACCGGAACAGAGCAGAGAGAAGAACAAAGCAGGACTCGGATCAGATTGAACGGATCGGATTGCATTGCCCGTCAGCACACAAAAAGAATACCTCTGGTTTGTTTGGTAATAGTCTGGTTTGGTTTGTATTGCTTTGTTCAGATTCATTCTCAGATGACATGATATGGCGACGACATGGCTCAGTAGCCTCGTACCAATAGTTATCTTTCGGAATCCAATCTAGAAAACAAAATAGCCCTGTCCCAACGCAACCTCATCCGCCGGCTCGGCAGTACAATGTTGACCGTCGGCATGGACAGTATACCGCTCCGGATCGACTTTCATGCTCGGCATAACATCATTAAATTTCATATCACGCTTCGTAAGGCCCCGACAGTTTTTGACGGCTTCAACTCGTTTGCGGAGGTTGTAAGATTTGGCCACACCGGATTTGATTGAGGCCTGCGACACGAAAGTGATGGATGTCGAGGGCACGAGGGGGCCGAACATGGGCCGTGAGATGATGGGTTGGATGGTTGGGATGGAGCCGTTGGGGTCGCCCTGAACGTAGAAAAAAGAGGTCAGTTAATCCAGACGAAAAACAACGAACTCAACACCTCCCTCTCCCGCCCCCGGCCCAAGACAAAAGTGCTATGTTTGTGTTCACTTACCATCATAGCATAACTAATCATACCGCTCTTGATAACCAAACTGGGCTTCGTGCCAAAATTGCTCGGCTTCCACAGAACCAAATCAGCGAGTTTGCCAACCTCGACAGACCCAATAATATGGGACATGCCCTGCGCAATGGCCGGGTTGATTGTATATTTGCTGACATAGCGCTTGACGCGGAAATTGTCAGCTCCGGTATTTTTATCTTCCGGCAGCGGACCACGCTGGACCTTGTTCTTGTGCGCGGTGTTCCAGGTCCGGAGGATGACTTCGCCACAGCGACCCATGGCCTGACTGTCAGAGGACATCATGCTGATCGCGCCCAAGTCATGCAGGACGTCTTCGGCGGCAATAGTTTCTGCGCGGATGCGTGATTCTGCAAACGCCACGTCCTCGGGGATGTTTTTCGACAGGTGGTGACAGACCATTAACATGTCGAGGTGTTCGTCGAGCGTGTTGCGCGTGTACGGACGGGTTGGGTTTGTCGACGACGGTAGAACGTTGGGGTGTTCAACCACCGATATGATGTCCGGTGCGTGGCCGCCGCCCGCGCCCTCGGTGTGGTATGTGTGGATGGTCCGCCCTTTGAAGGCGCCGATGGACGACTCGACGAACCCGGACTCGTTGAGCGTGTCGGTATGGATTAAGCATTGCACATCGTATTCGTCGCACACACTTAAACAGGTGTCGATGGCTGCGGGCGTGCTGCCCCAGTCCTCGTGGAGTTTGAGTCCGCATGCCCCGGCCTCGCAGGATTCGCGGAGCGCTGTGGGTGAACTGTCGTTGCCTTTGCCTGTGATTCCATAGTTGATTGGCAGTGCGTCGACCGCTTGTAGCATTTGTTTCATGTGCGTCTGGCCTGGAGTGCAGGTTGTTGCGTTTGTTCCTGCTGATGGCCCCGTCCCGCCGCCTAGGAATGTTGTGATCCCGGAGGCGACAGACTCGTATGCCTGTTGCGGACAGATCAGGTGGATGTGTGAGTCCAATCCGCCCGCTGTGATAATGCTGCCCTCGGCCGCGACCACGTCCGTTCCGCTGCCGACTATCATGCCAGCGGACACCCCGTCCATCACGTCTGGGTTGCCTGCCTTGCCGATGCCCGTGATTATTCCCTGTTTGATTCCAATGTCGGCCTTGTAGATCCCCGTCCAGTCCACAATGAGGGCGTTTGTGATTACTGTGTCGAGAACCTCGGTGTCGGGTCGGCCTGATGCCTGGCCCATTCCTTCGCGGAGAGTCTTGCCGCCTCCGAATTTGCATTCTTCTCCGTACGTCGTCGTGTCCCTTTCCACGCGGATCCAGAGGTCCGTGTTGCCTAGTTTCACGAGGTCGCCGGTCGTCGGGCCGAACATGCTCACGTAGTCGCTTCGAGTCATGGTCGCCGCGTCGATGTGGCCCATGTCGCCTGCTGGATCGGGGACATGTGCAAATCCCGCTTGTTGCAGCTTCTCGATGATCGACTCGATTCGTGACACGTCCACCACTCCAGAAGCTAGGTTGTTGCCGCCCCGGATCACCTTGTGCCCGGAAATCTCGACCAGATTGACCGTCTTGGTGTCGCCTGGCTCGAATCGGACTGATGTCCCTGCTGGGATGTCCAGCCGAAATCCATATGCCTTGGCTCGGTCAAATTCAAGCTGTGGATTGGTTTCGATGAAATGGTAGTGAGATCCGATCTATCACAAACCCCAAAAGCAATCTAGGCGTTAGCATACTCACAAGACAAAGAAGTGGAACCCCCGTTGGGGGTAGTAGTAGTACCTGGATCGGTCTGTCGCCTTTGCTGGTCACTTTCAGCCGGATTCGTTTTCTCCCTTCGTTCAACACTATCTTGCCCTCTTTGACCGGGATGACCGCACCGGGCATCTTCTTGTTGTCGTACTCGGCGGGATCCGGCAAGGCAAAGGCCTCTTTCGACGGCACCGGTAGGAAGCTCCCGTACAGGGCCTTTTCCAGGTCGCCGTCGTCGGAGCTGATCGGATGATGCACAGTCACGACGTAGGTGCCGGTCTTGAAAGTCCCTTCAACTTGGATCTCCGTCAAGGTCGCGACCACCGACGGAAGCACATGCCGCCGACCAAGCATGGTCTTGCCAATGGACATGAGGTCGGCCACTGAATGATTGCCATCGCGAATGAGCTGTATAAAATATTAGCCGCCGATGCTGCCGTATCAAAGTAACACTCTGCTGGTTAGGCTGAGGCAGTAGTACCTCTTGCAAATTGTTGGCGATCAAGGCCTGACATGACACAAGCATCAGTTCATTTGTCGTCTCATTCAATGCGCGTACTACATTGATAGGTAACCACATACACATGCTTCGGCATGATTCAACTTGACGCCTCGAGCCAGCCTTCGCTGGGCCAGAAAGCCCAGCTGAGACGTGACGAGCTTATCGAGCTACACTGCGTAGTCAGCAACTGTACTAGTATTCCTTTTATCGTTGCTGGCCGCGTACCTCTTTAGGAACGAGATGCATATTGACATCCGGCCCAACATTTAGATAGACAAAGATAAACAGAAATGGAGTCGGGGCTCGACGTCGCACAACGGGGTAGATATGGATATGGTCAAAAGTACCTACTTACTCTATCAACTGTTGAAACCTGGAGAATTGTTTATCTTTGAATCTTTATCTTTCTGTTATCTCTCCACAGTCGATCCCATTTCATTATCCCATTCGCTTATCAAAGACAAGCATTGGGTGCGGGGCAAAGGAAGAAGTCAGTTGTTAGTGCCGGTGGGGTGGACACGAGGCAGCACTGTGATCTACAACATTTATTGTAGACTCGAAGGGGAGTGACAACGCATATATGATAGACAACTTGAAACCCGGTTCAATTCTCTTCCCTGGGCCGACGCGGCCCGAAACAGAGACAGTACAGTATTTTTTGGACGTGTGGCACACGGTATGACGCTCGCGTATCCGATGCGATGAGAAATGGCAACCTCATCGCCTGGGGTGGGAGACGCGTCCGTGTTTACTGTCAATGGCTGTAGATTGATGATCCTTGTATAAACTACTGATACCTCCTGACGAGCAAGTACCTACGTAGTTGAAGACGAACAGTTTGGTCATGAACAGACTTTTTGCATACGGATATCAACACCGACCAAACCGAAAGGACATATGCAGGCACCTCATCTGCGTAAGCAAACTGGGCTCCATTGCTGCATCGAATAACCTACTTGCCTGGATCGAAGGGCATACGCAGATCGTGTAGGTGTGTCTCTCAAAGAACCATCCCGAACGCCTTCATTAGAACCCATGGCCAATGTGTTCCCCATGAGTGATGGTCACCTGTAAAACCCATGCCAAAACCAAGCCCAACCCGAACTGTCCCAATGATGTCGGCAACCTAGAGACATACAGCCGTGACCGTTGTGCCAGCGCTCATTTCTTCCCTTTTCTCGTCTTCTCGCTCTTAGCGGACGACGCGGGAGCAGACGGCGCTTCCTTCTTGGCTGTCTTCTTCGTCTTCTTCTCTGGCGACTTGGCCTCAGTCTTAGCGGGAGTCGGTTTGCTGGGAGTGGCATCTTTGGTCTTGCGACGCTTAGACTTGGGTGGGCTGGGCTCCTTGACGGGCTCTGGGGATGGCTCTGGTGACGTTTCAGCCGCAGCAACCTCTTCTTCTTCCGTCTCGCCCTCGGCGTCAAGGCCAGCAATATGTCCTGGGGCCTTGCCCATCTCGACCATTGCTGCAGCCTCTTCATCGCTGGGAACTGGTTGCCCCGCCTTGTATGCAGCCATCTTGACACGGTAAGCGGCCAGGTTCTTCTGGTACTTGTCATCCCAGACCTATGACATATTAGTATCAACAATCTAGTTGCGTTCGCCGGCAGAACATACACTCTTCTCAGCCGGGCTCATCTCTGTCCATCTGCGAGTCCCCTCATCGGCAACCTCCTTGGGCTTGGCCTGATCACCAAGTTCTTTGGCAATCGTGGCACGGGCACTTTGCATGTACAGGAAGTACGGGGTGAGAGCACGCTTGGGAGCATTGGGGTCATGAGGTGTCCTCTTCCGCTTCTTCTTGCCATCGCCTTCTGGCTCAACCGGGGCTGGTGCCGCCTCGGCAGGTCGTCCACCCAATAGACCAGAATCAGTGAGGATGCTGGTGAGGTTGGCGTCGATAGGGTTCAAGCCGTGTTTGCCGGGCGTCAGCACGGTATTGGCATGTTGGATATAGGCGCGCGAGAGGTCTTGAACTGAAGACTGGAGCGTGGCGAGGGCGACAATGACCTGGTTATATGTGTGAGCGAGTGTTTCTGGATCATGGCAGGTATCCGAGATGGTTTGAGCAAGTGACGTTAAATCAGAGGTCAGAGTGCAGATGGCATAGAGGCTGGCTTGATCACATCGACTGATAAAGCGAGCAAGCTTTGGGGGTAACCGCGTGTCCCGAGATTTGCAGGGCATTTTGAATATTAATTGGACCTAGACGCGGGGCAGAACGCATCCGATCACGAACGGTGGAGCGGGCTATGGAGGGGGGATTGTTTTGGTCGAGGCTGCGAGAAGCGAAGTCTTGTCGCGGGGTGGCATTTCAGATGAGGCATAACAGATACACGCGAACGTGGAGCAAGTACAGGGCAGACGAGCAGCACAAGCAACTTCAAGGGAGATAGATGCAGTGGTAAGCCATACCGAATCGCGGGTTCGCTGGAAGTCAGCAATGTTGACCTGAGTGGTGGCCGACTCAGGGTCCTGAGGTGCCGCAGTCTTCTTGGCCATTGTTGGTGATGGTTGGGGTGTGCCTGGAAGATGGGTTGTGGCGGTGGATTGAGATAGAGAAGCTTAGGTGCGCGTCCGTGTTTTGGTGGTGAGTGTGGCTCGACCTGAAAAAGGTGCCTGGAGGTGGACGCGGCGCGTTGGCTACAAGGGAAGCTGAGGGAATGAGTGATGGGTGTTGGCTGCAGTGAGGTGCGGCAAGAATCAAGACACGCACCACTTCAGCTTTTGGGGAGGAAAAGATTTTTCGGGCGGAAGAGGTTGAAGAGGAGTTCGGGGGGTGGGCTGGGTATAAGTGGGCGAGCGGCAGCTGGAGGGCGCTCCCAGATCAACCCGGAAGTTTAGGGCTAACAGGCCTTGGAGAGGACAAAAGGCACACACAGAGGCATGTGTGTCTCCCCAGCTGCAGCGCCGTGCAGAATCTGATCAAACAGGCACCACTGCCTTACTTCCTGGGGCTCTTTCTCCTTCTGTTACAGGCGCTCGCACCTATTTTTCTCCCGACTGCTTTGCCTGTGCTGCCGCCCCTGCGTGGTGATTTCCCACTACCGGCTCCACTGTAACTGCCGCACTAGGGGCGCCTATCCAGTTTTCATTGGACCTGAACTCCTGCACCCTTCCGGCTCTATTTGCCAGTCCGCACCTAGCAGCCTGCTACAGCTGAGCTCCCCATCACCTACAGGCCCCAGGAGCAATCAACACACTGCACGCAGTGATCTCCTTCTCCCAGGCCTTGATTACCAGACTGCCCAGTGTGGCCAGCTACCCTGCACTTGTGCACGCCCACGCCAGTTTAGCCTCTTTCATTATTCTTGTGCTTGGAAACTTGACCTTGATGCCGAAGCCCTACCCTGTTCTTCCTCAGTTGCCGAACAGATCCCTGAGGTACCTAGCTACCTACCTAGGTCCATACCTCAATAATGGTGTGCTCCCTGGGGATCTAGGAGCCAGTTAGCGGCCCAGCTGACACGTCCTGGAGAGAGACGCGACCGCCAACATATACCTGCCCGCAATCCCCGGCTTCTGTCCAGTTTCGGCGGTCTGACAAGCTCCTGGGCTTTACAACTGAAGTTCGAAGCCTCCGTTCCGCAGCTGCCGAGCATGTGCGCTGTAGAGCATCGTTGTTTGATGGAAATAAAGCCCGAGAAAAGACCTCTTCTGGCGTCAAAACGACTGTGCTCCAAGGTGGCGCTTCGAACCGGAGCAGAAAGGAGATTACCTGTACGTCCAGAGGCACAGTGATGGGCGGTCCGCCGGAAGAGGCGCCGACAACAAGCCGCCAAAAGAGACTGCACGCCTTTGAAAAATGGATCTGGAAAGCTCATCTGGACGCTGGCAAGCCCATCAGTCAGACCACCCCTACTGATTGCAAGCCACCTTTGCTGGCAGCACGCCCCACGTTCCTACTGCAGAAGCGCCTTTGGGGCGGCAGTCCGCCTAAGTTTAGCACATTTTCTGTGTCAGGATGACCAGAGCTCGGCCTCATTAGCCGCTAGTAGCGGGCAAGAACATGTAGCGAGCTCCCACTACAACTGAAAGAACAGCCTGGATAGCCTAAATTGAGTCCACTACTGGCACTGCAGTAGTGTCAAGATATAGGCACTGCAGTTCGTGGCAGTGATTAAGATGACAGTGCCTGCTCAAGCCTTGGCCTCCAGACTGTCTTACCTAAGGCACTGGCAGCCGGTGCCTTCAAACCCCAGCGTCCTCCGGAACTGACGGACCCAGGCCTTGGGCTCTTCTCCGGCACCCTTGCGCTTGGAACACGGCTTGAGCTTCAACCTGCTCGCCCGCGGCTTTGATTCCGTCCAACAGCCACCTACTGTAGGTGACAGCCATCAGCCAAAAGTACAATGTACAGCCAGTGGTGGCACAGGTGGTAGTGGCAGTACGGCTACTGAAGCAGTCGCTCTCCCCAGATGATACCCTTCGCCTCGTTGCTGGTGCTGTCTCCATGCCCTCCGCCTAGGGTGCCCTTCCATCTGGGGCTTGCAGTACCTGCCAGTGTGTCATCTGCCACTGCAACGCTGGTATCTCCTGTTTATCGACGTCTGGCTTTCCAGGCTAAGGAGGCCCCGGGAGCCCAACTTCAAGTTGAGCTTCAAGCTTCTCAGCCTTGTGTCAAGATTGATGAGCCCATCCATATGCCGCTGCAGCCTAAAGTACCCTACCTTTTGGACTTTTGATTTCGTACCTCCCAGGTACCTTTTCACCCTCCTTAAGGGTTGAAGTTTCTGTTATCTCTCCAACACCTATCCCTAGCCAATACCTACCTCACAACCCTGAAGAGTTTCTATTTCCTGATGTTTTCTTTTTCACAACTTAAGTTTCTAAGTACCTAACTTAAGTTTGAAGCATACAAGGGCAGACCTGAGGCTACTAGCACCAAGCTGGCCATACTGCCCTACCTACTTAGATAGGTAGTCACTTACTACAGTACTATTGAGAGGTCCTGTAGGTACTGCACGCAAGGCGGATATTCTAATCCAGCATCTCTGCAGTCTAGATACCTAGGTACTGTAGCTTACACCGCCGCCGACGGTCACCACCGTGACCAGCACTAGTACCAAAGTTTGAAGCGCTCAATGTCTCTGTCAAGGTACCCAGATGTTGTGACTGGGCACCGCAAGGCTGAACCTTGCAACAATCTCACTGGCAGAGGGCACGAGACACAATCACAGCATGCCTTAATACAGTATAAGCCAAACATGATATAGGTTGTTCCGCAAATATGTTGCTTCTTTCTGATTTCTTTCACATCTGGTCTGGCTTCTTGTCTATATACAATTATATTCTACAGAAGTCTTCTGAGCGGGGACTCTCTCAAGTCGCTCTGCTTGTCTCTAGATGCCTGGGTCGAAATCGCAGGCACCATCAGTCTTGGAGTCTAGCTTTTCGCCAACAAGACGACAGATGTTTCGTTCTCGGAATATCCGATCCGTCTAAAATTTAAACACCTGGTCCTTGGAGTAGCCCAGCTCCTTGAGAATGCCGGTCAACTCGCCCTGGTCTTGCGGGCTCTTCTTGTTGCCGCTGATGGCGTTGTACATTCCCGGAGGACCACAGACAAAGATCTTGATGTTGGGGCTCTTTGGATCCGGAATGACAGTCTTGAGCAGTTCCTTGGTGATGAAACCTTTGCCGTACGGCCAGCTGGGCGGCGGGTTGTCCAGAGTGTAAAAGGCGCGGAACCGTTGCGGGAACTCGTTCTCAATCTCCTCCAACTCCTTCTTGAGCAAAATGTCATCTTCGGTGACGTTGCCGTAAATCAGAGAAACCTTGGTCTTGTCCTCGGGGTTCTTGAAAATGGTCCGAATCAGCTGGAACATGGGAGTGATGCCGGTGCCGCCTGCAATCAGAGTGATGTGGTCATGTTTGTTCGGCGCCCACGGGTACTTGGGGATAGGGCCCTTGAATTCGAGTCTCTGGCCGGGGACCATGGAGTGCAAGTGGTTGGACATGGGACCATTGGGGTAGACTTTGACAAGTAGCTCGAGATAGCCTTTGACATCTATATTGCTGTATGTCAGTGGCCTGCCTGGAATCCCCGAATAGGCTACATTATGTACACACCTTCATCGTTGATAGGAGTATATGGTCTGATAATGGGTTTCTCCGCGTTCGGCGGCTGGTACTTGGTGATGATGGCAGCTGTGGGTGACCAGTAACATCAGCATTCAAACCCTCCAGATCTGTCGAGTGTGTGTATTCTGGTTGCTGCGACTCACATGCAACGCTCAATCCCGAAACCTGCTCTGGGTCGGGCAGTTCAAACTTGAATCTCTTCGTGTTGTGGTTGTACGGAATCACCTCGGCAAGCTTGAGAGAAATGAATCCCTGGTCGCCGCCAGTAAAGGCCTTGGATGTCTCGTCGACTTTTGTGGCTCCGTACTTCGCATCGTCGGACGGCTTGGGGGCGTCGGCTGCGACTTTGTTATTGCCCAGGAACGCCCAGCCGGCGGCGCCGGTGGCTGCAGCTGCAGCAGCGACAATCCATGGCGTCGATGACGATGACGGTTTGGCGGCGGCGTCAGTCGCGTAGCTTCTGATGCTCTATACCAATGCCGACAGTTAGCGGTTGGTTTTGCTTGGTAATCGCAAAATGAGGACAGTTGCCGGTCCTTTTTGACTCGGAAGAAGATCGCGGGACGACCTACCTGACGAAGAGGTCCGCAGGACCTCAGCACTGATCGGGCGAACATGTTGGCGGCCGGTCTGAAAGGTGTACTGGGAGAGGATGGGAGAGAAGAAAGAGATAGAACGTGAGGTGTGAGACGGCCTCGATATTAATCCACGGCACTGGCAATAATGAATGGCGTCAATTGGTGCTTCGGCTTGAAGCTGTAGCTCATGGCCGCCGCAGTGCGTCAATGATTGAGCCCGATGCCAGTGCCGGTGGTGGGCACCTCAGGATTACTATGAGGCCATCCCGCTAACACTAGTGCTGCTAGCAAGCCTGAGGTACTGTACTAGGTACTAGACCAGGCTGCGTACGACTGTCGCTGACGTCGGTTCCTCTTGGCGATCGTCCCACTGCCGGTCCCCGACAAGGCTCCCAGTTTGTAAGGGACATCGGGGGTCACTCCTTTTCCACTTTATCCACACAAAGGCCTCCCAGCTGTCAGGCATATACAATGTACATAAATATTTTACAATGTACAGAACATATGCTAATAAGATGCTATATATGGCAGTATACATGAAACCAGGCTATAACTCCAGTTCCTCTTCGTCATGGCCACGGTGGCCAGCACTCCTCAAAGATAAGTCATCCCAATGACTACTGTCATTCCTGACCAGACAGTGTCTTGCGGCCCAATATGCCTCTAGCCTGGCATGCCTTCTAGATAGCTTGTCGTCGACGGACATTTTAGCGTCGCCAGCGGCGTGAGACTGCGACCGCAAATGCAGCTCGTTCGTTGATCTGACGGCCGACCTGCTTGCCAATAGGTCCAATTGCTCTCCAGAAATGCTCTCAAACACCGAAAGAGACACGCATTCGTCTTCCGAGTCATCATCCAAAGTGATATATACTTTTTCTTCATCACCTTCGATTAGGTCGTCTTGTTTAGGGTTGCTGGGTATGGATTCGCCCGATCCCACCTTCACCCCTGTTCCACTGCAACTAGCCCGATCCACGTTCGTGCGGGCACTCTGATAGAATTCCTCCAAATGGTCATCGTCCTGGGATTCGGTTTCTTGGGTGTCTTCCTCTTCTCGTTTCCTCTTCCTGCCACTGGCCAAACCTATACTTTCCCTTTCTCTCCATTCTTCAACTTGTTGTCTGGTCTCTCGATCGTGGTAGAACGTCTTTTCCACGCAGAGGTCGCCGAAGAGAGCTTCCATGCTTAGCTCTTCAGACCAGGATTCCATTTCAACCGTGCAAGGACAAACATCTTTGGGGCGAAACACTCCAACAAGATGGCGGAGTTCGTTATAGGAAGAATGACGGGAGTATGGGAAATGAATGGTATCGTTCCCATACCGCTTTTTATTCACTGGCACTGATGATCCAGCCCCTGTGTGCATGGAATTGTGCAGTTTGGATAACAACGCCAGGAAATCCTTCAACGTCATCGGATTTTCGTCGGAGTGCAAGTTATCAACGCCCTCTAGGATCATGTTAAAGCGCTGGGATTTCTGCGCTTTGGTGACCTCGTCTCGGAGAATCTTTGAGACCGCCTCGTCGTCCGTAATATCGGCACACATTGTGGCCAGCTGTTGAAGGGCTGCCAAATCGTCCAGTCTCAGATCGGAGGTTTGATAGAGATCGCCTCCTCCGCCTCCTGCACCTAGTTCCCTAACTTCGGTGCCGTCCTGGAGCCTGGATATAATAGGGGTGATCCATTTGATGTTTCTCAACCGTTTAATGTTTGAGTGGCATTTGCTGCCTGGTTCGCAACTGTGGATCCTAGCGTTCATCTCGGAAGACAAGCATCCAGGGCGCGTGTGGTTTCCCACCATGAAACCAGTAAGAGCCGCACCTTCGTTATGAACGGAATCCTCCCCGGAGTCCTTGCTGGGACGAAATATGCGAAGCTGATAGTCATCGACGTGGACTCGCGAGTCTAGGTAATTGGACAAGGCCACCCAGACGTCTTCGTAGCCCAAGGTCCATGCTCTGAAGTAGAAAATAGTGTCGGGGGAGCATTGGCCGACCTTCTCCAGAAGCTCCTTCAAGCCTTCTGCCTTTGTGGGAAATTCTCGATATGGCTCGTCGTGGGATGCGAATGTTGTGTCAAGATAGATGCAATCAAGTGTCTTTAACCGACATGTATATGGCAAAATCACTGGGTTCTGCACGATCGAGTTCACCCACCATGGTTCAGCTCTGATGTCTCCTGTGTAAAGGATCGCCTTGCCGTCACCCTCAATCAAGAACATCACAGCTCCTGGACAGTGGTTTGCGTCCAGCAGGGTGACTTTGATAGTAGATTTAGGACCTAGTTCGAGTTCGGTGCTCACATGCAATGGCAGAGGTCTCAAGATCGTCTTTAGATGACGATAATGTTGTTTTCGAGACTCAAGGATACCCTTTGCAAAGTTGATGCGATGCGGATATTTCTCCAGTTTCAGAAGGATCCGCCGTGTCGTCGCTGAGCAGTAGACGAAAGGCATCTTGACTGACTCCAACCCCAGGAGATGGTCACTATGGACATGGCTAAGGAAGTATGCTGCTGGTGGAGGCTTGCCTGGATGTGTCCGAAAATAGTCCACTCTGATATTGGGGAACTCCTTCACAAGGCCATTGAAGGTCGACATCGCGGCCTATTGAATCGCGGAGGACGCCCAATTGCTTTTCTTCATAAGTTGCCCCCTCGGGCAAGGCTGAAGCCCTGCCCCAGTGATTTCCACGCGTAGGCCACGGCCAGGGAAAGCCAGCCTGGCGAGCCAGTTTCAAGCCACTGAGAGAAGATCCTCACCAACCGACTGGAACAATGCTCATGGCCGGGGAAGCGTATGGGAAAGTCGGGACCGATTTCGCTGGCGAGGGCGATTGGCACAAGGCGAACCAACGCATAGTTCGGGACCAGGACCGAGCAGTTCTTTCAATATTTTCCCAATGATTGGCCTCCGAAGCCTCCGCAGACAGCGTGCAGGATCAGCAAAAGGTCCTGCACCACCGGCCACTGCAGGCCACTGGACGTGAAGAAAGCGATCGTACAGTTGGCATCCAAACGCGACCGCCTGCCTTGCCAATTGTTGCCGCTGATGTGGCACGCTTGATTTGAAAGACGGGCGGGCAGAGGCAACCGGGAGGCAGGACAAGCGGACGAGACTGCGGTTGAGGTTGAGGTTGTTCTTTAAGGCCTCATCACTCGTTCCGCTGCGTGGACAACCTCTTTTCTTCACTGAAGATCACCAAATACGGCGCTCGGTGATTCAAGTTGTAGTCGCTCGTGTCAGAAGCGAACCCAGTGCCGGTGCCAGCGGGCGGCGGTACCTGACTTTACTAGCAGAAGGTTAATCAAGAGCATCCCTGCGCCCGCCTGAATCACCCGTCAACATCTCATCCCTATACTATTCAACTCAGCTCGCTTACGTTCAATTCACTTCCAATACGACTTGTCCATCTTAACAATTACCCGGCGTCCATTCTAGGGCGCTGCGTCTATATTTCCTTCCAACCTCACTTCCGAACCGGCCCTGCAAGCCCAGAAACCTCTTCGTGACGTTCCATTTCTCCATGTCCTCAGTGACGGTTGCATTGAGCGAGATACTACCCGCTAGACACTGTCGCTGCTATTGAGCGGACACCTCGAACAACTTTCCTTCCGGAGGTCATCCTCCTTTTCTCCTTCGCCTACTGTCTCTCCGGTCCGAACCAGACTCTCCAGAGACAAGCAAGCCATCTATCGGCCCGCCTGAACAGTCAAGATCTCCTACATCATGAAGAAGCCTTCCATTGCAGACCTGATATACGAGAGGACATTTCCCAAACCAAAGCAAAACGACCCAGCTTCATTCTACGCTCATGTACACCGGCACATCGTGGGAGAAGTGAGAGCAGAAGTGCAGACATACTATGGAACCGTCGATAACTTAGAGGCACAATACCCTGGACTTGACTACACCAACCCAGCCCATCGCCGACGAATGTGCAGATATGCATGGCATAGAAGGTTATTCCGCGTTTTCGATGAACTCAAACTGACGAACGACGAGATATTGGGTCTCTGTAGGTGGGAGGGGACACGGGCGGCCAAGGAGAGATACGAACAAGAGGCAATGACACAAGTCAAGTCAACCACGGCCGCCGAAGTTGTGGCGGCACCCGTGGGATCTGGACCAAGGGCTATATTCGAGCAATGGTTGCCTTCCTCAGACTCTACTCAAGGTGAAGCCGAGAAGGTCGCCATGGCTGTCTTGAATGCAGAAGCAGCGACAGCAGAGGCAGCGCCGGGCAAGGTTCGACAACGAGGTAGAGCCGGAGTGTCACCACAAAGGTCGGGTGAAATGTATGAGTGCTTTCGCGACATTATGCTCTCGCAGCTGCAAGGGGAAACGTTCGCCACCAGTCAAGTCTTGGAACAATGGCTACAAGAGGCTTATGAACGTCATGACGCGAACCTTGAATCTGTCATGAGGGCTGTCTCAGAGTTAGCGGCAGCAGCGGGAGCTGGAGTTGCGGGTGCGAATGCAAGCAGGATGGATGACGGTTCAGGACCTGTACAAGTCGATCCAGCATTGCCGTCTCCAGAATTGGCGCCTTCTGCCTCACGTACCCTATTCGCCACGCCAGTCCAGACATCCGACGCCTATGAAGGCATTCCTGCCAATACCATTGGTGATCTGCCGCCCAGCAGGACACCGCTGCTTGGAGAAGTCGGCTCTAACTCCATCCATGTCGGAAGAAGCCGACCAGAGCTTGCCAGGTAGGGTGGCGCCGAACAGACTCTTGAGCAGACAACCAGCAAGCTTGCAAATTTGCTGGTCAGAACATAGAATCTGCCACCAGCTACGTGGGGATGTCTACAACTCTCAGTTTGTCCTGCATCAATCCTGGATCGGCCGGGAGGCAGTATTTTGAAGGGAAGGGACGGGATTCTTACTCTGTTCCAGATCAGTAACATGATCTGCTGTCCTCGGCTCTCCACAAAAGCATGACTCTTTTTTTGCCCTGCATTGTGATATTTCTTTTGATTGGCACTGCACATTTATTGCACCAGCAAGGCGTTTATGGGAACATGGCAGTGGGTGCTGGATCCTGGGTTTTCGGTTACGGGTGAAAAAGGGACGGTCCTGTCATGCAGCGGCTCAATGATGATAATGGGAATGGCAACAAATGGCAAATGGCATTCTTCCACAGGCATGAAGGACTATTGATATGTTCAGGGTTTAGTTAACCCGGCGGAACGGGCACAGGCATAAATCATATTCTGATCCTGATTCGGGTTGAATGGCGCAGATAAGGACAAGCCCACCTCTACACTGCCGTGCTGGTGTCAGCGTCTACAAGAGAAGACGATTATTGATTGACGCGTTGAAATTCAAGTGATATATGTACAGGCTAGATAAGTAGTCGTCGTAGCCCGCTAGTAATTGCTTCAGGACAGCGATTCAATACAATGGTCGATCATTGCAATGTTACGACCGCGCACCGTCCGCCGTGTTCCTCTTGACGACTCCGCTGGCAAATTCGCCAAACGTCAACCCTGTTTCCGGATCAATCACCTCGTCGAGATTCGGCTGGGTGAATACAGCAAGAGTATTCCGAGCGATTTTGGGCTTGCGTTGTTTTGCCTTGTTGCTGTCGTTGTTGGTGTTGGTATTGTCGCTGACATGCGACTTTATATTGTTAGGATCCACACCCTTGACGAAATGCGGAACAGCCTTGAATTGGCCCTTTGTAATGAGTTCCAAAGCCTCACCGGTCTGAAAAGCCAGACAATCACGCGGGATGGCGACTTTACAAATCTGGCCCGTCCGCGAAACAATGTAAAGTCCCGAAGAAGGGTCCGGGGAACTCGGAAGTTCGAGACCGACGTTGGGGATGATGATTCCCGGTTCGGATTCGGCTGGATCGGTGTTGGAGAGGGATTCGTCGACGAACATTGCTGATGTTAGACCTGTCAGGCAACCGTGGTCGAGGTGCGTGGTGCACCATGTATCTGAGACTGAGGTGTCTTCATCATCGGCGGTGGGATCGGAGGGGGGATCGGTAGCGGGATCAGTGGAGGCGGAGGCAGAATTGGTGTCCTCGGGAGTGTTGTTTTGGTCTAATGGGAAATAATGCAACAACCTCGCTTTTGTGGTTGTGCTAGTTCGAACCACACGTTCCAGATAGCCAGCCTGGTAGCCTGGTATATGTTGATTTTCGGCGAACCGGTCACATGCCCGCGCGACTAGCACGGCAGTGTCGATGATGAGTGTGATTAAGGCCTCAACGTCGTTTTGGAAGCCGGGGATGTCGTGGTCGTCGGGCCATATGTTGGGGGCGGTGTATTCTGCAAACTTTTCGGAGGTCGTTTGGTCGGTGGAAGAGGAGGAGGAGGGATTGTTCTGGTCCTGATAAAACGCACAATTGACATAATAACTTCCCTTCGCGGTGTCGACCACCCCAGGTCTAAGTGTTTCAACACCGTGCGACCAGCCGACTAGATATTTTGCCGTCGGGTTCGTTAGTTTCTGCAGTTTTTCTGGAGGTAGGGCGGCCAGTCGAGATGCGTCGGCGAGTACTTTGCTTCGGAGCCTGGAGAATTCCCTGGGTAGGTCTTTGACGACTAGGATTCCGAGGCTGTCGGGGCCGAATGCGGCCACGAGCGTGGAAAAGGGGATGGTGTTGCGTTCGAGGTCGTGGAGAGATACTGTGATGGGGGTGGCTTGGATGATGTTTTGTTTGCCTGTTGTTTTTGTTTTTGCTGTTGACATATTGGAGGAGTTGGCTTGGTGGTACTAGCCAAAGGCTTGTTGGTGAGGTGTTGGGGGATGTAAGGTACTGTAACTCCGTATGATACTCAGGCTGTTAAGTATATTTGACCGTGACCGGATATCTTGCGAGATAGATGAACAGTCCAGAGAGACTCGGAGTGAGAATTTCTTCGGCTGATCAGATAAAGACAAGGCAGCACCAGGGAGCCGCTGACCAGTGACCAAACTTGACGACGACCCCGGAACCTTCAATGAGATCTTGATCAGTCGCTGGGGCCTCTGGAAGAAGCGTACACCGGCAGTAGATATTGAGGTAAATGCGTACGCCTTGCTTTGATCTGCTCTGCCAGTTTTCTCACACTGATGGAAGCGCAATGCACAGCTTTCACTGATTGGGAGTTGGAATATGTTCGTCTGCAATCTTCTGCTTCAGCTCGAGCAAGCTTGAACGATATTTCAAGAGGGTTGGAAAGTGGGAATGGATATAATGGATATGACGTTAAAGTAGTGTCGATACGAAAAGTATATATCTCTTTTGTCTCCAGAATCATCCACCACCCCGCAAAAACCAAACCGGCCGGATGCAACGTTGTTCCTCGATGAACCAACACTGGCAACGCTGTGAGGGTTGAGGTCCACCGTTTTAACTCTTTCCCTTCTGCGCCAGTTCTCCCAACTCTCATCTCAATGTCTATATTCCTTTGCTGAGGCTGTGTCCCGTGAGCAGCTTCTGTCTGGCTTTAGATTACATCACCGAAGGCTTTGCGAAACCTACGAAAGGATAAATTGAATTACAAGGCGAGGCAGGCGGAGCAGCAGTAGAATATCATGCACGGGGGTTAATTGAATTCTCTATCGATCTGCCACGGGGGCCGGAGCTGGTCATATCATCTGTCTCATCAATGATTGCTGCCGGTCCCGCAAAGATCCCTACCGAGCCCAGCACGGCCCAGAGCACCAAGTCATTAATGAGTACGGCTTTGCTTTTCCACGGCTGATCAAAGCTCGTAGTCGTAGTAGTCCGTTATCTTTGCGCCTATAATAATAGGAGTAGTTTGGATGCCAGTGCCTCGTATCCATTTTGAGACCATGATACGAGAATCCAATATAATGTCCGTCCTGCTGGAATAAATAGCCTGCTTTCCCCTTCTCCCCATTCCCTCGACTGTCATAAGCCCATTAAAGAGTGCGGCGAACGAACATTGCGGCAGAATCAAGACCGTCTCCTCTTCATAGACTGGCCTTGCCCTGACTTTCGAAAGGCAAAAGAAGCACCAACAGTCCAGCAGCAATGAACAAGGCTCCACTCGTGTAGACGGGAGCGGTGGTCTTCAAATTCGCAAACATGGCGATGATGGGGGCCATGATTCCAAAGATGCGGTTGGCGGTCGCAGTAAGTGCGTTCCCAGTCCCGCGGTCCTTGGTGAAGAAGCACTCGGGCGTATAGCCGTAAAGGACGGCATACATGACATTAGAGGTAAAGTTGAATGCGCAATTCCAGCCCAGCAACGAGTTCGACGTGGTGGCAGTGGTCGAGCAGTACAGGAAAACGCCGGTTAGAACAGTCGAGACGGATAAAGTACCGCGGCGGCCGAACCGACGGACCTCAACCAATGCGCCGCCAAGGAGAGCACCGGGAATCCCCAGCACGGCAATGATAACCTGGTTGCGGTAGGTTATGTAGGTGCTGCTGTCGCCGAATTGAGCACCTTTGACTGCTTGCAGGTACGGAATGAAGGCGTTGTAGAGAGCTGTATGAAATTTTCAAGTTAGCTGGAATATATGACACTTCTAGGAGAAGAAGCTCTGAAGAGAAGGATGCACAGAAACAGGGCAACAAAGCAAGAAAAGGGGTGTGCAACTTACGATATCCCAGTCCAATGAACGCCCAGATGACAATTATGATAGATGTGCTCAAGGCCAGTTTCTTGGTCGAGAACAATGCTCGGACATGCGTAAGATTGACCTTCTCCAAGCGTCGCTTCAATGCCGCCGCGGCGCTGGTCTGTTGATGTCCAGAGACACCTCCTTCGGCGAGAAGTTCGCAGGCCTTCAAGTCCTCGATTGTCAGGGGCGTCGTCTTGCCATTCCGTCGCGCCACCTCGTGCACCACTCTTACTGCTTCGTCGTCCCGACCTTTGCCCATGAGGAACTTGGGGCTTTCGTAGATGGTGAAGAGCACGAACCGGATGAAGAACATGATCAGGGCAAGTCCTCCCATGGTAATCATAAAGTACCGCCAGCCCATGTTCTTGGATCGGGTGCACGCCTCTCCTTCCTGGCAGGTCAGATTCCCAAGCAAAGGCCAAGCGACGAGTGTGGCGATGAGCTGAGCAAAGGCCCAGTCAATGGACAAGATGGTCAGGAGATATTGATGAGACCCAGGCAAGAATTCAAGAAAGATGGCCGAGTCCACTGGTAGATTGCCTCCAACGCCAAAGGACCACAGCGCAGCAAAGCACCCAATAGCGGCGAAATTGGGAGAGCTTGCGGCAATCATGCCGAAGACGCTCGTTATCCCCAGGGTCATATTGAACGCCCATCGGCGGCCAAAGATATCGCAGCCGAACCCCCAAAAGACCGCACCCGCCAGAAGTCCAATGTTCTGGCTCAGCGTCAGTAGAGGAGGCCTGGACGGACCGAATTCGTTGGTGATCGGGGTGAAAATCAGCGAGGTCACAATGGGCCACAAGTTATCACTCGCCCAGCCGAACCCAACGACAATGAACAGCTGCCATTGATACCATCCCATTCCAATATCTTGGATGGCGCGATTCAACACTCTGGCCTTGGCCTCGTAGACTGGATCAGTCGAGCCCTTGGGGATTGCACTGTCGTCATCGTACCCAACAGCGATCTCGCTCCCAAGTCGATTGCGATAGTCGTCCAAGTTATCCTTTCGATCAAGCACTTGCTTATCATCCGCCATGGTAGTAGAGCGAAGAGGGCACAATTTCGGCGGGTGGGAACGAAGGGGTGAAAAGAAAGGAATGCTCAGGCTGAACAACAGAGTTGCAGTTCGCGAAGTATATAAATGTGAAATCCAACGCGATCCATGGATCTTACTGTTGCACTTTGATGGGGCACACTGATCCAGAAGCCTCCCACCCCCACAGCTGACATCGAATCGGTACGAGCCCACGACGTAGGACAGAGCGCCATCCATGCAGACAGTAGATAAGGATTGTCTGGGTTGCTGGTCAAAGTTGCTTTTGGCATGGGGATCTTTTCACTGGTAAGATATTGCACCATCGTTCAGGCCCCAGGTTATGTTGGTGCGACGAAGCCAACAAGGGCTTAGGTAGACCTAGAGGATTGCTCCCGCTGCGCCTGGTTGGACAACCAGCGCCACCCCGGCGCCCTTCACGGCAGATCAGCTTCGGATGGAGCTCTCAAGGGCGTCATATCGGCCGCGATGTCATCCAGGGTCGCTTGTGTTCGCCAGCTGGAGCCAAAGCTGGTATCCAAGTGTTGTAGTCGTGTGCCGCATACATCATACCTACAATGTAGGCGCCTAGGTAGCAAAGAAGAAAGTCAATAGTCCGAGCTCATGTTACAACGCTGTACAGTCCTGTGGTGCGAACACTTTCCTTGGTGTCGCTGGGACCTTCGGGGACTTTATGATGCCACCACCCTTGCTCAAGGCGCCATGTCGACGCGTTGTCACTGGTACTTTTGCCCATCTCATTATGTAAATGGCCGATTGTGATCTTCAGGTCCAAATTCTATGCAACAGACAAGGCTGACCTACTCCCACTACTACTTTTACGAGAATGCGATTTGATACTCCGCGCCCTCCCCGCTTGCCGTCTCTAGTTCCGCTTCGTCTATCGTTCATCTGATGCGAGGAGCCTGTCGAGGGTGATCCTCCACAGGCGAGCGTCCGATCCAACGTGGGCTATTGATAGCAGGGTCGGGGCCGTGCTTGCGGCGTGGTAATGTCGATGCTCATGAAACAAACGCGGTCCTCAGGTGTGAACCATGTCGAAGCTTGAAGTACTGTACTTCATAGATACGGTACCTATGTAGGAGCACTCGTGCAGAAATACCTTTGTCGCCTTGACAGGCGCCTGCAACCTGCAACAAATCTTTATGGGGGAATCAAACTGCGTTAGTGCTCAGTTCACGCTAGCAATATTGTTAGACACTCACTGGCAGGTTTTCCGGGGCAGTAAGGCTCATTTCATTTCATGTATCGACTCTCCAGAAAGATACCTTATCGGATGTTTGGGGCAATGCTTCAAGTTCAACACTTCATCCATACTACACTGGCACTATATTATATACTCAGTAGTCGAACTGAGCTGACTACAACCAACCTTCGTTCTCACCCAAATCACGCAGAAACCACCATCACGCCCTCCGCGGTAGCTGCTTGTGGCTACGCGGTAGACATGGACAATGCCTCAGGCTGACAAAGTATTGCTCATCTTCAAGTCCTGGTAAGTTGGGGTTGGCATTGACCAGGTTGCAGACTCCTGCCTCTACCCGACGTTTCCTCCCTCTCTCTTCCAGCAGTGCCAACCCACCCAGCATTGCCTCAGCCCGCAAGCACGCCTTCCAGTCTTCGCATCCGCAGCCAAGTGGGTCGACTTCTCCGTTTTACGCGACTCCTCGTTTCCATTCCGTCGTTCGTAAAGAAAAGGATGATATCCAAACGACCTTTGATGATGATGATCTCGTCACTCCGAGCGTGCCCACGTTTCGTGTCTCCCTGCCTCCGCAGGATTCCATCGAGCCCGAGGATGATGATCTTGGGAGAATATCACCTTTGCATTCCCGAAATAAGATTTCTACGCCGGTGACCAAACGACGCAAAGTTTCACATTCTGAAACCCAGCTCGGCGAGACAATCACCATCTCGTCTTCCCCGGAGTTGGCCGAACGTCCCGCGAATGATCAGCATGAAGACGAGGGCTTGATCGGATGGAACTCAGGCTTAGAGGAGGAGGATGACGTCGCCGCTACTACTCATGGACCGAACGAGACCAACAAGTCGACACGGTTTAGGCCTGGGCCAGCAGCGTCAGCCGGGACTCCATCCTTGCCTAGGGTTGTCTTCAGGTCAGTTGCAGAGGACGCTGAGCCACGTTCGGTCGGAAGTGGTGCGGTAATACCCGAAGTCTTCTCTCCGTCCAAGCGGAAAGGCAAGCCAGACTACATACCTGGCGGCAGCGCAGACATAGTCCGGAGTTGGGTCCTCAACGTTGCTGCGCAGGAGTCACAGGCCGGCCCAGCCGCAGGAATGATTTTTGTCATCCAGAGAGTGATAAAGGACCGCAGTGGTCGTTTTGTCGTCGTTCTCAGTGATGATGGCTCATCCTGGCTTCTTCCCGCGCAACACCAGAAGGGATTTGCTGATCCCAAAGCCACCCTGACTGGGATAAATCCCGGCTTGCGTGTGCTGATCAAAGGACATGCTATGAAATGGCCCCTGCATTTCGGCACTCCCCTGGGTGATGTCCGTGTTGCCGCATCGTGGGAGCTCACTCCTGCTGGGTAACATTGTGTCCCTATCTCTGGAGAGGACGATGTGCTGTTAATTGAACCTGCTGTTCGTAAGAGGTTGGGTGTCCCTATTTCCGGCCAAGCTGGACAGTCCTGATTGATACTCCGCTGGCGCCGACCATGCCTCAACAACAATGCTGACTGGGTTCGCCTGGGAGCGGCTGCCTAGACTTTAGATTGTGGGATACGCCTAGGAACGTTGCTGACAAGGAGGTTTCATTCTTGGGCAGGACAGCAGACAAGCGAGCGATTGAAGAGCTACATCAGGATGATGCTATGTCCACAAGGCTTGTGCTTCAGCCACGGCCTCGTGGCCTGTAAGACGGCAAAGACACCGGTAGATGTTGTCGGTCATGTTCTGGGGCTGCGTCGATTAAGCATGTTTTTTGGGGCGGCTCTTCTTCAATCAAGAGCACTGGCTACACAAGGAAGCATATAATGGAACACGATGAATCAATATGTACGACTTACGCAAGCGCAACGGGTAAAGACATCTTATCTGGGCTCGGTTTGTTGATATTGTCATTGGATTGTTGCGGCGCGCTGGGATCAATACATCGTCGATCATTCTTCCAAATCCAGACACCCGATAGGGGCGGTTTTGTCACTGCAGCGCCGCCGAACTCAACATGACGTTGAGAATCCCAAGAGCAAAAGTCAAGTAAGAAAATGATCAATTGTTGTTACGGATCCATTCGGGCCCGGGAAGCAGGCAGTAGAGCATTGGGACTACTAGTCTCCCTGACCTCACCGAATTTACGATAAGCAGAACGTCCAATCTGACCGCCAAAAATATTACTGTTTGTCCTGTCCTGTCGTGTACTGGCTCGTGTTGCACTGGAAGAGTCCTCCTACTTGCTTGCCATTGCGCAAGCCCCGAGATCCATCTTCTTGGCCTCAGCCGAGGGCGAGATATCGAAGGAGAAGATATCCATCGGTAAGCCGATGGTGGTACAAGCATTGGGAATCTATACCAGTCAAATCAGAAACCCCGGGGATATAGTGAATAGTACAACTGTAAGGTCGACTGGGGAAAATGACATGTGGACTTATTGTACTTACATCAACGATTCCCGCCACATGGCCCTCGATAGGAATACAGCTCAGCATAAGGTAGATCTGATAGTCACTGTACCCGAAGCGCCTGAGGTACTCGATGACCCGGATGCAGGACTGGCGGTAAGCGACAGTGGCGTCCATGTAGTGCTGCTTGCCGTGCTCGTCGACGCTGAAGCCCTCGAAATACAACATGCGGCCAGGGCTGAACTGCGGCTGGACCGGGCCGGGGATGTAGAGGGGCGATTTGCCTCCGACCATGCCGAGCTTGGCCTGGCCGTCCTTGATGACCTCGAATTTGATGGTGATGACGCCGGCGATTTCGATGGCGCCGCAGAAGGAGATTTCGCCATCACCCTCTAGAACAGGGAATTAGTAAATAACAGGCGGAGCCAGGGTGAGGAAAAGAGTGTCCGTACGAGAAAAGTGCAAGTCTCCAACGGAAAACTTTGCCCCCTTGACATGCACAGGTAGATAAACCTTGCTCCCGCGCGACAGGTTCTTGATGTCGCAGTTCCCGCCGTGTTCGGGTCGGCCGGGGATGGTGCGCGCGCCTTCTTTCCCGACTTTGGCTTTTGTCGCTTCATCCGCAGAGCCCGCGTGCACGCTCTTGGGTTCCGGGGGTTGCGCGACCACCCGCTTGAGGGAGCTTGTCGAAATCAGCTCCGCTTCCCGCTTGTTCCATTCCGCTAGGATCTCGTGCGATGGCGCACAGCCGAGGATGCCTGGGTGGATTAGGCCCGCGAACCGCACGCCGGGAATGTGGCGCGAGGAGCAGAAGATGCCTTCAAAGTCCCAGATTGCCTTGGCGCTGTAGTACAGGTGAGTACATGGGGCTGTGTCCTGGAGGAGAGGGAACGGGGGGCCGAAAAGAGGTTCAGGTGGCTTACGCTTCAGGATACAGCTCGTCCAAGAACCCGCCTCCGTTGTCCTTGTGGAACACGCCCGTGAATCCCCATGGGTGGTCTTGGAACGGTTGGACGTCCTGGATCTCCACGAGGAGCACGTCGCCTGGTTCGGCCGTCTCGATCTCGAATGGGCCGGACAGGTAGTGCACCTGGGTCAGGTCGACGTTTTTCACGTCGTCGGCGCTGTCGTTGTTCTTGATTTGCCCGCCGGTCCAGTCGAGACATTCGATCTTGACGGTTTCGCCGTTCTTGATCGTGCCGCAGAAGGGGACTAGAACAGACAATGGCATCTTAGCGAGATGATGATGGGCCGACATGTCGGAAACCCGACGTACCGTCAGGGTGCCATCTGTTCTATTCGACTGTCAGTCAATATGGCTGTTGAAGGGTACTGCCGACTAAATCCTTACGTGCAGATATGGCTGGTCCTTAGCCGGCTTGTCGAGGTCGACTTTCAAGGCGGTTCGGATAGGTCCAGGCATGGTTTCTTTTATAGAGAGAGAGCTTTCCGTTTGGGGCGGGCTGTTTGATTGATGAAAACCTAGGTAGGTGGAACTTTGTATCGCTATTGACGAGATACTACCTTTTAGAACTGAGCTGTCGCCTGGTCAAAGGTAGACGTGTGCCAGGTCCATTCAGTCCAAAGGCATCCTTATATCATTTTGTTTACGGTCTTTGCGGGGCATGGCCGGCTACGCCTACCCCTCAAAAACCCGTGATAGGGGCCTTGGCCCTGACCACGAGGAGTTGTCTCTGGCAACTGGGTGTTGGTTTTGCCGGAGTTGATAAAGTTGTCAGGTACTGTACGGTAGTAGCTGGTGTGGGCGTTGGATGAGATAAGGCTCCTCACGGCGGCCACCAATGATGGCCGAGGTAGCTGGGTCGCTTAGTCCAGGACAGGCAGCTCCGCTTGCTGGATGAACGGCCACAAGGTCATAACTAACCCCGCTGTTCTTGAGCTGAAAGTCCATGTTACGTACGGGAATAGTGATGCCCGAAACCTTGCGTTGAACACCGCTGAGCTCGAGTGTCACGACTATCGATTCTGGCGGAGTTGAGCGTTGGGGTTCAAGATAGCAAGCGACCAGCTGGGGGGCTTCTCCAGGTTGGCGCGCAACAACAGCAATACTTCCCGATGCATTGCCTTTCGAATTCCACATTTGTGGTCAGTAACAGTAATGATATTTGGCTCAATCCTGCTGTGCGGGTGTCGATGCCGATGACGGGGTATTCGTCTTAGTGCTCGTGGCAGATTCTTTCTTTGCAGGATTTGTATCAATCTCCAAAGTAACCTGTTCGAGTTAAACACCTTGCTACTGCCAACCGTATTATACGAAAAGAGGAAACCACTGGCTGACTTACTGGTCCATCATTGACGAGGCTGACCTGCATCATAGCCTGGAAGACGCCGTCTTTGACCTTGTCGGCGCCATACAGCTCGCGAACTCGTGACAGGAAATAGTCGTAAAGTTCCTTTGCAACTTCTGGTTTGGCAGCGCCATGGAAGTCTGGTTTGTTGCCCTTCTTTGTCGAGGCCAACAGGGTGAACTGGGAGACGCAAAGGACTTCACCATCAATGTCCTGCACGCTTTTCTTCCAATTGCCGCCGCTCTCGTCCGGCCACAACTTGATCTTCAGGATTTTCGAGGCCATCGACTCGGCGTCTTTCTTCGTGTCATTGGGGCCAATCGCAGCAAGAACGAGCACTCCTTTTCCGATCGCCGAAACGACTTGGTCGTTGACGGTCACGGAGCTTGATAGCACCCGCTGCAATATGGCTTTCATCTCTAGCGACTCTTTTGGTTTCTAATGGAACAAACGTCACACTCTAACACGCCCTAAAGCGAACGGAGTTCGGACGGTCCCAAGAGCTTGAAACCGCTTGGAATTGATGCTGTTTGCGTGTTCTGGTTTCAACTGCCAGTCTTGTAGCGACTATTAGTAGTGCTGAAATGCTGCCAGTGGGCTAGTACTCCGCAGGAATCATCAATTTACGGTGGAGTTTAACTTTCGGTGCCGCAATTTTTTGTCACATGACTCTCACATGATTGTCACGGCGGCAGGTGACTCGCCAAGCTCCTTCTCCCAAATAGGTTAGTGTGGTCGATAAAGTGACCGCTGTTAATTGGCATCGCGGCCATCGAGGCGCGCGACAGCCGGGCAATGCCAATGGTTTCATAGTGATAACCAAGTTCAGCCATCTCTCCGCCTCTCCATTGAACCCTCAGACCGCAGCTTCATGATCCTACGCCCTTAACTGCGAATACAGTGTTGTATGCGACAGCCATGGCGTCGCGGAAGACCCAACAAGAGATCGACAAGACCTTCAAGAAGGTTGACGAAGGCATCCAGGCCTTTGAGGCCATCTACGAGAAGATCTACTCTTCACAGAATGCCGCGCAGAAGGACAAGTTGGAGGACAACCTCAAGAAAGAGATCAAAAAGCTACAACGGTCCCGAGACCAGATAAAGACTTGGGCAGCGGGCAATGAGATCAAAGATAAGAGTGCATTACTCGAACAGCGGAAGCGGATAGAGAAAGTAAGAATTTTGATGGCACTCCTTTTTCGCCGACTGACGGAAATTGCAGTGTATGGAAATCTTCAAAGCGGTGGAGAAGGAGATGAAGACGAAGGCTTTCTCCAAAGAAGGGCTGTCTCAGAACATCAAGCAAGACCCGAAGGAGAAGGAACGAGAGGAACTCTGCGACTTCTTATCAGAGCAGCTGGATGAAATCAACCGGATACTGACCGAAGAGCTGGAGCCGGAAGCGAATACTCTGCAGTCAGCCCTCAAGAAGAAGCAGAAGGACAACACCAAGGCCACTCGGCTAGCGGAGATCGAGACGATGACTGAAACATACAAATGGCACGAATCTCGGCTCCAACTACTCCTGCGATCTTTGCAGAATGGCAATGTTGAAAACGATTCCGTGGCTGCCATCAAGAGTGAGATTGAAGAAGTTGTCAAAGAAGGCAAGGATCCGGACTTTGACGCCGATGCGTACGAAGGCATCTATGATGATCTCAATCTCGATGGCGAAGAAGCACAATTCGGCCTGGCCAACGAGATGGATCGCATCTCGTCGCAAGATGCACAGTCTGTCCAGGAGGAGGCTGAACCAGAATCAGCCCCTGCCCCGGTCAAGAAGACGAAAGTCGAACACCCTCCCGCCCGAAGACCATCTACCCAACTCAGGTCACCTCTGCCAGCACTTGCAACTCTGAATACCATGCCGCCCCCACCCTCAATCCCCAAAGACACGACGATGAAGCCTGCACCGATTCCCAATCGGCCTCCTGGCGAGACCCTGAAATATGCCTCAGCAGCCGCCGCCGCCGCGGCCAGCGACAAGACCGGCGTCGGTATTGCTCCCCTCCCTCCTCCGGTCGGCACAAACTCAGTCACTGCATCCCATGGCTTGCCCGCTCCTGCTAAAGCATCCAGCACGAGTTCTCCGGTCCCTGTATCGGCGCAACCCATTGAAAAGACAGCCTCACCTGCACCTGCTTCGGTAACCACGGACGGCCCCACGCCGCCTGAACAATCGAATCACTCCAAATCTCCTACACTAAGTTCGACCAGTGGTGCTCCAGCTCAAAGTGTGCCTAGTAGCATTCCACCGACTCCCGCAATGGATAAATCCGAGGCAGTCCGAATACCCGTGATAGCGGACGAATTGCCAACGACAAACGGTGATGCACGTGACGACCCTTCGGGAGTGGAGTCAATCTATCATCTGCCCCCGGGTCTACAAGACCTCCTCGACTCGTTCGAAACGACCAAGAGTCGAGCTGCTCAGCCACCCTCACAGTTGGCTAGATTGCTGCAGGCTTCACAGGAGACCTGTCCCGAACCATCGGACAGCGACCGGCCTCAACATTGCCGCCCGACCTTCAAATACAACACCCCCGCTCACTACCCCCAGGACGTCCTGCCGATATTCGACGATCCAGCCCTGTACGACAACCAGAGACTGGAAACCGACACCTTGTTTTACATCTTTTACTACCGGCAAAATACCTACCAGCAGTGGCTGGCGGCGCGCGCCTTGAAGAATCAAAGTTGGCGGTTCCACAAGCAATACCAGACATGGTTTCAACGGCACGAAGAGCCCAAGCAAATTACAGAGGAGTACGAACAAGGGACGTATCGTTTCTTCGATTACGAGAGTACTTGGTGAGTGAAATCGCTACACCTGCGAGGATCCGAGTCCGTTATTCTAATACATTGGCAGGATGAATCGGCGAAAGGCGGACTTCAAGTTTCTGTACAAATTCCTCGAAGACGACCTGTAGACTAGTTTTGACCACGGCACACTGGACCACAACTCCCGGTGTATGCAATGTTATTTCTCTACGCAGACACGGAGAGAGTTCTCCCTCTCCGACCCTGTCAAACTCCAGATGTCAGAGTCCTCCCTCAACAGAGCTCCGTTCTCAATCTCCAAAGCCTTATCTTGCGATTTTCTTGTGTACCTTATTCACGACGCGGGTTGCATATCCGCTTTTGGGTTTGCTTGGCTTCTGCAGAGCCTGTTTGGTGCGATGCGATGTGATCCGGAGCCCACGTTGCACGCTTCGGTTTGACTAACGTCTCTTTTTGCGCGTGGCATGGGCAGCCTAACATTCGCCTCACTTTTTGCTGCCACGGATGTCCCAGAACTTACCAGCTCGGCTGTCCACACCGGGATGTCGAAGAAGAAAGGAAGCAGAGCAAGTTCGAGGGGGCTGTGCTGGTTGTTGGTTCGAAAAGGCAACCAGGCTGGGTAGGTCTCCCTGGCATGGTTCGACTAACACCAATCAGATCGCGATGCAAGGTATTGCTGTCGGCATCGCCTCTTTGTTACTGGTTCGTCTACTTCTCAGCCTCCGCGCGTGTTCTGCCCTTGCATGCGGCCTCCTTGCTTCCATTTTCATTTTCCACAAGTGTGCGCGCCTTCTGCCTGGTGAAAAGGCAACCTTGCAGAACAATTTCCAGGGTTTCTCATCGACTTGCAGACACTGCCAGGGTCCTCGACCATTATTGGGACACCCTCGAGGGTTGCTGGTCTGTACTCTGGTGAGCACTACTGATGTTCGTCGTCACTGTTTGGTGTTACGGCTACCCAGGAGGACAGCATCTCCACACCGGCAGATTCTCCTTTGGGCTTGACCGATCACTGCCCTTACCACCGTGTTACCAACTCGAAGTGTTTTCTCTTTGTTTGCATCCGTGAACTTTCATTTAGGAGCGACTGCAGTCGTCCGTCCTGGAGAACGGCCTGCAAATCTATTGGGGGCCGCGAATCATAGTGGGTAGGACCGTGCCTGCTGGTGTTCGCTTTGGCAATATGAGCCTTGTAAGTAGCCTCGCCCTACAACCTGGTACTGATTGGTCTATGCATCGGTGGGTCTCCCTGGCTTTCATTCCTACGCAGTCGGCTTAACACATCCACACGTGGGATGTATGGGGGAAACGACATTCCCTTCGGATGCAGCCCGCTTTGGTTTTGCACAACGCACCATCCGTTGGCTTCATCCTCCGTCCTCTGGTTGTCAGTTCCTCATCGATTCCACATCCCATGTGATGTTTGGTCATGCATTCCAGCCTTCTGCTCGACGGTTTCCATTGGACCTAGCATTGCTCTGAAGGGTAGATACCGCCTCTTCTGGCCGTGACCACCGGTGGCCAGGATGTATCCGTCTTCCTCACTGCCGGTACCACTCAGGTTCTAGTGTGCATGGCACCTGTTCATTGGCCATCACAGCCCACCTTCTCATTCATGGACATTATTCGTCCGAGCCAGGGCTTGAACATCGAATGACGGTGCGAGTGTGTGTCAGTGCTATATTCCAGGCCCATATCTCTCAACCTCCAGCCGCCTCTATCAGCCCTTTGACTTCATACGATTCTCCCCTCGAGCCTAAGACTTATTTATCATGTAAGCATTAGAAGAAACCCACGCCATCGACAAAACTTCTGCATTGTTGTCGAGAGCCTTCGGCTTGGCTTGCATCCCCATGTTATCAGATCAGTCCTGGTGTCAGGATGCAACTAGCGACTTCCAGGCGGCCTCAACGCCGCCTTACAGTGACTATACCGGCGAGCAAACACCGCGACTTCCATATTACACACCGTTGACGGCGGCGTTGAAATCAGCTCCTGACGATGTCGGCCCAGACTTACCCGGACAAGTCACTCCTCAATACTACACGGGCAATTTCTACCCACATCATACCTTGGCTTTGACAACGCCGCCACAGGAAATAAACCAAGCATCCCTTTATCCTTGCCCTTCGAACCCCACCAGTCTACGGATGTACGATACAGGTGAAACCAGCTACGCATGTTCCTACTTTACTTCACCTCCAATCAACCAGCCAGGCTATGATCATGATCATGACCATGACACCGGCGCTTGCAAACCGGCGGAATATGCTTCTGCTTCATATCCCCCCAGCAGTCTAGTATGGTCATGTCACGCAACAACAGTGGAGTCGTCGTCCGCAACCATCCAATACCGAACAACGCCACACATCGACCCAAAGCTGGAAGCGGAGCCGGAGCTGAAGCCAAAGACGGAGATGGAGACGGCGGAGATGCAGCTGAAGCCAAAGACGGAGACGGAGACGGCGGAGATGCTGCAGCAGCAGCAGCACTATCCAGCTCCCCCGTTTTATACCTGTATCTATCGAGCACGAAACGAGACCGACAGTATGAATATGCCTGTGCTGATAACTTTGCCGAATGGCCCACAGCCTGTGTCTCAGGCAAAGAGGTGAGAGAGAGGGAGCGCGAGAGAGGCAGAGATTCCTCCCGCCCGTTCCGGTTTTCTGGTGCTCGTGGCGCGAAGTAACGGTTTCTAACTCATACTTTTGTTGCCCCAGAAGAAACCTAGTCAGCCGTCAACACTGCGTCCACATCGACTGCTGCGACGCCAACGGGGCTCCAACCCGCTTCTTCACCCGCCAAGCCGATATCAAGAGACACATCAAGTCCCGCCATCGCGCGACCTATATGGACTGCGAGGTCCGGAACTGCGATCGCAGAGGGACCAATGGGTTCACGCGTAGGGATCACCTTGTTGAACATCTTAGGGGGTATCATATGTTGCCGATTGAGAAGAGGCAGAGACAGAGACAGGGGGTTGCTAGTGGGGGGAAGAAGACGGCGGTGCAATGATACTAGGTGCCGGAGGTCGGTAAGTGGTGATGGTGATGGAATTTTGTTTCACGCCCACTCTCCTCTCCCTACTTCTATGTATGCGTGTGAGGAATTGAAGTGTGTTTGTGTGCACCCGGAGTGTACGCATGTGTGTTCAATGTTTACCTCAGTCGCCTTTTCTGACAAAAAGTGTTCGACGATGTGACTTGGGGCAGAGTAGTTGACCCTCCAAAGGCGTTTTACATCACGGCCCTTTTTTCGCTTTCTCGGTGCTGGCTGGCTGGTTGGATGACCATATGGAGCAAAGATGCTTATGAAGTTACGATTTATGACCTGTTACATTAGGACGAAGTGGTGGATGCTACAGTAACGACGATGACCATGTTGATGCGTTAGAGGTTGCTGTGGTAGGACTGGTGGTATTGATGGTGATGCTATTATGGCAAGGCGCTGGCTTTCGTTTCGTACTACTTTTGATGTTACTAGGTACTACTTTTACGGCCTACACTGCAAACAAGGTTTTCGATCTGCCTGGATCACTGGGTAGACGTAGACACGAGAGGAGAAGAGATGAAATTCACATTTTCTGTGGTCTGCTTGCTACCTGTGTCCTCTGCGAGCATGTGGCCGACTGACTCCTCAACTCCTTTTCAATGCCAATAGCTTGCCCGTTTTCTGGCAAAGGTGGGCTTTCTCATGCTTGACCAGCTTGGGCTGTGGACAAAGTTGTTCTTTTGACTGTGTCCTAGTAGTGTGTTCGTACAAATCGATCCCCACTGACCAGGCGATTCACCTGCAGTAGGTAGAGGAGAGCAAGATGCGGACCAGAGGCTTTTTGGCGAAGGGGCTTGCTGCACTGGTATGGTCAGGCTGAATGATGATGAAACTAAATGCCGGGAGCAAACGGCCCATCTGTCGAGCCTGCAGAACCTTGACCTTACCAGGCAAAACCGCCAGTAGGTGCTGGAGCAGCATGAGACTCGCCAGTTTGTTCCCAACCTCCTTGTGCAGATCCGGCAGTGGCAGTCTCGGCAATTTCCCATCCAGCACCGGCTCCAGCATTACCATTGGTCGCGGTCTCTCCATTAGCGGCTGCTGTTCCCTCCGCTTGAGGACATCTGGCACGACCGTGGCCTTTCTGCTCGCTGTTCCGATCCATTAGCACTGACAGATGACAGATATGTTGTGGTTGGGCTTACCAGAGGCTGCAAACGACCTGGCTCCAATCTCTACGAGGACGAAGTCCCGGCTCGCCTTTCTTGGGGCAGTCTTTAGCGAAGTGATCCTCGGCATCGCAGATGTTGCAGGTTTGCTTGGGAGCATTAGGGCATTCTCTGGCGATGTGATCCTCTTCGCCGCACTTTCGGCAGGTACGCTTCTCGCGATCAGGACATTCCCTAGCCATGTGATCTTCTGCACCACAGTTGCGGCAAGTTTGCTTCTCGCGATTGGGGCAATCCTTGGCAATGTGATCTTCGGCTTCGCAGATTCGACAGGCTCGGCCAGGTTTCTTGCGCTCCTGAGTGCAGTCGCGAACACGATGTCCTTGTTCTCCGCAGAGATAGCAAGTGACAATGAGTTGCTCTCTGACCATCTTCTCCTCGGGGCAATCCTTGGTCTTGTGGCCTACCTTCTCGCAATTGCGACATAGGTCAACACCACGATCGAGGGGAATGCCAGCATTGGCCAGGCGATCCATGTTCTCTTCCGGTGAAGCAGGCCATTTGTTGGCCAAGGTGGGACGCTGAGGTTTGTCGGATTTGAAGTAGCTGACAACGTACTTCTTACCGGTCTCGCCTTGGATGTTGACATTGGTCCAGGTTTCACCAGTGTCCTTCTCCTGTGATATAAGTTAGCATGACTGAGTTGGGATGAAATGTGACAGGCGGGACCAGACCAGAGCGATGAGATAGATGTTGAAACCCCGATCGCGAAACTCCTTCTCAAGGCGAGGGTAGGTGTAGTCAGGAGCAACCTTGGTCAGGATTTGAACAGCTTCCTTGAAGTCGCCGATGTCTCTCTCGTTGCTGGCCTGTTTGAGCAAATCCCATGCCTCGGCCTCAGACATGTCGGCAACTCCATGACGGTCCATCATCATTGGGTTCTTGCAGTCAATAGCATTGTGACCTGTCGTGCCATTCCCGCGTTAGCAGACTCGACCGCGGCGGGATGCATCGAAATTTCTCACCTTCCTGCTGGCAGTTCTTGCATTTCTCGACATAGGTTGGGCAATCAGAGATCATATGACCTTCTTCACCACAGTTGCGACATTCACCCTTGAACTTGCGTGGTGCGGTGCATTCTGCCTTGGACTAAGAAGGTTGTCAGCGAAATAGAGGCGCATTGGGTTGTTGTGCATACATGACCCTCCTCGCCCTGCTCCATGTTAGTCTCGATCGCATAATGGGGGTAAGTATGTACGTACGCAGTTGAAGCAAGCTCCCATCTTGCGTGGTTCCGGACACTCACGGGCAAAGTGGCCCTCTTGACCACAGTTGCGACATGCGTTGTCCATCGCACCAGAATTTCCCATGTCAGAATCTTGACCACCAAACGCAGCAGCAAAAGCCGCATCGTTGTTGGTATCAGCGGTCGATTCCATGGCTTGACCGTGGTCCCAATTGGCGGAAGCTAGGCACTGTTAGTCGATCTGCATTTATACTTGGTGACGGAGCATTTCAAAGTAAGGAAGTTTCAGACAGATAACCGATGCTCCTCGATGATTTATAAGCTAGGCCTTTTACAAGAGGGCCGCGCGGCTTGAAGGATTCAATTTCGAGGCGGAAACATTGTAAATGTGCGAGGATACATTGAGAGAAGACGTGATAACATGGGTTGAAGAGAGGATATGAGTTCAACTTACCCGGAGCTCCAGCCTGCCAGTCGCTCATGATGATGCGTGCACTAAGTCAACAGTCTCACAGTCAGTATTCTATGGCTCTGAAGCCGATCTGTAGAAGTGGGTAGTATGGGCGGCTGAGATGTCGAGTTTGAAGTGAGTTGAGTTGAAGAGGGTGCGAAAGCCTGCGCGACGACCTTGCAACTGCTCACAACAAGCCTCGCTTTCGAAAGGGAACGAAAGGGGAGGAAAGGGGAAACTAGGCAGGAGAGGATAGAGGATGATGATCGTAAGAGAGGGCTGGCGGTGGCAATCTTACCTGCTTCTCAACTGTCAGTTAGGTATCTCTCTACCACCAAGAGAAGCGGGTTGAGGGAAATAGTACCTATCGTTGCGTCGAAGATAGCCTTGCAAAGTTGCGAATCAAACGCTGTGGGATGGAATGTTGTCGCGACGAAGAAGAAGGGAAAAGGAAAACAGAGGCAGTGAATTCCAGTTGTGGGAAGCAGGGGTTGGAAGTGAAGTGGATGATGGTGAAGACAAAAAGTGAAGCGCAGGCAAGATGCATCACAGGTCAAGGTCGCAGTCAAATTTATTGCGCACCACTGGCACAGGCAGTTGTTCGGTCGCGGCAGCGCAGTCCGAGTCTCCTGTGTTCAAGCAGACCATCATCTGCGTCTCTGGATGCCTCCAGCTCCAACTTCAGGCTCCTCTCAAGACGATTGCTCCTCAGATACGATCCGCCTCGTCGCTTGTTCAAGTTCCCCTCCTACCTTCGATACATGAACCCAATCAGCCTACCGCTTCGAAAGCAATCTCAAGCAAGACTCTTGCAACTCAAGTTCTCATCTGCCATTGCCCTGGACGTGGATCAACCCAGTATAACTTTCCCTTAACCACACGTCCACACCGAGACAGCTGACTCGCTCTGTCAAGGCTCGACCCTCGAGCATCGCAAAACCAGCCAACCACCTGACTGAAGAGTCCTCGTCACTAGGACCGCAATCACTCGCATCAGACCAAAAGCCAGGCGTCGCCCACAGCCCTCGCCTCGACCACCCCTCCCTCCTCTTCCGGCAAACTTCACTTCCGTTGACCGAAGGCCTGACGTATTTCTTTTTGAAGTGACAGAGAGCAAACCATAACAGATGGCTCACCGTGGAAAAGCATGATTTGCTAGCACTGGTCTCTTAGCAGGTTCACTCTGGCATAGTTGGAGACGATGCCGAAGGCGGTCAGTTCACGACATGGAGGATGGTACATTATCGGGTTTGCGACTGGGCCCCGGCCCAGGGGCTTGCCATCGAGAGCATTCAATCCGGTACAAGTCAGCGGTGCTGCAGACTACCTAGGTAGCCATACGGTGAATCCAGAGTTCTATGGCATCATAGTTTCCACCACAAAAAGTGCAAAACCCACTTGCTACTTTGGATGAGGTGAAGTCCAATCTACATACCTGCCGGAGTATATTTGGTGGTTTGGATGATCTACGAAGCTTGGCAGCGTCTACCGGAAAACAGTGCTTACTAAGATGTTCAAGGCCGAGACAGCCTCGCAAGCACGAGAAGCCTGAAATGCTCGCCGGAAGTGACCAGCAGTATAGGGGAGTCAGGCCAAGAACGTTGGCTGTGGGAGAACAGATGTGATATTTAATACACATCGAAGGAGTCCGCCACAGTTAAAAGCAAGGTAAACTCAATGTTCTTTTGGAAACTGTCTACCGAGCCTTTTGTACCAAACAGCTCTATGCTACGCCCTCATCATCATAGACTCGTCCTGGCTATCAGAGTCCTTTCACCCATAGCCTCAGTCCGCTGGCCGGTGCACCAATCTCGCACACGTTGCAAATCCGACAGACATCGCCTTTGTATTGAACATGGTACTTAGCTCCAGTGAATGGGCAGGACACACTCGGCGTTCCGCTGTATATCGGCGTGTGAGATGCTGCACACACATCGAAATCTGCAAATTGATCGTATTCGATGTCGATTTTGTCGCTGGCACCGGACCGCTCCGCTTGTTGCTTGACCTTTCTTGCCTGTGAAAATGATTAGTAAGGTATCGGGTACAATATAATGGTAGTACTAACCTGTTCGACCAGTTTAGGAGCACCACCATTTGCCAAAACTCGGTTGGCAAAAGACAGTGCGCTCGAATACTGCTTTTGCGAAAAAGCCAATTTCATAGCTGCCATGAGAGCCAGCTGCCGATGAGAAACGTCCAGCTTGGGCATGGTGAAGTAGGCAGACAGTTCTAGCTGTCGCTTCAGCTGGTCTTCTGAATCGCCTCCAGCAGCAGCAATTTGACGTCGCTCCAGTTCAATGCTCATGGCAAGTGTGTACTCCGTAGCCTTTGCGATGAGAGCCTTGGCTTCGTCCACTTGAGCCTCCGAGTTGACGACATTGACCAGCAGAGACTGTAGGATATTCCGGAACGTGACAACCCCACTCTCCAGCTTGTTCGTCCTCATTGCAGTGTACCCTTCCTGTAGGTCGACGGTAGAGAGGGCATCGAGGCTTCGAGGAATGTACGGCAGCAGTTTTCTGCTGTCCGTTTCGTCGAGGGTCCGGCGGACATAGTTCACAATCGGGGGTAAACCGGCATTGGCAGGGAGGTATGTCTTGGAAGCTTGGTAGACCTCCAGGAATCTAGGCTTGAGAGGCTCGAAATTGACAGCACCAACTTGGCGGTTCAATAATTGCATGGCGCTTTCAAAGGACCCAGCAGCAACATGGTCGGCAGCCAGCGGAGAGTTTCGTGCCCACATGTCCGCCTCAGAAGTGCCAGGACCAGCGGCTTCAACTGGGACATCGGGATTATCAACGTTGACAAAGTCAGAGTCGTTTCCGGCGGTGTCAAGGCCAAGATCGTCTCCCATGTCCCAGCCCTCGACTGCATCGACATCATCCTCTGCGGCTAGCTCGTTACCGTCTGCGGCAGCAGTAATGTCTTCATTGAGCAGGTCCGGACTGGCGTCCTCGTCCACTGCCACGCCCACTTCGCCCAGGAGAGCCTTTTCGAATGAGGAATGGGATGCCTCCTTGACCGGCCAGTTCGCTTTGAAAGTCGGGACGATGACCTTGGGTTTGGCAAGGCCATCACCAGGCTCGGGCATTGATATTTGGTCCTCGGTCAATCCGCAGAGCTCGAGTATCGAAGCGCATTCTTCAGTCAGGCCATGCGATTTCGCGGTAAGGTACGCAAGTGGATAGAGTTCAATCTCCTTGAACATCTGGATCCTGCTCTCAACGTCGCCAAGATAAAGAGCATTCTGGAATCTTGAAACGAAGTCTCCGCGATGCTCAGCAATCTTAGACATCCTGGAGAGCTTTTCCTCGTCGCCGGTGCAAAGATACAGGAAGGAAAGTTTGTCGAAATTCCGAAGCTTCTGATATGCCATCTCGACCGTCTGGTGGTTGCCGTGAATCAAAGCCTCAGCACCCAAGCGCCCCCAAATTTTCGGGCGATCAAGTTCTTTGGCCATCTCTGTGGCCACCTCAAGGTTGCCGCATTCAATGGCTAGTTCGAACCGGGTCTGCGGGTCCTGCACGAATTGCAGGGCAATCTCCGGATACCCCTTCTTTTGCAGATAAGATATGATACTTTGTCCGACAAGACTTGAAGTCTTGATGATCTGGAGCATTTCCTCGTAGTTGCGTTTGACGAGCGCCAGCTTAAAGCGGTACTCTGTTGGATCAATGCTGAGAACTCTTGGTTTCGCAGCTCTATCGAGACAGTAGACATTGCGGCCCTTGACCTTGACGAGGTAGACAGTCTGATCGAGTGTCCGGACAATGCCGTTGTCGCCATTGAGCAGAGTGTACTTGATGTGATTGAGGGTGGAGTAGAGAAGAACCCCAGAGTCGTCCCAAGTAGCGCTCTTGATTCGGATTGTCTCATGCAAAGTGCTCACCTGCTCCAAGGACTTGTTGACAATGGTGACATTGTGTTTACTGAGCAATGCGGCATAGAGTCCATCGTTGGACCATGACACATATTTGACACCGGTCACACCTAGCTCCGCCAGCTGCTTCTTCTGTTGGATGTCATAAAGGACAACATTTGTAGGGTTGATGAGAAGCAGGCAGCCGGGGCCGCCGTAGGTGATATCGGTGGTGCCAGGAGGCGCCTTGAAGGACTTCGTAGTGGAGTTGCTTAAGTCTTTGATCTCCACCAGTTGGGTGGAAGCGGTAAACACTGCAAACCGGTTCCGAGCGACAAAAACTGCAGCATTGCCTGAGCCTCGTTTGACATCGGTTGGGTCCGAGGCACCCGTTGCATCTCGAGGAAGAGAGATCAGCTCATATGTCCCATTATCTGCTGGCGACGTAACCAAGATAGACCTCTCCGCGGGGTTATAAGAAAGTGTCCGAGGTGGCACCCAATTGCTTCCAAACTTCCTAAGTGACAAAAGCGAGGGCGATTCAACGTTCTTGGTGAAGTCGTATGATCTGACATGCTTGTCCTTGGTCACATAGAAGAGTTGATTTTGATACACGGAGCATGCTGGTCGTTCTCGTTCCAGCTTGAACACCATAACACCATTGTCGTGCCCAGCAGCAAACAAATTGATCTCTGGATGCGCCGCAATAACCCAGAAGCGGTCATTCTCTCGCTTGAAGGATTGGACGGAGGTTCGTTTGTTCAAATCCCAAACACGAATTGTCTTGTCTTCGCCGACGGACAAGATGAGGTCTTGATGGGGATGGAAAAGACATGCTGACACGTTCTGGAAATGTCCACGGCATGTGTCCACCTCCCATGCTTTTGTCTCGCTCATTCTCCATAGCTTGACCAGGCGATCATCACCCGCAGATACTATCAGCGGTAATGTCGGATGGAACGCAACCCAGTTCACACCACGGTCGTGCCCTTCTAGCACAAACTTGACAACCGCATCGGTATTGCCAAACATATCAGCCTGTTGTTGGTTCGCACGCGCCATTTGATCTTCGAAGCTCATCGAAGTGGGTGCAGAATGTTTTTTGCGCAGCCCAGAGATGTCCCAGACTCGAACGGATTGGTCTAGCGAAGCGGAAACAATGAGGTCTTCTTTGGGATGGAATTGTGCGCACATGGCGTAATGGTTGTGGCCCGTCATGGTGCAGACTGTAAATTTGTCAGTGGAAGCCAACATAGCACATCGACGGACATACTTAGAGACCGATTCTGCCAGTTCCAGATCCGGATCGTTTGGTCGTCCGACGCTGACAGAATCCATGGCAACTCATGGTGGAAGAAGACCGTCCGAACGTAGTCCAGATGCCCATTGAGGGTGAAGAGACAACGCCTAGTTTGATACGACCAGACCTTGATCTTGTAGTCGTCCCCTCCCGAAACAAACAACGGCTGCGTCTTATGGAAGTCAATACCTCGTACTGGCCCGTCATGCTCTTCGAATCTGTCAATGAGTGTGCCCATCCGGTAGTCCCATAGCCTAAGGAGCGTGGTCAGTCAACGTTGCGACCAATGTTCCCGGTGCACTTTACTGGATGGTGCTGCTATGCAAGCTGACCAGAATCCATGGTCGTTTAGGATGGAAGGCTAAACCCTTGGCTCGGCTGCTTTTGCTTTCGAACTGCGAGACCAGTCAGTATATCTGTACTGGGGTATTGGCGACTGGGAGATCGACTGGGAGATCAACTTACCTTTGTGAGCATTGAAGGGGACGCCATGTTGGCGTGTTTCTGAACCGCTCAGCTGCTTGTTCTCAGTGATCCGTATTGCTCATCATAACAAGGAAGAATGCCGTCTTTGCTGGGCCCGATCACCAGAGGCGACAGATCTTGTGTCTTTGCAAGAAGGTTCAAGTTGTCGCGCTTTGGAAGAGGTAAAGGTGGCCCAGTGACCCAGGGGATTCTCAATTTGGGGACAAGTTGCCCGCAGCGTGTTGGTTGGTGTCGTTTTCGCAGGGAAGGTACGGCGAGCCATACTGACCGATGCCGCAACCGCAGCCATTAGCAGTACTACTACACACTACGCCTTGTTGGACTGTGCATTTCTACCTCAACTCCCTGTCCATCTTGCCAGAGTGGCCCGGCGCATTTGATCACCCCGACATCTGTTTACGCGACCACTGTGCGCACCTACGTCAATTCGACTCGCAGTATTCCAGGTATAGGAAGGAGCCTCATCCTATATCTCGGTTCCCGGCCGCACAAAAGTTCGTCCTGAGGGTTCCCAGCATGCGTTGTTGAAGGAGGTGACACCCAGATTATTGTAAAGATGGACCAAGCACAATACGATGCGATCAAGGACAACTGGGCAGAGGTGGAGGATAGAGATGGCGTCCGGCTCAGTTGGAACATCATACCATCTTCGCGCATGGTTAGCCACTCCATGATCATGCACATGGCGGAGCTGACATCTATCAGGAAGCGAACAGATTGGTTGTCCCCCTCAGTGTTATGCTGACTCCTCTGAAGGTAAGTTGTTTGAAGTGCTCTAGGAGGATTGTTTTGCTGATATTTGAACCAGGAGCTTAACAAACCAACTCTGCAATATGAGCCCGTTACCTGCAAGCCACCGTGTCGAGCCGTGCTGAATCCGTTCGCCAATGTTGATGTACGAGCAAAAATATGGATTTGTCCATTCTGTCTGCAGCGAAACCAACTACCCCGTCACTATGGAGACATCAGCGCAGAAAACGTGCCTCCGGAGATGCACAGCCTGAACACCACGGTGGAATACCAACTCGCACGGCCTGCGCCTGCTCCGCCCATTTTTGTTTACGTGGTTGATACTGCAATCGAAGATGACAGCTTGCAAGCTTTGAAGGACACGCTGGTCATGAGTCTGTCATTGCTCCCTCCGAATGCGCTGGTCGGACTGGTGACATTTGGCACCAACGTTGCTGTCCACGAAATCGGATACACTGAGTGTCAAAAAGCATATGTCTTCAGAGGAAGCAAAGATTATGCCGCAAAGCAAGTTCAAGAGATGCTTGGTCTTTCAGCACCGGGGTTGAGGCCGAATATCCCGCCCCAGCAAGGCCGGCCTCCTCCACCAATGGGCCCTGCAGCTCGTTTCCTCCTCCCTGTTCAACAAGCCGAGTTTCAAATCACGAATGCCATCGAGCAATTGCAGAAAGATCCATGGCCTGTTGCAAACGACCGCCGCCCGCTGCGAAGCACTGGAGTTGCGATGAGCATTGCAGTCAGTCTGTTGGAAACATCATTCCAGAATGCCGGAGCGAGGATTATGCTTTTCGCTGGTGGACCAGCCACCGAAGGGCCTGGCATGGTGGTTGGCCCTGAACTCCGTGAGCCGATCCGATCGCATCATGACATTGATCGCGACAATGTCAAGTACTTCAAGAAAGCCATCAAATTCTACGACAACCTGGCGAAGCGTAGTGCTCACAATGGGCATATCATCGATTTGTACGTGGGATGTCTTGACCAAGTTGGTCTGCTCGAAATGAAGGGGTTGGCAAACTCTACCGGTGGCCACATGGTCTTGACAGACAGCTTCACTTCTTCTCAATTCAAGCAGTCCTTTGTCCGAGTCTTCGACAAGGATGACAACGACAATCTTCTTATGGGATTCAACGCTTCGCTGGAAACCATTACGACCAAAGAACTCAAGGTGACAGGTCTGATTGGTCATGCCATCTCGCAGAACAAGAAATCAAGTTCCGTGGGTGAGACAGAGTGCGGAATCGGAAACACATCCCTGTGGAAGATGTGCGGCATCGATCCGACTTCCAGCTATGGTATCTATTTTGAAGTGGCGAACCAGGGGGGCCCTACACCCGTGCAGCAAGGTCCACAACGGGGAATGATGCAGTTCCTGACCTACTATCAGCATTCTTCAGGCCAATATCACCTACGTGTCACGACTGTCGCACGGAACCTGAGCGGCCCAGCCGGAGACCCTGCCCTGGCACAGTCCTTTGACCAAGAAGCAGCTGCTGTTCTTATGGCAAGAATAGCGGTCTTCAAGGCAGAGGTCGACGACGGCCCAGACGTGCTGCGTTGGGTGGATCGCATGCTCATTCGACTGTGTTCCAGGTTTGCTGATTACCGCAAAGACGATCCGACGTCATTCCGCCTCGACAAGAACTTCACCTTGTATCCTCAGTTCATGTTTCACTTGCGCAGATCGCAGTTTTTGCAGGTGTTCAACAATTCACCTGATGAGACTGCCTTCTACAGACATGTTCTCAATCACGAATACGTTGGTGACTCGTTGATTATGATACAGCCCACCCTCGATTCGTACAGTCTCGAGCACGAAGGCGGCCAGCCGGTGCTGCTCGATTCGGCCTCCATTCAACCAAACACAATTCTTCTCCTCGACACTTTCTTCCAGATTCTCATCTACCACGGCGAGACCATCGCAGAATGGCGCAAGGCTGGGTACCAAGACCAAGAAGGCTATGAAAACTTCCGTGCCTTACTGGAGGCTCCAAAAGAGGATGCCCGAGAGTTGGTACAAGACCGCTTCCCGCTGCCCCGGTTCATTATTTGCGACGCCGGCGGCTCCCAGGCTCGTTTCCTTCTGTCGAAGCTGAACCCCTCAACTACCCACGCTACTGGAGGATACGGAGGCGTGTCCCAAACTGCGCAAACCATCTTTACCGACGATGTGTCTCTGCAAACTTTCATGGACCATCTCATGAAGTGAGTATCCCCTGTCTTTATTTAACAGGACCTGTGCTAACTTGCCTTAGACTTGCTGTGTCTGGTTCGAGTTAGAAGCATATGATACGTCCAAACTCACGATGACTTGGCCATAGAAGCCGATGTAGCAAGCTTTACAGCGATATGGGAATTTCAATCACGGAACGGCTGACTGTGCTCTCGCCACGTAAGAGTCAGACTTGTTCTGAAGCTGCCCAGGTGCATCAAGGGGTTCCCGGGCGGCCAATGTTGAGTACAAATAGAAACGTGAACAGAGAATGTTTGAAAAGACCTCCAACGCTGGCATTATTTCTTTGCTTATGAGTCTGGCGGCAAGCGTGCGCAGCAAGCGTGCTGTCGATGGTAGGTATACCTGTCTAATAGAGCACAAGGCTGAACAATACGGTGAATGGTTGAGCCACTGGCTGCAGTATCCCCCCGTACCCTTCTTTGATCCACCGTAGCACATTGCCATATCCAATCAGATTAGGCGCTGCATTTCTCACACAATTTAGGTCTTGGCAGTCCGAAAATGATTTTGGAGTACAACTGCGTGCATCGCCCACGGTAACTTGATCTTCTTCTCCCAGTGTGCGACAAGTCCTGATCACCATCTCAAGAAAGACCGACTACCTTCCGCACTCGCCATGCGTAAGTATCGTCTTCTTGAGCAGCTTCGGCTCGGCGGCTAATATGTATTGTGTTCAGCTCCCAAGTTAGATCCCAATGAGGTGAAGATCATGTAAGAGAACCTGCCTTTCCTTTTCTACGAGTCGAGAGAGACTGACAAGTGTTTCTAGCCACCTTCGCGCCACTGGCGGTGAGGTCGGTTCTTCTGCAACCCTCGCTCCCAAGATCGGTCCCCTGGGTCTGTCGCCCAAGAAGGTCGGTGAAGACATCGCAAAGGCCACCGGTGACTGGGTATGATTGTTCCTGCTCAAGACAAAAGACACAACCCACTAATGCATGGAACAGAAAGGTCTGCGCGTGACCATCAAGCTCACCATTCAAAACCGACAAGCTGCCGTGTCGGTTGTGCCGTCCGCTTCCTCCCTCGTCATCCGCGCACTCAAGGAGCCGCCGCGTGACCGCAAGAAGGAGAAGAACATTAAGCACAACAAGTCGATCCCCTTCGACGAGATTGTTGACATTGCCCGCACCATGCGCGCCGCCAACAAGTCGTTCGCCCGTGAGCTCAAGGGAACGGTGTTGGAAATCCTCGGTACCGCTTTCAGCATTGGCTGCCAGGTTGACGGCCGCTCGCCCAAGGAGATCAGCGATGAGATCAAGGAGGGCAACATTGAGGGTGAGTTGCCACCCCATCTCCACCCGATTTTTGGGCGGCTTTTCTAACATGGTTTTTTTCCCTCTAGTTCCTGAGGAATAGATGATACTTCTATGACTTCCGCTGCAGCAGCGGAGGAGCGGATGTCCAGCTAGCCAGCCCTTGCGCAAAATGGAAAAGAATTCCGCTTGTCATGATACCCACGATCAGTTCCTCCGCCAGAAACTGGAGAACAAACAGAGATCTTTCTGAGACGCAAGCCTCTACGATTCTTGTTTTGCAATAATGGGTCCTTCTGGTCGAGTCCGTCACGGCCTCGCTCACACGTTTCCTGCCCCTCTATCTCTCGGTCTTTGGATCGGCGATCGATTATCTTGCATGGACAGAACGCAACGGTCTTGGTATCATACTTCGCAGCAGTTCCAGCCGAGAAGGCCAGACACTTTTTCCTCGCCCTTCCACTGCCTTCAGTTCCATTTTACCCCTTCCCTGCACGACCTGTACTCGTTTCTTGATCATAAGATTCTGAGTTCAACCCACCTTTGCCAACACTCTGGCCTTTATCCCTCCATCTGGAGATTTTACCCAGGATATGGGCCTATTTTGGTGCAAAGAAGATCAAACCATCTTCTGACACGCTACTCACCGCGGCATCCTGCTCTCCCTTCTAGGGAGAGCGGTGGATGCAGCGGTCCATCTTTTTTGTGTCTACAATCTTCTAAGTTCACTTGCCTTTGCCTTGCAGTTTTGCACCATGTCATGGTACTTGGTGCCTGCTTCGCTTTCGAGCAATGCGTACATATATTGTAAAGTCACAGGCCAAACGGATCTGATCTTGGGCGTAGATATAGCACTCTATTTTCGCTACAGAGCGGAAAGCAGCGTATTAGACAATACCTGGATAAATGCCAGTGCGCCGCATCATTCTTCTTCTTCAGCCCCCAGGCTGGCTCAGGAAGCCGGGGGGTGCTACCTGGTCAATTCATATATTATTCATCCAGAACGAGAATACTTCAGGTTCCTTTTTCCTTCATACAGCCTAATCATCAATCAGTCATCAATATTTGGATCTTATTTGCTCTGCTTTCATGTGCCTGCGTTGCCTATTTTTTCATGAAATTTCCTCGATTGCAAAGCTAGTTTTCTACGCATTACATTTGACTACGTACTCCTGGGACCTTTTATCATACAACTACTTCAAATTCGAGAGTCTCACAAAGCCCCTCCCAACAGATACAGTACCTAACAAGGGCTTTCGACGAGGATTTGCGAGGGCGTTGACACTTTTTTTCTTTGGCAGAGCAGCTCTTTGAACCGCAGCTACCAGTACGCCTGAAAGAGCTTATTCCAACCTGTACAGCAACATGAGCCGGCAATCGTCACCTCCTCAACTTGAAAAGCCCGTTCTGGTTGGTCATAACGACACAATCTACCAAGTAGTAGGCACCTTGGGAAAATCCTTAGAGGAGATTCCTAGATCGGCGAAGACGGCATCATCACCTAGAAGTGTGAGGGTCAGCCAGGTGACATACTAATAAACCCGAAGAAAACAGTGCAGCTCTGGGTGGCTTACCTTTGAGATGTTTGACACGAATCTCATCCTCACCCTCCAACTTTTCCAACTCTTCTTCCGGAGGAGCATTATGCTCCCGATCATCCTTTGGTCTTTGCTCGGTCGCCTTGTCCCAATGACCACCGATGATCAGGACCTGAGCATTGGGGTAATCGAGATACTTGGGCTGCAAGGGCTTCCAGCGGAGACTGCCGAACTCATCGAGGATCTCCTTAGGATACTCCGGATCCTTCGGTAAGTTGGTATTACTAGGCTGAGGCTGGGTTGGGTTCTTGACGCTCATGATAAAGCTACCGCGTTCGTGAAGACCCAGTTCCTTCTGAACCTCGCCGAGCTCGCTCGGGATCGTGATGATATAGGCCAGATGCGACTCGCGACCTGTCGATGTGATGGCATACACGCCTTCTGCCAGAGGAGTGGCGGGCGGGACATGGCTCTTCCCAGAAGTCTTGGTCTCGTGTTCCGAACCTGCCATGAACGACTCCTTCAACTCCTTGAACCCTGTCTTGGCTTTCTCGACGAACGCCATGAATCGATCTCTGCCGCTTTGTGGAAGGACCTTTTTCGGAAGCGCCAGGAGCCGGCAGTTGCCTTCGTCGCCGATGGGGCCGTCGCCGAGTTTCGCGTCCAAGGGGAGAGGGCGCATCACTATGTAGGTTCGAGCAATGTCGTTGACGTCTTGAGGGTCGTCGACGTTGACTCGCGCCCGGAAGAAAAAGTATATGATTCCCTTTTCAAGGATGCTGGAAGGCACGTCGTTGTCGTCGCGGCCCTCGGCGATGACGGCGTCGCCGTTGGTTTCGCTTGGCTTCTCCTTGCTTTCTTCTTGCTTCGTGTTTTCTTCTTTCTTGGGTTCGTCTGATGCCGCGTCCTTGTCTTCTTTCTTCTGTTCGGGTTCTGCCGGTTCAGCACCTTCTTCTTTGGTCGCTTGCTGAGCTTTTTCGTCACCTTCGGTGCCCGTCATCTTGGTGTCGTCGTCGGCACCTTGTGGCTTCTCTTCCTCCTTCTTGGAGGAGGTGGAGTCCCCGTTGGCTTGCTGTGCTTCGGTTTGTTCCGGCTTGTCGTGTTCCTTCTCGACCTTCTCAGTCGGCGTGTCCTTGGGTTGGTCGCCGCTAATAGGTAGATGTCAGCATGGTGCCAGGTTACAGAGGGTTGGTGCAAAGTGTTGGCTTACTTCTCGATCGTCTCCTCTAGAGTCTTCTGCTCCGGCTCGGCGTGCTTCTTCCCACGCTTTGCGCTGGGAGAAGAGCCCTGAGCTTCATTCTTGCGCTTCTTACTGGCGGCGGCGGTGGGCGACGATTTCGGCTGCTGGGGAGAGGACGAGTTTTGGGATTGAGCAGCAATGCGCGCAGATGAACGTCTTGTTGATGGCATGGTGGGTGGTATGCTTTTTTGAGATGAGTGGATCGTAGGCTGTGGAAGATAGAACAGGACGAGAGAAACTGAGCTGAAGTTGGATTTGTATCACACTAGAATGGAGCTATACAAGAAAGAGCTTTGTTGATCACGGCGCATTCATGTGCAGTGTTTCTTTGGAGGTCGACGACAGTCTGCCATGTCTTGTACCTGGGCCGGGGGGTGGTGCGGGTGCGCAGTCAAGCGTGCTCCACATTTCGCGCAAGGTGCAACGCGGCACAATGATGTAAGAAGGGGGAAGGGAAAAGTCCCGGCGTGGATTCAATCATGGAGTGCAGCCAATTTCGTTCTACTAGTGGATGCTTGTGAAGAAGCCTCGATGCTAGCCAGGAACCATTCAGGTCTAGTGCATAATTATAGTAACGACAAGACTCTACATCGAGTAATGCTTGTTGATGCATCCCAAAGCATCCTATTTGATTTCCAGTCAAAATACCTCTATTATTCCACAACCCGTACAAAAGTACCTAAATGTAGGTATTTCCGCCTTGAACAGCCCTGGCATCTCACAAAAGAAGACGTAACATGAAGCGTGGCTAACCCATGTCCATCGCATCAACACCGTCTTCATCATGTGCTGGAGTAGGCGCTGGTTCCGGAGTACATGGATCAGAAGACAATAGCACAGCTTCATGGTCATCAGTCTTATCCGAGCTGTCCGACCATGCGGCCATTGCCTGTTTCTTCATGAGCCTGTGTGCAATGCTCTGCTTGCTAGGGATTCTTTTCTTCCTTCGCTTGAGAGGCGGCTGTCCGGATTTGGCGTCCACCACTTCGGAGACTTCGATCACCGTACGCTTGCCGAGCGGGCTCGGGCTTCCATGGTCAACGTCCTCCATTTCCTGTGATGTGCGTTTGTGCCTGGTTCGACAAGGAGCAGTAGTTGTAGAGCCATGAGGCTCCCATGATAGCCTTCGCAGTCGGCCGGCCAACTCATCGTCTGTGTCGGGCCAGACTCTCCATAGGGACCTGTTGTCTCCAGAATCCGACTCGGGCTCTTCGTACTCATCGGGGTGAAGAACTTCCACATCGCCGTCGTAACCCATGTCATCTGTGGATAATTCCTCGATTGAGAATCCATCACTAGATTCCCGTCGCGGCCGTTTCGGCCTTTTGGACGTTGACGTTGTGTGGCTGGCCATCATGGTAGACCGGGCGAAGACACCACTACCCTTTTCCATGGATGGATAGGCGGTGCCGGTGCCCTTCAGTTCGTGTTGGGCCGTTCAACCTTCCCAAACGTATTCCAGACATGAGGTCAAGTTGAGCAGCTCAAGGCTGAGATTCAGAGCAGGGATCAAGATAAACTTGCTTAAACGATTTTGGACGGTTCGTCTCGAGGTAGTGTAAGCTACCGCGGCAGCTGATCAGCGGCTCTTAATGTCTTGTCGCACCTTTCTCGCGTATGTTTGCTGACGGAAATTGCAGCTGTGTCTATGTATGACCCCATGTGGTGAGAGGATGAATTCTTCAACATAACAAAAAACTATCATGGTAATGGTGGTCTCACAGAAAAAACGATCGATTACGTTGGGTCAGACCCTTGGAACTGACCTGCTCCACTCTCAGCCTTGCCTGGTGCTAGTTGCTTCCAGTGGCTGCCACTGCAGACCCTGATGCCAAGAGATATCACGTCCAAGGAACAATGTTATTCCGCTCCGAGTTCGCCAGACTGTCGCAACGGTTTGTGAGTGGAGGATCTTAGTCAGCCTGAACGACGCAAGTTCGGCCTCGCGGAAATCGTACAACCATTCGCTTCGGCTTTGTCGTACCCGCTCACTCTGTACGGGCCAACGACCCCTTCATGTTGGCTTTACATCCTTGAAAAATAAGGGTTCAGCAAATGTTCGTACATTGTATCGTGGGTGCTTTCAGCTCCAGAGTTAACATGCCAGGCCAGTCCGGCCAGTCTGACGGACCACAATATGTCGTTGAATACTGCCCATGGTTGGTGGTGTCGATGTTTTTGCCCCAGTCGAAGGCGTCCTTCTTACCTCCGACTGGAGAGAAATTCAGCAAAGGCCACTCTCTTATAACCGTGAAGATCGTACCATGACAAATATGCTTTATATGTTGCTGACATTGATCGAGTGAATTGGACCAATCCTTGGGGGTTTCTGATAGACCAGTTCCCCCAATCTCTGCGTCCAACTCGGTCGAAATCGTGGGCCGAGTTCAGTGTCATGTTTAGCTGTGAAATTCCATGTCAAAAGGCCCGGCATACTCTCAACGAAGGCAATTACCATCTCCAGTCTCTTCTTCAAGTTTCAGGTCTTATACCCATACTCACCAACCCCGGATATGAGCACATATCCAGACGCCTCTCCCAACAGAGAACATTCATCTGCTGGAACCACAGCCCCAAACTCATGCGCTACAAGCTTTCAAAACGAAATGATGGACAAAGATGTCGAGGCCACTACGAACGCCGCCGAGCTTTCTTCTGCCGACAGAATGCGTCCAATATCCGATGCAGAGAAGCAGACTGGCGACGGCGACGCTGAAGCTGGAGAGGTCAAGGTTCCCGTCCAGGTCAATCCCATGGACCCTTCACAGTTTCCCGACGGAGGTGCCAAAGCATGGACTGTAGTATTCGGAGCAGCATGTGGCCTGGTTGTCAGTTTCGGCTGGATCAATTGTCAGTTTTCCACATCCTTCTTTCGAAGATTCTCTTCCACTTCGATGAAATAAACGATCATGGTTTTGTGACAAACGGAATTCTAATTCCGTCTCCCTAGGCATCGGTGTCTTCCAAGAATATTACGAAACCCACCAACTCAAAGAATACAGCTCCCAAGAAGTCGCATGGATCCCCAGTTTAGAGGCGTTCATGATGTTCGTCGGCGGACTGTGGGTTGGACGAATATATGGTACGTTGGCACACCCAAATCGACTCATTTGAAGGGAAAAGAGAGCGGCAAGCCATTCGATCGTTCATCTTCCGACTCTTCAGTGTTCCCCAAGCATGCTCTGCGTGCTAGTCCCCTTGTCAGCCCATCATCTTCAATCATCCTCTTATATCTCCCTTGTCCCCCCTCAAAACTAACTATTTTCCTCTTCCCTTATATTCTAGACAACTACGGCCCCCGCTCCCTCCTCCTCACCGGCACATTCTTCCACGTCTTCGGGCTCATGATGGCATCCATCTCGACAACATACTACCAATTTTTGTTATCTCAAGGCGTCTGCAGTGCCCTCGGCGCATCCATGATTTTCTACCCATCCATGTCCGCCGTCGTGACATGGTTTTTCCGCCGGCGCGCATTAGCTCTGGGTATCACCGCATCAGGCTCGTCCCTCGGCGGCGTCATTTTCCCCATCATGGTCGAAAGACTGATTCCACAAGTCGGGTTCGGATGGACGATGCGCATCTGCGCCTTTTTGATTCTCGGTCTGATGGTCGTCGCGAATCTCACTATTGTCAGTCGGATCCCGCCGCGGCCGACACCGGTGCGCCCAAAAGATTTCGTCGTGCCCTTTAAGGAGGTCTCGTTTTCGTTGTTGGCTCTAGGGAGTTTTTTGACCTTCTTGGGTATGTAGCACCTTCTCCATCCAGCCACCTACACACCTTCAACTAACATCAAAATCTAGGCCTCTTCCTCCCATTCACATTCATAATCGTCACCGCCCGCGCCCGCCACGTCTCCCCTCACCTGCAAAAATATCTCGTCTCCATCCTCAACGCCGCATCCACATTTGGTCGTACAATTCCACCCTTTTACGCCGACCGAGTCGGCAGATTCACCGTCTTTTTGTCAATGTCATTACTCTGCGCCTTGATCACACTATGTCTCTGGCTTCCGGGGTCAGGCGAGGCCGCCACAATCGTCTTTGCCGTACTCTACGGATTTGGATCCGGTGCCGTGGCAAGTATTTTGCCTGCATGTATCGCGCACATTTCGCATATCCATCAAATCGGTGTCAGGACGGGTGTTCTGTTCAGTGTTGTTGCGATTGCTGTCTTGATCGGCAGCCCGATCGGTGGTCAGTTGATAACTAATAGAGGGTATAGGTCCATGCAGGGGTTTAGTGGTGGGATGTTGGCCGCTGGCTTTGGTGTCTATTTGGTGCTGTGGCTTAGGTTGGGCGGGTTGAAGAGGGATGGGAAGAAAGTCTAGAAGATTTTGAATTGAATATCACCTCAGTTGGACTGGGGCCCCAAGTGTCTCGTGAAACAACTTCATTGAATCGTTTTCACGGCACGTTTCAATCTTGAGCAATATACCCTAACCATTTAAAAATCAAAGAAAATAGGTCACTTCTTGGTAGGACGAGTATTACCACGCCTCTGCTATCTGTATGTAAGGCCGGACTACAGTTTGCTTTTCATTTTTGTTAAGATCAGGTCCACGAATCGTACAAGGACTGCTCCAAAAACAGACTTGGATTCCAAGAACTTCATGTTGTGCTGGGAAATTCTGGACTTATAATTGATATCCTACTGGCTAGCGGAGTCGGTCTAACAATATCACTTTGAAGAGAATAAATCGAAAACATGGAGAGATCAATCATACTATCAGGAGGTGTCTGTCCATCATGACGTGGACAGTTCCTCAGCTACCTGACTGGGCAAAACAACACGCGTTTAAAAGGTCCTTGTTGATCATTGCCTGGCTGAAGCGCCCGGCAACAAACGCCAAAGAGACCAAACACTATACAGTCAAAACGGCCAGAAAGCGTAGCCAATCCGCCACGGTGATTGAAGGGAAAAGAGTCCGCCGACCTCGCTATGCGTTGCGCAAGCTGATACTAGGACTCCTTTCTCCAATGCCGTGGGCGTACACTGCCCAGCTTCGAAAACATCATGTCCTAGGCCAAGCAGATAATGCCAATCATTAATGAAAGCTCTCTTGGTCAAAACGGAGCACAACCATTAGTCTTGATCGGCATCCTCTTCGTTGATCAAAAACTCCACAAATGGGTCCAGCTCAATCCATTTGAACATCGGACCCCATTTGGCACGAAACTCCTTTCTTTTGTAAAGACTACTCGTATTGAGTCGGAAACTGACCAGTTCGACAGACCAACCCTTTTCCAAGGCTCGCTCAACCATCCTGAGAAAGCCACCAGAGTATTCCGCCTCAGCGGCATCACCTGTGGCGAGGACGATTGTGCTAGGCCTCTCGGCGTCGATCAGCGATTCGAGGATCTTCAGGTGCAGAATTTCGTCCACAGCCTGCTCGACCCACTTCTCCGCGGCCGGCGTGTTTTTGGGGAAAGTCGTGTTCGTTTCAGAGCCACTCGTTTCCCCTGCCGAAAGATACTTCTTCTGTCGCGGCGTCAGCTCTTTGGCCTTGTGCACACGTTCAAGAATGTTGGTTTCAAAGCCGAGCGATTTGGCCTGTTCAATGGCAGCGTATTTGTCCGATCCAACGAGGACACGCTTCGCAGCTGGGCGGCCTCGCTCAAGAACCAGTGAAAAATTGTGGAAACAAAGCGGGACACGTTTGAGTCGTGTCTCCCGGGGCATGCCACGGGCTAGTTTCAAGCAGTCGTGAAAGCCGATGGAGATGTTGGAAATGTCGACAAACACATGTATGCCGATTTTGGATACGTTCAGGGGTGTAAATGCAGGTTCGAGCAATCCGGAATTTTTCAGATATTTCTTTTCTTCGGGATAATGTCGCATCAGTGCCGTAATAAGAGCTTGTTTTCTGGCTCTTGGAGAGAGTCCATCGCGTGGAGTAACGACTGTACGGTGCGACGGTGAGGGAACACCAGGAGCTGTCCAGAGAAAGGGATTGGAAGTAGGCCAAGTCTTCTTTGGCGTTCGGGTTAACGACTTAGGTGGCGAGGGAGAAGTCGGCGGAGAATAGGTATCGCGAACAGCTGGCCTTGGTCGACCGAGGATGTCGTCGATGACAGCTCGACGGTCCGGGGACCTGCGTAGCGATTCTAGTTCTTCGCCAGATTCAAGGTCGGTGGTGTCAGATGTGGATTTCTGCTGTAATTGAGCAGCAAGTTTCTCCGCCCTTTCTTTGGCTCTCGCTCTCCGCTCTGCACGCTTTTTGTTGCGGATATAGGCTGCAGTGACTTTAGAAGTGGAGAGATTATCCTCGAGTTCATCGCCGTCCGCCTCATCTCTCCATCGAACGCCTTTGTTCACGGGATTGACCTCGACTTCAGCGACAGATTCGTCGTTTACTTTGTATTTGAATAATTCGGAGTCCTCCGGGTTGCCAACTTCATCGTTTACTCGGTTGGACACTTGTTGATTGGCTGATGCCTGAGGCCGCTGCAGAAAATCCCAAAGGGTGGAGAAATCGCCGAGTGAATGACCGGCTTGCTCATCGCTTACATCGTGCTGCGCAGGAGGTGGCAGAGAACCAGGAGCAGCGGAGGGATCGTATTTGGGGCATCGGAGAGCTTTGAGGAGACTGATTGCGGAATCGAGATCCCATGAAAGGGGATCTTGGTCGTCTGGCATGTGAGATTCAGAGAGAGACGCTGCTCTCTGGGTGTGTGATAGGTGGCGACTATTGAGAGGCACTTGTGTATGAGCTAGGAGGTGGTAACGAAGGGCGTCGTCTCATATCTTCGATTGTTGGAAGCCTTCAGGGTGATAGCGACAGAAAGGAAGGAGTCTGAGAGGAGGTACACATGGAAATACTTGAGGCAAGTCGTGGTGTTGTCGGAGGTAGGAGGCTGAGTGATGGACTGAAGTGGTCAATGATGATTCACAACAATGAACAGGTGCAGCAGTCACTGGCCGTGACAAGCCTGAGTCTCCGAGTCACCGAGTCACCGACGCCTGTACAACTTAGCCACCAAAAGGGCGCTAGAACTCTTAGTGGAAAGTCTAGCCTAATTCGTGGTGCGGATTTCATTCGGCATCATATGAATATTCCGCTGCTTTTCCAGCCTCGCCTTTTCAAAAGGGGAGTAAAAGCGGCCGTGAGGAATAGCAGAACTTAAGAGTTGGTGTCTTCCTGTCGCTCTGCAGTCGCATTATTACACGTCTAATCCCCCTTCAAACTACGACCAACGCAGGTATTTTTAGTAAGCTGCAACTATAACCCGGTAGAAACGCTTTGTGCCCAACCCTTGCCCGGGCACTGTTTCAGCTGGGACCATCATACGGCCGCCCTAGTGGCCGTTCCCTTGCTGAGGGTCCGTCGAGCCGCTCCCCATGTCTCCCTTCGCCTGTCTCCTCCAGGCTCGAAAATTGTGCGATGCAGACTGATTATAGTCAGGGCTCGAGTCAATTGTGCATTGCGGACCACAGAACAGAATATGGTGACAATCCGAGCAAATTGCGCTGACAGCGACCTGGCGACTGGGGGGTAAGCACACACCTAGGTATACTGGCCAAGGTTGGGAATCGTTGCAATGATCGAAGATCGAATCCGGAGACAAGCCAACTACTAGTACTGTTGTAGTCCGAGAGCAAGAATATGAGCTCATGCCCCTCTTCTCGAGTCTGACAGCTCTGCCAGTGCTGCAGGAGGGTTCAGATCGCGCTGATGGGCTTGATCTCGGAGAATGCATCGCGCTTGTTGTCAGCCTCGGCAAAAACTCATTAGCTCCATCATTTTCGGGGTGAGTCTCGACAGCATCACCAACATTGGAACAAGCTGCCAGGTACAACAGAACCGGTTGCCTTGGGAGTGGGCGCGGGTGCCTATCGGATGGTGCGTATCGAAAGCTTATTGGTGCCGACCATAGTTGGCGATGCCGAACTGCAAGCTTCGAATGGTACAACATTGTACAGCGGCCATCTGGTTTTAGGACTGCTTCAAGCAGAGGGTGACAGGTCCGGACTGGAGGGACGCGGTTCCCAAAGGCCAACCACAACAACAAAGCCTCGACACATGGATCCTTTTAGTCACAGAAGTTGCTAAAGACTGACAAGCTCCTTTCGATGCAGTGGACAGGATGATCCGGTCGTTCCCCTCCTCGGTGTCGCTATACTGGTTCCGGGGTGCGGGGAGCGGAATCCCATCAAAGCAAATCCATGGAATCTATGGCAGATGGAACTCGAGCGCTGCAATCTCGGAGACGCCTCTCGCGTCATCTGCGTCTCGATAGACGAAGCTGGCGCCGTGCCAGTGGTACGTCCTACTGTAGTCCGTGACTAGGCACGCACAGGCACTGCCTCATCGCCATGCCGAATCTTCATTCGCTCTTCGTACGCTGAGGAGCTCGGATATTCTCCGCAGCGGAGGAAGGAATGGTCGACTGGCGAAAGCGTGCGGGGCCTCCAGAGTGCCGAATTCGTTGTCTTGAAGTTCGGCAAACACATCCTGAGCCCCTCAAATACCATCCCAGATACAACTACTCCTGGCCTCTTCTGGCCGACCCCTACTTCTGCTCCCACTCCTCTCCCCAAGGTACCCAGTTCCTCTGCTCATAACGCCTGTGTAAGCAGCACAGTCCCGTTCTCGCTCACATCATGGCTGGGATTCAACAACAACTGGACCGCGGTGCTGTCCCAAACCACATCTCTAGCGTCTGTCCTAAAGGCACGAAGTTCCACGTGCTGGAAGTCGGATGGCTAGAGTGTGATGAGGCCTTTGTGCTTCGCGGTGGTAACACCAGCACCAAAAGCACTGAAAACAGGTCCTTTGTCAACAAGCGAAGAGAGCTGCCTATGTACTGTATCCTGATTGAGCATCCCCACGAGGGCCTGATTCTGTGGGAGACTGGATGTGGGAAAGACTATCCGGAGGTCTGGGGTCCTACTCTCAGCGATGTCTTTGCCCGTGTAAAATACGAGCCCCGGCATGAGCTGAAGGCGGCTGTTGAGGCTACCGGCAACAAGCTCGAGGACATCAAAAAGATCATCATTGGTCATCTGCACCTGGACCACGCAGGCGGGTTGGACATGTTCCTTGACAGAAAGGACGTTGAAATCTGGGTGCACGACCGAGAGTTGAAGGCAGCCTTCTGGTCCGTGGCAACCGGAGCGGATGCTGGCGTCTACCTGGAGCATTACCTCAAGTTGAGCTTGTAAGTGTTATATTCCAGGGATTAGGACCATGTACTGATGCCTGCTAGTAACTGGAAGACGTTCGATGATCGCACATTCGACTTCTGCCAGGGCATTACGCTGCATCACCTGCCTGGCCATACAGATGGTAAGTCTAACCATCACCCGCTCCAAAACGTGTACCTGACTTGTTGCCTTAGGGTTGGTCGGTATGCAGATCAATATGCCGGATAGCGGTACCTTCCTCTTCATCAGTGACCATTGCCACATCATTGAGAACGTAAGTCGACTGAATTGTTGTTTGCGTGGAGTTGTACTGATTGTTATCTGCAGTGGCGTGATGGTATTCCTCAGGGCTGGCTCGCAAGAGACCACCCGGCATGGTTCCAGAGCACGCAACGTTTGAAGCAGCTCGAGAGAACGACCAGGGGTCAGGTCATCCCAGGACATGACAAGGAGACATTCCTTAACCTGATTAAGAATGGTAATGTGTATACTTGAGCGTTAGCGGTGTTGAAAGGTAGCAACTTCACTTTGGAGTCATTGGAAGGAGACGATTTCCAGTCTGTTGTGAACACGAGTCGCCGTCCATAGTCTGTACATATGTACGAGTGAATCAAATTGTTGCCGTTCTGATGCTGATAGCTTCCGTTTTCGCGATGTTGCTCGCCTTATACTAGCGTCGGTGTGGCGAAGTATAATCAGCAGTCAACCGATCCCACAAAAAGAGATGCTCAGCCACTTGTCGAATCTGCTCCTGTCATGGACCACTCGGACGAGCTAAGTGTGGATTCGCCTAGTCTGGCACCATCTCTGGGATTCTCGTTGGTAGTGCCCTCAGCCTCGTCCCCGGCGGTAAAAGAGAAACCAACGGTCTTCCCATTCTTGCCACTGAATTTCCTCTCCTCGAGGACATCCCCATTCCACGGGCGACACTTGTACACAAGCTCGCCGCATCGTAAGCATGACCATCCACCACCTTCCTCGGCCTCAATTTTCTTTGCTATGCATACAAAGCAATAGATGCAGCGGCATGCAATAGTCTCGTACGGATTGACAATGTCGGTCGTGGCCGAACCAATCACACCACCTCCCGCACCCACATTTGCTCCAAGAATTTCTGCTTCAGAAGTCGAGGTCGGGTTCTGGTCATTGTAACATATTGCGCAAGTCCTCTCGGGAAGAAACGAGAGTGGCCCGCTCTTGATCTTTTCATCATCGTCACCTGCGCTCTCGGAGCGCATTGCATCTTTAGTCCTCTTCCATGCTCTTGAAAGCCACTTACGCCACCGATTGATTCCGACTAAAGGGAGAAGGAACAACAAAAATTCCGTGAAAGCATGCCAGACAAGCTGACGGTTGAGATATTCAAACGACACCTCCCGACTCACTTGGTTGGACGGAGAGACGAGCCGCAGGCGAAGAAGACGGTCGGTGAGCGTTCGGTATCGGCCGTTGACAAGGAAGACCAAGAAAGAACAAAACGCAGCTATTGAGTGGGTGGTCGAGATGAAGGAAGTGGCTCGCATCAACCGCTGCACTTTCTCCGAAGGGGCAGTATACCCTCGCTCTTGGTCAATAAGCCAATCTTGCCATTTGTCCCATCCATACCGTCCAAAGATCGTGATTAGACCGTACAGGCCCTTTTGCCATTTCGTCGGTTTTGGTAGCGCTAAGCTGGACTGACGGGCGTCGGTATAACGGAGGTTCTGTAGAGAGGCGCCATAAGAGGCATCATTGTCCCATATGGAGAGTTTGAAGAGGGCGGCTCGAAGAGCAAGGAGGATCTCTTGAGACCAATCGTCCTGCAAATGCGGACCTAGGTACTTGAGCGCATCTCCGACTTGTGTCTTCAACAAGCCCAATAGTTCTTCGTCGAGGAGCTCAGCATCAACTTGGCCTACTCGGAATGCCGGCCGCGTCCCTTCGGATTCCAGCAAAGTCGACCATAATGACGAAACTCCCGGTCGCAAAGAGTGGGCAATTCGCGACAGCGAGGTATGCGCTCCGCTTATCTCGGTCTGTTGCTGGCGGGCGCGTGCTTCTTGTTGTCTCGCCACTTGTTGCGCAAGTATCCGCTCTTGAGCAGCGGCAAAGCTGCTTGCAGACATGCTACAGGCATAGAGAGAGGAAGGAGTCGCACGACATCAAGATCGGAAGGAATTCATGTCGTGGAGAACGTGGAATTAATTAGTTCGTAGACCGAGCCGTCGACGCAGCCGAGGCAGCTTTGGGCAAAGCGCTATCACGGGAGAGAATAAAAGAAACCTCGTCTGACAACTTGTTCCGGGGTAGAACCAGCGACAGTTCTGGAGCATCCCGCTGTCAGACGAAGTTAGTATAGGTCGGTATCTCCCAGAGGCTCTAACACGCTTAAAACAACGCTAGGCTGCTAATGGCTTTTGGCAGGCGTTACTGCCACCAATGACAATTGGCCATTATATTTGTTTCACCATCAGTCTCAAAGAGCCTCATTGATGTAAAACTATCAACCACTTTAACACCCTCAGGCTCACCTTTTGCATGTTCTTACTCCTCTTCTGCTCCTCAAGATCATGCAGGAATATAAATCATAGCACGTTGTGCCGGGAAGATGCCGTCTTTTACCATTGAGGCAGAGGGTGAACGGAACCCGCTAACCAGAGAGCTGATCGTCGCAACACTCACAAATGCTTCTCACTCGGATGCCCAGGCTTTGAAGGTCGCTACTCAGCAGATCGGCAACTGGGAGAAGGTACCGGGCTATTATTCACTTCTTCAAGATGTCTACGGCGATCTGTCACTCAACAACGATGTCCGCTTCCAAGCCATCATTCAGCTCAAGAATGGCATCGACAAGCACTGGCGGAAGACGTCCTTCAATGCGATTGACAAATGTGAAAAGGAACAGATCCGTACAAAAGCAATTGAATTTGGTGTCCGCGAGCCAGTTCCCGTTCTTGCATTGCAGAACGCTTTGATGCTGGCCAAAATCGTCCGCTGCGATTTCCCACAGGATTGGCCTAATGTCATCACAATCGTGACCGAGCATATCCGAGCTGCTAAGCAAGACCAAGCTTCCGGCCTGTACACCTCTAACGTCTTGACCATCATTTTACAGGTCATTAAAGAACTTGCTTCAGGCCGTCTACAGCGAACAAAGAAAAGTCTGCAGCAGGTGGCCAATGAACTCCTCCAGGAACTCGGCACTCTCTACGTGAGCCTGGTCACCAGAGCACAACTTGACTCGGCGCAGCCAGATCTTACCAGTGCTCGTAACAGTCATTCCGCCCTCAAGACCTTGAGGCGTCTTCTGGTGGTAGGGTTTGAGAACCCCCACCGTGACCAAGATGTCGCAGAGTTCTGGAACCTTTTGCAGACACACCAGCAAACCTTCTGGACTGCCTACCAGCAGAGTCATCCTGGCGAAGTGCAGATTATGCTGCGGAAACATCTCCTCCAGCTGGCAAAATTATATCTTGACATGGCTCGCAACCATCCAGCTTCGTTTGTTCTACTGGGCTGCATGGATATTCTCAATCATTCGTGGAACATCATCAGCCAGAACGACGCGAAAACGGCGTTGAGTGCTACCTTTGACTGGAATGTGTATCGCAGCGGCGATGCTAATGAAGAATCACCGAATGAGAAACTCTCCTTAAAAGCGCTACTACTATTTCGAGCATGTCTGAAAATGGTATTTAATCCCGTGCAGACGTTCAAATATCAAACTCCGCAGGACAAGGAGGATCGCAAAGCCGCTGTGGATTATGTGAAGAACACCATTCTGACAGAAGATTTCGTGGTCAGACTCATGGAGATCTTGGTGACGCAATATTTTGTACTGCGGCCTAGTGATCTTAGGGACTGGGAGCAAGAGCCCGACGAGTGGGAGAGACGAGAAGAGGAAATTGCAGATGCGTGGGAGTTTTCGATCCGGTCTTGTTCCGAGAAGCTTTTCCTTGACCTAGTCATCAACTTCAAGGAGTTGCTTGTCCCGCGATTACTCGAGGTATTTCACCAATATGCGAATACGTCCAACACCAATGTCCTGCTCAAGGACAGCTTGTACTCAGCCATCGGTATTGCAGCAGCCTGTCTCGAGGATGTGCTTGACTTCAACACATTTTTAAGGACAACGTTGGTGCCTGAGGTGCAGATGAACCATCCAAACTACAACATCCTCCGACGCCGTACCGCGATCCTCCTCGGCCAGTGGGTGCCGATCAAACCGGAAACACTCGACCGGGTAGCTGTCTACCAAATTTTCACGCACCTCCTCTCTGTCAATGAGCCACTTAATGACCATGTTGTCAGGGTTACTGCTGGCCGCCAGCTGCGGCTTGTCCTTGAACCATTCGAGTTCAACTTTTCCGATTTCCAACCATATGCCACCCCGTTACTGCAAAGTTTAATGTCACTCATCGCTGAGACAGAATTATCCGAGACTAAAATGGCGCTCTTGGAGACGGTCCGGATTGTCGTGACCAAGCTCGAGGGCCACATCGAGCCATACGCAGCAGGAATCATGGCTATGCTGCCACCGTTATGGGCAGAATCTGGGGAAGAACACCTCATGAAGCAAGCCATCCTGACCATGATCACTGCCATTGTGACCAGCCTAGGGCAGAAAAGTCTTTCTTATCATAACGCCATCCTCCCAATCATCCACGACTCGGTGCAACCAGAATCAGAGGCCATTGTGTATCTGCTAGAAGAAGCGCTCGACCTGTGGATGGCGATCTTGCAACAAACACCGACACAACAGGCGTCACCCGAGCTGCTCGCGTTGTCACAGTCGTTGCTTCCATTGCTTGAAATGGGTAGCGACCTGCTGAGACAGACGCTTGAAATTGTCGAATCCTACACCATCTTGTCACCCGCGACTGTGCTCGCACCAACCTTCCTGGGCCCATTGCTCACCTCCTTGAAATCACTACTGTCAATGCTCTCTTCTAATCGCGTACGAGACGCGTCTCTTGGACCTCACGTGGTTGAGAATCTTATCGCCACCATATCGATAGAGTCGTACTCTGCATTGGATCCGCAGCAAGCTCTGACCCACGTTCTCGAGTCGATGCTCAGTACCGGCTATCTTCCAGCCCTTCTCGAACTACTGAAGGAAGCCTACGAATACCATCAACACCCCCGACCGAACGTCCGACCTCCTGATATCATCGGACCCGGTGAAACCAGCCTGTTCACTCTCTTGTCCCGCATTGCACTTTTGTCTCCAGATAAACTGGTCCAAGCGGTCACGGCTACCAACGTCACATCCACGGTCACTCCCACCGCCACCACCAAATCAACGGAATCCACGACGGTCCCTGCAATCCACTGGCTACTCATCGAATGGATGTATCAGATCGACAGCATAGGCGACGTTCTGCGCAAGAAACTGCAAGTCCTGGCCTTGACCAACTTGCTGACCGCGACAACTCCACCTTTCCCGCAACTGATGTTTGAACACCTCCAGTCCCTGCTTACGATCTGGACGGACATGGCCGTTGAGCTGCGCGAGGAGGCCGCCGACGAAAGCGAGGGCGACTACCTCTGGCATAACAAGCTAGGCGATGTCCCTGAGTGGCCGGACGCGACCCCCGAAGACGGCCGCAAGCGAGCTATCAGCAACCAAGATCCGATCTACACGATCAACATCCGGGTGTTTATCGCCTCCACTCTGCGCCACGTTATGGACCAGGCCGGCGGCCCTGCAGCGTTTGAGCAAGAGTGGTTGAGTCGAGTCGACTCGGCCGTCCTCAAGGCTTTTGTGGACTTGAAATTACTATGAGAGATGCCACGTTTGACCGGCGCCCCATAATGGATCATTCATGGGTTGCCAGTTGTTCTCCACCTATGTGAGCTGGCCAGGGCATCAAGACCAACAATAGTCACGCCGTTTGCGGCCAGCCTGGTGAAAGTGGTGTAAATTAGCAGCTGAGCACTGCTATGGTCAACTGAATCACAGTGATGGTGTATGAGTAGTCCCCTTTGGAAGAGATCGAAGATGTCTTTGTCCAGATCCGAAGCAGCACTAGGATTAAATCATCAATTACTCGACGCTGACTCTATCAACAGCTTGCAGGATTGACGACGTTGGCAATCGAAGGGACGACATGTGTGTATGATACGGGACATCAGTGACTACAGGCACCTAATTGCTGGGCACAGAGTACTAATATAAGGTACTGGCGCCCAAGGTGGTCTTTCAGGGACAAATCACAATGTACTCTAGTCACCCATCGAGTTCTCTCCGCCCCCACTTGATGGTCACATAGGCTTTGTTTTTCTCCGATACCATCGAGCTTCTCAGTTAGAGCACGCCATGCCAGGCTGAAGAGCAATTCGAGGTACTAGAGACCTTGAAAGGGGAACGGAACAAAAGCAGATTCTAATCCAGGTCGCATCATCGTAAAAACCATCCAAGCAAGGCGGTACAGTAGTAGCGCTACCACAATATTGCTTACAAACAGCTCTAAGACTAAGACTAAGAGGCATTCTTTATAGTCGGCGCCTTCTTCAACCCCACATGATACCGCATAAATAAAGTATCAATGAAATGATCATGCCTAATCCCCGGCGGTTTAGCCCTGGCAAATTCATCCAGCGCATCTTGCGGCCGATACCCCATTCTTTCAATGAGGTAACAAGCAATAAAGAATCCCGTCCGATTATATCCATAGTGGCAATGAACACCGATAGCCTTTTTCGTGTTTTTATTATCCATTTCTGCCCGAAGGCGATCGACAAGAGCAATAAACTCTGCAACTTCCACAAGCGTGGGGGGGATTTTGCTCACGGTCGGGAATTTATGGTACTCGATGCCGCCGCGCTCGAGGGCTTTGGTGTCGTAGACAGGACTGTCGTGGGAAATGTCGATGACGGCGAAGATCTTGTCGCGCCACTTGCGGACGAATACGGAGGGTGTGTGTTCTTCGTCCTGCTCGCGGAGTGTCTTTAGGGCCCGGAACAAGCCGTCGGGGCCGATGGGGCCTGAGACCGGCATTACTTTTTTCCATTTCTCGAGATTCTTCACGTCCCATTTTCCGGAGGTTGTGAGTTGTTGGAGTTGCCAGCCCAAAGATAGTTGGGGTGATACGTAGCGTGCTAGAAAGTCTTCGATTAGACCTGCGACGGTCCGGTATGTTGAGTGGTCGTACATGAGGGCATGGGCTGCTGGAGCGGGGAGGATGGCTGTTTTCACAACGGTCGAGTTGTGGCTGGATATTTCGCTTGTTGAGGGTTGGGTTCCGTATTGGGCGTCGCTTGCTTTTGGTTCTTCTTTTGTGGGTGATGAGGTTGTTTCCGTTGCAGGAGGTTGAGGAGTAGTAGATGGGCTTTGGTCCGCATTACCACTGTCGGGGCTTGTCACTCTGGTGTTGGATATGGGTAATGAAGAGGAAGTGGTTTCATTGACATCGTCTTGGTCTATCTGTAGTGGTTCGCCGTTCGAAGCAAGTTCTGGTAATTCTGATTCTGACGATGAAAGGTCCGATGAAGAGTCGCTGGCTGATTCGGCTACCGGCACTGTTTTGCTTTGCGACGTTGCATCCTCGATCGGCTCCGCGGGCCGCTGGAGGAAGGAGATGATCTTGGTCACTTCTCCCGGCTTGGTCACCGTGTCTGATTCTCCTGCAATTAAGAACAGAGGCACCTGGATCTTCTCCCATACTTCTTTTCCTGGTAGACCTCCGTGTGGGGTCCCTGAGGCATCGTATCGCGGTAGACATCCTAGAGCTGACCGCTTCCAGACTGGTGTTTTGTAGCCTTTGTTGAATGATAGTTGCAGACGTCGGAGGTCTACTCCAGCCGCTTTGCCGGCCATTCTCTCCACGCTTCTTGACTTGACTCCTCCTCTCCTATCCAACATCCGGAAAATATCAAGCACCGCATCAGGGAGCGATAAGAATCGTCGAGCCGAAGTCACCTCCGATGGTGATGGCGGTGTAGCCTTTGGGCAGATCACGATCATCGCTTCCACGGTAAAAGGGAGGGATTCGTCTATGGAGAGCTTTGCAGCTATCGAACAGCCCATGCTGTGTGCAACGAATACCACTTTCTGATGTCCGTGCTCACGACATACTTGCTCGATAGCTGTCCGCCAAAGCGCGGTGAAGGCGTCGAAGGTGTAGGCCTCGAAGTCCTTGGGTGCAAACTCTGACATGCCATGGCCAGGCAATTCTATGCCAAAACACGGAGCAACGTTCACCAGGCTGTTCAAGATAGGTGCAAATTGAGGCAGGGAGCCACCCAGTCCATGTATGAATACCAGCAAAGGTAAGTCTGCAATGGCCTGGAGCTTTTGAGCATGGGCATGTGGATGGTAAAATGTCCTGATTGCAGGGTATTCGGCATGTTCTGTCCTGTACGATTGCATGGTCGAATGCTCGTGTAACATGGCGACGTCGCTTTCTGACGGTCTTTGATCATCCTGAGCCTTCTTGTTTGCGAAGATGAATGATCGCGTGTAATAGAGAGCACCCGCACCCAGGACCACCCCGATGATTGCGGGTACTGCCATCTCCGCCAGCTATGCCAGCCGCCCAACGACTCAGCAGACTGACGGCCTGACAATAACTGGAAAGACTTGGGAATGCGGTGACGGTGACATAGAGCCTATCTCGTTCTTCAACCGAGAGCTCTGTTGACGTTGCAGGGAGATAAAAGAGCCACCGGATAGCAGTCAGTTCATGCCAGAGCCAATACACTTGTCTAGCAAAACACGAACAGATTCGAGAGATATGTCAAGGTGTAACAATAGACCCAACAAAAAGAAGTACCTGGCAGTGCTAGCTCTGGAAAGAGCCACTTGCTGGCGTGTACAGTAAAGTCCTGGATTCGTGTATGTCGGTAAGTCAAGAAGAACGATCTTCGTGAACTTGATATGGGCTTTGATCAGACATGTTTGGCTGTTGATGTTGGATCTGAGATTTCCGGATTATAGTTAATCCCGGCTGCTTGCCCGGCGGAGTAAACCAACTGCAGACGAACTTTCATAGCCGACATTCGCGAGGTCCGAATGGTTCAAGTTGTATGCACGAGTCTCCGCGACCTTTAATCTCACACAACTCTCCATAACGATTCCTCTGGCCGTCCCGCCGATGCTGGGGATCCCAACGGCCTATGCAGCAAAGATGGATGAGTCGGACTCTCCATCACTGTTCGCGTTGGCGCGGCGCAACGTGGAGTCGCCGTGATGGCTCGATTCTACAGTCGCAACGATTGTTCAGGCCGTGGGCAAGACAATTCCACTATAGCAACCTGCTATGGAAGGACGACAATGCTCCACTCCGCAAGGAGTTGAAAGATGCTGCAAAGGCCGCGCGAAAGGCTTCAGTGACTCTCCCACATGAAAGCCCCGACATTCTCCCAGTTTGGGAGCTAACGGTCGGCATTGAAATCCACGCTCAGCTCAATGCAGCACGAAAGCTCTTTTCATGTATATATCTACAGTTGTCCCTTTTCAGGCATGTCCCACTGACTCGTCTCTAGCCGCCGACACCTATCCGACCACAGTGCCCAACAGCAGCATATCTGCATTCGATATAGCCTTGCCTGGCAGTCTGCCCGTTTTCCAGCCGGCGGTCATCTTGCCTGCTCTTCGCGCAGCGGTCGCCTTGCAATGCACAGTACAGACAAGGAGCACGTTTGATCGCAAACATTATTTCTACCATGATCAGCCTGCCGGGTACCAGATCACACAATACTACAATCCTTTCGCTGTCCGCGGCCACGTGCTCCTCACAGAAGAGGACGGGCTCGAGCCAGGCCGGCAAGTCGAGGTCAACATCAAACAAGTCCAACTGGAGCAGGACACGGCCAGAAGCCAGGAAGAAGACGGCACGACAACACTGATCGATTTCAACCGCTGCGGGCAAGCTTTGATTGAGATAATCTCCCTTCCGGACATACACTCTCCGCGAGAAGCCGCAGCGTACGTCCGCAAAGTACAGTCGATGCTGTATGCCGTCGATGCCGTCACCACGGGGATGGAACAAGGGGGGCTCCGCGCCGACGTCAATGTCTCGGTGCGCCGTCGAGGCGCATCCAATGCTGGGGGATTGTCCTACGCCGGGGTGACCGGATTAGGGCAGCGCACGGAGATCAAGAACCTCAGCACGTTCAAGGGCATTGAGGATGCGATCAAGGCCGAGCGAGATCGACAAATCAAAATCCTGGAAAGCGGCGGAGTTGTCGAGGGAGAAACCCGCGGATGGTCCATGACCAAACCCACCGAGACACGCCGGCTGCGCGGCAAAGAAGGCGAAATCGACTACAGATACATGCCAGACGCAGATATCCCACCACTGTACATCGGGGCCGATCTGATCCGCTATATCCGCAACACTCTGCCGCCGTTGCCCACGGATCTTGTGAGAATGTTAGTCGACGACTATGGTCTTTCGGACGTTGACGCCAAAACGCTAGTGACACTCGACGACGGCGACCGCCTGACCTACTTCCAGGAAGTCGTCGCAGAGCTGGCCTGGATAGACGTTCAAGGGACGCCGCAAGTCGAACTCGGGTCCATGGCGGCGAACTGGGTCTTGCATGAGCTCGGGTCGCTCTTCTCGACCCACGAAAGGCAGTGGTCCAGCAAGGCCGTCCCGTTCGACGTTATGGCCGAAATCATCCATCGACTGCGCGAGAAACAAATCACCGGCGCATCGGCGAAACAGATCTTAAAGCTCGTCTTCAACGGCGACAAGCGGCCCGTGTCACAGATCATCAGGCAGGAGGACCTTGCATTTTCCGAAATGTCTCAGGATGAATACCGCGCCATTGCAAGCGAGGTCGTCAACAAATTCCCCCAGCATGTCAAAGATATCGTCGAAAAGGGCAAGATGGGAAAGCTGCAGTTCCTCATGGGTCAGATGATGAGGCATCCCCGTCGTGGCGATATGCGAGCCCCAGAGGTCGAGAAGGCACTGCGGCATGTCATGTCCTTGGAGGAGGGCAAAAAGTGAGGCATACCCTAGCATTGGGATCTCTGAAGACGGGAACCTGAAGGGTTGGTTGGTTGGACGTCCTATTCTATGCCACCACGCAATTATACTGCATACTACTAGTAGGCCGTTAATATAGAATCCCACACCATTGTTATTGTGCTACTAGTCCGATGCACTGGAATCAAATCGACCCCCATAGCACCTCTGAATCGCGCCAGCCTCGCCTCAGACTCCCAAAATATATTGTTCTTGAGGAGATGAAAATATAATACTATAGGGCTTCTCAAAAGACATCCACTACTACTACTACTACAGAAGTAGCAGGAGTAAGACCCCAGCAGTACTAGTACTGTACTAGTATTTGCCGACGGCAGTGAGTTGATGCCTGCCAGTGCCAACCGACTGGTAATCAATCAGTTCCGAGTGGATCTCGTAGGCTGCCGGAATTCCTTTCTCCATGTCTGCCAGTGCAGTATTGCAGTGCCATCATGATGCCAGCGTCACGCCGGAAATGGGGTTGCGGTTCCAGCGTCATGGCAGTAGACCGATCCTCATTGCTGCGTTTACCGTCTACATGTCGTGATCGTGGAGCGACTGTGCTTAAAATGTCCGACTTTCGACAGAGAAAGGAGATCCGCAATTTATATGCATTTTGTACATTCTACTTTTGAGTAAAAAGTGTACAGCGGAAGCCGCCAAAATACAAATTCACTTCGGAATTCCACCAGCGCCAGCCGCGTATCATTCAGCATTTGAACAGCTTGTGTCATGGACCTAAAACCTTGCAGTAGTGGTGACCGCATCACGAGCGGTTTGTCAAAGTTCCTGTCCAAGGCGGTAAATAGCAATCGCTCATGGTGGCTCGCATATCTTGGAAGGTTTTAATGGAGATCGGGGGTGCCGGGGTAGTAGTATCCAAAAGGACATCGACGTCTGGGTAAAAGTTGAAGCCCCGGTCGTGCCGACCAGGGACTGTTTGTTGAGGGTCTAAATGTTTTCTCGACCAAGGACTTTGCAGCAGGCCGTCGATTTGAGAACACACATAGGAGAACTGCTCACACATGTCCAGCTCCTCTGGGGTGGTAGGGTCTTCACCGGAAGAGATGGTGCTAAAACTGGACCTTTGGCCCTGCGCCGCCGACTTTCGATCCCCTTGCTGCGGAGTGACCGGCTCGGCTGGGGGTGAGATGGGTTGGACATCCCTTGACTTGGGCACCCGCATTGTCTCGGGTAGAGGCTGCGCTGGCTTCCTGGCTGCCTGGGACGACAGAGGCTCATCCAAGTCGGGAACCACCAGGCCCAGGCCACGGAGGATTTCGTCTGTCGTAACATAGCCTTTCGATTCATCGCATACGGTGCCTGGGAAGCCCGTTCTCCTCCGTGAAGCCCAGTAGAGCCGCTGCAGAGCCTCCTCTGTCACACTTTGCATTCGCCAGTAACTAGACAGACGAGTTAGCGCATTGCCACCTCTGTGGACGTTTGGAAACAGTGGACATACTAGTTCCTGGCTTCCCTGCCCCTTCTCGCTGTGTACTTGCAATCACTCTTACTCTGGTGACATGTCTTACATGTGAGATTGCCGTCACACTGTACTCGGTCAGGGAAAGAACAGATATCGTTCATTTAGCTTGTTCTCTGCTTACCTTTGCTTTCTTGACTCTGCATCGATCGCACGCGCGAGATGTTCTTCGGCTTGTTCCGTCGCCGGCCATTCCGGCATTCTTGGTCGTTGACATTGACTTTTTTGATATGCTGTTCCCCGCACAGTGATATTCTGGAGGTCCACAATTTGTCGTGCCTTGCTTTTTGAATCTTGCTGAAATAAGCCAGTTATCTTGAATCAGGGTCCAGGCTTTTCACTCAAGTTCTCCGACAGAAGTAAGTCGATGGTTGTGAAGTCTGGCGAATATTGCCTCAGAGATGAACAGTAACGTAATGAAGCGTGAGTCAAGTGGTGGTTGTCCAAATATACAAGCACATGCCGGTCCAAGGGATCGGCAAGCGTCCATGGTACCTCGTGGCGAACGCAACAATCTGGACCCGGACATTGTAAAGCTTTCACAGTTAGGGTGCTTTTGATGCTGTGCATCGAGTGATATGTGATGTCATGAGAGGGGATGTTTTAGACGCTGGAGTATTGCGAATTGGCTATCTGAGTTGGTGCCATTTGCACGGACTTGTTAGCATTCGACCTACACTTGCCCATTGTGTCCATCTACCGCATTGCATTGCGCCAGTTGCGGGAGTCGTGGAGAGATAATGGTGGCGGGAAGGTGGTTGAAGTCAGTTTCCGCCTTGCCATTATGGTGAATAGTGAGTGGGCCGAGACAAAGAGGTCGGCGTGCGAGCCTGGTAGGCTGTCGATTGCGAGCAACATTTGGGATAGCTCTGGCAATCGAGCAGCCGTCTGTCGAGCCGTCTGGTCGAGGACGGAGAATGCCGACTATCCAACAGGGGCGAGATTAGGCCGCCAACTGTCCGTCCCACTAGTACCTCGATACATGGCTTTGTAGCAGGATGCCATCAGCCTGGTTGGAACAAAGATATCGCAAGGCCCCCGGCACGGCAAAGTGTTTCTCAGAGAACGAACTTCCGCGGTTGACTCGGACCTGCCGTTCAGTGGAAACAGTTGAGCCCGCTTCAGGACTAGCTCTCGTAGTGTAGCCCGCGATCACTTTTTTGTTCAACGTCCGGCCAGTCGCTCGCCGGTGGAAATACAAACTCCGCCGCTTCTGCGAGATCTGACTTGCTGATCTTGGCCCCTTGGGCAAGTCTGCGAGGTGCAATGGCAGCGGCAAGTCCAGAGTGTGAGCGGAAGATGGCACTGACCTGTGGACGACGCCGGAAAACAACTCAGCTCGCCTGCTAGTACTACTACCGCATACTAGCGTAGACTCGCCGCGATGTCTTCTCTGTGATGGCCGTGCTCCCTCACAGACTTCGGATGCAACACCTACAGTAACAGTTCCACTGGCAGTGGAACGCAAGAATCCGTCCCTCATATTAACTCCAGCCAACCCCCGCATGCACATCCCCTGTCATCGTGTATCGCCTCTCCCACAGTACCCACGTCGGATTTACCGGAGCCACGCCATGCCCGGAGAAAACACCCCAACGTCTAACACCACCCGCATTAATAAATTGTACGTGAGGAAAATGTTGCCACCAGCTGCCGCCCGCTGGAGGGGATTGGCACGGCTGAAACGACCGGAGCCGCTGACGCATCGTCATGATACTCTCCGCATCGCCTCCAGATTTATTATCAAGGCGGAACCGAACACACTTTGAACTGAACAGTGAGTACCGTGAGCGATATTGACAACTTGAAGAGGCAAGCCAGATTGTGATGCTAAGTACGCTGAGCTGAACCCTAAACATCGTAACGAGAAAGGGTGGGATATGAGCTAGCCCTCACGGCCGACGTCTGTATCTTCATGGCCTCAGACAGCCCGGTGGCAACACAACACTCTCGCGTCTCCAGTGCGTGGCAATTCGACATGTCGCCGACCCACCATCTCCAGCCTACACTCTTTGACGATGAGCAGGATATATTCTCACAGCCAGAAGACTCCAGCCACGCTACCACCACCTCACCAACACCTGCGGACGAATTTCCTCACCGAACAGTGCGGCCTCATGAACTACACGCGCACTCGCCGCCATCATCCTCGTCTTCGCCGGGGAGTTTATTGTCACCAGTTGGCCCACAGGAGTCGATAGACGACCCATCCTCCAGCTACCTGCCCGCCGACCGACGGGAGACCTTGCGACGCCTGTCACTTGCCACGAATGATTTAGGCGGAGCCGACTCATATCGACCGCGGAACAGCCCTACAAGGCCCAGAAGAGCCAGCACAACACGGATCCAGCCCCGTGATGAGAAGCATGCTCGTGAGCTAGAGCTCAACCGGAAAGCCGCCACAAAGTGCCGCAACCGACAGAAGGCTTTTGTAGAAAATCTGCAAGAACGCTACCGGAAAGAGGAACGGAGGATGCACTTCCAGACATCTCTCGTCCATGCCTTGCATGATGAGGTTGTTGCTCTGAGGAACGAAGTCATGCGACAGAGCTTCTGCAGTTGCCGCTATATCCAACAAGCCGTCAGCCCAACTGTTCCATGACACGACTGGAAATGACCAAAGTACACGAATACAGAAAAGAACTGTGACCATTTGTATATGTTTAAATTATTACAGAGCCAGCGACAGCCATTTGTTGGTTGAAACGAATGCGAATGATATCCTTTGGAGTTCTACTGGTTTTGAGACAAGTTTTGATACAAATCTGGGTTGTTTCCCGTTCTATGGTGCTCTCACAGGTCTTTTACGAGCCATATAGTCGACTGGTCCCGGCCCTGTTCACCACTGGCGCTACCGTCCAGCACACGAGGGAACCTTTTAAATCCCATCCGGCGGTAAAACTGGCCGGCACCGTCATTCGAAGCCACCATCCCCAGATGCACACCACGGGCGCCCTTTTCGCCTGCTGTTTCGCAGAAGCGCTCAATCAATTGCCGGCCATACCCTTGTTTTTGATATCCAGGTAGAATGTCAATATGAAGATGAGCCGGCCGCTGCTGGAGCATTTCAGGGTATTCTTGATGGAGTAGCATATCCGGACTAAACATAATCTTCCTTAAAGCATTCGGCAAGTTTTCCGTCCACTCTGTGGAATCTTCATGACCAGGCTGCTCGAATCCCTGAGACCAGAGGTTCGGTATGTAGATTGCTTTGTACGCCTGCACAAACGAGTATGTGTCTGGCACGCCCAGCAGGTAGCCAACTGCATGACCCGTGCCGTCGTCAAGGACGAGGCAAGTGTCCGGCCGCAACATCAAATATGGTCGACACCAGATATATGAGGCATAATCGAGGACCGCGGGATCAGCTGCGTCTCGCAGATCTGGCGATGCCGTTTCGCGAAACTAGAACGACACCAATGTCAGAGAGCCAGGCCCCCGTAGACATAGGTCTAGAAACAAACAACGTGGACCATTGCGTCGCGGTCGGAATCATCATACAGACGTATGAAGGGCCTCATGGTGAAAGCCTAGCCTTTTTTGCGAAGGTCAGCCAGTGGTGGCTACGAGGCTAAGGGACTACTATCTCTTGTTGTACCACCACTGCCACCAACGTGGAAGAGGAGTCTTTCAACAGCTGCAAAGAAGTGACAGGCGAGGAGGTCTCCAGGTACTAGGTGGGTGCCTGGGAGTCTTGGGCATCGCCGCTTGTCGAGACTGTTGCATCCAGGCAACAAGCGTACAACAGTAGTCAAATAAAGGTGGGTTATTGATCGCCGCAAATCGCCCCAGCCTGATCCTTAGCCCTCGATCTGCAACCCCAGATTGCAGATGGGCCCGCCTTGCTGATCTTTGGACGACACTCAGCTTCCAGCTGTCTGGAGCACAAGGTATAGAATGTTGAACTAGTAGTATGTCAGCAGTTACTGCTGGCTCAATCAACGCGGCCAGTTGATATCACGCAGTGCACACGCCCAAAAGTGATGAGGGCGCTGCATTCCACCTGGTGGCTTCCCCCTGGTGGCACTCCCCCGCATAAGCGTTGTACCGCCAGATGCCCGTGTGAAGGCACTGCAGTGGTGCACTAATAATTAGCATTGGTTGTGGGAAGCCAAAATGCAGGGTCTCAACGGAGGCTTGCGCCCCTTCCTCGCAAATAATGGACCAAAGCTCCCATTCTAGGGCCCGGAGAAGAAAGCCACCAGCTACTAATCAACACCACGCAGCTTGGGGGCCAATGGTCAATGCAGACTATTGCAGCATATTAATTGCTGGCACAGTTGGTACTGCACATCCGAATCTCTGGTGGGATCCGAGCACCGGCATACCGCGCTCGCGAACACGGGCAAATTCGAGACCTGTCACTTCTTCACTGCAACTCGAACCTTGATCCTTTTCATTCAAAATTGCTTCTTGCATGCCGAAAGGTTGACTTCACCGAGTTCACCACATACACTGCTATCACATAACCTCCATCCATCTTTATCTGGCCTGACTGTCGCCATTCGTCCACGTCGGCTCCTACCGACGTACGCGCAGACTCTATCGATCTGGTCGGCCACCTTCATCGCAGCCCTGCATCGCTCCAGCTGGTCAATGTTCCGCATGGGCTTCGCAAAATGAGGCGGTTCGTTGCTACCGAGTCGCTGGTCTAAGAGAAGGGCAATACTATCGCAGAATACATTTCGGACGAGATGCACACCATGCCAGACTCATCCAAAGCCACAGATTGTCCTGATCCAAGAACACAATCGCTGGCTATCGAGCAAAAACCGTGACCTCAGAGACAATGGCGGACCAACGTCCGGCCGATGATGGCCTACGCCGTCTCGAACCCATTTGGAACTATGCCTTGATCGCGGCTTCCATCGCTGTATCGCTACTCGGCGCCTTTACCGCTACCCAGATGATGTGTCAAGCACGTACGGCTCGGTACTTTTCCGGCGTATTGGTGTGGACCATCCTGGGTAGCCTGACGTTTGGATTCTGTTCCATCTGGTGCCTACATTTTATAGCCACGCTAGCTTGCGAACTTGATGTGCGGGTCGGGGTAGATGTCTCTTTGACAATCTTAAGCGCGCTTCTCGCCGTTGGATTCACTTTCGCTGCGTTGGCCTTCGATTTGCTCCCAGACCGGTACGTCCGCCTTGTTAAAAGAGCAAAGTATAAGGCTGGTCGAGGGAGTAGGAAGGGCAAAGGAGGGAACACCACGCTGCCTCACGATGGCGATGCAAGCACAGACGCGCTGCTGGAGCCTTCCTCTTCAGAGATCACCGAAGATGAGGAGGTTATGGAAGATACCAATCTGCTCCCCGCTGATGTTCCCTCCGAGCAATCGGGTCGACCAGCCCGAGGCCGTGGCATGAGCCTAGGTCCTCTTGAAGAACATTTTACTGGGCCGAACAGAGCTTTCGTCACGCTTGAACCCAACAGGCCGCAATCTCTTTCACTGAGCAGGTCTCCTCAACCTGGAGGAAGGAAGCCATTTTATACACAGGTCGACTTGCTTGTTCATGAAGAGTCCAACGGCAATAGTGAAGGTTTTCCCAGGAGCTCAATGGATATCCACGCATCACCACGGTCATCTGCCACGCTGGGCTCAGAGGTCAGTGCGACGCTGAGCATACCCGAATTCATGGACTTCAAGCGCCCCCAAAGTGCAACTTCCTCTGCCACAGATGCAATGGCTGGCATTGCCGGGCTGATATATCATGGGGCGACTCCGCGAAACTTTTGCAAAGGGTTTGTTTGGTCTCTAGCTATTACCACCATGCACTATGTCGGTATTTTTTCTCTGAAGATACCACAAGGTTATGTCACCTTCCAGCCACTCATCGTTCTTCTATCGGCGGCAATCAGTTGGCTTGTCTGTACGCTGGGCTCCATTCTTATTCCCCAGATCGAGGTCAACCTGACCCAGCAGCTAGTGTTTTCTGTTGTTGCTGCGGCAGGTGTGGCAGCGATGCATTTTACTGGCATGTTCGCAACCATGATCTGGTCTCGAGCAGCCCCCAGTCAAGATCGCGGTTACCCCCCGAATCTGGCGGTCGCCGTCTCGTGCATCGCCATTGCGACTTGCATTTTTGCCAATGGGTTATTGGCTCACTCTGCCACCGTGGCGCGTAACAAGCTGGCCGAGGTGGTACAAACAAAGAGAAAACTTTGGGCGGCCATTGCACAGAGACAGAACGCAGAGGCTGCTGCCCACGCACGGAGCGAGTTCATAGCATCGGCTTCTCACGAGATTCGCACCCCCCTTCATCAGTTGCAAGGTTATAGTGATTTACTATCTCGCATTGAACTGAGCGACGAGGCGCGGCTTTTACTCTTAGCCATACAACAAGCAACCAGATCCCTTTCCATGATCACAGCCAATGTCCTGGATTGGTCGCGGCTGGAAAAGGGCGAGGCAGTATGCCGACCAACCAGTCTGGACCTTCGAAAAGTCTGTGAGTCGATCATTGCCATTCTGCCCAATAATCACGAAGAGGGAGGCACAGAATTGATGATTGTAGTTGGTCCCGAGGTGCCCACTTCTTTGTTCCTGGACGAGACTTACCTTCAGCGGATCCTGATGAATCTTCTTACAAATGCATTGAAATTCACACAGCGTGGATATGTCCTACTTTTGGTGGGAATGAGAGACAGGAATCTGAACATCACAGTTAAGGACTCTGGCCTCGGTATACCGGAAGCATTCCTACCACAACTGTTCGAGCCTTTCAAGCAGGCTCAGACTCGGGGCGCGGAAAGAGGAACAGGTCTCGGCCTGGCCATCATTCGACAACTGCTGGAGAAGATGCAGGGCACCATCGATGTTGAAAGTCACTGTCGGCTGCCGGATGACGTGGGGTTGGAAAAGTGTGGAAGTACGTTCATCGTCGAAATTCCCAATTTGGGACCCACCGGCACGCTACCACCACCGAGCTCAATAACATCCGACAAGCATGTATGCTTCTATGGTCCTCGTGATGGACGATTTTTTGAAGGCCTACAGCAGGCCTGGAGGGCATTTGGCTTTGAATTGGTACCAGGAGATGCTGATGCTACTGTGGCCAGCAGTTGGGGGTTTATCTGGACAGACCTTGTTTTCTTGCAAGCACATCCGACACTGCGCCACCGTTTAATGCACTTGCAGAACCAGCTGGTTCTGGTAACACACGACTCTCAATCGCTCTTGGACAGAACACTCGGATCTGTACCTCCAGCACATATTATCCCACTCCGACGGCCATTGATCTGGCACCGCATGATAGAGACCATCAACTCGGTTGTTAGATCAGGCCGGGCGTCAATCGACCGATTGGTCAGGTTTGCTCCAATGGTAGATGTGGTTGAGGACTCCGGAAGCGAACAATGTCAGGAGAACAAATTCATCAAAGAGTCGACCATACTTTTGGTGGAAGACAACAAAATCAACCAAAAGCTTGGTGTTAGGATGTTAGAGGCCCTTGGATACAAGGTTATCGTTGCCAACGATGGGCAGGAAGCGGTGGACAGTCTTGTCGAGAGGGATGAGGACATCGACCTCGTCTTGATGGACCAATCCATGCCACAGAAAGATGGCATCACGGCAACCAAGGAGATTCGCGAAATGGAGTCACTTGGGTCACTGTCTCGAAAACGTCCTATTGTCATGTTTACTGCAGTTGTTGGACCTGATGCTCAAGCCCTGTGCATATCGGCGGGGGCAGACGCCTTTCTGGCCAAGCCGTTGGCTCTTGCGAAGCTCGAGCAGACACTGAAAAAATTCCTAGGCCATGGTTGAACTTCTCTGGTACTGTCGAGGAGTATTAACCTACTAACCGAGCCACGGCTGAGCACGCCTTACCTGCTAGGCGTTGAGCATGCTGCTAGTCTCGCAACCTGTGACAGGAGGTCAATCCGCCATCGATCAATGGTCAAAAACCATGAGGCTTGTGGTGCAAGAATTGTTACACAGCATGCCTATAGTATATTCATCAACAGCAGGAGGCCGAATTCGGCGAAACTGGACAGAGACAACGCAAACAGAGCGGCTACTGTCGACGCGGCGCGGCGTCATCTGCCGAGGGCGGCGCCCAGGCTTTGGGGTTAGTAGCTGAGTGAGACAGATCCCACGCCCGAAGGTAACTCACTGTGTAGTAGTATACCACTGTTTAGGAACACTGGCGCATACCGATTGGTATAGCACTAGTAGGCGACGAAATGTCGAATGAAAAAATTGTCGTTACGCAACTGAAAAGTCTCAGCCAGGTTGGCCATGTGATGCGAAAAGGATTTCCTCGGCATGGATTTTTGTTTTGGACTCTATTTCGTACGCCCCTTTTGAGCAGAATTTGATTCTGTTAGCATTCGATAAATTGACCTCGACAACAACTGTACTTAGGGGAAATGACGATGATAAGAGACGGAAGTCTTATCACTTAACGATCTAGCCTGATGTTACGGCGTCCCACCAATCCGGGTATTCCTGCGCTTAGGGGCGATGGCAGATCCGCGGCTGGCCGATGATGGCGTCGACGGTGGAGGCTGGATTGTGGCGGTTGGTCTCCACAGGTATCAGGATTCGAGGAGGGATGGTGTCAGCGATGTCGAGACTTGTCGAGGGAAGAGGTGCGGTTGTTCCGATTGATGGAGAGAAGAGACGTGTTTCAACAGGAGGACAATGTAGGATTGAGTTGGTAGTGGCATTGGTAGAGAGTGGTGAATTAAGAGTAGTGGGCGTTGAGCAGCGCAGCGCAGTCCGGCCGCATCGGAGTGATGTCGCTGACTGCGATTTTCTCATCATTCCTTCACGGACCTCATTGACATTCTCAAACCATCCTCTTAAACTATTTAATTATCCACTCTTTTCGCCCTGCCTGCGTTCATTCACTCTCTTGTCCTGTACATAGAATATAATCATATTGGGTTGCTCGGTCCCTTCACTGTCATTCTTACACTTGACATTTTTGTTTCCCGGTCCGTGTTGCATACTGGCTTGTGCTCGGGTACAAAGAAACAAAACAACCATCGCCGCCATCCTCGCTTTCTCCTTTGTCCGAGTCCTCCTGGCATATTCGTCCCTCTCCAAGTGAATTGAATCCTATATATCGCACAGCGACCTCGCCAAAATGCAACCCAAAGCGCCTGAAAAGACGTCCCCTGCGACCGACGCCAACGGGCAGCAAACCAATGGCACCAACAACCACACGTCCAACGGCAACGGCTACAGCTCCGAAACATCTTCCTCTTCATCTCTATCTCCATCGACGATCCGGCAAAAGTTCCTCTCGAAACCCTCCGACCTGGGCGTCGTCCTAGTCGGCTTCTCCGGCGGCCAATGCAAAGAAGGCGTAGACGCAGCACCCACCGCCCTCATTGAAGCCGGCCTTTTGGACCAACTGCGCGATGAACTAGGCTACAACCTCCACGGCGACAACAGCGTACACAACTACAACGAGATGCGGCCCGCAAACGACCCACCGCACCGGGGGATGAAGAACCCGCGCGCCGTGTCCGCAGTGACTGAGAAACTCGCAACACAAGTCTACGAACAAGCACGTGAGGGCCGAATGGTTTTGACTCTCGGCGGAGACCACAGCATCGCAATCGGCACGCTTGCAGGCACAGCGAAGGCGATTCGCGAGCGCCACAACGGCCGCGAAATGGCTGTCATCTGGGTCGACGCGCACGCGGACATCAACACGCCTGAAACATCTGATTCCGGAAACGTGCACGGCATGCCAGTGGCCTTTTCCACGGGTCTGGCGACGTCCAAGGAACCAGGCATTTTCGACTGGTTGACTGAAGAGCAACGTGTCAGCCACCGCAAACTTGTCTATATTGGTCTCCGGGACGTTGACCGCGGCGAAAAGAAGATTCTGCGGGATAATGGGATCAAGGCGTTCAGTATGCATGATATTGATCGTCATGGGATTGGTCGTGTTGTGGAAATGGCGCTTGCGCATATTGGGTCCGATACTCCGATTCATTTGAGCTTTGATGTCGATGCCCTCGACCCAATGTGGGCTCCGAGTACGGGTACGCCTGTCAGAGGTGGCTTGACGTTGAGAGAGGGTGATTACATTGCCGAATGTGTGCATGAGACTGGCCAGTTGATTGCTATGGATTTGGTCGAGGTCAATCCTTCCCTTGAGGTTGCGGGCGCTTCGGAGACGGTGAGGGCGGGTGTTAGTTTGGTTAGGTGTGCTTTGGGAGATACTTTGCTTTGAGCGAAGAAAAATAAATGATTTACGGCACAGTACCTTGTCGGGCGCTGCATGGCATGCTTGAAACTTGAACTGGGGTAGAAAGAATATGAACATAAATCAATCGGTACGTCTACGTCTACGTTTACGGTTGATTGAGCCTCGGCCACCTGTGTTGTCCTTGCCTTCTTTTTTTGGCTCTCAAAAAGTCCACGCTTGGGTTTCAAACGTCCTTAGAAGTCACAGAATTGGAGTAATTAATCGCACGACGTGGGATAGAAGTGAACATCTTGAAAGCAAATGACATTGACTTAGAGTGTTTGGCCAGGTTGTCCCGTCTCTACCACTTCTTCGGGGCAGAGACAACAGTGCGCGAAAACGTTGCACTCGCCAGCTCAAGCTTTTTCTGTCGTTCACGCGCAACTATGCCTGTGCGATCGGTGACTGGCGTGGCGTTTGCGATCTGGTCGAAATCATCGTAGTCTTCCTCGGCCGAACCCGACTCGGCGTCTGATTCGACTAGATCAACCGGTTGTGGTTCTGGTTGGGTGGACAGCCCAGTCGTCGAGTTCAAGTTCGCCGGCGCATCTCCACCTCGGCTATGTTGTTGTTGTTGTTGTTGTTCGTCTTTCTTGGACATAGACTCGCTGAACGGCTTAGACGCCAGAATCTTCCGCCTAATCTCTGCCATTTGCGCCTCCTGTTCCTCTTCGTCTTCATCAGGCGGCAGATCCAGCGGGACTCCTTGCTGTGCGGGGAACTCGGTTGATTCCTCATCACCGTCACCGTTGTCGTCGCTGTCTTCATCCTCCTCTGAATCTGAATCCAAAACATCTCGTCTGTTCATATTCCCTCCAGCCCAATCATCCCCTCCGTCAACAGTGAGTCGACTCTCGGAATACTCCTTCTCCAATTTCGCCAACCAAGTCTCCTGCGCGGCCTTGATCTGTTCTTCATCCTGACACGCCGCATATCTCTTAAATAGCTGAGAATTGATTTCGAGGAACGGCTTTCCATAAGGAAAATGCTGTAACACAATCTCGGCCCAATCATGATGGCCGCAAATGGCGAAACAGGCGGCAAGTGCTTCGACGCAATTCAACCGCCAGGGTTTCCCATAGTTGACGGGGTTTGCGGCGACAAGATAAGGCAGAAGTCGTTCGCATTTACCTCCTATCCTGGACCACGGTACTTCTTGGACTCGTACCCATGAACATTCCACCACTGCAGCACCATACTGTTCCAGCAGTTCTCGATCTGCAGGCGACAGGACTTTCTTTGCATTGGGGCTAGATCAGAAGTAAAATATCAACCGGGCTGAACTCTAGAAGGAGATACACGCGGTGGATGATTAGAGTTAATGCAACTTACGAAATCACCACTCCTGGATATTTCTGGCCGATGGGGAGTTCTCGCATCAGGCCGAAATGCATCAGTCTCTTGCCGCTGCATCGTTTGGAATCGCAATGTCCAAAGTCCCAGCAGGCCGCTTTAAAAGGAGGCCGTTCATAGGCGCCGCCGTCTTCGCCGCCATCCCGAGGCGCGCGAGGGGTGTGGCGGGTCTTGGTTGAGTACTTTTTGCCTTTGGAGGAGTTGTTGTCTTTCTTGTGACGCACCATGTTGATGTAGGGAGAGTATTACTATAACGCTCTGAATATCCACAAAGAGGGTCGAGATCTATAGAAAATAGAAGAGTGCCTTTTGGTTATAACGTGAAGTGAACTTCAAGTTGAAGACCGCCACAGCACTGGGGTTCATTTGATCGGTATTAATCTCTCTAATGACCTCAGCGACGTTTTCTGACTGCGGCGCGCCGATAAGACGCCGCCAAGGGTGCGCTTATCTACACGTGATGTTCCGAAATTCTTCCAGAAACACGAGCGACTGAATGCGCTTCATTGAACTTGTGCTGCTGGGAGTAAATACATATTTTATTTGCGACGCTGACACGACAAAGAAGGTCCAGCTACCCAGTCGGTTCACCATCCTGAATCCGTGACAATGGGTCTCGCTGTGTTGCCTCCGGACTTTGAGGACGAAGTGGTCCAGCCGACTGATGTGCGACGATATGACGACCATCCAGAGGACAGCGACACCTCCATGGACGAGGCGGACGGTCGACCTTCCAAACGTGTTCGATTGACAGAATTGACATCGGGCCAGATAGTTCTCCCAGGAGAGGCTATCACAGACGATACACAATGGATGAGGTACGGGGGAACGCAGATGTCTATGTGAAATACAGACGATTAACGTGGGTGCAGGGGTCACGGAACGTATGTGACCGATTCGTCGACAACAATCATCGCGACTCTAGCCGGGCTTTTGAAGACGACCAACAAGCTGCTTTCGGTGGCTCCTTTACGCGCGAGATACACTCCCGAAATAGGAGATTTGGTGGTCGGCCGGATCGTGGAAGTGCAAAAGAATCGATGGAAGGTGGATGTTGCGGCGCCGTTACTTGCGCAGTTGCCTCTCTCATCTATCAACCTGCCAGGAGGGGTGTTGAGGCGGAGAACCACGGCGGACGAGCTACAAATGCGGAACTACTTCCAGGAAGGCGATCTGGTCGTCGCCGAAGTCCAGCAGATCGGAAGCAGTGACGGCACTGCAAGCTTACATACCCGGAGTCTGAAATATGGCAAGCTGCGCAACGGCATGTTTCTGGCTGTCTCTGGCACAGGCGGAGGAGGTGGTGTCATTCGAAGCCGGAGACAGGTGTTTACGATCAACAGCGGTGCCCAAGGTGGCGGGGACGTGGATGTCATCCTTGGTGTCAACGGCTATATCTGGCTAAGCAAGCATTTGGAACAAGCGGACGATCAAGGCAGGATGAGCGGTGGTGTCAGCATCTCGAACCTGGACGATGTGGTTAGCAGTGCCATCTACTCGAGCCAGAACGACGAAATCCCAGAAGGCACCCGACGTGAAATCGCTCGGATTTCGGAATGCATCAAGATCTTGGCCGAGGACGGGGTCAGAGTCGACGAAGATAGTGTCATCAAGGCCTATGAGGCTGCTGTTGACGCTGAGATGAGTGTATTGGACCAAGCAGGAACAGGAACTAGGGTCAGTGAGGAGGTGCGGAAAAGAATCGTCGATGCTGCGATTCATTGAGTGGCACCGGAGAACTCACTCGATTCTCTAAAGTGATCATGAAGAAGCTGATTCACCAAAAATGCCTGTTCTCCACCGAGGTGGATTATGGAATGCCAGCCTTGCTTGTCATCAACGCTCGATGGTCGACGATTCTATTGCATACATTCGGACTAATCATCGTACCACCCGCTGGTCTCTACGAACTTTTTGCCTGAGTCAATTGCAGCTTCCTTCGACTTCTTCCACCGTCCTTTGCCAGTTCTTGAGCTTCTCTCGGCCGGCACTCTCCGCAGGGTTCCTCTAGCCAACCAATACCCCTCTTTTTCGTGCTTCCGTGTTGTTCCAGGTAAGGTGTGGACAATGGTTGGGGCAACAAACCTTCTGCTGAGACCCGCAATCAGAGCGTTTGAAGATACTCCGCCATAATACGCATATGATGGAGTGATGTTTGTCGGAGGTCCCCGGAGGCTTTGTTTGGTATGATGGAGCGAGTGCGAGCGGGACGGCACTGTGAAATCGGTCGAGTAATGAGAGGATGAAACTGGAGACCATTCCGCGTGGCCGTGCAATCTAAGATACGCGGCAAGCTGATCAGTCGTCTTCACACACGAGGGCAAACCTTGTTCTTGAACAAGACGGGGGTCCAGCCTCCCTGTCCCGTTGTCATAAACAAAACTGGCCGTCGTTGCTGTGGCGGTTCGATCATAGCTCGTACCCGGCGCAGTCCCGGGCCTCGAAAGGGCGTGGTCTGCACGCGTCAGCTGCTGGTTGGACTTACCGGCCATCGAGCGGTCAGAGAATCTGAAGCGCATTCTTGCGCGGTGAGAGTGTTCAATGCTTACTCTGCGTTGCTGTTGTGTGAGTGAGCGCTGGCCAGGAAGAAAGTGGCGGGCAAGATTAGGGAGCACTCGGATTTGAGGAAGACTGTAAGTCGACCAAAAAAAAAGGGCGGAGATGTCTTTGACAACAATGAGGGCTTTGTTTCCCTTCCAGGAATATCCACGGTGAAAGGAGATGGGCTACTGTTGGGCGGCATAGTACAAAGAACCGGGGCTTTGTCGTTGCTGGAGACAATCGCTGACTCAACGGCGCACATACAGCCCGCCAGGGCAGTACGAAGATCTTCTACTAGCGCTCCACAAAACAAAGCAGCTGAAAGTCCTTTTCCAAAGAAAGAGCTGCTGAGAGCAGACAGTAGAATGGTACCTAGATAGTGCCAGTTCTTCGACACGTGATTACCCAATCCGGAAGCAGCATGGTTCCAAGTCACACATTGACGAAATGACTTTATTGACTGTGGTGCTAACTCTCGCCAAGCCCGCCACGGCCGGGCTAAGGAACCCAACCCCGGACAAGCATTGGCGCTTGTAGGAGTCAAATCTCACGACCCCCTTGTTCGACTAATGCACTCTCTCCTACGCTGGCCTGACACTTCAAGTTCCTTATCAGCAGCCAGCAGAAGCAACATCAATCGTTCTACTTTGGGACAAGTATCAAGCCAGCAGTGTGTTAGACACCTGGCTAATGCAGTGGGCTGATTGCCGACGCGCCAGTTCAGCTGATCAGCAGCCAACCAAGTTGAGCGTTCCAATGACTGACCACATGCTCTGCACTATCTTGCTTTCCTGCCTGCGACGGCCCTTGCTATATGGTAGCCAGGTTACCAATCCTTTTTTGATCCCCTGTGCCTGCCAAAAACAGGGATCCCTCACTGTTGATTGCCTGCTTTCGGAGCTCGCTTAGATTGGTCTGTTCGGCGCCGGACACCCTTACACTTAGGGTCTGGTTGTCACAATCGGGACGCCTATGAGTAGCAGGGATTTCAAAGCTCTGCCAAAGTGAGCGTCCTGTGCCCAACACTGGTTACAGCCATACCGTGCAAAGCCATCTGTGAGGATGGTGGTAAGTTATGCTGCTTAAGAACTGTACCGCCAGGTCTGGAAAGCGACGCAGGGCCTGGAAAAGACATGGTGAGATACAGCTGTGCTGCGCATCCGCTAGAAAACAATCGGGAACGGTAGGTGGCTGGGGTATGCCCTCGGCAGGAGGAAATGATCTGGTGTCTAGCCTTCCACTTGCAAGCATTCTGCAGCAGGCTAGCAGCTATCGCGAACCATGTACTCAAGCCTTGTCTGATGGCCTCGGGGCCAAACGGGATGGTTCCCACATCCCATTCACCTCGCTTGAGGACGCCTATACTTTCTCTATCCAGCCTGCGTGGGAAAGGCCATTGAACGAAACGTGGTGTTTCGTCTACTCGCCATCTAGCAGGAACTGTCAGGGTGTCTGCAGCACGATGCTGAATACCTGGTCCCAACGTCACGAAGCGAGATATTCTCAAAAAGCCTTAGGCTGCTCATGAACCGCTCCTGCAACTCTGTTTGCCGGCATGTATGTTGCTCGGTATCAGCCACAAAGACCATGCGGGTACAACAATAGGCGTTTCCCATGGGCTTGATTCTGAACCATCAGCTCAAACTATAGACAACTACGACAATATGCCGTTGAAGCCTCTCGGGGTGATATCCTCGAGCAATCAATCTGGTCTTATCCTCATTCTTACCGCCCTCTCCCTCTCTTTCATCGTGGTTTCATTTGTCATCCGAGTCTATATTCGAGTTCCCACAAGACTGTGGAAATGGGACGACAACTCCTTCACTGCTGCAACAGTAAGCGCTTGAACGTAGCGAAGATCCACGCACATCTGACCGACCTCCAGGTTCTGGCTTTTGTACAAAGCTCCCTTGTCTTCTATGAAGTACACATCGGCCTTGGTGACCGAAGCATCGTCGAGCGCAACGACGAAGCCGGCAACCAGATCAAAAAGGTCAACACTGTCCTGTTCCATCGTGGACTTTGATGCTGATGAAATGCAGTACTATTTTGCAAACGACTTTCTTTATCTCGCCGTTCTCTTCTGTTCCAAGGGAGCCGTTGGTTGTCTCTTTTTACGTCTGACCCGTCAATTGGGACATCTGCGAGCGATCTGGATCATCTTGGGCACCTGTGGCGCTTGGTTTGTGCTCTCCATCCTTCTGATCAGCATTGGCTCTTCTTGGACAAAAGCATACCACGTGCCAGTAAGTGATCATCCACCCAGAGAACGACGGCATGAGGACAATTGAGAGTTGACATGGCCACAAAACAGTTCGGCCGCTGGCTTGTCGTGGGCATCACCGATGCCTTGACCGAAGCCATCTTCGTCCTAATGTCTGTATTCCTGGTCCATGGTCTACGGATGAATATGGTGCAAAAGGGCACCGTTGTCTCTGCTTTCGCCGTGCGTCTTTTGTGAGTAACTGCACCACCAAAATGCACCGCAGTTTTATCTGACGGACTTTGGTCTTCACAGGACCATACCTGCTCTCGCCATGCGTCTCTACTATCTCGATCCTAGCACGATACCGGACAACCGCAGCCTTGCCCTATCTCTGGTTGTGGTCTGCACCCAGATCCAAGTCGGCTACGGCATCATGGCGGCCTCAGTCACGGTCCTGAAACCTTTCATGGTCGTCTACGAGAAACCAGCTGGGTCTACGGACTACATGAGTGGTGGGCATACCAAGCAGTACGGCAAGCATACAATGCCCAGCGAACACACTGGTACATCGTTCCAATTGAAGTCTATGAGCGGCCGGCCGACCGATGCTGCAGATGCGAGAGCCGCAGGTTCCACCGACCCGACCCAACAATATTCTGGATACAACGCCACTGCCACGGCACATGGGCACAAAAAGGATGATGACAGCATTAACAGCCAGGATAGCAGGCGAATGATTATTGAGCGCAAGACAGACTGGTCCGTGAGATACGAAGAGGCCGAAAGCCAAAAGAGCAATGCGAGCGTGGTTGCTGGCTCTGTCTGAGCAGTACAACATACACGAAGAGGTGGAAGCCAGGATTGAGTGACGATAACGACATTATTTCCCGCTGTCACCTCTGTCAATGCGCAGCTGAGAGTCCCTGCACACATACATGCAAGCCATAATTCTGCTAAGGAACGTCTCCTCCTGGTGCCCGTCTTCCGTTTCTGCGAGAGGATCAGAGTCATGAGACGCGACACGAATCACACGATAGAACAGGATATGTGGCTTGCAGAGCAGATATCAAAAAGACCCTTTCCTCTCCTTCGGTATCAGTCTTGCATCTCTGATCTTGTAAACAAACATGACTAGGTACATCTCTGACCTCCCTTACTCACCGGCCATTCATTCTTCACTCTTTTCAATGTCTACTGCAAAATACCATATATGTGGAAGTTGGACCAGATAGACTATACTCCAACTCACCCAGGCCCATCCATACCCCTTGGTATACGAAACATAACTGGTCTGTAGGTATAGAGTTGACATTTTCACATCCTCCCAATGTCCGCACCCCTCTACTCAGCTGTAGGATTTTGAATAAGGTGACCCGTGACTGTGCCATCCTGTGTGCAGTGTGATCCTTCAGACCAAGCAGGCCCCAGGCTCCCTAGGCCCGTCCCAGCCCCGGACATTTTCTCCTCGTCCCCGTCCTGCCAGTGGTGTCTCCATTTCCCCGATGGCAAAAAGCCCCACTCCACACATCAAGGCCAGGGGACCCCTATTTATATACCTAAGGAACATGGATACGAAAAAGCGAGCTCAACACAGACCTCGGGCCCGAAACAGACGCAAGAACAGGGAAAGCTAACCCGATGAGCGAATCGATTGACACCCAGGTACATAGTTGCAAGCGAGCCCGAGGTTCCTGCCCCTGGAACATTCCCACGTCAGGCTAGGTGCCAGGGGCGTTGTGAGGTTCCTATTTTGTCTGTTTCTGTGTCTGGTTCCCGTTCAGACGTCTGGTCGGGTACATGTATCTAGGTATCTTGGTCTGGCTCGCTCTGCAGTTACACTGCAGGCTATGTGGAGATGAAGACAGGAACTGGGCTCTCATATGGGTAAAGGGATGGATGGACGGATCAACATCGCTTCAATATCGGGGGGAAGTAGTGTGAGATATCATTTGCTGACAAGACAGTAACAGGAGGGCACTTTCCCTTTCCAGTGCCAGTTTGTCAACCCTGGCGTGTCTGAAAATGTTGTGATGTATTTCAAACGAATATACTAGTATTTGCGCCTTTTGGGTCATTTTGGTCTATTTATATACTTTTGCTATTGACTAGCAGCGCCTGCATCATTCTCATTCCGCTGTGTCAAGAGCCACAAAGATGATGTGATGGTAGACTGTGGGCGTGCTTTTGCTGATCAATGCCAGCTTTTGGATTCTTTTCGGGAGCTGGACCGCAACCCTTAGACTATCAGGCACTTGATATCTTCTGTCCTTGGGGAGACATGACAATCGATATCGGTCGCAAGCGCACAGCGAGCCGAGCTTCTCCGTCCAAAGAGTGACATCAATCAATATACATCATGCTTGACAGTCACCACAGGACCAGTATAGACCTTCCGGCCACGGACCAAATACAATACCCCACAGATGATCATTGTGCTGAAGAAAAGAACGATGGCCCAGTTGAAGGTTTCGGCATCGACAGGCGTCTCATTAGGCCAGAAGCTCCAGAAGAAGGCGAAGATGGAATAGACAATGCCGATGGCGTTGATAGGGATACCCAGCTTGCCCAAGCTCCAGCGGGCCTTGGGAAGCAGCTCCGGATAATATAGTCGACGATAAAGAACACAAGAAATGGAGATGGTGTAACTGAACATGAGGGCGCACACCTGCAAGGAGATGATTGCATTGAAGGCGGTCTCGCTGCCGATGTTGATGAGAGCCAACAGACAGCTGCAAATGCAAGTCACTGTCACGGCGTTCTGAGGAATGTGCAATTTCGGATGAACGGTGCCGAGCCAGCGGGAGAACGGCAGCCCATGGTCACGCGCAAAGGCGAATGTCTGTCTTGAAGTCGATGCGTTGAACGAAATGTTGGACGCGATGACGAGGATAAGGATGATGATTGTGAGCGCGTTGACGCCACGGAGTGACACGGCCTGCTTGAAAAGCCAGATAAAAGGGTATCCTGTGGGATCGTCAAGAGCGGAATCGACATCGGTCATGGTGAAGTTGTAGGTGATGACCAAGATAAAGCCCAAGATTCCGTTCGAGACATACGCCCAGAACATGGCGTTGGGAACGTTGCGGCCCGCGTCCTTGACCTCTTCGGCCATGTGGGCCGTGCAGTCGGAGCAAAGGGAGCCGTAGATGACTGAGATTTGACCGACCATTAAGGCAAGGCCCATTGTTGACCACCCGCCATTGTTGGTAAATTGGGTGAAGGCGACCTCGGCCGAGTTCCGAGGAGCCATCACCCACAGAACAATGATTGTGGCCAAGAATGCAAAGACGTGGACTATGAGCAGGACATTTTGAACCAGCGGCAGGTCCCGAGCTCCATAAGTGTTGGCAAACCAGAGCACAAGCACCATAGCAAATACCAGCAACGTTCCTTGCCATGCTTTGGGTTCATAGTCAGGGTTGTTAATCTGGATAAGTGCCTGGATGATGGTTCCTGTCAGAAACGACCCCGATGCAGTGCCCGCCTGCCAGGACAAGGTCGACATCCACCCGGTGAGATAGCTGAGGCCCTTCTGATATTCTGGAGGAGCAAATTCCGAGACCCAATGGTATTGTCCACCGCTTGTCGGGCACCTTGTTCGATATCAACAAAAGTACGGGCTTATGAAGCATCTTGAACATTCGGAACATACATAGAGGCCATCTCGGCGAGAGAAGTCATGACAATACCGAACCCGAAGAAGGTCCAAACGTACGTCCAGAAGAACCCGGCAAGACCTCCACAGACGAGGACCTGAGTATTTGCGCTGTCGCATATGTTAGAGCGAGCCGGAAAGATTGGGAGACGCCGCAAGCCACTGCATAAGATCGAGACTCACATCAAGGTAAATTCCCATGTTGCTTGGAGCAGAGCAGTAAAGGCCAGAGCAGACAAAGGACGGAAATTCCGTATCAGTTCTTGACGTTTGCCCATACGTTGCATGTCCCTTTGGTCTTTGGACGTGTATCCCTTGTCCAGAATACCGACATCGTTGTAGTGACCACCTTCATCCTCAATGCCATCAAAAGAGTTAAGCTCTCGCGCCGAGTGCGATGAGTCGTGAGACTTCGCAGCGTCCATCTTGATCAGGTCACACTTTGCTAATCCAACTGAAACCAACTTCCACGATGAAAAGAAAAGAAAATATTCAGAGCCGTATTTGCAGAAGAAAACAAGAAGAGGGAAGAGGTTGAGACTGGCAAAAATTTCAGTCTCGTGCTAGAAGGGTCTGGTCATGAAATTCGGACAGCAGAACGTGCCTCACTAACGTAGGGCGAGCATCTGCATACCACAACCCGTTGAGGTGAAGAGGACCCTCGTTGAAGCCAGGATATTCCTGCCGCTAAGTCCTCGCCACGCAAGGATAACCTCCTGTCGTTTGGACCTAGGTCTTAGCTTCGGGAAATGGCAGACGTGAATGGACTGAATCTTGGAGCCGATGCGCCATTGCCAATAGTGTCCCTGATTATACTGCTGTTGAGGCTCGTGGCGGCGGTATCCTCCTACTTGGAAGGTACAGCCATGCCCAGGAGCGAACAAACCATGTTCGAGCAGTAAAGGACTCCTGCAGCAGAGTTTGTCCTTGGCTAGGTAGTCAGACCAGCCATGAGGTCTGCTTGTGTTAACCTGCCCAATGGCACATGGCAAGGGTACCTGGTAGTGGCGTGCTCCGAGACGGCCCGACCTGGAACTACACAGTACAGACGAGGTGGTAGATAGTGGTCTAGGACCCGAGAAGCTGTCGGTTGCATGCTCATTGCTTTGAACCCTCGTCGAGTCGAGAAGCGATATGGCGACATGGCGACATGACTCGACCCGGGCGACACAGGGAGGATTTGTGAACTTCTCAGACGCGATTTCGGGGCCAGAACAAGAGCCGGGGAGGTTGTGCCTGATCGCGAGCGACAAAACGCTGCCAGACTGATATCCCATGTTGCCGAAATGTACCTAGGTATGCGCCTTGATAGTAGAATGGTAAGGACTAGTGTAATAACGGGGAAGCAGGGCTGCTGCAAGCGGGAAGTCTGGAACACAGACAAGAATAGAGGCTTTTTGATGCTGTGATAATTAGTGAGCACTAGAGAACTAGCTTCCCAGTGCCAACCCTCTAAATTGGGGTTGACTGAGAACCACTCCCTCGTGTTCGCCTCAGACTGCGCCATCTCAGATTTATTTCCACAGTGATAACGTCGCTGACATAGGAAATTGTCAGTGTAAGTGGTGGCTTTTGCATCACCAAACCTGCAATATGGCGCAAGGCCAGGTCAAAAAGCCTTCCAAACCGACGGCGTCCAAGCCCTCGTCCGGGATCACGAAAAAAGGCTCACGAACAATCACGCCCAAAAAGGCGAAACTGCTGAAGCAGGCCAAACTCAACAAGAAGTTTACGGCCGGCTTGACTGCAAAGACGGAAGCGATGCTGGGTGAGCGTGCCGGTCATTTGGAAATGCTCGGGCAGGGGCGGAAAAAGAGTTCGTCCTCGGGCCAGACAAACGGCGGAAAGAAGAACGCAAAGAAATCCTGAAGTTCGGGAAGCAAAGCAGCGGTTACGTATATGATACGAAAACACTACCGTGAAAAAGGCACAAGGGAAGTCCTGAGGAAGAACACTCGGTGGACGCCATACAGGCACATGCCACGCTCTACAGGAAGATGGGTATCGAAGTACTTGTTGCCATATCTAGGTGCTTCATATCAAGCGGAGTAGGCAGAAAACGCCATCCAACTCCAACGTCCATAATGTCGACTGTGGTATACGAAACTGTGCTCAACCCGGGAGAAGGAAAAAAAAAGACGGGACACATGGTCATCACAGCACTCTAGCGGCCTCACCACCGCCGCTCTCCAGCAGAGCTTCCTGGTTCAGATCGGCCTTCAATTTGCCCTTCTTTGCCCCGCCCTCGCCGACGCCCATTCTCTTCGCAACGTACCTCTGGGCCACTATTCCCACCGCCAAAGTCAGACTTTCTTCCACCCATTCACTGATCCACTCCCTCGGATCAATACCGCCACTGGCGATAATCTCCTCGATACTCTCGGGCAGTGTACCCTCACCACCACTAGGGGCGTCAAGCCAGTCGATCCATTGACGAGGAATAGCCTGAGATATGGCTTGGAAGGCGATACCGTGGATTGGGTCGTGAAGATAGATTGCAAATACAATTTCTTCCTCGTCCTTCTCTTCGACTTCCTGCACTTGGCCTTCTTTTTCGGAGCTGGCTGCAGCTGCAAACAACGTCTTCGAAACGGGTTGTGAGATGGCTTGAATGGCGAGGAAAATCTCGCTGTCTCTGGTAGGGTTAGATTCCGAAAGTGTTTCTGTTGCACGTTTGGCGGCCTCTTCCACGCCTCCTCTGCTGGAAAAGTATTCATCGGCATAGCCCTCGGCTGAGGCTCTGACGAGCTTGGTCCCCTCGACGAGGCCATTGACTGCGTTTATACTTCTTCTCTCCCCACTTCTCCACCAGGGCCCATCGTGCCAGGAGCCCAGCGGTCGGGACATTTCCTTCGAATCACGCTTTGGCCCAGCTTCGTGCCCACGTTGAATGACCATCAGGTCTCCACCCTCAACCTGTGCCATGACACGACTGAAGACCTGGTAAATAAGCGGATCCAGGGTCGGGTAGTTGGACAGATCGTGAGTGATGTGGATCTGTAGGCGTTCGTGGGATGAGATGGGAGGTGCGATTGTCTGTAGGATATTTTGAAAGGTCGGGATGGCGATAGACCTCAACTCGCCGCCTACATGTGTCCGTCAGCATGGGATCTAGCCAGTTACAGGACATATATCGCCCTTACCAAAGCCTTTGAGCAAGCCTACGTTTCCTCGAACCTGTTCCGCCCACTTTTGTGCTTCTTCATTTTTCTGAATCTCTTTGACAGCGGCTTGAGCTTGGCTTATCGCCGTCGATGCTGTCGACAGCAGTCCTCCCCACCAACCACCGCTTTTGGCAGGGGTCCGCTCGGGTTGCGGCTCCGTCTCTGTTGTTGACTCTTCGGTGGTAGTGGTCGCGGGGGTGAAACTCTGATGGAACGAACGTGTGCTGTCGCCAGACTTGCGTTGGCCGTTGTTTGATTTCTCCTCGCTTGTCCGCCCACCAGGAGGAGGGGTGGCTGCCGAAGGGGGCTTGGGTGATCGGCTTCCGGCTGCGGTAGGGGCATTGGCTCTAAGAGAAGGAGTCGCTGGCCGGCTGGCAGGTCGTTGAGCAAGATTACCCAGCTCGGCGAGCAGGTCTTGCTCGGATTGTGACGATTGCGATTGCGCGGCTTGTCCTTGTCTTCCAGTTCGCGTAGACGACTTAGACGGACGCGCCGTGGCTTGAGTGCTCAGATTATCAAGCTGAGCCAGCAGCTCGTCATCCGTTGGGGCAGTCTTCTTCGTAGCCATAGTCATCGAGAGGTGGACCTAGGTCCCTTTGTATGGCAGCGTAACAGGTTGTAGGGGTAGTGCAGATGTACAGTGTAGGCCGTGGACCGGCTGTTGACGTCTCTCCACCAACTTCAACGTTCATCTGGGGATCCCGTCGACTGCCAAGCTACGGTCTTTATCATCACGTGGAGATAACCGTCTTGTCTGACACTGCCACCGAACTGTGCAGGCGGCTATCAAGTTTTTGGCTACCTTAGTATTGCAGCGTTGGGGCATATTGGGCATACAGCTGCTTTCTAAGGACGTCTTGCTTTGTACATAAGAGTGCATTTCAGCACATACTTCTTGCCTACGTCTCGTTACATACTCGGTCGTAAACAATGTGATGTGGCCGCTGCACGATTCCTAGAGTTCTAGATCTGTCAAGTGGGCATGAAACTGAGCTGCTGCCAGACATAGCTGTAGTTTTCCACAGCATCCCAAGGGCTTGGGCGTAGGAGGGAAGTAAGCCGAAGTACTGACCCCTGGAATGTGCAGCAATCCGAGAAAGGGTGTCTCTTTGTAGATCTTGAGATGCGACTCGCCCGTTGCAAGCCTGAACGTCTTCGAAGTCCGAACACCGTTTGGCTCTTCGCTATAACAGAAACTTTTTCGGCGTTGGGGACGTAGCGCCAAGCGGACTCTACAATCCGGCAGCGTAGACAACCGCAGATTGAGCTGTGCAAGAAATATTTCAACATAATCGTCTCCGTCGCACAACATCCTCTTTTGCAACGTTCAATGCAAGCAGTGAGACGGCCACCCAGGGCACCATAATCCTACTGTGTGCTGTCTCGTCTGAACAGATGATACTCGTGGGTGCTTCGACAACATTGCATTGAACCGTTGAGAGATAGAGAAAGGATGTCGACAGCCGGAAGATGACACCAGGTCATGGTCAACAGGCTCTCCAGCTTGATAGTAACAGCGGCACTGGAGCGAGTCAAGGGGAACGCCAGACTTTCGTAGCGGCGAGCTTCGCACTCTTCTTCATTTGTGGCTGAGGGATTGCCTTCCCATTAGTAGTTTCGGGTAGATTTCCGCCTTCCTAAACCTCTGATGTAGTTTCGCGGCCATACCGCCGAATGTGTGAATGTCCGCTGGCAAGGGTCAACTGAAGCAGCGTTGCTGCCCAGTACTGCCACACCTAGTTGGAGAGCACAAGAAGATCCGGGAGTAATGGATCGATCAAGCCGTTCCAGCTCCGTGGAGTGATAGACACTTTGGATCCCTGGGTGGGGGTGAAAAGCAGACCTCGCAGAGACGATCTGGAACGAGGATATATCTCGACAAGACCCAACAAACCCATGCAACAAGGCGAACGATCTGGGTGTCAAGCAGCGGGATCTGTCTGTTCGCCATGATGTTCGGGCTTATGCTCGTCAAAATGACTTGAGTGGAGCTCAGCAAGGTTGAACCGCTTCAGTTTCTCATAGTCGCTTCCTACGACGCTCATACCAACCACATTCCTGTACACGTCGACAAGTACGAGCTTGTCATACCCTTTCAAATCGACGGTGTGCTGACTTTGACCTAAGGCATTAATTTTGTTGGCAACGGTCTGTATGACATGGTCACGGTCGACCTTGTTATTGTTCCGGATGGTGGGACGGATGGCGAACTTCACGGGGGTATTCGTCGTAGTTTCGCCTGGCGCTGGTCCTGATTGTGTCTCTCCCACGCTTTCAGGTTGTATCAGAAAGTGTGCAGGAAGAATGCGGTCGCAAAGAGACTCAAGCCCATTGGGCATCGTCTTCCGTATGAGGCTAACGGGGGTGAGTCTCTTGATGTAACGGCTCCTGGGTCCAGTTGAGTCCTTCTTCGAGGCAGATACGCAGATATTGTGCACTATCTCCACAGGATCAAGGTCGAGGCCTGTCTCTGCACGGCTAGGAAATCGAACGAAGGAAACACATGGTATATCGAGGGTGACCAAGGAAAACTTCGGAGCGCTGGACTTTGATCCTGATTCGGCGCGGAGGTCGTCCAGTTCGGCAAGGATATCTCCTTCTATATCACCGTTGGGGGTTTCTTGGTTCGACGGGGCGTTCTCGTCTGGTTGCTTTCCATTCATATCAACATACTGTCGGTTTGAATTAGTACAAACACAAGGGATGGAAATTTCCATTCTGACCTCGTTAAGGACATCTGAAATCTCCTGCAAGCACTTCCTTTCCTGGCCTTTGTCGCTGGAAACGAATATCCCGACATCGTCATTGTGTATGCCAGAGGCGCTGATCTGGGCAGTTTGTCGCTTGTTCGACTTCCCTTGTAAAAAGCTGGGATCCTTGGCCGCTTGCGCGCGGTATTTGCTTTTCTTTTTGCTAGACCTGCTGGAGAGCTGTTCCCCAACCTAAAAGATTGTGAGTGAAACAATTAACTCATTTTCCAGATCATGCCAGTAAGCTTATAACGAGAGTTGCACTGCATGCTAAACGAGCGGTATGGACTTACTCCGCGATTCCCTTGATCCATCTTAGCCCGCTTGTGCAGTCGTTCTGGGGAGCCTTCAGGGGGCATGCCTCCGTCAGGCTGGCTCAACCGCAAGATGGCTCAACTGGAGGGTACTGGCGGTGAGTACCAACGAAACGTATCACCTAGATCTTCAACCTCACGGCCTGTCTGTCCTTGAGACTGTTCTGACTTGAACTCGAGTCGCAAGTTGAAGTCTTTGACCGGGCACGTGACAGGCTCGAATAATGAAACTAAACTGCTTCGGGGAGCTTATAAAAGGGGGAGCCGCCTCTACTACTGCATGGCTCTCGATATCCCGTCCTCTAATCTTGATCGCGGACTACCCTTGGTGAGTCCAGGACGTGGTATTGCCATAGATTTCGATGCTCCAGTGTTTGAGAGTCGAGGAGCCCAATGGCCGTCCCACTCTGAGATACCACCTTGGTGGCGTCAAAGCTGACCTCGTGATGGCCCATCTAAGCGCTTTCACGCATAGTGGTCGGCAGCGCTCATTTCAAAACTCCCCGAAGCTCGAACTATCCTGTTTCCTTCAGCAACGTGCTGCCTCATTATTGGGGGGTCACAATGGGCTCTTTGAAGCCTAAATGCATCTGGTATCGTGCAACCCCTGTGCTTCGAACCGCGAAAAGGACAGCGTTCTGGCCTGACCATGTCGACCGCCCATAGCCGTTGATATGTGTATGTAGGTTCTCCCAGAGTAAGTAGAAAATGAATCCTCTCAACTTCGTTCTCTTGTCTCCTGTAAATTGTGCTTCTCTTACACAGCTGCCCATTCTCTTTGGATCTGCCAATGGCGCCGTTATTTGCGTCAAAGCAAGTGGAGAGGACGAGGCTTCTCCCGAATGGGGGACTTGGAGGATGCGTCGCGCAGGGAGTGAGAGGAGATCGTGCAGAGGAACTTGAAGCAGCGTTGAACGTACCTGCACAGAAGTCAACGCATCGAAAACGTCCACCGCCAATTCAGACATCTTGTTTTGTGGGAAGGGAGCCAGCTTTTGTTTCTCAGATATATGAAGGCTGGTCATGTGGTTATGGCGGACAGTGGACTCCAACGACACCTACCGACCGGTTGACGTTGTCGTTGGGTTTTGGGTGCGCGTTGAATCCCGGGTCGGCACCGTTGATACCTCAATGTAGTTCTGCGATGCCCTGCGCCCCCTGTTGCTCACTTCCACAGACGCCCGTCAGTCCCGTTAATTCACTGCCAGTCGAGTTGCCGGGTTCACTGCTCTTGGCTAGTCAAGGCTTCCCTCAAACGCATCCGATCTCACCTCCCCCGTCACTGCGACTTGTGCGCAGAGACACGGATGACTCAACCACAAGTTCTGTGCCGACTTTGTCTACTTCAGTGTCCTCGGAGCTTGAAGGAGACACCATGGACGCCCTTCGGAGTCTGACCACACCACTGAGAAAGCACGACCGACAGACGGACAACACAATGCCCGCGTATGTGATTGAAAATCGCGCCACTGAGGATTTGAAAATCACCAAACCGTTGTCTGCCATGTCTATGGAGGAGTTGCTGGAGTATCTACCGCAATGCAACCCATCCATGATCACCCATTTTTGGCTTCCAGCTGTCCGGGCCCAGTTGCAGAAGATGACCAGCCTGCTGAACGACGTGGGAGAGTTGAAAATCGAGTCCAGTCTCGGCCAGATTGCGCTACAAAAGGTAATACCCTCCTCTCCGAATGTGACGCATCGTGCTGACTGTTGGCAGGACTTGAAGAGCTTCACTGACGAGATTCGGCTCATTGCCACATCCTACCACAAAGTCCTTGAGTCGGCAGAATCACTCGTGGAACGAGACACCAAGGCTTGCCATGAGCGTCTTAAAGAGCTAGAAAACCAGGTGGAAGAAGCTCTGGAAAGAATGGGAGCCAAAGACGAAGAGATCGCAGAGCAAGAACGGGAGATCGAAGAGCTTACACACACTATCTACGACGTCACTCGTGTGCTAGGCTCCTTCATCCACGACAATGTGTCCAACTGGGTGGAAACATTGAATGAACCCCGAACGGAAGAAGTCCTCGAGATCATCTCCGACTACAGCTACGATGTCGGTAAAGCCCAAACCGTCCGGTACGTTCGAGTTCCGGAGGCCATGATCGCACGGTACGCCAGAGACTTACGAGAGGCCAATGAACTTGCCGACGAATATCGCGAGCTTTTACGTGGCCAGAGTGCTATGATCAATGAACACTCCCATAACCTGGACACCTACACCAACAAATACGAAATCGCAGTCAGAGTGGTCAAAGAGCGCGATCACGAGGTTTTGCTCCTAACACAAAAGAATGAGACCTTGACCAAACGTCTGGAGGAGTGCGAAGCCGCCCTGGTGCAGAGTCAGGAGTCCATTGCCGAGGTTGAAAGTAAGGCAGGACGATATGACGAGCTGCGAGGCAATCTGGAAAGCTTGAAGATCGCGCATACCCTCGAACTGGCACAATGTGAGGAGGAGATTGCGAGATTGCGTCAAATGCTGGGGAGTGCACGAGAAGAGGTCTTTGCGCGACGAGCGGATGTCAAAAACATCATCTCACAATCCCAAGCTGCCATACCCAATCCCGATCTGCCTGCCACGACGGCCAAAGGTGGTCCAGCCTCCAAGGCATTGCGGTTTTTCGGCGTGGACCGGGATAAAGAGAGAATCAAGAGGGGCGGTGGCATTCCTTCAAGCCAGAGTATGATCGGGTTCACCTCGTCGCACCATGATGCCTCCACTCATGCATTCGACACAAGATATTCGTCGAAAGAAGTCACAACCTCTAAGAGCAAACCATTCCTCCGAAACGTCTCTCCGCTCGGCAAGCGTCGTCAGGCTCGAACAACCCCAACCACTCCCGTCGAGAGTTCTGAGAGTCGTAGCGGTTCCATAACCTCATTGCCTGCGGTCGTCCGCCCTAGATCTGATTCTCTCGGAGCCACTAAGCGACATGGTATTCTGGCGTCCCCTATCAACACACACAAAGCTTTACCCAACCCACCTAACCGGTCGCAACCGCTGCTCGCTTCTGCAGCGAGGTTGGCAGAAGTTACACAAGACGTCGATAGCTCCACTGCTTCGCAGATCGCCTCGGACTACTTGGAAAACAGCATTTTGGGACAGACGGCAGCTCGTCGTGTTCTCAGCAACATCCCCGAAGTTTCCGTCTATGGTCCTTCTGATGCAGGAGATGGAGATCGAGAGGAAGACCACGTTCCTGAGTACGAAGATGGCTCGGACAGAAGCGTCGCCAGCAGCGATCGTGAAGTCTACCGTCGAAGCGTGTGTGCGTTGGACATGTTGAACTCTTCGGCTCTCCCCTACTCTGAGACCGAGACCGAGCTTGAGCGAATGCTCCGTGGAGTGACTGAGCCCGAGCAGGACCGGAACAACCACCACTACCACCGTCACTCTACTTATGACGGTGGCGACGAGCATGGTGATGCCGCGGCCGAAACCGAACTGGGTGTTGCACGTATTCTACACCTCCGACCGGGAAATCATAACCTGAGGGCATCCAGAGCTCGGGAACGCAACGGAGACGTCGAACGCGACGAAAGATATCGACAGAGCTTTGTCTCGGACAGTTCGGGCTATCGTTCTGAGGGATCTGAACCCATGACTGTGGCGCAGCTGTACCATCAAGGAGGCCGGCACATTCGAGACTGATCTTCTTCAGTCAAGAGATCTGGGTGGGAGATGGACCGGCTATTGTAGGAATACGCAGCAGAAACAGGCTGAGATTATTGTCCAAACGCGTGAACAACACCCACCGATGCAGCTGATGGAGGGATGGTGTGCAGAGCCAGTGCAGCTCTATGTTAGACGATTACCCCTAGATAGGGTTGGCAGTTAGTTTTCTTTTTCGTTGGGATTCGGCAATCCGCTGAGTCTGGATAGATGATAGTGTAGCTCGAGAATCAAAAGCAGTTTGAGAAGGCTCCTTATCACAAGTGTCTGATGTGCCCATACTAGTACTACTCGAGGTTCTGACTTCTGGTGCTGCTTTTAGTGTAGGTGTAAGGTCAATAGACATAACCAGTAAGGGGGAAAGGCAACAAACACGTACTACTAAGGAAAACAAATCAAGTCTACTAGTAAGGTATTCAAGAAAGATTACCTACCTAGGCTGCGTCTTCTGGAAACAGGCCATACGCAAACATCGCACGGCACACATCATGGCAAAACCATCTCATCACAAGAGACCACTTCATTTTCAGCAGTCATTGGTTTGATTTGGTTCTCCCGGAATGTACTTTTTTTCTTGTTATCGCTAAAAGATACATGAAGACGACAGGTCGCTCTCGTAGCAGAAGCCAGGTGCCAGGTATTTTTTTCCTCTCGTTCTGATGAAGAAAGCGGCGATGTACATCACTGGCACATCACATCTAGATGAGATGCTTGGACCTGGAAAAAAAGTGGTAGATGTTAGCACCACGCAAACCCATCCCGGGTACCTGAAAGCAATATGCTCGGTCGCCATCGCATAAAAATGCCCCAGGGCACACGTACCGGAAATAAGCCCTCAAATAAACAACCTGCCAGGCCCCCAAACCGACCAACATGCCCATGGTGCCCAAAGCAAACCACTTAACCCTCTCATTCGTACTCTCATTCGTATCACGCAGCTTCTGCTCCCGGAGTCGGAGGTATTCCATCTCCTGCACGATTTCATTGACCGTCTCCTCGATGCGACGCAATTCGGTTTCCACGGGCTTCAGCTTTTCCGAAGCCTGGATGGCCGACCAGTCGCGCGCATCGGCGCCAATGTCGATGTCGAGTTCGACGTGACGCGAAGGGTTGGGCGTGTTTGCTCGTCCGGTCAATGTGTTCTCGAAACATACGTCGAATGCCGTGTCTGCGAGACTGGTGAATGCCATTCTCTTTTCGCCGGCCACATCCTTGGGGCGGCCGTAGTCGTTGCCGACGGCGTCTTTGATCTAGACATGACACAAACACCACAAGTCAGTAACATGCACTAAATCGCTCCCGCTCCGCTCTGCTCCAAGCTCTCTCCAGAGACAAAAACCACTCTGGGTTCTCTATCTTTCGTCCCCTTTTTTTCTCCTCCTCTCTCCTGCTCTTCTCTCGCCCGGTCGCTCTTTCCCTCTCTCCCTCCCTCATCCCGCCTGAAGGTCAGCCTCCTCCCTCCTCGGCCCTCCTTCGTCGGTCCTTCGGAGGTTCGGTCTCACATACATGCATATTAACCATCTGTCCATCCCCCCTGCTTCCGCTCACAATGGCCGTAACCACAACCAAAGTGTCCTTGGTCACAAAGTTGCGTATGCATCGTTCGTTCTTTGCGCTGTGGCCCGAATGCGCGGGGAGTTCGAATTTCAATGCCTGCGAAAAGGAGACCAGCAAGGCCAACACACTGAGAACAGTAACGAAACTGAAAAAGGACTTCATCGTGGCGTTGGCCGACACCTCGTCAGCACGCGATGAAGTTGATGAAGAACAAAAAGAGCCGGTGCACGGCTACGAAAGTTTGTGAAGGATTGTCTTGGACAATTACAATCTCATGCCGCTACGCAGTCGTGTTTGAGGTTCTAGAGACGGTTCAGGAGAACGCAGCGGCAGAATACAGCGTGTTGCAACCCATGGTCACGTGGGCGGTGAATCGTCCACACCCACCCTCGGCCCCTTTTCAAGAGGGTCAACTTCAAGTTCAACTGCTGCACTCAGTCCTCGCCGCGACTGACTGTGCACTCTGAGTACTGATGTAGTAGACTGTATTGCTAACGTAGGAACAGACCTCACTACTTGGACAGTACCTAGGTGCTACACCTTTGTACAGAACACTGCATGCCATTGAAAACGTCTCTGCATTGACATGACTTAGCTTCTATCCAACCAGGTGCTTAATTAGTTCGAATAGATACTTGAGCCAAAGCCACATCTTCGATTCATTCGCTCAAGTGCTTCGTTCGCCTTCGCTTCTCGAAAACACTGGGGTTCGGTATTGTACATCCGGCAAGGAAAAATAACTAGCATTCCTCAAACACAGTTTCCATTACTTCCTGACGCTGTGCCTTCTTTGGAAGAATCTCATAAATCCAGGCTGGTCTTTGGTCAAATGGAACTTCTGCGGTGGTGTTTCGCTTCCCGGGGGCGGCCCTGAATTCATTAGATACGCAGCGAGGTCAGACGTATCTCCTCCATTTGTGTTAGTGGCGTCTCTTGGTTCGGCACGCATCTTTTGTCGATTCCTATCAACATGTGCCGCGTGCGTAGGTTGAGTGGGTCGATATTTGTCCATTTTCGAACCGACTTGAGTGAGGTGGGGAGACTCGGCACGAGCAGCGCTGCTGGATTTGACATTAACACCATTCCTGCTGGAAGTCGAGCTCTGCAAATAATCCCTCAGCCTGGAGTTGCTCATCGATCTCTTCACTGCGTCCGTCCCTTCCGGCGCGGCTGAATCTGGCTCTGCGGCCAATATCGGCTGGGTTGTCATGCCCGGAGGAGGAGCGGTGTTGCGGAGAAAATCGACCAGAGACTCCTCCTCTCCCCGTCGTTGTTGCGGGGGGGACATCTCTTCCATATCGTCCTCTTCGTCACTGTAATCGATAGCATACGGATCACGAACCCTTCGACGGGTTCTCTGAGGCATACCATCCGCTTCTGGAATGACAGGCTGGCGAGAAACGGTGTGTGCAGATCCTCCAGCGCCGGAAGCGAACTTGTTAGACGCGCGATTGGTAGAATCAAGGAGTCCTGTTCTTGAATTCATCGACGATGGCATGGATCTGATCGTTACTGAACTTTCTTGTGCGCTGCCCACAGAGTTTCGACCTTTAGAATCTTGTTCCGGTGGAGGAGCAAGTGCATTCAAATCATCAGAGTCCATGGTCGTCCGAAATGGCGCCACATTCCGGTCAATACGATGATCTCCTGGTGGTCGTGGAGGACCTTCGCGGATGAAATCGATCAGGTCTGAGCTCTCAGCAGTTCGAGGGCCTCTAGCATCTCGAGCTTGGAACTTGAGACGGTTGACAGGTTTCCCGGAAGTTGTCGCCGGCCGTTTTCCACCGTCCTCGGCATCAAACTTGTGTTGGTCACCACTTATCACGCCCTGGGCAGTCCCCGGCCGTGGTGCGAGTGGTTTGGGCAGCTGCATTTCGTTCTCCGGACCAGTTGAGCGTGCATAATCAGCCAGATCTCTGGTCGAGCTTTTGGCCATTCTAGGGTCACGGGGTTCCCCCACAGGCTTCTTCGGTCTTGAAGGAGAAGCGGAACTTTCATGTCCCGGATCTTTCGGCTGGGTGGTGTCAGATGTGATGGTGGGAGGCAATGGTACTTGCGAGGTCTGCTGAGAGTGCGAACGGAATCCATTGATGCTGCCTTTGGCGGAGCGCGACGATTTCGGCCGACTCACTTCCTCTCCTGGTGGAGCTGTATTTTTGAAGAAGTCCGCCAGCTCTTGTGTCTGACTTTTCACTTTGAACTTCTGACAAATAGTTAGAAAGGGAAGCACCTGCTTAAGATCGCTGTACATACCTCATTAGTCGGTCTCGCGGATTTCGGAGTAAGTGTTATGCGAAGTGTCTCATCGCTGTCTATGAGAACGTCGAGACTCTTTTTCGCTCTGTCCATTTCGTCTGTAGGTGCGGTCCGCACGAACTGATCATCGGCGTCTGAGCGAAGCCGAATATGCTGTCTTCCAGCCGTTGGCTGCCTTCCATCTATTGGGGCACTGGCATTTCTCATATGGGGAGAGTGAGCAATACCTAAGCCTTCTGGCCCAGTAGCGAAGGATGAGGTGGCATAATGTGGTATGCGATGTTGAGCGGTGTCGCCTATCCTTCTCTGTGAGGCTGAGGGATGACCGGAAGGAGGTTGAGGAAATCTGGTAGTTGGGATTGATTGTGCCACAGCAGCTCTGTCCTCGAGAGATGACGTCCGCTCCTGAATTACATTAGGGCGTGCAGGAGTGGTGGTTGCAGCTTCTTCGTTAACCTTGGGGAGAGTGGTGGCAGTGCGTCGTTCTAGTGATTCGGCGGACGATGTGTCAAAACGTTGGCGATGGTCGCCACCTAGGGTCCCTTGATAGAAGATGGCAGCCGTTCCTAGACTCCCGCTGTCTCTGTTGCTGGTCACGCTATCTCTATTGAAAGCGCCTCGGTCTTGAACATCCATCTGAGGACGTCCAGCCGTCGATGAACCTTCCCCAGCGACAACGGTCGTCTGAGCGTGTGTGGAGAGATCATTCCCTCGAACGGGTGTTCCAGCATCAGAGTCTCTGAAACCCCTGCCACTCTCTTCACTGGCTTCAATCTCTTCAGTGGAGCTTGGAGCATGGGCCTGTGGCTCACGATCAGATTCGTGGCCGTCACCGAGAGATCTTGCATGTGAACGACGGGCTACAGCTGGACCCGTTGCATCCTCCACAGTACTAACGCTGCCTCTAGCAGATGAAGCAGCGGCACGGGAGTCGTCGTCACTATGGAGGTATGTGGATTCATCTCTTCGAAACACTTTAGAGGCTTCAGCGCTCAAAGCTCCGGCGAGGGTAGCCACAGTAGTGCTGATTTTGCTGGATGTCGGGCGTGACTTCTCGTCAGTGGGGCCACTGACGAGAGGTTCTTCCGAGTTCTTTAACATGCTCAAGACGGAAGGCTTGCTGCTATCAGACGTTGCTCCTTCCGCTTGTTGTCTAGATGCCGTCCCAGAAACGGATCCAGTGGGGGGTAGAGAATGTGACCTTTTCCGTGTCCAAAATGGTCTTTGCGCACTTTGTTCATCACCAGCAGCCGGGGACACCGTGCTGGGGAAACTGCCTGGCATCTCTACCATGCTTGAGGGTCTCCTCTTCTCGAGGGTGGGCCGATCAGTAGGGCCTTCGTCGTTCTCATGTTCCGGAGAGGGCGCGAGACCGGGCACCTCAATCTCTTCTACGTCATTGTTGGTCATTGGGAGAGGAATATCGGCCGGTGCTGGACTGCGTGATGGACGGATCGATGGGCTGCGTTCTTCTTGGATGGTCGAGATCGCGGGAACGGAGGGAAACTTCCACTCTTGGGCAGGCGACTCTGGGGATGAGGGAGACAAGATAATAGGGGTCGTCGGGCGAGAAGAAATGCTGTTTCCACCGCGCGTGTTGCCCTTCCAGGAGCGCCAAAGCCGTATCAGGGGTCCCTCTTTACCGACACCAGACATGTCTAATTCCTCCACTAGGATGACATCTTCATCCGACGCACTGGTCGGGTATGTACCGTTTGCCGTATTGGGAGGCTTATTGAGCGAGTGTCGCCTTCTCGCATGTTGTGCTGCTATGCAGAGGGCTTGCTCGCCCAGAAACTCGAGGACTGTGGTGAGGAAAATGGCGGCAGAAGGAGTGATTGCTGCGGCGGCTCTCACCGAGTCCTTCACCGCGCCAATGTGTTGCCTCAACTCGTTGTCGTCCAGATAGTCCTCCTCATCTTCCTCTTCCATATCTCCAAGCTTCGCATAGACCATACAACGTAATCTGGTGAGCTTCCAAGCCAGATCAACATCGAACTCCGATCTTGGATCCAGCGTACCGACACTGGTTTGTACTTCCTCCATCTCCTCTTCGTCCAGATAGTCTTGCAACTCCTCGTCGGCAGCCCTCACAGCCGAATGGCCTAGCCTTTGTTTTAAGACGATAGGCACAGCAGAGCGAACAGCGCTCAGCGCAACGGAATGCGCTTTCGAAAGGATGTCGTAGAGAATCTGATCCAGGAAACCATTCACGAGCTGAAGTGCGCCTTCCAAAATGACCGCAGGCCGCTCGATTTCTGCATAGATCAATTTCTCTGCTTCGGACTCCGAAACGTAGGCCGGACGCGGGTTCGCATGAGGAAGTGTGGCTCTTGAGGACTTTGCCGACATCGAGAGCACGTCTGTACCCGAGCCCATACTGCGCAATCTCCTGACAGTGCCAGGGTCCTGGGAATCAGATCTGGCGCCCCGTTGTGCCATCTTGACTATTATATCGTGTAGGTAAGAAACAACCTGCCAGCTCTTCACAAAACAGCACAAGCACAGATGGCTCAGCCTAAGTATCCATGAGGGGCACCTTGGTGACGCTCAAGTGAGGTGGCAGTGAGTGACAGGCAGGGTCCGAGCCGGTTCCCACAAGGCGGGCGCTCAACGAGGCTGAACGTATCGTAGGATCTTGGACAACTACGGTTTTTGGCGCAAGGTTATTCTTCTGCACAAGCAGAAAATTGTTGCTGAAGTCAAAAAGGCTGTCTGCAGTCGCTGGTGGGCGCAGACACGGCGCGCAAGGACAGCAGCTGAGATTCGAGGACCTGCACCGAGCGAAGTGCCGTCCGGGAGGCTGGGGTAAAGCTCGTCGTGCCTCGTCCACTTCAGGGAAGAGGATGTCGAAAAGCAGCACCAGCACCAGCACCTCTTTGATAAGGAGATGAAGCGACTTTGCCGATGGAGGGAGCGCGAAAGATACTACAACTTAGTCGAACTCAGCTTCTTCGGGGCTGGTGTTTCAACCATGAACTGGGACACTGCATGGGGCCCTGTTGGCACCATGGACTACGACGAATGCGCACAGGTGGATTCCGGGTTCCTCTACCAGGTCTTTGCTAGGTGCGGTTTGCGGGTGTGGCCCTTGTATCCGTCTGCTCAAGTGGGCGACCCGTTCGACGGTAGCTCCACGGCTATGCGAAGAAACCTTTCCGCCATCCCTATATCGTTCTGGCTTTGGTCTGGTTGTATCTCATGCGCCCAGCCTCGAGAGGAACTGTACCCCGTAGTAGCTTTTATGCTGGATGTTCTCCATCTCCATCTCCGTTTATTCCACTTTCGCACAGCCTAATGGACCCTAAGCTCGAGCCCAATCTTTTCACTGCAGCCTCACGAACCCAACTGGGACAGTCTCCTGCATGCCCATAGTACAGAGCCCGGCCCCTGAATCCTATGCACTGACATCGGGTTCGCACCGTCCCTCTGCTGTCCAAAACCTTGTCCAACCACAGTGCCGTCAACAGGTCTCTTACACGATATTCGATGCGCATGCCGCTGTTCCAGGGGGACTGATCGATAGCGATCTTTCTGCTAGCAGGGCACAAAATCCATGAAGGGCCAGATGCCGCGCCGTCTTACCACGCTGCGGGCTTGCGATGAGGCTTGTGACGAAGGTTACAAGTAGTTCGAAATCTACCTTCTAACACTACACCGCTCCTGTCCAAGCGACTCAGGACTTCAGGGTTGTAGTCGCATGGCTTACTACCAGTGGTTCTCCATGCATGTCCTGCACTTGCAGCAGGACGTAACCAGATCGAGAACTCCGCGAGGCTGGCCAAAGAAGGTAGGAGCATATACTACCTCCCACCTGAGATTAGCCCGCGGTATCATACATGGCTGCATGGTTCTCGCTCTTTCACGGGAGGGCATTCCAACAGGATTCGCATGCTCGCAGGGTCCTGAGCATGGCTCTCTCCGATTTTTAGACGATCCTGTAGTAGTAAAGTCTCGTTGTGCGCCGGGAAGAAGTTGGGCTAGCACAACGCCACCAGGGCCTCAGCACCGCATGTCCGCCTCCAACATACCTAGAAAGTATGGTTGCGCTACTTTGGCCGACGATGATTCCCGCTGCCAACTGGACTTGGACAAACTTCGTCGGGGGTATTCGGCGCCGTACGGTCGTAGAACCCCATGAGCAAAGGCGTTGTGGCCAAGCTAGTGCTGGAAGGCCAACGTCTTCGTGGTTCCTCGCACAGTCGGCGGCCCGTGTCCATACCAATGGCAGGCATATAGTCATGACACGCTGATCGCAGTTGTAGCTCATTGGATGTTGCGCTTTTGTATCGCGTCCTTTGCATCGGAGGGGTATCCGTAGGGCACGCAGTGCAAGGCAATTTGGGTGCCGGCTTCATCAGAGATGCGTGTCTCTATATCCGGGGACGATTGCTTGCTCGACTTTGCGAGACAATTCGCGGGTCCATGCTGGGATAGACGAAATGTCATGAGCAATAGTGATTGCTCCCCCATAATGTCACCTCAAAAGCCCACCCAGGTCTTTTTCCATGCCGGCGACACGCTCTTCTAGGGCTCTCTTCCTTGCTTCCAACTCTTTGATCTCATCTTCTTCAAGTTGAAAGTCTTGATCTGTAAATTCCGTCATGTCGCCATTTCTGCTTGTGTTTTCATGTCTCATATCATCCCATTCTGCATGAGACTCGTCAAGCCCCTGGTTCTGACGGTCCAGCGAAGTTTGTTGCTTCGACACTTTACTCTCAAGAGCAGATAAAGAAGCTGACACCTCTCTGTAATGATTTCGGAGTGCTCTGATTCTTTCACTCGCTCCGGCAACAGTATACACCTCACATAACTTTTCTGCCCCTTGAAGTAGGACTTCGACGTTGACGCCGTCCCGAGCTCGGACACCATTGCTGCTTGATTTCCGGATTTCTTGGAGCATTTCACTGCCCAGAAGTCTCGTAATGACGGATTGCTTCGCATACTGTCCACCTGGAAACATACTCTGACGTGCATGAGGAATAACATCGGTGCCTGCAGGCCGTAAACCACTGTCTTGTTGTGTCCTGCGCACAGCATTGGGGTCAAGTGAGAAGAGTGCACGCTCATGGGGTTCAGTATCACGGATCAAGGTCGTTATTTCGTGGTCTTTGAGCAGGGCATTGGTAAAGATCCCAGGTGGGGGAAACCTGAGAGACGGTCAGAACAGAGCAGCCATACATCTGTATCAAATTTAAGACGTACTCTAATTCCGATATAGCTTGGGCAGAGAGCGACATCTGCTCCAAGTGGCTAGCAAGCAAAGCCATATTTGCAGACCAAATGCAGGCACCGGGCGTGTGTGCAGCGCTTCGTTACAGAGCAGGATACCCAGCGAACACCGTACGAGCGACCATTGTTCAAGGGTCTTGAATCAGTAGATTGAGTCCCGCTGACATCAAAACAATGATGACCTAGATGGTCATTGCAGAGGCAGTTGTGGGTGGCAGGGTGTTTGTTTGGTAGGGTGTACAGTGGTACGTTGTAGTCTGTTGCTGCGAGGGAAACGCGTTTGTATGTCGTGCCTGGCCTGCGCTGCTGCTCTACTATGGCCGACCGAAGCCAGAAATCCGCATCTCCAACCTCAACCACTGACACCTGACCTCATCAATCACTCCCCAGCGACCTTCAGAACAATACTGCGTTATCTTCCGTGTCCGCTCCTTGAGCTGTGTACATCTACTGCCAATCCACCGGTTTTACAGGGCCTTAAATCGAGAAGCTGAGACTGGCAAAGTGTGCCGATCGTGAGGCGGAAACGGACTTCAAACATCATCAAACTCGCGCCCTTCAACGGACAGCAAAGGAGCGAGAACCGCCTCATCCTCCCAACAAACCGAATCGCAAGCCCTGTATTTGACGCGTCCTAACGCCTTTCTGCCCCGATCAAGACCTTGAGAAGCCTCCCGCAGGTCCGCCGACGATATGAGCGGCGACAAACATCGTCTCAACGGTACCGGTCCGAACGCAAATGGCATTGATGGGTCAGAAGATGTCGAGATGAAAGAACAATCACAGAACTCGAAGAAGGGTTCTAAGCCCAACAAGGACAAGGATGGGGATGACGAGATGACTGTTGTTGTTCCGCCTTCGAAGGGTTCAAACGCTCCCACTGCTCCAGAGAAAGCCACCGAGGCGGACCTCAAAATCGGCGCCTTGAATGGCAATTCGGAGAATGAAGCGGAAGCCGAGATCGATCCCCAGGAAAAAGCCATATCAGGTGAGTGATATGGAGCTTCAAAGAGCGTTGCCGCGTTTGTTGACTTTTGGACAGAAATCAAAGCCAATCTCCCATTATTGGAGCGTGGTGTCGCCCAATTCGATCCGCGGTTCAGTCTGAGGGTGCTCCGTTCGATATCGTCAGTCCGAAAACATCTATCTGCTTACGTGCTGGCGACTGTCGTGATAGACGCGTACCCAACTCCTACGGCAACTGCCACTTCTCTCCTTACCGCCGTTAAAGATGACCCATCCTTTCCCTCGCAGAAAGTCGAAGAATGGCATAACAGGAAGGATGCAGCTCACCAGAAGGGTTCTCCGAAAGAAATATTGCCCGAAATCGATATCTATCTGTCAATCTTGGTGCAAGTCTATCTTTACGATAAGAAGTCAATCGATGCCGGTGCTCAGTTCTCCAGTGCCCTTGTCGAGCATTTGCGCACTTTGAACCGTCGCACGCTGGACGCTTTGGCTGCCCGGGTATATTTCTACTATGCACTCTTTTTCGAAGAGCTGGCTCCATTACCGCCGTCTCCTGCCGCTGCGGTGATCTCCATTCGGAAGAACCTTCTTGATGCGCTCAGAACGGCTACCCTGCGGAAAGATCAAGATATCCAAGCCGCGGTCACCACTCTCCTCTTGCGGAACTATCTGTCTACATCGCATATCAACCAGGCTGATCTCTTGATTTCGCGCACGAACTTCCCCCCGGCCGCGGCAAACAACCAATATGCCCGATACCTGTATTATCTTGGACGCATTCGAGCCATTCAACTCCGGTACACCGAGGCTCATGAGCACCTCACTGGTGCTACTCGCAAATCACCGACTACTTACAAAGCCAGCGGGTTTTACCAGGCTTCGACCAAGTTGCTTATTGTGGTTGAGCTGTTGATGGGAGATATTCCTGACCGCGCGATCTTCCGGCAACCTAGTCTGGAGAAGGCTTTGCAACCCTACCTTCAACTTGTTCAAGCTGTCAGTTCCGGCGATGTTACTGGGTTCCAAAACTTGGTCCAGCGGTACAATGCGACATTCCGCAAAGATGACACTTACACCCTGGTCCTGAGATTGAGGCAGAACGTGATCAGGACAGGCATCCGTATGATGTCTCTTTCATACGCCAGAATCTCGTTACGTGATATGTGCCTAAGACTGGGACTGGACAGCGAGGAATCCGCCGAGTACATGGTTGCGAAGACAATTCGAGATGGTGTCATTGAGGCTAGCCTTGACCATGAGCACGGGTACATGAAGAGCAAGGAAGTTGGTGACGTGTATGCTACCAGAGAACCCGGCGACGCCTTCCACGAGCGCATCCAAGCTTGCTTAGCTTTGCACGATGAGAGTGTCAAGGTATGTATCTCATTCCCATGGTTTCTTATTCCGATTCTAACTTCTCGTCAGGCTATGCGATTCCCGATGAACCAGCATCGGCTGGAACTGAAAAATGCTCAGGAGGCCCGCGAACGTGAACGCGAACTCGCAAAGGAAATCGTGGACGGAGAAATGGACGATGATGAGGGTCCCGGCGGCGATTTCGAAGGGTTGTGATCTGTCTTCATATTCTGCAGTGTACCATACATATGGACGGAGTTTGCGGGCTCAGTATGAGCTTTCGTAACTTATTACTGGCGCGGCCTGCACAGCAATTACCAATGGCCCCCAGAGGATACTGTCTTCATCGCCTGGATACCTTGGGGTGAACAGGACGTTCAGGGCCTGGTTCGATTGTGGTTGCTGGTGACTAGACAGTGTTGTCGGCTACAATGGCTGACTCCAATAGACCAACAACGAATGTAATTTTCTATCGCCCACCACAGATTCATCATCCAAGAGTACACCATCGGTTATGTTCCCAGTATAGCCGACCAAAACTGTGTATTGCAATAGGTCCCTTGGTATGGCACCTGTTCCTCGTGGCACACGTGACGCTGAGTTTATCCGGAGACCAATTGCAGTGTCTCGGATTGTGTTTGTCCGAAGCCCGCGACGTCACTTTCACACGCTTTTGAACGCGTTGTTTGTCCTGGCCTTCCACTGGCATACAGTTTCAACATACGGGCAGTGGAATTTTGCTTGCGTCGAACACTCACGACATGTCACAGTCTCGACCACCATCGCAGATGCATCTGCCGGGCAGGACCAGATCGCGATCTCCCGTTTCTCGTCCGACGACTCCGCTTCGCCCGTCCTCTCGCTCCTCATTCCGAACGTCGCAAAGCAATGTCTTTGCCGGACCGTCCCCTCTCGACAATTTAGAACCTCAGTTTGCAGAACTGGGCGACTCAATGGCGGATCTAGAGGCTAACATGATGCATCTTCAACTCATGCATGAAAGTCTCAGTCGATTTGCAGAAAGCTTCGCCAGTTTCTTGTACGGCTTGAACATGAATGCATTTGTTGTCGACTTTCCTGAAGTACGCTTGTTCTTCTGTTGCAAGAGATTTAGACTGACATTGTGCTCATAGGCTCCAATCCCGGCATCATTCGAGCGTTTTCAGAAACGTCAGGGCCAAAAGCAGGCCGATGAGACGGGCATCTTGCAAAACAGTGCCCCGGAGAGTGGACTGGTGGAGGCCGAACCCACTTCCTTGAACGCAGATGCCAGCTTTGCAAGTCTGAAGGCCACGCCTCGTCGAAAAAGTATAGCGCCGTCGGCCGTCCCGAGTACGGCATCGACTGTGAAACAAAGTGGTATTCCTGGTCGTGGAGGTAGTACTATAGGAAGAGCGGGCAGAGCAACAGGTCGAGGCGCGAGAGGAAGCGGTCTACCGCGCGGAAAGGGGAGAGGAGCCAGATAAGAGTGATGCTGCGATGCGCTCCCTGTTACCCATGGTGTTTCAAGAAACACAGCGGTGATGTTGGTTCAACTGCCCACTTCAGCCTTAGCGACTGGCTTTTTTCTGTCTTGTCTCTGAAAAGGTGCTGGTGGAACAACGTCCTATCAGCCTGCTCAGGAAGCAAGTCTCCATGCATCCTCAAGGAGTCATACGAACTACCCAGCCTGTCTCTCGATGGCAACTCGCGTTGGGTAACGGGTCGAGTCTTCCTTCAGCGCATACAACAATCTCCCTCCTGGTCAGATGAAGGCTTTCCACTTCCTGGATCCTCGAAACCATTACGAGCTCCGGTGACAGCGACACTCATGGCAATCTCCATCCTCCATGTCATTGTAAGTTGTCCTGAACTCGCCTTTGGCACAGGCATCAGATACTAATCGCCTTTAAAGTGGCCACATTGGCTCCTTCCGAAAACCCCTAGCCTCGCGGCCACAGAGGCCTTTGCCATATGCATGTCTATACTCGGGCTGTGCGCAACTTAACAGCCACCTTGGCAGATGACCGTCTCCAGCGGTCGGGGACAAGTCCATGGCACTGCAGAAGCACCGGGCCATGGTGGCGCAGCGTTTGATGATCATGGGTATGGGGGCCACATATCTACAGTGACCGTTATCCAGAGCAACCCCTGGCTGAATGAGAGGGAGGCGACTGCAGTCCAAGCTGGTCGGAGTGGCATGGTGCTTCTATGATTTACGGCAGTATTATGAGGAATTTTGGCACAGAGCTGCCACCCTCATCTGAATCCTGGAGGAGCTCTTTTCGCGCAGAATTATGCCAGCAGAGAATGCGAGTGATGGCCGCTCTGAGGGCAGGACCATGAAGCCGAAATCCAGATCGATACCTTTCGAGATGCTGTATACTCTGTTGCTTAGGATCTTTCCCCTGGACACTCGCCCAGCGGCTTTAGGGGACCTAGACTGTACATACTGCTTGTTGTTGAGTTAGGTCCAGTATATGCAGGCCACTATATGACAAGGCTCCGGCTTTCATTAAGGTTTAGCTAGTACAACATCGCTCATCGTGTTGTTTTATGAAGTGTTGATCATTGCCTAGGTACGCATGTAATCCCGGAGGGCACAATACAAGATCTCAGCAATATGCCTGCGGCAATCTCTAATATTGAAATGAACAGCCCTTAGGGAATGTTCTATTCAGAGTTGTTTCATACGTTGTAGCCGCAAGGCTGATGGTGTGTTGTGCTAGTGTCGGTGTGTGGACTTCCCTTTTACCCGATTGGGCGGCCAGCCTCGGCCTCGTTGATCATTTGAACTGACCTTTTTATTGTCTCGCTGTGTTCCTTTTGTGCCGGTTGAACATAACACAACACATCACATCGCAGGCTGGGGCTATTGGTTTTGGTCTTGCCTATTGTTGATGTTTGTAGCCCTGCCACAATAGCCGATTGAGGCTCTTCAACCGCTGGAGCAACCATCGAACGACAATATTATCCGATCGCCTCTTCTAATCACAGCGCCACCAACATCACCTTCTTCCACACACCTTTCTTTGCCCAATCTTTTTCACTCTTCTCACTTCCAAAGATCATCCTCGGTGCTCTGGCAGCACATTTCAATCATCATGGCTCTCCTTTCGTATATGCCCACAGCTGGCTGTGAGCATCTGGACAAGGAGACAGTCGAGAAGATCCGGCGGTTTCGAAAATCCCCCCGAAATGGTATTGACCGGGACTTTGCCCAATATGTATGTCTGCAATGTTCAATGCCGGGGAGTTTTCCAAGTCTGGACAAGCACTTCTCCGAAAGCAAGCACAAGTTTGCCGTCAGCGAAAAATCCGTCTACTGCGGCGGTTGTAAGGACCTGGTGTATGACCCAGCCCTGCTGAGCAACGGCAAGAAACGCAAACTGGCCGAGTCCAACGAGGAAGACGACTCTTACTTGACTGCAAACACGTCTCAGCGACCATGTGGCCGTAGTGGCGTTCGTGGCCTGTTCAACCTCGGCGAGACCTGCTACATGAACGCCGTGTTGCAGATGATGGTGCACAATCCCCTGCTGGCAAGTTATTTCCTCGGCATGGGTCATCCAATCCACACCTGTCCCATCTCCAAGGAGCCAGAGAAGAAGGCCAATGAATCTTCGGATTCCGAAGATGAGGGAGCAGAACAGGAGAAGCGAGAGATGCAGGTCTGTGTGGCGTGCGGCATGACCGAACTGTTCTCGGACGTCACCATGGTCGATCAGCCATTGCCGGCTCATGCTGTCAATCTGCTTTTTGCATCTTGGAAAAACATTCCTGTAAGTTGAAGCAACTCTTGCGCTGACTTCTTGCTTTCGACTGCTTGAAACATTTTCTGCACTCGCCATCGTGGACGCATCTTCTTTCGGATTTCGAGTTGATCACTTGACTGACTTTTCTTTGTTTCTACCAGCAAATGTCCGGCAAAGGCCAACAAGACGCCCAAGAATGGTTCATGTACATTATCGACCGACTCCACGAGGCAGTGGCACAATACACGACGCCGCACAAAACCAACAGCATCAATGCCGCCAACGGGATCAACACGTTCAATCGGCAATGCGTCTGTTTCTTCCACAAGGTCTTCTACGGCCGGTACAACAGCCAAATCACATGCGACAAATGCCACACAGTCTCGTCGCGCGAAGACGAATTCTCCAGCATCAGCCTGGACTTTAAGCGCCAAGTTAAGCGCAAGAGGAAGGCGGCCAAGGAAGCAGCTGCCGCTAAGGCCGTCACCGATGGCAATGCTGCCACCACCACCACTACTACAAATGCCGCCGGTGGTGACAACAAGACGAAAGCCAACAACAACGCTGCCAACAAAGAACCTCTCCGGATCACGGTCCCCACTCTCCACGAGTGTCTACGTGCGTATACGGCTCCCGAACCGCTCTCGCCAGATCAATACACCTGCACGAAATGTGACTCACGACAGCCGGCTACCAAACAGACTCGCTTGCGCAAGTTACCGGCCATTCTGTGCGTGCACGTCAAACGCTTCGGCATGAGACAGCTGGGTCCTGGCAACTATGTCCCTGAAAAGTATGAAGGAAAACTGGATTTTCCATTGCACCTCGACATGGGTCCTTATACGACCAAACCGCCGCAGTGGAATGATTACGGAGATGGCTACTACGATGTCGACGACAACGTCGAAGCCGATGTCAAAAAGAGCCAAGCTAACGGAGCTACAAAGAACGAGAATAGCAAAGCCAACGTCAATGAGAAAGCAACAACCAATGGTGATCATAAGAGCAACACTAACAAAGCCGATGAAGATGCCAAAAATCACCATCGTCGTCGAGGTCGTGACGCCTACATGTACGACTTGGACTGTGTCGTGGTCCATCAGGGTGATAATGCCCACAATGGACATTACTTTGCCTTTTGCCGCCAGGACAACAAGTGGTTTCGCTTCGACGACGAGATCGTCTCCGCCACCACGACCGAAGATGTCTTGAGACAGGAAGCGTACTTGTTGTTCTACTCGTTGCGAAGCTTGGAATCGGTCTAGTCAAGAGAGGACAGCAAATGGTTCCGCTTAGCTTCGACGATGAAATC